GCTTAAAATTAAGAGATTATCTATATAGATTAGTATAAATAAGCGATCTTTTATAAAAACTAAGTAATTAGCCTAAAGTTTCTAAAAATCTATAGCTATTAAGATATCTCGTAGTAAAATATACTATTCTCGAGGGCTCTACTTTAGTCTATATAGTGTTTTTATTAGTAAACCGTACTTTCCCGGATACTTATCCCGTACGATTTCGGGAAGTTTTATTTTAATAGGTTCTCTAATTTCCGTATTAAGGAAGGTAGTAATAATATCGAGATAATATATCGGCTAGCCTTTTAATATAGTAATAGTAATAAAGACTTTAAAAAATATTAGCTTTATAATAATAGCGTAAACCTTATAAAAATCTTAACCCTCGACTTATCGAAAACTACGTACTACTAGGCGAGCCTTATAGCGATTATTATATTTAATAGTCTATACCTAATAAAGAGTAAGAGGTTTACGACGTTTTTTCGATCTTTTAATAACTCTCTAAATACTATTAATAATATACTAAGAGATCTCTTAGTATATAGTAACTAACTATTTATCTTTATTCTTATAATTTATAGCTTACTTCTATATTTTAGGTATATATCTAGATTTAGAGGGAGACTTATTAGACTATTACTTTTTAGATATAGTATATACGTAAAGAGTTTCTAGGATATCTATATTTTTAGTAAGAAATATAGTAATACCTATATCGTAAAGAGTATAAGAATCTAGGCTTTCTAGATAAGCGCGAGAAGGCTTCCTAATCCTAGTTAAATAGCGTAATTAAGATTAATTAGTCTAATCCGATTATTATATATCTAATTCTCTAGACTACCGGGAAGCTACCTAAGATTCTATAAGAACCCCTAGTTTATCTATATTAAAATAAATACTATATTCCTTCTTACTTTATACCTCTATACTATTTCTAAAACTACCCTCTATTTTAATAGGTTTAAGAATCGATTAAGTTAGAGGATCCTTAGACGGAAAAAAGCTTTTATCTATAACTTCTTCTATAGTTAGCGAGAGAGAAGAGGAGGGTTAGCGAAAGGACGAGAACTAATAAAATACCGGACGAGATAATATAGAGCTTATTAGTATAGGAATAGGATAAGCTAGATCCGAAGGTACGCCTTTAGTATAGAATTAAGAAGAACTAGTATTAGTACGATTAGGTATAGACTTATATTTATATACTAATTATAAAAAATTAATAGAAATAAACCTTTTAGATAACGGGTTATTATAAGATCCTTTATATTAATTACTATAATACTATTAAGTAAGATCTAGTTTATAAGCTAGAATAGGTAAAATAGTTAGAGATAGAGATTTATTAAAAATAATATTACGAGATCTATCTAACTTCTTAGTATATATATTATATAAAACGTAATATCCTTCTTTATTATAGCTTATTAGTCTTACTTTCTCTATATAAGGATCGAGCTTAGTATTACGTTTTTCTTTTAGAATTAGAAACTAGTATTAGTAGCCTAAGACTTATAGATTTAAAAGATTAGGCTTTCTACTAAAAAGGGCTTTATAAGAAGTTATTTAAACCTTACTATAAAATAGATAGTTTATTATATAGTTAATATCTTTTAGTAGTAGACCCTATAGGTATTTAGGTAGCTAATATTCCGCTATAATTATAATAAGAGGTTTAATAAGATAGCGATTCTTAATTTTAGCTATACTATTTAGCTACTTAGTATAAGAAGGAGTTAAATCCTAAATAACCCCCCGGTTTACTAAGTATTCGGCGAGTAGTTTATACTTAGCTATATTATTACTATAAACTCTCTTAACTATATAGTTAAGTTAAGTCTATAAGTAAGTCTCGATCTATATATAGTATTCTATAATCTCTAAACGAGACTTAAGTAAGAAAGTCTATATAAAGCGGGACGTATTATCTATAAAAGTTATAAAATAGCGCTCTTCTCTATATAAAGTAATAGAAATTAGACCTTAAATATTAATATAGAGTATATCCCCGGGTTTAGTACGAATAGCTCTTTCTTTCCTAAAGGGGAGGGTATATCCTTTTCCTTTAATATATAGTATATAAGGATAAATTACTTCTATATCTAGAATTAGGTATATACCCTTAGCCGAGGTTTCTATCTTTCTTATCTTAGCCTTACCGGTATAATAGGCGTAGCGATAAGCTAAGTTAATAGTAATAGATTTTATATAATAAGAAATAGAAACTATAGATATAGATACCGGAATAATATACTAAATTAGATTCACTTCTAGTATAGTATTAAGCCTTTCTATACTAAGATAATTTAGCTAATAATACTCGCCTTTAATATTAGTATATATAATTTTAATTCCTTAGCTTAGTAGTTTTATAACCCCTTTTTTAAATAGAGTAGTAATACTATTTTTATCGAGATCCGAGATAGAAATTAAGCTAGACTTTAGAGCTAGAGTAAGCTATACTTTTTTAAGATAAAGAGTACCTAGACGCTTATTTATATTTATAGAATTTAATTATATAATTATATTACTATAACCTTTAGTATAAAAAATATCGCTAGTCGTAGTTCGTATAAGAAATATATATTTATAAAAGCTATTAAATATAGACTAATAAGGTATTATATAAGTAGAAGTACTAGAATTAAGTATCTAACGAGTAAGATTATTTCTATTAGAAATATATTAATCTTCCTAAGAAATAATTAAACTAATAGTATTAGAAAAAAGATTATTATATTTAAAAATAGGATTACTAGGTAGTATAGAAGGTCTAGATAGTACTAAAGGTCTAGGTTATATAAATATAGTATTTACCTAAGGTCTCTACTACTATTAAGGAGAAATTATAACTATCTAACCCTAACTATTAACTATACTAATTATCTAACTAGATATAGGTATAGAAACTTATTAAATTTACTATAATTATATAGGTTACTATATTTATATAATATTTAATAAGATAGGTCTTAAAGAATATCTCCTAGTAAAATAATTACCTATAGTATTATAATATTTATAATAAATAATATTCTTACGCTTATATTATTATTAACCTTACTATTTTCCGTCCTTTTTCTTACCTTTATTATTATTCTTAGAATCCTATATATTCTTATCCTTATTACTAGCCTTATTATCCTACTTCTTACTATTATTAGAATTACTAGATAAGGACTTATTATCTTTTAAAGTAGAATTAGCTAAGTACGAAGCCTTAATACTAATCTTATAAGCCCTAATAGTATTCTTAGACTATATAAACTCTCGATAAATCTAATCTATCGAGCTATTAGAGATAATTATATTCTAGATAAAAGTACTATAATAAGAGTTCTCCGAGATTATAGAAAGAAAGAAGTAAAACTTATACTATTTATAAATACTACCTATAAATTCCTTTAGTTTATAGAGGGCTTCCTAGAAATATTATATAAAATCTTATATATTATTCCCTTAGTATCGAAGTTAAGTAAGCCTTTATTACTATATAAAAATAGTTTAATAAAAGATAATAAAGTAGTTTTTATCTAGAACGTCTATAATTTCTTAGGTATCTAAAATATATAAAACTAAAGATAGTAGAATAGATTTAAGGGTTAATCTAATATAAAGATAGATACTAGAATTCGTCCTATTCTAGATATTTTTCTCCTTATTATATTCCTATAGTATTAGAGTATTTAAGCGTTTAACTACTCTAATCTTTTCCTTTACTAAGTTACTAGGAACCTCCTCCGGTTTAAACTTAGAACTAAACGTAAGTATTTAACGAATTACCGTTTTAGAAGCGTTAAGGAGATCGGGAGCTATAGGTTTAGGAATAGACCCTTTAAGAAATAAAATATAACTAGAGTTAATAGTCCTAAGAGCCTTAAGAATATTAAATTTTTATACCGAGAAGTTACTCTTACCCTTAAGCTTAATAATAACTTTAGAAATATAGAACTCCTTTTCCTTATTAGAAGTAGCCTTAAGGAGATCTATATTATCGACTTAGCTAGGAGGCTTATTATTAATAATAAAAGAATAATTATATAACGGGGAAGGCGATATAATTAATAGAAAGAAGATAAAGTCGTTAACCTAGTAGAAAAACTTACTATTAATACGTAAAGACTATCGACTTAGTATAAAGGCTTATCGTCGAGAGTAAAAAATATCGACTTAGTAGGAGCTTATTATTAACGAGAAAGAGATACTAACTTAGCGAAAAGCTTATTATCAGTAGAAAAGAGGGGTTATCGACTTAGCGAAAAGCTTGTTATTAATAGAAAAAATTGCTAGTAGACGAACCTAGCAGAAGGGGTGCATACGGACCGTAAGATCACAAGATATACGAAGCAAGGTACTCATAACCTAATAGACAGGACCAGACTCTACGCTACAAAGAGAGAGAGAGAGACTGGAAATCCTATATTCGTCTACAGCAGAGAAGAAGGGAAGGAAACTATCTAGGAGAAGGAGCTTCTTATAGCACGGCGAGGAAGGAGGAGTCACCTGACTCCAAACAATTTAGTTAAACCGCTAGAATGCTGAGACTAAACTACGAAGCTATAGACTGAGGGAGACACCTGACAGACTCATGAGCGGTGTTAAGAGAGGCCCAAAGTTGGGCATATTGAGGTAACAAATTCGATTTATATGCCATGAAACCAACCCTTGAGCGCTATACGCTTTCGTAGAGCCTTTTACGCGCCTTGTAGACCCTGTTACGGTCCAAGCGGAAACTTATTACCCAGTGATGCCTCACCTTTTACGCCCAAAATCTAAGCGATTAGGCCCCAACATGCTAAGGAAGATACGAGGCCGTCAACTACATTGTGGCCTTCTGGTCCACTTACGTCGTTTTCGCTTGGGTTTTATAGCCCCGTAGGGGTTCTAGATTCGATCCAATAAGGTACGCTTGTGACCCGGCCTACTCCAAGTGTTCTGACAGGCACTAGAGACACATATAAATCAACCATCACCCGAATATAAGGGGTAACCTTCTCAGCTTACCGACAAGCATGGACCAACTCAGCGACTTCCTCGCCAAACACCCCGGCATCCATCATGCTAGTCCTTCATCCCCAGACTTTGAGAGTCTACGTGAGGGTTATGTGATTAATACCATAGTCCCAGCGATGATTATGCGACCCGGTTCAGCTGAAGATGTGGCTGGCCTCGTCCGGGTTCTGAAAGAAAACAACTTTCCATTCTCCGTTCGGGTAGGTGGTCATGACATGTTTGGTCGATCCCAGGTGCAGGATGCAGTGACTATTGACCTGCGGGAGATAGCCTACATCCATGTCAACCGTGACAACGGCACTGCTCGTCTCGGGGGTGGCGTGCTTTTTGTAGATCTACTCGAGGAGTTGGGTCGCCATGACTTGGTTGTGCCACACCCTCTGGTCTCCAGTGTTGGATTTGTCGGTTGGGCAACTCATGGGGGATACGGGCTCCTCACCCCGAAGTATGGCCTGGGAGCTGACCAAATCCTCCAAGCCAAAGTGGTCGATGCTCAGGGACTTGTTCGTGATGCAGACGAGGACATGTTGACCGCTATTCGCGGTGGTGGTGGAGTACTCGGTGTGATCGTCGAGGTTACCATTACGGTATACCCTCTCAGTCAGGTATGAAAGACCTCTGGCAAATACAGAATGGTTTGATGCCAATGACCCCTTTAGGTACTTGCCGGTATTCTAATGTACGATTCCCGCGACATATCGGCGACCATCAAACGATACAATGACGCCTATCGTCAACAAACAGAAGAAGGACTTCCTTCGGAACTCAATTTGTCTCAGTCTGTGATTAATGGTCCAACAGGCAAAGTGCTGGCAATCCTTTTTGTTTGGGCATCATCAGATGTCGACACTGGGCAGATGTGGCTGGCCAAAGTCAGCGAATGGTCTCCCGTGGCCACGAGTACTGTTTCCCTGACCACAATAGCTGCATTCCATCACACTCTCAAAGACATGCTTCCCACGAGGGTATATGGGAAGTCTTCTACCATCAGTCTGCAAGAACTCAATCCGCAGGTGGTGAGAGTTCTGGGCAAGTACGCACAAATGCTGCCCAGTAACACCCCTACTCTCATTGGAATGCATCAACTACGTGTTGGCACGCCGCAGCCCTCAGCGGACTCCGTTCTAGGCACCCGGATCCCGCATTTTGTGCTTGAGATACTGCCCATGGTCACAGATTCAAACAGGCTCGATGAAGCACTGGCGTGGGGGGTGGACTTTTACGAGGATATCATGAGAACAGATTCCGAGAACATCCTATCCTTCACCTTCCTTCCTCTCACCGAACCACACAAGGTCAACATGAAGGCAATATACGGTGCTAATTACGAGACCCTAAAACGCATCCAGCATGATTATGACCCGGAAAATATTTTCAAGCATGCGTTGGTGCGGTTGTGATCAGTCATCGTCATCTATTATTGGAATTTAGCACACGGGAAGGAAAGATCTATGCCTATCGGATTATGAAGAGCGTGTGTTCCGGTATATCTATCAAGATGCATATATATTGAATATAACCATTGCAAAATCAGAACAGAGAGGAGAAACTCCACCAACGCCCAAAACCGAGGAAACTCCATGGAAAGACACAGCATATTTACTGGTAGGTGACAGAAAATTCGCTGTCATTCAAGATATTGACATGAGCCTTCACTTCCCCATTCTGCTGGATGTCCAGGATGGCAGCGTGTTTGACGCCATATGATGCTCCATTGGCCTTGGCCTGAGCACCGGTGAAGTCGACCTTGCCAAAATTGACCAGGGGGACCATAGTATTCCCAGTGTTGAAGTCCTCAACGATCCACTCGGCATTCTGGCCGGCAAGGGTGGCAGAGGTCGAAGGCGCAGTCAGTGTTTTGGTCACACTTTTGCCGGTGGACTTGTTTTCGATGATGGCAACACCTTCGCTGGGCGAAAATGACTCGACCTTTGCGACGATCACATCACCCGCGGATAATTGCAGGTCAAAGTTCTCCGCACTCTTGGGGTACCACTCGTACCAAGCGTCATAGCTTTCTTGGCCATCCTGGATGTAGGCATCAATCCCAGTTTGCAAAATTGCCTTAGAATAAGTATCGCCATCAATACCAACCCAAGCAGATACAGCTTGCATATTGCCAGAGTCATCGGTGGCTGTCGGCTTGGGGACAGTGAAAGTTGCCGACACAGCGTTGTAGGTAGCACTGGGGGGAGGTTTCTCGCGCACCACGCCGGCCCAGTTTTTGCTATATTGAACATTGCCTCCTGGGAATCCTTCCTTGATCAGGACACCATTCTTTTTGGCGGGTATTGACTGTCGTGATAGAGCGCCACGGGATTGTAGACGCTCAACCAGACCGCTGCCAGGGGCTGCGAGAGAGCTACCTGCCAGCATGGCGGTGGCTAAGATCATGGTGGTCGTGATCTTCATATTGGCGGTTATGTGCGTAGACTTGGGCTGACGATAGAGCAATATAGACCAGAAGTGACAGAGTTGGAAAGTGATATACACTGATTAAGAAGACTGCTCATGGTACTTATATCAGCCCTGTATCGCATTTGGGTTGCATGCGGCACTTTCCATCCCCAACCCGCATGGGGAAACGGAGCTCGTGGCATAGTAGGTAGGCTATGCTCCGTAGGTGAGACGTAATTGAGGATCCGCCGGAGTGGAGAGATGAAATTAGAAGAAATCAGGTTTACTGGGGCCATCTGGGGAGCACGGAGAGTCATGCGTATTGCCTTGCGATTGGAGACGTGTTGATCTTGTCCCTTTCTTGCCGAATGCCAATCGAGGATGAAGGCTAAAGCTGCATTTCCGCTATCGTCACAGGGCGAGATCTAAATCAAATGAGCACTCGGCCAAGCTTGCGTGGCTTGATGGCAGACGCATTCCTAAGGACAAAAATATCTTAGGCTCGACGGATCTGATGTACATCGGCGACGCCAGGTCCCGTATCCCGGGAACCACGAGATCCTCCCAATATAGATATCATACATCGCAATATCTCCGAGCTATGAGTATTGTTTCAATATTCAGATGTTTGGTGGTTGAGGATATTTCAGATTTGTTGGTTTCACGGTGGTACATTCGCGTAGTTAACGCGGGCAAGATGACCATCTCGACCGATGCATCAAAAGAACCGAGCACTGTTTTGTTCGGGGCCAGTGAGCTCCAATACAAAATGACACACCCACAAACCTCGGATGAGTAAATCATCATGAAACAGGACAAGATATGGAAGCGTGCAGCTCGCCCTGTGCTCTGGGGGATGCGGCTAGCGTGCATACCAGCCAAGCGCCGTGCACGCGTCCACATTCCTCAGTCCGGTATTGGTTTGGGACTCCAATGGGCTTCCGAGAACAGGGCATTTCATGCGTAATGGTCGTTTGACTTGGAATTCACTGCCCTCGTGTATTGGCAAGCACAGCAACCTGCCCAGCTATTGTGCGCTGATCTGCGGCAACTGAGCATATGCACGATCTGGTCAGCCAGAGCCGTCTTGCATCTGCTGGAAGTGGATATAGGAGTCAGCGGATAAAGAGAAGGCAATAATTCAGATTCAGCGATGCTAAGACCAGTCAGTCCTGTTCGCTGGTTCAAGACAATCATGTTATCAACTCATTTCCGAAAGGCTTTGCGTCAATTTTGTCTTGAGCATGCCATACATTTAATCTTCGCACGCGATTCTCTCCACGAGTTCTTTTGGAAAAGTTCACAGGACACACGAGTCTTGGTTTCATTCAAAGCTATAGATAAGAGGTATCTAAACGGATGCTATAGGGATGTTCCAGATCTTCAATGGATGTTTGCCACCTCGGGCGAACCGTTGGACAAAAATCTAGTACTCACTGGCTTGGGAGATGAATCTCCATTTCGATATAAGCACTTCTTCGGCACAGCCTCGACCATGGTAGGGGCGGATTGCAATTTGACATCCGTGCTAGGCAGGTTGGGTGGGGATTGGAAGGATTAGCAAGGTATGTAGAAGGTATAGAGAGAGAAGAAAAAGTTATGTTATTATCAATACACATCGGGGCACCGGAGATGGGCGAGAAAATAGTAAGACAATGTGCCGCCGGGAGGGGGAATCGAAAATATTAGACAATAAAAGGTCGTAACGCCGTGGATGTGACAGTAGATAGATCAAAGCTCTGGGTGTTCGAGCGCACTCTTAGACGGAGGCCGGAAGTTGCCGGACGTGATTTCCTTGAAAGCAAGATCGAACCGGGCGCCCATCATCCAGGCAGCGAAGATCATAACACCGGCAACGATGACGACGATAATGCCCATGAGAGCCATCATGAAATAGACATCACTCTTGTTCTCGGCGTCTTCCTTCTTTTTCTGCAATTCGGCCGCGGTGAGCTCGCCAGAGACCTTGCGGTTTGCAGCCTCGGCTGATTGCGTTGGGAAGATGGTCTCAATGAACTTTTCAATTTGTCCGCAGACAATGCTGATCTTCAAGAAATTAGGATCCTTCGGGGTGTTCTTCTTGTGGATTCTCCGAGTGTACACTCGGAAACTATCGCACAGAACAGACAAGTTCTGGGTCGACTTGTGCATGAGGTCACACGCATCTCCCTTGGTGATCTTGATGTTGCGCTTGAAAATATCGGGGTTGCGGAAACATAATTCCATTGTGGCGATGGCCATCGACTGCGGGATTGCACAGAAATTGAAAACACTCTGCTCACGTAGACCGGCCAGGTAGAATAGACACTCCTCGGCGTGCTCAAGGGCGTTGAGAACCATCTCCGAACTGCAGTTGAGAGCCGCCTCGAGGTGCTCTGGCTTGAAGAGGTCCTCAAAGTTATCCACATGCTTGGACCAGATCTCCTGGGGCCAAAAGCGTCGGTTATCATCGAAATCCTCGCGAATGTCACGAATGATGTTGGTCTTTTGAAGGAAGAGACCCATCGACTTGTGTAACTTGGGTCGCTTCAGCAGGGCTGGGTTTCCGAACTGGGCCTCGACAAAGAGACGGGTGAGACCCTCACCCACCAATCCAGCAACGTAGTAGCAGTAGAGGTCGTATTCCTCCTTAGTCTTCACACTGGCGTCGTCGTTCTCTGCCTTCACGGCATAGTCAGCCATGCCATTGCCCATCTTTTCGGTGATATCCTTGATGATGGCCTGGTATTCGGGCTTCATGTTCATGAACTCGGTGATGACGTGGTTGAACTGAACCAGCAGCTCGCGGTCTTTCTCCTCCGGTCGGTTTCCGGTGAAAGTCCAGCCATCTTGTGTCAGAATATCCTGGAAGCCACGGAGAAGAGGCTCCTTGGTAGCCAGGGGAATGGAAGTGTCATCCTCGATGGTATCCAGCCCACGAAGGACCAAGTAGAAGATGCAGATGGGGATCAGCAGTTCGGGATGCAGTTCCTTGATAACGGCACTGAAACTGCGGCTGGTCTTGTCCAAGAACTTGAAGCAAATCTTTTGATTCTCGGTCTCGTTCTTCTCGTTGCGTTCATGGGGCGGGTTGTGCCAGACTTTCCTATGTGGCATGGATGATTAACTTCTCACTCTGGAGGCTAGTTCTGCGCATTTCACAACATACCATTGAACAATTGCCCTTAATTGCATAGGGTGGAAGGAGTAGTAGAGAGCATTGCCGATGAGACCCATGATGGGCGGGCAAGATGCGCGTAAGCTGGATGCTCGGGACAATGACAAGGCTATAGCCCAATGTGAAGTGTTCAAGACAAGGCCGAAAGATGACCTAAGATTGAAGCGATTGAAGCCCAGAATCAAGTAAATAACAGAACCTGGGGGAACGGGCGAAATGGGAAAAGGGGAAAAGGCCACAGATTAAAAGCAAAGTTAAATGCCACGTGACCCGTAGCAAACCATGCATACAACCCCACATGATATCAGCGCCAACTTCCGAAAAATATCTGGAGGTTCTGCCTAAACAACACGAGTCCGATCTCTTATTTCTTTGGATCTTGATATTGTTGCACCTCTGTCTTCCATCGACCCTTCTGCTCTCAAGTTAGGCACGGTTACTAAGATGGTTGCTGATACCGCCTACTACGATGCCCTCGGTGTGCCGCCTACCGCCACCGAGCTGGAGATCAAGAAGGCATACCGAAAGCTGGCTATCGTCACTCACCCGGGTATGAAATCCTGTGGAGCTTTGTAACCTCGGCACTATTTTTAATTCGCTATCGCAGACAAGAATCCCGGCGACGAAACTGCACACGAACGCTTCCAAGCGGTATGCTTGCGAAACCCCAGGAATGAGGCGTTGGACATTGCACGGGGCTGATTTCTTGCTCATACAGATCGGCGAAGCCTACCAAGTTCTGAGCAACGAAGATCTCCGAAAGCGCTATGACAAGTTTGGCAAGGAGGAGTCTGTACCTGGTGGCGGTTTTGGTTGGTCTATCACATGCATGCTCATGTCCAACGCAAGGTTTCTGATTAGCTGTACACAGAGGATCCGTCCGAATTCTTTAGCATGATCTTTGGTGGCGAGGCATTCGTCGATCTTATTGGCGAAATTTCACTTATGAAGGACCTGACCGCGACTATGGACATCACCATGCAGGAAATGGAAGAGGAGGAACTGGCCCAATCCGCGGAAGAAAAACTCAACATCCATGACGAGGAAGTGAAAGCTGCCGGTGGTGATGCAGCTACTCCTTCCGATGGCCAAGACCCCACGACCGGCGCTGCACCTGCCACAGCTGCTGCCCCCTCCGAGAAGCCCGCCTCTGGTCGGAGCTCTGGCACCAGTACTCCTCGGCGCAACTTCGGCCAGCAAGCCCTAATGGACAAGTCCGAGGAAGAAGCTCGCATGGAGGCAGCCGGTCTGTCTCAGGAGGAGAAGGAACTGCGCAAGAAGGAAAAGAAGAAGGGTCTGTCCAGGGAGCAACAGGAACGACTTACTGCCTTTGAGGATGAACGCAGAAAGGCCCGCGAAGAACGGGTCAATACTCTGGCAAACAAGCTGATCGATCGTTTGAGCGTTTGGACTGAGACCGACAAGGGCAAGGATGTCTCCCATGCTTTTGAGGAGAAGATTCGACTGGAGGTCGAGAACCTGAAAATGGAGTCCTTCGGTTTGGAAATTCTTCACGCTGTCGGTCAAACCTACGTTCAAAAGGGTACTTCATTCCTCAAGTCACAGAAGTTCCTTGGTATCTCTGGCTTCTTCTCTCGCTTGAAGGACAAGGGCACCCTCGCTAAGGAAACATGGACCACCATTTCCACAGCCATTGATGCTCAGATGACCATGGAGGAGATGGCCAAAATGGAGGAGCGCGGTGGTGAAGACTGGACTGATGAGAAGAAGGCTGAGTACGAGAAGCGGGTTACGGGCAAAATTCTTGCTGCGGCCTGGCGTGGCAGCAAATTCGAGATTCAAAGTGTGCTGCGCGATGTCTGTGATCAAATTCTAAGCGACAAGCGTACCCGACTCGAGAAGCGCGTTGAGCGTGCGCACGCCCTGGTCATTGCCGGCAACATTTATGCGAAGGTATCTACAGTTTTTTCAAATATGTCACCCATCATGCTTACCATTCTCTAGGCGGCACGCGACCCTGAAGAAGAAGGCGATTATATGGCCTTTGAGCAGCTCATGGCTGAGGCCATGAGCAAGAAGGGCAAGGATGAGAAGGACAAGAAGAAGAAAAAGTCCAAGCACGACCACGAGGATACTCACAGCAGAAAGCAGCCCGTGGAAGAAACCACTGTTTAGTGCCTCTTCATCGATCAATTCTTTTCTTTTCTTTTTCGTTCGAGTACCGTCTTAGTACGTGGTCTTTCTTGATAGCCGGCTCATTATATCCTGGACATACATTTTGGGGTTTTTCTCTACCTTTTTACCCTTCCTTGGACTTCACAATTCTCCTTTCTACGGTGGCTGTATGGTTGTATGTTGCAAAGTGCGCACAGTTTGTTTGAGCGATAGAGTGGCCTGTTAACCTCCCGCATGCCCTTTGATTGATTGCAATAGTACGGCAGCAGCTAGGTTCGGGTTGTATGGACATAGATGCTCTGCTTAATCAATCACATAAAAACATATATTGTCGTCACATATTAGTACGGTGGGTGGTATCGATATTCAAAACACAGAAATTCAAAACACACAGAAGATGCAGGCCTTTTCTGCTCATCACAACCATCCCTGCCGCATGGTTAGGCCATGACCTGACAACCACGGAGTGGAAGCTTGGACGCAGGCGCCACCAACTCAACAGGGCTGATCTTGTGCAGGTCTGTGTGACGCTGGCACAAAATATCGTCACCTAGCTCGGCACTGCAGAGGGCTGGAGGGTCGCAAAGGCTAAGGGTTTGGCTGTTCAGCTACTGAGATTTTAGCATCACTCTACAACAACTGTGCGTGCATTATGGAATTCATACTCATTGGCTCACCGTGAGAAGCCCCAGCATTCGCAGCGACTGCTTTCTCCTTCCTGACCGACTGGTATCCAGGCCAGTCAGACACCAGAATACCGCACATGGCAAGAATAGTGAAGACAAGCAGGGCAACAAAAAGTAGCCTACCCAGGCACAGATTAGTTTCCTGTATTACATATCGACCGAAGAATATCCGAGGAACCTACCAAAGAAGTACGGCAAAGGCAATTATGGCACTAAAGTAAGGGTTGATGCTTGTGACACCAGTAAGAATGTTGGCGATGTCAGCGAAGCAGGCCAGCCAGAATACCATGGTGACAAAGTAAATGGCCACGAAGGTAGCAGCAAGGACAGTGTTGAGCTTTGCAGTCATGAAGCCCTTGCGGCTATAGTACCACGGCACTAAGAGGGCGGCAATCGTCACAAGGACAGTCCAACACGAAGAGAAGACAAGGAATATGATGATACCCGGGGGCTTCACTTGAAAGTCCGTGTACGAATAGCCCGAATATGCACTCCAGGTTGCGACTTCTTGCGTGCCGGAATATGCAGAAGTGACATAGGCTGACAGACCCAGCTCGATAAGGGCAAAGGCTAACGATGTGCCCCAAAGGGCATATAGAACAATATTGAGCGCCAGCATGATGGTCTTAGTATGGCAAGTCTGGGAGAGTCTGCAAGCCTAAGAGTATCAACTGCGAAGGAAAAAGAAAAGAAAAATGCGAGAGAACCTCCAGGGGCAGAATCCCTTGCACTTTATCTCTTCCACGTGCAGCTGGTGAAGCTCGTAAATTGAAAACATAGACGATTCATTTTGTTTGGAGCCCTGCGCCACCAGAAAGTGTGAACTCCAATTGTTCGTGTCCGATACGAGCAGCCACATCGACATGGCGCTCAAGTTGACCTAAATTGGTATAAGGTAAGCGAAGGAGGTGTTTCTGGCGCATGTTTTCAGTGCCAGTGTTTGACTAGGGGGTGAAAAGGTATAACAAGGTATGAAAGAGGGCTGCAAAGTGTTGTTGTGGTCTGCATATGCCAAGATGTGACAAGTCAGGGTGCTCGTTTAGGGTTGGCCAGCCTTTGGAGTCTTTCTTTGATGCCTATCACCAGGGTTATACGAGAATCCTGAATTTTGCTGCTGATTTTCAACTGTCCATCCGAGGGGATCGGCGTACCTATTCGCCGGTGTCGTATTTTCGACCCTTATGGCCGTAGTATGGTGATTGTATTGATCGACACTGCCAATATCTAAGTGGAGATGACATGTGCCTCGTTGATATCCCGTCGATCGCGAAATCCTCCGAGGTCTCCGATATACTGACCTTTGGGCCTGACGGGGTAAGTGGCTCAAAGGACTTGGGCGTCCTTCACAGGGACAGGCATTTCCCCACATGGGGTGGCTGCTGAGATCCCGAGACCATAGTTGAGTACCATGATCATCTCACGTTGGGCTCTGTACGATACAGCGTCATAACGATCCTGAGATGACATCGGTGATAACGGGGAAATGAAATGGGATTCCACCGACGGAAGAGACCAACCGCCTTTTCCCCCGCAGGTGATACGCCTTCTATAGCACGGTGACTCCCTCAACTTGTTTCAGCGACTCAATCCCGTGCCAACAGAGCTTCCATATGGTGGTTCTTTGCACTTCTACTATGACCTTACTGGCCATGGTGGGTGGCGCCGCTGCAATGACCTCAAGCTCTTCGCCTGCGGCCGGTCCCACCGGTCTTTCATACCCATCTGGCTTTGATACGAAGACAAGTTAGGCAAATCTCAGCCCCTACGTTGATGTATTAAGCTTCAATCTCTCAGAGAGGTTGCCGTCAGAGTGCGAACTATCGCAAGTGCATGTGCTTCACCGACATGCGCCGCGGTATCCGACACAGTGGCCCCTCGATCGGAAACGCATGGAGAATTTCGCGCAGAAATTGGTCAATTATAGCAAAAGGCGCAAACGAGAAGATGGCTTTTGATGCTCTGGCTTTCTTGAATGTGTATAATAACAGCACCTCGCGCCCGAAGCCGACTTTCCACACAACCTCCTAACCCCGAACATGAGAAAGTGCTCGCTAGTGGCTAAGTGGTTTCTTTGGAAACAGGACAGCAAACAGCTCAGAGTTGGGGTACAATCTGACTACTATCCCCGAGATTGAAGATTTTAACAACACTTTGTCGTCGACTGATTCCTGACCCAATGGCCTGGAGCCGGGCGACGACGCTGCCCGGGTACGGAGTATTCGCCTCGTCTTTTGCTAAGAATGCCCAAAAGCCTTTGCTGCGTATCTTCGCGGTGATTTGACCCTGAATACCCTCGACATCCTTGTCCTATTCAATATGTGCCCCTACGAGTATGCGACTCTGCGCCAATCCCCTTTCTGTGCATTATTCACAGTGATAGCAGCATCAGCTAAACCTACGACGGCAACACCAATATTTTCCCAATCGACCAGCCACTGTATATGGACATATCCCACGACGAACAGCATTGTGTGTGTTCTAGCTGCTCTAGGGTTAGATTATTTGAAGACCTACAGGTGCAAAAATAAAAGAATCCAGATCTATCACCCAAGTCCGATACCAACGACTACATCCGGTTTGTGCTGAACAATGCACCTGTGCCTCTGGATGGTCAACAGGTGTGCGATGGCTCGCTGAATGGGTTCTGCAGGGTCGATACACTCCTCAGGGCAATTCTCAGTCTCAGCAAAAAGAACTATGTATCAAGAGGCTTGCGTTGGTGACTATAACATCACTACGCAGGTTGGCAATGGGCAGCCAAGAAAGCCTGGATCGGCGGACGCTCGGGATCTGAAAGCACATTTTCTCAGAGACTCTGTTGGGGATGCTTCCATCACTGGTACTCACATTACATTGTCTCATAAATGGGCCTCAGTAAAATGGACCAACTCCGTGTACTATCAGGCGATTGACGCCCACGTATAACTAGCTAGGTACGTGGAAAGAGGACAGCTTCGACGTAGATACTAAGCGACAAGTACAAGCGAGAGAAGTAGTCAACGTATATGCGCAGATCAATGAAATGCGAAAGGATGGGGAAACGATCTGGTAGTCTAAGAAGCTGCTCATGGCCTCGCCTGGACTGTAGGCACATGTACGGAGTAGATTGGAGAGACTTGGCATGTCATCTGGGACTATGTATATGCACAACCCACCAGCTCTCTTCAAAGATATCGTATGATGTCGGTTCTGTCTCCTCCGGCCGAGAGACCGAGTCTGATGTCGATCGTGCTGGTCGATGAATTTCTGATTGGAGCCCGACTTGTCCAAGACACCGGAAGAGGGGCCTGCAGCATCGAATGATTCGGAAATTGCAAACCTTGGCCACATGTTAGATGTCGCCTCCTCGATCGTTCAGTGTACTATCCTCCTATATCTGAGGGGTGTGGAGGATGTACTCTCGTATGCAGCAAAGTGTGCACTCACCCCCGCGCTGGATGATCACCTCCTCGGTCCGCACCTGTTGACATGCTCGTCATTCCCATTCACTGTGAGCATTGGGGATATATGCAGATAGCTGTGCAAGCCTCTAGATCCGTTTAGATATACAGAATTATATAAAAGATAGGACTGGTAGGGGATTTCCAAAATATATTTCCTCATACTCGCAACAACAAACCGAATAGCGATAGAGATGACTTCGCTTCTCACGCCCCACAATATAAGGGATGCTCCGCTATTTCATGCTTTAGTAGAAGCCTCACTATATCAGCGGATACTATGGGTACTGCTAGGGTTGGCGACATATCTCGCCCTGGTATCCTCCCTGCGTTTCCAGCGACGCCAGGCACTCCACCGGAAGTATAGCTACTATGCAACCAGACAATCCATGCAGAGCATGACCGATCAAGATGCCTGGGCCATCCAAAAGTCCATCATGCAGGCTGAGTTTCCATTTATCGTCATCAAGTCGCTGCAGTTTGCCCTGTTCCGAGTATGGATTACGACAAACCAGTTCGAATATCTTGTGCTGAAGCTGATCGAGGTAGACATACGGCATCCCAACCATATCCACCTTACTTTTGAAGACCTCTCAGTTCTCTGACTCGGCAACTTCATTCAAACGATACGCCGACACCGGGACCCTGATCGGCGAGTTCATGGCGTTCGATCCACGCTCCGAGCGAGCGCAAACCGCAATCGCCCGAACCAAATTCCTGCATAAAGGCTATCGAGCCAGTGGCAAGATCCTCGAAGCTGACATGCTATATACACTAAGCCTGTTTGCTCTTGAGCCAATCCGGTTTGTTAAACAATTCGAGTGGCGCGAGATGACCCAGATGGAACGATGCGCCGTCGGCACGTACTGGAAGAGCCTTGGCGATGCGCTAGGGATCAGCTATGAAACACTGCCCTCTGGCAAAATTGGCTTCCAAGACGGCTTGCAATGGTTGGAGGAAATCGGGGCGTGGAGTGATCGGTATGAAATCCAATACATGAAGCCACACCCTCGTAACGGGGAGATCGCGGCCAAGACAATCGATGTGCTGGTGTACAATCTCCCGGGCTTCATGAAGCCACTGGGGGAATATTTTGTGTCGTATATGATGGGGGATCGTCTACGAGCAGCAATGATGTGATACCATTCCACCTGTCAACATCCATGCAGCAACTAACGACTTTTGCCATCTAGGATGGAACAGCCGCCAGCCTTGTTCCGCGGCTTATTCGCCTTCAGCTTCAAGTCGCGCCGATTGTACCTGCGATATCTTGCTCTTCCACGTCCGAACTTCATGCGCCTGGATGTATTCAGCGAGAAACCAAATGCGTATGGCCGTAACTGGCTGCTGATATATGAGGGAGCCCCGTTCTATGTGCAGCCCACAATTTGGAACCGCTGGGGGCCTGTGGCGTGGTTCAAGTGGGCGTTAGGACAGCCTTTGCCCGGTGATGATGGTGACAAGTATTACCCAAAGGGCTATCATACCCATGATCTGGGACCAAAGTATTTCGAAGGAAAGGGATGGAAAGAAGTGGAGCTTATGAAGGAGACTCTTCGACAGCAGCGGATGGGCCAGTGTCCATTTCCGTGAAGTGGAAATGCCAATATGGACCCTTCTGGATAATCTCCGTCCGTATTCCAGACTGTGAAATCACGAGGTTTGGCCTTTAATTTCTAGAAGAGTCAATAAGTTATGAGATAACGAAGAACGAAATGTGAAAGCCAACATAAACCAGAAATCTATCATTACCAAGCGTTTAGGTCAACATATACCCATCCAGACAACAAAATATGTAAACACAGACAATAATTGCACATCGGGTATCTTTCAAAATAGCCAGGGAAAAGGGTTTGCGATGATTTGATCAGGGGTCTATCATTCCGAGGTTGACCATCCTGTCTGGTGTATATTGCGAACGCAAACCAAAAAAACGGCAAAGAAGAAAAAGAGTCCAGGATTCCATGGTACAAGTCGCTAAGCTCAAAAGAGTGAAAGAATAGCCTGTATCAAGCGAAGAAATAGAAGGCATCAAAAAGGGGTATTGTGCAGATAGTATGAGCAATGGAAGAAAATGGATCGCCCCACCGGGAGACGAGGGCCAGACAAAAAATGACAAAGGTCATGTAGTGAGATCGGGGGACAGAAAGGGTTCAGTATAGATTCCAAGAGATGGCGATTCGACAAATGATACTTCGGGAGAGGAGGGTTGCACGGGAGAAAGGAGGGCATTGTATTCGGTCGAAGGGCTCAAAAGACCACGACGACTCTCGCCAATTTCGCCTAGTTCTTCGGGTGCTAGCACTCGGCCTCCTAGCTCAATGTCCTGGACATGGACGCTATACTCAAGGGCTCTTTGTCCTTCCCTGATGAGTTCTTCGGTCCAGCCTAGACACCGTTTGAGACTCTGGTTCATCTTCTGGCTGTCCCCCAGTACCTCTTGATGTCGCGCCAGGTCCAGCATAACACGTTTCTCATCATTGACGAGGTGTTTGGCGTCATGCTCGGCTAGCGAACCTGGACTCATGATACTCTCATCCACAATTGAATCCTCATCGCTGACGTCGGACGTGTCTTCACGTGACCGGGTGGACAACTCGCTTTCGCCTTCACCCTGTTCACTGGTGGTTGATAGTGCCACTCCAGAGAATGAACGGCCGGATGGTGCCATGGATATCCGCCCCGAGCGGCTCAACCGCCGGAAACGCCGGAGCTCCGCTTTCTGCTGCCGCATCTCGCGTTCCAGCGTGCGGTTTATGGCGAGCAGTGAAGAGTTACTGATTTCCAAATCCATGATTTTGCGTTCGGTGCGCGCATTGAGAGCTGCCTCGCTCGGGGCGTCGGACTTCCCGGGACTGAGCGGCGCAGGAGGGTATGTATCGGTTGAGATGCTGGAGCCATTGCTGAAGATGCGAGGACGAAGGGTGGGAATGTGCTCTGACATCATGGGTGCCATCCCATCATCATAATCGCTCCCGGACAAAATGACCGGGCTTGCCCCTAGGCCATCGTATGAGTGGATTCTATAGCGGGACGAGTCAACACTCGAGGACTTCGTATGTCGGATCGGTGGAGAGAATGGTTTCTCGCCAATTGTACTGGATGGTGGTGAGCTAAGACGCGGAAGTATCTCCAATCCATTATCGGTGTTCGAGACAAAGGGGAGTCTCGCATCTTCCGGGGTAGGTAAAGGGGCGGCTGAAAGCATGGGAGAACTCAAGCGCGAGGCCGGAGAAGGCGTTGGTTTACTGGCAGGCGGGGGGCGGGGAAGACCTCCCGATCGACGTTTGGCAGAAGTGGACGTGGCACCGGACTGTTCTCCTAGAGTCTTTAGCTCTTGATCTCCATTCGCATAAATGAAGCTCGAGGCCGGGGACGTCTTCCCCAAAGGTCTCGGCCGAGGTGGATCTGGCGGCTCCAAAGGATGTGCTGATCGCGCATCGGATGCATGGAAGAACAGAGGAGTTCCCGATGTAACCTCTGAGACAGAACTAGGACGCGATATGGATTGGCTCTCCAGGACGGACTTGGCTTTCAAGCTTCGGGATTGTTCCGGCTTGACCCCGCGAGCCGGGCTGCGGTCTCGACGCCCGTAGCCGAGTGTTGACTGCGAGTATGGAGTATGCGGAGAGGGGGCAGGAGGTGTATTGGTCGGAGAGTATACAGCGCCATCTCGCCGGGTGGTTCTGGGACCAGACCGTGGAGTGACATTGGCGCTTAGAAAGGTCGGAACGGCGGGGGGTCGTCTTTGGAGGGGGTGGAATAGGGGTGGTCAGGTTGTGCTAGGCGGCGGGCAGGATATCCAGAGCCTGGATTTGCGAGCTTTGGGGTCAAAGGAGCCTTGTTGCTCCGGTGAAAAGCAGCGCTGAGGGTGGGTGTGAACGGTTTGGCGAGATTGCCATTGTTTTGTTTATCGTAGGTCATAGTTGCGGGGGGTGCAAGTTATGGCATTGCAAGGTCCCACAGGACATGGACATGACGGCACCGGCCACGAATAATCACCTGTGGAGTTTTGCTTTTCAACAGGGATTTTATGGCCTGACAGGAGGGAAATGCGAGAAAGTCGAGGAGAAACCCGAGTGACGAAAACATTGCCACCCGATTGGGTTTAGGGCGCCGCTTCACCGCAACGTGGAATTCCTTACTTCAACGATCAAGGGACTCCAGGTATTGAGCTGCACGAGATCATTCCTAGCGGATGCGAGTTGTATTACTGCTTGGCTTTCGTTCTACACCAGTGCCCAACGCATTGCCAGTATGGACATCCTTCATCCAACTCGCCCCTTGGGTGTCCCGGCTCTCTCCCGAATCTGGCGGCTGTCAAGTGGAGACTTGAAACACGGTGAGCCTGCAATAAACCAATAATTGCTGCACTCCGCACGAGCATCGAGCTTGTAAATAGCAGAAACCCGGTGGTCTCCTGTTGGCGTCATGGTACTTGCCTGGAACCAGCGGGTTTCATCAGTGGAACTGGGCTTCTGGACTTTTTCAAAGGTCAAGCTGGGTCGTCGAAGATCTCTAGAAGGAATATCACTGAAAAAAGAGCCGCTTTTGTTTTGGGTCCGTTTCAGAAACGCCAGGCTGGGATGGTGTTTTCCTTTTTCTGGTACTATGGGGTATCAAGGATGTTGTTTCTGAGGTGTCCTGCACCACTTCCCGGATTGTTTGCTTAGAGAGACAGAAGTCCACATGGACATTGAATGTTCGGTCGTCGGCAGGCTGTGGCCGTGTGCATATGGGACAATCCCACATAGGAGGTTCTGAAACTACCTCTGGAGCCGCGGAGGCCGCTGGCTTGCGAACCACAGAAGACTCGAGTGTTTCTTGACTCAACTGCTCTAAATCGTTCATTTCGTCTTGGACTTCTTGGCGGGCCGCGGCCTCAAAAGCCTCCTCCGCACAAATCTCGTGATCGGCATTTCCACCCGAAGCCGTTGTAGGAGTGGATTGAGAGGTAGGCTCAGGCGCGGGTTTAAGTTGGTTCGCTACGCCGAAAAAATTGATGCCGACTTTCTGGGTGCTAACCAGATTCGAGCAACGCAGCCCAAGAAGCCGTAGCTTCATGTTTGGAATATCCTTCTCGAGCTTTACAAGCATTGGTAAAGCAAAGGAGTACAAGTCCTTTGCTAGACAGACAGCTCGGGATGGAACTGTCTGGCGACTTAACACTTCGAAGGTATGTAGTTTAACTTTTAGGGCAAGAGTGCGGCCTTTGAACTGGGTCCGAGCTAGGTCCTTTTCAAGTTCCTGCGACGCCCACCAGAGTTTTGCTCGAAGTTCCTCTTTGTCTCCAATTTCATGAAACGTAGTCTCCGTACTCACGCTTTTGCGTTCATGCGTCTCAATGGGCTCGATCTTCGTGCGTCCAAGCCCAAGATAGCACTGTGCCAGGAACTGGAAAGCTTTCTCGCCAAAGAGCTTGGTCAACAAAGCACGATGTGGGTAAATATCACCACACGTCTTCACGCCTATTGATTCTAACTCCCGCTCGAATACCCGGCCAACCCCATTGACTTTGCGGACCGGGAGGTCACGCATGAATTCCATGATAGCCTGGCGATCATTGGGGACTTGAAACTGCCCATTCGGCTTGTTGAGATTTGAGGAAATCTTTGCGATTTTTGCATTGGCAGCAATTCCGGCGGAAACGGAAACCTTGGTTGTTTCCAATATCTCCGCACGCATCCGCTGCACAGCTTGCTCGGGCTCTAACTGATTTTCGTCGCAATATGCTGTGATGTTCAAATAGGCTTCATCAATACTCGCACTCTCGAAGAGAGGGTCGTATTCAGCCATGATAGCCCTGATTTCCTTGGCCTTGGCGGTGTATTTTTCGTAGTTCTGCGGTATGAGCACGAGTTGTGGGCAGAGCCTTTTCGCGACGAACGAAGCCATGCCACTCCTCACTCCAAACTTCCTCGCCAGGTAGTTGCAGGTTGTCAAAACGCCCTTGCCCACCGCCATAGGCACTGTCTTTAACTCAGGTCGATCCAGTTCCTCGACGGCGGCGAAGAATGCGTCACAGTCCACATGGATGACATGTTGAGAGAGATCCCGGCTCAGTTCAAGCTCAGCAAGGTATTCATCTGCACGTCGTAGTTCATGACTCAGGTCTAATCGTTCCAACCGTGCCTTTTCTTTTAAGATTCGCTCGATCTTGAGCGTTAGATTCCGATCTCGATCTTGTTCACGATTAAAGAACTTAGAGCCCTTTGACGCGTTGTAGATAATTTCCGATACCTAGGAACTCAATCTTAGCTATAATCCCATACATCGTATAAATGCAATAACCACAAGCACACCTTTTGTTGATCAACTGAGTCCTGGCCCGCTTTTGTCAGAGATGGACCGAGTAACTGGTACTTCAGAGTCCCAGAATCCTCATCAGAAGCCGGCTGAGGCCGTGGACTACCAGGCTTCTCGCCCGATGACTCCATGTTTTCAACGTTCCATCGATGGCCGATGAATGACGAGGCGAGGCCGCGGAATCAATTTGACGCGGAGTCACGTGGATACGCGTTTCAATTTGCGCGCTGATGCCTAAGCTGGTCTTCACATACAACATAAGGCTATCGGAACACATCCCCGGCATGCGGGCTCGTCGTCATGTGGATTCTTGATTCGACTGGTGACTTTCTGGAAGGTGAGATACTTGGATTTGATATTGTTTCGTTGCTAACATATCATAGGGAAGCGCGTATGGCTGCGCCCCGGAAAGAAGTATCTATTCGGTCGGTTCCATAGAGATGGAGGTATGGTCCTTTCATTATCGGAGGTTAGGCAATTAGGCTCATTTCTGACTCCTAGTGCGCCATGCTGTGAACCACAACTCGATATCCCGCAAGCATATGACCATTGAAATCTCGCCGGTCAACCCGAGAGATGGAGTACAGTTAGCCCCGCGGTGATAAGTGTTCTTTGACTGATTGAAGACAGTTATCACCACGAGCGCGATCCAATATCACAATAACCGACCTAGAATCGAAGAAAGGAACAATTGTCGACGGAACAAAAGTTCAAGGAGAACACACGTTAGAGAAGAGCGATGAGCACATCATCCAGCTGGCCAAATACCAGCATGCGCTCCGGTGCGTATCCCCACCTTATCGTGACTGAAACTCCGGTTGATTATATTGTTAGGATCAAATGGGAACCAGTGGTACTGAGCCTATCGACCTCCTCCAAGGAGGTACGAGGTGAGGATCCTCTGGCCCATGTTCGCTCGCGTCTCGAGGATCTCGATATCAAAACTGTGATGGATTACATCGTCGACCAAACCACACACGTGGTACAGCGCAAACGCAATACCGCCAAGGGTCTTCAAGCCCTCGTAAATGGGAAATACATAGTAAATGACTCGTATATCGATGCACTCGTCTATGCGGCTACCCCCAGCGATCTTGAGAATATCGAGTCACTCTCTCCTCTTGAAATCGACTTCGAATCAGCATGGCCCAATCCAAATGACCATCTACCTCCCCCGGGAAAGAACCTACCCAACGTCCTGGCGCTGCCTTCGCTCCAAATCCGGCACGCCTCAACGTGTTCGAAGGATATACGTTTGTTTTCGGTGATCCAGCCCAATTTGAAAATTTACAGGGTCCCATCAACAATGGCCAAGGAAAGGCGATTTTCTACGAGGTTGAAGACGGGATCACAACCGCTGCAGACATCGTGCGCTTCATGAAGAAAGCAGCGGGGCGACAAGGCATGGGCAGCGAGCGGCAGGGCCCTGGTGGTGTTGTTCTGGTTCGTTTCCGGTCAAAAGGCGAGTTTGAGCCATGGTCGATTGAAATCAGCAATGAAGTTGCCCTGATGATGGACCAGCGCGTGATAGAACAGCGAGAATTTCTTGATGCTATCCTGGGGAACGATGCATCACCTCTCTGTCGCGCCTTGCCCACAGATGAAAATTCTAGTCAGGTTTCTGCATCTACACCAGCGACAGAAACTGCGCAAATGAGCAAACGAGAAGATCCTGCTGCGTCCGCATCAGTATTGGCCGTTGATTCAGAGCCTAGCCAGCCTTCGAGAGTCCGAGCCAAAACTCCCCGTGTACGTGCCTATGTCAGCAAAATGAAGACGTTCGATGATGGGTTCGACATGGAATCAGTCCCAATGTATACACCGGAAGATGAGGCCAGCGCCAATATCGACTCCACTCAGACCCTGAATAATGATACCCAGCCGGTCTCCCAGCCGTCGCAGCCCCTGAGCACAGCGAAGGAAGAGCCCGACGACGATGCGGTGTCAGACCTGCTCCCTGGCGCCCGTGCAATGAAGCGCCGTCGTGCAGAGATGACCCACCGTCACCCACAGAGTATAGCCATAGCCCCGGCCTCCGAGTCCCCGAAACGGAAGCGACCCAAACTCGACGTGCTCGAAGCCGCACGCAGGCATCGGGAAGATGAAGAGCTTCAACGCAAGGCCGAAGAAGATTCGCATCCCGCCGACATGGGCGATGTGGATGTGGAGCAGCTGAAAAATCTGGTCATTGTAGAAGAAATGGAGATTCCCGTCCGAAATGCACCAGCGCGCATGGATGAAAGCTCGGACCGATGGGACGAGCGATGGAATGGGCGCAAAAACTTCAAGAAATTCCGACGAAAGGGTGAGCCGCGGAGCCGAGCTCGTGTCCAAACGGTGATTGTTCCTCTTGAGGAAGTCACACGCAAAGACTATGGGATCGGTGATCACTATTGGAGCAGCAATGCCCCCGAGACGAACTCTGGAGTCTCACATCAAGATCCTGGCTCCGCGCAGGACACACAGGCTACCCGCGACGAATGCGATGAAGTTGCTCCCTCGCGGTCCGAGCTGTCCGCTCCTGCACGTACCTCTCCTGAACCCACTCTAGACTCAACACCGGCTCGGCGCCCGAAGAGGGCTCGCGAGGAGCGTGATTCAGACAGTGACGACGGCCTTCGTTTCCGCTTCCGGCGCAAGCGGTAGCTTGCTTCAATTTTTCTGTATTGCAATGATTTTGTCCTCTTCTGCATTGATACCCTCCATATTCCACATCCATGCCTTCGACCTCCATACCTATGAGAACAAATATCATGATGTCCTGCCCAACCCCCAGTAGCTCTTGTATCTGTAGCAATCTTCTCCTAATTGGCGAGCAGGACATACGCAAGGTCAACTTTACATGGCTGCTCTATATGCAGTCCATCCAACTGATCCACTGCATCGGCACTGTCACGACGCACGTATGTGATCTAGTTTTCAAATAAAATATGCCAATCAGCACCTTGCTGCTTCTTTCTACTATTACCGCTGCCAGTTCGTCCTTGGTTTTGGTCCAAAATTGCGATCTCTGCGCGATATCAAGTACGCTCTCCGGCGACCATCGTAAAGTTCGTGTTGCGCAGCGTCTCCACTCTCTACATCATTCAACACCCACCACATCGTCGGCTTTTGCGTTGATTGCATCTACTTCTTTGATAGTTTGCTTCATTTGATTTCTCCGGCCTGTTTCTGTCTCTACCTATCCCCTTTCTTTCATCTTTTCTTTCGCCATCATAATCTCATCTTTTCCCAATCTTCTGGCTCCGAACTAAGCGCTGCCCAACAGCCCAATCGGTAATGAGAAAGGTCTCCCTGTCAATACCTGTCTCTATTCACGTGGAGGACGTGAGCCAGATTCCCCGTTTGTAGGATCTGCGGCCGATTCCGACCCGATGCGGGTTTGACACCGGGAAATCACACGATCTGTGAGTATGCACGGCCGGGCGTAACCTGTTTGCTTGATACTGACGTGACAGACTCTTTATATCACCAATCCTGACCTGGAGAGTACTCGCATCAATGGCAAACTCATCCGATCATCTCCCATCCTCATTCTCCACCATGATCTCCGCCATTCCCCCTTCCCGGTCAGTGTCCGCCAATTCATTGGCCACTCTGCCCACTGCCCCCCTGCAAGCCCGGGGAAATCAGCCCGCAGCACGAGTGCAAAATTCCCGTGTCGGGATGTTTGTGAGGACCGCACCTCCATTCCCGCGGGCCAATCTGATCCCCCCGCAGCTCCCCCCGCATCTACTATTCCTGTGCCAGGCAGAGCTGAACTCCAGTTTGTGAGTCTCCCAGCGGAAGTTCATGAGGTTGTTCTTGACTATATCTTTGGCAAGAGAGCCGCAACAAATCCTGGCAAGTTTCCCGCTCAGAACTGGAGCAAGGCGCTCCGTCATCCCCGGCGGAAGGCCCTCTCAAACCTAGCCTTGGTCTGCCGGTTGTGGACTGACCTCGTTCGGAGTAGAATTTACCGGCACAGTGAGTTGAAACTGATCATCAAACTGAGTTGAATCTGATCTGTTTGCTAACTGAATTCTTACTTAGTCAAGGTCAAGGGCACGTGGGAGGAGTTGGCGGGCTGTGTCGAGTGGTTCAATAATCACCGGCATTTGATACCTCTGGTCCGTCACGTTGAGATATGGATCCCTGTCTGGGGCGACCGCGCGGTTCACCTTCCTCCCGGCGTGGACGCGGAGCGAAATCCAGTTCTAGCAGCTGCATCACTTCTTGCTCCGAATCTGGGCCACGGCATTCAGTACCATCGGGCCAATAAGAATGCTACCTTGGAAGATATCTTTGAGGTTCTTCGGCGATCTTTCTCCGCTGCCCGAGTTCTCACGCTGGAAGGTGGCCACTGTAAGAACTCACCTATGGTCCGGCATTTCCGCCCTGATCTCCTCTCCGATCCCATCTGGTCCTCTCGCCGAAGCCTACCTGCTCTTGAAAATATCCAGACTCTTGTTATGCGTGGCTCCTGGAATCTGATACGAGATTTTGAATCCTGGCGAAATATAGTGCAGGCACTGCCAGCCCTGAGAGAATGGCATTGTGCTTACGCCTCACCCCATTTAGGTGCGTACTTCAGCATGATGCACGTTCTGATGCAGCCCTTGTCGCCGATTCAACACTTCAATCTTAGCTTGGATGGGTATCACAACAGCAATGATCGCTTCCTTCGCGAACTCTATATGATCTCAGGCAACTTCTTATTAGTCTGTAGAATCGTTGCAGAGGCAGCTCCACTATTGGAGTCATTTTCCTTCACTGGTCGAGTGTGCTGGTATTTCTTTGAAGCGATGAAGCAACAGGCAGCCAGGCTTGGCTCTCAATGTCGTCTCAGATCACTGGATATTGTTGTCAAGGGGTGCTGTCGCAAGCCAGAAACCAGACCAAATGGAACACAGGCAGGTCCGGAGTTATCAGGGATCAATCACATGGATTTTGTCCTAGCCTTTGAAGCCTTGATAATTAAGGCAATTGAGTGTCTGGCCGTGCTGCCTACTTTGAAAGACGTGCGAATTCGCTATGTCGACCTCGAGTCCACCTGCCCGGCTCTCAATCCTTACTTCCAGCTCATCAACAACGAGTGCACTGGTCTCTGGAGCCCTGAGATACTGGAGGCTCTACGCAATAGCCGACCATCTGCAAGTTTTGTTGAACTTGAGGATGGCCTTACTGTACAATGTGATGAGAACCAACAGATTGTCGGTGCTGTGATGCCTCGTGTTCGTCCTCGCAGCATCCAGGTATGCATGTACACCCTCATTGCCACCGGCGTGAACCCTTAGGCTGCTCATGCCGGGTTGTCGAGGATTGCTTCTTTTTTCACCGTGAGCGTTTCGTCCTGTTTTCAGTATTTTCCGTCGTTTAGCCTGATACCCATTCTTGCGACAAACCTAGCGGATTTTAACACGCTTCTCGATTGCCATTTGATATCGACTTTTTATTTGTTTGATGATATATCATTGTGGAGAGATATGATTTATTATGTGCTCCTCGAGTGCATGATGGGTTTGTTGCTCCCTGGTGCAATGTGTTAGAGTAGGCAGTCGTTGTTTGACCCACCAGAAACGTTGCTAGTGATATGTATTTAGAGTGAATCCGATTTTGATTTGATTTGATATTTCTTTTTGCTTCTCATCTAGAATTTAGAACCCGTAACTATACATTCAAATCGGATACATTCAGTAGCCATGCTATTTCAGTGCAATTTGCGGCTTTGCAATTTCATCCGCGATCTCGCCGGCACCTTCGCCTCCATCCTGAACGATGATGCCCAAAATCCAGACATTCACAGCAAAGAAGAATAGCCCCGCAAGGAACAGCCCGGGAACGAAGGAAGATAATCCTAGGAACTCAAGGTTGTAGCCTTGGTGCAGCCAGAGAGCCTAGATTTTTTGTCAGATTTTTAAGCGCTAGTGAAGCTATCGATTGCATCAGAGGAGTCAATCAATACATACCTGTCCAGCAATCCACAGAATAGCCGCTGAGATGCCCACCGTCGGCTTGCGGATGAGCGATGAAGAGGGAAGATAGAATGGAAGTAGAATCAGATACCACAGGAAATACTGGACGGCGTGAGCATATAACAAGACTGTCCGGAAGAAAAGTCACATACCTGACTTGTACAGACTTTGTTGAACGTGACAAATGTGAAAGTTTGCGCGAGCATGGCAGTAGTTAAGCTCTTTTTCGCCAAAGCGAGGGGCAAAGCAACAACCACGAGGATCAGCTGCGGAAGGAACGCCAGGGCCTCGAAGCGAGTTTCGGCACCACCGGCGGCAGACAGATACAGTAGAGTGCTGTAAGGAGAGAAATTGTGACGGTGGTCGATTCGAGTCAGATGGTGGAAGAAAGTGTGTTGGAGGAACGGTTGACCGTACTGCAGATACATGACGAGATTCAAACCCACGAAGCTGGCCAGCGCAGCAAGAGTAAGCTTCACTCGAGACGGAGTAATGAAGGCCAAAGCCTTTGACAGCAGGCCCGATGGAGCAGCCGCAGACCCATCGCGTTCGGCATCCCACCACCAGAGAATAGAGATGCCATATATGAACGGGTAAATTTTGAAATGCACGGCAAGTCCTAAGATAAGACCAGCCAGAACAGGCTTCTTCGTCAAAGTTGCCCACAGGAGTGCTGCAACAAGCACACCGAGTAGTCCTTCCGAGCTACCACGGGTACTGATATTGGCAACCATAGGATTCCACAGCCAAACCGCGGCAACATAACGCAACGCGCGCTCAACAGGGAAGCGATAACAGCGCACAAGAAGCTGCACAACAAGCCATCCAGCAAGGACATCGGATAAAGCAAACAATGCCTTGCCAAATGCGAAGGCCAGTGTTGACCAAGGCGCAGGACCTTCCCATGCAGTGGGGAGGAGCATCCACGCCAAAAGCGGCGTGTACCGGTAAGTATCACGAGCATAGGGCGACTCGCCCTTTGCAACGTAGCGTGCAGCATCGGTGAACACCATGTAGTCAATGTCGGTATATTTCATGACAGAGTGGGCATCCTGCCACCCTCCGTAGACCAGGAGAATGAGCCTAAGCGCGGCTGCGGCAATAAAGACTCGCGCTGGGGAGCCGAAGAGAGCCATTTCTTTCTAATTGGCCCTGCTTCTGGTAATTGTAAACGATGGATTAAAGATGACTAGATTGCCTTCGGCTAACTCGCATGATTGGTTTTGGTAAAGCCCTGAATGTATGTTGTGGCAGACTTGAGAACCCAACAAATCCTCTTCGGTGTAATATCTGTAGAGACTGTAGGTGCAAATTGATTCAATTCATCTCCATCCCATGCAATCTGTGGCTAAGTCATTCGCTGGATGTCTGGAACTTGCGTTCCCCCTTGACCCCGTGACCCCGCGGCGGATGGGCTGACTCAGCATGGTCCGTGCCCGTTCCCTGACGCCCGGTTGCCTAATTGGGTTCGGGAAATATATCCTCCGGTAGCTATTGCATTGGAAAACCGGCTTTATTTTCTGGCTCATCGACTATCTTGATCAGTTGGTGGCGGTCCAGACTACTTCTAGAGGATGCAACCCCACTCGTCTGATTTCTCTTTTTCTTCAATGACTGAGTAGCGGGGCAGACGATGTATAAGAACTGCGCATATGGAGTACGGAGGTAAGCTCTGCTCACCCAAAACCATGTACAATAACCGACAAGAATAGGTATTAAATAGCATCGTACTCCACCCAAAATCCTCCTCGAATAGGAATCTCCTATCATGCGTCTAACCCCACATGGTTCGGAACTAAGGCGAATGCCCAGGTGCCCAACAAAACTCAAATCCCCAGAGCGCAAAGTCCGGGGAAATGCGGGGGAGGCACATCCTCGATCCGCGGGAATTCGATCTAACCGATGTCTTCCAGATCCAAATGCCCAAGCCAAGTTCGATGTGATGTCATGCTCCTCGATCAACCACTCAGTACTCCGTACCAGTCACAACATCGATGCAGCCAACTCAGATGGTTCCCTTAATGCAAGCCACGAGAGGGGTTGAATTATTCGTGAATCCCCTGAGAGGTTCTTCCGAGGGTCTAGGCACCTTGGTTTCCGATAGCAATGCCGGAACGAAGTCCTTGTGGAAAATAAAAGATAGAGGGAGAGAGAAACTCCTTGAAGCCGGAACGTTTCATACCATTTGATACATTTGCATCCCGATCCATGTCTTGAGGCTTCGGCCATCACGCACGGTCTATATGACTAGGGAATGATACTATCTATCTCTGAGCGAGTGAGAATTTTGAAGAGAACTCAAACCCAAGTTCGACTGTGTTATAATCCGAGGAACATGGTCAATGGCTCTATTACGACCTGACCTCACTGTCACTAACTACACCGATAGCATCAAGCAAACAGGTTTATTAACAGACGGCCCGTGAAGTGCGAGATATAAGCACAACCCCTGCCAAGTCTGGGAAATTATCACTCGGGCCTGTGTCACTTTCAAGGTCAACTTGTGGACTTGTCGTGTAAGACGCCATCGTTCACTTTTGGAATTCGACTACCCAAATCAAGGCCACTGGCTTTGATAGGCCAGATGCTATCCGAGGATGAGAGCCGAAAGATCCGACAACCGAGAGAAAGTATAGAATTCAAACATGGCTAGTCTCGCCAATCAACCAGTTCAGTCCGCTGGAAACCACTCCCTGATTCGTTGATGCTGTCCATGTAAGAGAGAACATCACAGCAATGGATGACGATCCCCCACAAAAGGAACGAAGCTCCAGAATATAAACTTCATCGGCTCTTTTGATCCTCGGTATCTTTCATAGACATATGACAGCTGCATGGATCATGGCGTCGGACTATATAGATAGGGCTCTCTGCGTGTTCTTGTCTGCATTGACGATATCTTTAACCATGGCGAAAAGCATAGGACGATATATCATCGGGGGCAACCGAGGGTTTTTGAACCCAAAGCTGGAGGAAACTGAAACCTTCGTGGGCCCAATTACGAGAAAAGCCAAATTTCGCCGACATTGCAGGCGATTCTGGTGTATCTACCTCATTGGCAGTGTGGTCTTCTTGGCCATCTTCCTGCCTGTGTTGTAAGGCCGGGATCTATTCTCCTTCTCTATCTGGAACTAACCACACAAACACCAAAGCTTCCTAGTTGCCATTCCTGCCATCGCACGGCTTGTCATCAAGAATGCCGATTTACGGGTTGTCTCTGCAGCAGTGATGAACCCAACACCAGACACAGTGCGGATGTCACTCGAGACCAAAGTGAACTTGAAACTTGCGCTGGGCGTTCGACTTGATCCCGTAACTTTCGATGTATTCGTGCGTTCCTCCGGCCATGAGCACCCTTGGGCAGGAGTGAAAATCCCCGGGCAAACTATCAAGGGGAATTATTCCCTGATAGTCAATGATCAGTTGACCCCACTTCTCAATCAAACCACCTGGGAAACCTTCATTCGTGAAGCCGTCTTTCAGAAGGAAACATATCTATCGCTATATGCAGATGCCACTGGGTATCTTGGGGCTCTGAAAAACCATTTGACACTAGATAAAGATATCAAGATTCGAAGTAAGTCCTTGGATAGCAACGGAGTTCTATCATTCTCGCGCTAATATCGCAACAGCTTTAAACAAATTCGAAGGCTTCACTATCTCAGATAGCACACTCCTCATACCGGCAGCGGACGATGGAACCAACCTCATTGCGAATATTACGCTTCCAAACCCAAGCCCTCTCTCCTTTGAAGTTGGCACCCTTACCCTTGATCTCAAGGGTAGCGAGTCAGGCCCGATTATTGGCAACGCGACCGTCCGAAACGTCGTCCTGACACCAGGCAACAACACATTCCCGATAGCGGGCTTCCTTGACCTCAAGTCCACACTTGGCGGTCTCCCCAACCTTCTCGCCTCACAAGGAGCCACCCTGGAAAATGGAACTATGAGCCTAACAGCTGTAACGAGCTCTATCGTATACAATGGCACTTTCATTCCAGGCTACACCAACGTCCTCAAACAACTCCCCCTAGTTGCAAACGTGGGCATTGCTGACATCCTGAGAAACACGCTCAGCCACATGGGAATGGATGGCAACGTCAATCTGACAGAGGCAATGTCAACCCTCAGCGGCAGTTTGAAACGCAGGGGAGACCGAGATCCTGCGCAACTCGGCCCAGTTGGATACGGTGATGCATACAACCAAATCGCAAGTCTGAAACACAATAAACATGTTCAGAAGGTGTTGGAAGACGAGGATCCGGAAGAACGAGACGCTCTGATAGATTCGTTCGCTCGATATGTTGCTTCGCTATGAAGGTACATGGATATTATGAATGGAATTGAATTGAAATCCTGGCATTTCTGCCTCTTTCACCGTGAGCTCGTTCTTCGTACGGAGTATTTAGTCCGTAATTTGTTTATGTTGCGGAGTATTCGTCCAGACTTTGATTTAGGGATCATTAAGGGCTTGTTATGGGCACTGCGAGCAACGATCGTCACTCCGAAGCCAATTAAAGAGACGCAAATGAAAGGAATGAGAAAGGCCCGCATTCGACGCCGATCAATTCCGCTCCGTACTCCGTATGGATGTGCACGATCGGCTCCATTTGCCTCGATTTACGGAGTACGGAGTACGGAGTGCGAAGTACAATTCATCGGAATATGGCAGGGTGGACTGGCCCCCTTTTCGAAGGAGTATCAACGGAGTAATCGTACCCATCCCTACCTGCATGTACATAGGTATAGACCTGGCTAGTATCACAAAATTCCAACGACACTTCGAGTTAAGTAGAAGAAAGGATGAAAATATCGAAGTCATGCATTCATTTCCATATATGCCCTATGCTAACACGCTGGAGAAAATCAAAAAGATAGTCGAGAAAAATCACACAAGAGAAGAGAAGAGTGCGGGATAAATACTCAGTAGTAAGGTCCGCCGTTTACAAAGTACCCCGGATCGGCCATGGGATCGAAATACACTGGTTGTTCGTATTTCTGGCTCTTTTCATCGGGGGTCAACAAAGTCATTGTATCGTTACGCCCATCAATGTCATTGACAGTCCCCGGCCACAGATTGTTGTCACTCCAGCTGAGATACTCCCAGAGATACTGGCCGCCTGAATCATCGGTGAATGGAGTGGCGAGCGGGTCAAGGAACCCATTCTCGCTCATAGCCATAGTATCACGACCGGGCTCCGGGAATGTGAGCGGTACATCCCGATCATCCCGGCCAGCGGGATAAGAGCCACCAACAGGAGCCGAGGAGCCAGGGTTGGTGAGATCCTGTCCCCGCTTGCTAGCCTCGTACATTCGTGAGATGGCATCCAGCGACCGCTTGGCCGTATGACCAAAAGATTGCATACGGGCTAAAGTCATCATGGCGGTCTCTACCTGCGCCTGGCAGGACTCTATAGAAGCGCGCCGGTCATCCACTGTTGGATCGTTGAGGAACAGTCCTACCATCGGCACCATGGAAGCCTGGAAAGTCCACCAGACAGCATTCCAACCACACAGCTGGTTAAGCTGAGCCGTGGCAGCAATATTCTGAATAGATTCCTCGGCGACCTCGCGACATTTTTCAATCGCTGTGCGCTCCTCCGATCGCAATGCAATATAAGGCACACGGCGCATGGCGTAGTTGAGTAGGGTTGGTCGGTACAGAAGCAGTCGTTGATTGTAGTAGCGCCAGCGCATAACCGTGCGGACGGTATTTATTGACTCTGAGCAAGGCTCGTGGTCTTTCAGGACGGAGGGGAGGTTCTCCCACCATTCCAGGAGCTGCGCATCTGCGTGCGCCATTTCTTGGTGCTTGACTAACGGCGCCGCGGCGAGGGATTCTTGCACTTGTGTTGCGATCTTCGCGAAGCGGATGTTTTCTACCAGGGGGAGGATTTCGAGGACATTTTCCTATTAGACATCCATTAGCCAAATACCATTGGAGCCCAGAGAGGGGGAGATGACTTACCTTGTCCCGACAGAGAGGTGGTTTGACTGTAATGGTGGAGCCGATCCGACCCATGCTGGGCCGCCCCAGGGTCATGCAAGCCCAGGTATCCATACAGCACAAAGACCACCAGACACGGCGTTTAAGATCGATCGAGGCTAATTTTGCGGGGGTTGGCAGTTGGCGAGTCTCGGCAAACTCTTTGTGCAGCCCCAAGGCAGCCGCCATACGCAAGGCAGCGCCCATGACGGAGTATGCCAGATTCGGCTGGCTGATATAGTGGCAGTACCAGCCGCCCAGTAAGCCTAGGGCCTGGATAGTCTCAATATGGGAGCTACCCAAGGAGGTCAGACTCAGGTGACTCTTGCACCGCAGAAAATATGTCTGATGCGTTGTATCGTCGGGCCCAGTGGCTGCGATGCAGCCTAGGGCAAGGACAATGTTGAGCAACGCAAGCCAATGGTCATCTCTCCGGCGGCCGGTACAATAAGCCTCACGGAAGGACCGCTCATCGATCATGGGAGCGAAGGCTTGGAAATAAAGGAAATATCCATCGAGCATTTGCATCTCCGAAGGTGGAATCAAGGGTTGCGGGGGTGTGATAGGTGCGCGATGCGACCAGGCTGTTGGGTTCTCCCGTTCACTCGGGGGTGTTCGAGAGAAGTACGAGGCGCAGCCTGGATCTAGCCAGACGATGACTTTGATCACCGCTTGGATGGAAGACACACCCAAGTAAGATGAAGGCTGCCGTGCAGATAAGGACAACGCATTAACATCATCCGAGACGCCTTCTACTAGATCCGTGGAGCTGGCACTACGGCTATCCGGCAGTTCCTCTGGCATGGTCTGGAGAGCCTCGAGATTGTCGTCATCATTCGACAGAGGTGAAACATTTGCTTCCAGCGAAGCCGATGTAGCTGGTGATTCGGCATGATGTGACAGCCCGTGGAGGTGAGATGATCCCAACGCAGTTGTGAGCTCAAGGAGTTTCTCCCGCGGCAGATTAACTAAAGACTCCGGAGCGAAGTTTGGGAACAACTTCCCCAAGATACTTCGATACTCTTCCAAGGTTGTAGAGAGTTTCTCTACGTGCCTACATCAATTCTGGTGAGCTGAGTTATTCGGGCTGAAGTGGAGACCGAATGACTCACCTCCGCGATGGTCGCGGATCTGAATAGTGGCACTGATCCGACTTTTTATACCACCGACATGCCTCACAGGGCTTTTCGCCATCGCACTTGATCTTTCGATGACGACAAGATGTACAAGCACGCAAGGTTGTCACTCGGCGACTGATGGATTCCCGTCTTTCACTGGGAGCCCGGTTGCGGGCAGGAGTTGCTGCCGTCGGGTTCTCGAAACCCTCAAATGTATGGAACATTATTCTGAATTAGACGAAGAATTCAAACTGCATAGTCTGACCATGCGGCCGTCACTAGATGGGCGACATGAAGGTCAAAAGTGTCGTATGATGGTTGAAAGGAGAATGTTCAAGAGTCGAGGTTCACATGGCTGAAAGGTGGCAAGTCATATGTCCCTGTGAGAGCGCGAGAGCGAGATAAACCCCAAATTTAAAATGATTTAAAATGAGAAACGCAGAAACGAAGAAAAGAGAACTAAAACCGAAAGGAGATAGTCGAGAAAAAGAAATAGGCTGATCCGCCTAATCTCCCCGCATTTTTCTGATGCGTTTGACGAAAAAAAAAAAAACTCAGGTTTTACGCTCAGGTCCTATTGGCTAGTCGACGATGTGATTAGTTGGGAGCTAGTGGTCTCTGCGATTTGGGTGTGTCCTTAGGGGGAAAATGCGATGTCCTCGGAACCGGTAGGAAGCATTCTCAGCCTCTGATGATGTGAGCGTGCCAACTCCCGGCATATAAAGCAGCCAGGGTACGGGGTAGTTGGATGGGATTGCGAGTAATTGTCTACTCTTCTAAGCCGGCAAGTGCCACGCATAACCCAGGGGTTCATAGAGGGGGCATTCCAAGGCAATTTCGCTTCCTAATCCTCACACGCCACTGAATACAGAACGTGCATGGCAGGGTTGTGTGGCATGGATTCTCCAGAGAAGAGGGGAAATTTCCCCGGACGCAGTTTGGGGAATTAGCTGTAGTCTTCATCGAGCCCTGCAGATGGGACTAGCCGAAATTCTGGGGGAAATGACCAGTCTCCTCCGTCCTCCGTCCTCCGTATGGCAATCCCTACTTGGGGACATCAAATCCGATCCTCAAATTTCCTTTTGGCCGGAAAGTTAACCTGTGGTCTTCGCCAATTGACAGCCCAACCCTTCTCATTTCTTTGACGTCTGGGGGCTATAAACCATAGCGGCTCTATAGCTTTGACGCCTGACGCCTCCAATGAGCGAAGTTCCTCAATTGAGGGGGTGTGCTCATGTCTGCTTACCCATGTATCAGGAGGGGCAATGTACTCCGTACTCCGTCCTCCGACCTGATGTGCACATTGCACCTTGCCACTGGAAGGGGGGACGCCGAGGTAATTTCGCGCCATGGCTCGTTCCAGTCAAGGGCCCGAGATGGAGACACAGCGGTTAGAGGTTCCAACCCCTGATTTCCCCAGCTTTCCAAAATGGAGGCGAAGAAATCTAGAAAAGAGAGCCAAGATTATAGAATCCAAAAAGAAATATAAAGCCACTCTGCAGAGTGCACTCCATACGGAGTACGGAGTACTCCACGCTCCGATCAGTGATCCCCCGGGAAGTCAGGCAAGTCAGGCAAGTCAGGCAAGTCAGAAGGACATGCCAAGTCTAGGCGATGGGTCCCGAAGGATGCAGGACGCTCGTTGTCTGCCGAAGGCGGGCTCATTGGTTCGGTTCTAATGCATACTAACGGAAATTAGTTCAATCAGCTCAGGCACTGTGGATGTCCCAAATAAGCGGCCTGCAGAATGCACGAGCTGCTTTTGATATACGGAGTGCGGAGTACGGAGTGATCGAGCCGAAGTCCAGGTGCATCAGTCCAGGTGCAAACGATCCGAGTCCCAGTGCGCACTGCATAGGCTTATGGGCAAAAAAAGTTCGGATGTTGAGCTTGTGAGAATGAACAGGCTGATCCGGGTAATGTGCCGGGGCAACCAAAGCTCTTGGGTGGATCCATGGTGAACGTCCCCAAATCACAGAGGACGGAGGTAAAAGTACGACAGGTGGCCAGAGGTGGCCAGCCCTCCACGGTGGGGAGCGACTCATTTGCAAATTTCAAGTGTTTTATGGTATTTGAAAGACACAGATTGCAACAATACAGATCATGTGTTGCGCTAGTCCGCTTTCACCACGGAGTCCTCGCCTTGCCCAAAAGGGAAAGCGGGGGGGGGACGGGGTGCTCTCCGCCCTTATCGATAAGGACTGATTGTCTGGAACTGTATAAAGCTGGGGGATGCTAAAGCTACCCCTTTCATATTGCCAATTGCATCTCGAAATGACCAAGCTTGTGCAGTCTCTGTCTTCTGGCTGGTCCTTCAAGGACCGGGACACCGAGGAATGGCTGCCAGTGGCTACAGTCCCGTCCGTTGTACAGCAGGATCTCATTGATAACAAGAAGTAAGTTGTTGTTTCTCAGCCAAAATGGGCCCACCTTAACCTCAGTATGATTTCAACAGGCTCGATGATCCTTACATCGGATTCAAGGAATTGGATGCCCGCTGGGTTAACGAAAAGTCATGGGTTTACCGAAATAAGTTTGAGAAGCCATCTGCTCCAGCTGGATCATCCATAGTGCTTGTGTTTGATGGCTTGGATACCTTTGCCAAGGTCAAGCTGGATGGACAGGTGATCTTGGAGAGTGATAACATGTTTCTGGGTCACCGGGTGGATGTCACTAAAGCATTGGAAGCAGAGGGTGAGCATACGCTTGAGGTTGAGTTCGACTGCGCACTTCTCAAGGCGCGCGAACTCCGGGCTCAGGACACCAAGCATAAATGGGTTGGGTTCAACGGTGATCCCGCACGCATGGCTGTGCGGAAAGCTCAATATCACTGGGGTTGGGACTGGGGCCCAGTGCTGATGACTGCTGGCATCTGGCGGGCCGTACGCTTCGAAGTGTATGAAGCTCGTGTGTCTAATTTGTGGCCCCAAACCAAGTTGTCTGCAGACCATCAAACAGCTGAGGTGACAGCAGTCATCGAAGTGGAGAGCGTTGTTGATGGAGAATATACCGCCGAGCTTAGCTTAAGCTTACGAGGTAACGAGATTGCACGCCAGTCTATTTCAGTGTCTGGAAAGACCGCCCAGGTGACCTTCCCTGTCGAGCAGCCGGCTCTGTGGTGGCCCCATGGATACGGCGAGCAGACTCAGTACGAGGTTTCAGTGTCGCTGCGTCGCAATGATGAAGAAGTTGACCACACCTCTAAGAAGTTTGGTATCCGGACCGCAGAGGTGATTCAACAACCCGATAAGCATGGCAAATCCTTTTTCTTCCGAATCAATGGTATGGACATTTTCTGTGGCGGCTCGTGCTGGATTCCGGCAGATAGTCTGCTTCCTGCCATCAGTGCCGAGCGATACCGCAAGTGGATTGAGCTCATGGTTGCTGGCAGACAAGTGATGATCCGGTAAGTTTTGCTTTTGCTGTCGGGAAATGAGGGGTTAGCTAACCATGATTAAGCGTCTGGGGTGGTGGTATCTATGAAGACGACGCCTTCTACGAGGCATGCGACGAGCTTGGAGTGCTTGTTTGGCAAGATTTCATGTTTGGATGTGGAAACTATCCCACATGGCCCGAGATGCTCGAGTCTGTCCGCCAAGAGACTGTTTACAATCTGCAACGTATGCGCCACCATCCATCGATCGTGCTCTATGCTGGCAACAACGAGGACTATCAAGTTGCCGAGTCCGAGGGCTTGACCTACAACTACGAGGATAAAGACCCAGAGAGCTGGCTAGCCACAGATTTCCCGGCGAGGTATATCTATGAGAAGCTGCTCCCAGAGGTGGTGGCTGAGAACTCCCCCGACACGTTCTACCACCCGGGAAGTCCCTGGGGAGATGGCAAGATATCATCGGATACCACAGTTGGTGATATGCACCAGTGGAACGGTCAGTATCCCCGAAGATGATTCACGCGCTTCCGCTAATCACCAGAATAGTCTGGCACGGAACACAGGAGAAATATCAAATCTTCGATACTCTCGGTGGCCGATTTAACAGCGAATTTGGAATGGAGGCCTTCCCCCACATCTCCACAATTGACTACTTTGTCGAGAATCCAGAGGACAAATTCCCTCAATCCCACGTTATTGACTTCCACAACAAGGCCGACGGGCATGAACGAAGACTAGCAACATACCTAGTTGAGAATCTCCGGACCGCGACAGATCTCGAGGTATGACTAGCACCCTAGTAATTCATCACTTCCAAGCTAACATCTCCAGACCTATATCTATCTCACCCAGGTTGTACAAGCAGAGACTATGATGTTCGGCTACCGAGGCTGGCGCCGACAATGGGGCGACGAGCGACACTGTGGTGGTGCACTACTCTGGCAGCTGAACGACTGCTGGCCGACAATCTCATGGGCCATTGTGGACTATTTCCTCAAGCCTAAGCCAGCCTACTATGCAGTGAAGCGTGTTTTGAATCCGATAGCCGTTGGCGTACGACGCGAGCACCACGACTGGAGCGTGGCACACGCGCAGCCACCCAAGGCCAGTAAGTACGAGCTTTGGATCGCCAGCAATAAACCAGAAACAGTCCAAGGCAGTGTTGAGCTGCGATTCCTATCAGTCAACACAGGCCGGGATATTCGCGCGCCGATTGTGCGCGATAACATCACCATCACTGCAAATGGAACCACAGACATCATCACTGATGGGGTTCTCGACCACATCGCCGAACCCGAGCCGCATGTTCTCGCTGCCCGGCTGTGGGTAAACAACCAGGTCGTAGCCCGAGATGTCGACTGGCCACAACCATTCAAGTATCTCAATTTGTCAGAGCGACAGCTGGATGTTAGACGTCAGTCTGGGAAATCGGGAGAGACACTGTTGGTGATCAACGCCCGGAAGCCAGTCAAGTGTCTTGTTTTCGAGGAGCAAGAGGGTGTCCACCTTGCGGACAACGCTATTGATATTGTCCCAGGTGATGAGCAGACTGTCACAGTGACTGGTCTTGGAGACAAGCCTCTAAGGTACCGATACCTCGGCCAAGAATCCGTTGGAGTTGTTCAATAAATAGACACTCCACTCCATGACAGTCCACAGGGAGGGCTCATGTCAACAAAGAATGAAAATTAGAATATGTAACTCCATAGCAATCCATGCACCTTTTCAATGATCAAACAAAGGCATAATAAGGGAGTTTCCAAAACCCGAAACGCTCGAATGAGTGGATCGGCGATCTCATATCTTATCGTTGCGCGGAGATCAACTTGCAACTTAACCACCTCCAACTTTTTTGCCGATGGGTACTAAACGCTCCTGGGAAGGCCAGCCACTCGAGCTACATCCTAAAGATACCATCATGGCCGAAGCAGAGTCATCAGCTCCATCGGTTCTATCAATCTTTGAGAACTTTCGCGACGAGCTGGACGAGCACCATGACCGACGCGAGCGAATTATCAAGAAGAGTCGCGACATTACCGCTCTGAGCAAGAAGATGTATGCCTTCGCTTCTACCCTGGCGAGCAATAGCTAACTGGGATGCTTCCAGTATCTTCGCCCTTCAGCGAGTCCGCGCAACAAATCAACCCCTCCCACCTAAAATCGCCCAAGAAAACCAAGCCCGCTTCGACCAAATCCATGAGCTCTTCCAAGCTGTCGTCCCCGAACAACTCGGCATAAATGGCTGGCGATACCAACGCCAAATCAGCGCCGGAATCCAAGAATTCATCGAAGCACTATCCTTTGACCACTACCTGCGCACGCAGACGCTTATCACCCACGCCGAATGCGCCGCCCGCATCCCATCGGAGATCCTCGTCTCAGAAGAGGACTACCTGATGGGTCTGTTCGATCTCACCGGAGAAATGATGCGCTTCGCGGTGCTATCACTGAGCTCTGGGAATGCAGCAGCTACCAAGGCGGACAGCACAGAAGGTGGAAGCAAGAGGCCGACACTCGCTCCATCACAGGGTGACATTGTGGTTGATCTACGTGCGATGCGTGCAGGCTTCGAAGCTCTCACTGTGCCCCGGCGGCATTTCATGTTCCGAGACCTGGCGAAGAAGATGGAGGTTATGCAGAACAGTGTGGAGAAGGTTGAGCGGGCGGCGTATGGAATTCTCGTGCGTGGAAGTGAGAGGCCGAGTGGTTGGACACCTGATCTGTCGGCCCCTGTGGAGGTGTAATCTCACTAAACAAAAGGCCTGCTTGATTCTGCCGAGGTCTCCATGTATCCAGCAACGATCAATGGCGTATTTCAAATGACAGCGGTAATCCATCTCTGTGATGTATATTCCCAGCGTAGGGATAGCTTTCCATGGGCCAGGAACCACTCATTTCCACCTAACTCCCGAGGTCGATACTCAGGTCTTCCTCGTTTCAACATATCCCATAGACCCACAATCGACGTGTCTCTACATTTCCCTCTAAAAATAACATATATTCATATTGACATTGCTATACCGATGGGGAGCATGTTGCGTCACAGTGACATCACGAGTTGGTAAAGACAGTGAAAACAATTGTAGAGACAACCGCCAAGATGACATAGGTGTAAACAAAAAGGAAAGACCAGGCATTGCCAATCGCCGGGATAAAAATAAAACGCCCTCGTGAAACGATCGTGTCACCCATATCTCATATCACCACAACCGTGGCAATGTTGACTTTCAAGGACCAAGATCAGACCGGCGAGCGCGGGTTCTCATCCTCGGAGAGGATACCCTGCGAAATCAAATCTTCAGGCTGTGGCCGGTTCTGAATCTTGTGTTCGAGATTATCGGCCAGCATGTGCTTCTCAAGCTCGCGGGCGTGGGCCTGTAGTGCTGGAGCGGCGGAGGATGCGGGGAGGATGTTGCCTTGGCGGGTGTTAGTATACATCGAGATGGATTTTGGAATAGAGTCAGTGATATAGCGGATGGAAGATCAGAAATTAAAGAGAGAAAAAAAAAAAAAAAAGAAAAAGAGAATCGTACGTTCGATCAACTCATCTTTCTCGGGCCTCTTCTCTAGATTCTTCTTCAAGTTGTCTGTAGCACGCTGGCGATCGAGCTCCTGGCGAGCGTATTGAAGGGCTCTGTCGTTATATTAACAATCACTACACCCAAGCGATTCATGGGAATAGGCTCAGGAGCACCCACGGAGCTACATTGGTGTCCAGCAAGATGTGGCGGTCCTTCAGGTCCTGCATTTCCGGGCGGGTTTGAAGGTGTTTCTCTAACGAGTTGCGACGCTCGTGGGTGGGAGGAAGGGTCTGTTCAATAGAGGACATTATCACAGCTAACGATTGGGGTCAGATGGGTAAGAGTTGAAATCGGTAAGAAGGTGGTAAGAAGCAAAGTGGTGAGTTGAAGTAGAAAGTCAAGTGATTCCTGTCCCACGGGACCACGCGGGGAAATCCAACGGCGATCTATCACGTCTCTCCAGGGCTACAGAACAACACACACTCAAATAACAAGCGAAGTAATGGATTTACTGGAATAAACTGGAATAACCTGCGAGACTAGTAAATCATGGAAAGAGAAAAGAAAATCCATCATACCATATCCCAGTCTGAAAATAGCAACCGTCTCAACGTTTCCGCAATTCGACGACCTCTCATCTCCATCCCCTAGACAAGGAAAGGGTGAAGGGGAACAAAGGGGAGTACGGGCTTTCTGAAACAGACATATCCAAGCAGCGCATCACAGCCGCGGATTTAATCCACCATGGGATTCATGTCCTTTCGTGTCCAAGGTCCGATCATGCCGGGATTCTGGAAGGATTTATGCCGGGGGAAGAGGGGAAACACACTCTGCAGGCAGCCACAGCAAGACAGATCCAGGTCCAGATCCCTGCATTGAGGGGAGTATCGTAGTTCTGCAAAGAGAAAAAGAGAGACACCCTGTCTGGTTCTGGATGCATTGGTTCACAAAACACTCGGGTCGACTGCCATCAAAGAGATGATTTGGAGTAGACCATTCTGCTCATGACAATCAAGGAACCCAGAGCTTACCCCGGCCACGAGCATTGCCTCGTGCACCTCGCGAAGACCCACCACGGCGGCCATTGGACGAGCGACGAGAGCCTCCCGAGTTACCGCGGGTAGCGTTGGCGGTACCTTGTTGAATGTTCAAGTCTACCGCAGGTGCCTTAGCTGCACCTCCTAGGGATCGGCTGAACGAATCCGGGTCAATGGGCTGGGTTGGCACTTCCACGGTAACAATAGGCTCAACAGGAGGGGGGGCAGCCTTGGGGGCAGCCTTGCGCTGAGCTCCACCACGTGAGCCACCTCGGGGGGTTCCTTTACCACGACCACGGGGGACAAACACCAACTCATCCTCGTCGCTCTCTTCCTCGTAAGACAACAATGTCTTGGGTTCGGCGGGTTGTGTCTGGGTTTTCTCAACGTATTTGCAGCGATTTTTGTACTCGCGCTCCTCGTACTGGATAGCAGTGCGCAGCTGCAGAATGTTCTTGACACCAATGCCAAACTTCTGAGCCCACACCTGGGTGGCTCGGTCGTTAGAGATAAGAATGCAGGTCTTAGCGGAGTTCTCAGCATCGGGGCCGGTATGCAAGCGCCAAAGCAGAGCGCTCAGCAATGGGCGCAAAGCGGGCGGCGCGGTCGGGATGACGGATCCGGAGACAGTACGCTGGTGATTAGCAGACTTGTTCTTGCTCTTGTCAGTATTCGTTCTTGTTCCGTTACTGGAGCCATGCTGGGCGCAATCAGGGCTAGTGCGAGAGCTGCGGGAGGATGTGCGCGAGCCAGGTCCACTGGGGGTGCCGACGGAGGTGATCGACGCAGCCTCCGGGTCCTTCTTGAAGTTCAGCTTGGACAAAAGCATTTGCGACAGATCATCCGGCTCGTTTTTGGTCGAAGTCTCATTGGCGCTGGGTTCGATCGCTGGCCCACCATTGGGGATTGCATTATCGGGTACCTCGGGCTCCTCCTCGAATTCCGGAAGGAAGAATTTCTCCGCCTCCTCCCAGCGCTCATATTGTTCCATAGGACCCTGGAGAACAACTCGGTCGGCGGCGATATGATCTTTGCCAGAGGTAACCCGGTCGAGAAAGCGCACTGCCTCGCGAGCATTGATGGCGACCTGCGATCCCGCCCGCTTCAGCGCATGGAGTCGTTCGAGGGCTGATCGGATAATAATGGTTAGACTGAAATTCTTTGCAAGGAAGATAATCAAGCTCTATTCAACAATCAAATACTCACTGTAGAGAGGAACCACGAGATCGATGGCGCCGTTGGTGGTCCATTTCTTAATTTCGCTAATGTTGGTGGACAAGGCCGTCTCGTCCACAGCACAATGAAAGACCTTGCGTCCGGTCGACATGGCGGATGATGAACGAATGTGTTTGAAGTGAGTGAGAGATTACAGGGCAGGGACCGCCCTATATCGGAAAACTAGAAGTGTAGACAACCGCGTCTGAATCGCCCGGTCAGCACGGGCCTAGAGCTGAGGAAGGAGGTTTGACGATGGAGGGACACGGGAATGTGGGGGTGGGTGGCAGATATTGGTCGATGCCGCCATGATTTTCACTCACGATGAGAAGCCAGTTGACAGAAGTTTCCATCTGCAGCATCTTTGTAACAATACAGTCTGCTGGGGTGGGCCAAAGAAAGCGCCTTCAGAATCGATGCGATGGGCAGAGAAACCTCCAGTCGGAGATGTGCTGACTAAGCGATTTCAGGAACAGGCGGGAATTAATGAGAGAAGTGAGGGTTTCTATATCTTTAGACGAAGTATACAATCTAAAAGTAGAGAAACAGGGAGATACGGAGATATAGAGATATAGAGAGGGGGAAATGTTGAGGAGAGCTTCCCCCAGTCATGCCGCCTATGATTTCACCTTCTTGATAAGGCCATCTGCTTCCTTGACTCGTTGCGCCCACTCACTGGGTTCATTGTTCGGATTAGTACTAGTAGCAACTACCGGGATAGACTGGGTTATGCACTTACGTCCAGCTGCCGTCATATACCCGACGCAGATTTGGGTCGCCGTATTCCGCCTCACCCAGGGCTGTCTCAATGATCGAAGCAGTCACGCCAGTGCCGCACGAGCTGATGATCGTTTGGTTGAGGTCCACCTTATGCTCTTCAAACACCTTCCGCAGATCTTCGGCAGGGAGATAAGTTTTGGTTTCGGGGTCCAGAAGTTCTTGGAAGGGAATGTTCTTGGAGCCAGGAAGGTGGCCAGATGGGAGGCCAGGGCGCGGCTCCGGGTCTATACCAGCCCACCGACCGTAGGAACGGGCATCGAGGATTTCAACTTCCTCTGCGCCTTCTTTGCCGTAGTCCAAAGCCAGCTCCTTCATCTCACGGAAGGAAATCACCAATCGCGAATCGTAGGTCGGGACGGAGTACTTGGATTTCTCCACTGGCGCAGGCTCGCCGCTCTCGGTCGGAAGACCTTCTTGAACCCAGAGACGGTAGTTGTTGAGGATATGGACATTGGGGTGGCCGAAGACACGCAGAGTCCAGCCTACGCGGGGTGCGCTAAATATGCCCAGCTCGGCAGTGTCATAGACCACTATCTCGTCGTCACGACGAATCCCCAACTCGCTCATAGCCTCAGCAAAGGTCTCACAGGTAGGAAGCATGTGTGGGTAGGGTGAATCTGGGTCTTTGACGGCATCAAGGTCGAAAAACCGGGCCTGGGGAATGCGTGAGTTACGGAACGACTCAATACCCTTGCGACCCTCTGGGTCGTTCGGCATGAACCATGCTGCGCAGAGAGGAATCACGCGCGGGGACGTTGAGATTTTGGTCGGTGGGTTCTTTTTGAGTGCTTCATTCAGCTCCTTCGGTGTCACTAGATACGAGGAAAAAGAGACATTGCGCTGGGCATGGAGCCCTGTGGAGATGGACATGTTGGGGCGGAAGAGACGAGCAGGAGCAAAGGATCGAATGGCTGTGAATGCCATGGTGAGGAGGAGAGAACCTTTAAAGCAAACCAATATACATAACGAGGCCAATCGTCAAATGTAATACCTAGAGCAGAAGCAAGAGCAATAAGGGGAGTGCTATTGCATGAGCGTGGAATGGCGTGTGGTGCGGAGAAGCACTCTCATGTGATAAGCTTATCAATGCTTTCCCTCGGTGGATCGCGCTCTCCCTCCCTTCACCTCTTTAGCTTGGCGCTTTTTTTCCATCCACCATGAAGGTTGCCATTAAAGAATGGAATGCCGTTGCTACTTGGCATTGGGATATCCCCGAGGATGAAGTGTGTGGTATCTGTCGTGTCCAATTCGATGGCACCTGCCCTACCTGCAAATTCCCTGGCGATGACTGTGCCCTTGGTAAGTGTCTGCTTTTTGGTGTGCCAATCGCATACATATGTACTAAACTCTGACCATGATGTCTTTTGCAGTACAAGGAAAATGTAACCACGCGTTCCACATGGTAAGACTGCACAGTGGGCGTCTAAGCTAGGATAGAACTGATCAATATTTGGGACAGCATTGCTTAATGACCTGGATTGACCTGGAGACTTCCAAGGGATTATGTCCAATGTGCCGACAAAGTATGCTTCTTTTGTTGTTTTCCCCCTCTGTGGATACCAAGCTAATTGCTCCTAGAATTCGAGTTCAAGGGCAAGGAATAATGGCCTTGATCTGTGTTTGTCTTCTCGTGATTATCAAGGTGTTGCCGGACTAATTGGAGATACCCTTTCGCGTTGTTTTCCCTAGTCTTCTTTTCTTTGGCGTGCAAACTTATAGTGCATTATTAGATCTTGTTATCGACTGAGCATCACAATAATACTGTGGATGTGATCAATTGATCAACGCCGGAGTGGACCCTATCCCGGAGCAGCTCATACTTTGAGTTTGCAAAGGCCCGAGTGGGAAAATATATCAACCAGCGGTAGCTATATATGTGTGTGTATATGGACACGGTAGGTGATTCGATGTATATGCATGTATACAAAAAGGAGGCTTAGCTCCTGTGAGAAATATGCATGGCCTAAAGCGTAGAACGCTCGGGCTAATGCACGACTTCACCCACTCCCAACGGTGAGCAGGGATAGGACTTACTGCGCATTTCTCTATAACAATACCCCAATATGTGCTTAGATGCTTTCAACTCTTCTTAGCTCCCTGCCTACCGAGAAAGAAAAAGAAAGGGTTCTCTGCCTCATGACTTGTAGGCTTCTAAACGTTAAGGCTTATGAAGTCTTGCTTTTGGTCTTATCCTATAGAACTTGGTCGCTAGAACCCGTCCGGAAAGCGGACTAAGCCCACATAAACCCCGGGGCCCGGCAACACTGATCCCAGTTTAGTTTGAAGCTGTGGGTCCTGTCGTCTTAGATCGAAGCTCAAACGCGGTGACATATATTTTAGAACCCCGTTCTACCTACATGTAGGTATTCTAGGTCAGGACTCAGACTTCACGGGATTCTACTTTCCATCATCCTTTTGATGCCTTTCTCGCAGGGGCTTAGAATTCAAAAAAGTAGTTCCATTCTACAGAGCGACAGAATTGATAATGTGCTGCTTGAATGCCAACCAGGTATATCACAGGCACTAAATGCGCAATTATGGCCTTAGGCAGCAGGTTGCCTGAGGCTGTGAAACTATGCAAACACTGCAAAGACTCCCCCGGGCCACAGCTATGTTTCATCTAATCATCACGTGGCACTATCGATAAGCGGCTCTCCGCACGCGATACGGAACCTCATCCTATCTGAAGCTCCTCTCCAAAATGATGTAGCCCCAGCCTATGGAGATGTCTCTGAACACTTCTCCCCACAATCCTACCCTATCTTCCTCTTCTTCCCGACAGTCTCTGCGCAAAGAATCATCCTCGTGGCCAGAGACCGCCTCTTCGCGACCAAGCGATCGACAGCCACGAGGACAACTGCCAGAGGGCCATCCACCAACGGACGAGACTCATCAATCCCCAGAACCAATTGGATCCCCGCACCAAGATGCAGCTCTGGATGAAACTGAATCCCATATCGAGGAAGTTCAAGAGCAACAATCCCCTTCTCACCTCGCATTTCAACCATTCTTCACTTTGATCGAAGACGCCCATAACTCAGATTACCATCACCCGACAGTTCATTACATATTCTCTGACGATGACACCGATATTGTGACAGAGGCAGCGCTGCGGAGCTTAGCTACACAACAAGAGGCCCTATCGGATTCCAAGAAAGACCAGATCGCGCAGACACAAGCATCCAATGCTCAACACGAGATCGAAGCCTCCTCTGGTTCAGACCCGGCCAAGACTACCTTACTCCCGCCTCCTGTTCCCGGTGTACGAGAGAACTATGTCATCCTCGACATAGAGCCCTCACGAGTCACCCCCGATATAGCCCAGACAACCCCGGGAACCGAACTGGCACCAGGGAAAGGCGGCAGTGGCACGAAGTCCCTATCGTCATCACCGGCAAACCTCTCTGGGATTCCACAAGAGCAGGGCCATCTATCTCCACAGTACCACGTCACCGCAGCGCAGAGCTTCTCGTCAGAATGGCAAGTCCTCAACACGGAAGTGGTACCGGCACCCACCTTTGAGAACGGCAGCCCTGGCGCATTACCGGGGCATGGATTAATGTTGAAGATCAGAGGCACTGGTGGGCTACCCATAAATGTGGGCGGGAACGATAGAGAGGGCAAGCTTGAGGAGATGATGGATCAATTTGCCAAGCGGATGAGCGAGCTGCAGATAGTGATTGATGCTGCGGAGGCTGCGGATCTAAAAGATCTAAAAGGAGAGCATGAAGAGGAAATTGTGCAGCACCCCTTCTCACCGCACTCAGGCGAAGAAATCATCCAACGCCAGGGGGATCATGAGGCGTACGCTGTAGAAAGTGAAGCAGACATGCAACCCTCCTGATGATTGACTATTATTGCTTTTGGCGCATTGCGGGTGAAACATGGGCGTCAGCATTCCAGTTGGTTTACAAACAGGCTAGTCTGATGAATCTCGTGAATATATTTCAAGCATAATAATACCCAACTCATCTCGGATGATCAGTTATTGTAGTAAGATCAAATCGCACATCCGTATAAGAGTATCAATGTAGCCAAATGAAATAAAAACGCCAAGTAGTCACCGTTCTATGGGGACTCTCACAAAAGAATACATACAAGAGAATGACCAACCCACACTGTTTTCTCAGCCAAGAACTCCAACCCAGAGTGAAAAGCCCAGCGGGTATCGGGTATCAAAAAGGGACAGTAAATAAGAAAAAAAACAAAAAGAACGCAAAAAATCACTTGGAATCCACCTAGTCAGTGCGGTTTCTGACCCGCCGGCCACCGCCGATGGCAGAAGGCGGCATATTCTCACGACCCTCCTTCACACCAGCCATCCTTTTCGAGGACATTGTTTTCGGTAGTTTACTGTCAGATTGGTGGTGGAGGCTGGAGTTTGAGCGGCGACGTTTGCGAGAAGACTGCTCAGGCTCTTCCTTTTCTGGCGTTTCGTCTAGATCTATAGATGCGTTCAATGCAATGGTCTCTGCCTTATCGTGAGGTAGCGCGTCGTCACCATCAGACATCGCCGGTCTGCTGACGTTTAGGTCGACTTCCCTAAGTCCAGTGTTGGAGGGTGTGACTGCGGATGATGGAAGAGGGTGGCCTACCTCTTCCGGGGTATCATTGTACACGAATTTCTTGGGAGGCGAAGCCACCACTTGGGGGAAGTGGGGACAGGCGAGTCTTGTTGCTCTTGCTCGCTGAATGGTAAAGCAGTAAATTGCTTGGATGTGCGGTGTCGGGTACGAAGTCCGTCGTGCGCCTCAGTTTGAGGCATTTCCGAAGGGTAGTCGTATTTTCGTTTCTGAGGGGTTACGCCGGTTGGGATATACTCTTTCATAGGGTGGCTCTGGAAGTCGGAGCGCATTTTCAAGAGTGGTTGGCGGACTTCGATGTCTAAAGGTGCAGTGGTTTGTTCCAGGTACTCAGTATGTATATCGACATCCTGCTGGAGTTGATCGACTCGTCCGGTGAGCCCGTCGAGCTGTCCATGAATGTGTGAGCGAGACTCCCGGACATTTTCAGCCATAGCATTCAGACTGGATAGATGGGATTCGTGGAAGCGGCCATTCTGGTATCGGGCTTTGGCAACGAAGTCATCCAAAGCCTCCATTTGGGTGCCCATGTCGCTCATTTGAGCATCAACAATCCGTACGGTCTCCTGATGGACAGATTCTGTTGCTCGATGAATAGAGGCATTGCGTTGGTCGAAATTCTAGAGTCGTTAGTGTATTTCTTGGCCAAGAGATGTAATTTTTTTCTTACCTCCCAATCGTTCTGCATTCTGGTTTTGAACTCATCCTTAGATGCAGCGATGTCTTTGGCAAATTGTTCTTCCTTAAAAATCCATTCATCAATGTGTCTGTCGTGCTGCGCAGTGGCTTGCTCAAGAGAGTCGCCTGATGCTGAGATGTCGGTGCGAAGGGCATCAAACTTGCCTCTGAGGCGATTGTTCTGTTTTTGATTTGATTCCTCAAGAAGTCCACGGATATGAGACATAAGAGTTTCCCTCTCTGTTTGGGCGTTCGCATGTTCGTCTTCCAGGACCTGTGCGAGATTAGACGAGGCCTTTCTGTTGGCCTCAACTGTCTGGCGGTTCGCTGCTTGCAGCTCGAGGCGCAATTTGTTGACTTCTGTTTTCTGTTCATCGAGGTGCCTTGCCATGTCCTCAAACATGGACTTGAAGTCCTTGCCGAGTGTGCTGTATGATGAGTGAAGTTGGGAGTGGAACTCTGAGAACTCCCCAATCACCTCCTTGGAGATACGAGCAGCAGCAGCTGACAAGCCATTCAGGCCTTCGCCAACTTTAGACTTGACTTCTTCCCGAAGGACCTTGATTTCTTCGAGAACGTCATTCATCTCATGGTGAGCACTGGATGTATTTTTCTTTGCCTGAGTCTCGACCTTGTCAAAGGAGGTTCCCAGATCCCGGAGTTGGGACCGAGTAGACTGGACAGTGCTCAGTTCATGATCTACGAACTGGTGTATTTTGCTAGACATATCCCCCACCAGCTTTGCATGTCGCACCTTGAAGACTTCCATGCGAGCGTCGATCTGCTGCGTAACGTGAGATACTTCACTGGTTGAAGTCTGCCAGGTTTGCCGATTATCAGCCTCCAAATTGTCTTTGCGATCCAACTTCGCATGCAATCCATCCACATCTCGAACAGTGCCATTCAAAGTGGAAACTAGGCCGGCGCCGATGTGGCGGAGTTGCTTTTCCGTAATCTGATGAGCCTTCCGTACGATCTTCTCCTCGTCCAGCTTTTCCTGAGTATCCTTCCAAAACCTTTCTGTTTCGTTGAGAACATCTCGTGTTTCATTGAGTTTGGCCTGAGTTTCCTCATTGTCATGCTTCAAAGAGTTAAAATTTCCCGTTATAGAGAGCAACTCTTGAACCTTGTGCCGGAGACTTGACTCCATAGTCTCAATCTTGGCACGCTGTTCCTCGTTGACAATTCGCCGTGACTCGCTCTCCATCGTCATCTCTTCGTACGCAACGGGCGTCATATAGACACCATGGCGATGTCGAGTGGCAATAAGTTCGCTCTTGAGTTTTTCAATCTCCATACCAATCTCCCGTAGGAGCTTGTTTTTGGAGATGATAGAATTAATCTGGGGTTTGTTGCGGATGTTCTTAGCCCGAAAGGCATAGTCAAGCGTGGAGATGGTCTCTTCGAGGTTGTTGCGGGCAGGCGAAACAGTGGCGATGATGCATGTCTTTGTTCGTCCTCCGAGTGAATCTTGCAGTAGTCTCGTGAGTTTTGACTCTCGATAAGGAATGTGCGAGCTCTTATCCACCAAAGCATTGATGACTCTACCAAGAGTGAGCAGACTCTTGTTGATGAGACCTGCCTCCGTTGCTCGTTTGTTCTCAGCACCGCTGCGACCAATGTTTTCGCTACCCGCTAAATCCACGAGGTTCAACTTCCCCGAGCTAACATAATCCTCGCCAGACTCAGTTGTGCGTTTGGTGAGAACTGTTACGGTGAACACCGTATGACTTCGGGAACTCAGGTCATTGCATTTGGTCGATGCTACTTGACGTTTGTGGCTGCCTGTTTGGAGCAGTCTGATACCGCTGGAAGCAGAGTCAATATAGGTCTCTTCCATGCCTTGAACCATCGTGCTATGTCCTCCCTTCTTCTCATTTTCAAATATTTTGAGTTTCGTACTATCATCGTACGACAGCAGATCCCGAAGCTCTTCGTTGTAAAGTTCGATAAAGGAGCATTTCACTGTGCTTTCCGTATCCTCAAGTTTGTGGAACAGGGAGTAGAGAGCACGCGGAATGATTCCTGCATCGTCGGATAAGATGCCCAGTGTATCGGTCATGTCTCCTGACATGGTGTATGTCTTTCCTGTTCCAGTCTGCCCGTATGCGAAGATTGTGCAATTGTAACCTGCCAACATCTGCAACGAATTAGCGCAGCACTCTGGTTTGTACACAGGAACTCTGCTTACCTCGTCGACAATCGGTACAACAACATCGTCGAAGACCGTTGTCTGATCAGCGGCTGGGGAGAAAACCTTGTCGAAAGCATATGTCTTATTTGAAACCGCGTTCGGACCCATCGAGAGATCTAGAGTCTTGCCCTTCACACCTTCTGGTGTAGATAGAACAACGCCATTGTTTTCTTTAATCTCCCGATCACTGCGACCACGACAGCGAACCACCACATGAATGCTCGTGTCCTCGTTGATCTCGCGTTCAAAGTCTTTCTCCTTTCTCTTACTCGCAGCGCTTGATTTCTCGGGGCTTCTCGCCATACGCGATGCACTGATCGCGGAAGACCTCACTGACGGCGCAGTGATTGTAGGTGTAGCATGGCGTTCTGGAGCTGCCGAACCCGCTCGTCGAACCGGTTGGCGCAAACCCGACCTCCTCGTGGTGGTGGGGAGGGTGGAGGGAGGCCTTGGTGGGCCAGCCATGGCGATAATGCGGCACTCGGAAAATGACTGCAATATTGTTTCGGGAGAATTTCCGAGGTTTCGATGTCTTGAGAAACGATTCAAAACTTTTGACCTGGTGTCTCCGTCTGCCAGGGTTGTGTTTATCAGTGGACCTCCATCTCAAATGGGAAAACATAAACAAAGCTTACATAACCAGGGTCATTCCCCGGGGTTCTGATCCGCGCACCATCGATTTGCCCATTTGCACCATTTTACGTCAGCATTTTCGGAGGATGTCGGATAAAGTCATGTGATCTTCAACATCATCTATGAATGTTGGTTTACAAGACACCCCAATCGGGGAGGCTACTTGATATTTTACTTACATCTCAATATCGATACCTTAGAAGCACTGACTATTTGGTCTTACCAGATTGAATCAACCAATTCTATTACCCAAAATCGACATATCTTGGTATATCAAGCCTGTTTTTTACGCCTAACCAGCCCAAATTCTATCTCCGACATTGCCAGAACAGCCAAAAAGCGTGGAGATGGTATAATTAGAAAGATGAAGGGGCTAAGGATGAAGTAGAAGGCTCCAAGTAGGTGCTCGGCGTGCGGGGAGGGCAGTCATACGTCCAGGGGTTGCCCAATGCGGAAATAATGAGGTTACATTTGTTCCTGTTTGCTATCATGTATGATATCGGATTGATAGATGAGGTTGACAATCACATGACTTTATCCGATAACACCCGAGATTGCTGACGTAAATTGATGCAATCGTCAAAATCGGTGGTGCGTGGATCAGGACCTCCAAGCCCCAAAATCTGTTGTGCGCTGTAATGAAAATCAACAAGAATAGATTCTGGTCCAATGATAATGATGGATTGGATGATGATGATGGTAAGATGAGTATTGTACAGAAGGGGTAACACATAGATCCTCGACACACCGCCTTCCAGACCCGGTGTAGCGCGGACCAGAACCCCATTCCCCGGGCCCCACTCTCACATGACTTGGTCGGGTGAGCTTATCGTCATCCGTCCTTATCGCTATTCCCCCCTCATGGGCGCTTCCCTTGCTTCCCCAGGGCTTCTCCCTTTGAACTAATAACCATAGCTCGCATATTGTATGGATTCCAACCAGCCCATATCTTTTGGGCCATGAAAACATACAACCCAATATGACTACATCTACCACCACACCACAGGCGCAAATATTCCCCGGGAAAGGGCTTGGGTTTATCAGTACGTCTTTCTGTCTGACCTATCTGCGCGTCGAGTGACTCTTTTTTAATACTTTAAAAGCCCTGGGCGCATCCCTTCATAATGTCCTTACCAGGGTGAAGTCGTATCCTCAATCCTATCCCGCCATCGACCTTGCCTATTCTCCCGCAGATCCGCTTCGCAAACCGGTGGTGTTACAGTTACCCTCAAACGGCCTACGCCTTCGTTTCGACGGCCCTGACCAGAGGCTTCGCTTGATTGAAGTCCTGGACTTTTCTCGAGTGAACTTAGTCTACAAGAACCAGGATGTCCTCAAAGGTGGGAAGTCAACAGAACAACCCGTGTCTCCGCACGGCCCCAGTTTCCGGCATGTCTACAATCGCCTGTTTGGTCCCTCATACCCAGGAGAATACGTACCACCGGCAGATCCGTCACCGTATGGCACCTATGTGCTTTCATATCCCGGGATCGCGTTTTCGTTCCCCCTTCAACATTCGGCCTGGTCCGATCAGTGTGATTTTGTAGCGTTGTTATCCTCTTCCGCTGCCCTGCCAGCGACATCTATGTCTATCTTCCACGGGTCATCATGGCCTGAAGTTCGAGCCAAATTATTCACACAACAACCACAGTATCCACGATCGTCAGCTTTGATAGGTAAATCCCGTGAGTCGCTCGCGGATGAGATCGAGGAGTGGCATGTTCTTGGCGCTGGAAAGCTTGAAGTGATCCGCCGGACGGCTTCTCCCTTGTATATAACACTAGGGGAGACGACGCCTCAGGACTTGATTGCGGATTTTGGGCCACCCGATGCGATCTATCGTAAAAATGATCGCCGAATCTCAATCCATCGTGCAACTGGAGGTGGGGACCTGCACTTGAGTCCCTCTCCAGGCAGAGGAATTGAGATTGCAGATGCCGACCACTCGTCGACTAACAGTGTAACCGATGACTCGGACGATGATTTGGGTGCCTTTAACGTTGGGGACCTTACCTCACTTCCTGCAGAGTCGTTTTTGAACTACTTCCACCATGGATTTGATGCCTTCATCTCGTATCCAACGACCCCTGGACCTGCCTTTCCTGCCTCCGGCCTTCCAGATCCATCGGTTCCGGCCGCATCTTCCCAATTGACAGTTACAAAGATTATTCTTCATGGGAATGTTCCAGGTTCATACCCATTCAATCGTCATCGCCGAAGTCGCTGGTTGATTCCTTTGGATGATTCCGGCGACAGTCTGACTTCGGAATCGCCCTATGATAAAGTCTCCGAGCGACTGCGCGCCACTTGGAAAGGATCATATGCCAACCCTACCGAGGAACGTGCCCTCCAACGGCCAATGGTGCTCAATCGTGGTTGGGGGGACAGCCCAGAAAGCAGTGTTGAGTTTCTTGGGGGGTGGGAGGAGAGTACGGCTAAGGGTCCTCGCACTGGTGCTGATGGCCAGGATGGAGGCTTGGGGAACACCGAACTATTTGGATTCCCGGGGCTTCTATTTGAAGTTCTGAAGAATGGTGCTGTGAGTTGCTTGACAGTGTACTGATTTGAGACATGGGATCTACTTCAGCTTCTATTTCAACCATATCTGAATGCATTATGAATCATGACAATCCTAGACGAGTATCTCTACAAGCAAGTACTTACTCCAGACAAGTTTCCGCACAATTGAAAGATAGGGCTTGCGGAGGGGCCTAAAGGTACTTTCCGAAGATTCGGGGTCTTTTGGAGTCAAAGACCCCCCACGCCCCTGAAACGAGGCATATCCAAAACCCTCAGAAGCATGCGGGGACTGCGGGGATAGGCCCACTTGGAGATCAAACGAGTAATCGAACCCGCATTGATTCCCATTGGCTCCTCTGCTCCTTGAATGTAGATACTAGACACACTTTCCCGCGGGTTATAAAAAGGGGGAGGTGAAAAGGCCCCCGGGAACTTGAATTCATGATTCATATCCAATCTTGACTCTTGAGCATGGATATACACGAGCCACCAAGGGACGAGCCGACAGGCGAAACAAAAGAGGATTTGGCTCTTAAGCCTTCGCAGAGCTTGAAATATGATGTGGTGTTTGGGGAAATCACAGAAGAAGGGCCTAACTACCGCAATGTGCATACTGATCGGAAATGCGTAGCAAATCTCACCCTAAGCTGACCTCTCTCTAGGTTGGTTTTGTGGGAACTGTCATTCTGATGATGAAATACCAGATTGGCTTGGGCATTCTCTCCATTCCCTCAGCCTTCAATGCCCTGGGGATTGTTCCCGGTACCATTTGCCTGGTTGCCATTGGTGCTATCACAACGTGGTCCGAATACGTGATTGGTACCTTCAAGCTCAACCATCGCGAGGTATATGGCATTGACGATGCTGGAGCTTTGATGTTTGGTCCAGTCGGCCGTTGGGTACTGTCGGCTGTATTCTGTCTATGTATGTATCCTCAGCCAATAACACATCAACATCCAGGCCGTATCACTGATTGCACAGACTATGTCTTCGTTAGTGCCTCTGGTATACTGGGGATCTCGATTGGTTTGAACGCAGTCTCGACCCATGGCGTATGTACAGCAGGCTTTGCCGCCATTGCTGCCATCCTTGGGTTTGCTACCAGTAGTGTGCGAACACTCGGTCGTATCACCTGGCTTGCATGGGTGGGTTTACCGTGCATTCTGGTTGCGGGTGTGTTGCTTCCTTCACCTATACCCATTTTGAACACGCACTTACATTGTGTCTAGTCTTGACTGTCACGATTGCCGTCGCTATTGAAGACCGGCCTGCCTCCGGACCGCAGACTCAGACACCCTGGGTCTCCGATTTCAAGATATTTGGCAACCCATCTTTCGTTGAGGGTATCACGGCAATATCAAACCTCACCTTTGCTTTCTCGGGCACGCCTGGATTTTTCTCTATCGTGTCTGAGATGCGCAATCCTCGTCGGTACACGTCAGCCCTGCTTATCTGCCAGGCTGGTGTAGCCACCATCTATACCGTTGTAGCCTGTGTCATATACTATTACTGCGGCTCTTATGTCGGTTCGCCAGCGTTGGGCTCCGCCGGGGGGATTGTGAAGAAGATTTCTTATGGGATTGCCTTGCCGGGCTTGGTTGTCACGACAACAATTGTCATACATGTAAGGACGACTGAAACAGAGCAGAACAAACCACATCCTAACCCAAATCAACGTCGCACGCAGATACCGGCCAAGTTCATATTTATCCAGCTCCTCCGTGGTTCTCGACATCTCAATAGCAATACCCCAACTCACTGGATATACTGGCTCGGCTGTACCCTCGGTATTACCGTGGTCGCGTACATTATCGCCAGTACTATTCCAGCCTTTGATGCACTAGTCTCTCTCATTGGCGCCTTGCTTGGAACAATTCTCTGTTTCCAACCATATGGCTGTATGTGGCTATATGACAACTGGGCTACAGGCAGAGACCGATCAAGACTTTGGCTGCCCATGGTTTGTTTTAGTGTCTTTATGATAGTCTTTGGATGCTTCTTGACGGGTTCAGGCACTTATGGGACTGTTGTCGGGATTATCACCTCCTACGCTGAATCCGGTGGATCAGCGGCTTTCTCCTGTGCGGATAACTCCAATTCCACTTGAAATGAGGCAAAATGAAATAGAAATCATAGCACTGAATTGATGTAATTTAATCCAAAATGCTGGATAGCTCCCAGGTTGCCTCAGAATATGACAGAATGAACAGAATGTCATTTCATTCTAAGTCGAGGTATCCTCATATTGTACCTCACGAATATCGATCGAGTACTCGTACCCAGCAGTTTATAGTAGAGGAATCCGGGTTTAAAGAGCGGAATTTGAGGTCCCTGCAGTGATATACTCGAGAAGGTATTAGGCCGAAGATCACCCATACTCGATGGTTTGGGGAAAGAATAGCATCAAGGTAAACATCAGCTGCGTGACCAACCGGGATCCCTTCCGCATTCCCTCGGAGGGCATTCGATATAACAAATCAGCCTGGGTGTTGTCTGGTTGCTTGAGGGCCAATCGGCATGGAGTCCGGGGGTGACTAGTTCCAAGATGAGTTGGAGTATCCAGCGGTCTGCAGACCCGGGTTAGGGGATCAAGGTAGCCAATATGAGGCTCACGATATAGAATGCAGGTCTAGACAGCAGACTAAGGAGCGTTATTGATACCCCCCACATTCCCCTCAGCGGAGAGCAACTGAAGGCCTCGGATGTCGACGGAAGAAGGTCGGCTTTCTCAACGTGGCAAAGGATCTACCTTGATGGATGGAGGGTCTTGTAGACAAAGGGAAGTCGAGGGGATTTCGAGAAATTTCTCGTAGATTATGTATTTGCTTCGAATTATGAACATGTTCGGTCGAGATCAGTCCTCTGCTGGGATCATCGCCTTCGGCTATTTTATAGACATTATTTAAACAACCATTTTACGCGCTTAGCATCACCCTCGAGCCATACAAAACATCAGGGTTCACCCTATTATGTGCCTAGGTTCTGAGCCTCACACATCCTGGGATAAAGTCGGCCCCTGGCTAGTAGTTCCTCGTGGGTTCCGGACTCCGCGATCTTGCCTCCATCAAACACGCAGATCATATCTGCATGGCGAATAGTGGACAGACGATGAGCGACCGCAATGGTGATTCTGTCACCATGGGAAGCGGCCTCGTTCAGCGCATCTTGGACAATCCTCTCTGATTGTGTGTCTAAAGCGCTAGTTGCTTCATCCAGTAGCAATAAACGTGGATTTCGGAGTAGCGCCCTGGCAATGGCAATGCGCTGTCGCTGACCACCAGAGAGTTGTGTACCGTTGACCCCACAGAGGGTCATTAGACCATCAGGTAGCGAGGAGATAAAGTCCCACGCGTTAGCAGCCCGACAGGCAGCCTCAATATCGTTGTCAGAAACCATTGAGGCGTCATCAGACGGTGTGCCCATAGCGATGTTTTCACGAATAGTGCCGGGATAAAGCGTGGGCTCTTGTTGTACAAGTGCCACTTCACCTCGGTACAGCCATGGATTCAAGTGGTCTAGTGCAAGAGAGTCAATTTTGATGTGACCTGCTATTGGATCATAGAAGCGCTCGAGCATGCTGATCATGGTGCTTTTTCCACATCCAGATGCGCCGACGAATGCGACGAATTGTCCCTGTTTTATCTACATAGAACGTTAGTATGATAAATAAAACGAGACAAAGAAGGTTCGATGGAATCAATAGAATGTATGAAGAGCACGATTGGAGTTGGCATACATGGAGTTCGATGCCACGGAGTACGCGAGCATCAGGTCTCATTGGGTAAGAGAACTGCAGATTCTCCAACTGCAGAGACTTGAAGTCGCCAGGACCAATGTCGCGATTCTCGTCAGTCTCTCGAATGGTAGGCTGAAGCTCTTCAAGCCAAAAGATGTAGTTGGCCGCATTCACAGCTTTGGTCATACCTAAATGCTCATTAGAAACCCGGTTGAACCTCTGTGCTTGGGTGGCTCTTACTGCTTGAAAAGCCAAAAAGGATTGAAGCTTGCTGGCCAGAGAAAAAGACACTCAAAAAGGTGATGAAAAAGTTGACCATGCTCAACTCTCCAAATGAGACAAGTCTGCATCCATACCTAGACATCACCGTACAGTTAGCATCAAATCTCCCAAAGGGTGAGATATATGAAACATAGATAAAAGACTTACCAGAAACCAAGTGCGAGGAAGGAATATTCCACGGTTTGAGTAAATGCGAAAGGAAGCATGATGAGAAGCACTGGCTTTGTAGACGCCGCAATCGCATGGTCAAGCTCTTGGGTATAACGCTCCAAGACAGAGGTCTCAATGGCCAAAGAAGACACGGTTCGGATTGCAGTGACGGCCTCGGAGGCAATTGATGCACTGTTGGAAAACATTTTTGAAATCTTGTGGTCCATTTCGCCCTCTATTCTGATGCGAGCGTAGCCGGAAAGAAGCATGGGTGGAAGTCCTGCTAAGACCACTACAAGCCCAAGCTTCCAGGAATATACTATTGCTAGAATGGCGCATGACAATACCCCAACAGTTGAGACCAGGATCAGTGCAACGTTGAAGCCCATGAGCTCAAACACAGCCTGTGGATAGGAGTCGGCACGGCTGGTGAGAGCCCCCGTCGTGTTTTCGGGGCGATCGAAAAACTGCAAGTCCTGCTTCATCATGTCGTTGATGACTTGTTTCCGGTACTTGTGGTTCATGGTCTTTGATAGGTCCAAGTCAGCAGAGCTCAATCATAGATAGATATCAGCGAAAGAAACCGACCTGTGCTACAACGTTTGATGTCCATCCAATGACAAATTAAACGACAAGGGATCCAAGTCCTAGAACTAAAAACATGAGAGCGAAAAAGTTTCCTTTCTTCCGCATGGTTGCACCTGTAAATTGGAACACTTCAATAAACCTAGACATCAAGATTGCCTGGCCAGGAAATGAAGCAGCTATCAGTTGGTCAGCTTCGGTCTGCTGAAATAGGGCTCCAACACAGGCCAGTCTTACCTCCAGCTAGGCACCCCAAAAGCAGGATCGCAAACGTCCATCCGAGCTCCGGGGTCGATTTGACCAATCTCCAGACCGTTTGAAGAAGTCCCAATCTTTTCCAGTGGCCAAAGTCATCACGACTAATTTGCTTATCTGGGGCTGATCTTGTCAGAGTTGAGTACTGAGTCAACTCGCTGGTCAGCTTATGATGATCCATGTCTTCTTTTTCTTCATTGCTAGAAACATATTCGGAGTCCTGTGTGGCCACAGACAAATCCTGAGCCAGTACGAGTCTTGAATAGGCACCATTCGAGTCCAACAGTGAGCTGTGCGTGCCTTGCTCAAGGATGCGGCCGTGTTCCATGACCACAATGTTATCAGCATCTCGGATAGTGGCTAGCTTATGCGCAATAGTAATTGTTGTGCGTCCTTTGGAGACGTTGTTCAGTGCCTGCTGCACGATCTCCTCGGCATGGGGGTCAAGAGCACTAGTTGCCTCATCTAAAAGAAGGATCTGTGGATGTGAGATAATACTGCGCGCAATTGCAACACGTTGCTTTTGACCGCCAGACAACAACCCACCTCTCTCCCCAATGATAGTATCATACCCGTTGGGAAGGTCGGTGATGAAATCGTGGGCAAAGGCAACCTTGGCGGCCTCTTGTATCCGAGCTAGCTTCTGGGCTTTGGGTTCGTTTTCCCATGGCGTATCAACCAGTCCATTGGCGATATTTTCGGCGACTGTGCCAGTGAATAGAACAGGCTCCTGTTGAACAAGTCTAACGTGTTGACGCAGCCATTTGAGATTGAAAACTTCAACAGGTTGGCCGTCAAGCTTGATCGTTCCCGACAACGGATTGTACCATCGTTCAATCAGCCCAATGATAGTACTCTTGCCAGAACCGCTAGCTCCAACGAGTGCAGTTGTCTTCCCGGCAGGAATGTGCAGTGAGAAGTCATCCAAGACCTTGACGTCGGGACGCATGGGGTACGCAAACGAGACATTATCAAAGTTTATATAGCCTGTCACATCCGTTGGTGTCTGTCCGCACTCGTCAAAAGGATTGATGGTCGAGGTTCGATCCATGAGCTGGAATAGTTCTGATGCTGCGGAGGCAGCGCGAGTAAATTCAATCATGTAAGGCATAATGGATGTCAAGCTCGTAGCTGCCACGACTATGGACATGAGAACACTGCGATTATGATGATTAGAATGATGCATTTCTAAAAGGTATGAAGGTTCAACATACCTGAAAACATCCCCGACGTTCTCCACCTCACCAGTAGATATCATCCTTACGCCCTGCCAAAAGCACAAGCCAAATCCTGCAAAAATGATGGTGTACTCAACCGCAAAAAGGCAACCAAAAAGAGGCGATTTCTTGTTTCCAAGATGCCTTGAGGCTTGCAAGAACTTGTCAAACTCGTGCAGCAGCTGATTTCGAAGGCCAAAAGCATGTACCGTCCGAGTACTCGATAGAATGCTCTCCGCAAAAGCTCCACCTTTGGCCTGAACTTTGAGAATCTTTGTTTCAATCGAAGCCTCAATGGTAGCGGCTGTACCCAACACGAGGAGCGTTGCTGGGGCAATGCAGCAGCAGATAAAGGTCAATTTCCATTGAGTGACAAATGCAAGCACGAAGGCTGAGATGAAGGTGGATAGCCCCTGGACTACAAGCCCAAGTTTTTCAGATATCCCAGCCTGGATGAGTCGCCCATTCGAGGTTGCTTGCACGGCAATTGATCCACTACTGCCAGCATCAAAAAATGCAATTTCTTGGCTAAGACCTGCTTTCAGGTACAAGCGGCGAATGTTTCGTGCGATTCGGTATGCCGCCAGTGTAAACAATGTACTGTATCCATAAGTGAGGAAGAATCGACACAGTCCAATGATGAAGAAATAGAGACTAATCTTGCATTAGCCTCTTCGTGTTGATATAGACTTCTTCATTACACATACCTAAGCCTGCCCGCGTCGCTTCGGAATTTCGACGGATTAGCATGACTCGAGGTATAGTCGGTGATGACAGTGATGAATTGGCCAAACACCAAATTTACAAGTGCCATGCCAACGCCAGATCCCAAAGCACAGGCCGTAGCGCAGGCCTGCAAGGTATAGTCCCTGGGTGAGCCATATTGAAAGATTCTCTGTCTGACATTAATATTTTAGTCTGCAATAGGTATAGAGACACCCACAAGATAGCTCTTCAAAGCACCTGCTTCCTTCTTGGGTTCTTGAGCATGGAGCTCATCTTTCTCGGATTCTTTGGAGATATCCATGCGAAGTTGGACGGGCTAGTGTGAAGCCAACCTGGGTCTGGGTCATGTAATAGATCTGCGAGAGCATAGTCAAAATAAAAGAGAGAAGACCTGGGATTCTGTCTGCTTAAGAACCATGCCCACTCTGCGGGGTCTCAATTCTTCTTCTGCACACCCTTTTAGGACTCCGATGCCATTCTTGGCGGTTCAGGAGAGCAGCCAAGATTCGGAGTCCGCGGGACCCGAGCTACCCCGTCACGGGTTTCTGCCTTTGACGTCCATCGGAGGTGATTGGTTATGGGTGGTAGTGATGATCTAGGTGGAATTCTTTAGTTCCATCTAGAGCAATCCCCTACGCCTTTTGTCGACGTGGAAAGATCAACTTTCCAAGCCCGGGGAGAGGGGCGGAGTCTAAACCCTTTCGGGCATCGCAGTCATGTTTGCGCCAAGAGCCTCGTCGCTCCAAACTCCCGACCTTCCACTTTCCACTTTCCACTCGGACATGCTGGACAATGCCGGAACTGGCGCGGTCAATTCCCCGCTCCTGGACCTCGACCCTCAAACTTCCTAAATCCTCATTTCCTCCACGTGTGTCCCCCGTCGATCGGACGAAATACCTGAAACGATGCACCGATGAACTCTACGCCTGGCAACGCCGCGAAAGACCCGCCGACCAACCATTTGTCTTACATGATGGTCCACCATATGCAAACGGCGATCTTCATATTGGACATGCACTCAACAAGATCTTGAAGGATATCATCTGTCGTGTACAATTGGGTCGCGGAAAAAGAGTGCGCTACGTGCCAGGCTGGGATTGCCATGGGTTGCCCATCGAGCTTAAGGCTCTCCAAGGCCTGCGCGACATCGACATTACGAATGGATCGATCAGCCCGGCGGTAATTCGCAAATCCGCGCGGCAATTGGCAAGACAAACTGTAAAGGAACAGATGAAGGGCTTCCGTGGGTTCGCGGTCATGGCTGACTGGGAGAACCACTGGAAGACAATGGACAAACAATTCGAGATGCGACAATTGGGTATCTTTCGGGAGATGGTGGACCGAGGTCTTATCTACCGCAAGTTCAAACCGGTTTACTGGTCACCTTCGACGGGTACGGCTCTTGCGGAAGCAGAATTGGAATACCAGGACGACCACATCTCGACCGCCGCCCTGGTCAAGTTTCCTCTTGTTGACATCCCCTCGCATCTTTCTGAAAACCCTCTTCTCCGCGGAAAGGATTTGAGTGCTGTAATTTGGACCACTACCCCCTGGACGCTGCCTGCCAATGCTGCTATCGCAGTCAGTGACTCTTTGGAATACGCTATTGTCTTGTCGGAAACACATGGTCATCTTCTTATCGCCCAATCCCGGTTTGAATATCTCCAGAAGATGCTGAAAGAAGAACTGTCTATCATTGTGCCGTCTGTTATGGGATCCGAGCTAGCAGAGAGAACTACATATCGGCCTCTGTTCAAGGGACCCGAAGCTCAAGCGCAACCCATCATTTCTGCAGACTTTGTTACGGCTGATTCTGGCTCTGGTATGGTTCATTGCGCGCCCGGTCACGGAATGGATGATTACGAAGCGTGTCTTGCGCGTGGCATCCCTGTGTTTGCTCCTGTCAATGACGAGGGCAAGTTCACAGAGAAGGCCATGCCTCTGGATCCTACACGGCTGACTGGAAAGCCTGTCTTGGGAGAAGGTAATACTGCGGTATTGGAATGGGTCGAATCATGTGGTCAGTTGCTTGCCCAGCATAAATACGAGCACAAATACCCTTACGATTGGCGTTCTAAGCTTCCGATCATTGTCCGGGCCACCGAGCAGTGGTTTGCCGATGTGGCCGATATCCGCAGCAGTGCTCTCCGGGCCTTGGAAGATGTTCGTTTCGTGCCTGAGACTGGAAAACACCGGCTGGAGAACTTTGTGAAGAACCGCAGTGAATGGTGCATCTCGCGTCAACGTGCATGGGGTGTTCCAATTCCTGCAATCTATCACCGGACTACTGGAGAGGCTGTTTTGACCAAGGATAGTGTCTCACATATCATGGCCACCATTGAAGAGCGTGGCATTGATGCCTGGTGGACCGACAGTGCGGATGATGCTGCATGGATTCCTCCCTCTTTGCGAGACGAGCCTGGAGCGGGGTATCGCCGTGGAACGGATACCATGGACGTTTGGTTTGACAGTGGTACCAGTTGGGCAGAGATCGATGTTCCCACTGAAGGACGGAGCCATCCCGCCGACGTGTATCTCGAGGGTACCGATCAGCACCGTGGCTGGTTCCAGTCCGGACTCCTCACGTATATTTCGCACCAACTCGGCTCGGGTGAAACTACGACACCTCGTGCGCCATTCAAAAACCTCATCACCCATGGGTTCACTTTGGATGAAGATGGGCGAAAGATGAGCAAGTCCATTGGCAACGTGATCCACCCGCAAACCATCATGGATGGAACTCTGCTGCCTCCTCTCAAACCCCGCAAAGGCAAAGGGAAGAAGCAACCCGAAAACCAAGAACCAGTGTACGACGCTCTTGGTCCCGATGCGCTTCGCATGTGGGCGGCGAGCAGTGACTACACACGCGACGTTGTGATTGGAAAACAGGTTCTCCAGACCGTCAATACCAGTCTCCATAAGTTCCGTGTCACCTTCAAATTACTGCTGGGAGCCCTTGCCGATTTCCGTCCAGAAAATGTTCTCCCGTACGAACAGCTGCAGCTAGTAGACCGAATTGCCTTGAAGCATCTCTCGGATATGGTCCTCACGTCGCAAAAGGCATGCGACAATTTTGAATTCTACAAAGCTGTCAACACTATGAACCGCTGGGCCAACCTTGAGTTTTCTGCTTTCTATATGGAGGCGATCAAGGACCGGCTTTACACCCTTGGCGAGGATAGCACAAGTCGTCGGGCCGCGCAGACGACCTTGTTCTACATCTATCGTTATCTACAAGAGGTGCTGGCCCCTATCACGCCCGTTCTTGTGGAAGAAACATGGGAACATACCCCCGAGTCCATTCGCTCTCAATCCGAGCACCCCCTGCGGCGTCTCGTTTCTACCCCTGCTCGGGAATGGCAGGATTCATCCCTGGATACGAGCTACCAGGAGCTGACGGTGGTCCACTCCACCATCAAGAACTTGCAAGAGCAGGCCCGCAGTAAAAAGCAGCTTGGCTCCTCCTTGCAATCCTTTGTCCATATTGTGCTGCCCAGTGGCTCCGAATTGTTCCAGCAATACTTGTCGGAGCTCCCCGATCTCTTTGTTGTGTCTTCCATCACCCTGGCATCCCATGGTGATCCTCTGCCGGCTGGGATCAGCGATGCCGAATGGAAATATGAAGAAAGCTTTGAGCTAGGTGGTCAACAAGGTCAAGTGTACGTGCACGCGCCCGAGGCCTCCAAGTGCCCCCGGTGCTGGCGGTACGCCATTCCAGAGCCGGTGGCGATCGAAAATGCGATCTGCGACCGGTGTGATACAGTAGTGCATGGGCTGGAGGCCAATGCCTAGCTGCTGTACAAGCCTGTACTATATCTATTTTTTGTCTGTACAATATACAACTACTCTCCATCTTACCCGGTCGATCATCTGCAAGTGATCGCGCGCTTGTATGATTGGACGTCGCACATCGTCAAACCAATTTAGAATCTGCGGTACAACCAATAGTCTAGACCATCGAACATGCAGAGTCCGACAAATAACACGACCAAGTTGCAAAGTAAACGAGTGGTGATTGGCTATGACGACAGTGTAGCCCGGTCGATGACGGTGCTTCCAATCATCCCGAGCTGAATCCTGCTTTATGCAATCGTCATTTGCTTCATATACCGTTGGCTTTCTCTTTCCTCTTCTTCTTGTCAATATTCTTTTCTCTACTAACTCACTATGATTCAACCTCCATTTGATCAGTTTCCGTCTCTGACGGCACCCGCCACCACCTCTTCGGTGGCGCCCATTCCCACTGTAGTGCCAGGGTCTGAGGTCTACCAGAACCTCCACGATGTGGGAAAGCGGACTCTTTGGTATGTTTCTTTTGTGTATGGGTCTTTTAGTTCTGAGATCCTAACATCCACAGGGTTGTCACTGTGTTGATGGGCATCTCCTCGCTGGTGTTCTATACTCTGGCTGCCCGAGCTCCACTTGTAAGCTTACCCCGGAGGATCTACATCTAGACCTGCCTTGGCATGGCCACTGGGATATGTCTGACAATCATCTAGCCCAAGAGAATCTTCCATATTCTAACATCCTTAATAACCACCATCTCCTTTATTACCTACCTCGCTCTTTCAACAGGCCAAGGTATCACATTCCAACACACCACAATCCACGAATCACACAAGCATGTCCCGGACACACACACAGATTATGTGCGACAGATCTTGTGGCTGCGCTATGTGAACTGGGCACTGACACTGCCCCTTCTGTTCATCAACTTCGCCCTGATCTCAGGCCTGCCGGGTGCAAATCTGCTCGTTGCTATTGTCGCCCAGCTGATCGTGCTCGCAACCGGTCTACTCGGCACATTTGCAATTCACCAACGTGAACGCTGGGTCTGGCTGACCATCTCGTGTATCTCCTATTTGGTTGTGATTCACCATGTGGGCTTCCACGCGCAACGGGCCGCAAGGGGCAAAGATGCACAGACAAGACGGTTCTTTGGTTCTGTCTCTGGTTCGGCGATTGCTGTACTGGCATTGTTCCCTATGTAAGTGTATATTCGAAACAACATTATTGATTTGAAATGCTAACATGGGATTCTAGTTCCCTCGCAGCCGGTGCACTTGCGCTCAGGCTAAGTGTTGATACAGAGACCATTCTCTTCGCGGTGCAGGATGTCTTTACCCAGGGTATTCTTGGGTACTGGCTCTTATTTGCTCATGATAGCTCCCCCGGAATGTGAGTTTGCCATTGAATATCTATTTATTCCAAATATACTAACTGCTACAGTACTCTCTACATGGAAGGATTCTGGTCGCATGGCATTGGCAACGAGGGTGCTATTCGGATTGCCGATGAGGAGGGTGCGTAAGGGGAATGACTTATATTTCATTTCCGGATTGATTCCCAAGCAACAGGATATGATCTCTCAGTTCAGTTGAGTTGATCTCTTGGTTCAGTTGATTTTGAAATATATCTCACATGCTCATCAGTTTAGCCTTGGTTGATCAGTGATGGTGATGTCTATCTGCGATGTTTGTTATTGATTGTGTAGTATGATATTAACACTTAGTCCTACTAGTCTACTCTCTACAGAAGACGCAGAATAACTCAAACAATGGTTTTTTTTTTGATATTTTTAACTTTTTCTCCAGTGCACATTTGATAATTCTCTTACGGTACGCTCACCATAGTCCTCTCAACTGGACTCAGGTGAGCGCGCCGCAAGTCACTACTCTAACATTGGCCATTACCACGGCCGGGGCACCTCCGCAATTATGGGCAGGGGGGACTCGCTGCGGAGTGGCGAGGGGACAGGAGGCGGGGAGGGGGTACCCATCAGAGATGGCGTACCGACCGGAGACATAGTGAAATCGGTTGATGAGGTATCAACCGGAGATTCCCGACGCAGAGGAGACTGTGGAGGCACAAAGGTAGAAGGAGAGAGAATAGAAGGCCGAGCAGCCTTCTCAGTCCCAGCAGTGCCTGAAGTCGACGCTTGAATTGGGCCTCGGCGTCTGAAGCTGGGGGTATTGAATGGGGAGAGGTCGCGGAGGCGGAAGGAGCCTTTCTTCGGACTCTTTCCAGGGCTACTCTCAGCTGTCATCGCAGTCTTGGTTGGAGAGTCGGTGACTTCGCTCTCACTTGGGCTGGCGGTGATGATACCGCGCCGCCTCAGGCTACCGAAGGAGGGCAACTTGAAATGACCAAGTGAACCTCTCTTCAAGCTCTTCAGGGGGCTGTTTCCAGGAGTCGTGGGGGTATTATTCGGGGCCTTGGTGGGTGAGTTGGTGACTTCGAACTCGTTAAGACTAACAACAGGATTGATGCCTTGTTCCTTGGGATTGTTGGAGGAAGCCAGCTCGGGAAGTAAACAGAGGTTTCCCTTGGGACTCAAAGCCTCATTGATCTCATTCTTTGTTGGGCTATTATCCGGCGAGGTCACAGTTTTAGTCCGAAGGCTGGTGGAGGAGGACTGGGCAGTCGGTTCTGCGTACAGGACTTGAGAAGCTAACCATATATGTTAGTATTCAGTTGCATGGGCAGTGAAGTACCATGTATCAAACTTCTATGCATGCGCTTCAAGACGAAGAGTGATGGAGAATAATGCATACCTTGCTCCAATTGCTCGGTGGCAGCCCTGATGCGTTGGATTGCATCTCGCAAGATAGTATGGCCATCCTGAGGGTCTCTGGGGTGTTCAGGCTGTTCGTCCATGGGGAAGTGACCGTATGAATCTGCTACTTCTGATGATGATGAATTGGATTGTTCTGATGATGGAAGAAGCTGGCGATAGATGGGACGAGGATGGATGGGAAGAAGAAGATGAAGACGAAGATGAGTTCGAAAGATACTTGACTTTGAAGCAGCTCAATCGCTGCCTCCTCTGCGTAACGCGCGCAATAGGCAGGTACCGATCGAATAAACACTCAGGCAGCGATTCGATCTCGAAGCCTATTCCATCCCAGCCGCTCGCTTTCATTCTCATGTCTATTTTGCGTGTCTGCCTCCATGGCCTGTGTGGGAACATATCGCAAGCTTCGTTACAATACCAAGCAACTCATCCAAGCTCTTTTATTCACAACCGATGCTAGTTCTTGATGCAGATGTAGTTTTGGATGGGCCTCACAATCATCATTGTATATGACCAGGGTATTTACAATCAATGCTACTCGGTGGCTGTTGACTGATGGCCATCTGTCAATTGAATTCGATCTAGGCAGTGATATGATGAATGATCATCCGTCTCAACACAGCTTCTAAGCTTCTTTCCCGTGGGACTGTGATCACAGTTCTGCCCTTTATGGGCTTGATAGTAACACTTCGCGCAACTATTCTGAATAACGGAACAATTGGGTCTTTGCTACCTAGGTATGTCTTTTCTCATGACATCGTTATATACAGCAAGGGCAAGATGCAGATACAAGCCTTGGATGCTTGCGGTATACTTCGTGTTCAGCCAATCAGGAGAGCCTGGCAGGGCAGATCCACCGTCAACTGGCCGATTGCTTGGCATCCTTTGGAGGCCTATATGTAGGTGCGAGATAACTGCTAAGTGCACCGCTAGACTTCTACTTTAGATAGGATTGTATATCTAGTAATTGTTTTAATGAAAGCCAGGAATGGATGCAATTATACGTAGGTATACCTTCTTGAATTCCCATTTACATACATATAGTTCATCTGCATCAGAGAATCTCAAAGGCTTATGGTAAGCGTCTCCCTTTTTTTGACTCTCAGGAATAGGAAACGAATTTGCTTGATGCTAAATGAATTTCCTGCAGCCTATTTATTCTAGAATTAGGGGTCTGGTCGCACTTCTAGACTGTGATGCCGCCTTTCATGCTTTTCTTTGTCAAAGCATCCCAACCTACAGGGACATTTTCTAGGCTCAACCTGCTATTCAATGAGCTAGATGAGTGGATATAGTGATCTATGGGCAAAACGGCCAGTTCATTTCCATCCTGCTCATACCTAGGGGCTGGATTTAGTATGGCTGTTTGCTGACTTGGCTTGATACACACCTACCTAAGCTTATATATTCGGCCCAAATGCAGGCAGAAGTCGGCACAACTAGCGATTTACACTCGGGGCTTCGTAGATGGAGTAGTCACTTTAATATGTGCACCTATCGATCCAGTTCTTTGCTCTATATTATGGACTGGCTAATCATGATGGTTTTGGAAACTATATCGTGCGGGGAGGTTGGAATCTTTGTTGACGTAAGATAAAAGCTCCTTCATACATCATCCCTATATATAGGTGTGGCCGGGTGGCATCCATATGGTGACATTAGAGATGATATTCCCCAGAATATGTTGAGCCAGTCTCGTGTAGCTGTAAATCAACCCGTCAAGCCGACTTTCCATCGAGGATCGGGTCATTGGGCCGCATGCCGAACAATGAAGCTGAATCTGAAGGTACCACGTCCAAGGTCTACATATATAAAGTCAAAAGTACTGCCCTACAGTCTACAACTACAGCTCAAAGAACATAATGGCTGGCAAATGGCCCGTGGACTTCGCTATTTTGTGTCCCTCCCCGTGATAAATACATCCAGAGCATGGCTGAGATTTCTCTCGCACACACGAACCATCTTTTAATCGCCTAGCACAGAGGGAGAAGTTTTAAAAGAAACCCATTGGAATTGTCGAACAAAAATCATGCATCATCCATAACCTAGTACTTCTTGCCCTGGCGGAGGACATCACCGAACTCCTCGAGAGGGCTGCGAATGAGCTTAGTCTCGGCCCAGAGGTTGGGGGTAAGGAAACCGTAGGTGTTGACGACAGCGACGAAGGTGGCCTTGAGGGTGTTCTCGAGGGTCTTGGTGGAGCCGGAGGAGGAGGTGTAGGCGTCCTGGACACCGGCGAGCTGGAGCAGACGCTTGACGGCGGGGGAGGCAACAAGGCCGGTACCGCGGGGAGCGGGAATAAGCTATAGTAAATTAGAAATCATCCCTCATGTCAATGGCCCTCTAAAAAGAGATGACCAAATCCAATATGACCTCTGTAGGAAACTTACACGGACGGAGACGGAACCACACTTTCCACTCTGCTTGACGGGCAGAGAGTGAGGCTCACCAAGGTTGGTACCCCAGTAACCGCGACGGACGGGGAGGACAGCGAGCTTGGCGATGGTGATAGCGGCACGGATAGCGGTGGCGACTTCCTTGGAGGTCTTGATACCGAGACCGATGTGGCCCTCGGAGTCACCGATGAGGACAATAGCCTTGAAACGGGTACGCTGACCGGCACGGGTCTGCTTCTGGACGGGCTTGATCTATAGGTTGAAATTTGGCGTTAGTTTCTGATCTTGATTCGAGATTTTCGTGTTTCGCAAGAGCTTCCACTGCGCAATTGGGTGCAATTGTCGCATTTCCAGTCGAATCCCGCTCAAATCCTCCAATTCAGAAAGTGTCGATCCGTACCTTCATAACCTCATCCTTGAGCTTGGGGAGGAAGAAGTCCACAATCTGGTACTCCTTGACGGGCAGAGAGTGGAGGTAGATCTGCTCCATAGAGGTGATCTTGCCGGCCTTGACGAGACGGCCGAGCTTGGTGACGGGCTGCCACTCCTTCTCCTCCTGCTTGGGGCCACGACGGCCACGACGGCCACGGCCACGGCCACCACGGTCACCACCACGGTCGCCGCGCGAACCGAAACCACCACGTCCACGGGGAGCAGCGTCAGCCATATTGATGTTGTTATGAAGCGACGGGGAGGGTTGTCGGGATTGAGTTGGTCGTCGAGTTTCACGCCGCTGAGCACTGTTTGCCCGAAATTTGCGCGGGTGGGCTAAGCGAGCGGGCAGCCCTAGTGGGGACCCTATGCCCTAAGTTCCTGATTGGGGAAGTGGCACGTGCACTTAAGGTTTCCAGGGCGGTGTCACCTGACTGGGCCCAGAAGTAGATCGATGGATCGCCGTTGTTTAGAGGGGCATTATTGACGCCGTTCAAGAAGGGGTAGATCTTGTTTGGTGGATTTGAAGCTATTAGGTATGGAGCTGTAACGATTTCTAACGATTTATCAAGTTTTTATACAAAACCCTGTCCTCGTAATGATGTTATACACCCCATACGTCACGCCAAAATCTGGTTCGGGCGGATGCATTTCCTATTTGGGCAATGCGACAGGGCAATCTCGACTCCGCATTTTCAAGATTGTTCCCCCAGTCAATAGTTCTTCGGCGTCTCCCTATCGCCTTTTTTTTGTTCACTTGTTCACTCTTTGCATTCTCCCTCGTCCTTCTTTTCTTCTCCTTCAGCTTCCCCTTCAGCTTCCCCTGATACCTTGATTCAATCGCCGCTATGTTGCGCTGGTAAGTTTCGTTTGGTTCTCACGTCCTTGAATTGAAGCTCAAAAGTTTAATCCAGGTACCAGTCCAAGTTGGCTAAGAAGCCAATCCTCACTGCGAGCATCACCAGTGCAGTATGTCTCTCTTTTGGTTCTTTCTTTCCGACAAGCTCCTAATCTTCCCTTGTCACAACAGCTCCTATTCGGAAGTGGTGATGTCCTAGCACAACAAGCTGTTGACAGGAGAGGCCTCGAGAAGCATGACTTCGCCCGCACCGGGCGCATGGCTTTATACGGCGGAGGTATGACCATAAGTCTCGATTGTGAAGTCCATTGCTAATCTGTGTCTTTTTCCCCCAGCCGTCTTTGGTCCAGTTGCCACTAAGTGGTTTGGTATCCTCCAGCGTCACGTTGTTCTCAAGGGCACCGCGTCCACCACTGCTGCCCGTGTCGCCGCCGATCAAATAGTCTTTGCCCCTGTGCAGCTCACATGTTTCTTGTCCTCGATGGCTATCATGGAAGGCGTTGATCCCGTGGAAAGGTGGAAGAGCGCCTTTGTTCCCGCCTACAAGGCCAACCTGATGGTTTGGCCGTTTGTGCAAGGCGTCAACTTTGCATTTGTGCCACTAGAGCTGCGTGTTCTGGTGGTTAACGTCATTAGTTTAGGTGAGTCCTTTTTATTCCGATGATTTAGACTGTTGTTGTTATTCCGGTCACTAACCACCGAATAGGCTGGAACTGCTTCCTTAGCTTGATGAACAGTGGTGAGGAATTGTAATCTAGAAGTTGGCTTGAGATATCCTTGAAGTTTTATTGGTCATTGTCAGCTTGTTTATTGCTTTTCACATTGGCGCTCTCTTTGTATAAGAATTTCGGCTGTTGGGTTCGGTGCTCGGGCATCGTGTTCGGAAAGATTTTTCTTCTGCACTTTTCACTAAGTCAGTCTTCAGATAGAATAGATACCATAGATATCTCCCAATAAATACTGCTTAATCAAAATGAAAAAAATAAAAAAATAAAAGCATCTCTGCGACTGGAGTAAGAGAAAAGTGAGATCCGATATAGTCGCGGTGATACTGATTATGTTACGGAAGAACCCAAAAGAGGCAAGGCAAGTTTTTGTGGCTCGAACTTCAAAACTTCCACTCTTTGCAGTCAATTGTTGCCCACCTCCACTGTCACCTCACACTGCCTGGAGCAGACTATTTACTGCTGACTCGATCCAGGCTCGGTTTAATCTGACCTTCTTTGTGTGAAAAGCCGATTTGCGCTTTCCCCGAAATTCTCGCCCCTCCGACCTTCCGACAATTGTCTCCCCTCTTCCTCCACTCCACATCCATTCACCATGACTTCCGTCGCAGAGAATGGTACTCCGGCTGTGGCCGATGAGAACGCTGCTCCCGTCGCCGAGACTCAGGGTGATGCCGTCACCGTTTTCCACAACGCCGATGACTTCAACGTGAAGCACCCTCTTATGCACGAATGGACCCTGTGGTTCACCAAGCCTCCCAGTGGCAAGGTATGTGACACCTGTCAGATTTTGCTGTATCAGCTTGCTAATCAATGAGAATAGGGCGACAACTGGAACGATTTGCTCAAGGAGGTTGTCACCTTCAGCTCCGTTGAAGAATTCTGGGGCATCTATGTATGTTGGATCTGAAGTGTTCTCCCGGTTGATTATCATACTGACCTCGATCGCTATTAGAACAACATCACTCCCACCTCCGAGCTTGGCCTCAAGGCCGACTACCACCTCTTCAAGAAGGGTGTACGACCCGAGTGGGAGGACCCCCAGAACAAGCACGGTGGAAAGTGGTCATACCAGTTCAAGGACAAGCGCTCCGTCCCCATTGATGATCTCTGGCTGCACGCGCAGCTGGCCGCGATCGGTGAGAGCCTCGAGGAGGATGATGACAACGAAGTTATGGGAGTGGTCGTGAACGTGCGCAAGGGCTTCTACCGTGTTGGTCTCTGGACACGCACAGTGGGCAAGAGCATTCAAGGCGACAAGCACACCCGCACACAGGCTCAGGGCAAGGAGGTCCTCGAGGCTATTGGCCGGCGGTTCAAGGACGTGCTGCGTCTCAACTTGGCGGATGTGGTGGAGTTCTCTGGCCATACCGACAGCGCACACAGTGGTAGCACGCGCGCCAAGGCCAAGTACACCGTTTAGGTGGCTGGCTATGATGGTGCGATGCAGATGAGGATGAAGAATGAAAGAAAAGGGGACGGATGGCGATGCGCAGATTTCACGATTACGGACGACACGAATCGAGGGGAATTGACTCGACTCGATGTGCGGTGCTGGGAAATTTGGGAGTGAATGACATAGGGACCGAGGTTTCCCCTTTCATTCCCCCCCCGCTGCACAGTTCTGCAGGGACGACCTGATTGCTTGCGACTTGTATCCAACTCTACCAAACACATTTTACGATGCCTATGCCGTGGTCGAGGTCGAGGTCATTGCCAGTATGATGGTATTTTTCTTACATTGTTCTATACAAATATGACCTATTCATGGATGCATTCAACTTTTTGGTGTTGGGTTGCTAGGGCTTTGACGAGGTCAATCTTGGAAGCACCTGGGCCAGCTTTGTAGAGTTGATCATTTTGGAGGATCATGCTGGGAGATTCCAGTATATCTAGAATTTGGCAGTTGCAGTCCATCACCCTGCGTAGCATGTAGTTATAGCTTTCTATTCTATCTCTCGTCATGATTGATCAGCCTCGTGGATTGCAAGCCTTGTATCTAGCCCCGAATTCCCATGTTTAGATGGGATTCAACATCTTCTATACCATCAATGGGTATCAATGGATAGACGACCCCTGTCGTGGACTGAGACCATGCAAGACATCCAATATACATGTACGTGTTAGAGTCATTACTTAAGGGGGGAAAGAGAATCCTTGCAAGCAATAGGTTGCTATCTGATGTCATACTCTCCAGCCCACTTTGATATCTAGATACATAATGTATCAACTAAGAGTTACCAGTCACCATATAAGATATATGGACATGCTAGGGTATTTCCAAGCAGATGAAAACGTCATTCGCTAATCTTTCCCACGTATTAGAGTGCTATAGAGGGTAATATACTCGTGGCGACTATGCTGGTCGATGATGCGTAACAGACACACTGGCTTAGGAAGAAGACCTTCTATGACCTTCTATATTAACGATGGCTCTAAATGGCTTGTGTTTGGTTCTGTTGAGAATTATCACGATAATTGTCGTGATGGGATATGATCTGAAGATATATTTCCCAGTTTCCGGTGGAAAACCAGCTCTATTTCTTTTGTAACGATATCCCAAAGACCAGATATGTCATATCCAACTCAATCATGGTACAGATAAAAGGAGACGATCCTTTTATTATAAGCCATACGGTGGGTTGGACAGCTGATGGCTATGATGTGACAAAGGCGGTCGTACACTACATCCTTCCACCACATCAATCAACCACCGGCCAAATTGTGCAGAATGAATTGTCAAGTATATCTTTCGCACCGATCTTATTACCTAACTGTCACACACGGGGAGCTGTACTGGCAGATTGCCTCTGAGTTGACTAATACAATGTTCCAACCTTGGAAGCTTCCTTTTTAGAAGCCGTAGAGGGCATATCAATCACCAAGCAATCAATTGGCCTTTAGGTATATATACATATATTCTTTTCATGCACGTCGACTATTATCATGTCCACAAGATAGTATGCTCCTTTTTCTGAGATGCATGCGGGAACCGGGATATATCCTAGCTGGCAATAAGGGCAACACAGTCATGTATAGAGCCATCAGCCTGGGTACACCCGCTTATTCAACATGGTCCAAAGACGAAGAGCTGTGATATTGGCTACTCCATCTATAGTCATGACACCGTGATCAAGACTTGAATGTATTGTATGTGTTCATTCCCAGTAGAGACTCGAAAGCGCTTTGGCATGACGATTCGGCTTAGACTTCTTGTACCTGAAAGGTAGGTGATTGATCGGATTATATGCCCTAATAGTAGTCGATCAATTGGTATATGGGCTTCACAGACTCCATAGAGGACGAAACAGACAGTTGACCGCATTCCTAGAATATAGGGGACGGCCACAAGCCCTCACATGGTTTCTGCTTGAATATGATATCAGCTCACTTCCCTCGAAGACCATGAGTAGCTCTTCCACCGCGTATTCTTCTGGCTATTTCGAGTGTAAGATTCTTAAATCTCAGCCTTTTGAACCGGGACTGGGACTATATAGCATTATGCCCCAAGGCTAATCGTATACGAATTTGGCAATCGATTTCATTGCATGTATCCACGACTAGATTACACAGCACAAACAAGCACCATAGGAGCAAAAAGGTAAACTGATTAGGATGGGGATATAACCAATCAGCAACTGATTTAAAAGAAATAGCGCGCGCGGAAGTCAACTCTGATATATAATAATGTACAAGCCACCCAGGATGACGATGAACTACAAGGGAACTACCCGCTTGGCCACTTCACCTGGGGCCACTTGGAGCATGTTTACTATGTTACTTGTAGAGAGCCCTAGATACTCCTACCCGGTAAGTGTCCGAAAGACATCGGGGACAGTTCATCCTATCTGATGTAATGGTGTCTATGAAACTCGACGAGGTGCCTTTGTTCTTTCCTCACTTGTAGGTTATGCTGATATCCGAGTTGTAAAGATGAAAGAGGGAAATCCTGCTAGTAGACCAATGAATTGATTTGGATGCCAGGCAGGGATATTGATAATGCAGGAAACAGAAAGCGAGAGTCTTGAATGGGTGAATCTTTCATTGGACGGGTTTGGAAATGCCACTAAGGCTGTTACCCCGGAGTATTGCAAGAAGTGCGTCAGGCTGTGCCGCCTCAATGAAATCCACTCTGAGTCCAGGCTCACTGAAAGAGTAAAGGCTTAAAGGCCGGAGAGAGATGAAAGGATCTAGTCTTTTTGCTCTATGCTGTACAGAAAGAAGGCCCGAGTAAGCTAGCCAATAAAAGACAGCTTTTTCGGGGAGAGCTAAGCAATGTGCTTTCGCCGAAAATTCTCCGACCAGCACCGTACATATTCTTTAGTGATATCGTCCTTGCCAAGTCCCGACAGGAATAGTATCCTCTCGTTAAGCAGATTCGTACTCCGTACGGAGTACACGGCTCTGATACCCATAGACCTGTGGAGACGAGACCAATCGTTTCCCTTCGAGGTATGTATTGCGTAACTCGCTATTCTCACAGATGGTACGAAGTATAGCGATACATACTGCACAACATAGTTTGTTGTATGTTGTACTGAGTAGTTGGCGGGTCTTGTTTGATTCCACATTATGTATACCCCAGGCTAATCAAGACCAACATGCCATCTGTGAAGTTCCACCCAGTTGGCTTCAATGGTCCTTGATGCTGCCATGTCATTGCGTATGCTGTAGAACCCAATCCTCACGGTATCAGTGGGGGAACAGATAGCGATGTCGGAACGATCCCGCAAGGATTCTCGTATCGAGTCATTTACGATAGCAGGATGACCTTCAACCACTGGTCTTAAATCGCAGAAAGCGCCGGGGAACCAAGCCTTGCAATGCGCTCTTGCAACTCAAACTTGGACGAGTAAACTTGAGGTTCACGGGAGTGCAGTTGTAGGCCTGGAGACCAACGAGGTTGACGACGATGCGGCTGAGCCACAGACACTCTGTATCGACAACCCTATCCGATCCGAAAGACTCCGGGGTTGATGCAATCCGTACTCCGTATATAACCCGGATGCCCGCCGGTGCCGGGTATGCCAAGGTGCCAATATCTTAGCAGTCTTGGTGAACTCTCTCTTCCTAGGCACAAGGCCCTTGGCGACTGACCAGCCGAACGCCTTTTGGGGGAGCGGCCACCTCTTTGGGCGATCGTTAGGCATAATAATCGCCCCTATATTATAGGCAATCCTGCGGTTGGTGGACTGAAGCCCAAATACCCGGTCACAGCGAAGTCGGAGCCCCAAGAGCATGCGCCACGGCTTGGGGTTTCTTGGTGTTCCCTGGCGACGGTGTTATTTAGGAGCGTCTTCCTGCATCTGCGATTTCATTTTCGTTTTCTTTTTTCCTTCTTTTTTTCCCCTTCTTTGTTCCCTTCTTGTTTCCCCTCTATTACCATTTCAATGTGATGGGCTGACACTAATAGCACAGACTAACAGAATCCCTTATCATATGGCACGGGGCCAGTCTGCTCCACTGCTTTCAACCCCGTCGCCTTTTTACGAGAGAATAATTACCCCGGAATCAGCGAAGAAGGGACACTCATTTCTCTCATGTCATCGCTTCGAATGGCATTGGCTACCATGGCGAATCTTCGGTCCATCCCCACCTAAGGAAAGCGAGGAACAGGTGCACAACACTACTCCGGGGTAAGCGGGTATGCTGTGCCGTGAGACAGTGAAACTCAGCGAGAAAGGAATCAAGCGGGGAAGAACCCCAACGTTGCATTGCGCAATCGTAAGGTTGATCAGCATGCATGAGGTGCGGAGTACGATTGTCCTATTCGCTCCGTACGGAGGACTGCATCGGACGCAGTGCCCGGAAACGGATCCAGGAGTATGATCCCAATTCCCTCACACCACAGACTACACATGACTCCCTACACACCACACACAGCACACAACTTGCAAGATACCTAATGCCTATCCATGAGTCGGCTAGTCCGATCCCGAATATACTCCGGCGGGTTTCAAACACGCGGAGCAGGGGCTGTACTCCGGAGAGAAAAAAAAAGAGAAAAAGGCAAATAAATTCGCCACGAGGGCGAAATTCGACGGGCATGTCCTCGATTGGGAAATTTTCTACCTCACCGGCCATCACCGACTCACCACTATGATTCGTTGAGAAGCGGAAAAGTGGGCTCGGACTGGCCCTCCCAGTATCCCCAGATGCAATAACGCCCTGAGAACCAGTTCTGTCGTCGATCTGATTGATCAATCTACCGAGAACGCTCCACTCCGGTTTCTGCTTGTCAATTTGCAATTGTTCGCTTCCGTGTCCCGTTCTGGGGTTACATTCGTGGACTGGCCATTCACCGTCGAGCGATAGACTGCAAGGGCATCCACGGTCTGCAAACAAACCCATTTTGGACCTTCTCAGATGAGTCTTAGTGGGAGCTTTGGACGGGGATTCATTTGGCTTTTTTTTCGCTTTTTCGCTTTTCTTGCCTTTTTTTTTTCGCGATAGCAGAGTCAGTCCCCACTTCCGTCTCGGATGTTGGGTAATGGGAAAAATTGCATATATAGAATAAGATCGCGGTCGCTCTTCTCTCTCTTTTTTCCCCTCTCTGTCTGCTATCCATCTAAATCACGCCCTCTTGAAAGAGAAGGCACCGCGGGTCTAGTATCAGCCATGTCCGCAGATCGTGAGAATGGGGCTAATGCGTATGTCTTCATATACTTAAAAAGAATCCATGACTCATGCGGCTAACCCTAATCTCCAGCCCTGCCTACGATGCCGACAATGTTACCCAACATGTCGTCCTCAATGAAAAGGCCATGATGCAGGCCGAGATGGACAAGGAGAACCAGATCACCCCCGATGGTGGTGAACCTACCCTCTCGGAGAAGACTTCCCTGCGTCATGTCGCTGAGAACCTTCCCCTCTCCGCGTGGTTGGTAGCCATGGTCGAGCTGTGTGAACGTTTCTGCTACTACGGCATGTCCGGTCTGTTCCAGAACTATATTCAGCGACCTCGCGATGGCAGCATGGGTCGTGGTGCCCTTGGTATGGATCACCAGGGTGCCACCGGTCTCGTTACTTTCTTCCAGTTCTGGTGCTATGTTACTCCCATTTTCGGTGCCATCGTTGCCGATCAATACCTCGGCAAGTACAAGGCCATTGTGGTCTTCTGTTTCGTCTACCTCGTCGGTCTCCTCATTCTGGTCTGCACGTCTATTCCCACTGCCCTGGACCATGGCGCCGGTCTCGGCGGTTTCATCGTTGCTATCTTGATTATCGGTATCGGTACCGGTGGTATCAAGAGTAACGTGGCACCGTTGATCGCAGACCAGTACAAGCGGAAGAAGATGGCTCTCACCACCACCAAGAAGGGTGAGCGCGTCATCATCGATCCCGCCCTGACCATCCAGCGTATCTACATGATCTTCTACGCATGTATCAACGTCGGCTCACTCTCCCTCCTCGCCACCCCCTACATGGAGCTGTATCTCGATTTCTGGCCCGCCTACCTCCTCTGTTTCTGCATGTTCATTGTCGGCACGATGGTCATCATCCTCGGCCGCAAGACCTACGTCGTCCGCCCACCCCAAGGTTCCGTCATCACGGACGCTTTCCGCGCTCTCTGGATCATGCTCAAAAACCGCAACATGGACGCCCCCAAGCCTTCATGGCAGAGCGCGAACGGTGGCACCGCCGTCATCAAATGGAACGACCAGTTCATCGAGGAGTTGAAGCGCTCCTTGATCGCCTGCCGTGTGTTCTGCTTCTACCCCATCTTCTGGGTTGTCTACGGACAGTTCTCCGGTAACTTCGTCACCCAGGCCGGTCAGATGCAAAGTCACGGCATCCCCAACGATCTGATGCAGAACTTCGACCCTATCTCCATTCTCGTCTTCATCCCCGTCCTCGAGACCTGCGTCTACCCCATCCTGCGTCGCCTGAAGATCCCCTTCCTCCCCATCACCCGTATTTCCCTGGGCTTCATCGTCGCCTCGCTGGCCATGATGTACGCCGCGATTGTGCAACACCTGATCTACTCCGCCGGACCTTGTTATGGTACCCCGCTCTGCGATGCATCCAAGATCGACGGTGTTGCCCAAGGTAACAATGTCCACATCGCCATTCAGACCCCTGCCTACTTCTTCATGGGTATCGCCGAGATTTTCGCCTCGGTCTCTGGTCTCGAGTACGCCTATACCAAGGCGCCACCCAGCATGAAGTCCTTCGTGCAGTCGATGTACCTCCTGACGAACGCGTTCGGATCCGCCATTGCCGAAGCCCTTACCCCCGCACTCTTCGATCCCGCCATCATGTGGATGTACACCGGTCTGGCCGTTGCCTCCTTCTGCGTCGGTATCATCTTCTTCATCGTCTTCCGCCACCTCAACGCCAAGGAAGATGACCTGAACGCTCTGGATGCCGATGACGAAATGCCCGACAGTCCTGTCGAGTCACGACGCCAGTCGAGGGCTGAATAAAGCATTCCACATCCGGGGTACTTTTGTATTATCATCTTGTGACTTTTGATTGTTTTTTTTGGTTATCGCATAGGCATTGCATGTATTTCTACGCCGGGATCGTACGTTACGTTTTTCTTTTTCTCACTTGCATTGGAGCAGGACCCTCTATGTGTTCTAAAACTGCTGTGCAGAACGTTGAGATGTGGCATGATACGATACTTGGTTTAATCTCTAGTATATAAATTCATCAAATGGAAATAATTCATTCTATAAAGAGGGCATTCTTACGAGATTTAAGTACGTAGATTTGTACATGTACATGACTATTAACTACATATGTAACTATATCATATGTAACTACGTGTAGGTACATGTAGGTACATGGATGTCGAGAACGGTGAAGTGACCGTTGTTCGATCCAAAAAAGAGGAAGGAGCTCCTGGAAGGCAAGCTCGACCGGTTCGGGCTTTCCCGGGGCCAATATACCGGTCAACGCCTTTATGTAGGTACATATATGCTCACATTGTCATGTCTTTCATCTGGTAAGAACATTGAAGGCTGCATTTAGATCGATTTGAGGCTCAAGTCTGCACCTTCGGAATTCTCGTCCAACATCGAGAGGTCTTGGGGCGAGTGAAGTGTGATACATCCACGCCTATTCCACTATCTGCAAACCTTTGATCCGGAGAACCTGTACTCTGTACGGAGTACTCCATATATGTGCCAAGGCAACGATTTGTGATGGATGAGCAATGTGTCTGACCCACAGGATACGAGCCCTCGCACCCTATTATGCATGCGATGGGCTAAAAATAGGCTGCGTAGAATCCCCCAGGCCTCAGACTGATAGGATCAATGATATCAAGTTCCCCACACTTATGCGCTGTACTCCGTACTTCAGGTGTCAATCCACCGTTATAGTTGATGCCTGGGATGAGGCTGCAATAGCCCCCGGTATGCTGATTGGCCAAGTTTCACTGATATTCCAACCGCCCCTGCGCATGATATTTCCGACTCGTTGCCTGTCAGGGAGCAATTCGAAGGTGACTGGAAGGGAACTGGGCTGTACTCCGTACGGAGTAACTCCCGATACATTATGACGTGCAGGATCTCATCGCCACTGCTAAGCAAGTACTGAATACCGCTGCGGTAGTGGAGATTGCATGACACATCCAAGTACCAGGTACCATGGGAACCCAGGTGTCCAGCCGAATGCCGATCTGTCGGAAATAGAAGCACGTCAACCACACAGGAGGAATGTCAGTCTCGGGGTCTCCACTGCAAAATCGATGAACAGTGCGTAGTTCTGGGAAAAAAAAAATAATGTAGATAATTCAATTCCGAATGACTTTGTTGAGAACTGGAGAAAATTCTTCCTCTTGAATCCTTTTGATCCTTTCCCTTTGATGGGTCTGAATGCTTAATTCCCATCGCGACTAACACCCGGGGCTTATTGGCTTTGCTGTCCTGACACCGCCAGCGCTTCTGCCGCACCTCCACTTCGCCCCGTCTCACCCTTCCCTCCTTCATCTCCCCCTAACTACATATCACATTCCATCCCAAGACTCTGACAACCTATACACATCATGAGTGTGAGTGAACCAATGGGTCATTGTGTCTGACTGGAATCGATTTTCTGATCCAAATTTCCCTAGTACCAGAGCTTAGGGGATACCAACTCAGGCGGCTACGGCCAGTACAACCCCTACGGAAGCGGGCAGCAAAGCAACCCTTATGCAGCCCAGGAACAGCAGCAACAGAGCTATGGCTATGGCGGTGGTTATGGCCAAGCAAGCGCCGCCGAGCAGGGCAATGGAGGCTATGGTATGCCAATCCGAGCATCTCACCATGCGACAACCGAGACTAATTGTTCTACAGAGATGTCCAACATCAACCAAGGCCCTTCCGGTGGCCCAACCGCCATTCTGAACAAATGCAAGGAGATCAACGAGGGTATTACGGAGTTGACCAAGAAGCGCGAGAACCAGCTCATTTCCGCCCAGAAGGCCCTCCTGGACTCCAGCACCGGCAAGGAAGACCAGGCTTCGCGCCAGACACTTGACTACATCGAGGACGAAATCAATACTGCGCTGCGCTACCTGCGCGATCAGTTCAAGCGCGTCAAGGAAACCCCCGGATCTGGCGACTCGCGCGTGCAGGGTCAGGTTGAGAACGTCAGCCGCAACCTGCGCCGTGAGATTGAGCAGTACCAGCGGACACAGAGTGACTTCCAGAAGCGTCTGGAGGAGCAAGTGCGCCGCCGATACGAGATTGCCAACCCCGAGGCCACCCCCGAGGAATTGGAGCAGGGTGTGCAGAACGTTCTGATGGGACAGGAGCAGAGCTTTGTTGTATGTCTTTCCCGAATTGCAATTCCTGCAATTCCTGCGGTCGGCCGCTAACTTGTGATAATAAATAGGTCCCCGGCACTCGCACTCGTCAGGCCAACGACGCCCGTCAGGCTACCCTGCAGCGTTCCGCTGCTATCCGCAAGATCGAGCAGGATTTGATCGAACTCAGCCATCTGTACAACGAGGTTGCTGAGCTGGTGCACCAGCAGGAGCCTGCAGTCCAGCAGATCCAGCAGGGCGCCGAGGAGACACACCGCAATGTCGAGCAAGCCAACACCAAGCTTGACAGCGCCATTCAGAGCGCAAAGAACGCCCGGCGCTGGAAGTGGTACGCTTTGATTATCATCAGTAAGTTCCAGCTGTCTGCACACTTGCCCATGGATGAAATGCTAATCAAAACGGCATGTAGTTATTATTATTGCTATTGTCGTTGGTGTGGCCGTCGGTGTCACTCAGGCCAACAAGAGCTAATAATCTGTCGCCCTGCATCTGTTCCTTGCCCTTTCTCTGTACGACCTTCGCCGGGGATCGACGCATCTCCGGATCTTCCCATTTGTCTTTTGTCCCCTCGTTGTTATACCACCCCGTCGCATTTCTTTTTCTTTTGTGTAAAAGCAACGTCTCCGAATTGTCTTTTCCTTGTGTGTTCCCCCCCCTGCTTCCTAGCTGTACCTGCGTGTTCGTGTACAGCTGCTCCGCGTCTAAATCCTACGCGATCGCCCTTGATGATTGTGTTTGCCTCGGGGCCCGCGATGTCGCGGCGCATGGATGTATATACTAGATTGTTGCTTTCTGTCGGACCTCCTGTTTGGTGCTAGACTCCTTGTAATACTCTCTAATAATCGATTTTTTCCCCCTTATGATAGGACGTGATAGCTCCCGTGTATCGTCGCTAGTTCATGGCTGGGATTGTATAAGGGTCATATGTGCAATGTGCTGTAATACATTTCGAGTCATCGTCTTGGGTATCCGACTCGACGAACTGAATCAGAAGAATAACAAGCAATCAAAAACGCCGAATCAATCCACTTCTTATGCCTTCTCCTTCCTCTCCTTCTCGCGCTGTTCCTCAGCCGGGGTCTTCGTCTTGAGCTGCAGTGCATGCAGGCCGCCCTCCCGAGCCATCTCTTCCTTGAACAATGCGTAGACCATGCGGTGCCGCGCGGGTTGCATCTTGGACTCGAAGGAATCGGAGACAATGGTCACACTGCGAGACATTAGACACTGATTCGTGGTATATGTGGTTGAGGATGTGGGGAACGAACTGGAAATGGGTCTCCTTCGACACCGAGCCTTCCATTGCGGCGTGGTGCGCATGGAGGTGGGAGTCGTTCCGGATCTCGAGTTTCGAAGGTGTAAACGCGTGAGCGATCTATAATAGCGGAGTATACGTTAGGAAATGCAAGAGTCAGACAAGGAGGGATTGGCTTACCTTGTCACGCATCACATCCTCCAACGGCGTAGCGGAGGACATCCTGGCAGAAACAGAGAAGAGACGGCGAGGAAGCAAGCCCGGAAGGGTTCGAGGAAGCATTGAGAAGAAAAAGCGAGCCGTGAGGGAGAAAGTGCAGAAGAGAGAGCGTAGAGACCGTCGAAGGTGTCGCCAATCGGATGTTTTTGATTTCCGCGGAACTTCCCATCTGATGACATCAACTTCTGCACTCGCCTCTGCGCCAACGCCAATGAGATGAATTTGTAATATACACGTTCACAAAAATGTCTAGCAGTTTACTCTCTCTGCTTTCGCGCTCGCGTGCGCGTGTCTGCCTCCACACCCCGCGGCGGATTCCTGCGCTCTCCAGCGTGAGACTGTTATCGACTCTCCCGAATACGCATATCTTCCGCGCACTTCAGAGCCATGACCCCGAGAGCTTGGCTGTCGTACACAGTCTCTCGTCACGATCGTTTACATATGGTAGTTTAATCGCCGATGTCGTCCGCACCAAGGATGATCTGGAACGGAAGGCTGCGAGAGCGCAGGGCCAATTGGTGGGCGAGCGGATTGCGTTTCTCGCGGAGAATAGCTATGACTACGTAGGTACTGTTGTCTTATCTCCCCATCGAAGGAGTTGTTCAGATTGCTAATTGACCTATAGTGACACTGCTGGCGATCTTTGCTAGTGATGCTATTGCGCTGCCGCTCTCTCCGTCTTTCCCGACTGCGGAACTGAAGTATATCTTGGACAACTCGCAGGCCAAGATGCTGCTTACGACCGAAAAGTATGCGGATAAGGGCATGGAGGTCTTGCGGGAGGGACTCGATCATGAGCCTATATTCAATGTCCGCAATAAGCTCACAGAGAGCGCATCAAGCGAGAGCGTAACACTACAAGACTTGAAGCAGCCTTCGTCTGGTGGAATGATGTTGTATACCTCTGGGACTACGAATCGACCGGTAAGTCCAGTTTACCCCGTATCCGAGGCACTATCATTAACTCGGAAACAGAAAGGCGTACTCATCCCGCAGTCGGCACTAGCAGCGCAAGCATCTTCATTGCTAGAAGCATGGAAGTACACACCGAATGACCGACTTCTACACCTTCTCCCCCTCCACCACATCCACGGCGTGGTAAATGCAATTGTGACCCCATTAGTAGCAGGGTCATCAATCGAGTTCATGTTCCCCTTCAACCCAGAACGAGTCTGGAAACGCCTAGCAGCGCCCTTCCTCCCCTCCACCACAGAATCGCCCATCACATTCCTCACTGCCGTACCAACAATCTACAACCGTCTCATGACCACCTTCCCCAATCTCCCATCCGAGATCCAAGACGCCGCAAAAGAAGGCATCTCCCCGCAAAACCTCCGTCTCAGCATCTCCGGCTCCGCCGCCCTCCCCACACCAACCAAGTCCGCCTGGACAAACCTCAGCAACGGCAACATCCTCCTCGAACGCTTCGGCATGACCGAAGTCGGAATGGCGATCAGCTGCGGTCTCGACAACGCAGACCGAGTTGACGGCAGCGTCGGCTGGCCCCTACCAGGCGTCGAAGCCCGACTCGCCGATCTCGAAACCGGCGCAGTAATTCCCATCGACGGAAAAGATGCCAACGGCCGTGAACGCGAAGGCGAGATCCAGCTCCGCGGCGAAACGATCTTCAGCCATTACTGGGGTAACGAGAAGGCCACGCGGGAGAGTTTCGTTCAGAGCGACGATGGCGGTAAACCGTGGTTCTGCACTGGGGATGTTGCTGCGCGACGAGTAGTTGATGGAGCTGGTAGTGGGACCAGTGGTGATTGGGCTCGGGGACCGATGTATTTCATTCAGGGACGGAAGAGTGTTGATATTATCAAGACCGGTGCTGAGAAGGTCAGCGCGCTGGAGGTTGAGAGGGAGTTACTTTCTCTGTATGTTCTTTTCTGCGTGATTTCATTGGAATATCCGTGCTAACAATGGTTTAGTCCCCAAGTTACTGAAGCTGCTGTTGTCGGTCTTCCTTCTGAACAGTGGGGACAGAAGGTTGCTGCTGTGGTTGTTCTCGCTCCTGACGCGGCTGCTTCAGGTCGTAATGGTCGGTCCTGGGGACCGATGGATATGCGACGGGCATTGAAGGATCGTCTGGCGGCGTTTAAGACGCCACAGGAGATGAAGGTTTTGGAGGCTATTCCCAGGAATGCAATGGGGAAGGGTGAGTTTCTTTTTCTTTACTTCTGGTTGGTCTCTTTACCCTTCCAATCGGGATGCTAACTATGTGTATAGTCAACAAAAAGGCACTTGTCAAAGAAGTCTTCGGTATTTAAGACTGACAAGGACTACACTGTACTATCAAAACTTAGAAATATAGAGGTGGGCTTCTGGCAATCTGTTGATTTATTCACTCTCTACTCAAGCAAAATCTGTACATTATGAAATGAACATTGAAAATTAAAGTCACTTGTATTCAAAGAGTCAAATTGCCTGCTCCTAGTTCCAGATTCGTAGCTTCATATCAAAAGGTCTGTTTTCTACTGCCTCCCCCATTCAAATAGAAATCAAAGTCTGCCAAAGACCATCTAGATCTTACGCTGAACACCCCCAGTCTCAGCACGAGTCACATTTGAGTCAACCCGGGGGTCGAGCTTGTTGGCGATGCCAGAATCATGCAGTCCAGTAGCTCCAGCACCACCAGTAGCGCCGGTAATACCAGTAGTACCGGTAGATCCAGTAGTAGATCCAGTAGCAGGATGATTGTAACTACTACCAGCAAAAGCATCCCGGTGACCGGTACTACCAAGACCAGTAGTATCAAGTCCAGAACCCCCAAGCCCGGAACTGTGAGGAGCAGTAGTATCCCGAGTATGGCTACCGTGAGTAACAGTACCAGGCCCAACGCCCGAAAGCGACTGGTGCTTAGCGCGGTTATCGCGGTCCGAATCGACGCGGGGATCAGCCTTGTTCGCAAGATCGGAGCTGTGGGGACCAACTGTGGCGCTGCTGGTGAGCCCTGAATCGGCGATGGCTTCATGGCGCGCGCGATTGTCGCGGTCGGAGTCCACGCGGGGGTCGAGCTTGTTGGCGATGTTGGAGCTGTGGGGACCGGCGTTGTCGCTGCTACTGCCGGGGGTGTTGTAGCTAGTAGTGCCAGTGCCGGTGCCAGTGCCGGTGCTAGAGCCCAGAGTCGAGCTGTGAGAGCCTGTAGCAGGGGTAGTGCCGTGAGTGCCGTGAGTAACACCGGTTCCAGAGCCTAGAGTTGAACCGGGAAGACCTGTAGCGGTGGTACCGTGGGTGCCGTGGGTGCCGTGAGTAGATCCAAGACCGGTGCTGGTGCCAGCACCAGTGAAGGGCTCATGACGAGCGCGGTTGTCGCGATCAGAGTCGACACGGGGATCGGCCTTGTTGGCGATTTTGGAGCTGTGGGGACCGGCGTTGTCGCTGCTACTGCCGGGGGTGTTGTAGCTAGTAGTTCCAGTTCCAGTACCAGTGCCAGTGCCGGTGCCGGTGCCAGAGCCCAGAGTCGAGCTGTGAGAGCCTGTAGCAGGAGTAGTGCCATGAGTAGACCCAAGACCGGTGCTGGCCCCAGTACCAGTGAAGGGCTCATGACGAGCGCGGTGATCGCGATCAGAGTCGACACGGGGATCGGCCTTGTTGGCGACGTTGGAACTGTGGGGGCCGGCATTGGTGCTACCAGTTGTGCCGTGGGTTGTTCCCACACCAGCACCAGTGCCTGTCACACCCGATGTATCGTGGGTGGTAGAGGTGCCGTGGGTAGTACCGGAGGCAAGGGTAGATGTGTGAGGGTTGGTGGTCCCAGTAGCAGTAGTGCCAGTGCCAGTGCCAGTGCCAAAGTCTCTCGCCTTGCTGATATTCCGGTCATCTATACCGGTGTGGGCAGCACGGTGGTCTGGGATGGTGAGCAAGATGTCAGAAGAATATAAGATATATCTGAGATGGAAGTACAATACCTTTATCACTGTCGACACGGGGGTCGAGCTTGTTGGCCAAGTTGGATGAGTGAGGTCCATGGTTGGAGGACTTGGTCGACTCAGTCGACTCGTCCTTTTTACCAGTCAGGGCCTCTTCGGCCTTTCGTACAAACTGCATATTGATCGGTGATAGAAGTTGATGAGCGTTGATGGAAGTTGTTGGTAGCCAGATAGTTGTAATAGATGGCTGATGTTGGAGAAAGTCAGAGACGATTTCCCCAGGAGGAAAACGTCCAGCTATTTATATCTCTCAATTGCAATAGGATCTCGAGAAGCAAACATTTGCAATGACGTTTGTGTTCCCAGTGAAGACGATGTGCAATCATTGCACATTGACCGCAGTATAGCCAAGTAGCAAACACCTGCATTACGGTGCCACCATCTTCCATTGGATGCATCCATGAAGAGAAGGACGTCTCTACCCGCCACTGAAATCACGGCTGGTCACTCAAATGCCAAAATAGAAACTCGGCCTCGAAGTAGAAACCAGGCCAGGATCCTGGATGTCAATGTCCCCGGTGACGTCATGTTCCAGGGCCCGGTTCTGGCCAACGCCAACTGTGTATATCAAAACAGCAGACAAAGGTCCTACTGGGCATATCCCAGTCAATCGAATTCTATAGTCAGCATGGATTGAAATGAGATCACTGTGGCTAAAATGGTTGTCCTTGTTATCTCGATCTGCGTTCCTTGATAGAGCTGCGAGCATGAGGTGAAGGGAACTACCAGGTAGCCAGGTTATTCTTCATTTGACTACACATATTTCCAACTGAATGAGGTATCAGAGCTGAATATCAAGGATATTTGAGAACCAGCTGGTCTTGAGTGTTGGCTACGTCATTAACGTACCTAGGTCTGTCCCCTTCACTACATACACGTACTTACGAGCTACAACATACCTGTACTCTCTACCTTTCTTCCTTTGAGGAGAGTCACTTGGTCCGACAATGACAATATGATAGACTTCATATTACCATTTAAGCTATCTACTGGTATTGATGCCTGGCGCTTTAGGCCAATGGCTGGAAATCTACTAGTCTCGTTTGCCCTGACATGTAGATCGGTATATTCCCACTTTAGTATATAGTTTCTTAAACCGTAGCAATCCAAATTATGACTAGAGATCTGTAGAGGAAGTTCAAAAGAGTTGAAGCAATGCCTCTTCCTATCCGTAATTTCCCCTGATTGGATCCTAACTGCATGTTTTCTCTTCCTATCTGCACAACATCCACCGCCCCATATTTCTCCCCTCCATTTCGGATTTCTCTAGATTCTCTACCGTTACCTGAATTTTCGCTTTGTCCTATAACAGAAGACCTTTCATGGAATCAACCAACTAGATGGATCCAGAGACTTGGCTGATTGGCCCTCTAGACAAATGGATGCAAGACCCCAATTCCCACCAAAAAGGACGATTCCTGAGCTATATAGCTGCCATTTCGCGCTTTTCTGCAGGTCTGGGCAGAAGTCCGACGCTGATGAGATACTTGGCACTCCTGCTCACAGCCGTTCTCAATTGCAATGGGGTGATACCTCGCTTCTCCAGCGAACTGCCCGCCACTCGCTCATCGTTCTGCAAGGTCTCCACCAGATGTGCTAGTGGCCACAGGGGATGCTTGTTCCGTGTTGTATCAATATCGGCACGCACCAGACTTAGCCATTCTGCCTCGCTCTTGGCCTTCAGTCTGTAGCCTAAATCCGCTATGATTGTCCAAAATTCCCTCCACGTCATGCCGTCCGTGGTATGCTTCTCGTAATCCGATTTCATCTCTGTGCTCGATGCTGCATCAATAACCGCCGTCGCCGTAGTTGTAACGTCAGTTATGGAAAGCCATCCATCCGCCTCGGTAACGTTGTACGCCCCTATTCTAATGCACGCTGCCACCAGCCGCCAAATATAGTCCTCGGCGTTCGAGAACCCTTCAGTTGGTGTGCCGATGACCCAGCCAGGGTTCATAACAGCGAGACGGTCGCTTCCCGATAGTCTACGTCGTGCCGCGCGCCTCACCACAACTTCAGCAACAAACTTGGTCTGGCTATAAGGGATGGCATCGGGCACTGAAAGTTCCTTCACGACATCCAGCTCTTCGTGAGGGTCCCATTGCCGCCCACCTGTGATATAAAGGAATCTCATGCAAGGGAGACCCAAGGTGAGCAGTACCAGCTCTATAGTTGAGCCGACATTTGCGGCATCTAGGACTTGATAATTCTTTGTCCAGTGTACCGTGGCACCGCTGTGAATGATTGAATTCACCGCTTGACCACTAGAGAGAGCATTCCAGCGTGTTGGATCAAGTCCCAGATGTGGCAGTGACAAGTCTCCCCGCCAGACCTCTAGTTTCTCCGCATGATGAGTGGTCCACCATAGCGCTTGTACGGCCTTTTCGATGGCGCGGTGCCTGGCTGCATCATCCGTTTCACCCCGTACAAGGCAAATAACGCGACTAACACGGCAGTCTTCGAGAAGTTGGCGTAGGATTTGGGTACCAATAAACCCGGTGGCGCCGGTCAAAAACACCGTCGAAGATTCCGTATCTTTGTTCATCAGTGAATTATTGTGAGTGATGTTCTCATGGCCGGCGAGTTCTCGCTGGGCAGTCAACACCCTAGTGTCATGTCGGTTGATCTCAGTTATGAGATTGGCATGAGTTGAAACTCCTCCGATGGGGCGACCTTTATGATCCTGCGCCTCGGTTACATATTGGGCCAGATCTCTGATGGTGGTTGCTTTGGCCATCAAGTATTGCATCCCGACTTGAACGTGAAACTTCTGTGAAATGAATGATGCCAATTCCATCATGTTGACTGAGTCAAGCCCAGAAGAGTGCAGGAAGATATCGCTCAACTCAATTCTTTGGCTCTGTGATTCGTCTGTTCTGAATGAGGGATTGTGCTGACTCCATGAAGGACGCATGGAATATATCTTCTGAGCCAATATGTGCGCTGGCTGCTCAGTCTCTAATATCGGACTATCGCGAATGGTTTCATTTGCAAAAGACTGTTCAGGGGTGCAATACTCTTGTTTTCCCTTAACTGAGAGAAGTTCCTGGCCCATGTGACGAAGTCGTCTCCGGTCCGTCTTCCCCGTCACAGTGAGCGGAATATCAGGCACGGCAAAAAACACTGTCGGTATCATGTAACTTGGCAATTGAAGTGCCAGTTTCTTCTTGATATCAGTGGCCATGGGGTGCTGTTTGTACGCAAAAGGTGTTTCCTCCTCAATCTTTGTGCCCTTCCGGCCGACCTGGATGAAGGCCACCGACACCGGTTTAAGATGACTCTCGCCCTCAGGAAGCACAATTTCGGTTGCAACCAAGCTTCGTTCTGGTGGCAAGCAGGCCAGAATATGATGTTCGACTTCTTCAAGCTCAAAGCGCTGCCCTCTAATCTTGACTTGAGTGTCCTTGCGGCACATGAAAGTCAAGCTTCCATCTTCGTTGTATTGTACCAGATCACCTGTTTTATAAAGGCGACCATGACGTCCAGATTGGGTAAGTGAGCCTTTGAGTAGCCAGCGAGGACTCTCGACAAACACTTCCGCAGTCCTTTCTGGGTTTCTCATATACCCATCACCAACAAGCGGGCCTTCAAGAAGTAATTCACCAGTACACCCTGGTAGCAACAATTGATTATGGTCCTCTGGACTCACAATCCAAGTTACCAAGCCCACGCCCTTGCCTATTCGACTGGCCTCCTCTGCGTTTGATATATGTGCATTGATCGTACTGATTGGTGTGCACTCAGCAGGTCCATAGGCATTGACAAGGTCGACCTTATACGACCGCCATCGCTCAGCGTCTCGGGTGGTCACAGGTTCGCCAAGTAAAATCAATTTCTTCAGGTCGTGCACTGCCCCTGGATCTAGCAGACGTGCAACTGTTGGGGTTAGATTGGCAATTGTAGGCCGCATGGTGGCCATGATGTTGCCAATGTTATCTTTTCGGCCTTTCTCAGAGGGAATGCAAAGACATCCTCCAGCGACGAGTGTCGCCATAGCATTGTGGACCGCGGCATCGAAAGCATAGGATGCGAAATCCAACACCCGGGACTCTCTGTTGAAGCCCAAAATCTTTAATTGGTGTTCTACCGCAGAGCAGAAACTTTCATGCGACACCAAAACACCCTTAGGCGCTCCGGTGCTGCCGGAAGTAAAAACTGCATACATTGTCCTCGCGGATGGCCGAGCTTGTGTCGCAGCACTCATAGCATTGAACGAGGCGGGATCTGGTAGATGCGATAGATCAGGGCCAATTTGAACTACCATCTCCGATAGCCTAGTACTCAAGTCCAGGTTGGCATGGGATGATAGCAGCAACTTGGCGCCCACTGTCCCGACTATCGATTTTAGTCGGGGCTCAGGAAGCGAAGGGTCGAGCAGCACGAAACCCGCGCCTGCCTTGAGAACACCAAGCATGGATACAACTGCCCACTTGGACTTCTCAAAACAAAGTGGCACAAGAATATCTGGTCCTAGTAGCTGTGGACCAACCCCAAATTTGACAAGATGGTCCGCTAATGCCGTGGCCAGTCGGTCCAGCTCGCCGTATGTGAGCTGACCATCCCAGGAAGATATAGCCATTGCCAGCGGCTGGTTCTGAACTGATTTCTCAATCATATCGTGGACCCGTGTTTTTACAGGTGTTGGAACGATACGATTCCAATCCCATATTTGTTCAAGGCTCTCGGGGGTGACAAACTCGATGTCCGCTATAGTGTGCTCAAATCCTGCGTTGTCGAGTTGCTTCATTACAAATTCAAGACCGTGCAGCAATGTTTGAACAACCCATGGTTTGATCACCTTCGAATCGAATCTCGCATTGACCATATTCATACCAATCTTCACTTCAAGCGACAGTGCGAATGTATTGACCCACTCGGGCTCATGATTTTCTTCCCACTCCCCAAGCGTATCCTCAGCGTGGTCACTTTCTCCTGGTTGAATCATAAGCAATGTCTGAAACATGCATGATTGCTGAGCCTCGGGGGATGTTTTAGCAATTCGATGTAAGCCAAACTGCTCGAAAGGGGTCATTTCTGTGGCTTGCTGCTGCACACCGGCGAGATAGTCCAAAGCTCGCTGGGATCGTATTGTCTTGATGTAAAATGGGACTGTTGCAATTGTTGGGCCTATGATCTCGTCGATACCGCGCAAAGGTGCACTGCGTCCTGATGTAGTAACACCGAAAACGACATTGTCCGAGTTTGTCATGCAGCTAGTTAACAAAGCCCAGGCAGCACGCACAAGCGTTGAGGTTGTCACATCGCCTGACCGGGTACTGAGCCATGGAATTTGATGCATTATCGTACTGTCGGCTACAGGACAAGGCACATAGGATGGAAGGCTCGGAAACGGGATGCAGTCACAATCCGCAAAGGTTTTGCGCCAGTATTCCTCCGTCCTTTGATTGTCCTGCTCCCCAATATACTTGACGAATGATTTGAACTCGCATTTTGGTGGTTTTATCGGGATCCCTCGGTATGCTTGATTCACCATATCTATCATAAGCGGCAATGACCACCCATCGTACACCGCGTGGTGCAGCGTCCACACAAACCATCGACGTTTGCTTGATGTATCCGTAACTAAGGTATAGCGTGCAAGAGACTTCCCCAGATCCATTGGGATTTTGCGGTCTTCTTGGATAAACCGGTCGAGTCCCTTTGCATGGCCCCATTGAATTTCCTCGTTCAGTACCAACTGCAAGTGGCCTAAGCTGTTGTGGTACACAATTCTGGTACGCAAGATTGGCACATTGCGGGTCATGTTCCCCCACGCCTGATAGAAATCTGAGATTTCGATGGTCGGCCGTAGCTCCAGGGTGAGCTGTATCATATATTCTCCCTGACGGTTGGATGAAAGCGATAGGAAACCTTCTTGTAGAGGAGTGCACGGGTATGCGTCCTCCATTGCGGCAGGATTCAGCTCATACTGAGCTCCAATCTCTTGAAGAAGTGAGTCCTTGTTGGGGCCGTCGTCAAAAAGACTGTAAGGAGGAATGATTTCCGGGGCTTTTTCAACCACAATGTGGCACCGGCTGCTCAGGCTGCTAAGTGTAGGGCACTGGAAAATGTCCGAAACTGTGAGCTGAATTTCAGCCTTTTGAGCCTCAGACACGACTCGCATTGCTGTGATTGAGTCCCCTCCTAGTCGAAAGAAATTATCTTCAAGTCCCACTGAGTCCGGGTCAATGCTCAAGGCCCGGCCCAATATTCTCTGTAACTCCAGTCCGACGCCTGATTGCGGGCTCGGCTTCGCGTCTTGAGAGTGTTTTTTCATGTATTCCTGAAAACAAGAAGTGCCAATTTCGCGCAGTCTTCTTCGGTCAAGCTTCGTTGTTACTGTCAAGGGAAACTCCCTCACAGAAAAGAATATGGTGGGTACCATATAACCTGGCAGATACTGGTATAGTTTGTCTTTGACTTTATCGGGGATATCAAGCATCTTTACCACGCGGACCGGTTCCAGTTCCCCCGCCTCCCTCCAAATCTCGAATCTTTGAACGAAAGCAGCTAAAACCGGGCCCGAACTCTCTCCTTCCGACATGATATTTTCAGCCACGATCTGCTTTGCTCCAGGGATATGCTCATGCAAGTAGTGTTCAATCTCCGCAAGCTCCGCTCGTTGTCCATGGATCTTGACTTGTGTATCCTTGCGACCAACATATGTCAGGGTTCCATCCTCATTATAATGAACAAGGTCTCCAGTTTTGTATAGCGATGTTCCACATCTTCCTGGAATCCCTGGAGCTCCTTGCTTTAGCCACGTTGGCGAGTGAATAAATGCCATTGCTGTCTTTTCGGGCTCATTCAAGTACCCTTCGCCAACAAGCGGCCCTTCTAGAAGGAGCTCCCCGGTCTCACCGATCGGAAGCAGATGATCATGGTTTTCTGGCTGAACGACCCATGTAACGACTCCAACGCCAGTGCCGATTCGAGTAGCTTCTTGTGGACAAGACGCATGGCTTTTTATGACGCTGTATGGGGTACACTCCGATGGTCCATATATGTTCAGAACTCGTACTTTGCCCCACCAGCGTTCAATATCTTTTGAACAAAGGCGCTCACCAATGAAGAGCAGTGACTGAAGTGTAGGCGTATCATTCGGGTGCAGCAGTCGGGCAACGGAGGGTGTCAGGGCAACAACATTTGCGCGCAGAGATGTTATGCTTTGGGCCAAGTTGTTCTCCCGATCTTGTTCCCTCGGTACACATAAGCAGGCACCTGCTGCGAGAGCCGTAAACGTTTGGCCAACTGATGCATCAAAGCTATACGAGGAAAAGTCGTAGATTCTGGACTCGGTTGTGAACCCAAGACATTTTGCCTGATGGTATAGGGCCGATGCGTAGTTGCGATGGGTCAGAAGAGCCCCTTTCGGAGTCCCCGTGCTGCCGGAAGTGAAGTTCAGGCACATGACCGAGGAACAGGAAACAGAGGGGAGCTGTCCGCTCCCTTGATCGTTGAGTCTCATTAAGACATCCCGATCTACAGTCATCACATCCCGAGCCAATCGTGAGCCCAGGCCTGTATTGGAGACAGAAGACAGAATTAGGTCTGCTTTGACTTGTTGAACAATGCCCTGCAGACGATGTTCTGGCAGCGAAGGGTCAAGTAGCACGAACCCCCCTCCAGCCTTGAGCACCCCGAGCATGGCAACCGTCGTCCACATCGATTTGTGAAAGAGCAGAGGCACCAGCACGCCAGATCCAACCCTGTGGATCTTGAGCCAAATCGCTAATCTCGTAGCAAACTGGTTCAGTTCACCGTACAGGATCTCCCCATCCCAGGAACAGATAGCTAATGCGTTAGGCTGCTCTTGTGCCCTTTCTTCGAATATCTCATGCACGCAACGTTCAATTGGTTGTACAGCGACTCTGTTCCATCTCCAGATCTGGTCGAAGTCTTGTTGTGTGATCTTCTCATGTGCTATCAATTCGACATCGGTGGCATCACACTGCTTCCCCAAAGGAGACATGTCAAAGTACGACAAACGATCTCTGTGTGGTTCAGATGGTTTTGCAAATTCCATTTCTGCTTTTTGAGAATACAAAAATGATCTTTGTCTTGACTTTCTCAGCACGAAGGATAAGCAAGGATGTCACAGCGCAACGTGACCGTAGGGCTAAATAGTCATGTACGTATCTACATGGACGCCACCGGTGTCATGTAGCTAGCTTGAGATACATCATGCTGCATCATGATTATTGATGAGGCCTACGGATGTGGGGCTCAGAGAGGAGGGAGAGAGTCGTATTGGAAAGGAGACGAAACTCCCGACCTATCTACATTTAGACTACGAGGGTCGATATCCGAGGCGCCAACTACTGTCTTCCCCATAGCTTTCATCGCCACAGAAGGGATATGGATGAAAGAAAAGCCACAGATTTTGAACGTTGGTCAGAGATGCGTGACTCGTGGGTAAGATATCCACCGACGAGGGTCCATGATGTGTCTTCACAGTGTCTACTCCGACTCCGAGAAAGTCTGCGAGAGTTCCAACTTGCCAGTTACCTACCTAGGTAGGTACCAGGTAGTCTGATGCCTCCTTGTGGTGAAGGTCGAGGCTCGTGGGTCGCCAATCTAATGATGCAAAGACTTATTTCTAAATGTATATTAACCTCGAGATACTTAGCTTTTGTCGACGAGTATCCACAAATCACTCAAAAAAAGGAAAAGAGTATATGTCGAGATCACCAGGCCAATCACGACTAAAGGAATACTAGATGTACCCACAGAGGTCACTATAGTGTAGTTTGACAGAAGATGGGTCAGCATCATGATTGCAACCTTGTAATAGCTCTAGCCACTTGGATTTACTTCCTCTGTCCTGTCCTACTTGTACTTGCCTTTTTTTCTACCGTGATATACACCACAGTCACCGGGGCAACATTCTTGTTTTTGAGTCAGCCTCAATCTACGCAAAACAAAGCCCTCCAGCATGACAAACATGCCTAACTGGAACGAATTACGCGAGGCTATAACCAAAGGCGAGGTGTTAGCTCCATGCGATGATGGGTACGCCGCGAGCATCAAGAGATGGAGCGTGGCAGCGGAAATGCAATCGGTTCGTCTACTAAGCCCCCTGGCCTCTCCCCCTCCGCAACTAAACCGCAACGATCAGATTTGTCGCGGTTTCGTCTTACTGACTCTTTAGCAGGCTGTGGTAGTCAGGCCGAAATCTGCCGAAGAGGTCTCTACAGCTGTCAAATTTGCTGTCGCAAACCAGCTCCCCTTGGCAGTTTGTGGTGGTGGCCACTCCACCAGTGGGACATCATCATCGAAAGGCATAGTCATTCATCTTGGGAACATGCGCAAGGTCGAAGTTGATCAGCCCAATATGACCGTGTCCTTTGGTGGTGGGTGTCTGTGGGGTGATGTAGACAGTGCTCTAGAGGCTCACGACCTGGCTACGGTCGGCGGTGCAGTGAACCACACAGGTGTCGGTGGCCTCATTTTGGGAGGAGGCCATGGTTGGCTGACAGCGAAACATGGCCTCACAATTGATAACCTCATATCAGTTCAGGTGGTCACAGCAGATGGTTCCATCCTTGAGGCCTCTGGATCACAAAATCCAGACCTCTTCTGGGCCGTGCGTGGAGCTGGTGCTCAGTTTGGAGTGGTGACACGCTTCACATCCCGTGTCTACAAGCAGGACAAAGTCTGGAGTGGAGTGCTCACATTTACACCTAGCAAACTACCCCAGCTGGTATCGTTTGCAACTGAGTTTCACAACCGGGATCACCGGGAAGGCCACTGCTTGACCATAGCTGTGGGGTACACACCAGATGGAGCAAATCGCATCCTCTCTGCTATCCCCCTTTACCACGGACTAGAAGAGGAGGGAAGAAAGTACTTTTCGGAGCTGCTTAGCATTGGACCGATTGCAGAATCTACTAGAATGATGTCCATTGCGCAAGTCAATACCCTTCAGAACCCAATGTGCGAATATGGTATGCGCCGCCTCCAGGGCTCTGGCAATGTGACGATTCCCCTCGACATAGTCGCGTTTCAACAGACAGCAGATGACCTCTGGACCTTTCACGAGGCGAATCCTGACGTTAGTATATCTGCAATAGCAGTCGAACTTATTTCGACACACAAGCTGCGCGAAGTGCCTCAATGCGCTACTGCGTACGCTAATCGCGGGGAGTACTATGATGCTGTTACGATGTTTGGGTGGACCAATCCAGCACTCGATGCTACTGTCCGACAGTTCAATTCGCAACTCTGTGCACAGCTACGTCGTACGAATGGGTACGAGTATGCCGAGCTTGGTGGGACAGACAACACAAATGAAGAGCCGGTCGGGCGCTATTTAAATATGGAAACAGATTCATTGAAACCAGACGAAGCGTATGGTCCGAATTGGAAGAGGCTGAGAAGTATAAAGAAAGAATTCGATCCTGGGAATGTTTTTCACAAGTGGCATGGGGTGGGAGTTGAAGGGAAAGAATAGGATCCTGGAAGCTGAAGTGGAAATCTTTGGACGTCGAGCAATTCGACATCGAAATCTAGCCATATCCTAGCTACATATGATATTTGCAGGCTATACTGCTTTTGTGTGATGAATCTATTTCTATAGTGCAAGTTCACGCCATCTGACGAAGTCTTCAAACAAAGTGCTCCCCAAGAATCTCAAAGTCACGAATTATGGTATTTCCCAAAAGTTAAACTCGACTGGCTAGTAATAAGTCATGAGCATAGTAGTGGAGGTTTAGTGGAAGATCATGATGTCTTCGTCTAGTTGCAGCTAGCTACATGACGCCAGAGGCGTCCCATAGATGTGACTGCGCACACGACGACTCAGTCATGACAACAAGACCCATTTTCCTGACGGACCGCTTGAATCCTACTACCAGGAGTATACAAACACGGGGTCTCCCGCTCTAGCACTCTGCCAACAAGTTTAGTATTGATTTTATTGTTCAAATTTATGAGCATGGCAGCTGAGAATGCAAATTACACAACTCGTCCTGCCGACCTTCTTATGGCCGCCAGCCCAAACAATATTAACGCCGTTCCTCACTTATTGACGGAGATCACCAACGATATCAATAGCCTGGCCAATGGAACCGATGAAGACCGAAAAGATGTCCTCGTTAAGTGTAGAGCCTTAGTGAAAGCTCTAGAGACTCCTCGAGAGACGATGGTTGACCACTGTTGGGGCCAGGTACGTGATCTACAATGCTATTGACCGAAGAATAAGGGCTTACAAGATAGATCGGTGCGATATCTGCTATAGGCTTTGGCGTGGACGTAGGATTATGGGTGTTAATGGCCCAGAATGGCGAGAAACCCCAGAAGGTCACTGATCTAGCCGTGAGCCTCGGGGTCGACTCCCAGCTTCTCAGTGGGCTCCACATCACCAAACCTCGGAAATCTAGCTAACTATAATTCAGGGCGGCTGATGCGACATGTCTGTGCCATGGGGCTACTCATCGAGGTTAGCGAAGATACATACAAGTCCACAAACTTTACCCGGGCACTGAGTCTTCCTCAGATTGGACATGGGTATCTTGGACTGTAAGTGCTTAGTCGACTGAAACAGACACCCATAGGTGAAACCGCGATTTCTAAAATACTCCACATAGTACCGCATGCACTGGTTCAGCAACGTTGAAGTTCCACGAATTTTCCCGGCGGCGAGGCTGGGTGAATCCCACAGATTCTCAGGACACGTCACTGATGTATGCGTATGGCACCGACAAGGGCATTTTTTCCTGGGTACAGGATGCAGGCTATGGGCAACACCTGAATGATTACCTCGGTGGTTATAACCTAGGTCGCCCCCTGTGGATGGATCCCGGTGTTTATCCTGTGAAGGAGAGACTGATCGACGGCGCCGATCCAAGTCCTGATGCAGCATTCCTCGTGGACATAGGAGGCAACGTGGGCCATGACCTGGCGAGATTCCACAGTCGCTATCCAGACGCACCTGGTAGATTGATTCTTCAAGACTTGCCGATGATGATTCGCCAAATCAAGGATTTAGATCCAGCTATCATCCGAATGGAGTATAACTTCCATCACGAACAGCCAGTCAAAGGTAAGAATCAAGAGCTCCCCATCTTGATCTAGCACTTTCTATTTCAACTACTGACCATAACATTTATCCTATAGGTGCCCGTGCATATTATATACACTCCACTTTACACAACTGGCCAGATGACGTATGTGAGAGCATACTCCAACAAGTCAAAAAGGCCATGAAGCCCGGGTATAGCAGACTATTGATCAACGAGATCGTTGTGCCATCTGTTGATGCTCATTGGGAGACTACAGGACTGGATATGATGATGCTCACCCTGTTCTCTTCCGAAGAGCGGACTAGCCCAGCTTGGTACGACTTGATTGAGAGAAGAGTGGGGTTGAAGATTGTTAAAATATGGAGTGCTGGGAAAGGAGTAGAAAGCCTGATTGAGTGTGGTCTGTGAGTAAGATCCGTTGATCAAATCTGATAGTTTACTAGTATGAAAAAGATGGTTGCCGTGTTGATTTTGACCTGATCTATACAGAAGCTAAAACATGGAAATTGTAGTATGTTCATAATTGCAAAAGGAGTTTAGAAGATGCAGACTGGTACTGAGCCTTCAATAGGGGAAATTGCGCTTTACAAGGAAATAAATTGGTCTCCCAGCCTCAACTTTTGTGTTTGCACTGTTTAGGTCCCATTTTAGGGCTCATTAGCCCACAGGAGGTCTCTAACTTAGGCCCATAGCCCATCGGTGCGCTCGAGATCGGGCCCAAAACCAAACCCATTTGCGGGTTGGGCCCGGGTTGGGCTTTGGGCTTTGGGTTTTGTGGGCTTTGCGGAGGTCTACTCCCAGGAAGGAGCAGATTGAGGACTCCCCTCGACGTGCTTCACGTCAAATTGAGAAATCAGGTCACTGCTGATCTCATGACTATTTCGAAACTACATGTAGAGATTCAAAAGAAGTAGTGGACGTTGACCCCTGGAGTCCAGGTGGTGCCCGAGTCGACCGTCTTGCTGATTACCTAAGCGGTCACCGTGCATCCAAACCTCCCCACTTCCAGACAGCATTCTCCAATAGAAACCATGCAAATCTTACAAAATCTCCGCGCTGAAGGGCTCTGTGCGAGCAAGTCTACTCGTACCTGATCTTCCGGTCTAGATCTTTTGGTCGAGCAGCGTAGGGGTGTTATTATCGACCAATGAGTAGCTCATCCAGGCCCTCTAAGGGTCCAATAACGCCTCTAGAGCCCGGACCAGGAAAAGTTGCAATCCCTCAAGAGAACTACTATGGGCACCCAAAATTACTACGGGCACCCAGGGCGCTAAGCCTTTTACGATTTACTTCCCACTGGCCATAATTTATTCACAGCTTGTCGTATTTAATATGGTACTCCCTTAGTATTTCGGACAGTACCCGAATCTTATCTGGGCACCCTATCAGTAATGTAGAATCTCGCACGCCATCTACACTACCATACAAAAATGAAGCTATTCCTAGATGCTGATTTGATCAAGTTTTTTCCTACTGAAAAAGGGTTTGGTGCAAAAATGAGGCTATTCGCAGATGCTGATTTGATCAAGTTTTTTCCTACTGAAAAGGGGTTTGGTGCAAAAATAAGGCTATTCCCAGATGCTGATTTGATCAAGTTCCAGTGCAAAAATGGAGTTTTTTCCTACTAAAAAGGGGGTTTGGTGCAAAAATGAAGCTATTCCTAGATACTGATTTGATCAAGTTTTTTCCTACTAAAAAGGGGTTTAGTGTAAAAATGAGGCTATTCCTAGATGCTGATTTAATCGAGTTTTTTCCTACTGAAAAAGAGGGTTTGGTGATATAGGGTTTAATCGGTCACGTGATCGCAAAACAGAGGCTGTTTTTCAAAGATGGTGCTAATCGAGTTTTCTCACCCTAGCTTAGCCTACCTCCCAAACTATAAGCCCTAGTACGTATAGCTTCGCAAATTTTTACTTATATCTAATAGATATAGATAGACTAGACACTATAGACCCCTAACCCCCTAACCTTCCCGATACTATACCCCCTTTCTAAATAATTACGAATACTACCTCTATTAGTATCTAAGCCGTAAAAGCTAAAGCGTTAGATATCCTTAACTTATAGTCCCTCCCGCTAGGCTTCCTAATCGTCACCTAGCGTAGCGCACCTAATAAGATACGATTCTAATATAGCCGTAGTCGGGGTTATCGGACTAATCGGGCCCCCCTAAATAGATAGCGAAGGCGAGTTCGTTATATAACTTCCTACCCCTTTAAAGGTAACCTTCGACTTACTACCGGCGGTATCTAGTAGGTTAAAATTATTACTTCCTACTATAATTATAGTATAGTTAACGAGTTAACTATAATTATCCCCCGAAGGCGTAAGCGAAGGCGAGTCCTACCTACTATTATAACCTAGATTACCGATAGTATCTTTACCTATTATATTATAAGTAGTATTCGGGGGTAGGCCGAGGCCGAGGGGCGTACTTTATATCTACGCACCTATAATATTAATAATATTAGGGCTAGTATAACGCGAAAATAGCTCGCTAGACGTACCCCGATATAGGCCCTTCTTATAGATCTCCTAAGGGATAGTACTTAGATTATTAGGTATAAGATAAATACCGTTAATAACTCCCTTACTTCTCTTTTTTTAGTCTATAAAATTAGTCTCTAGCTTCTACGTATCTATCCGTATATTTTATAGATAGACTATATATATAAGACTAATAAATAGAAGATACCCCTACTAAATATCGTAGGAGTATCTTCTATTAGGAAGACTTTCTATATTACCTATACTTTTTTAAGTAATAAGAAGAAAGCTACTTATAATCGGGTATTTAGCTAGCTACGGGATATCTATATAGCTATTAGTAGTAGTACGAGTATACTAATACTTATCCGTACTACTATAGCTAATCCCCTAGAGTTAGAGTCTTTAGTAGCTAGTCCCCTAATACCCTATATTCTATAAAGTATACTCGAAAATAGCTATCTATCTAGCTTTATATCAATATATAACTCTAAGGATACTACTCTAGTTACTCTAGCTACTACCTCTTACTTTAGCCCGTATACTATCTTAATAGATAAGGAGTAGGCTTTACGAAATATAGTTAAAAATATTAGTATTTTAACTATTATATAGTTTATATACTAACTACTAGCTATTTTACTAGGTTTTTCCTATAACTAATACTATCCTATACCTCTAGTATATTACTTATAACGTCGAGTTATACGCTAGGCCCTTTATCTATCGTTATATCCTTAATAATATCGCCGAAGACGATACCTAAATACACCCTATAGTTAATAATATTATATATATAATTACTATATACTAGGAAATAATAAAAAAGGACTAGTATTTTATTATCTTCGCGTATATAGTTAATAATATAGAGACTTAGTAGGCTACCTTTAAGGATAAGTATTAGCACTATCTAGGTCTACTAGTATATATTAATAAAGAATAGATCCGCGGTTACGGTCCCTATTTTTTACGATACTATACTAGTAGGTTTCTCTATCTTAATAAAAGCTCTATATCCTACGTAGAATCTACCTATCGTTATCTTAAACTCGATATATAATTAGGTACGAAGGACCTCTTCGCTCTTTACACCTAGTTCGGAAATATAACTAAGCGTCTCGGTATTAAGATCTAATAGAAGCTCGCCTCGTAGAGAGCTAGTCGGGAGATTAACGGTAGCCCTCTATTTATAGGAGTTAAGACGCTAGTTACTTACTATATAATTAAAAAGGTACGATTAGTATTTAATTACTATCTACTATCCTATAACGAGAAACCTCCGATCCCACTACTATACTTAGGTATTATAACACTAATATAGGGGTATCCGTATATTTATGTTAAGGCAAGTGGGCCTGACACCACTGTGCAAAACGTAGGAAGTAATGGTAAGGTAGAGCGTTTACCAAAAGAGCCACTATGACGACTAACTAGTCGTCATGTCAGGTTACCAACCTAAATACCCGATATGTGCTATAAGATATGCGCACCATATTCATACTCCGTATGTTAGGTTGTAACATTATCTCCCCTCTTTCTGATGCCTTGACCCCGAGGCATAGAATATCCACAGGTAGCTTAAACGGTATGGATACCGTGCTAGTAAGATATCGGTGCGTGTATTTAAGTTGTAGACCCCCAAGTGTATATCTAGATCTAGCGCGGGGCTATTTCTATGATATTCCTTGCAAAGACCGTAGACTCGAATTTGACATTGATTTGACATCTGCATGTCTCGAACCCAGGGTCTCCGAAGTTAGTCGTCATATTGTTAAGGCAAGTGGGCCTGACACCACTGTGCAAAACGTAGGAAGTAATGGTAAGGTAGAGCGTTTACCAAAAGAGCCACTATGACGACTAACTAGTCGTCATGTCAGGTTACCAACCTAAATACCCGATATGTGCTACAAGATATGCGCACCATATTCATACTCCGTATGTTAGGTTGTAACAATTTACTATATTAACGAGGCCTAGATAAGGGGTAAGAGCCTTACCTAGACCGACTTTTACCCTCACTACTAGATCTAGCGAGACCTAGCGTATACTAATATAATTAATTACCCCCGGGTAATAGAACTCCGTATAGCAAACCCTTATATTATATAAGGGCGTGGTCGCCTACCGTAGTTATCTTAATAGTTATCTTAATAGTTATCTTAGCAGTTATCTTAGCAGACAATCTTATTATCGCGAGTATCTTAACGCTTTAAGAGCTTAACCCGTCGTAAGCTATCACGATTCGAGATTATACGAAGGGATAAGGAGGCAGCTATTCGTCAGTTAGGTCAGTAGAGGATAGCTAGTAGGAGGTATAATAATAATTAGACTATATAGGGGGAGATAACGGAGTCTAATAATTAGATCGTAGTTAGTAGTATTATAACTAGGCGGGGAAAGGGACGTAGACGTAGACGTAGATATAGATATAGAAAAGGGGGCCCTTAATAATATTAATATCTAGTTTATATATTAGAAATATAACTAAAATTAGTCGAAATAACTTATTAAAGATAGAAGTTTTACTATATAGGATAGTAGGAAACTAGCGTTAATAGCTATACTATCTTAACTATAGTAAGAAAACTCGATTAGCACTATCTTTAAAAAATAGCCTCTATTTTACGATCACGTGACCGATCAAACCCTATCTCCCTAAACCCCTTTCTCGGTAGGAAAAAACTCGATCAAATCAGTATCTACGAATAGCCTTATTTTTGCACTAAACCCCTTTTTAGTAGGAAAAAACTTAATCAAATCAGCATCTACGAATAGCCTCATTTTTACACTAAACCCTTTTTTAGTAGGAAAAAACTTAATCAAATCAGCATCTAGGAATAGCTTCATTTTTACACCAAACCCTTTTTCAGTAGGAAAAAACTCCATTTTTACACTAGAACTTGATCAAATCAGTATCTAGGAATAGCTTCATTTTTGCACCAAACCCCCTTTTCAGTAGGAAAAAACTCCATTTTTGCACTAGAACTTGATCAAATCAGTATCTAGGAATAGCTTCATTTTTGCACCAAACCCCCTTTTCAGTAGGAAAAAACTCCATTTTTGCACTAGAACTTGATCAAATCAGCATCTAGGAATAGCCTCATTTTTACACCAAACCCTTTTTCAGTAGGAAAAAACTTGATCAAATCAGCATCTGGGAATAGCTTCATTTTTGCACCAAACCCTTTTTCAGTAGGAAAAAACTTGATCAAATCAGCATCTAGGAATAGCTTCATTTTTGTATGGTAGTGTAGATGGCGTGCGAGATTCTACATTACTGATAGGGTGCCCAGATAAGATTCGGGTACTGTCCGAAATACTAAGGGAGTACCATATTAAATACGACAGGCTGTGAACAAATTATGGCCAGTGGGAAGTAAATCGTAAAAGGCTTAGCGCCCTGGGTGCCCGTAGTAATTTTGGGTGCCCATAGTAGTTCTCTCCCTCAATTGCCCAATGAGACTCCCGGAAACAACCCTATACGTACCCCACAGGCATGCACTACTTGTCGGAGACAAAAGGCTAAGTGTGATGGTAGACGGCCGAAATGCGGGAGCTGCCAACGATTAAATCGGGTCTGTACCTATACGGGTTCCAAGCGAGATCGCCAGCGATTGCAGCTTCAATCATTGAAGCAGAAAGCTGAGATTTACGAGGATTTGTTGGGTGACATTATCGCCCGAGCCAACTTACATGATAACATAAATATTCAGAATGTGTTCAAGGTTCGCCTTCCACGAGTCACTCGTACACATCCTTCAATTAACCTTGAAACCTATGGATAGAAACATTTCGAGAAATCGCCAGACCTATTTTCAGAACTTCTTGCTGCGCAATCTGTGAAGAAGCACCACATCCCTTTTCCAAGCTCAAGGATCTCATTGGACCACATGTTCTTTGAATTCATATCCGAAGATAGACAGTTCCCACGGTCAATTCTCAAGGAACCCCTTATCAAAGTGAATTCAATTGAGTCATGGACTTCGCTCGTGCGCAGTGACACCGCGAGTCATCTATTCTCATTTTATTTCATGTGGGAAAATCCAACATGGAATTTGATAGACCAGGATTCCTTTCTTCAAGATTTAGAAAACCATCGTGGAAAACACTGTTCTCGTTTGTTGGTCCATGTCTTGCTCTTCTTTGGATGTGTATGTGTCCGGCGTTGCATTTGGGCCTTCATTGTCTCTCTAACTATCAACAGAGCTTTTCCTACAGATTGAATCATATTACTGACCGGAGGGAGGAGAAAGTCTTGGGCCAGAAGCTATACGATCAAATCCAGCTCCTCTGGGAAAAGGATAAGATACACCTAGACCTGCCCACTATACAATCCGGGATTTTGCTCGGGCTACTGGCGTGTACTTTTGGTCTTGATAGATTGGGAACGCAGTTTATAATGAGCGGAGCAAAATCGTATTCCCAACAAGGCCTCCATATAAATTCCGGTCGATCTTCTGGCAAGAGTGGCGACGGTAAAGTTGATCTCTCGCCCGGAGAACTGTCCCAGGAAATGGTCTCATGGGCTATATATGATGTCCAAGCGTCAGTAATTTGATCTGCAGTGCGGTGACATAAACTGATAGAAAAACAGACTCGCTTCGCAGGTTTACCGAAAAGTGTCCCCATGGCCAATCCCGCCTCCTTTACGCTGCTCGCCAGAACAAGCCGCGAGACTTGATGAGAATATTGAATGGATTCCTTATCCTTTCGATGGCCCTGTTTCTCAACCGAACTACTACACCACCCTACAATTCCGAAGTGCACTTGCAGTCATTGTGAATGAAATCGCATCGTTTGCTTTGAAATTTCCCGGATCGTGTATGGGGAGCAACGATGAAGATTACTGCCACCAAATTTACCAAAAGCTTGTCGAATGGAAGAACAGTTTGCCTCAATCGGTGTGTCCCAAGTACAATACCACTCCACACATCCTCTGTCTACAGTCAGTCCGCCGCTGTTCCAAGTCTTGGCCATGTTTCTAACCCAATCAGCTTTTATTACCAAGCAACTGTGTTATCCCTAAGTAGTCTTTTGAAATCAAACTCAACCTCAGCCTCGGTATCGGATTTGGAAGACCAACGCCTTGACCATATTGATTTTGATCAGGTAGAGTCTGACGCCATGGAAACGATTGGCTCACTGATCCTCCTATTCAGACAACGCCATGGCTGGAAATCTATCCCGATCGTCATGCTGCACTATTTCTGTGTTGCCGGTGTTCATGCAACCTCGAGGCTAGATATACATGATCCAAAATGGAATCTTGTCCTCGAAAGCTGCGTCGTCGGTCTCTGGCATATGAGTTTAGGCTGGGGCAGATTGTGCAAGGCCTTTCTCCGAACTATCGAGCTGGTTCTCAAATCAAACAGTCCAGACCCTGCATTGATACCCATTAAAGTGGTTGCGATCTTCAAACGGTTGAACAGCGACCTCTGGTCGGCAACTGATGTCGCCTCGCTTTCGGCGGACTATGTGGTGCAGCAGGTCTCCAAGAAGGTCAATGCTCCCAACACACACGTCGTGAGCAGTCAGAATTTGGAGGCTCTAATTCGAGCGATGGAGAATCTTTGATTCTTGTATTTTCACCTGGTGTATTTTATAGCGATCTGTATGCTTTGACGTGGTTGATCGGAAAAGTTGAGCGAACACGATGTTAATGAGATTTTGTCTTTTATATAGACTTTGACCATGCCACTGGATATTCTAAAGCATAACGGATACCACTCAGAACCCCTTTCGTTATTCCATGAACTAAAGATGAGAACTGAGAGAACAGCCTGGTATGTATAAGACTGTCAACCCCTGGGGCCATGCACGCGTACAGGCCCACCTGCTGATGTCATCGACATCCGCCCTGATCCGGGGACACGTTGATCTGCGATCTTCATAGGCTCCTCTCTCCACAGGGTCACTTCGTACAATCCGAATTAGGTAGTCTACATCTGTGGGGTTGCAGTTCTGCAGACTGTCTTTGTCGTGGGACGACTCGGCATTTTCACCCTTACTTGCGGCCCCTGACTTCTCATTCATACATGATTCGGCACGACATTTCCAGTTGAACCTCTGAGCATCCCTTGCGACCAATAATAAAACGAAGGCTGTTCCCAAGAAGCAAATCAATATCTTTTTTCCAGATTTGAAGGGTCAGCCACCCGAGGGGTCACGTCAAAAGACACCATGTGGATTATCTCGTTCTGGCTTTTCCCCGTGATTTCAGGATGCATGTGGATAGGTAAGGGTTGACATGAATGAGGCTTTCTGTTTGCTTGACTGACAGCCTCATGTAGCTATGCTCGTGGCCATGCTGTCAAGCTGGGCCGCGGACGGCAAGCCGAGATATTCCACGATGGGCGATGGGCTCACCATTCCGTAAGTCCGATCAATGAACCTGCTCTTTAGCAACGTAAACTGAGTCAATTGCACAGATATATTTCCCACATCGGCGCCGAACGACTTAAACCGTTGTTTATTGCCGGCAGTGTAGTCACTGTCGTGTTCATGGACTTGGGCCTGCTATCCGAGCGCTGGCTTCGGCATGCCGGCCAACTTGCCCGGAACAAAGGCAGGTTCGACAAGATATGTGCCATTGGGTCGATCTTCTTTTCGATTGCAGGGGCTGTGGGCCTGATCCTCCTGTCCATCCTCGACACGAAGCACCACCACAACCTCCATAATGGCTTTTTAGCCATGTTCATGTATGTCACATCTCATTTGCCCCTGTCTGTGTCGAGACTAACTGGAATTATAGCGCAAGCTACGTAGTCTGCGCAATCCTGGTATGCCTGGAGTACATACAGATCGGCCGATTTTACCACCCGCAAGCCCGAATTTTGCTCATCAGCTTCGTGGTCAAAGCTATTTTCGTCGTCTGCGAGATCGGCGTTGCGATCGGGTTTGGCGTATGCATGAAATCCAAGAGTGGGAGCAGCAAGCGCAAGAATGCTGCAGCAGTCCTGGAATGGGGTAAGTATAAGTCCTGTCTCAGCCATGCAAAAATGTGAACTAATTTAAACAGTCGCCGCCCTAATTTTCGCATTCTTTGTCTTTTCTTTCATCATCGACCTGCTGCCGTCGGTTCGCACTAAGAAACGCGTTCCTCAAGGCGAAAAGTATGCTCGGCCAGACGTGACGGGTAGACATCCCATTGACTTCTAGAGCGAGAATTGGGAGTCGCGAGCATATAACATTATGCGTATCATAAATGTACCTAAATTCTAATAGTTAATACATCTGCACTACATAGAGTTAATCTGATAGACACGTGACTCTGAACCTGGGTTGATCACATGTGATGATATCATACACTTCCGTGGGACTCGAATAAAACCACAACCAACTCCGCAGCTGGTTTTCAGACCAAGAATCCATGATGGGTACCCTCGGCTTCTACGAACACCCCTGTGGGACAGTCTCAACGATTGCCCATATTGTCCAATGTATCAGTGCAATTGTCGTCATTGGGCTTCTAGGCTGGGCAGCGCGTGAGACGAAAACTCTCACTGTAATCTTCACCATGGTAGTGGTACGTCTTCCCTATCCTAATTTTGGAGGTGCAAACACTGAATTGCTACAGGCCGCGCTCACCCCAGTCGTCTATGCCATCACGATTAGTACCAGCTGTATCTCAAACCGCCACAGATGGCATATTGCACCTCTGCTACTAAGCGATGCAGCACTTTCATATCTGTGAGCCAAAATTTTCGATCCCCAAGAATATAACGGTAGTCAACGCTAATCTTCCCTCCAGATGGCTCACTTCATTCATCTTCCTAGCCCAAGAATACAATCAAGTCAGTTGCAGTGTCCACCTCTGGAACGGGGAGGCGGCATGTAGCCGGAAACACGCGACCGAGGCATTCACCTTTATTGCGTTGTAAGTGAAGCATATTGAAATGACAAAAACTAAGCTGATCATATGGAAGCTTCGCTGCGGCTTCGGCATTGGGATTTGAGGTCTTGTATCTCTACTTACCACAAGATTATAGTCAACACGAAGAGAAACGGGATGGCGCGGCATCGTTGGAGCAGAATCTTCAGTATGCTGGTGTGATGAGATGATCATTGGAGTCTGTCAAGGTTTGCTGAATACCTACAAAATGATTGTGTTTTGTAATTATGTGTTTTAAGGCTGAACCCTGAAGATCATTTTCGTGTTTATGGTGATCGGTGAGGGCATCTGTTTTTACAGATGGTGCCTAATCTCAATGTCAGGTATTGGTTATGAACGAGAATATATTCTTTGCCCTTCTTCACCCTCAGACCTTGCGGATTCACCTTGATTTGTCTGTTGATTGACAACTCAATGCCCCATATACCAGGCGTCAATGGCTATGTTCCTGTGATGTAGATTCTGCCGTCCCACTCAGCTTATATACTCTTGTGTATCACATTTTTAATCGACAAGTGCAACTCAAATATATTGATTATGCCCATCAAAGTGTACCTTAACTGCTGGATAAGGCGATGTCAGCCATCAAGTGGCGGGAGTTTGCGGTTAGGCCGATGCGATGCAATCACAACGCCACCCATCCCTTTGCCGCCAAGGTCGTCAACATTGTTGATCGCAAGAAGTGGGAGCTCAGTTGCTTCCTCATGAAGCCTTTCCTTATGAGGAAGCCTTTACTACCCCTCAGCATCTGCCACAGCATGTCGAACGATTGTTGGTTGTCTGCCTCGACGATGGCGAGACTTTCGATGTCCAACCTCTCTCATCCAGCGCTGGTGTCTTGACTATACCGCGCAATCACTTATCTGCCCAGAATGAGTCCATATCTATTGATCAATGGTTGCTGCCCTCCGAGGGCTGCGCCTCCGCCTGCAATGGTATAAATACCTTGTGCTAGCCCGTTATAAACTTCGAAAGAAATCGGATTCCCCATTTGAATCCACGTTGCGAACTCTCTTTGCGTGATGCTTGTTCTTTTCCAGGGTCCCTTTTACTATTTAGTCCCTAAATTACCCCAGTACCATGGCATATAATCATCCGTAATGTACGGACTCGATCGGATTGTGACAAGACCAGACAATACACAATACATGCTAGCAGGGATTAAACGATACTCGGCTGTATGCCCCTGCATTGCCCGTGTCAGTCTCATTCTCTTCTTTCCTTCCTTTTCATTCCCTATTCTGTTCTGTCTATCTCTCTCTCTCTGTGTGTATCGCTCGCGAGGAATCTACCCACGCCCCATTCATCATGGCGTCCATGCAAAAGAATATGATGTTCATGCAGAAGGGTGAGTCTTCCGTCGCATCGTCTGATCTCTGCATTATGTTCGATGTCAGCTAACGAACAGACCGTTACCAGCTTCGTGTATGTTAGGCCTACGCCGCGCGGCAATAGCATCCCCGTCTATTTTCACGCCTCTCACGGCCTTGGCATGGCAACAACAAGTTCGGTATGACAGATATATGGAAGAATATGAGAGCTACGTATTAACCAGTCTCGCCCTAAAGGCTGCAGACTACAAAGTCCGTCACGAAGCCGCTGAGAGTGCTCACACCTGAGGCTGGTCAGGAAGAGCTGGCTCGCCAACGCCTCCGACGACCAGTGGCGCCTCATCTGGCCATCTATAAATTCCAAGTGCACTCCGTCAGCTCTGCAATGGAGCGAAACACGGGGCTTCTCCTCGCTGGCAGCTTGTATCTCTTCAGCACCTCCTACCTGGTTGCACCTTGGCTCGGCTGGGATTTGTCCTCAGCAACCCTCGTCGCGGCCTTTGGTGCTCTGCCGCTGGCTGCTAAGCTTGCCCTCAAGTTCTCCATCGCCTGGCCCTTCACCTTCCACCTCTTCAATGGCATTCGGTATCTTGTCGCCTCCACAGGACGGACGCTGGAGAACAGGTCTCAAATTGTCAAGGTGGCGTGGGCGGTCATCGGCTCATCAGCAGTGGCTGCCGTCGGCTTGGTGGCATATTTCTGAGGGAGCAGCGATTCGGGAAGAAACTTCATTCCCTAGATTCCAGTTTGGAACAACAGAGTCGTCATTCTGTACATACATTCAAAGAGAATTGTACAATTTCTCAGCGGGGTTTTCAGAGAAGACCGAGACCATGAAAAGCGAGTGGCTGGATCTACTATATGCTTTTAGGTGTATTCTTTGAGCACCTTCGAACTATATAACCCGTTTGTGTATCTATCTTTATTCAATTCCCTCGCCACGGCTCGAGAAAGGTTATCGAGGGTAGATTCCGCATCCTGCATTTCATTTCCGTGCCATAAAACGAAACCCTCAGGTCGGACCAAGACTAAGTCCGCTCCCCCAACTTGACGCCCATGGTCTTCTGCCCCCAGGGCAATAATCTCCAAGCGCACTCGATCTCTCTGAGTCGCGCTGCCTGGGCCCACTACACGACCGGACTATCACGACACTTGGCCCCCACGTTGACCGCACGAAACTTTGGTTGATGGCAATGATATACAGCGCGAGGACTGTAGGCAGGATCAATCTTACAGGGCCACCACCGACGATCAGGATAGTATCAGAAGCCCGCTGTTTGATAGTGACCATAAGGGCTTCGACAGTCATTTTTAAGAAAGATGCAGGTGTTTTATAAGAGATTGAAAACTTACCTGAAACGAGGATTGCCACCTCTTCATACCATCGATTACCCTTGGGTCCTCGAATCATGACCACTTGCCTGCTTTGCTTCCCTTTGCGTCTGTGCTGAATGCTTCGAGAGATACAAAATCGGTCGAATATTGAGGTCTGGCCCCCATTGTATGGTCTGATCCCTGCCAATGCGTCCATACGCGAAATTACGGTCCACAATACCGAACGCAAGTACTGAAATACCAAAATAACGGGTGGTGCCATGGTTGTCTTCCCCGGGAGAATGCAGGATCCACAATTTCCCGGCGCTAACCCGGCAAAGCGGGGGGAATCGGATGCATCCGCCCACGCCCAAAGCCCAAAAGGGGAACATTACGGTATCGGGATACCGCCAAGGACGATTTCCCCACGATCCGGACTGTAAACCCGCAATTTAGCGTTTAGAACTGGACCTATCTCCGGCTTCTGATTCCCCGATCTATGAGCACTATCAGGTAGACAATCTATGCAATGGGAATCTCAGGGCTCCCAATCTCAGCCTGGAAAACCTCATTGTCAGCATCGCAGAGTACATACTTCTATCCATTTGATCGATTCCTTTATATATAACAGGGGTTCCAAGGTCGTTTTCCGTTGAGTTGATCAGTCTTTTCTTGAAGCATTGGACAGATATATGTATGAACCTCTTGGACAACCTAGCGCAAGATACCCGATCCTCATATGGGACGAAATCGCGCTGCTGCGTCTTCTTATCCAAAGAGCCCTATCAGCAGCAAGCATTCAACACGGCGATGACCTTCCAATGGAGAGATTTTCAATTATATAATGATTGGCGAAGCCTTCTACTTTTGGAGATACATATAATACAGTATTGTACAAACATCCAGACAGATCGGAGAAGTTAGTCTCAAGCCCACTCGCCTGTTCGCTCGAACGGCTTGACAAACCGAGTCGCCTCCATCGTGACCCGGAGAGTTGCCATATCGACAGCTGTGATACGAGCTTCGACCAGACAGAAGATGCCCAACTTATCTTTGTCTGCGAAATCCTCGGGAATAGTCACCGAGCAGTCCACGCCAAGATTGGCCATGACACCGGAATACTCATCATCCAGGTGTCGAGGCTTGACGCGCGGGGTGCGTAGCAGACAAGGGAATGCGGCGGGGAGCTTGCATTCGGAGAAGTAGAATGCGCGGAAGAGAAGCATGCACGCCCAGTGTTGATTCGAGTAATTGTCGAGTTGTCTGAGACGGGTGCGGAGGGGTCGGGCGTAGTCGAGGTGGGCATCAATGTCGTTTTTAGAGAAGGGGAGGAGAGAGGCGGAGGCGGGCGTGATCTCATCATTTGTGGGTTCATCATGGGACTCCGCCGGATCAGTGTGTGCAAGAGCAACCTCATTCTCTGCTAGATCAGCCTCCGCGGAATCGGGGCTGTCAATTAGAGCATCGAACTGTCGGCCATGCTCATGCTCGAAACGCAATGCCGCCTCGATCTGATAATGCGCAATCACGTCGGTGTATCGGCGCAATGGACTGGTACTCTTGATATACGTATCCAAGCCCAGTGTGTGGTGCTTGTTGGGGGCCGAGGAAGAATAGGCCAGCGGCGCGCTGAGCTCATAGAAACCCTCGCCACCAAAGTCGGCCAGATTCTTGCTGGTAACACGTCCATACTCCGGATCATACCAAGTGCCGTCGTAGACAGCGGGAATGTTACGCGCAGCGCAGAATTGGCCGGAGATGTGACCGGCCAAATTCATGATCAGGGAAATCAAGTTGTCCCGAGATTCGTCACGAACTTCGTATGGATCGTAGGAACGCATGTCAAGGCGAATAATTGGGTCACCAAGGTAGTAGCGTCCGTTTGTAGCTTGTAACTCGTACGGTGCCATCGGAGCGTTGCCTGTTTGAACTGAGACAGACAGGTCTGGACTAAGAGGGGTGAGGTCCATAGCGCCGTTCTTTCTGCGTGCGTTACGGAATCCCAGCATGAGTTGTCGCATGATGTGGAATCGATCTTTGTCCTCGGGCCTCAGGTTTGGTTGAATTTTTTTACCTTCTGGGATTGATGGCTCGGTGAAATTGCCACCTATTGTCAAGGATTCCATGGTGTCTTCGGAATCTGGGTCAGAATCTGGATCGAAGAACTCGCGCAGTGTTTTGTGGGTGAGGTTGACCACGTTGTGAATCCTGCCATTTTGGACTTTACTGTCTAGGATTTGTCCACGCAGATTGATCTTCGCACTGAATGTCAATACAGGCCGACCAGCCGCCAAACTGAAGTGTGGCTCAGTGAGAGCCTTGGGAAGCATGGGATAGGTTCGTTCTGGGATGTAAGTCGTGAAAAGTCGTGAGGCTGCATATTGAATGATGGGATCGTCATGCCGGATAAAGGCCGTCGGGTTGGCAACGTGAACGTGGATCCAGAATGTATCACGAGATCCCGGGATGGCTTCCAGCGATACACCATCATCGATTTCTTGTGCCGTCACATCATCCACACAGTATACTGGGAGATCTCCCCAATCCTTTCTCAGGTGTTCCATGGAATCTTGTAATTTATCAGCGGTGAGATTCCTGCAGTTTGCTTCAATCTCTTCCAGCTCCATGTCTTTCAGGAGAGATATGCCATGTCCAGGAAGCATCAGATATTGATCAAGGGGGTAAAGGTTCTCCCAAGGAGCTATGACTCCTAGCTCTTGTAACAAGAGACGTGTTGAAGCCTCACTTAGACCGAGGGTATTGTACATCCCTGTGGCACGCATAATATGTGTTGCAGTTGACCTCAACGTGCCAGATGGCATGACCACGGCAGGGACCGAGAAGAGCTGCAGATATTCCAGAATTATCTGGTCATTTGAATTGAAATTCTCAGTGGCAATTTCACGGAACACCAACGGCTTCCCATCTTGACCAGGCAAGAACCTCTGGGACGATGGTCCTACGCTGGACATGATGGTTGGAGAGCGAACCTTTCTGCTAAGGCGAATCAACCGCTGTGCCTTGGTTATGAATTGATGCATAGGGTGGTCTTTGGACCCAGGCGTGTCTTTGCGCATGATAGCACGAACACAATGTTGTTGGTGCTCATGGGTCCAATCAATCACCTGTTTCACAATGTTGGCGATGCGTTTTGGCTGCACAATATACATCCGGCTGAACAAGGAGCTGGAGTCCTTTTCAATGAGGAAAGGATGCTGTCGAACAGCCTGATGAACAGCAAACATATTGACACTGGTCAGCTCGGATTCTTCGATGCCAAGAGCAGTCATCGTTAGGTCTTCGAGGCTCAGACAGATAACCTCAGCATCATCTGCCACCTTATCATGGAGATTGTCCAATATCTGAGAATTCTCTCTGTAGAATTTCAAAATATGGGTCTTGAAGTTACCCAACATCATCAAAAGAGGAGCACCCAATGGTCTCGGAAGGCCTCCCTCTGGGGTTAGCTGCAGATCCGTGTTCGCGATAGCCTCACCATCTGGGAACCATGGGATCAAAGGCTCAACGAGTTCCGTGGGTGCAAACCCCTTAATAACATAGTCGAGCTCTGAGTTAGAGCAAATACGCCAGTTTCCATTGGCATTGTAGAATTGCTTTTGTTTATGAAGAGAGCGCACGTAGATTCCGTAGTTGAACACCCCGTCTGCATTCAATCGGGCAACTAAATCGCCCTGCTCGAGATGTTCACCTTCAAACTCATCTTTGTTCATAGCGTCTTGATTCAGCCTATTCGGGTCACCCCATGCATCGAGCGAATCGCGCCCATTAGGCATCGAGCCAACGGATTTACCCGGTAGCTCCAACGGCCGTTTGGAGCCCGAATGGCGCACAGGGTCCAAATCATTTGGGTTTGTATCTTGCCATCTCCGTAAGTATTCTCGAATGTCTCCATGCAATTCGAATTGGGACCGGAGGAGGAGATTGGTATCGATCGGAACACTGGGGGGCTTGTTTGTCTCGGTCGGTTGCTGCTCAGACTGAATGAAAGTTAGCTGGGGACCGAAACAGGTGTTTGAAGGCGACATACCTCGTTATCACTGCGAACAGCCTCGACTGACTCTAATTTCCTTGCGCTCGACAGAAAGTGTCGCCTCCCAGACGAACCCGGGAGCTGAGTGGCGGGCGCGGTGGACATACATCCTGCACGATTATTTCTCCATTTGCAAAGGACAGGTAGCTGTCTCACACCATTCAGCCTCTGCAAAGCCCCTATTCTTGTAAGTGCCATGGCCAGAGCTTAAGGAGAATGAATGCTCCTGTCGCTCGAAAAGTGGCTGATTCTGCCCGTATTTGCCATACCGCCCTAGGCGGTATAAACAGCGTCCCGTGATTTCGGAAAGGATTTCGACCAATCACATCACAGAAGAGAAGTATAAAGCGGGATTATGCTCTGTCTGTACCTAAGAGATGCCCCTTTTCTAGGTATAACTGGGCCAGAAAGCAGCATTATCCCTGTGGAAAGACACCATTATGAAGCTCCTGGAACGAACCCAATTTATCACCTCGTACCTAGGTAGTAGACGAACTGCACAAGTCCACCTGGAGCGGGGTATCAGAAGCCCACTGGTATTAGCACGACCTACCTATCTTGGACTTGGTAACCGACTTGATAACCGAAGAAAAGCGTTGTTACAAACTTTTCTCTACAAAGAAAATCAAAAGACGACCAAAATTGGTGGAACATTGAAAGAGCGCTTGACTTTTCGGACTAGAAAGCTGACGGGGGATCAATACTGTCAGCAACGCCTCTTCCCCCGCTTTGAAGAGATGATATTCGTCCCGACGTCTGAGTCTCCTGACTATCTCGTTTCAATAGTGGCTATTGAGCAGGAACTAGCACGTTGACAGGAATGTACTTGGTTCCACTGCTGTTCCCTCGTTCCATGTGGGCCTTTGGTGTACGTGATGGTCTGGAAGATAGGTCTTTTCTTTTTCTTATGCAGCTAGTTGATCCCTACAGAGTACATACACTTGCGGAGAATTTTGTGCCGACACCATAATCTTACGATTTCTCTCTTGTAACCAAGCTAGATCCACACTAAACTGGACAAGATTCTCGTTGGTGATATGACTACTCCGTACATGTATTCGCTCTTAGGGCGTGAGATTAGAGCCTGGCAGATGAATAGTTAGGGGCGGATATTTGGTGTATAAGATAGGGGCATTACCAACGCGGTTCTATAAAAAGCATGATAATAATAGATAATTGTGGACTTAAGTCCATGGGATCCTTTATCTCGAGCATGGACTAACGGCGCAGTACCCAAAAGTCCCAACTAGTCCACTTATTCGAAAGATCTACAGATTCATTCCCCCTGTGTCGTGGACACAAACTTGTTCACAGACCCCCGCCAAGAGGCAATAGTCCCCGAGCCCGCCAGCCCGGGCTTTGCGCCATTGCACCTAATCCCGGCGAACTCCTCCGAAGGTACGGAGGTACGTCGGCACATTTAAGACAAGGGTGTGTTCCGTAACTCCCTGTCGCCTGCAGCCTGTGACTGACTCGTGTGCTGACCCAGGTTCTTGGACTAGCCTATCGGACTGGGTTCGAGGGGTGTGTTGGTCACGCATACGATGCCCCCTGGTCTCGTTTCCCTCCGAAAGTACGAAGTACGGAGTACCAATGCCCGACCTGACGTCCTCGCAACTTGATGAACCGCCAAGTTTGTTTAGTCCCTGTCGATCCAAATCCCCCCGCAATCCCTAATGAGAAACTATCTTGAATGCCGTCACTGGAAGATCATCGCAATTCCCCAGTGGGAACTCAACGTATTCGCTATCGTTTACGGCACAAATCCACGTCGGTCAATCCCCGGGTCTGGAGCGAACCATGCTAGCTTCATGTGATGAAAAGCGAACATCAGGATGGTGGACTTAGGCCTGTCGATCCCGCGCCACCGGACCGAAAACAAAACTTGACAGGTCGCGATAATCATTTCCCAACTGGTGTAAGCGAGGCCTAGCCCGACCTTGGACTGACAGAAGCAGCATCAGGAACAGGAATTCAGGGATCCCCAAGGGGCAACCCGCAAGTCCTGCGTCGGGCATTAGCATTGGCGAGAGATGTACTCCGTACGGAGCACGGAGTACTCCGTACGAATACTCTGTACTCTGTAAAGCCCAAGAATGCTCCACTTGCTGATCCTTTTTTCGGGTGTCTCAGTTGATCGCTCCACTTCCGCGCTTGCCGTGCTGAGTTGTGAAGGCGAGCGCCAATAACCTGTCGAGCTGTCTGCCACTTCACATCGTGGCTGAGCGCGTTAGTGCCACTAATTTCTGACTATCGAGGCCCGGCTTGTTATTCTACAGATTAATTCTACGGAATGGCATTCCAGTACCTAATGGTACCTGCGGAGTACATTTTACGGAGCGCTCTTGTTGGACGACTTCAAATTTCCTAGTGATCTTATGTCGATCACTTCGCTCAAGGCGTAAGCACAACGCATAACTTTTGTGCCTTCATGCTCAGTCTATCGTTACCGGAACGTGCGGAGTACGTATGTTGTCATACTCCGTACCAAATTGTCGATTCTAGTCAGCCAAGCGTGGCTATCTACAATTGACAAGAAATCTACTACGGAGTACTCCGTACTACACGCGATGCTATGTCCCTTGCATGCCGTCGAAATGAGATAGCCAAAGCTGTATGTCAAGATCGGCGCAAGATAGACATTCGGCTACGTGCGTGAAGTTGGATCTCATTGCATCCTGAAGCGACTCAAACCCTCGTTCCGTCCGGTCAGTACGGAGTACAACATAGGTATGTTGTAGTCATGAAATCGAGGTTTTGCAGTTGCCCACTTCATTGCCATGTGCATCCGTTGCTTCCGTCTGCACTATCTGCAGCCCCACAGCTGCAGCTCAACAGTATCGTGATCGACTCGTCACAAAAGGGTATCCAATTCGCGAGCTTTCCAGGGTTATGTGATAGTCAACCAGGGGTCCTTCCCAATCGGGAATCGCGCCAACAGGATCCGCCTTGGGGAAATTAGATCTCCGTCCCTGAACAGTGCTTCTGCAGGAGATTCTTCTCCAAATCCTTGCGGATTAGTCTCCGTTCCTGCCGGGTCCACCGTCCACCGTCTAAGAGGGGTCCGGACTAGTGGCTTGAAGAATACCCTCCGATTATGGAGTTTCCTATTTTGTATCTGGGCAAGCTAAAGCTGTCAAAGGATTATATATACTGCCATGACCCGCATCGTTGATCTCTTTCAGACCGTGTGTGTGTATCTGTTAGGGTTTACAATCCGACCCTGGGTCATACTTCTCCCGTCCCTTTTTGGCCTTGATTTTGAATAGTATTATATTCACTATATTGTCTACTCTCATTTGACAAACATGTTCGGAATCAACGGGTGGCGCGCTTTGGCGCTGTCCCTGGCCCTCGCACCTCAGGTCATGGCAGATATCTGCGACACGCTCAAGGCCGGCGGTATTGAGATCGACCGCCGTCTTACATTGGACTACACGACCGAGATGAAAAAGTATTGGTCTACTGCCTGTGGTGATCTCAAGCCAAAGTGTATTGCTGCCCCATCCAGTGCAGCAGAAATGGCGCAGGTGATCAAGAACTTGCACGATGTGGATACCCTCTTGTTCGTTTCCCCATTCTTCTACGAGTGGCAATGGTAGCTAACTTCAAACAGTGCTATCAAGAGCGGAGGCCACATGCCCAACAATGGATTCGCTAGTGTTCAGGATGGATTGCTAGTCTCAACTAAGAACTTGGATCAAGTTGACTACAACCCCAAGGATCACACTGCTATCATTGGTCCTGGTCTCTCATGGGAAAAGGCCCAGAAGGGACTTGACGGCACTGGTCGGACCATCGTTGGAGGTCGAATGGGAGGAGTGGGAGTTGGCGGATACATGCTCGGCGGTATGATATTCTGATTACGAGAACATGTCTTGATATTTGATCTAATGATTTACAGGCGGCATGAGTTTCCTGAGCACTCAGTACGGCTGGGCTGCGAACAATGTGGTGGACTACGAAGTTGTCCTTGCCAATGGCACTATCGTCCACGCCACTGAGACCCAACACCCAGGTAGGTGATCTCAAATCAACTATTGAAACATTGACTGACGTACAACAGACCTTTTCAAAAGCTTGAAAGGTGGCGGTAACAACTTCGGCGTTGTCACTGCATATACCATGCAAACGCATCCTCAAGACCACAAGGTCTGGGGTGGCAACTATATCTTCACAGCGGATAAGACCCCCCAGGTTCTTACTGCGGTGCGCAACTTTGTCGACAACTACCCTGATGACAAGGCAGCAATTATCATGACCTCTGAGCGTGGCCTGGTGATTGACTTCTGGATTATGTTCCTCTTCTATGACGGCCCCGAGCCTCCTGCTGGAGTCTTCGACGAGTTCACTGCCATCCGTCACACCTCAACCACCAAGACCTGGAACAGCTACTATGATCTGCTCAAGCACAATGACCAGTTTATTCTCAAGTAAGTCGGTATATCTTCCGTGTCCTTTGAGTCATTTACTAACTCACTCCAGGGGACAACGCTATACCATTGCTACAGAGACCATGCCTCTTCCCAACAAGACTGTTGGCACAGACCCGCTTCAGGAGATCTATGACCACTGGCGCGACACGAGCAACTCCGTGCTGGGAGTTGCCGGCGTTCTGGGCTCAATCGCCTTCCAACCTATGCCGAAGACCTACGCCCAGAAAGCCGTAGACCGTGGTGGAGTAAGATCCCATTCCCCAAAATTCAAAAAAAAAGAAAAGGAAATGAAAGTTCGCTAATGATCTTCCAGGACCTCTTGAACTTCCCAACCGACCAACCATACATCATTATTGAGCTCGATTTCTCCTACGGCCTGTCAATCGACGATACCAAGATTGACGCGGCCACCGTCCAACTCTACCAGGGTATTGACAACATTATCGAGAAGAACATCGACAAGGGTCTTCTTCCAGATGTGTACCGACCACTCTTCATGAACGATCTCTACCATCGCGAAGATTACTGGGGTCGCATCGACCCCGCGTCTAAGGCGCTCGCGCTGAAGACCAGCAAGGCATACGACCCCGAAGGATTCTTCCAGAAGCGGACCAGTGGCGGCTGGAGAGTGCGCGAGTAAACAGTTCTGTTTCTTTCTTTGGATATATTTTATTTTATCACTGTCTATAATTGTATACACGAAGACCTAATAATCAATTGGTAGTGATTCTGAGAGCAAAAGCGTCAATAGATCAGCGAGCCGCCTGAATATATATTGTCATGCCACTTCGCTATGCGAGTAAAACGTTGAACGGCCCCAATCGGAAAATAGACTGTTTTACCGAGAAAATAAGGGCCGAATCAATTTCGATGAAACTTGATCTACCGTGCATTTCCTATCCCAGTCGATGATTGCAAGGAATGTTAGCGCCTGCTTCAGTTCTGCAGACGCCCAGGGGAATGAGTGGGTGCGAGGCGCCCGGGGCAAGTTAGGGTTTTCCTCTAAGCGCCAGGGTCAATCGGACAAGGTCGATGGTCTGAAGTACGTAGTTATTATGTTTAGCAACAGCTATGAGCTTGCTGTACATGCTACTAGCTGTATTTAGCTGTCATTCATGTCGATCGCCAGATCCAGCGGACAGTACTCCGTAGCAAGCCACGAGTGAGGCCATTGACCACTCCAGAGGCGCCTGTTTCTCCAGATTCTGTAACACACAAAGGAGAGCATAGCCTAGCTCGGAGAGTCTAGATCCCAGAAATGCTAATTTGATCCGGTCTAGACTGTTGGACAGTTGAGGTTGAGACTCACTGCTTTGTTGGTCTATATAAAGAGCCGAACCAGGCTGGTCTGGAATCTGACAATCAGCTTCACTTTCTTTCAGCAAACACTTCTTTTGTTTCTTTAATTCTACGTTATTCGATTTACTCAAAGCCTTTCTTTACAACCATATATTTACTACGTCGTGGCTTGCGTACATCTCTTGGCTCGTCCCCGTCTCTCTCAGGAGTATATTCACGACCAGACCAATCCCCAATCCTCCAACGTCTAATCGTCTAATCGTCTAATATCATCCCCTCAATTCATCCATTCAATCCAACCGACCAAAATGTTCCCCCGCTACGGCGCCCTCGGGGCAACCTTCCAACTCGCCCGGCTCTTCCAAGCGTGCTCCCTCATCGCCATAATCGGCATGACAGCCAAATTCATCAGCGTAATAGTTTCCAGCAATGCCACCCCCCCAAACATCCTAATCGGCACAATCAGCGTGGTATGTCCCCTCCTAACCCTAACCTACAGCTTAGCCCCAAACCTCGATCTCAAGATCTCACTAACAGTCTCCCTAACCCACAGACGTGCATTGCTGTAATCTACTGCATCATCACAACAATCCTATACATGGATGATATCCTACCCTTCCTGATCTGCGCAGTGCTCGACACATTACTGCTCATCGCATTGATTGTGGTGGCTGTCATTGTCGGCAAACCGCTATCGTATTTGAAGTGTAACACGCTGGCAGAGTTGGCGGATAAAGATGCAACGGTCTATGCCTTTGCGTCGCGGTTGTCGAGCTACATTGCCAATATCAGCGGGAGGATTGATTATGTCTCGTGGATCGGGGCTTCAAAGGCGATTTGTTTGGAGACGAAGGCGATCTGGGGATTGAGTATTGCGTTGTGGTGAGTATTGATATTTTGTTTTGGAGAAATTGAGCTGATTTTCGGGTTTAGTATTCTTTTCTTCTTTTCTGTTATCTGCACTGTTTGTCTGTGGCAGCAGAAGAAGAAGGCTCTTGCGGCGAAGAGCGTGGAGTAGACTGTAGAAGGGTTGGAATGGGGATTGAGTCATGTCGGTGATAACGTGGACTGCAAAACGAGAGAGATGGAGGCCACCAATTCTTCTTTCTTTGATTATATAGCACATGCATTAATAAATCGTTTCGGATGTCATTGAATCATATTCCAATCCAAAAGAACAAAAATGTACCAAAAAAAAAAGTACATCAATTGACATATCCTGGACTCTACCCCGAACTCACAGGCGGGATCACAGCCACCTCACTCCCAGCCTGTATCACAACCCCGACATCCTCCTCGACGTCCACATACTCCCCATCCAGACTGACACCACAGCTGGATAGGACCTTGGGGACAATGCCGGGGTATCGCTGCTCCAGTTCACCGAAAAGGGCGGACAGCTTCAGCGGCGCAGGTAGCGATTCTGTGTGCTTGGAGGTGTATTGGGACGCTGTGGCGAAGTAGTGGATTGTGAATGTTTCCGACATGATGGATGCAGAATTGAGGACTCGCTGAGAAGCACAGGATGAATTGACGTGAAAGGAGAAATCGGAAGAAGTGGGAAGAAGAAAACGGAGAGCCGATTGGGGAGAAGAAGCCGATGCGGGGTACTATCCTATACTCCGATCCAAACACACAGTATTCAGTGTAAAGAGTAATCCAATGCAATTCAAACTATTCTAATTCTCTAATCACTGAGCAAGCTCACGAAACGCTCTGGCCAAATCCACCTTCAAATCCTCCCAATTCTCCAATCCAATACTAATGCGCAACAATCTCCGATCAACCGTCGCATCCGTCATAGTCCTCCACTCAATAAGCGTCTCAACACCACCCAAGCTAGTAGCATGCTGGAAGAAATGCAATTTACTCGGCAACGCACGAGCAAAGCGCTCCTCCTTCATAACAATCGAGAAAACTGGTCCGAAGCCATTAGGCATTTGCTTCTTCAACCAATCCCCCTCAACCTTCTGCAAACTCGCATGAAGAACCTGACCGAGAACGGCCTGAACCGCTGCCTCATCGCTACCCGATGCGGGGTTAGGTGCATGGAGCGCAGCATCCAACCAAGCGATAAGACGGGCGGCGTTCTCGCTCTGGCGCTGAACGCGGATTTCCAAGGTGCGCAGACTGCGGACACCGAGCCAGCCCTCCATGCTACCCATGACGGTGCCGATGAAGACACGGTCTGCTTTTAGCTGGGCGGCCCAGTCGTCGCGGTTGGTTGCGAGGACACCGCAGAGCATATCGCTGTGGCCACCGAAGTATTTGGTGCCGGAGTGCATGATGATATCTGCGCCGAACTGGAAGGGGTCTTGGAGGCCCGGTGGTGCGAAGGTGCTGTCGACGATGAGGTATGCGCCGCGATCGTGCGCCTTAGCAGCGTAGGAGGCGATGTCGAAAGCAGTGCCCTGGGGGTTAACGGGTGTTTCGAGGAGGATGACATCGCCCTTTTCGAGCTGGTCGGCGGGACAGTCGAGGTCGAGTTTCTGGAGGCCTGTTAGACGGGTGAAGAGGGCGATAACGCCGTGGCAGCCGTGGTAGCCATCGCCGACAGAGATGCGGCGGGGGTTAAGGAGAGTGAGGGCGCCGTGGAGGGCTGATAGGCCGGAGGAATAGCTTATGACTTGGCCGTGGATGAGAGATGATAGAATGGTTTCGAAGCGAGTGTAGTTGGGCGCGGACATGCGCGAGTAGATGTGGGAGGTCGGATCATAATCAGCCTACAAGTACATATTAGATGGACAATGCATTACACGAGTGGTCTCGAGGGTGCATACAGGCGTGGCATCAGCTGCGGGTACCAAGTCTGATGGATCATTTGAATAACGGAACGTGGTAGTCAGATGCATAGGAGGAGCGACATCGGTAACCAGGTTCAAGGCATCATCGGCATGCAAAGAGCGCGTGGAGGTGCCAATAGCTTCGCTTAAATGCGACATGATAAAATATGTTATGTAGGTTCTTGAAGTGTATGCACAGAAAGGGACCAGCACCACGTTATAATACACCAGGAAATGCGGGATCCGATCTCGGGGGACGGCCATGAGGGGAAATCACGTAATGGGTCACGTGGAAGGAGACGTGGAAGGAGACGTGGGGGGAGACGTGGGGAGACGGAGAGACTAGGGGTTTGGGGAGCATGGGGAGAACAGATTTATCGTCGGATAGAGCCCATGCGCGATGGCTCTCGCACTGATCCAGGCAGTGCCGCCTTGAACATGGCGCGTGCTATCGAATAAAGTTAGTGGGAGACCATTGAAAGCCCGTAAACCCATAACTCACCAGCTTCATTTTCGAACGTAATAGTGAGGTCGTCATGTTCGATGGGATACTCAGGCATATCGAGGCACACAAAGTTGGAGGCCGGGTCATCATCCTTCTTTGGCAGCGCGAACTTGGCGTCAACCATGCGGATGCCGAATTTGCCAGATCGGCCAAAAGATTCCATAATATCAGTTCCCTTGAGAACGAAGTTCATGCACGTGCCGTGCTGGAAGCCCCCGAAGAAAACGAGCATCTGGACGACCTTTTCTTGTCGAACGATCTGGACTCGTGCCAGAGAAGCTTCCCACTTCTTGTAGATAGGGACCATACTGCGCCGGCGGGAAATTGTGAAGGATGTAGCCATACTAGATGGACCCTGATTAGCGACGATTCAAGAAATAGAAGCTTAGATTGATGAACTCACCCATCGTAGAGCACCCGGAAGCCGGTAACGGCTGCCTCGAAGGCATGTAGATCTGCGATGGAATTAGAAAAGAGGACAAAATGTCAGAAGCAGACACGTACCCTGTATGGTGGGGAAGTCGAGTCGACGGACCATAGGCTTCGCTGTGATCTTTTCCATAAATGTGGTCAATTGCTTTATCATTTCAGGGCGAACAAGATTATCCGCAAGTGAAAGGGTCATATCCTGCTGCGCAGGACGGAACAGGCTCATGCTTGTGCTGCGTTGGACGTCTAACCCGATTTTCAATTCACCCGGTCCTACAAATGAAGTTAGCGACCAATTTCAAAAGAGGAAAAAGAGAAGAATCCCACCTAAGTTAATGCGATCTGTCACGGATCCCCATTCAGTAGCAATAAAAGCCCTTAAACTCTCCGATAGAATCGTTGGCCCATAGCCATGCTCGGCACAAGCATGCTCCTGATCAATGACCGATACGCTTCCGGCGGGGAACTGGAGATGTTTCACCGGGGGTTGGCCAGTGAATGAATCTTCGGGCTGCTCAATGCAATAAGAACTAAGGGCGAACTCCGGTGATTTGGCTTCTCCCTCCCGGGGTTTCATGCCAAGCAATACAGAGTGTATCTTTGTACGCTCCTCCACCTCATGGAAGGTCAGCAACATAGAGCTCGTACGACCGTCCTCGGTCACTTTGAGGAGCAGAGCGGGAGCACCGTCCTCTCCTCGTAAAAGACCGAAAACTATTGGTGCCCCGAGGCCGAAAGTATGGCGAATACTACTTAAGGTCTTGACCTTCGGACTAGTCAAGACAGCCAATCTGAATCCTCGATGCGCGTTGCGGGTACCGGTGCCTTCTCTGACTATGACCGATCGCTCAAACAAACGGACTCGAGCCCTTTCGGTGGGTTCTGGAGGGAAGGCCTTTGTTGAACCCGGATCCATGTATTGGAAAACCTTGAGTGTGTTCTCGAAGACTACAGTCTCCCCTTCTTCTGGATGGAGACTGTTCTCTGACTTCTGTGTATACTTCACGATATTCCAAAGGGCCTTGAAATCCTCTTCTTTGAACATGACATCCAACTCGAATCCTCGAGGAAGCTTGACTCGCATGGAATGCGTCCGGACTTGCCAATCCACATCCTCCCAAGTCGGACCCTGCTTGCGATCGGACTGGACTAAGATGTTGACAAGTTGACTTTGACTGGTGATTGCGGCAAAGACATACCAATCCGCCCGTTCACGGACTATCGTCAATGCACAGGGCATGGCATATTGCTGCTGTCCATCATCATCACTCGAGCTCACGCAGACCTGTACGAACATACTACCGTAGCTGAAGTATCGACTCGTATCAGCCAAAGGCATCATGTGCACCAAGCTCGGTATTCTGCCCACGGCGTCAACAAGCATCGATCTTGTTGCTGCGCCAGACAGGACTGCTGATACGTCGGGCGCATAGGAAGGGTAACGCAGCCAAATGCTAGTATCCAACTGGGTGGGAGAGCCTTTATCAGAGACAACCAATGATAGAATGTTATTTCGTTTGATTGACATAGAGAGCGACCTGAGATGATTGGTGAGAGTGTGGTGTATACTCAGGAGATCAGCCAGCTCCTTGTCGCCAGTTGTGCTCGTGACGGCAAGTAGGGCATCAACACTCAACCTGCCGTATCGAGAGAGCTCACGATGGCTGGGGACAATATTTTCATTGATCCACAATGCCTTGCCAAGATCAACGACGGCTTGCGTAGCGTGAGTAGGCGGGGATGTTGAACGGGAACGAGCATATGCTTCCAATCGTGTCTTTCCTCGCAAAAACCACCACACCGCAGCCCGAACCCATTCTGCAAGTGATGTTTCTTCTGATGGCTTGACACCCTCTGCAGCATGTTGGATATGACTCCTATATCGTGCGTTGTACTCCTTAAATTCCGCAAATGCGGTATCACCAACTTGGGTCGCAACATTTCGAAGGGAGAACTTAGGTTGTGAGCTGCGGGGTGCATCGCGGCTTTCGCCACTGGGTGGTGACGCCGATTTCGATGTAGGCAGATCTTGGAATGGAGGTTGAGCCTGCGTTGGTGAAGGTGAAGCCTTGCCGGGGCTGGCTGGTGCCCAATTCGTCGGCATTCGGGAGTCAATGGGACTGAGACTCGGTGGTGCGCGGTTTCTGACAGGGCTTTGGGGGTTCCGAATTGATTCAACGATCGAGCTCATCGACAAAGGAACCGACGGCGCATGAGAGACCACGGAGTTTGGGGCTGTTTCGTACGCCGACTCGGAATCGTTATAAGATTTCAAGGGCAGTTCAGGGCTGGGAGGGCTAGGGGGAGTTGGAAGGTCATCGTCGTCGGCTCCCGGAGATGATGTATCTTCCTCATAGTGATGGTGCAGTGCGCGACCTTCCTCGGCTTGCATTCTGTCGCGGACACGTTCTGCGAAGGAGCTTGTTTCGCCACCCCCACGGAATGACAATCGAGAGCCATTATCGCTCAACGGCAACGTTCTCAAGAAGTCCGCATCTTGTGGATTTTGCATCAGCGGCGGTTTCCACTCCGATCTATCACGTCGCGGTGATAAGTTAGCTTGCCGGGATCGCGCATCGCCATCGCCCAACGATGTGTCCAGTCGGAGATTCGGGAGGTTTGATCGAGAAGCGTCCGAGAGGCCCTCGGCAATATTGTCAGGCTGAGTACCCCTGCTCAAAGATCTTTCGCGGGCCCGTGAGATCTCAATCGTAGGTGACTCTGTTTCATCGCCTCCTTCTCCAATCACTTCTGGTCTTCGGTTGCTGAATCCCACTTGCAGCCCCTTGCCTTTGCGACCATGGGGCTTGGCAGTGGCGCGGAGTGCAGGGGCTTGTTCATGATCCGAAGAACCGAACGCATAATTTTCACGAGACTGCGCTGGGGCTGGCGCAGGCGCTGGCTTGGATGGAGGGAAACCTGAGGGGTTTTGCGAAGGAGGAATGCGGTGAGGGGCAATGTGATGCGGAGGAATGTATCTCGGGTCGACGGGCGGGGAGGCTGAAGTTGAGTCCGGGGCGCGGGAGGAACTTAGGAAGTCGGCGATTTCTTGATGTTGCTGCGCAGCAGCTTTGCTCTTATCCTTGGAGAATAGCTTACTCTTCCAATGGGGCTTTTTGGTGGGTTTGGGCTGCTCAGGCAGAAACGAGAAGGGGTCATCGGTAGACATATCAAGCAAGATGGCGAGTAGACCCTGTCCACATCGCACTTAATCACACACTCGGACACCAGTCGTCCAATCTTCCCTGTTTGGATTTCAGGATCGACAGGGGTTGCCTGAGATCAGGAGTGGAATCGAATAGCGGGGAAGAGAGGGAAGAAGTGCAACGTTGTACGGAGTACAGAAGAGAAAAGGAAGTAGGTGAAAGGGCCAAGTTGTCAAGGGCCAAAGGAAGGAGGGGCGTGTGAATCGAAGCGCCCGTGCTCTGATGAAAGACACTGGGACATCAAATCAATTAAAATTAGTCCAATTTCAAGGCCACCTGCTTCGGACTTGGCCTTTTTAGGGAAAGGGCAGAAAGGGGAAATGCTTACAATTAATTGTTAACGAAGCTGGACCAGCAGCCGTGAGTACGGAGTACGGAGTAGAGAAGTAGAGAGAAGAATGTTTCTCAGCAGAAAGGGTATCAGGGGGATACTCCGCAGGCACATTGCCGCGGTGGAGTCGGGCGTTGTGGAGTCAGCATGGGAATAGCCCTGGGGGTACCTAGGTACGTCCTGGGACATGTCCTGGAAGCAAAGGGGCTGTACGGAGGATGTACGGAGTATGTACCTAGGCATCGGATTCGAGAGCCAACCTCTCCGGCCCCTCTGTCCCAAACACACGCCCAACAGCCCCCCAGCACAGACAACCCGCTCGTCTCATACTGAAACCCCACTAGACCCAATCGGGCTGAGGGGACCCGCCGCTGACGAGTTTCGTTTCTTTCTTTTGATGCGCTCTTTTGTACGCAGTACGGAGTACCTACCCAAAAACCTATATCCCTCGATCGTTCGGCTATATCGGTCTCATGGTTTATGCGGGATCCTCCCCATGGCCCTGATATCGGGAGTTGGGGTTCACCTGCAATCGAATCTCGCCTTAGCGTCCGAAATGTTAGCGGACACAAAAGGGACACCAAGGGGGCTCAAAGGGGACTAATTAATCTATTAAGTTGCGCCCTAAAGACCCTCTCAAACGAAGCCCTGATCCTTGGCTGTAAATGTGGCTTCCTCAAATGAGCACCTCATCAGATGCCATTTTCGGTATTTCATGCGCGGCTTCCCCCTTTGGTCCTTCCGTTGCCAGGGAAGAAGACATGCCAGATCCCTGCTTTCCCCGAGCCTAATTCGCTTGACATATGAGCGAGGAACTGAAGCTTGGCCATTGATGCAGATCACGCTGCGGCTGCCTTGCATGGTCCCTCTATTATTCATGTAGATAGCCATGAATATGCCTATGCCTGGACGAGGGTGAAAACGTCCCAACCTGCGAATCACCCCCGGGACCCTGGCCGGAGATCATTCGGCAAGTTTCTTTGAGCACAAAAGAATTCATGGCTCGAATCCCCGCATTTGATTAACCTTGGCTTGTCAGACCCGGCGTTCGTGCATCCGGTGCTAGGTGCCTGGTAGATCCCTGTTGCGCAGTTCTCCGTCCTGCGTACTGCGGATTGGCATGTCTTCGGTGGACCTCGGGTTGGAAGAATTGATGAACGCCTGAATTTCTACGGAGTATTCGGTTCAATAAGCAATACTCTAGTCCGACGTGGCACTCTTCAAAGTTATCATTGTAGATACATGCACGGTAGCCGTAATAACCGTGGGGCTTACGGCACGCCACCAACTGTCAAAATCTCAGCCCTACATTCCAAGACTCAAAGAATCCTCCCAGAGAGGCTCCGCGATACCTTGAACGTACATTTTCAGGTTCATGGGTCCCGAGAAATATGTTATGGTCTTGCCAAGTGTGCGGCAATAACCCTATTTTTTGCTTGTTGGGGGAACCTTGAGTACGGCCACAACATCAACAAAATTGAAAAGATTGAGTCGTGAAAGCTCTCAAGTCACCATCCACACTGAAGGTACGACTCTCCACATATCAGCACTTCGCTCTCAAAGTAGAGATATAGACTCACCGACCATGACGCCATAGTCGACATTCATAGATATGAGGTCAGAAAGAAACAAGCGCTATATCTCGCGAACCATGCCACAACTATGAGTTGACTACGGAGTATGTACGAAATAGATCTACCTTTACTCCGTACATCTAGAGTGCTCAGAGGGGCGTAGTGAGATGTGAGAAAATGAGCGAGAGGTGGCGGTGTGATGGAAAGCAAGGTAGATCAACTGCATACATATAATTACCTATAAATATATCTATGTACTTACTTCGTACGGAGTAGTTCCCTTGGAAAGTATCCATGGACAATACGTCACAGAGCAGTATTGGCCTAGCCACATCATGTATTTATAACACTGACGGGGTTGAGTTTTGAGGTATTGTTGGATTTGGTAGAAATGCGAGGCAAAGTTTCTGTTAAAGTGAGGTCAACCACGAAGCGATCGGATATCCCCCTGGGTGCATGTGTTGACTTAATAAGAAGAGCTGTTTACTGTGGTATCCGAACAAGTTTATACTACTACGAACTTCAGAGATATCATGATTTTCATGTTCGAGGTTATGTGTAAGCATGTCCTACCTCCAGGGCTACGGAGTTCCACCGCGCTTATCCCACTAAACGACCCATGGCCGAAAATCCTAGTGGAGCTAGATGGCTAATGCAGGGCAACGGACCCTAAAGATCTACAAAGTAGTCATTATATTTACCGACATTTTGAATCCGTGAAGCATCTTCCGTTGGCTCATATGAAGCAGGACGTCCCAATGCGTTCGAAGGTTCAGACCCGAGACACCGACACCACAGAGTGGCCTCGTAGAGTCAATGATTCCACAGTATAGCCGAGACCATGTCTTACCGGGCACTGGTCGGCACGAAGAAAGCCTTGTTCTTCGGCAGCGGTCACCGATCAGCAGGTGAGACAACGCACCTTAAGCGAGTATTTGGGGTCGGCTGAGACAGATCGTGATGATTCGCCGAATCGCATAACCACATGTTTCTCAGCTCGTAATGAGACAGGATCGGTACGGAGTACTTCATGGTAAGATAGGCAATAAACAGTCTCCGAGCCTGAAGGTGTACCAGGGGAGGAGGTTGATTACTATTTGGGGAAATTTACTAGGGCACATGTAGGTCAGTAGATCCAATCTACGGAGTATCGCGACAATAGGTGCTATGATGATAAGAGAATCGTAGATAACGCTCGACGAGAGGATGTTGAATCGTTAAAAGATGTATCTGTTTCATGATCTGACTCTGTAATGATTCTAAAGAAAAAAGAGAGTATAGCCCTATTATTAGCATAGTCGAGTAGTCAGCCGTCAAACTCCACCAGGGCCAGAACAAACAAGGCGCAGCAACAACAACAAACCAACCCACCGCGGAAAAAAAGTCGCTTTTTTCACTTTGCTTGTACCTTGCTCTCTGGTTTTGATTTTCGATTCCCATCCCGGGATGTGCCGCGTTTGACGAATTAGCGGCCAACTCAGACATCCGTATCTCAAGGCACCGGCCTGACTCCCCTCCCAAACCTATCACACAGAACACCGGGATCCTTGGTCCATTTCTCGCCGGAATATTCCCATCAAACTCGAGTGACGATCGACCCTGAGAAGGGGGCACATACCGCCGACGAGACCCCGACACCGAATTGTCAACACAACGTGGATTCGATCATTTACACCGGGGATTGACCTCCCTCAGGAGGTCATCCCAGATGCCCGAAGCGGATATGTACGACTCGGCGGAGATTGAGCTGGACAAATTTCCATGTTCACCTCGGCGGAAAGGAACTAGATGGCTGCGATGCAGTGGATTACACGTTTCGCAGGGTCGACCATGGCGCGACACTTCGAAACGCCGACGAGCACGACCATGGAGCTCCGTCTGGTGGACCGCACTGATCTGCATAGTAACCTTTGCATCGCCGGCCGCTGCTGTTCTTCTGGATTTTGAGAATTGTCTATCGAGAACGATCCTCGAATCCGACCCCCTACAATTACAATTCGTTCCTACCAACGTGTCCGTCGAATTCAATCTCACCAACCCCCTCCACCCACTCGCCGTCACAGTCTATGGCAATGTATCAGGGACGGTTTCTCGATCTGCAACGTATCCCGCGCCGGATTCCTTGGACTGGACAAACCCTAACTGGACGGATGGGAAGATCGAGGACGTGAGCAGCACAAACCCGAAATATAGCACGCTATTCACAGAGTTTGACGTGCTCAGCTTCACGCCTTGGGACAACATCTCTCGGTTTAGTGACTCGGTCACGCAAGGCGAGTTTCCTTTGGCCCCCGTCTTCAATTATAATCTGTAAGTTATTCCCAGACCAATGCTCCCCAATATGCTTTCTGACTGATATAATTTTTTACTTATGCAGGAGTGACTTGCAAACCTTACGAGCATTCTCTGTCCAACATGAGATGCTTTCAACCTATCGCTTCGGGACCATCGTACCGTTGTTCACGCTTCGCAGTGGAGATGCATCCGGTGCTGATCTGGGCTGCATCGCGGTTAAGGTCACGCCGGACTTTGGAACATCTCTCAAAAATGCTCTTGCTTATGTCCCCCTGGTCATCCTGATACTTGTGGGAATAGCGACCATCACTGCTGCCATGTATAGTCCCTGGGGCACAACGGATCTGTTTCAATGGACAAGCAACTACGGCCGTGACGAGGATATCCTCCGATTGGTCACTCCTGGGTTTGCGGACTGCCTGCAGTATCTTCAATTCGTGGTGTTGACTGGTGCTCTTTCGTTGGACTACCCGGGATTTTTCCAGCCTGCCGTGAGTCACGCAGCCTGGTCGACTCTCATGTTCAACCAGAGTTTCATTGAACCCGGAGCTGGCCGCAACCCTGTGGTCGACGGTGTATATGCCATCAATGGAAAGTATGGTCTCGACCGATTGAATCAATTGGTTGGGATGGCCTCGTCTCAGGATATCTGGCCTGGCATGATCATATGGGTACTGGTAATTCTAGCCTGTGTAACAGTGCTATTCCAGATTGCCTTTGCACTTCGATGGCTGCACCGCGAGTTGGCAAACAACACCGACCAGGATCTGCGTGCGAGAAACATGCCGTTCACAATGGGTAACCTTATCCGTATCGTCTTCAATTTCCTTCTCTTACCAATTGTTTCCTTTTCCTTCTTCCAACTCGTCCTTGCTCGTCAATCAGCCGCGTACTGCGTTGCATTGGCAGCTGTGGTACTTGTTATCCTCGCGTGTTTCGCCATCTGGGTTATCCGAGTGATTCTTTCCACTCGACCCAAATCCCACCTCTTCGATGACCTGCCCACAGTATTGCTGTATGGTCCGCTCTACAACACATACTGCGACGATGCGGCGGCTTTTGGTATCGTTCCTATCATTTTGAACATCGCTCGCGGAATAGCTATTGGTGCTTTGCAGCCGTCTGGTATTGCCCAGGTGGTGATGCTGGCCATTTGCGAAGTCGTCTCCATACTCACTCTCTTGGCTTTCCGACCTTTCCCAGGACCAACCCACATGAACCTGTACCACTGCCTATTTTCAATTGTGCGTTTCTTGACAGTAATCTTGAGTGTCGTTTTTGTTCCATCATTGACAGTATCGGATGCGGCACGAGGGTGGATCGGGTACTTGATCCTCGTGTTACATGCCATGGTTCTCATCTTCGGGTTCTTCCTTAATTCGATTCAAACGTTAATTGAGGTTCTGGCAAGACTGGCTGGTGCGGGCGGTGCTACTCGCGGTGGCCTGACCAAGGTGTTTGGTATGCGTCAACTTTCCAAACGATCTCCTCGACGCGACATTGCTCGTCAGAGCATGGGCTCTGAGGCTGCTATGCTTGGTCATGGTGACGACCGTATGTCTTCGCAATTTGATGGATCGCGTCCGCGTAGTCTTTCCGGAAGCTCCGCCCTGCTTTTGAACCGCGCTACAGCGAGTGATGGTAGAGCCAGCGCTGGATATGATTATGCCAGTTCGCAAGGCGGCACGCACAGTCGCGCCCCCAGTGGAGGATTCCCAACACCAACCTCGACAGCCTACCCAGGACCTGGCTTCCCTAGCTCACCTACTAGCGGTACGATGATGGGCATGCACCCTCGGGATCCATATTACCGACCACCTCGTCCTGGGCGCAGAACACCTCAGGGCAGCTTCTCACTCGAGAAGGGGAAGAGTCCATCGAGGAGCTTCCTTAAATCTAAATCCAGCCGGCGAGCAGTTAATACCGAGGATGAATTTGGAGATGGGATATCCGGCCGGGCGACGCCTGTCCCGGCATATCTCGCTGCACCCAAGGACGACATGGAACTCGATACTCCACGGCAGCCAAAAGACTACGCCGTTCGCGAGGTTGATTTCTACTACGGTGTTCGCGGTCCGCCGCTTTCTCACAGCGGCACCCGAAAATTGAAAACCGGTCCGGCTGACCCAACAGGCCCAGTCTCGTCTGCCACTGGCTGGTTCCGAAGCCTGCTCCAAGGGAAAACTAAGGACAAAGCCAAAGGATTTGAGGTGGTCCGAAGCGCTCGTGCACCTCCACCAGGTCTATTCCCACGAGGAACTGAATACAATGAACAATATCAGGATGATGCAAGCACGCCCTCCCCTAGCCACTCTCGCAATGTCTCTGCTGGCAATGTACCTTATCAAGATACGGATGGGGACAATGATACCAGGCAGTCAGGTGAGACACATCACCCAGTACTGCCCCCGCTCAATACATCGGTTGGAGGTGGCATCGAGCTACCTAGTCGAATAGGTTCTCGCCAAACGCAGGCGGCCGGTGAACAAGACACGAGTGGAAATGCAGCCGACCTCCCAATTGTGACCGAGACTCTGTCGCGCGACTCTGAGGCAGGCCATCACTCTTCTCTTTCCGAGCATCACCTTCAGGCGGATGGTCTCGCTGCTCGCTTACCTTTCAGCGGCAGTAGCTCACCATCTCGCGATCGAGGTCTCTCTATGACGTCAACTTCAAGGTCAAGGTCGAATGCCTCGAGCCAGCAGATGGGTCCTCGGTCAGAACGACCCTCGAGCATGGGTTACGTGCCGCAAGGTCGTGCACACGAACAAATCCACGAAGCGAGCCCAGACGAGCCAACATTTGCTGGTAGCTCAGCAGAACTTGTCGACGAACGTTCACATGGCGAGCACCAACGTTAGACAAAAGTCAACCAAACATGTATTTTGCACCAGTATACTCCTCTTGCTCCTTTTCGATCTCTTCCTCTCTATCTCTCTCACTCTTACTCTGTCTATCTTCTCTTGTTATCTACTTGTTATCTTCCTCGATATTATCCTCATATCATCCTCATATCATCCTCGAAATACTTGGCGAATTGATGCCAATCACGAATTTCCTTTCCCTTGCTCCCAATTTTTTTTGACTACGTTGATCGCTTTGTGGCTCTACCTAAAATTCCTTCTATGGCGTTCCATCTCTGATCTCAAGGTACACTTTTTGGGAATTAGTCCAGAGGCATTAGCTTTTCATTATCCTTTTCCTGTCGCTGGATCCGGGCCACACGCTGTTTTGTTTTGGAGGCTGTGCTTCTTTCTGTTCTGGCTTTTTTTTATTAGTCTTCTCGTTAGTCTTGTATCAACCTCAGCGGACACCATGTTACTGATATCATAATTAATGATTAGTGGGTTTTAGCGCTTCTTCGAAGAGCCTCCGACGACTCCGAGCATTTCTCAAAGTATACAAGGCATATTCGCAAAGCAGAAGAGTAGGGGACCGACACAAACTACTATGTAACTACCCGATGCCGGGACAAGACACGTTTTTAATGTTGAATTCGCCTGCCTGATCCCTTCCACAGCCTGGATTCGATACACAAAGTACCTAGATAGGTCTGGGCATGCATGGCTCTTTGGCACTATCATGCAGGATCCTGCATCCCATGCTCTAGCACAGAAAACCCTTCTTGGCGCACAGTAATTCACAGTCAAGTTCATAGGCCTGACAGTGCCTGTGGGATATGGCTGCAAGCGAACTGATGGTATATATACCTGGTCTCTAAGGTATGTGATCCCGGCCAAAAAGCCGAGGAGTACTGTAGACTACTGATGGGACCAAAGCAACCAGATAGGCATATCGGCCCGATACTGACAATCGCCACCGGCCTCACCGCCCGGAGCCCCACGATAACAGACTATCGGAGCCAAACATCCACTTCATCGTTCTTCTTTCTCCGCTCATCTGGACCTCAGTTGGCACTCTGCTGGCCTTGGAGATTCCGTCTTTCAACCTGCTGCTGGAATCGCCATCGCACTGTTAGTCCAGGCAAAGAAAGTCACGAGACTCCTAGCCTGATCCATCTCGTAACTTGGATCAGATCAGCCTTGGCCTCATGATAAGCATCATTCTTTCGCTCCTGGATGCAATCTTCGGCAAAAAGCGTCAACAGCACTGAGGCTGAGCCCAAGGTTGCATTATAGGATTGTTCCTTCGCTATACTCAACTTTTCCACCTCCCCGCTATCCATATCCATATCCATTGCAATTCAGTTCATGAAGAGCAGTCACCTTGACGGCCGAGATCGATCTCGTTGCCCGTATTGACACAGAATATCAGAGAGTGTCCATAACAGAGCTGTGCAACAACAACAATAATAATGCCTGGATCAAGCACGGCCTCGTCCAGCTCGATTGGCTCCAGCCCGCCACCGATGGCGCGGACAGGCACGAGACCGGGTGAAAGACCAGAGGGACATGACACAGTCCAGCCCTCCAACTATAGTGGCCAAGACGGAAGCGGAGCTAGGGCGAGAGCGTTTCCTGTTCGCCCGGGCTCAGAACGAAAAAGGCGCCTCACAACCACCAGTGAGGATGCGAGTTCGCAACGGGGACGAGTTGGGGGCACGGCTGGACCGGCTCTAGACAACAGGGGAACCTCTAGGAGTGTCTTGCCGCATAGGTCTGTTTCAATGGTGCTGCCTTCGTCTCGCACAAGAACTTCTGTATCCATGACACCTGGATCGTCAATTGCAACGGCAATAGACCTCTCCTCCTCTCCCCCAGTGTCCCCTCGCTTGTCTTCTGGTGAACAAGCGCTGCGTACTTCTCGACGCGAGAACCCTACGTCCTGGAATAATCAAACCCGCTCCGTCTCATCTCTTTCTCACACACCGCCCTCAACATTCATGGACATGCTTCTCCCCAAATGGCAGGCGGACTCGGAGGTATCCGAATGCCCAATCTGCAGGACGGTCTTTAGTTTCTGGTACAGAAAGCATCATTGCCGAAAGTGTGGGCGAGTTGTTTGCGCATCGTGCTCCCCTCATCGGATCACAATTCCTAGACAGTACATTGTTCGTCCGCCCGAGTTTGTTGACCTTGCCGACTCTTCGCCAATGCCTTCCTCCCGAGCTCCACAGATCGTCGATCTTACGGGAGATAACCCTAGTTCATCATTTCCATCAATAGTCAATCCTGCTCTCGGGGGAGGCGAGGAAGTACGGCTTTGCAATCCATGTGTGCCGGATCCTAACCCAAACCCTCTTGGCTACACTACTATGCGATCACACGGTCATCGACCCACCCATTCTCTGTCGTCTACGATGAACAACCCATATCATGCTTCATCAGTTAGTTCCCACCTTTCTTTTCTCTGTTTCCTTTTTATTATCCTCGCATTGACTGACTTCAAACGTGCAGGGTCAAACTCAGAATCCCGAGGCTCGTCAGGAACGACGCACTGTGGGTACAAATGATCGACCACAGTTCCTGGACGCATTGAACTCTCCACCCCGTCAAGTTCCCTCGGCCTCTAACATCCCTCGACAACGCCGTTCACTGTCCAACCGTGACGGCGGTCCATCCCGCCGACATGCTCCGGACGAGGCCGACTTCTGCCCAGTGTGCAGACGCCAGTTCCCTCCATTGAGTTCCGGCCATCCTCTTGAGGCCCGCCAATCCCATATTCGGGACTGCATTGAGGGCTACCTAAGACCACCAGCACCCTCCCGGACATCATTAGCGCAGCAGGAAACCCCACTTCCTCATCCTCCACCCACTGCCCGCATGCTTCCCTTTGTGGCTACGGAAAAGGACTGTCTTGGTGAGGATGGCCAGGCAGCGGAGTGCACGATCTGCATGGAGGACTATGAGGTTGGGCAGACCCTTGCCCGCCTTGAATGCTTGTGCAAGTTCCACAAGCACTGCATTGTGGACTGGTTTGAGAGAAAGATGGAGTGCCCTGTGCACAAGCTTTCTTAACGGGGTGCCCTTGCATTTAGCGTGAATTTGATGAAACCTTCTCTCATTTCCCTCGTTTTTCTATTAGCCTAGCTATTTGCTTTTCTTATGCTTTGTGTTTACGGCGCCCAGGAATTGTGCTTCTGATATCCCAATGGGCGTGTTGGCCTCAATCGAGATCCAATAAACAACAAATTTAATCCTAATCTTCATCTCCACGCTAGAATCATGATCTACTCAGCTATATGCATACAAGCATACACATATTGTACACCCCATCGCCACAGTAGCAATCCAACTTACGATATTAGTGGTCACGTGCATAGCCCCTAAAGCGCTAGCAACTCAAAGTCAAAAGAACTTCACTCTTTTTTACAAACCGAGGTGAAAAGTCAAACGTCAACTGAGAGTGTTTAGAAAGAAAGGTAAGCGTTATTTTATTTAACCTTCTCCTTGATAGAAGCTACTCCACCATCCAGGGGCATGTTGATCCTCCACATCGGTGGTCGGTGTTTGGGACCACCGTTCTCCGTGTGTTTCTCCCATGGCAAACCCCCGCAGATCAGCAATAATGGTGCTGTCAAAAACCCACATAATACAGCGATTGATGTTGATACATCTAAATATTGCTTATGCTAATGTGTAACAGTGGACTGGTCTCTTGATTGGTAGCCGATGAACTCCGCACTGCATGGACGTTGATCCGCATCTGCAACACGGAGACATTCAACGGCCACTTTACACGCCGACTTAACCGACAATGAGCACAGGCCCGGACTACCCAGAGCCTCCATCCCATACTTCCCTAGACCCATACCAGGGCCAGGATGGGCGGAATGCGCTGAGATATGCTCCGCCATCATTTGGAATGGGGCCGGACACCAGCAACCAATCCCCCGATCGGAATGACGCCTTGAACGAAGTACCAAATGACGCTAAACGCCCGCGGGCTTGCGAGCCCTGCCGGCAGCTTAAGGTTCGCTGTGACCCAGATCCGAAGCACCCGGATGGCTCATGTAAGCGATGTGCCAAGGCGCGGCGGGCGTGCATTGTGACAGCGCCGACGCGCAAGCGTCAGAAAAAGACCGATAGTCGGGTAGCGGAATTGGAGCGGAAGATTGATGCGCTGACGGCGACGCTGCAGGCGTCGCATTCTACCAGTGCTCTCTTTGCTGGTGGGGCTGTGGGGCAGCAACAATCGCCGCCGAAGCAGCAGGATGACTATCCGCCCGAGAGAAAGTGGATGGGCGGGGAGTCAAAATTGGCTGGCATCAAGCGACGGCGCTCTGATCATGGGAAGGACTCATCTGATGTCTTGCTGGCGCCGCGCTATTCACGACCGAGTAGTCCGTCAGCAGAGCAGATCCCTAACCATGCATCGAGGCATTGGCGCAGACCGATTGCCAGTGCCTCTTTACCGCCGCCCCCAAAACCCGAGGCTGCTAATGAGTTCGCTGATATGATAGACCGGGGAATCATAGATTACGACACTGCGAGTGCAGCCTTTGACCGGTTTATCCATCAGATGGCCCCGGAACTTCCTTTCATCGTCTTTCCGCCAGGCACCACAATGGGCGACGTGCGACGCAATAAACCGTCTTTGTTTCTTGCAATCATTGCTGCTGGCCTTGGTGTCTTCAATCACGATGCCCAGCATGTCCTCGTAAACGAAGTATATCGTCTGATCGCGGACCAGGCCATTATCAAGGGCCAGAAGTCTCTTGAGCTAGTCCAAACCATATTGGTCACTTCTATCTGGTACTATCCACCAGACAATTTCGAGGAGCTCAAGTTCTATTCTTTGACTCATATGGCCGTGGCGATGGCAATGGAACTTGGATTGAACCATCGCTCAGTTGAAACTCGGAGGGGCTACAATATGATCCGCGAGCTCATCAGCAAAAAGCCCATGAGCGCGGTGTTTGATCCAGACGGGCCGGAGGCGAGACGGACGTGGATGGGCTGTTATTACTTAGCTGTCCAGTGAGTACTCAAATGATCCTGGTGTGGGGTTTGATCGGCTAATTCTGTCAGAACATCGGTGGCTTTGAGGAGAGTTCATCTAGTAACCTGGCAGCCATACATGGATGAATGCCTTGAGATTCTCGAAAATCATCCCGATGCGCTACCTACCGACCGGAAATTGAGATGGTGGGTGAAGCTGGCATTGATAATGGAAGATGCTGGGCCGCAATTGTCTGTGGATGATCCAGGCTCTATCGCTACCTTTGCAGATAGTAGAGCGTGGTATTATATGAGAAAGTTTGAGGAACGGTTGACACAGTGGAGAGAAGAGGTCCCGCCAGATGTTTATACTGGTAAGCTCTCTCCTTGATAGGACTATTTGGGTCTCCTGCTAACATCGTTTCAAGAGTCAATGGCTCACACAGAACATGTTCTGAATATCTTTGTGCACGAATCCGCCATGAGTGTGGGCCAAAACATTGGCACTAACTCCCCATCACAGGACGACAACCCGCCCAGTCCATCAACTGCCGCAGTCATCGCAGCGTTGACTACAGCCATCCACTGCATTCACCAAAGTATAGATCTCATCTGTGCCGTTGATATTGATCGACTTATATGCCTACCCACGATGTCAGTGGCTCGGACAACATATCCCGTCGTTACTTTGATCAAGATATATTCTTTGCTCGCGCCAGCGGACAGTGGAATAGGCCACATGCTCGACGTACAGAGTCTCAAACTCGATTACTATCTGGACAAAGTCATCGCACATTATCGCATCGCCGCGTCACGTGATGGCGGCCGCGTATGCGCGAAGTTTGGCAGCATCATTGTCCTGTTGCGGAATTGGTTTATCAAAAAGCGGGATCAAGGAGATCACGGCCGGGAATTGAAAGAGGCCTTTTCAAATGGCCAGACATCGCCCTTGGGATCCACCACTCGGACAACTCAAATGGTACCAGGAATGACACCACTCCACTTCCTGAGCGAAGTAGCCATGGGAGATCCGGCTCACCGAGCGAACAATGCCAACTCCCAGCACTCGATGCCCGGACAATCCTATTCCTCGAACCCGAGCCCGAGCTCAACGGTCAACCCAATGAAACCTCCAGGCACATCCAGCTTCGGGCCCGATCCATCCCAGGCCAGCTGGTCATCTGGAAGATCTTACCCGACACCTATATCGGGCTCCGACTCGAACCAGATAGAGACGAGAGGCTACTACCAACCATACACATCCGCCGATACATCACAAGCTTACCCAGATCTGTCATCCACCACTGGGCAGAGCCAGGGATACCCGGATATCCCCACCGTGGGTGGAATGCAACTCGCACCGCCGATGGGAATTGCACCTGAGCTAGGCATGGATCCCATTTTTGGCGATACGTGGTTTTCACTGGAAAGCATGATGGATGAGGGCCTTGTCACTTTGCCACTTTCTTTTGACGGGAATTTTGGACTGTTTTAGTTGGCTCACTATGATTATCATTCTTGGGAGAGGGGAGGTTTACTGTAATTTTTTTTTCTGTTGCTTTATTATACCCCTGCTGCATTAAACCTAGGATGTCGATCTATGTTCTATGTGGTAGCAATTTATCTGTCCTGGTTGGCTTCTTTGATCTCATACACTTGGACAGCTCGTGGTCCAACAATGCTGACTTGGTATACATCTTACAAAGAGAATGTACATGGGGATTAGCTATAAATATTTGCTTTAAAGGCATTGATTGTATCCTATGCTCTACTTAGTCATTATAATCTACTGAGTCTTTCGTAAACGCTAAAAACGAACCTGGGTATAAGACTACATCGGCCTCCACGCTTGCAAAGCCTGGTGCTGCACATATCCCCACGGCCAGCCGTTTTCCCTTTCTGTGCGGCGAAGGAGATCAATCAGCGCATTTTGAACAAGAGGGTCATCGATCCATGAGCCACCTATATTTCACATCAGTTCAAATCCAATCGACAAGATCGAATAACACTTACAGACAAAAAGCGCGTGACAGGCTGTGATACGTAGCGAGGGATCATCGTCAGCAGATATGGCAATTCCGAACATGAAGTTGAGATTCTCAGCGAGGTCACTCTGTCGGGGTCAGTATGTCATCACTCCATCAAATTGTTTCAGTGAATAAGAAACGGACCCTCAACTTGACGGGCTGCTCTAGATGCAACGCATTCCGATCATAAAACTCTAGTTCCCGAATTAACATCAACGACTTGGCGAGATAGATGTGCTGAATGGCAGTAGCTGTATTCCATAGATTAGCATAACCCTTAAAACCACAGGTGTGTAACATACCATGCCACAAGCTTGTATACCAAGCAACAGGAAACGGTTTCCCACTGCCGGGATCCGGCGCCGAAACATGCAACGGGGCAAAAGTATCAGGTCTCCCTAGCTCCCACTCCAGAATATGGTGCCTGAGCGCCGTCTCCTCCACACTTCCGAGACGAGCATCACCGTTTCGGCCCGGAATATTATAACAGACTTCCACGGTTTCAGCCAATAACCAGATAGCCTGGTTCGTCCAGTCTCCGTCGCTTAAGACAGGCTTGGCGACCCACCAGTGTCGTAGGTGGTTATCGAAAGGCGCAAAGGTCAACCGAAGACATTTCTGGTACGTAAGCGCAAACTGAATGTCTTGGATGACGAAGACCCAGAAGGAAGCGGATGTCAGGCCACCGGAGATAGCACAGTCCACATGGGAGCTGATATAAACTGAACCGGCTAGGAGATGGTGTTGTGGGTCGTTTGGGGGACTGTGGGCTGTTTTGGTTTTGGGTGGATTAGTTTGGGGGTGTTTGACATTTTTTTCCCATGGATGATCGGTGAAAAGCACGTACAGGAGATTGATTCGAAGAATCGTAAAATTACTGTTGAGGAAAGGAGGATATCGAGACCGATTTCGAATTCCGGTTTGTCGAGCACCGGGAGCATGATGGAGATGCAGCGCTCATGGTATCCGTGCGCGACTTCTCCGGAGATGGTATTTGTGGTTCGGGAGAGGTGACATGCTGAAACTGCTAGACATGCATAGAGCAGTAATGGGGATTGAATCGCGCGCTCGATAACATTCGTCGAGAAGTGTCGTCCAGGGTCGCATGCGTCAAGCTGAGCTGTTAGTCCAAAGGGTGGAGAATGGGACAAAAGGACTCCTCGGACTTACCCAGGGGGCAAGGTACTTTTGAAAATGTCTCAACAAAAAGGCCTCGGTGACGTTGGATATCCTTGGTTGGGTGATGGGCGTCGTAGCTACATGTGACGAATTCACTGAATTTGATCTCGAACCAAGTTGAGATCCTGCGGTGTATGAGGGAATGGTGAGGGTTGGAGTTGTGAAAGAAGAATCCATTGTCGTGGATGAGCGGGTCGAACGATCTTCAGAAGATGATCGTGAAGCTGAAACCTGCCCTGTTATAGGCACAACATAGTACTCTGCTGCCGTCTGATCCGTTTCATCTTTGAAGTCGACTACCGGAGAAGTGAGTTAGCATGGCGACAAAGATGAAACCGACGGCACCCACCCTCGCAAGACGTCTCAACCCAAATCTGGTTGTCTGGGAAGGCAAGATCACTCTCGCCATATCTCGGGGGCCCTTTTCCGCGCAAAGATGGATTTTGGCCATGTCGGAAAGAGATCTCTTCAGATTTGCCGGGGGCCGGCACACATTCGCGGCCCGATCTTTGACAGCGGAGACATTTCGAACCGGTTTTGTCACCTATGGCTGTCAGTTGCAGAAGGACAGATGGACAGATTCTCAAAATCATAGACAACATACATTTCAGATGGCGCAGACGACACGTGAGGCTGGGAAAAGTTAGCTGATGTCGAATGTATCAAATCCAGCAAAAAGACACAACTGACCATCCCCTCATTACGCAGTCAAAAGTACAATGGCGAATACGGAAAGCTTCCAGAATCAAAGCATGTCCGGAAGGCCAGGCCCGACGGTATTTAGATAAATAAGCAAGCTGGCTTGGCCCCTCCGACTATAAAACTATCAAACTTATCCATGGCGATGTCAATGGGGACACCCATACAAAAGCGGAGATGAGTGGGGGGTGCAAGATACATAATTGGCAGATCAACGGGCTGTGTCGGTGGTTTTGGGGTATACCCAGCTACGGATGGTATTGGAGGTTAGCTCGAGTGGAGCGGATATAACAGTGGCCCCAAGGAGAGCGGGTTTCGAGTTGGAAATTAACTCGTGTTGGCTGAAAACTCGTGATAGTTTAGGACCTGGGCTCGTCGCGCTAGCAGTGATCTCCACCACAGAGTCTAGCCCAGACCTGTGCTGGTCCTGGTTGGGCGAGCGGCTGCCCCCATGCATCCGACAGAGTTTGTACGTGTACCCCCGATCGAGAGGTCTCTGATCGTTGCCTAACCCGAACGGTGTTGGGACATGCCATGTTGGCCGGTTTCCCTCGGGAATCCGGCATGAGAAGGGCAAGACTTAGCGATGTGCGGTGCCAAGTGAGCTATTGCAAAACGGTTATAGTCGAGATTTTGTCCCTTTTGGCCATAAGTTTCCATTATTTTTTGGGTGGTATATAGGGGCAATCCTTTGGTTTAAAAAAAGAAAAGAGAGCCCTTGGTTAAGATGCCAAGGTCAGCAGCCAATAGCATGAAGCAGGGAATGCAATGGTCTCCATCTCATCCCGTAGATTCGGTATCAATCCGTTGCGGTTTGTCAGGGCGGCAACTCAAAAACACTTGGAAGGCGTTTGACAAGCTTCGGTGGAATTAAATTAGCGCGGTAAGCTATTCATTTGTCCTTTCATTTGCCGGTGTTTCTCACCGGGAATGATTCAGGGACCCGAGGCAAAAGGAGTCGCTCGGCCCTCTCCCCCAGAGAGCCACATAGTGGCGGTGACCTCAACCCTTGACCCGATACTCCGTACTCCGTATTTCTCATTGCGATTGCACCGACGCCGAGATCGACTGCACAAATCCTGTGCGGATTTTGTGGATCCGTTTCATCAGATGCCAACAATGTGTCAAATCGGTCTAAATTATTCATCTGGTGAAATATCCCGTCGACTGTGTTGATCCCAGGGATTCTTGCCCCAAGGGTATATGAAGCCGAAGATAAGACCCGAGACCAGTCTAGCGGGCTGCATTGCCGAGATTGTCCAGCTATAAAGTCAAATCGACAAATTGTACTGAGTACTGAAATTCCATGTGTATTCGCTGGATATGTGGGGATCCATTTCGTTATGAACTGCCTGTTTTGGCCAATTGCTCCGGGGGAACGTCCACTAAAAGACATGCTTATTGATCAATTCATCAGCATGAGTCCCATGGTTGGGGAGGAAGAGGTGAGAGGAAACGGAAATGCCAATGTGGAAGTCATGTGAGCTGGTGCCTGACAGACAAGGCAATAATGTGATGCCTGAATAGCACCTTAAGAATAGGGCATCCATGCATATCCAAGGCACAAGCCGAGACTCAACTTCCAAGATTCTGTATTTGAGAGCTCCTTGCAGGCCAGACAAGCTCTTGGCGAGAGCTTTAACTGATCATTGCTTTTTTCCATCTCTACTTGACCTACATACTCTGTACACAAACCACTATCCAACCACTGAATAAATCATAATGCAATAACCATGTCCCTAAACCGCATCTCCTTCCTAGAAGGATGGGAGCGCAGCCCCGCCACCTTTCTCAACCGGGCCGATGACTCGGAGGATTCGGACCTGGACTCCTACCAAGATCTGCCCGAGGGGTCGGTGGCATCCTCGTTTCCCTCCATGTACAGCAGACTGAACTTCAACCCGTATGCGGGGCCGGGATGGAATGAGATTCCCGATGAAGATCCGTCGCCCTTTTTCGGGTCCTCATTTTTGGGGCTTTCTCCCACAACTACTCGTGAGGGGCGTACGGGCTCCATTTCGGCGCAGGCGCTGGGATCTGCGGACCGGACTGTGCACGAGGAGCTGGGGGACGTTCCTCGAAACCAACTGTGGGCGGATTCCACTGGTGCTTATGAAGTGAGCGCTGCGAGGAGAATTGGTATGTTCGGAGTGCAATTGATTCTTCTCCTTTTTTGTCCTCTCTCGACTTCTTGTTCCTTTGATATATAATGAAAGTTAACTTGTAAAAGCCCAGGTCTGTGCCGCGGTTGTGTACTGCTTTCTAGCTGCAGGGGTCGTTTTTGGGTTTGCAGCTCTGAAACCTGTGCTCATTCGCGAGAAAGTATATCGCAATCTCTGCTCCCAGATAGAGCGCGATGAAGATGTTGATGTATGCTATGGGCAGGAAATTCGGTAAGGCCCACTTCTCTTGGTAGACCAGTATATCTTGCTAACACCTAACAGGCTAAACCTGATGTTTACCATCGCTGCTGTAGTAACCAATATCTCAGCCCTACCTGTAGGAACCATCCTAGATGCATTTGGACCACGAGTTTGTGGAATTATCGGCAGTGTCTGCCTTACCATAGGAGCAGTACTATTTGGCACAGCCAAACAACTTCCGTTCGATGGATATATTCCAGGATATCTGTTTCTAGCGCTGGGCGGGCCATTTGTGTTCATCCCATCTTTCCATCTCTCCAACACCTTCCCGGCACGATCAGGCCTGATCCTGTCAATGCTGACAGGAGCCTTCGATGCGTCAAGCGCTCTCTTTCTGATTTTCAGGTTGCTCAACGAGCGTACCCAGGGGTTTGTTTCAACCAGAAGCTTCTTTGCAGTATACCTCACTGTGCCGCTCTTCATAATTGCCGCCCAGGTATTCATAATGCCACCGACATCCTACAAAACAGCCGGTGAGCTTGTTCAACATGCCGAAGCCCAGGTCGCAGATGAGATCCACGACCGCATAGACGACACAGTCACCGATCGCACTGAGGGTGAACGCCAGCGTCTCAGAAGACGTCTCCATCGTCAAAGCATTGTTAGCCATATCCAAGATCTACTCGATGATGGTACAGCATCTGTGATGTCAGCAAATACCGTCGATCACCCAGTCTTCCACACCAGCATCGACGCCCAGCTGGATATCAACAATACAACCACTGGAAATAATGGCACTACAGCACCCCATTTACATCCACAACCAATGCACCCAATAGCCCCACCACCAGGGGGCATCTGGGGTGTTCTCCACGGCCAAAGCGCCCTACATCAACTACGCACACCATGGTTCACACTCATAACAGCATTCACCGTGCTGATGATGCTCCGAATAAACTATTTTGTAGCAACCCTCCGCTCCCAATATACATATCTCCTCTCAGCCGACGAAGCCGCCCAAATCAACACAACATTCGACATCCTCCTGCCAGTAGGCGGTCTCCTCTCCGTCCCATTCACCGGCACATTCCTAGACATCATCCAAACCCGCACCGTGCTATTTATCCTTGTACTTTCAGCCACCGTGATCGGTGTGCTGGGATGCATACCGCATTCAACAGCTGCATACGGGAATATCATTCTTTTCGTGCTATACCGACCATTCTACTACACCGCCGTATCAGACTATGCAGCGAAGGTATTCGGTTTCGTGACGTTTGGGAAGGTATACGGGCTGATTATCTGTCTTGCCGGGATTGGAAATTTTGCACAGGCGGGTCTTGATGCGCTTACGTTGAAGGTTTGGAGGGGTGATCCCGTCCCTGTGAATGTTGGGCTTACTGTGCTGGTTGCTGGTATCGGGGCTGGACTGGTTGGCTTTGTGGCATATCAGACGGCTGGGTTGAGAGGGCCGGAGGGGTTGGTTGGTGATCAATATTGTGTTGTGAGGGAGCGAGAACCGTTGCTGAGGAATGAAGACACGGGGAGGGAATATGGAAGTTGAAATTCTGTATTTTATACGCTTTTGGAAAGAGGATTGGTATGTTGAGGTGTACGAGTCGAAAAAGATGCAGCTGTCAATCGGGTGTTGTGCATATTGCTTGCTTGTTCTCTTATATATGCATCGATCTAGTCATGTAGTCCCGTATCCATATCTTCCAAGTCAGTGATCGGACCTCATCGTAGCCACTGCTCCACAGTCTCGATCGGTATAAACCTCCACCGGCCCTTTGCGTAGCCCGTTTCAACGGAGTGCAGCTTATCATCGCAGGACTTACCAAGCCCATAGCATTAACGACATATTGTAAAGTATCGAAAAAGGATAAGGCAAATTGGACAGCGGAAACAGTAATCTATAAGATGGACCTTTCGCTTGCGTTTAATGTTCTTAAAATCCATTTCCAACCTACGACTTCAGTCTCTTTCACACACTGTCAGAAATCAAAGGGAAACCCATGGAGCCGAACTCAGGCAGTTCCCTATATAAAATTCAAATCAAAATCAAAGTTATCATCTTTATGTGTATGCTAGACAGGTCCTTCCAATTTTGGAAAACGTACTATATGTCATGTGATCGAATGGGGATAGAGGGCAAGTTCAAGACAGACCTTTTAGCAAGGAACCCAGGTAATGCGATGTTTATAAAGGTACGTTCGCCGCCTGAGGACCTTAACAGCCTGGAATTCAGTTCATCATAGGACTTCAATTTCATAGCCTGACGGTCCAGATCCAACCTGCTTGGTGACCATGCGTTACTGGGGATTTGGTACCGTCTCTCTCTCTCTTTTTTTCCTCTCTTTGTTTTTGATATTTCATCTTATAGACCTATACAGAAATCCAAGAGGTCGTATATACCTCAAATATGCTAAGTTTTAAACAGCGGCCGTGGGAGTCACAGCCCATATTATATCGGGGGATATCATTATTCAAATCCAGATCCCAAACTGGATCCATTACATCATGTGCAATTGAGAAAGGAAAGAAAAGGCGAAAGCCTGGTGACCGGGTTTGAATCCGGCGACTTTTTGGGTTCCACAGCACGACATGTTCATTCACAACAATGTCCCGTCTGGGTGAAAGCACCGTCAAGTATATTTATGTATGGCCCATGTCCATAATCAACCATGTTGCCGGTTTCTGTGACCGTGATATGCATCCCACAGAGAGAAATCCCACTTTGTGCCATATATTCATTTCAAAGAGACCAGTCATAACCAGGACAGCGAAATTGATATGAGAGGGATGGTGGTTGGAACCACCGAAGAGACTTAGAGGAAACATGCGGACGCTGTACTGTGGCCTGCTGGCAGCTGACAGCGAACGCAGAAGGAGGAAGCGGATGATTTGCGCTTCTCGAGTTTCGGAGAATTTCCAATGACAGCATTGAATCTCTCTTCACCCGATGACAAAGCTATACTTGCTGGTACTCTCCAGCCATAGTGCCTCTGCCGCGCGATCACAGGCAGTATCCAACCACAGCATGGATGTGACAATGGGCTTGACGCTTGCCCATGAGCTCAACTTGGTTCTACGGGATATGTCTCCCAGAACAGAAACGAACCAGGTGCGCTCGGGTGTATCGTGCGCGGCAATACCACCGAGAGTCAAAATCCATAGCAGCGCAAAACGAGTAGATGGTGAAGACCATAACACCGAGGAGGAGGACTGGAGAAGGACTAATCGGATCTCTCGCGCTAGAGTGCTGAGTGGTGTGTTCTGCGCGGGGATGGGGAAAATAACGCCGACGCCGAATACTAGTGCGGCAAGACGGAGGGCTTCATAGGTGGTAGCCTGTGTAGACTGGGAGACATATATATCGAGTCTGGAAGCTGGAGGGAGAGAGAGGAGGGTGTGTTGTGTTAAGTTGCGCTGATCAGCGAGAAGGGATATATCGCGTGTGGGGTTTGGGGATTTCGTGATCCCGATATAAGCGTGGACGGCTTGGAAAGCTTCAATCATTTGGCGAGTAGCGCCAACTCCCTGCAAGCGGCCGAACCTTTCGTCGAAGGCCAACGAACTGAAACCAAGCAATTCTTGGATTGACATGCCTCTTCGCTCATCGGCTAGTGGCCAAAAGTCGAAACATGGGCGAACGCTGAGAACACTGCAAGTGAGGATATCCGAGCTGCAGATAGTTAGTATAGCCAATCAATTTGCAAAGAACCCAAAGCCAAGACATACAAAGAGATGGTCGCGGCCAGACCCTCTGTGGAGATAGTTGTCAAGCCACCTCTTAATTTGACCAATTGCAACAACCCTTTGATATGTATCATATTCGGTGGTAGACAGCCGTAGACATTGATCCACTGTAGCCGCGGGAAAGGTGGGTTGAATGGTGTTTTTTCGTGGTGCTGTGCCGAATTTTCCTCTGCCTGGTGATGAGCCATGCAAATGACACTGAGAAGGACACCATCCTCAACTACACGTTTTGGGTCACGGATGGCTTGATTGATCAATTTAATTGATTCCATTTCACACAGCTGTAGTGCATGCTGTTCCCTTCGACCAAAACTTGTGCGTGGTATCCAGTCATTCTGACATTGTACTCGGAGATGACACAATGAGCCAAACATGAATGCAGTAAACAAAGCCGAGTCATCCATGGAGAGGTGCAACCACTTATCAGCTGCGGTTGAGGCACTATTTGGCCGGGGCGCAAGTCCCGGCCACACAGTATTTCTTAGATAGTGCTCAGATAGATGAATGAGCGTGGGCTCGAAGTTCATGGGTGTGGGGTATGTGACGAAAGGATCGAAGGCGCCCACGAAATTCCGCTCCAATCGCTCAACCGGACGATCATTGAATTGGACGATCGCGCGCTGCGCCGAGGATGCCCCTGCCACGGTGCTCGCATCATCGCTGCCACTGCTCTCACTGCTCTCGCTAGCTTGTGACTGCGGAAACGGGGAGTCTCGGTATGCGAGCTGGCGGGAGGGAGATTCGTGCACAAAGGCGAGGCTGGAAGCGGGGATACTGGCGAGATGGGAGCTTGAAGGGCGCGAGGCGAGGGCGAAAGCGGGACCGGGGCCCGCGCGATCGAGGACGGGTAGGGGGTGGAGGTAGTCGCGGGGAGGGTGGGGTCGCGAATTGGAGGATTCGCCTGCGGATCGCTCCTTCGTTTGATCAGAAATCCAGCGACCAACATGCGCGCGCACTAAACGCTGGGCTTTCAATTTCTCGGTCTCGGACGCCGGTCTCGCATTGACGAAGTGGATGCCGTCCTTCTTCTTGGAAGGTTGTTTCTTTCTTGACGCCATTTGAGATCATATTACCGGCACGGTAAGCGGTGAGACATGTATGTGATATTGATATTCTGCATGGTATGGAAGAGAGGGAACCTTGGAAAGAGAGCGAGTGCCTGGAAAGGAGCTGATTACAGTTCCAGGGCGGTTAACAGAGCTCGTGTTGTATTGGCGACAGGATATAATGACGGGATATGAATTGACAGCACAGCGTTATGTGGATCATCTGCAACCCATCATGGCCTTGGAGGTCTCGAGTGGGGGAAAAGGGCAAAGGGAAACCAAGAAGCTCGGAGCCCCGTGACCGCAGATCGGTTCCCGGCGGTTGGCAGTTTAACTTGTCTTCCTTTCAACTCGCCGGTTTTTAATGCACCCTATCAGCTTCTTATTACTCCGTACTCGTGTCTCTTTGGCGCTTTGGTGGAGTCTTCATTAGCCTTGCATTAGGGTGCCAATAGTGAAGTCCATTTTCTTTCATACTATCGTGCGTATGAACTACGAACGGGCTCTGGGTGCATTTACCTTGCCATGCCACTTTTCAAGCTCACGATCTACACGTGGTGACCAAGGTTCGAAAGGCGAATATACCTCCGTTACCAGCCGAATGACCGACCAAAGTGAATACGAAGTAGATCGCCATCCTGGACACGTCCCAGACTGCCGCACCAAGGGGCGGGAGCTCTTCTCGGCAGACTAACCGGTTCTCGTTTGGTCTGTGGACTAGGCACACAATAGCAGCCAATAAATATCCTCCCCCCGGGAATCCCAGTAATGTGGACACATATGCCCGGTCCTATAAGAGACCCCGGTCACGAACGGGTCTAATACCAGAGCATTAATGTGTCGGGATTGCGCTCAAACGTGCAACCGTCCGCAGAGCTTGGCTCAATGAGACCCCGTGCGCTGAGCTATAGTGACGGGCGTTAGCCTTTTCCGAATAAAAGTGGTCCTGAGAGGTGGGCCCTCGTCGTTCGCTAGGGTTGATTGTCTCGGGCAAATTCGAGGATGGGATGGTGTAGAGTGTAGATCATAGGAAACACTGTTATACTTAGCTACAAAGAAACTATATTCGGACTTGGATTAGTGATGATTGTTCGCTCTCCATGTTCTCTATTTTGTCTCTCATATTGACCTTGGCTACTTGAATGCATGGGGTAAACTGACCGTGCATATAGATGAGACATTTCGTACGTTATGCAACTACCACTCCGGCCGAAAGTCCCAGGCAATCGCATTCCCCTATATCCGCGGGGCTAAGGGTTTCTTCATTTCTTCACCTGGATGATCGGCATAAGGCCGGAGGACCGAGTACTCCGTCCTTAGTACTTTGTACCAAGTCAAAATGATGCCGATCAACTTGTACTTCGGTATCTGCTCGCCTCCCCACGCAGAATCAAACCCCGATAGGCTCCCCGAGGAGGTCTAGTATACTCCAGTTCGTCCACATACGGCCCTGCAACTATAACTCGTGGAAAAGGAAATGAATGGCTTCCGCGAACTCACGTCAAAGGCTAATGGCCGAGTCTAGACACTGCACGCTAAAAGCTGGCTTTGAAAAGCTGACCTGGACGACACACCGGCCAAGGGGCTTGGGGCTAGTTAGTTTCTGACTGCAGGGTGTGCATTGACTAAAGGTGGCATTGACCGTCGATCGCAAGAGTATGTATTTTTGATTGTGAGATATGACGTCTACTCCGACCGGGAACGCATTTATATCGAGTGTTTGGAGGAATTGATTATCAATCCCTTGGGTATTTTTGGCATTGAGGGGCAACAGGCGGGGAGAGGCGATCGAAGGTGAAAGATCCCGAGTCTTCCAGACACGATGCGCAACAGGACTGCGGTGCAGATCGAGACGGAATCCTTCAGGATTCAGTTCCCTCAGCAATACGCAAGAAGCCGCGCGCAGCAGACTGTTACACCACATTTATCCCGTGACGGGATCAGTTAGACCGACAAACAGAACGCAGTATTCAAGGAGACCAAAAAAGAGAAAAATGATTGGGGGAAGCTAGATTTCATTGTCTCGGCCCCGAAAGTAACAAGCCACCCTATGACAGCGCGGAAACTATACTATATATGATCTAGCTGCCTGCAGGATAAGCAAGGTATTTAGTACGTCCCTTGGCGGCATAGACTGCAGGCATATGCAGAGTACAACATAGGTAGACCTATATTAACCCAGATGATCTCCCGTCGAATCAAACCGATTACTGGAGCACATCCGACTAATCAATTTCCAGCAGGGTGTACCGACAGCTCTGACCAGTTTGCGGGTCACGGTACTGCTCCAGAGCCTTTTCCACAACAGCCATGTATCCCAAGACTTGCTCCTCCTGCCAGCGGCGACCAACGACCTGCACAGCCGTGGGGAGACCAGCCATCTTGGCAGAGTCGTAGTGTTTCCACGCACCGCGGGCAATGCTGTGGTTGCAGCCTAGACGCTTGAGTGTAGTCTTGTACGGCGCAACGAGGGCGTCGCGGATGGGGTCAACATGACCGACGGGGACGACACCGGCGGAGTAGTCCAGTAGGTTCCACAGGAACGTGTATCCGCATGAGGAGACACCATCGCGCATAGCATTGTGCGGTAGAGCCGGGGTAGCGTTGACAGGGCAGAGGATGAAGTCGTACTGCTGGGGCTCGGCATTCCACCACTTGTGCCAGGCGGCGCGGAAGGCTTCGCGCTCAGCGGTGATATCCCACAGCTTGGCACTGGATTTCGGTCCGAAATCGCGGATGAGGGTGGCGGTGACCTTGTCACGACGGATGTAGCGCACGTAAAGGTAGTAGAGATAGCGGACAGGGCGGGGAAGGTGGGCGATGCGGGAAAGTTGACTGGCACCCGGGTCGGAGGGTTCCAGAGTCTTGAGCTTGGAATTGAAGTGATGGCAGCCGTCTGCATTGAGGAGTTGTGAGGCGAGGTTCAGACCGGTGAAGGGGTCTGCGTTGGGTGGTGTTGTAATCTCCGAGACGGTGTGGCCGGCTTCTTTCAGGGCGGCTACTGTTGTTGCGATGGCACGTTCAATGGCGGGAGTTGGAGGCACAACACCTTGAGGGTGATTAGCGTTAGACATAGATGGTGATGGGTGCACTAGGGTTAATACGTACCATCAGAGGTCATCAGACCAACGCGAAGAGGCCTGTTCTGGGCATCGGCCTCAAGCTCGCTGCGCCAGGCGATAGGGTGAACAGTGTGTTCATACTTCCAAGGTTCCATGCGAATAACCGCACGAGTGAAGTAGGTCAGATCATTCAAGGTACGGGCCATGGGGCTGAAGACACTGGGCACTCCCTCCTGACCAGGCATGCTGGTGCTCACACCCCCCTTGGGCCAGCGGCCAGTGCTACAGCGGAGAGAATAGATACCACTCCAGGCGGCAGGAACGCGCACCGAGCCCGCGACATCGGATCCAATACCAATGCGGCCACCCTGAGCTAGCAACGCTGATTCTCCACCAGTTGACCCACCAGGTGAGTATCCTGGGACATGTGGGTTACTGCATCGGCCCCAGAGCCCGCTAGTAGATTCGAAAGACAAAAGCGTGATGGGCAGAGCGGTCTTAACGTATGGAACGGCACCTAGGCAGAATTAGTATTAAGTATTAATGGAATCGCGCCCGACGGGTCATTATCTTACCAGCATCTTTCAACAACTGCACCATAGGTCCATCTTCCAGTACCGGCTTGTCAGCCATGGAGGCATACCCGACAGTTGCATCGAAACCCTTGACGTGAATAGAATCCTTGAGGGAGATTGGAATACCGGCCAATGGTCCCTTCAGGTTAATCTCCGACTCCAGCCATGACTCGGCCTCGGGCAACAGGACCTCGGTGATACAGTTTGTACGGTCCTGAGCTCTTTTGGCTACCTTTCCATAGGTGCGCAATACATCAAGCGGAGAAACAACCGAGTCTTGAATGTCATGCACCAGCTCCTCAATAGGCTGGTTGATGATTTTCAGGTCGTTGGGGACAATGCGGAGGTGATAGTGATGCGAGAGACTGGTAAAGCGGCGATCTCGCTCGCTTTGTTTTCGGTTCCTGGGGTCATTAGCCAAGTCATGTGTGGGTTTAATGAACCGACAAGCTTACCGTATGCTACGATAAGTGAAATAGTCGAATGGAGGAAGCATAATGGCGGTGTGATGCAGGAAAGAAGGGGAGATTGGGGGTTTTATACCAACGCCCCCAAGTTGCGGGGGAAATTGGAGAAGTGGAGCCCGCGATAAGCCGGGGGTTCACCGAGGTTAGCCGAGAACCAACACAGCTCTCTGGCCGAGTTTGGCACTCGCATGGAGTACTAAATGCAGCTGTTTGTCATTAATATGCGTCTGAGCCCTGTCTATATCGTGGACCTACACGGAGGAGTGCTGGAATATTGAATTGTTGAACGGCAATGCATCGGCTATATTGTGGGTTCGAGATAAGAGCTTTGGTCCACAGACACTATGCCCCTTGTGGCAGGTAATCTTGCGGTAGATGACACATATCGAGAGTTACCTATCTAAACAACCATAGCTTGGTATGCAGTTCATGCTCGGATTTATAGTTGGGGATGTGTTGTATGTATTTCTATATAAAGCTATCTAGTCAAAATGCCAATGTCGTACCGCTGGAGGTGCGGCGGGTATATCTCCAATTCTTTTGCGGCCGTAACGAACTTCATGATAAGGTTGAAATGGGATCGAAAAGCGAAAGCTTTCCAGTGGCGAGCCGAAAATTGTCGCTATGTAGTAGCATCAGGCCCAGGTTGGAGCCAGTTGTTTTTAGCAAGCCACCATACAACCACGCCGGCGATGATGAGAATGAGCAATGCAAAGAAAATGACGAAGCCCCAGATAATGGACCGCTTGCGTTTTTGATGTTGCTGGGAGAGCCACGATGTCCTAAAGGCAAGGTAAGTGGATGTTCTCTTGAAATATTGAAGGGGAGTTTGTCGTACTTGTCTTCTTTAGTTTCTTCGCCTAGGTCCACTACCTTTGCCTCTTCGTCCATATGGACTGCAGTTGAGAAGCGCTTCCAAAAGCATGGGTCCCTAACAAGAGCCATGGCGACGTAATCTTTAATTTGGGTTGAAGTGTTGTGTCGTGGTGGATCGGGCGATTCAAGGGATATGAAATTGGCCAGCAGAAAACAGATTGATCCCAGCTGTATAGAAGAGACGACAGAAGGCAATAGACTTAGACTGATTGTTTTAGATCGAAGCCGATGAGCACGAGCGATGTGATACGATTGCGTGAATGATACGATGTTGGAGGGGAGCGGAGATTTTGAGGACAGCCAGTCAGCAGATGGGGGTAGTAAAGTGCAGACCGAGGCGACCAAGCTTGGGAAATCAGCTGCACTTATTCTCCAGACAAAGGGGCCTTAGCGATGAAATGCCAGATTATGGCATTCTGATCAGTGATACACGCAGTCCCCTGAGAGCTGGAATACCGACCAAGGCGCGATCAGCCAGCCTTCCAGCTGTTGATTGGTGCTAAAATATCCGAGGCCATGCCATATAACAGGCGATCAAGACAGGGAAACACTATTGAATGGCTATGATAGGCCCATATTGGTTGTTGTGATCAAATGCCGACCTATGGATGGCATGCCGATCGTGGAATGTCCAACTGAAATGGGAAATTCATCAACCATGGAGTTCATGGTGGCTGGCATTCAACCGATGGCATTGGTCGATCAAGGATTAAGAATGTGGGTCTCGATTGTGTTCGACGAAGAAAATGGCAGGCTTTCTTTGGAAGTTGTGATTCTAAGATATATAAGCTTGAGATCTCACATTTTTCGATCCTGTTTTCCCTGGCAGCTACAGATCTACCATCAACTTAACAGCGCATGGAAATGTACGGAGTAAAATCAAGGTTTTGGGTATTTTGTTGCTAGAAGTATATCCATCGCTCTCAGTTTAGTATAATATATAGAAGTATAGCCCCTGGATATCCAATGTCATGCACCTGAGGTGATCTGACGAGCGAAAGATATTATCATGTGGCACAAATCTCAAGTGGAACAGAAAGCGACATTGATGAAGTTCCCCGAGTCTTCCCATGTGCTTGATAGAACAGTTTCGTTTTCAATGCATACGTGCGAGAGACTAAGCATGAATGACCGGTGGGTGGATAGAGTCGATGGGTGGGCAATGAAACTGATGCCACAAGCGATGCAGTGAACACAGTATGGTTTCCTTCTTGTGTACGTTTCCAGTCTACTCTCGCTTCAATGTCCGACGTCAATGACACATATTCAGACCAAAGTCCCTGTCGAGAACCCCATGTAGAGATGTCAGTCAGATCGGGAGAATTGTGCCAAGGATTGAGACCGAAGAATGTCATCGCTCGTAACTGAAATTCGGGCATGAGAAGAGTTGGTGGCAATTCGCCTGGGTGGGCAGGCTCAAATCGAAGATCAATTCCCACAATAGTGTAGGCATCCATATGTTTTGGTTGCAGAGCGTTCAGGTGCATTGCCGGGGGTTGAGCAGACCAGGCAGTGAGTTTTCCGACTGCATGCCGCAAAACTCCTTTAGACAGAGTCTTCTCTGCTCGCAATTGGTAATACTTATTCTTGCAGGGAACTAGAATTGGGGCATGCTCCTCTCTTGTAGGGAGAATTTGGACCGGATGTGTTGACTCCTGGATCTTCTTCGGTTTTCCTGCCTTATCGACTTGCCGCCATACAGCGAAGTTGATGCTGTAGATTACTTTTGCCATCTCTGGGGACATGTCGTGAGTCCCATGAGACTTTTGGGCTCGGTAGCTGAGACTTGCAGGCAGCCGCAAGTGTTCCTGCTGTACTTGATCATTCTCGCATCGATGATGACATGCATGAATGGGTAGTTCCTCGGGCACGATGAACTTGAAGGGTATTCGGTAATTTTTGCCAGGCTTGAGGGTGGTTGTATTCCCAAAGTAGTCGTAGATCGGCAGCTCCATGTGAAGGAACGTTTTTTGTAGTTGGCTTACGGGCAGAGGAATGTGGGTGTTCAAATTCTCTACCTCAATCCGCGTCGTGCCTATTCACGATGTTAACATCTCTTCGATAGCATTAGTTAAGCTACCCACATACCCTGAAACGCAATGCTTATATCCTCCACCGGGGTTTCTTGGTGGGGCGTATATATGATCTCGCCATCGATTGTGTCATGTGTTTTGAAAGTTGGCGAGTCAGACAAGCTATTCAGAACAAACTGCACATTTAACATCTTCATTATGCAAGCTGCGCCTTTTCTCCAGCTCCAAATAGGTCGATGCTCATGGTTTAAATACGGCTGGCTAACTATGAGTAATCGAATTCGAGTCGAAGAATGCGCCGGCGACGTGTCATTTTCCCGAACTCCATTATGTATTGAAGACCTTCACGCTTCCTAGAAAGAGTCAATTGGCATTCAAATGTGGAGAACTCACACTTTTGGCTTTGGGTATAATGTTTGCATTATGCTCCAACACGCAGCGGTAAAAGATCTTTTGGCCGAAGTAACAATCTGGCAACTTGTGGTCGTAAGGATACGACACTGTGTAGATATATGATATGAGAGGTATTGAATCGCGGATATGGCTCACAAGATCTACTCACACAGATCTGCTGATGTCCTAGATGGTGACTTTGATGTTAAACGTATAACCAACCTGCACTATATACCCCACGTGACTGAGCGGGCTTCCTACTTTAGGCAAGTATGCCCTCACAGACTTGGACATCGACTTGATGATGATTCTTCGATCACTTTGCGGTATCGGTGGCTATTTCAGGCTCTTCGATCACGATAATAAATCTGCACGATGAGTGACAGTCCTGATAGCCTGCCAAGGAGAAATCGCGTCGGTCTTATGGGGATCAAATAGCGCACGATGATTGGACATTCGGCAAGATCCCGTTTTGCCGACTCTCCTACGATGTTGCCCTCGCCGAAATGGTTCAATTTTTACACCTCCGATGCCCGCGCTTGTTGTATTCGATTCGCCGTAATGAAGTCCGCATCGAAAATTTCAAAGTCCACCGGTAATGGAGCTATTAAAAAACAGAAGAAGTCAATCGCGTAAGTTTCCGAGACCCACTGCCCGGATATCTGCCACTAACGCAACATCCTTAGTTGCCAGCGATGTCATTCACATAAAATCAAATGTACGGGAGGCCAACCATGTGTGAAATGTCGCCAAGCTGGTTGCCCCACGGAGTGCCACTATGTCAATCGAGATCGTCAGGTTAAAGTGCATGAGAGGTATGCTCCACACCCAGCCTGCTCTACTGCCGGGCTAACCTGTCTAGTTATATCGACGAGCTGGCCGCAGAAAACCAGCGCTTGCGAGACCAATTATCACAATCACAATCTCCTGGATTCCTTACACCGAGGGAACACCAGCCACTAGACCAAGGTGCCTAGGCTTCTTCCGTCATTTCAGCGACGCCGACTTACGCCTTTTTCCAGATGTACCCGAAGTAGATGCAGATACTCATGTTCAAAACCCAATGCTCGGGGAAAGAGCATGGTTTCTACCATATGATCCTTCATTGCCGCCAATCCACGTTTGTGAAGCAGCATGTCCGGCCTTCGCCACCCGGCTTCGGAAAGTCCTAACAAAAAGCGAGGCTACTTCGCACATGCCTCGAACGCAGTACACGCCAGAGGCCACTTTAATGAAAATGCGCAATCCCACAGTCGAATGGCCAAGCCTTCCTCGGGCTCGACTTTTGCTTCAGATAGTCTTCAGCCAGGTGACTCGAGTATATCATCTAGTTCTTCGAAAGTCAACCAGTGACCAGCTTGAAGATATCTATCGCAAGAACAACTTCGAAGATTCGGTGCTGAAGTGTAAATTCTTTGCTCTATTCGCGCTTGGGGAGGTTTACTCGGCGCGATCACCCCCAGGCTTGGAATGCAATGTACCGGGTGTGGGCTATTATGTGAACGCGCTCACTATGATACCCATCTTGCCAGAACGCCCAAGCCTGGCACATATCGAATCTATCTTGCTTTTGGTATGAGACAATGCGCTTCATCTGAAGTCGGACAATCGCTAACTACGCAGTCACTATACTCCTTCTTCTTGAACCGACGCCATTCAGCATATCTGCTTGTCGGCAGCGCGATGCGCCTTGGATTGACTCTAGGTCTGAACCACAATATCCCAGAAGGAATATGCCCGGATCCTGTCCAACGCGAGCACCGGACTAGATTATGGTGGGCGATATATTCATTAGACCGAATGTACGGCTCAAAGGTCGGCTGGCCGGTTCAAATAGCCGATGAGGACGTCTACGTTGAGATGCCATCCAATGTACCTGGTGACATCCACGACGATCATACGTCGGACACCGAGTTTCTCGTTGCCAGTATTCAATTGGCTAGGATAACGGGTCAGGTCATCGACCAAGTTTACAGCCGAAAAAGGTTCCCAGAGTCCTTCTTGCAGCGAGAACAGAGGCTCCTGCTTTCGCTGAAGGAGTGGTGTTGTGCCCTTCCTCCGCATATTCGGCTGAATCGCGACGGACCCATTCCGAAAAATGTTATTTCGCTGCATCTCCAATTCAACCAGGTAAGTTGATAGAATTTACACGAATAGATTGCTGGCTGATGCAATATAGTGTATCATGTTAGCTAGTCGGCCAATTCTGCTACACACGCTGATCCAAGCCACCTGTCACGAACCCAATCAGGACGAAGGCACCCGGACAAACATCCGTCAAACCCTCAAAACACTCAGCGATGCGTGTATTCATGCTGCAAGGCACACGCACTCACTGATAATTGAAGAATGGACTAATGGATCGCTGCCAGTCTTCGGGTATTTCTATGCCCATTATCTATTTTCTTCGGCGTTGATCATGGTCATCTCCAGTTTAGTATACCCAGAGAACAGCAATGATTTTGCACTGTTCGAGGCAGCTTTTGAGATTCTTCGGACAATGAGCAGCCATGGAAACCTCGCGGCAACTGAATTCTACGATAACCTGGAAGGCCTCAAGCAATGCTTGGATACGAGGATATCGTCAGAGATAGATCACACTCAGAATGCTTCATCTCGTATAGCAGACACCTTAACAGACGGACTTATGATGCCATCGAGCCAGCTTGGGACTCTTGGGAACATTGCTAGCATGACAGAAGCTACCGCATCAACAAACTCAAACTCAACAAACGACATGGCCTTCCTGGGAGAAAGCATGGAGGAATTTTTGGCTCAACCCGATGTTGACTTTGACTTGCTTGCGCCTTCACTGGCCGATGCTGTATACTCATGGCCAAACCTTTCCCTATGGACCTCATGAGCTGAATATGAAATATCCACGTACATGATGAGCAAATAAGAATTCGCGATCACACAATTTACTTATCAAGCTGGTCTAAGCTGGTGTTGTTCATTCGACATTGGTAAATGCAATAAGCGTTTCTCTTTCCTCTCCACTGATAGATGATCTTCTTCTGATATTGGATTTCTCTCTCTGTTCGTTCATTGCGTAAATTTATTTGGCTTCCCCTCATATAAGTTTATTGCTACGCTCCCCAGTGAGCCCTAAGCTGTGGATACGGACCCTTGGAAAATGCCAAGCCTGCAATCCATGGCTTTGGAGGATTGAGTCCATGGTTGAATTCCTTCAGCCGCAACTTGATTTATCTTCACCTTTCAAGTCTAAACGATGAGACCTATTCTGCATTGACTGATTCCCAGCCACTCAAATCTTTGTTGTGCTAAGTTACAATTGGGTTGGAAGATTGTGTGGGTCCACACAACTGGAAATATATACCGGAGGAACATGACAGATTTCTCAAAAATTGAAATGAAGAATAACAAAATGAATAACAAAATGAAGATTTAGGAACTGATAATGTGTAATAGATATTCTCCTCATATCTATGGATTGGGGCAAGAGACTGCATTACTGCTGCCGAGGTGAATTCAACTAGGCCGAGGAATCGAATAGGCTCCAAGCCAACACATCGTCATAACTAGCTCCCCTAGGCAAAATCAGGCCAAATCAGGCCAAAGTGTATAAAATGATGCTGTTCATTTGATTGCTACACAACGGTTATTGCCTGATCTTGAGTCGCTGATTGGGTCACGTTGCGCCACATTAGGCTTCATAGTCATGCAACATTGTACGTGAGTCACGGGGATCGGGAAGGATGACATCGAGTCACATGTATTTGAGCTGAGCTTGAAGATAAGGATGCAATATATGAAACAAAATGACTCCTTGTACTCAGTACCTCACGATCTACTCTATAGAGAGTACTGCGTTGAGACTCCAATATTTTGCGTTCCTTTGGTTCCCCCGCAGTGGGTCCTGTGTGCCTGACCGCTCCTCCGCGCCTCTCGTGGCCAGGCTCTTTCCGGCGTGTTCTCTTGCGCCCAACGTCGAAGCCCAGGAGACGAAATGCTTTGATGCACTTTCTTGCATGCGCTCCTCAATATCACAAACCCCACATTCATGGCTTCTGCGGAGATCAACTGGGGCACACTGATCAATTCAGACAAGAGCCCAGCCCCACTGTTGGAACAGTTATGTCTCGGGATCGCACAGTTGATGGTGAGTTCTGGAAGGTCCGTGGTAGCCGAGTGGGCCATACTGATACTGATAATAATAGCCTACTTTTGATTCCAACGGTACTAGTGATATCACCCCCGAGCGACTGGCTGCCTTCTACCGCAAAGTCGGCGGCAACTACGATCCCTTGTTTCTCGAAACCAAGACGCACGCACTCTCATTTATCTACCAGTCGCTGGGATGTTTTCACAGTCTCCAGCCTTCAGCGAATCCGTACGAACCCCCATCAGTTCCATCGTTACTTCCGAATGGCTTTGTGCGATGGCAGACAATTCAACTATTGATGGACCCCGATGAGCATTCGTTGTATCTGCAGAATGCTGTCAGTCTCTGGGACATCGCAGATGCAAATGGCGAGATCTTCCCCAAGTCAATTCCTCGAGACGCGTTTCCTTCTGAACCAGACCCTGAGATGTTGGAATGGCACGAAGGCGTGAGTCGAAGGTTGGAGCATGACTATTTGAAAAAACATGCGAAACATGCGTCGCCGCCAGACTTTGGAACATATCATTATCATTTCAGCGGCAAGGATCCTTTGCCAGACGAGGACGACTACTTCTCCAAGAAGTCACGGCGGGGGGCATCAAAGCGTCAAACCCATGTGGAGCCTGAACGGCCCAGCGGTCATCGTCATCATCGCCGAAATTACAGTGGAGAGTACCCTAAATTCTCCTCAAAACGATCAGGGCGCACTCGCCCAGGATTCTCCACACCAAGGGTTTCATCTCCACCGCCGTGGGGAGGGGAACGCCCACCTCGTTCCAGCGGCCGGGATAGAACTTCTGGTTATAGCCATCCTCTGAGCCCAGGGACAGCGGAAATGCCAGATCCCTCTGATCTATCTTCGGACGAGTCATTCCGCAAGCCAGGGTATCGGGCAAACATGCATAAGCACCGCCAGCGACGTCACCTATCCCCTCCTCCCAGCAGCGGCGCCCGGCGCCACTCCCACGAAGCTTACACCCGCAGACCGTTCAGAGACCCGTCACCAACAAGCCCCCGCCGCGAGCGTCGCAGTCATGAAAGTCACTCTTCCCGATCCAGCGGCAAATCCCATTCAGAGACGTCGCCCAGGTTCCGCGTAAGAGATCCCCCGCGGGATTACCCGAAGGACCGTTCCCGATCACGAACAGCCGGCGTGAAATTCCGCGAGTTCATCTTCGGCGATCCAATCGCCACACCCATAGCCCCGGACCCCCCGCTTTACAGATCGTCATCACCACCTCCGCCAAGACCGGTACCACGACATCTAGGCTCGTACACCGCCGAGGAGTTAAGAAGAGGAAGCTACAGTGGTGGCAGTACAGGTAATAGTCGCCCAAGTAGTGGAAGCGGATCCGAACGCCAGCGATCGTATAGTAGTGCAGGATTCCATCACCGTGGCGCTGGGTGGGCGAGCCCTCGGAGCTCGCCTGCAAAGCGATATACCCCTGCGACGGTACCAGAGGATGATGGATACATTCCCTCGCGGAGGGTGCCGATTTACGAATAATTTCCATAACGTGCAACACGACCATACGTTTTACGAATTTTCTTCCTTGCTATTTCATCATTTTTGGCATCTGAGCACTCTGCTACTTCTCTAGTCACGTCTTTCACCATCAGCTCCCAATCTCCAGATTGGACAATCATCTATCACGACAGCTTTATGAATTTCATTGCTCTTTCTGGTGGCGTTAGTATCTTGGGCGTTTCTCTCAGTTTTGATTTTCAATTGGCATTGTTTTATCGCTGCTTTTCGACTACATAGTAACGATAGTCATGAATACATCCTGGAACTCAAACATAAGGGAGGAACCGAGTAGATGATGATTTGCACTAGTGGCATTCCAAGAAGAGTCACGTCCAGATCAAAGGGTATCATTGCCTAGAAGTGCATAAACTTGATTTTCCGTGACACCCGTCCCAGAACTGTCACCATAGACATGAAAAGCTGGGTTGCAGACAGCAGCTTTGTGTTCTGGTGGAATTTTGGTGGAAGTGATCGGCGACTTTTGCCGAGATGGAACTTGTAGCGCACTTAGAATCGGTAGAGTTATTCAGATGCATCGACGCCGGAACTGAACGAAGAAACTGGAGCAAACTGGCTCCGGAGTCGGGAAACGACTGTGTTCATGAGTCTGCCATTTTGGTTACATCGACCTTGTTCGGACCCGAATAGGTCTGCAGCGGTGCAAAACGCAAGCGCATTAGCGGGGGATTGGCAAATGCTATACCGAGGAAGCGGAAGGACTGTGCATTGCGATACCCAGCAAGGATATAGTTATCGGATGCAAGTGTCAGCTTCGTCGTGTTTCTCACAGTGCGGTCGAGATCAGTTGTCGCGGTCGGAGTCGAATAACAAAGTGCCGGTAGCTTGTCCTCGCATGATCCCTGGATGACCATCCTACCGGCGATTGAGAGGGCGTAAGAATTGTTGTGGCCTTTCTGCTCGATTGACACCCATATGGAATTATCAGCTCGGACCTCCCTCGCAAAGACGGGATAGTCGGATTTGTATTTGAGTTCACTTTAGCTATTCGAATCTTTTGAATTCCATGGTTGGAGAGCCTCGCCAATGGCGGCGAATTCTGCGGTGGCATCTGCATAGCTTAAGCGATCATATACTAGGACGGTCGATGTGCCGTTATTCTGGGGGCCAAGATTGTTGTAATGCGACACTCGAAATGCACCAAGAGAATCAAGCTGACGATGATCCTCTTTCATGACAGGGAGAGCTGCAAAGCCCCCAATAATGTAATCATATTCTCTGTTGATAATGTTGGCACGATGCGTGAGATTGAGGATGTTGACTCTCATGTGGTCCATCGCTGCCTAATTAGGTTAGCGTGATATCGTGACAATATTCCTCGGTCTGACTCTATACGAAGACCAAGAGGCTCTCACTTTCACGGGAATAAAAAACATATATGTGCATAGAAGAGTTGAGTTTTGCTGTAGTATAGTGATATCAATACACGAAGTAGTTGAATACCCATATATAAAACGCCAATGTTGAACGCCCCGTTTTACGACTGCTTAGCTGGACCCAGCTACATGATATGATCATAAGGTAATCTGTATGTTCTGACGACACAAGGTACAGGAATAGGTAATAGTCTACCTGCCTTGTACGATGTGATATTTGTATTGGGGTAAGGAAGGCGGGGGCAGGTAGATGGCCATTTGGCAGTTGGGTGGGCAGGTAACTGGCAGCTGTAAAGGGAGATCAGGAATAATATATTAGTATGTTGGAGCCAAGGCGAATGTGAAGTGGCTACAGCTGATTGTGGGCTGAAACGGTGGTCCTTGATCGTTCTTATGTTGGGTGAGTCTCACATGCAAAGGAACCATTGAGATAGGATAGAACAGCCGGAGATGAAAGACAGGCCCGGAAGGTGAATGAAACGCTATGAGGAGCGAAAGCAGGAACAGAGGTAGTGCGAAAATGAGAAAAGGGTCCCATTTCACCAAGGGACAATGAGGTCAGTCTGAAATCCTCCCTGGGTAGCCAAGTGGGTGAGAGACACAACACTACCTGATTGTTGAGGGGAACACAATGACCACGGGTGATACCGCATTGGGAAGCTCAGCAATGGCGAAAATGGCGTGGAGTTCGACTCTTGGGCCAGGAGTAGTTGGGGTACGGATAATCTTTTTTTCTTTTCTTTTTCGAAACATTTGTTGCCATCAGGCTGCACGAGATGTATCGAGGTTTTATGACCTATCATGGTGAGAATATGCCGAGGCGTGTTTCTTTGCATGATATCTTCTCCATTCGAGCGATGTAGAATCATCCCCCTCGATGCTTGCACTGGATTGATGTCCCTGAACTTTCAGGCATCCGCGTCTAATACAAAACCCATGGCTCCTTGTCAGGCCTAGACCTCCGCACCAGCCCGCAAAGCCCAAAGCCCAACCCGCCCCAACCCGCAAATGGGCTGGGCTTTGGGCCCGGTCCCTGGGCCCATCGGTGGCTATGGGCCTAGGGTAGAAGCCCACTGGGCTCTCATGGGGGCCCAATGGGCTTCAAACAATACAAACATGCTAATGCTTGGCAGATACATAAGTAATGCAGATTTTTCTAGTATTTCTAGGTATTTAGATTACCCCCTAATTTGACTACCTATAGGTGCCTGAAATGACTGAAATGACTGAAATGACTGAAATGACTGAATTGACTGTAGATAAGATTAATAAAATTAAGATTTATGAAATTTAAGAAAAATGTAAATTAATAGAAAGATGCACTGACTTCTCTCCATGTGAAATATATATATTTGCACATTGATTCTCTGTCACCTGTTGAACCCCCGTATTAGGCTAGATCAGGGCCGGCGCCGAGATCTTCCGCGGTAAGCATACAGACTCAAACATGTGTAAAGAACAGACATTAATCAGCAGGTTTATGAGCGCCAAGACTGTATTTATGCATACAAATGGGCTTTAATGGGGGCCTCATGGGCCCCCATAATGGGCCATGGGCTTGGTTAGGCTTCGAAGGTAGGGCCCATAGCCCACTGCTGGTTGGGCTATGGGCCTGAGGTCCGGGCCCAACCAGGCCCATTGCGGAGGTCTAGTCAGGCCAACGCGGGCCACAGCGCCACTTTGTCACCTCTTTATCCATCAGCTAAGCCTAGGCTGACCAGAAACAACAATCATGGCCCGCCGCGGAGTTTCCTTTCCTTTCCTGTGATTTCCGCATTCGTTTCGATATCTGCTGCTGCCAGGGTTCTTTATTTGCGAGACGTACTAGTGAGACACCAAGGCTCCCTGAGCTATCTTCAAGTCTCCCCCAGGACACTTTGCACAGGACTCTAGCTATTTCTACAGTCTGGTCGATGCTGCTTTGCGAGACAAAGTTCCTCGAGACCTATCCTAGTCAGTGGTCGGAAAGAACCATATGTACTTGACCCCATGGGCAGACCGTGTCCACCAATCTTCGTTTTCGAGCACGAGGCCCTGAAATGAAAATACTAAGAAGGAACAGCACCGCCAAGGCCTTCCATTGAGGCTGGCAGCCCATAAATCCCAAGGCTCATTTCCCTCACGATACAACTGCAAGTTTGCTTCGAACAGGCACATTATCCTCCATACCAGGTTCTGGGAATCCAGAGACATTCACACCCTTCCGGAACAGGAGACAATGGGTCGAGCCACCGAAATGGAACATCCCAAGCTGATCTCCCTTTTTTAATTGATCCCCTTCCTTGACAGTGATGTCACACGTTGAAACCTCTGCCATACCAACCCCAATAAACACCATCAGCCCAATAGCTGGCTCATCCGCCTCGATAAAAATGAGCGCGCGCGTGGCAGTGGCGGTAATGTATCCCTGCGAAGTAACCTGAGCCCCAACATCAATGTCATGATGCTTGGAGCCCGGGTCCCCAACACCTTCAAAGAGCGGTTCAGAATAATACGTCCCGTCAACCACATAAGCCTTCACAACCTTCCCGCTAACAGGGGCATGCCAGCGATGGTAGCTCAACGCACTGAGAAACGCCTGATAAACCGTACCACCCACAAAATGTTTCGCAAGGGGATCATGACCCAGCATATCTAGAACAGAGTACAGCTGACTCTTAATCCAAAATTCATCACGGGCTTTCACATTGAACGAAGTTCGATACGGTCTCGACTCGCACGCGTTAGCAATCACCTTGCTATTCTCCGGTTCTGCGATGGGGCGGATTCCGTCTTTGAATACACGCGTGAAGAAGTCATCCCACGATTTGTACCCGTGATTGGGTGCTGAAGGATCACACTCGAATAAGTCATGGAATTGTAGGCTTTTCGCCGCGACAGGCCCAATGCTTGCAACGACCGTTAGATCCTGACGCCCGCTTTCGCCGAACCACCCATTGGTGGAGTCACTCAGTACATCAGCGGAAGCGGGAGAGCGTAAGTACTCGCCCCAGACATTCAAGACTTTCTTGATCATTTGATTGATTTCAGGATCGAGGAAGGCGGCATAACCGCTCGGTGTGCCCATGGGCCAGTCAAGCACGGCGTTGATAGGAAGACCGACCAGACCGACGCGGTGGGATTTGTCATTCCATGAGGGTGCAGTGGTGAGTAGGTGGTTCAAGACACGTAAGAAATGGTGATAATCACGGATCTCTGGGTTGCCTGTTGGATCGTGGCCATATCGCTTCTGTCTGGGGACTTCGTTGAACATCGAAGTCAAGAGCATGTATACTCGTGTGTTTTTTTCGATGAGCTGTTGAAAGTCTTCCAACACAGGGTGCAGGGGTTTCTCTTGGTCTTCAACGGTTTGGATTACCTCGCCCAGCCATTGTTGAAGAGCGTGATGATTTGCTGGCATCCAATTGCCGATCCTATGGAACTGTTAAACCGGAGCAGCAGCAGTGGAGAGTCTCGTACTTGTGAAGGTGGTGTGTTGATCCATGGTGTGTATGATGAGCCATCCTGGAGGTTACCTAGGGAGGTAAGTCTTGATGGATTTCTGAGTATTTTCCCACACGTTATTGGGTGCATGCAAAAATCACGATAGAGTAAGAACCCAATCGACTGTTCAGATGTTGGGTAAAACGTTCGTGGTGCTCGGCTAGATGTAGGCATCGCTGCTCCCCATGGCAAAAGTGGCCTTGACTTGTTGACTTGTTACATCATAATGACAGGAAAACACAACATACACGGTATATATAGGTGACGCAAGAAACATCTTCCATGATTGTGAAATGCGCAGTGCTAGTAATGATGTCATGGCCATTATCAACATCAGCTAAGTGATTCAAGGAGAGAAAGGGGGACTACCTACTCTGCGCCCGCGGGGATGCACGATGTGGACCCTTCATGCGTTGATTCTCTTGTTTGCACTGCCATTTGTGGTCTTACCTCTCAGGTCGCGAAGTCCTCGAGGTTGCGTGGAAGGTTGGTGGAAGCTGCATGTACCCCGCGAGGACTGCTTTGTAGGGTGGATTTCTGTACTCGGGATGCACCACCATCATTGTTCTCAAAGCTGCTTGGAACAATGCCGCGCGCAACAGTATGTATATACAAGCTAGCTAGATCGAGCGAATATAATTATCATCATCGTCATCATTAGCTGTTTACAATACCCGTTGTCTTGTCATTCTATCTAGTACATACGTAGAGGGTATTGAGTTATTTTCCTTTTTTATAAGAGAATTTGGAATATAAAGAAGGAAAGATGAAAAGGGCACATATAGTGTAAAGTATGATTTGTTCTCAATACCTAGACACATTAGGTATGTAAAAGGATGTGCCTCGTTGTGGATGTTATTCACTTCTATCCAAGTTGGACTACCCAGAATGTTGATCATGAACAAATTGGTAAAACCCATAGCCTACATGAATGTATAATTCTCGATATTTTGTACCTTAGCTTGAGAAAATGACAATCTTCTGTTGAAAGAGATCAGATATGTACGTATCGAGTATGTACAGGGTTCAACGTGGTTTCATCTGATAATTGACTACAATACTGTGATTGCAGGCAACAGGAGAAGGAAATAGATCTCTGTGATTTTGTCTAAACATCTCAATAGTATTTGAATTAGCTGCTATTCATGTCTCCTCCTCCAGCTCGATACTCAAAATCCCCCATTTCTATGGATCCAGTGCTAACAGCCTCCATGGTGCGAGGATCTTGTTGATATATCACCTTGCTGGAGTTTAGCAGGGGCTTTGCCAAACTGGGCGTAGCGTTGATGAGCCCAAGGTGGGGGCAGCTAGGGACAATTCTCAACACCTTAGTGGTCTTGCGTAAGGAATGCTGGCAAGTATATACGCTACAGGATCGAATTCCCACAATTCCCCCGCTATACCGAGATTACATGTAGCCGCTATCTTCTTTTGTCCCCTACCTTAGTTGTACCAGTGCCATCTGCATATATATGGCAAACCTTTGTGCCGTACTTACCAGAGACTGTTGAGAACCATGCCTGAGGCAGGATTCTCTCATCCGCAGGATTATCAACGCTACGCCCTTTTTGTCTTTTCTGCCGAAAAGCCCACCTTTGGGGGCTAAATTGAGGACTCCGATCCTCGGCACATAAAGGGGCATAAATAGCAGGAAAAGGCAGATATTATCTAGATCTTCAGACAATTCAATACTTCTATGAGAGATCCTATTCCTAGTATCATTTGAACCCATTGTTGAAACCCTATATACTATATCATACCTCTGTATCTTTAACAGGTTATAAGCCCGGCTATCTCTAATAGCCGGAATACCTAAATTGCGTAGTATAGTCCATTTGCTATATTTGCTAGTAAATATTTGCTTGCCCCTATACACCTTTTCATCTGATCTTTACCTAGACCTATATATATAGGTCCTTACCCTAGGATCTCTCTCTTCTTCTTATATATATCTTACCTCTTATTTTATACCTATACCTCTCGATCTCTTATAGATCTACCTATTTTTCTATTAATTTCATTATAACCCCTATTACCCGACGGTCCTAGCGAGATAGGGGGGTATCTAGTATACCTAGTATACCCTATATACCCTACGAACCCTCCGACTCCGACGCCGACTAACTAGACGAATTAGGGTCCGATAATAACTATAGTAGCGCCTTAGGCGAGGGTAGCGATAACGAAGGAGGAAATAATAGTCCTATAGCTCCCGCTAGCACTAGAAATATAGACCCCGGCTAGGGCCTATAACGTCTAAACCCCGCGGATTAACTAGCTAGAGAACTTAAGTCGACTAAGTATCTCTATACCTAGTAGCCCTAAGGACTAACTAGGTAGCTCGTAGCGGGTAGACCCCCCGCTAAAGTCTCCGAGTCTATCGAGACTAATATATAAGTCCTATTAATATAGATTAATAACCTAAACCGATTTAATCGAGATAGCTTTATATTCTCGCTACGTAACCGCTACGCTACCCTAAAGAATAATATCCGAGAAGAGGAAGAAAACGCCCTTCGATACCTTAGTTTCACTAAGGACCTCGGGAAAATATTTAAAAGAAAAGAAGAATATAAAGGACTAAAACTTATAGGATTAAATAATTACCGTACCTAGGCCGCTAATATACGGTAAGTGCTAAACTAAAACCTTCTCGAATAAGTTATCGACGGTAAGGTAGGATTATTACCCCCTTCGTACGAGAAGTACTATATACTAAATATATAGAAAGGAGTAGCCTAGCTTACTATCCTAAATACTATATACCTAGACTTAGCGAAAAATATTATACCGCTAAGCCCTCTAGAACCCGAGCGTATCTAGTAGGAATTATAAAATTAATACGATATAAAGGATACTTTTACCGCCGAATAAGGCGCTATTATAATAAAAGTACTATACGTATCCCGCGTCCGTAACGTCGGAACCCTAATCGAGGTATTTAAGACTATATAGACTAATAAAACTATTATATATCCCCCGATCGAGAGTCTACTAATTAAGCTATAAGAAATAGACGAACTCGAAAAATATACAGAACTTATAGCGTGCCTTAATAGCCTAGAATAGTACCCGTAGAAGCTTAACTATAATAAAATAGTTAGTAGGTTAACTAACTAGCTAGACTAATACCTCTTCGATCGCCTATACGGCGAACTATAAAGAGAAGAAGATAACCTCGCCGCCGGTAAAAAGGTAGCTATAAGGACCTTATCTACGGAAACTAGTAAACCTATAAAACTATAAGGACCCTATATACGACGAGGACCTCTAGGATTAGTATATACCTTCTATAAAAAGAAGAGGTACCCCGCTAAGAAATACTAGCTAAAAAACCCTAATTTAGTACCTAAACGGACTACGGAAACCCTAATTATATAAGTCGAATATAGTCACGAGGTATAAAACTTCTTAACTAGTATCTCGATTAATAACTAGATCTACGATATAGCCTACGACGAATATATAATTAGCTTACTAGACTATTTTATACTAAGTACTACGAAACTATTAACTACTACGATTAAAATAGCCCTAATAAACTAGCCGGTCTAAGGTATAATCGGGGATATTAAGATTATAGTCGACGACGGGACTAAGTAAAGAAGAGATCTTATTCTTATTAAGACTATATATCTCCCTAAACTCCGTAGTAACCTTATCTCGTAGCCTAGGCTCGCTAACTATAGGATTATAGCGATATATAGAGACGAGGTTATTTTCCGAAAACTAGATAGTAGTATTCTTATAAAAGGACTACGAAAGGGTAAAAATTAGATACTAAACGTTCGCTACGTATACCGATACTAGACCCTAGATCTAGAAACGTTAGTTTTAATAACGGCGTAGGAAGTAGGGGGGCGTCGGATACCTAAAAACTTAGGCCGATACTCCTATTTCCGCCGAAAAAAACTACCTACGGATACCTAATTTCTTAGGCTAATAATATAGAGGTTATCCTAAGAGACCCCTACCCCTAGCTAGGGGGCCTAAGCACGTAAAAATTAAAAAACGCCGTAAGTTTACCTAGCTAACTAATGAAAGGCGCTACTCCGCCGAAAAAGGTAATATCTCTTCTACCGAAAAAGGGACCCTTTTCTTAGGTAGAAAAGGTAGAAATACTCGCTACCTATAGAGTAATAAAGATATAGAAGATAAACTCGTCTAGTAGTTTAAAATAATAGTCCTCGGAGACTACCTTAACTTCTCTTAGCGAGACTCCCCCTAGCGAGCCACCTACTAAGCTTAAAAAGGATAGGGTTAATATCGATACCTAGCACTATAGACTATACTATATAGGGATTAAACCCCTATAGGAAACGGTAAAAATTATAGAAGGTATTAATATTATAGGCCTACCTACCCCTAAAAGACCCTATAGCCACTACTAAATTAGAAAGGCTTAGCTCGTACCCTATAGAACCCTAATTTTATATAGATCTAGTAAAATAGGAGATCTCGTATACCTCGATCTAAGAGGCGGGGGTAAAATACCTAGAGGTTAGGGAGGTAGCTACCGATACTAGATAATTAGTATCGACGACTTCGACGGATAGGGAGAAATATAGTTTACCTTCTATAAAGACTTCGTCCTAGACCTTATAATTAAAATAGTAAAACTATATTCCGCTAAAAGGGAGATAATAATTAAGACCTTTATAACCCCCGATCTCCCCCCGCTATTAGTAATAGGAAGTAAAATACTACTACCTAGTAGACTAGAGATCGGAGTCTTCTAATTAGATTATAGAGGAGAGTTTAATAACTTCCGCCTATAAAAATAGGCTAAGGATACTAATACCCGTCTATATTTCTTAGTACTATACGTATATAAGTAAAATAGTAAAGTCGAAAGAATAATACGAATAGTATAAGAACGCACTAGAGCTATTCTCGACGATACTAGACTCCTAGATATATTATAGCCCGAACTAATAAAAATAGTAATAATAACCTATAACCTTACTATCTATTTCGGTAGAAAAAGAGACGGTCTCCTAAACTAGATACTATATAAAATACGATTCGGCAGAAAACCTAATATCTTATTCCTACGGATACCTAGTAGTAAGGCTTACGTTATAAGAAGCCCTAAAGAGATTAGGGCTATAGTTAGTATATTAATAAGTAGATATTTATAGCCCTACGCCTAGATAGGTAGACTTATCGGGTATAGTAGCTACTATAGTATATAATACCGTATCTAGCGTCTAAACGTAGATAGAAATAGGGGAGAGATTATAACCTAGAGAGACGTTATTTTCGACGAAAGAGACGACTAGACCCTATATAATAATCCTAATCTCCTAGTCCCACTAGAAACCCTATAGTCGGTAAAATAGTCTAGGTTCCCATTCCTAGACTTTAGGGACCTTATAGACCCTAAGGACCTTATAGACCCTAAGAACCTTATAGACCCTAAGAACCTTATAGACCCTAAGAACCTTATAGACCCTAAGAACCCTATAAATAATATAAACCTTATAAATTCTTCCGCTAAAAAGACCCCTATAACTTCTTCCGCCGAAGAAAGCACCCCTTTTTCGGACTCTAAGGGAGATCTTAGACTTATTAATAAGAGTTCTAGTAACGAATCGGTCCTATTAGTAGACCTACCGAGACTATCTACTAAAGAACTCGCTAACCTTAATTATAAGATCTAAAATAAGGTTTTCTATACTACTATACCTCGGGTAGACAAAAAACGTATATAGGATCTAATATAATATACTACTATCCTATATACGTAAGCTAGACTAACCCTATTATCTAAGGATCTCCTAACCTTACCCCTACTAATAACCCTAAAAAATATAGACCCTAAATAGATAGAAGACCCTAAATTAGTCCGATAAGCACGTAACTCACCCCTTTAGCCTTAGTAGTACCGCGCTATAAAAATCGAGTTTAAATAGCTTAGTTTAATTAAAGCTTAGGAGATAATCCCTACCCCCGCACCCGCTAAGAATATATATATCCTTACCGGTAAGTAAGTATATAAACTAAAACTCGATACGGATAGAAACCCCCTAAAATTTAAGGCTCGCTAGGTAGCGAGAGGTTTCTAATAATAGGAAGATCTAGACTATACCGAGACCTTTACTAGTATAGGTAGCTATATTACGCTACGGATCCTCCTCGCTATAATCACGTAAAAGAAGCTTTTTATAGCTTATATTAACGTAAACGTTATATATCTTAACGCTACGCTAAAAGAGAGACTCTTAATATACTACCCCGAAGGTTTCGAAGATAATACCGATTTTTTAGAGATCTAAGGTAAAGTCTACCTCCTAAAAAAGAGTCTTTATAGTCTAAAATAGTTAGTAGTAAACTAGTTTAATATATTAGGGGACTACTTATTAATAAAAGGCTTTATACGATCTACTTCCGACCTATATCTTTATACGTAGTATAATTAAGGGGGCGCTAATACGATCGTCTATATTTTTATATACGTCGACGATCTTTTAATTATAGCTTCTATAGCGGATCTCGTTAAAACTATAAAGGACCTTATTTCGATAAAATAGTCTACGTCGGATCTTAGCGAGCTATCCTACTATCTTTCGATAAAAATAATATACGATAGAGAGGCGGGAAAAATAATAATTTCGTAAAAAATATACGTCGAAAGGTTCTTAAAAACCGTAACTTTAAGACCCGTAATCCCTTTATCTATTATCCTAATAAAGGAAGAGACTCTTACCGCTATAAGTAAAGTAGTAAAATAGTACTAATCCGATATAGGCTCGATTAACTATACTAATATAGTTATACGTCTAGACCTCTTACTTATAGTAAGTATACTTTCGTAGTTTACTATAAACCTAAACGCTAAATATAAGGATCTAGTATAAAGAGTAATTACTTATATAGGATATACTAGCTATTACGTAATTATATACTAATCTAGACCTAATTAGGACCTTTAGGGGTATATCGACGCCTTATACGGATTAGCCCTAGAAAGCAAAAGTAGGACTAGGTATATCTTCTTCCTCGTAGGGGGTCTAATATTATAGAAATCTTAAAAGTAGACTAGTATAGTAAAATTAAGCGCCGAAGCTAAATATATAGCCCTCTTAATTACTAGCGGAGAGGTAATTTAGCTACGAAAACTACTAAAAGATCTTAATTTTTACTAAGGAAGTATAGACCTCCCCCCTATCCCTTTATATAGCGATAGCTAGTCTATAATCACGATAACGAAGAACCCTACTATTTTAGGACGTTTAAAATATATCGACGTACACTAGCACTAGATCCGCGAGTAAGTTAAAAGGGGAAAAATTAAGCTTATATATATAAAAGGGACTAAAAACATTATAGATAGACTAATAAAGCCCCTCGGGGCTCCTAAATTTATAGAGTTTATCGCAGGTTTAAACCTCGACCCTAAAATATATAGACTTTCGGTAGAATAAACCCCTACGTCTTTCGTAGTGCAAAACTGCTAGTTTTACACCTTCCTATAGTCTAAAAGCTACACCTTTTGACTAAGAAACCTTATTCATCTCAGTCCCCGATAACATGATCTTACGATATATAACGGCTGTACGTTAAGGGGGCGTATTAAGAACCATGCCTAAGGCAGGATTCTCTTATCCGCAGGATTATCAACGCTACGCCCTTTTTGTCTTTTCTGCCGAAAAGCCCACCTTTGGGGGCCAAATTGAGGACTCCGATCCTCGGCACATAAAGGGGCATAAATAGCAGGAAAAGGCAGATATTATCTAGATCTTTAGACAATTTAATACTTCCATGAGAGATCCTATTCCTAGTATCATTTGAACCCATTGTTGAAACCCTACATGCTGTATCATACCTCTGTATCTTCAACAGAGACCATTGCACTGATAACCCATTCCTTGTCCCTGGGGTTGAAACTGGATTGATGTACGGGGTTATTACCCCGGTACCTAATTCAAAGTTAGTCCAATCTTACAAGCGTGACTCCTTTGACTTAATTTACCTGATGTCAACTTCTTTAACTGGCCCGAGTTTCTGTTGTGCCTTACATTAGTAAATTGCCGTCAAGACGATGAGCTTCCGATGGAATACCAATTCAGCGCCCCCACCTGGGCCTGCGAATTTATCCACAGCAAATGCCCAATTTTTCGATAGCCCAGATCTTGCATATCCTGTCCACTTAGTATCTTCCATCGCTCATGTACTAAGAAGGCCAGATGTCGTTGATTCTCAGTGTACCGGAAGGCTAGATAGAGAGGTTACAGATGCACGAATGTGACTATTACCAATGTCCCCAAAGAATGCGAGACTGAAGTAAATGTGATCAAGAGGGAATAGATATTAAAGCGCCGATGAGGGCCGATGTCTACCCCCTCTCTGCATTTATATCCAACATACCCTCGCTGCCTACTTGGATCGCATAGACGAAACGGAATGATTATGGCTATTCAAAGAATGGCTGCCCCCTTTCCGCTGTTATTAGATACATCCCATTCACCAGTCTCTCAAGCCTGACTCCTAAATCCAAGGGCCCAGAGGGAGTTGTGTCTTTCTGATCAGGTATAATAAGCACATCGAGGGTCGGTGACTAACAACACATCCGTTGACTATCATATTCCAGTCCCCTACGCTTTGATCATCATCCATGGATGCTGGTGGGGTTTACGTCGCCTATTCCAAGCATTAGTTATGAAACAATATTAACAAAGGGCATAGAATCAGGTAGGGCTCACGTGGCCTATTCCAATGACTATTTACGAGACAATCTTTACAAAAACTAAAGAATCTTGGCGGGTAGGAGTATTGGCCAGGCCAGACAATTGCTACCCCAGGACCTTTCCAGTCGATATAATTAGTATAAGGAACCATGCATTACATAGTATTAGCGTGAATCTTTTGAAATCCAATAATATTACGGTACGGTGGTAGTATTTCAGGTACCTACATACCCATTCTTTGTCTCCTGTAGGCCCGTCCCTTTGACCTACTTAGGTAGTCCCAGAGCTGTTAATGAGTAAGGAGAATCCTCATTGCTTTCAAACTCTCGGTGTGTGCACTTCGAATTCCTCCTACCTCTCACCTCACCACAGATGATCTCTTCTCTCGTTGCCCACATGGGCGCACTTTTGCGATGGGTCACAAACCTCTTTCGAAAGGCCCCTGCTCCAACTTTGTCTTTTCCGACCAGCGGGTTCGAAATCATCAGTTCCGAGCATGTGCTTGAAGAGGAATACTTTGAAGAATTCAGAAACGGGCAATACTATCCCGCCAACCTCGGCGATGTGCTTAATTCCAAATATCAGATTGTGGGCAAGCTTGGGTTTGGGGTTACCTCTACAGTGTGGCTCGCTCGCGATCTTGAGTAAGTTGAGCCAGTGACATATTTCTCTCGAACACACTGACTCGGAGGCAAAAATTAGAGGTCATCAGTATGTGACCCTCAAAATATACACTCGAGAGGGAGGGAACCAGAGAGAGTTTGAGATCTACAAGCAGATAAATCAAGGGGATTCAGAGCACCCTGGCCACCCTCATGTGAGGAAGGCTCTGGAGATCTTCACCATTCCTCGCCCCGGCGGTGATCATCCATGTCTCGTCCAGATCCCAATGTGGGAAAGCTTTCGGGATCTACTATGTCGCAATCCCACCCATCGGTTTACCGAAATTCTATTGAAGATTGGCCTGATACAGATCTTTCTTGCCCTTGACTATCTACACACCGAATGCAAGCTGGTCCATACTGGTAGGATATATCCTTATAAAGTTATCAAAACTTGTCTAACTCTCGCTATTTAGATATAAAAAGCGATAATATACTACTAGAGATACAGGACCTATCAATCCTTGAGAGTTTCACCCAAGCTGAACTAGAAGATCCTTCACCTCGCAAAACTGTTAACGGTATACCAGTATATCTCTCACGGCGCTTTGACCTACCAAGGCAATTTGGCATGGCCGTCTTGAGCGACTTTGGTTCTGCCGTACGAGGGGATGAGAGAAGGAACCACGACGCGCAGCCGGACGTTTACAGATCACCGGAAGTTATGTTGAGGACCGACTGGAGTTACCCTATTGACATATGGAATGTCGGTGTCATGGTAGGTTCTCCTTGGTCAAACTCCATACTGCAGGCTAAAAAATGGGACATCATAGGTGTGGGATTTGTTTGAAGGGAGACATCTTTTCTATGGAAATGACCCTGATGGCAGCGGATATACAACCCGGGCGCATCTTGCAGAAGTCATGAGCATTCTTGGGCCACCACCATTAGATATGGTTCAGCGTGGGGAGCTAGGCTCCAAGTACTTTACCGATGATGGTGCGTATCCTTCCCTCCTCAACCCAATCCCCGATCGCTCACAAGAGCCATGTGTTAGGAAAATGGAAGCAGGACTTAGAGATTCCGACGGGAGTCAGCTTAGAAAGTTCAGAATCTTTCCTTGGGGGAAATAACAAGGAGATGTTTTTGGCCTTTATGAGAGGCATGCTTCAATGGCGCCCTGAAGATAGAAAGACAGCGAGGCAACTGCTCGAGGATCCGTGGCTCAACGATCTGCCAGAATAATTTGGGTGTGTTATCACAATCTTCGTCCATGTTGAGCTTTCAATTGTGAAAACTCAGTAATATGAGATGTGTTTATTGTGGCATCCAATCGACCATTCGAAGGCGACATCTCCATGCTCCCTTCTGGTACATACTATTCGAGGCGCTAAGGGCAATGTTACCAGCGCTCAGGTAAATGTAAGCTACCCTATCACGCAGTCATTAATCAAACCCACTTCAATATGGCTGCGAAGATCTGTCAGCTAGTCGTACTATGTAGTATCGGGGTCATCTTTGACACAATGCTCTAGTGTTTCCTACTATAAGCTTCACCGGTATGTCAGCTGGGAAAACTCGTCTCCTTTCCCCTCTTCTTCGTTCTCTTCCATTCTTCCACGATTTGCGCAGCAAGTGGGCCGGGGTATTGCTGAAAGTAGTTGCGACCGTGTTGACAATTACCCCGTTTAGTCTGTATAGATTTGGTTTTGTACTGAGAGCACAATCTCAACTTTTCTCTGGTAATATCAGCAGTGGTAAGTAAAGATTGATGTATATGTTGCGCATTGTGGGGTTTGCAGCATACCTATTTCAGGGGCAAAATGGTTTAAACGAAGGCTTTTAGGTTTCAAAACAGTGCTCTGTGAATACAGTTATGACTGCAAGGGATATCAAAATGTGGTATGCTAAAGAGAATGTACTGGCGTGGCATTAGCATGAAGTGAATGAGTAGTTTGCAGATGCAAGTTGGATATATCGGAGTCAAAACAGTGCCAAGGTTAGAGTTCCCCCACATATCGGATTTCGCCTGAGAAGTCAGGCCACACATCCTGATTGGTGGCGTAATCAGACCAATCAGATGCGGTGAATTCATCAATGATGCCCCACCATATTGCAGAAAGGCCAACCCGGATCTAGTAGGCGGTGTACCAGTTCTGTTCTGGGCTCAGAAAATTTCCCACGATGCCCGTTGACTTTGATCTTAACCACAACTTTTCACTTTTCTTTTACCGTCCTATTACACGGCCGTGATCCTCCGAGTGAGCCATTTCTTTTCAAGATCTGGTGTTTGAATTCCCTACTACAACCGCAGCAATGGCCGAAGATTCCTCCGCCGCCTGGCCCATCGCCGACGAGGCCCTTGCCCAGAGCCTCCTCGATCTCGTCCAGCAGGCCGCTCACTACCGTCAGCTGAAGAAGGGTGCCAACGAGTGCACCAAGTCTCTCAACCGCGGTACCAGCGAGCTTGTCATCATGGCTGCTGATACCAGCCCTCTTGCTATTGTTCTCCACCTGCCTCTCCTCGCTGAGGACAAGAACGTGAGTTGACCATGATCGACACTCCCATGAATGACCCATACTGACCATTGTCATCAGGTTCCCTACGTCTACGTCCCCAGCAAGATGGCTCTCGGCCGTGCCACCGGTGTCTCCCGCCCCGTCATCGCTGCCTCCATCACCACCAACGAGGCCAGTGACTTGCAGGCTCAGATCCGCGCCATCAAGAACCAGGTCGAGCGTCTCATGATCTAAGATGTTTTCTTGGACATGAACGTGTGGAGAATTGGACTTGAACAAGGCATTCCGGGAGGGGGCTCTATCATCGGTGGTAGAATTTTTCGGTGATACGAGAAATACCTGCTTCCGTCCCCCTCCCACTTGCTTTAGCTCTGAACGCTAGGTTTTGCTTGCAAATTTAGCTTGGACAATTCATACATCTTGAACTTTGAACTGATATCGTATCTTGGACATCCGTAAAAAGCTTGTAGACATGCGTTTGAGGTTGGATTGCTAGTACTCTCGTAGACTGAGCATGTGACTTGACTCTTTCCCATGCCCGGTGGCTTTTGAATAGTCTTTTATTTTATCTGAGATATACCCTATGGAGGGCATTGCAGATTCCACTTGTTGGCCGTCAGTGCTATCTACTCGAGCATATCCTGTATATGACCACCTATCCCGCGAAGAGTAGAGGTGGTAGCTCATTTTTGATATCGTGATCAGATGTTTCTGTTTAGATTAAGAATAGCCCGGGCTATCAACAGTTGAAGTTCATGACGAATGCGGTCTATGAGATTCATAATGAGTGAAAGAAACCATTCATTTGCTATGGTTTACACCACTTGCATATCTAGATGGATGATGCCAGCGTAATGGCGCATGGAACAAACATTTGCAGAGCCAGTACAAATGCCTCTAGATTCTTTACCTTTACTATATATAAACCTCTGGCAGAATTTCTTTCCCTGGCCTGTTTCCCTGCTCCTTTCTATCTATCCATCACTCGGACCATCTTTTCGGCACTCGGTTCATCACCGATTAGCTTGCAACCACTTGAGATACCATCATGCCTCCTAGAATGAAAAGGCTTACCCCTGACACTATGTCACAGCAGCTAGCTATGCCTAGCGACAATTCCCTTACAGACAACGCTATTGGGGCCTCCCCTGATAGGCTAGCCAAACCCGGGCCTCCTGTGGTAAGTGAGTATGGTAGTCATATGAATCAAGCCGATAAGCAGTGCTCAATGAACTCAAAGACTCAAGAAGCCAAAGAGGCCAATCAGGACGACTGGAAACAAGCTGCAAGAGTGAAAGACCCCGAGATCGAAGAAGCGCTCAAGCACATCGAAAATGCAGAGAATATGCAACGAATCATCGACGACCTCCTCATCCAGTACGACCTGTACGAATTGCACGAACCATGCACACCACCCAACCCAGAGGTCTGGGGCAACGGAATCGCATGGGCGGATAAGACCCGTCAGTGTTGGCTTGAATTCATCGGCTCGATCATAGAGGCCCAGAACATAATCGAAGATCAGGATCCCGAGGCTCGCGTGCGGCTTAGGGAACTTCTCAAGGAGTGTGTTGAATACGCTTGTTCGCAAGAGGGGATGCTCGATGATCTTTTGTTCTTTGAGTTTGCACCAGGTCCATACTTTGTTCAGGATGAGGGTGATATTCCGCCCGAACAGACGCCGGATTTTGATCGTACACGGTATTGAGGGGATGGATGTGAGCGATGCGGCTTGCTGTGGTTACTAGGTAGGTAGCTATGGGCGGGTATCAGTTCTTTCAGACATCGAGTATCGGGGGATGGTACTTGTAACTGTGTTTCCTATTTCGGGGAGTTTCTGGGCAATGGATGACCATTTGATGTTGACGCGAGGAGAATATTGAATGAATGACTGCAATCCTTGAAAATGCATACACTTCGATGAATGAATGCTTTGATTCAGTTCACTTTATTCTTGTAAGGTAATATTCGATTGTTGATATCCCCATTTCACATCACTATATGTCGTCCACGTGTTATGGCCCCAGATGGAGAGGGGCTGGTCTTTCCAAAATCGAGTACTTCCAATTTCTGTTCAATATCACGGATCGGAGGTCGATTTGTCTGGTATAGATGAAGATTGTGCACATTTCAAAGCTCGAATTCATCAACAGGTATGCCTAGAAGCCTCCCACGTCAGCGGGGTGGAATGTGGGAGCAATACGGGTTTCCCAATTGGGCCAATGCGCGATCGTGAAGACCCTAGACCAACTTGACTCACACGGCTCATCGATCACGCCATGAAGAGTCCAATAGCCCTTGCTGAAACGAGATGCATAAAGTTGATCTGGCGCTGCCGCGTGGGACCTGATTCGACAGTCCGATGCAGTTGCCGCTATGCGTGTGAGAAGAATGCGGCCAAGCTATAAGGGCCGCCCTACGCCAGACTCCCTTCTTCCTTGGTCCTAACACCTTCAAAATGTCAGCGCCCAAGTCGCCTGGCATTGAACCATCTGCAACCGAGTCTCCAACTATCGCCGAACATGAAGGGCCCGATGCGAACTACAAGGCCAAGGCGCAGGTTCTCAACCGCGCGATACAGACGATCGGAATGGGTCGATACCAGTGGCAACTGTTCGTCGTGATCGGCTTCGGCTGGGCAAGTGATAATTTGTGGCCCATTGTTACCTCCCTGATTCTTCCCGCCGTGGCAAACGAGTTTCACCCTTCGAAGGCACCGTTCTTGACGCTAGCACAAAACATCGGATTGCTGGTGGGTGCTGTATTTTGGGGATTTGGATGCGATGTGTTCGGTCGCAGATGGGCGTTTAACTTGACGATCGGAATCACAGGGGTGTTTGGCCTGATCGCCGCCGGGTCGCCCAACTTCGCTGCCGTGTGCACATTCGCGGCATTATGGTCTGTTGGCGTGGGCGGGAATTTGCCCGTAGACTCGGCCATTTTCCTCGAGTTCTTGCCTGGATCACATCAATATCTGTTGACTATTTTGTCTATCGACTGGGCTCTTGCCCAGGTCCTCACCACTTTGATTGCTTGGCCGCTGCTGGGGTATAGGACTTGTGAATCTGAAGATGGATGCACAAAGGGGGATAATATGGGGTGGCGATGGTTCATGATCACAATGGGGGGTCTTGCCATGATCATGTTTGTCTGTCGATTCGCATTCTTCACGATTTTCGAGTCGCCCAAATACCTTATGGGCAAGGGCAAAAACAAGCAAGCTGTGGAGGTTGTGCACGAAGTTGCCAGAAGAAATGGGAAATCATCAGACTTGGCTCAAACTGATCTCGACGAATGGGATCAGGGCGAAATTCAGCATTTCAGCGCGGCTAATATTGTGCGCCAACGGCTGGAAACTGTGCGGTTTGATCACATTCGCGCTCTCTTCGATACTCCCAAGCGAGCATGGTCTACAACACTGATAATTATTATCTGGGCATTTATCGGCCTCGGATTCCCGTTGTATAACGCGTTTCTGCCATATATCCAACAGTCTCGTGGCGCTGAATTTGGGGATGGGTCGACCTATCTGACATATCGGAACTCGTTGATTATTGCCGTGATGGGCATTCCGGGCTGTCTGCTCGGTGGACTGTTAGTTGAACTACCACGGTTTGGCCGGAAGGGTGCACTAAGCACATCGACAGCTGTGACTGGAGCCTTCCTTCTTGCGTCCACGACAGCTACCACTTCGAATGCTTTATTAGGTTGGAACTGCGCGTTCAACTTTATGAGCAGCCTGATGTATGCCGTGCTATATGCGTATACACCAGAGATTTTTCTCACCAAAGATCGTGGGACAGGAAATGCATTGACCGCGTCTGCGAATCGAGTCTTTGGCATCATGGCTCCGATCATTGCCATGTTCGCTGACCTCAACACTGCTGCACCGGTTTACGTGAGCGGTGCGCTGTTTATAGCAGCGGGCATTCTTGTCCTTTTCATGCCGTATGAATCTCGTGGCAAGTCAAGCTTGTAAAGATGGGTGATGCAACTTATCAGACTGCAATTATTCTACATGGCGTTGGTCTAGTATATACTCACCCTAATTAGGATTCATCATGCATTGTACAGATTAATCGGTCGGTGCAGACATCATGTTGCCAGATATGAAACCATCCAGCCACAGTTAATATAAATTCTGTGAATTCTGTAGTCTAATGAGCTCCACTAAATAAAAAGCAGTGGAGAGGACATGACATCATACCCCTGGCTCCCGAGTCCAAAGAGCATCACAGCAACCAATCTCCTTCATCCGAGTAGCATTGGCCACCCTTGGTTTAATATAAGAAACGTTTTCCAGAAACTCCTTTCAGCCACTGGACCACGATCGGATGATATCAACCAATAATGAGGTCCAGACATACGTCAGATCTATCATGCCAGACACCAAACGCGATCATAGTGGCTGTCAAATATCGGATAATTGTCACTTTCAGCTTTTAATTGGATGGTATCCCCTTGGCTTTCCACATGAAATGTCCAGTCGATGTTCTCAAGTTACACTCATTATATCATCGCTATGTAACCGGTTTCAAGCTCTGGGGTAGGGCATGCTATGGACATAAATAAAGATAAGTCTGCAACCCGAGTCAAACATATTTGATCAAGAATACACAAAGACCTCGATACACCATAAACCTTTGTGAACAAGACTTCCTCAACACAATCTCTATATCATCCCACCAACAACCATCAACATGTCAAACAACGATCAAAACCGTACGTCTCCAATATATCCCACCCAAAGCGCAAATCCCAACTGACCAGATAATCTCTTAGCCGGACTCCTCGGTGGCCTTGGCGATACCCTCGGCAAGACAGTCGGCGGCGTGACAAACACACTGGGCACGACCGTCAGCGGCCTCGGCTCAACCGTGGGTAACACAACCGCTGGCCTTGGACAGACTGTCTCGGGTGCAACTGAAGGTGTCGGGAATACCGCGAAGGGTGCTGGACAAGGCTTGCAGAGTGGTGTTTCTAGTATCGGGGGACAGAAGCAGACTGCTGACAACCCACTTGGCTTGAATAACTAGGCTGCTATGGCTATATGTATGAATATTTTTCTTGGACAGTGGATGTATAATTAACCCTTTTGAATTTGTCCTTCACTCTACGTGAGTATTCTTGGAGGAATATCTGGATGTCATATCGTAGTGCAGTGGCTGGAGCTTCGCGTTATAGCACCACATACGGAGCATAAGAATCTGATCACCACGCTAGTTCTGGCTTCTGGAGTTTCTTTACAGGGTGAAATGATAAGATGATGTTCTGTGAGTAGGTTTGTTGAAATGTAGATTTACAGTACTCGGTAGTAAAGTTCGAATACCAAAAATGGGGGTTTGTGATAAGCTTCAACCCCAAGTATCAATAATAGCTACAGCCTCGCCTCAACGACGCTAGTTCCAAGTGACTTACTCCACCGACGATCGACCTAACACAGTTAGAAATATCTCCAGGCTTAGAGGGGAAAACCTACATCGGCAATATGATCATAGCCCAGCAATTTAGGTGCGAGGCCCGGGTCTCGCCATGCTAATGCTTCTCCCTCGGGTGTAGGAACCATCTGCATCTTGCAATCTCGTTCTTGCTGCTCAGGTCCGTCGTGAAGATGGTAGAGATATTGCTGGATATTTCCGCGTTCAACAATCATTTTTGTTCGCTGTTTGCGACACTCCTGAAAGATAGCAAGTGCGTGTTGCTTGGCACCCAAGAATGCGGCGGAGGTTTTGGAGATGTCGGGGCTGTTCGGCAGTCGAGAGAGACATTCGCCTAGCACAGCTCCATCTTCGAAAGACATACCAGCACTGGGTGTATTAGAATATAGAAGATCGAAATAAAGCAATGACAATCATACCCAGATGCCAGGTACGGCAGTGTAGCATGGACTGCGTCGCCCAACATCACAAATGCTCCAGACGGGTGAGTCCAGTCGAAATCGCCGAATCGAATGCAAAGACGCCACTTTTGAACAGATTCGCAGAGCTTCAGAAGTTTGGGAATACTGTTTTGGTCAGTCTTTTTTTCATATTAACAGAATACATAGTTTACCGTGGGTCCCAGTCTTTGAACAGTGCACACATCTCCTCCACATTACCCTCGATAGTCGATGCTAAAGACTCCTCCGGAATGTCATCGGGAACGAGTAACACCATATTAAACAAGTCTCCGCCCCTAAGTACATAGTTCACTAAAAGGTCAGCCCTGTTCTACCCATTGTATTATGACCGACATACCTGCATGAGCATCCGGGCCCAACCAGTAGTTAACCTGCGGATTCTTCACCAAATCCTCGAGATCAGGATCCTTCCTCATCTCCTCCGTCGATAGAAGCAGACGGTATGCAAGATCACCCGTTTTTACGGGCGGGTCGGCTCTACCAAGCAATCCCTCAGTCAATTTCCCAAATACTCCATCTGCCCCGATGACAAGGTCTCCGGTCCACCGTCTCCCATCGGCTGCTGTCGCACTCGCCGTTTTTCCATCTTCACTGACTGTCACATCGACAACGCGTGCATTACAAGTCATAGTAACCCCAAGCTCAAGCGCTCTCTGAACGAGACAGTTGTGTAGATCCGCACGGTGAAAATCACGGTACCAAGTACCGGGGTAGTTACTCTCTGATGCATGGAAGTCCAAAGAGGAGATTGCGTTCCCTTTCCAACCGAGGAAATTGCAAAAGTGTGGATGGGTCATGTATGGCGTCAAGGCCTCTTCCAACCCCCAATGTTGGAGTACGCGCGAGCTATTGGGTAGAATCTGGATACCTGCTCCAACCTCTTTGATTTCGTGCGCTGCCTCGAGGACTTCAACTTGGTGTCCGGCGAGGGCGCAACTAATCGCGGATCCGAGGCCGGCGAGGCCGGCGCCGACAATAAAGATTTGCAATTGGCATGACTCGGTGCGGAAGCATTGCTCTTTGATGTGGATGGGAGGGGCCATGGTGAGGTGGGATGTGTGTAACCAAGTTTGGGTAATGCTATTTGATTGCAGATGAGTATAGTGTTTCGGTTTGTGAAACGGTACTACTTATGGTAGATAGAGACAGCGGATATCTCTGTGCTTAGTGTACTATACTCCATCCATGGATTGGACAAAGTTGGGGGTTAGCTTGGTCTGGGAATACCGGTATCCGATAGCTTAAAAGGCGAGAAAATATCTGAGGGGTAAGGGTTTCAGTGCACAACCCAAGTTTTATCCAACGATATGTCGAGAGTGAGGATGTCCACTTTTGTCTCGAGCTGAGCTGACCTTGGTAGTTTTCACTGAAAGGACGAACAGCTCTGGTGACGGGAGGGGCCCGGGGTTGCGGGTTGGCATTTGCGCGAGGACTGGCTGAGGCCGGTGCAGATGTAGCTGTGTTCGATGTTGTTTCACCAGAGGAAGGCTTCCATGCAATTGAAAAGGACTGTGGTGTTCGAACAGCGTATTACAAGTAGGTTGGATAAGCTTCGTTGGCAGGCTTGCATCGCTAACAATAACTAGAGTGGATGTGTCTTCACAGGAATCTTTGCAAGATGGTTTTGCCAGCTTCCAGAAGGACTTTGACAATGCTCTTGATATTTGCGTGACATGTGCTGGTATCAACCGCCATATGCCCTTCCTTGAATTCACATACAAGGAGCACCATGATCTGCTTTCCATCAATGTCCTCGGAGTGTATTTCACTGCGCAACTCGCTGCAAAGCAGATGATTGCGAATAAAACGCAGCACGGGAGTATTGTTCTAGTCGCGAGTATGGCAAGTCACATTGCCGTACGCAGCCAGTTGTGTTCAGCTTATTGTGGCACAAAGGGCGCGGTCAGATCTATGTGTCCAGCGATCGCCAAAGAGATGGCAGACTATGTGAGATCGTCGCGAAGCACATTCGTGGAGACAACTAACTCTCTGCTAGGGTATCCGAGTCAATTCCATCTCTCCAGGATACGTGCGAACGGAAATGACGGCATCGGTAGGCTCCCACCTCACTCGTTGCTCCAATTGTCGGCTAATCGATCAGTTCCCTCATCTCCTGGACGGCTGGAAGTCCGAAGCCATGAACGGCCGCATCGCCGAACCCGAAGATATCATGGGTGCATGTGTGTTCCTTGCGAGTGACGCGAGTTCGTACATGACAGGGTCCGATATCGTTGTCGACGGTGGGGTGACACGATGGTGATAGGTGAAGAGTGGGGGTTGCCCCCGCATAACAGAGGTGCTGAGGATAGGAGTGTACTCCAATTTAATAAGTACAAGATAGAGAATCAATGCTTCTATGTTGCCCAGCAATCCAATTTCAAAATGTCACCAAGTGCAGAACACGAATACCGGGTTCCCCACGTTCATCATACCAGCGTGGTGGTGGTGGGTGCAGGACCATCAGGGCTGATGCTAGCGTATGTCAGAATTTTGGTTGCTTTCAGGATATACTGATAAGAGGGCAGATGTAATCTTGTTCGCTTCGGAATTGATGTGATGATCCTCGATGATCGGCCCGACAAGACATCCACAGGCAAGGCCGATGGCATGCAGCCCAAGACCATCGAGACATTCAAACAGCTGGGCCTAGCTGAGCCATTGCTTAACAATGGAGCACGGGTTTATGACATCGCCTTCTGGGTATGTCGTGTTCGTTCCAGTCCCCAGACCCCTCTGACAATTGGACAGGAGTCAACAGCCACCGAGGCACTCAGACGGACAGGCCGCAAAACCCACTACCCGAAGCACGTCGGTGCAACCGATCCATATATCTTGCTGGCCCATCAGGGAATGGTGGAGCAGGTCATGATCGACGATTTGGAGGCGAGGGGTGTGTTTGTCATGCGCAACAGCCGGTTTGTGTCAGCTGGCCGCGGTACGGATGGATCAACAAAACTGGATGTTGTCTATGTGGATAATGCCACTAATGGATTTCGCAACATCCGCGCGGACTATGTTGTGGGGTGCGACGGAGCTCGATCAAAGGTCAGACGGTTTATTCCGGATGCTGACCTAGAGGGCGAAATCACCAATGCGGCGTGGGGGGTACTAGATGGTATAGTTCTTTTCCTACATATTGGAAGAATATTCAACTCACTATATCAGGTGTCATTGATACCGACTTCCCTGATCTTTGGAGCAAGGTCGCTCTGCGGACCCATTCGGCGGGATCCATTTTGTGGATTCCGCGCGAGAGAGGCATGACTCGATTATATGTCGAGTTGAGTTCAACTGACGGAGAAAGAGTGGAAAAATCCAAGGCCACAACAGAGTATGTGATGGCACGTGCTAGGGCTGCAATGCATCCATTCAAACTGGAGTGGAAGACTGTCGAATGGTTCGGAACATACGTTGTGGGCCAGCGGGTTGCGAAACGCTTCATGAATTCAGAGGCGCAGATTTTCATTGCAGGTGATGTATGTTTCTCCTCGACCTTGCAACCTGTTCCAAAAGCCATCTAACTCGAACAGGCTGGCCACTGCCACTCAGCCTTGGCTGCTCAAGGCGCCAACACAAGTATGCACGACAGCTTTAACCTGGCGTGGAAACTAAATCTTTTTGCAAGAGGACTGGCCAAGCCCTCTCTCCTGCAGACCTATGAAGAGGAACGACAAAAGATTGCATACGATCTCATCAACTTCGATGCCGAGCATTGCAAAGCATTTGCGGCAGGCGATGAGGAGCTAGTCAAGAACTTTGACGATAACATCCGGTTTATCTCCGGTATTGGCGCTGAGTATTCTCCAGGGATGCTCACACGCACGACATCCAACAAATCACATCTTCGCCCTGGAATGCTTCAACTGCCCGCCCAATTGACTCGATATATTGATGCTAATCCAGTCGATTTTCAGCTTGACATCCCTCTACTCGGTCAGTTCAAGATCTATATTTTTGTGCCAGATGTTTGCCAGTCACAATCATCGCTGCAATACATCTGCGGACAGCTGGATGCTGTGCTCGCTAGCATCAACACGCGCGCGAATCAGTCATATGGGAAACAACCGCGGAGGCAATCTCCTTCGGACCAATTCGTCCAATCTCACCGGTACACCACTGTATCCAATGCTTTCACCTTTGCCATGGTCACACAGTCCACTCAGCGCCAGTTTGAGATCGCCGATTTACCAGAGCTACTCCAACAGAGTCGGTGGACTTTGTATGTAGACAATGTTAACAGCCCTGGCTGTACAGAGATATGGTTCGGGGAACTTGAACAGCAGACTATAGGCATCACCGTTGTGAGGCCCGATGGATATGTTGGCGCAATTGATTGCTGGGATACCAAAGATGTGGGTGAGGTAGGGGGCTGGTTGCAGGATTATTTCTCGTTCATGATGTAATAACTGATGAAAATGTGCCACCGCCATGAATCTCAAATAGCACTCGTTTATTACTCAGTTCTAGTAGTCCCAACTAAGCATCAAGATCGTACTGAGTAGTACTCAGTGAGTACATATGTTATGAAATGCTCGTTCTGCCAAGAAATATCAATAAGCAAATCCGTCTTCCGCCTTCCCAATTGGTAAATTAGCTAAACCGAATTAGGTCGAAGCGAGGCGAGCATTTCATCCTTAGCTGAATCCCTCTATCAAACACTTAGGAAGAGATGTTCGGTTAATTCGGGGTGGGGTGGGTGAGAGGGTTGTTTTCTCCTGTTGCACTATTTACAACAACCCGGCCTAATTGACGGATGATGATAACCGAAGACCATACAACATGGAGCATCTACCAAAAGAAGTGCTCATAGATATCGCAAAATACATCCGGAAGGGACGCTTCGCTACAAAAACATTGCATTCCTTGACCTTGTGCTCTCGACAAATGCATACAGTATTTCAACCTGAACTTTATTCTCACATCTCCCCTGACTGGTCTATCTATTGGATTCGTTTGATCATACACCTCTGGAGTCATCCTGAGCTGGCTAATCAAGTGCGACATTTGCAGGCGGTTTGGTCGACCTGTGGACATGGGTTCTGGTATGAATTCGACGAGGAAGAATTTGTCGGATTTATCGATTATGCCTTGGACAAGATATTCGAAGCGGAGGAAAAGAAACTCAGATCCAAATGGAGAAAGCATCTGCTTCTTCCGTGCGAAGAGGCGTGGATGGGTTTACTTCTAGTCCGCTTGCCACATCTGCACACAATCGAGTTCAGCTACGTGGACTCCAAGTTCGTGTCAGATATTTTGCGCAAGGCAGCACAGCGCCAGCGACCCTTTCATCAGACCCCTCCATTTCCACATCTGCGAGAGGTTATAGTCGCTGTCCCGGAAGGACATGGATCTGTCGATGCGGAAATTCTCACGCCATTCTTCTATTTCCCTGCGGTTCGAAACATTCAGGGCGGAGCAGTTTGCGAGTGCATCTCAGACGAAACCGACAAAATGCCCCTGGATATCCGCCATTAATCACGTCCGATTCGAAAAATCACAATTCCAGAAGCATATTTGTGCCGCGGTATGCTCGATTGGCTCGCAGCAAGCACGGAACTCGAGCATGTTGCACTTGTGCTTTCAAGCGACCAAGATGTCCATTTATTACCAGAGAAATTCCTGTTCAAAGCTCCACAGTTTCGAAATGCTCTCCTTCCTTTCACAGGGACGCTCAAGACCCTTCACATAGAAGCCGATCACGTTTTCGATGGTCATTGGGAAAGCAATATTGCAGACCACGCTGGGCCGTTTGGGTCTCTAAGGGAATTTTCTGTCCTCGAGAATCTACGGATGCGATATTTCCAGCTCTTCCGACTGTTCACTCCCCGTTCACATCCCAGGAGGACGTATCGGCTCGTGGACATACTTCCCTTCTCGCTTAAGAGTCTGGAAATTCTGGAAATCGAGAAGCATCATTATGCTGAATTGCTGTTAAGCCTTGTACAACTGATGCAATACCGCGTTTATTTTTCTCGGCTTGAGCAAATAACGCTTGTTATGAAGCATGTGGACACGCGACTGGAGAGCTTTTTGACACATACACGCGGAGCGGCTGGTATTGACTTCAAGGTGAAGACCCACGTCTCCAGATGGTCGAGAGATTTCGGTGTAAAGACAGGATTAGCATAGTCAAACATGGATAGCACCTGGGCAACCTCCGCAGTATCAATTCATTTGGATATGGTGCATTTGCTTACTTCTACGTCAACTAAACGCCCTATGTACTTCATTTTCATTCTCTCTTTGGAGTATCTACAGTCCCGATGCTCGCACTTGTAAATAGAGGCGCATATGGATGTATCAACGGAACTGGCAGGGCATCCTGACATCTTCGATAGGAGGCTTAGATATACTACAACAGCTGACCGCAGCTCTCCCATAGTGGTCAATGATCTTTCTAGGATCTTTTCAACAAACCGTACACGAATAGGATAAACATAAGACAAGTCCATTTTCATCTGATCGTGTTAAGCTTTTCTATTTGTGTAATTACCATGAAATATTCCAATATCTTCTACCATGGCTTGTAACAGCTTCTGAACCCTTTAGCGAGAAGTACGCTAAAAGGGAAATGATTCTCAATGTCGGAGATATTACTAAGTAAGGAATTATAGCTGGAGATTCTAGAGGATTGAACATCTATCAACTGGATTCTCAGAATGATTCCCCCACGCACAGCTATTGTTGGAGGGTGGGGGACCCTGTACAGTGGGGGTCGGGATGCCTCATTCTTGACAGTCGATCCTCCATGCTTTATCCCACTGTTCAAATCACACCATTAATCCCACTCCAGGAGAGAGGTTTATGAAATAACATTGCCACTATTGGCTATAAATACTCCCCCAAGCAATGTACATACGAGATAGACGAAATTTGATTATATACATCCACAATGGGCTCAATCGCACTCTCCGACCCTCTGTTCGAATCCGTTCGCCTGGGAGCTTTGACTCTCAAGCATCGTGTAGTGCTGGCACCATGCACACGGATGCGAGCGACCAAGGAGTCCGAGGGCGTGTACGTCCCCAATGATCTCAATGTCGAGTATTATTCTCAGCGCGCCTCGGAAGGAGGCTTTATGTTGACGGAGGCAACTCCGATTAGCAGACTTGTATGTACACCGCGCAGTGCATGAGGTTTTCTCTCGACTGATTTCCCCAGGCTGCTGGTTATCCAGGTGTGCCTGGCATATTTACTGCCTCTCAGATCGCCGGCTGGAAGAAAGTCACAGATGCCGTGCATGGGAAGGGTGCGTTTATTTACTGTCAATTGTGGCACGTTGGCCGCGCTACCGTTTCCTCATTGCTGGAGGGAAAGGACGTTCTTGGGGCGAGTGATATTCCCATCAGCGGAAACGCACTCGATGGATCCGAGTACGCAGCTTCGCCACCCCGGCCTATGACGGTCGAGGAGATCCAAGAAACAGTGCAGGAGTATGTTTCTGCCGCACAAAGAGCGCGTGAGGCAGGTTTCTATGGTGTTGAGGTGCATGGTACGCGAAAAAAAAAATTACTATACTGACTTCGGCTATTTGCTGGTGCTAATTGATCAGGCGCAAACGGATACCTACTCGACCAATTCCTGCACGACAATGTCAACACCCGCACTGATGAGTACGGCGGCAGCATTGAAAACAGATCTCGCATCATCCTAGAGGTACTGCAAGCTGTCAGCGCTGGGATCGGAGCCGACCGGGTTGGTATCCGTCTATCCCCATACAATTATTTCCAAGATACACGCGACTCCAACCCCAACGCTCACTGGGCCAAGTTATGCTCCTTGATCGCGGGACTCCCAGAGGAGTCGCGGCCCGCTTATGTGCATATGGTCGAGCCTCGATTCGACGAGGTGATGGACGAAACGTCCAAGATTGACTCTCTAGCCACGGACAGGCCATCATTGGACGTGTTCCGACCGACGCTGAAGAAAGGAGGGATTTCATTTTTGGCGGCCGGAAACTTCAATCCGGAGAATGTGGGGGCTAAGCTCGTCAGCAATGGTGCAGATGCTGTTGTGTTTGGTCGTTATTTCATCTCGAACCCGGATCTGCCACGGCGGTTGAAGGAGGGTTTGCCCCTGACTCCGTATGATCGCACGACGTTCTATGGCGCCGATCCTGCCGAAAAGGGATATATCGACTATCCTTTCCATAGCAAATATATACGGGGTAGAGACACTGTCATTGTTGAGATTCGGATCAACATGTCGGATTTTGGGTAAACTACATATTGACTATCAAATACAAAGACTATTATGACAATCGCACCAAAACCTTCATAGCATCATGCACAACCGCCCATCGGACAGTCGCGAGTTGTTTCGCCATCGCCGCTGCTAGAGGACGTGGACAGTATCTTCCCGATAGCAAGCCGGTCAGTGAGGCTGGGGCAATTCGTCAACATGACAATCAGCGAAGAGGGATCAGTGTTGACGCGGTTCTCATCGGACGCAGGATTTGGCCCACGATGGAAAACCCAGCACGCCAACGTGCATAAATACAAACACCAGGGGAAATGGAACGAATCTGCCTGGTCCCAGTCATGTAGACTCAACACTGCATCTTGAAGCAAAGAAGCAGCTTGGCGGGCGGCTGCACAGGATCCCTCAGACTCCTCTTGGAGCCATCTGGTAATATTCCGCAGCGACCGTGCCTGATCGGCCTCAGTCACTGTCCGCCCTAGGATTTGACTCGCGCCGGCGACGATTTGTAAATCGAGCACCTCGACATTCAACGCAAGGTACGCAGCATGATAAAAAGCATACCCCGAGATCTTCAGTCCAGTAAACTGCCGGGGGCTAGCCGTCTGGGCAAGCTTGATGGCAAGACAGTCCGCGTCGAAATCGACTTTCCACAGATCGTAAGACCGACCCATACGCGGTGTCCACGCTCCAACGCGCTCAGGTGTCTCCGACCGAAGCGTCGTTTGATCGCGGCGTTTCAAGTCTGCGGATACAGACATCAATCCGTGCAGGATAACGATTCGAGCAAATACATTGAGATCTCGAGGCCTAACCACAGCGGATGGGGTGATATATCCTTTCAAAACTGTAAGGAAAGGTTTATTTTCTTCACGGAAGGCATACTGCGACCACTCTCTCGCCGACGAAGCGTCCCAGGCAGCATTGCTACACGGCAAAGAAGATCTGATCTCAAAGGCCGACATACAAAGTGACTGTGAGAATAGCACTGCATGCTGCGTATCCCACATGAAACAGTGTATCGCGACTCTCTTCCGTTGTTCCTCCTCCATGGCCTGGTGCCACATTTCGTCCAAGTCGCCCGACGGGTCCAAGCCGGATAAGTCTCGGATGCCACAACAGTTGCTGCGACGAATCATTTTAATCAGTACGCAGTGGAATAGCTGTGCGCGTTCTCGCTGCTTTGGTCCTGCGCGCATCTTTCCGAAACAGTCTATCAAAAGCATTGTCTGCAGGACCCAGAGATCTGCCTGCGGTGAGAACTCTGGGTGGCATAGTAGATTACTGCGTAGGACATCGTGCACTTCTACTGCTAGCTGGTGTGCCTCCCGGGTACCGTATGTCGCACCCATGAAGAGCATCGAGGCGAGGAATACTGGTGGTGCTATATCTGGATCGAAGGTATGCCGGTGGACGAGTGGGTATGTTGTGTTAAAACGATTGAAGAACATATCGCAGTATCCTTGGAGCGCAGAGAGGGTCAGAAGGGGCGAGTCGGCGACCATGCGGTTCCTATCGATGCTTGTTGGATGTGCCTGCGCCACTATGGCAAGGATTCCCTGACGCGCATCTTCGGATATCATTGGTAAGCTTGTTGGAGGATTAGGATCCAACGCCGCAGCACCGGCCATCCAATCCAAATCTGGAAGACTAGGGAGTGCAGGGGAGTTGGTTTGTCCAAATGCTTCGCCTCTGTCCAATATCGATGCCATGAGTAGGGCTGAGGGACCATCGTATTTTTCGGTTGATTCCGCGGGTTGTGGTTCAAATTGTTCTAGAATAGGCGCCGTATCAAATCCAACAGGAAGATTGAATTGACGAAAAGCGTCGTCCAGCGAGGAAACATCGAATAGCCAGTTGTAATTGCAAGTCGCTGCGAATGGAAGATTGAAGTCGGTTGCTAGTGAGTTTAGTACACAGATCATGACCAGCTGACGCAAAACATACCAGTATCCATCCCAAAGTAATCCCCTATTCCATTGAGCTCAACGCCGAACGACCCATCCGCGGCGTCGAATTGCCCAGGCATAGGCTCAACATACGGTTCAAACGATCCAGCGGGAACCAACGAGGCTAAAAATGGATCTGTGTCATCTATAGAAATTGACGTCGGGTCTGTACCCGAGCCAGGTGGTGACAAGGGAATCCCACTATGATAGTACTCATCTTCCTCGGGAGGTTCCTGGCTCGAGCTATTCGCCGAGGTCGGAGACCGAGCTGCAGAGGCGACTCTCAATTCTCGCTGCGATGGACGCACGACAATCGATCCATCCTCAGCTCTCCTGATTCTTTTTCTTGTCTTCAAAGTTCCCTGTCCAGGACCCCCAGCTTCGATATCTCGCTTTGTATGGCGCTCCAAATGTCGTGCCATACCTCGTCAGCAACTCGATCTAACCAGCAGAGCAACATCAGCTTGTCAGCTTACCTAGCAGATCTGCGCGCTGAAAGTGAACAGAACAACGCCCACATGTGTGCCCATCGCGCGCCTGCTCGTGGTTGAGGGCATGGCGACGCAGGTGTTCTGCGCGGGTGAAGCTTTTGGCACAGCCATGGTGTTGACAGGGGTAATTTTTGGGCTTCATAATGACAGATCTGGGCATTTTCCAGGAGCTCAACCCTGGTTGGAGCCATCCCAGCCTATGTAAGTATACTCTTGAATTATCATTCGGGGTAAAGGCCGATGTCAACTGATAGGAATGCGGGGACGAGGCTGGCACTAAGGGCTGATTGGTATGGATATCCTTTGATATGATGCGTATCGAAGGAGCTTAGTGTTTCTTAGTGTCTTTGTAAATCGTGATCCAGTAAGGTGTCTTGGATTTGTCTCTTATACCGGGGGAATACGGGTGTTGGGGCTGTTCTCCAATACTCCAGGGGCTTCCCCAAGCTAAACGGCAAATTGATTCCAGGGGCCTCAAATTGGTGGATCTCGGCGTATTATAAGATGCGCTGTTAGGCAGAGTTTACTAAGGGCTACTACCTCGTTAATGAGAACGAACGACAAAACAATCGCGAAACAGAATCATTGATCTCCTCTGGGGTTGCTTGACATTATGAACCACCCGGATATTTCGCCAGTGAATCAAGGAAAGTATCTCCAATTCGGACTCTTTTCCCCCTCCTGGAACTGACTGGTATCTGTTTGGTTTTCTCTGAGGGCTACCCCCTGTTTGCGATCTCGGCGGTAATTTTCCATGCGCATCCAGCCCCCTAATCCGAGAACAAGCACAATACAGACAGCATTGCAACAACAAGTCGCAATGAGAGTTGGAAGATACCTATTCATATTAGCGGTGTCCAATGTTTCGCCAGTATGAATTCTCACTTGGGTGCATATTGAGTCCGGAAGGTACCCGCGCTCAAAACTCCAGCGAAATTGCCCAGACCGACGAAGAACCCAGTATTCGCCGCTCGAGAGTTCTCATGGACGTTATTGTTGTTGTGCCATGCATGGACGAGACAGGACGGGATATAGGCTCCTGCGGCCATCAGGAAACACGCGAAGTATGCAATTCCCTTGTTGTTCTGCACATCGATGGCGATCAGGATAATCATGCCGATCAATGAGACCATCAACGAAAATACAATATGGAGCGTCCTCTCGCGGAAATAGTCGGACGACTTAGCCACACACAGCAGGAATGCAGCGCCTACGAGATTTGGGGCAACGGTCCAAAGATTCGTCTTGATCACGGAGTATCCCAATCGTTGAACAATCTGGTCTTGTTAGTCGGCTCGTTCTCCCAATACACGGGATGCGAAACTCACGAGAGGGGAGAAGTTCATTGCGGTCGCATATGCAACAGGATATGTGAACGTGATGAGGCACCATACTGGGAATTTCCAGTCGTTCCATGACCGAAAACAGTCCTTGAGGTTGAATGGCGTATCTACCTCTGACGAGGTATCGCGGAGCAAACGTGCGTTCGCTGCCGCTTTCTCTCTTGCACTCAGGAACCAGGCTGTTTGCGCCCCATCAGGTAACAGGAAGTAGGCGACAATACCGGTAATAAGTGTCATTGAGCCTTCGATGATGAACAGCCACTGCCATCCTTTGACCACCGGGTGGTCTATCTGGAATGCACCAAATGAGATAAGCCCACTGAATGCCGAGGCCAAAACGGCAAAAGATTGCATGATAGCGAGGCGAAATCCCATCTCCCCGCGGGTATAGAACAACGTCAGATAAAATGTAGCTCCCGCGAAGAATCCCGCCTCGAAAACACCAAGGATGATTCTTATGGCAAGGAGATCACCGAAGCCTTTGGCAGCACATTGGGAGAGTGCTAAAATACCCCAAACCACAGACACTTTATGATATATGTCAGTCACAGATATCCACAGGATTCAAATTCGAATGCCTCACTGAAAGATAGCATGAGTCTGCCTGAAAACCTTTTGATCAACAGATTCCATGGCAGGTCAAACAACCCAAATGGAATGTAGAAGAGGAGAATTAACAGTGAGTAATCATCTCCCTTCAAGTTCAAATCCTTGTCGAGGCCGTCTGTTTTCGCATTTGCCAAATTGCTCTAATATGATTGTGAGCATTTTCCGAGTAGCCAGTAGCCACATCACTCACCCGATCCATGCAGTCGAAAAAGTACATCTAGAAGATGAAGAAACCGTTAATGATTGTTTTCATGGCACCACTCTATACTGGCATACCAAACATAGCGTAGGAAGCACGATGAAATCAATCTTCTTGACAAATGACTTCTCGGCCTCGGGGTCTGTATACGTAGTGGTTTCGCCCAAATGTACCTCGGGGTCAGACACTTTCTCAATTGATTTTGATTCGGTCATAATGAAAGTCTTATTAGTCTGCTCGAATCTCTAGCGCGGAGACTACTGGACGGGCTTCTTATATACAGGATGCCCCCGTATACTCAACGCCTTACACAACATTCCAACCCCTTGGTTCACATTCGTGCCGATATCACACAAACGGCCACCGCGAGGACACGACCAATAGGCATATCTCTAGGCAAAATAGGCTTTCTACTTTTGATGACTTCCTTGTGTCTTCCCCGCACGTTCTTATCGTGAAACGCGACATCAACCCCCATCTTCGAAACGTCCCGGTCCCTACCCCCATCCTTCATACAATATGGTAGAGCTCCAGTTGGAGTGAAGATCTCGGACTTCTGTGCGAGTTTGATTCTTCTTGGAGTTTCCGGTGTTGAAATGCAGGGAAATATATACTTGCGACAATGTCGACTAACAAGTACAACCATCAATCATCTATCTACTCAATCCAAGATGGCTCCTCCAACAGCACCACCTATTCTGGATTTCTCACCCTTCTACGGAGGGGATAGCGCTGCCAAATCGAAATTGATTGAAGAGGTACGCAAATGTTGCCACTACAACGGCTTCTTCCAAATCACCGGCCATCGCGTGCCACTGGACCTGCAGCGCCGTGTCATGGATTGCTCTAGACGATTTTTCGATCTTCCTCTAGAGGAAAAGCTCAAAATCGACAAGCGTAAGTTATCTACTCACCCGAATTTGGCATAATACTGACTCGATAGAAAACAATTCATTCAACAGGGGCTACGAACTACTCCGATCGCAAATGTTAGAGGTGGGCACCGGGCCCGAGCTAAAGGAAGGTCTATACATCGGCGAAGAAATCCCAGAAGGTCATCCATACTTTTTGGAGAAGAAGTTGAACAGTGGCCCCAATCAATGGCCTCCTACAGTTCCCAACAAGCAAGAATTCCAGGAAACGACTATGCAATACTATCACGCGGTGTTTGATCTGGCGAAAGATGTCTTGGGTGTTATTGCCCAGACATTAGGTGTCGAATCAACCTTCTTCGACCCCCTCACAGCCGGCGCCGTCGCAACAATGCGATATCTGCACTACCCCGCCCAGCCCGAAGATACAGATGAGAAGCTGAATCGAGGCATCGGGGCGCATACCGACTTCGGATGCATTACTCTTCTTCTCCAGGATGATGTCGATGGCTTGCAAGTCCTCGATGCACCATCAGGACAATGGCTAGACGTAAGTAGCAGGGTGTACATGTCGAAGCCTTCCACTGAGAACATGCACCAGGTCAAACCAGTCCCGGGTGCCTATGTCGTGAACCTGGGTGACCTTTTCATGCGCATGGCGAACGACAAATATAAATCCAACACTCATCGCGTGATTAACAAATCTGGGAAGGAGCGATACTCGATTCCGTTCTTCTTCAGTGGAAACCCAGACTATGTATGCGAGTGCTTGCCGAACTGTCGTGAGGAGGGTGAGGCTGCCAAGTATGGCCCTACCACTGTGCAAGATATGGTGACGGTGTCCTATAAGGAGAGTTATGGTCGCGCCGAGAAATTCAAGAAAGAATCCACTTTGAATAGGGTGGAGGTTGCACCGACGAGCGTTATTGCGGCAATTGGAGCTTAGTTTCACTTGTATTGCAATGCACTTAATTGATTTGCGTGCGTTTTGCCAAAATGTCCCATGTTGGTGTGCATTTGAGGACATAGTCTCGACAGCGTGGGAATGAATTTCTATTTTATCCAATCAGAGTCCTTCAATGATATGTAAAAGCAAGATCCCAAGTACACTCCAAATAATAGAGAACTACTCAGTTCTCTGCGTGTCAGTCAAAGAGGATACTAAAAAAGAACTAACCCCATATAAGGAATTAAGCCATCAGCGGTACATACCTACCGTTGCATAATAGAAAGCGAGATGCATGGACTTGGCTCCCGAAATAAGATCGAAAGGGCAGGCTAGAAATAGTCTGATGGGATAATTTGGATAATTTGGATAAACAACTTTCATGTAGAGTGATGCACCTAATTAGGAAGTTCCGTGAAAATGTCTCCCCATTCGTATGGGCAGGGCGGGCCTCATAGACCGGCATACGGCGAATGATAACCCAGGGCACATAACAATTTCTTTTTCAATCCGGTCAGCTAGATGATTGCCGTCGTCAATAGTGGCAATCATGTCTGCCGGGTATCTAGACTTCTTTTGTCTGGCTTTGAACTATTTCCTTGCTCCTCAATGTTGTATATATTTTAGGTTACTTCCTCCGTTGGGCGTACAATGTATCCAAAATTGTCGATCAATGCCTCGATGGTCAATTCTATCCCGTGCAATCCGAACAAACTGACCTGGCGTGTATGCGATTCTGATTATTATGGGGACGGGTTATCGGATCTGCCACACTGTCGCCAAAAGTGGGGGATCTGAAGGGGTGGAAAGGACCCTGCAGAGTATGTTTCTCTTTCCGATATGGAAGTTAGTTACTGATTTGAGAAATCCCTGCAGTTCTGTCTGACGAAATAAAAACGTGTATGCACCTGCTTGGTGCGAGAACTATCGGCGATCTTGGGCCTGAGCATGTATTTTTTCTCTTATGTGATGGTTTGGTGCTTTATATTAATCCTGAACAGGTTAACACAGCTATATTACAGCAGCAGATATATGGGGGTCCCGAGCTTGTTGAAAGGGAAACTTTGAATAGGACGAGAACTTCTATATTCTTTGCTAGAAAGCTGCTAGAAGCATTCTTGATTTCCTTGAAACCAGCATATTTACCCTCCGTCAAGATCAATTTTTTATGTTTATTCATTGGCCAGTTGGGTTAATTACAGGGTATTCAGTAGCGGCTAACACAGTTAAATGGCTAGAATACTAGTAGCGACTCAATTGCTCTCAGCTCAGGCTCCAAATTGGATGCTACACCCTGCACTTATGTCTCTGAATCCCTTCGTTCCAGGATCTCAAAGTTGCAAGCTAAATTTCTGAGACAGAATAGAGACTAGGCCAAATGACAGAACAGCAGCAGACCATGGGCATGAGATCAAATCATCTATTCACCAAGATTAACTGCTTTCCCTCTACAAAACATCGATATCGCCAATCGGAGAAAATGCGACCAAAAGTTGCGCAGGACCACCCCACCTTTGTCACGATGCATGGGGGTTTGCTGCTCCAATTATTTAAACCGCGGAACCCGCTACGCTCATTCTTCGCAACTCTGGTTCTCTCTTTTCACTTCGTTACCCATTCAACCTCGGAAGTATTCATTATATATTCCATCGACCCAGCCTCAGGAATCACTAATCCATCTCAAGCACCATGGGCAAAAAGCGAGTTCTTGTTGGCTACGGCGTTGACATTGACGCAGTAGCCGGCTGGCTGGGATTATACGGGGGGGAAGACAGCGTGAGCGACATCAGTCGAGGTAAACGCATCACTACAACGGATCATTGATCATACACTAACAATCACTCAATAGGTCTATGGGCCGGCCACATCGGCACCCCCCGCGTACTCAAATTGTTCGACAAGTACAACATCAAAGCAACCTGGTTCATCCCAGGCCACAGTCTAGGAACCTTCCCGGAAGAATGCGCCATGGTTCGCGACGCCGGACACGAGATCGGTCTACACGGGTACTCTCACGAGAACCCCTCCAGTCTATCCGGGGAACAACAGCGTGATATCCTGGATAAAACATACAAGATGCTGACTGATTTCTGTGGCAAGCCGCCGCGAGGAATCGTCGCGCCGTGGTGGGAGGCCAGTGCAGAGATGGTGGATTTGTTGCTTGCATATGGGATCGAGTATGATCATTCCATGTCGCATGAGGATTGTCAGATGTATTGGCTGCGGACGGGGGATACGTGGTCGAAGATTGATTACACGCAGAAAGCGGAGACGTGGATGAAGCCGCTTGTAAAAGGGAATATGACGGGACTGGTGGAGATTCCTGGGAGTTGGTATATTGATGATTTGCCGCCGATGATGTTCATCAAGAATTCGGCGAATAGTCATGGGTGGGTGAATCCGCGGGATGTGGAGGATATTTGGAAGGTGAGTACTCTGACTGTTTTTTTTTTTTTTTTTTTTTTTTTTCCAAGGGGAGAGCTAACGGGGTCCTGCTTGATCAGGATCACTTTGATTATTTCTATCGGGAATATGATGAGTTTGTCTTCCCTATGACTATTCATCCGGATGTTTCTGGTCGGCCTCACGTCTTACTTATGCATGAAAGGTGTGTTTCATCGCTACAAATCATTGGTCAGTGATCTAATGGAATATATACAGAATCATCGAGTATATCAATAGCCACGAGGGAGTCGAGTGGGTTACATTCGAACAAATGGCCGACGAATTCAAAAGTAAGAATCAGCCACCCGCAGGGGCAATAATGCCGGCTGCTCCAGGGGCAGCTACAAAGACTGAAGGCTGAGTTGTGATTTTTTAAGTACTCAATCCATTTATAAATGTATCTAGTTATTTGAGTACATCGTTCCTATTGAATATACTGGCAATGTTAGGCAGGTATATCCGCCGGATACCGTATCGTATTCCACGAGAGAAGCTACTGAGCATCAGGGCATCGTGATAAAAGAAAACTGGTATTTCCCTGAAGATATCCCATCCTATTTACGATGTTTGATATGCGATATAGTTTTTGTGATCATGGGGACGGAGTGCAGCCTGTGCAAGGCCAGCAAGTAGGGCTGTGGTTGCAACGAAAGGGGGCATAATGACTGGAATGCAAAATGCAGAAGATGATACTACTAGAACAACAAGCGTGGAACTTATCCCATGTTCAATCCCGTACAAATTAGTTGCATACCCCTCGCTAGAAGGAGAGAGTTATCCATTCCCCGCAAATAGCCGGTAATTCTGTTTTCGGGATGAAGGTATATATCTGTCGGGTTATTGCCTGTAGACAACTATCCGGGGTAGCGTGGGGAAATTAGCCCGAGTAACCCCGGACCCGTCAGGGATGAGTGCATGCATGTAGTGTAATTCGGGTCGTTTATTCCGGTTTACGCTAAAGAGATGGTTTAGCAAGGAGGCTGGATTGGGAGCGAGTGCAGTAGCGTGCTGGCTAATTCGTATCTTTGCAGCTATTAGCTCAAATGTCCCTTTTAGGCAGATTTGCAGATAATAAACAGTCTTATTATACTTTTCTCGAATTTCGAGACTTTCTACTGTAGTTTAATGGAAAAAATAATATAGTCCTTTCGATGCAGAGGATGAGTCGGAAGATATCGGGGTGTTCAAGGTTCCACTTTATTTACATGTAGGCAATAGCTAGGCTTCCCCGTCGTAAAGACTGGCATTTAAGGTCTACATGTATGTAGCATGTCTACAGTGAGTCCTCTAGCGACAATGCCAAGGCTGTCATAATATTCAGACCCACAACGCCGGGCAAAACGATCACCTTCTTTTGGCATTTCCTGTTTTGTAATATGATGCACTTTGACGCTTTCTACTTTCATCCAATTGGCAAGATGGCCGAGTTGGTCTAAGGCGCACGGTTCAGGTCAACCTGATCCCGATGGTTCATAACTGTCTCCGTGTCTCGAAAGGGGCGTGGGTTCAAATCCCACTCTTGTCATATCTTTTTGTTTTTTCTATATTCTTTTTAATTATTGCCATTGTACTCTGTAGCCAGCGCTGGCACGACAACATCAGTGAGAAGAACTCAAAATTGAACATATTCTTGGTCACCCTGTTCATTTGCACTGCTGCGATCCTACTGGTTAGATCCTCCCATGGAGAGCGATGCCTCGTCCACCGCAGTTTTTGAGATGCCGAACCTGGAAATATCGATTTACTAGAACCCGGAGCTTCACAAGTAGGTAGAATTTCAGAATCTTCTGGACAACAATTGGCAATTGAGAAAACAGAAAATAATCGCTTTAACTCTACCATATCAATCGTTCCACTACGATGGATCCTATCTACGTTATATCCTGGCCAAAGAACAATCCGATCGATACTGGAATAGCAATCGCTCATCAATGCGAGAAACATACAGGCCTAGCCCATTTGCCACCGGTATGAGATGGGTACCAGGAAGGGAAGCCTACCAAGTTACATTCCCACCGAATTCGAGAACCCTGGCTGGCCATCTCCAGACCCAGCTTTTGCCCCCAATCATGTGCTGCAAGAGACCTTGCAGTCTGCGCGCGAGCTCAGCCACTATCAGTTCGAGGCAAAATGCTTGATAGAACTCATTTGCCGAGTGGAAGATCCAAACTCGCTGTTTGAGGAACTGGAGTGCCTACGGAAGACAACACAAGGGAAAAATTGGGACTGCATACAGACATATTTATCTCGATATTTGCTCGTCAATGATACAGATTCTGCTCAAAGGCTAGAAAGGCTGGCCCCAAAGAGCAGTGTATAGACCTCATTCTGCGAAATCCAGGAATGGCATCAAAAGAAGACAGAGAATACAGTCCCATCAGAAAGTTCAGATCTGCCGAGAACACTGATGCAGCTACCCTCTCTCCCACCCTTTTCAGCCCTTCAACCCAGCCCTCCGATCTGGAATAGACAATCCGGGTGAACAAAGCGCGTCCTTCCCCCAGGATATGAACAGTCTGGAACATTTTGGGATCCGCCAAGGAATACGAGATAACCACTTCCATTCTCTTAGATCTTATTAACGAAAGCCTGCTTTCAAGGCTAGCGGTCTCTATCATATCGTGCATGCGACGGTGGAGTTAGCACCCGTGCTCTAACACCGTAACTTTAGTGGTCAGAAGTCAACATGGTAGTCTTTCACAAAGCTCACCCTTCTCTGGTCCATGTAACCTTTGTCTCTGAATGCCACGTGATATTCAGACTTTCGCAAGGTACCCTATCCATACTCAACTGTTCGCACATTCGCCTTTGATGCTCGACTTCACGTGAAGTCAAGGTAGCGCGAGGACTCCGCGGAGACGGTTCAGAGATAACTCCGGATTGATCGGGTTGAATTAGTGCTCAAAGGGTCAATCTGTATACCCTTCCACTCTTGGTACTTTTGGATGTAGTGCATATATTGAGATCTAAAATTTGAGTATCAGAATTATATAGAACGGTGCTCGATTGCAATGCTCTGTTTTAGTAATCAGTTCATGACCTGACAATGTATTTTGAAATTTGATGATGACCTTCAAAATGGATAAAAGTCATGCACATTAAGAAATCCAAACAAGGACCCGGAACATATCCACAACATCAGTCCTGCAAATTTAAGCACCTAGAACGAAGATTGCACGTCGATGGCGAGATCCGCCTGAAATGTGGGGAAAGCCGGAAGTGCGGGTATCGGCCGACACCACTGTCGAGTCATACTATATACCTTCTGCTACAAGCAATTTGAGGTGTCAAACTTGGAAGGTCCAACTTAACTACACAATCCAAAGTGTTTTTTTCAGAAGGAATAACCTTAGGAAGGAACTCACTGCGAAGATGACTATCAACGAAACTCCCCCTGCATGCCTGGATGCCTCTCAATCCTCTCAATCCGCTCAATCCTCTCAACCCCAGACCTGCTCAAGGATGGAACAACCCACGAAGCACGAACAAGGGTGGAGGAGAGTGGTTCGCAACTTTACGCCCTCGTAAGTCTCAAGCCATTCGATATCGTGCATCTCTAACTCATCCCAGATGGTTCGCCGTCACTATGGGTACGGGGATTGTGTCTATCTTGCTGCATAATCTCCCCTACAACGGAGTATGGCTGTACTGGATTTCCGTGGTGATATTCGTCTTTAATGTGCTTCTCTTTGCCACGGGGTCTATCCTCACCACCCTCCGGTACTCCCTGTATCCCGAGATCTTTTTGGCTATGATCCAGCACCCCGTTCAGTCGATGTTCATCGGAACCATTCCCATGGGACTTGCAACCATCATCAATATGATTTGTCTTGTCTGTGTTCCTGCCTGGGGTTCTTGGGTGAGCTACTTTGCCTGGGGTCTGTGGATCTTTGATGCGATCATCTCGGTGATGACCGCATTGTCTTTACCTTTTATCCTGTCCGTTGGTTCTCCAATCAAATGACCATGTTCTACCGGCTAACCATTACAGAATGGCCAACGGCTCAGAGACGCACCTCTCTTCCATGACCGCCGTCTGGCTTCTTCCCATTGTCAGCTGTATTGTCGCCGCATCGTCAGGCGCCATTGTGGCCGAGGTTCTTCCTCACCCTCAACATGCGCTATGGACAGTGATCACTAGCTACGTTCTCTGGGGTATCGGGCTTCCCCTTGCATTGATGGTCATGGTAATCTATCTTCAGCGTCTGACATTGCACAAACTGCCACCCAAGGCTGTCATTGTCAGTGTATTTCTGCCCCTGGGCCCGTTGGGACAGGGTGGATACGGGTCAGTATACAAGCCTCGTCACCCCGGTTCCTCCATCGCTTGCCATACTGATGTTCTCTCATAGGATCATGAAGCTCGGGGAATGTGCGCAACGGCTCTTCCCCCAAACCGGAACCCTCGACCAGGCCTCCGGTCCCATCTTCTATGTGCTGGGGTTCTTGGTCGGATTAATCCTCTGGGCCTTTGGTCTGGTTTGGCTGTTCTTTGCCTCTGCTTCAATCGCTCGCAGCAAGACATTCCCATTTAATATCGGATGGTGGGGGTTCACATTCCCCCTGGGGGTGTTTGCCAGCAGTACTTGTCAAATAGGCAAGGAACTTCCCTCTGCGTTCTTCAATATTCTCGGCACGGTAGGCTTGAGGGTATTCCACAATCTGGGGCTCGGCTAATTGAATGCAGATCCTCTCCCTATTTGTGGTTGTATTGTGGATCATCGTGAGTATCGGCACCTTGAAAGGGGTAGTTTCCGGCAAACTTTTTTTCGCTCCCTGTTTGGCAGATCTTCGGGTCGAAGACAAGGATGCTGCGAAAGTAGCATGATATCTGCATGCTTAATTTTTGTATTATTATTATTATTTTTTGGGGTTGTACGTACGGAGTACTTCGTGTTGTACTTGTGGTGTGATTCGATTTACCAGGATGGCGGAACATAACCACCTGGGCCGATGACTGGGATCGTAGGGAGATGACCCGGGTCTTTGTACATATGTATGGAATGGATGAATATGCTAGACACTTATACTTGTATATCTGATAGTTTAATTTTTGGGATCTATCTTATCTGTTTACTCCGTATTCTGTTAAGATTCCCTTCTATTTATCTCTAATTAAGTGTTTTTTCCCTTTCTCGTTTCTGGGACGGGACTGTGTAGGGCAGAATGTGAGTGGCTACCCCCCAGATCCGCTCACGTGATGTGGAGTTGGGCAACTGAAATTTCCGCTTTTTTTTCGTTTTTTTTTATATTTTTTAATTTTAATTTTTTAAATGTTTTTTTCCTTTGCCATCGAGGATTCCAGCCCAGCGTCATCCACTTCATCTCCAATCTACTTTTGCTGGGGCCTATCATCCGTGAAAGCCTCTAGCAAATAGATTCGGACCATTTTTGCTGCCTCCCTGGATCCCCCCAGCTGGTTCCCCCTGAATCGCTTCGAGTGAGCGACCGTCGACTCATTTTCTCGAATTGCGCTGACCGACACGCCCCGGTCTCCGTAGCCGCTAATCCTGATTGGGAATCAGCTCTGGGTTGCCTTGTTGCCTGGTCTTTGTCTCTGCCTCAGGCCTCTAGGGAACAACAAACACCCGCGGACGCGGCCTCGGCGCGACTCCAGGTGGCGATCCTCCATATAGAATTATCAGCGGCGCTGGCGCGACATTGCTGACAGTCTTGGGCAATACCAACCATCTTGTATTTCACATATCCCCTCCTAAGTTAGCCTGCGATCGTTTCGACTGTCCTTGCCCTTGCATGCCTCGCGCTTGAAAGGATCTCTCTCATTGTCTGCCGCTTACGGCCAAGTGCCAGCGCAATCCTAAATTTGAGTCAAAATGATGAACTACGGTGGACACCCATTCCACTCTCAACAGCCACAGCAGCCTCAACAGCAGCAACATCAAGGTGTCCAGCCCCAGCATCCGTTGGGCCCACAGCCTCAGCGTCAGCATGCCCAGTCGCCTTTGCTAAACACGGGGCCAACGCTTCCCCAGCATGGCAGTCCATTCCCGGGCAGTAAGCCGATCTTTCGGGCACAACCCCAACAGAACTTTGCTACCACGCAGTCCCCGGATATGCGCAAGATGACTCCGACATCGGGCTCGTTAGGTGGATATCCTAGTAGCAGTTTTGGCCAATTTTCGGGGCAATTTGCAGCGCAGAGCTCCCCGGATCTCATGGCTCGGAACCCAGATCCCATGGCGTTGCAAAATATCCAACGCGGTTTCAATCCAATGGCCCACCTCAGGCCGCAGCCGGGAATGAGCCCTTCGACGGGCATCACGCATGGGCACCCTATGAATGTTCCGTCGCCGCAGCAGACCATGAATCGACTCCCTCACGCGGGCATGCAGCAGCGAGATGGTCATAATTCCGCCAGTCCGTCTATGACTAACACGTCCATGTTTGCGATGAACCAACAACGACAGGCGCAATCGCAATCGCAGCCGCAGTCGCCTCAGCAAACTCAGCAGCAGTTGCAACATCAGATTCAGCAGCAGCAGTTCCAGCAGCAACAGCAGCAAAGATTGGAGCAGCAGAAACAACTCCAGCAGCAGCGTATCGAGCAGCAGCAGCAGCAGCGCTTGGAACAACAGCAACAGCAACGTCTAGAGCAGCAACGTGCGGAACAGCAACGCTTGGAGCAACAACGCATGGAACAGCAACAGATTGAGCAGCAAAAGGAATTGGAACAGCAGAAGGCAGAAGAGCAAAAACTAATCGAGCAACAACAACGACTGGAACAACAGAAGCAGCATCAACAGCGAATGGAGCAGCAACAAAAGCAGCAGTTGGAGCAACAGAGATTGCAAAAATTGCAGCAGCAAACCCAGGCGCATAATCCATACCAACAGCAATCCCCCTTCTCCCAACATGCCCAACCTCCGTTCCATCCATCCCAATATCAGCAGCACCAAGCTCAATCCCAGCATCAATACGCTGCACACCAGCCGCAGTTCTCTCAGCCACAGCAGACCCAATTTCAGCCGTCTCCACACCATGCTCAGTTCCAGCATTACCAGCCAGGAACACACTCGACGGCCGTGCCTTCGTCGCAGCCAGCTGTTCCAGTCATTCCTACAGTTACGGAGAGCCCGGTAATGAAGACTGATGAGTCGAGCCCCACGCAGAAGAAGAAAGCTAAACCTAAGAAGGCTGCCCCGACTCAACCTCAACCTGTTCAAACTCAGCCCCAACCCCATTCTCAGCCTCAACTCAATGCCCCTCTGTCTGTTCCCAATTCTGTGCCGACACAGCCCAACGGACAGGCGCAGGTTCCTACCGTTGCAGCAACTGTGGGTGATCAGATTGCTACCCCGCCTCCGAAGCGTCGTCGCGGACGGCCTCGGAAGGAGGAAGTTGCGGCCAGGCTCGCTGCACAGGCTGCTCAAAACGGCGAGTCTATCCCGGGCGTTCAAGGGCAGGCTTCATTCACGGCAAACATGACACCGACAGTTCCAGGCTCCGCACCACATACTACAACCAAGGGCACGCCTATTTTGGGACCAGACGGTACTCCTCTGAAGCGGAAACGTGGACGTCCTCGCAAGGCCGATCAAATTGCATGGGCAGCTGCCACAGGCCAGCCCTTGCCAACACCCAAACCAAGGAAACCAGCATCAGCTAAACCGAAAGCGCCTGGGACAGGCCGACCACGTGGAAGACCTCGCAAGGCTGATGTGGCCGCTGCGGCTGCGGCTGCAGCAGCAGCCGCCGCTGCCGGCGACCAAACACAGGCAGAAGTCAATCCCCAGTTAGGCGAAGGAACAGATACAACGAGTGCATTGAAACGTGCAACGACTTCAATCGATGACGAGTCACGCAAACGGCCATGCCCAACCCCACCGCAGATGCATCAAGGCCAGCCCTTGCCGCAACAGCAGCAGAACCTTCACATGTTCCCACAGGGTCAGCCTTCGCAATCCCAGCCAGGTCAGCAGCACCTTGGCCAGCCGCAAGTTCAGCACATGCACCAACAACAGAACCAACACATGTCCTCTCAGGCTGGTTCTCACCTGCCACACAGCCAATCTCTATCCCAACAGCCCGGTCAGCCGTTGTCCATGCCACACATGCAAATGCATCACCATTCTCCTGTTCACCCCCCGCGCCCTCTCCCTCACCAACAATACCTCCAATCTCCGATGCAGCAACAGATGCAGCACCCGATGTCGTCCGAGTCCCCCGTCCACGGGATGCCAGGACAACAGCGCAGACCTCCAATCCCGCAACGAAGCCAGGCCCCTCCCCCGCCTGCCCCGCAACATGAGCACCAGCACACGTTCCAAATCCAGATGCAGCCCCAACCGACCTAGTGACTGATTATGGCGTGCAGCATTGTTTCCATTTTATCCACCATTTTTTTTCCCTGGAATGTCATCTGCGACTAGTATATTTTGACTTGAATCTTTTGACTTGAAAGAACATCGGTGTTTATATCTCCCCTTGGGTTTGCCACATGCGTTCTATTGATTGTTCTACATTTCTACATCCATGAAGCCTCGTATCAATTATTTCCGTGGGTCTGTTTACGGCGTTACGTGTGTTTGTGTCATCGGCATCTTAGGCATCTCATGTTTGTGTCTATTGTTTACTTAGCCTTGTGGAGGGTTTTTTTTCCTCTCTCTCTCTATCTCTTTCTCACATACTTAATTTCCTCGATCTAGTACATACTCGATTCCTAATCTTACTCTGTTCATCACTGCCTTCAACCACCATGATACGTAGTAGATCGATCACAGATATCGACCACACCAGGCCAAACCCGTACAACCATTGAAGCACATCAAAAGTTGATCAGATTCTCATCAAAACATAAGGCTATTTTAGTATCAACGCTCAATCGGAACTAAAAAACACCGCCTTCAAAATCCACCAACTCCTCAAACGCTTCCATACCACTCCCACTATCATGGCCATTACTCCCATTCCCATTCCCATTCCCATTCCCATTCCCATTTCCATTTCCATTCTCCCTCCCACCGTTCCCACCATCAAATCCATTCCCATTCCCCCCATTCGGCCCACAAACCTCCCCAAACGAACTCCCATCAGGCCAATCCCTCAAATCAATCCCCAACCCAGGCGCAATCCTCCTCACAATCCCATCACAGAGCACAAACGCCCTCCTCGCCGCCCGATCCACCGAAGCAGTAGTATGCAACCAAGCCACAGCCTTCCTCGTCGCCTCAATCGCCGTCCCCAGATCCGTCTCCAGCAACGGCGTCACCACACTCGGACTCGGATCCGCACACGAACAATACGACAGTCCCAGCAACAGCGCCGTCGTCGCCTGCATCAGGAAATGCAACACGCTCCACCACGGCGCTGCCCGCGCTAACCACACCATATTCGGCGTTTCCGGGAGGATGGAGATCAGCGCGCACGACGCTTGGAGACAGTGCGTTGCCATTTCGGCGCGGAGTTTCGCGCGCGCGGTTATCTCGCCGGAGGGGCGGGATTGGTGGATGTGCGTGAGACACGGTCTGCAGAGGGTGATGCGGGCGGAGTAGTAGTTCATTGCTAGCGAGACTCGTTCGCGGAGGAAGGGGGCGGAGAGGTCGTCCAGTTGGGGGTGGTTGAGGTGCCAGGGGGTTGTGTTTGGGATGGTGAATTGGTAGAAGGGGGGGTAGTTTGGCGAGCCAGCGGTCCATTTGGAAGCCGAACTTTTGGACGTGGTATTCTACCTGGCTGGGGCCTTTGCGGAGGCCTTCGATGCTGTAGACTTTGTTCATGAGGGCGTGGGTGATGAGGGTGAGGTCGACGAGGAAGTGGAAGAATAGGGATGGGCAGGGCGGGCAGGAGGTGACCCATGATGGGGAGTGTTGGGCGGGGGGTTCGAAGAGGGTGGAGCGGAGTTGGGATTCGCGGAGGGCGGGATCTTGGAGGAGACGCTTGGCGTTCGGGTGGTCGAAGGTTTCTTCTTCGCAGGGGAGTGGGGCGGGGACGGAGCAGAGGCCTTCGCCGACGCAGGAGGCTCGGCCGGTCATGGAGGTGAGGAGGTGTTCGAGGGAGTAGATGGACCACCAGAGTCGGCCGCGGGTTTCTTTGGCGGCGTCTTTGGTGCGGTCGTCTGTGAGGCGGAGATTGATTCCGAGGGAGAGGGCGGAGCGGAGGGCCATGTTGGAGAATTTGGAGGCTCTGGATTGGAAGGTGGTTAGGATGGTGATGAGGATGTGAATGGCATAGGAACGTGCCTGTTGACTTGTCCTAGACAAAGGAGGTAGACTGCCACGAGAAGCTCGAGTTGGATCTGTTGGAGATCGGTGTGTTCGAAAAGAACATTGCTGTGCAGACCGAGGTGGCGTGCCCGAGTCAGATACAGCAGATCCTCCTCTTCTCCTTGTGGCCCATCTATGAGACGGCAATAGCGGGCACCAATCGCGAAGATCATGTTCAGAATGGCCAGCCATTTCCGAGGTGGTGTCGACGCATTGGTAAAGAATTGCTGATACTGAGAAATGAAAGTCATCTTTCGAATGGCGCTGAATGTCGGATGGACATTGGTCAGATAGGCGTCGAAGTACCGGTCTGCAACTTCGCGCGGAGGCACAGCCAATGGATCGCATGGTTCAATCAACGGGATATCCAGACCGTCAAGATGATAATCCATCATAGAAGTAGGGATTTGCCTTTCCAGCGCCTGCTGCTGCTGGACAAACGCCGTATCGCGATGGCTTCCCACGTGAGATGGATTAGGCGCACCGGCAGTCGACTCTTGCGGACCCTTGATACTCACACCACTTTCCAGCTTGCGAATCCAATTGACCTCCGAGTTCTTCCCAAAGAAGCCCGCTGCACGAGTACCCTCTGTCCGATTGAGATCCTCATCGACCTGATCAATCGCATCCAGCGATCCCATCGACGTCGAGGAATCATCCGAGTCATCGTCATTTTTCATCGACGGTTTCCCACTTTTCGACTGATACACCCCAAGGCAAAACTAGTCAGAGTCTGAACTCGGGACTCGAATCTTCAGATCCGAGACTCGGGTAAGACTGACAGACTTACCTTCATCGCTTTTCGAATCCGTTTCGCAGTGGGGAGATCCACCTCCGCCTCTAATTCTCTCAGAAGCGCTTCGTACGCATCCACTCGCTTCGCCAGCGATCCCAGTCGTTTCTGGTCGCGCACTCGTTTGACATCCTCGTACGAGCATTGGTGACTGTGATATACACATTGCCCGCAGGAAGGCCGCAGCCCGTCGCATTTAATTTTACGTTGGCGACAAGGCTCGCAGGCGCGGGCTGAGCGCCGGCGCCCGTGGAGCACCGCATCGGAGGCTATTAGTCGGGGGATGGCTACCTTTGCCGCGGGCGTACTTCCTGGCCCTGGCGCTGAGGAGGATGAAGACGCGGCTGACATGTACGGTTGCGAATAGGTCTGGCCGGTCGGAGTCGGGTTTGGTGAGAAGGGAACAGGCGTTGGATAGGGCAGTTGAGGGACGTGAGGCTCATGAGTGATTGGGGGCATCCAATCGTAGTCATTGAAATTCCGGTGGTCTGCGTTGCTTTCCACTCGATGGTTGTCCATGATGCGACATGAATATACACCGTGTAAGTTGGAGAAAAGGGCTACGAGCTAACAGAATCACCAGGGAAGTTAAAAAAAAAGGCGAGACTAGAAGTTCTCCGCACAAAAAAAAAACAGGGATCAGAAGCTGTGTTTTGACTGTTTTCAGATCTCAACGTGGAGAAGATTCTCATCGCCACCGATCCACTCGGTTTTTGACGTCAGACAGCTTCGGCTTCATCTGCATCGCCAATGACTGTCAGCCAGCACCTCTCCATCTTCTGAAACCCGTGTATCACTCTTCCGAAATCGCCCTGAACCCAATTTCCCTCTGCGTAATAGCGCCGATCTATATCATCGCAGAGCCCATACGACAGGGTCGCCACTTCACAAAACAGGGCCACGTACCTGTCAAACCAGATCTGGTCGCACCAAAGAAACAAAGCGTAGCGGAGACAAATGACGAGAATGACGAAGCACCGAATATGTTTTATGGTCCAAGTCTCCCTCTCGCCTCCTTTCAACATCCAACGGGGCGATACCTCTCAACCAGAACATCATCCTTCCCCAAACTAAGACTCTCATATCGATCCAGCATATCCGAAAGCCCGAGCCCAGGATAATCCTGCAATCCCTGTCCCCCAATCCCATGATACTTCTCCTTCTGATTCAACTTCTCCAACCCATCCGCATACTCATCAAACCGAATACACCCCCTCGCCGCGGATCCCTCATCAACCAAATCCTTCAATTCGTCGGGTACAGCGACAGCATCTCGAATGCGACTCCCCTGCGCCTTCCCGCGCACCGACTGCCGGAAAATATGAAACAGATTCCGACCCAGCGCCGAGCGACTCGCGATGATCGAAAACGCGCTCGCAAGCGTGAGGAAATCTTCATCGAGCACGTCGAAGGATTCCGGCTCCATCAATGTGAACAGTGCCAGGTTGATCGCGTACATGGCGAAGTGGTGCGCGCGACTGACGCCGTACTCGCGCCGGTGCAGACGGGTTAGGGCGGCGATGCCGCGGGCTGCGGATTGGGTTACTTCCCAGGCGTTGTATTTGGTTTCTGGAGTGTGGCGGGGTGGGCTTTCGGGGGTTTTGGGTTCGAAGGTTGTGGGTGGGACTTCATCTCCGGAGATGCAGCTGAAGAGGTTGATGGTGAGGGTGTGGTAGCGCATTCTGGGTGCGTGAGTATCCGAGAAAACAAGGCTGATGAAGATGGTTTTCACTCACTTTAGGAGGATGATGTGCGGTGCTGGTCTGTATCGGACGTCGAAGTCTTCTGGGAGAAGTTCATGCCAGCGACGAAGACTATCATATAGCTCTTCACGGCTTTGACGCTGGATTGGGCCCAAAGCAGTACTGCTTCGGTGGTTGGCGAACATGCTGCGCGAGATATCGCGGGCGATTGTTGACAAGTTGCAGGCTTCATCGAAGTACTGGCTGAAGAATGATGGGCGTGGGTTGCGATGGGTTGGATATGGTCTCCAGAGGGTCTGATCTTCAGATTGATTGACATCCAGACGAGCCATGTTGACGTGGTCAATAAGACTAGGGCGGAGGAAGCCTGTATGGACCATTCTGAAAATATGTGAATATCAGTCTGATATATTCAGGGTAGGATTACTTACGTGTCGACATTGAACAGACCCCAGGCAGTGCGCTTGCACGAGATATCCATGTCCTGGGATAGCCCAGCGGATGCCATCTTCGGACCCGTGCTGCCGACGAGACCTAGGGCCTCGCCAATTCGAATAGCCTGGTGCAGCATGATATATCCCAGGTCATCTTCGCGGGACATGGCATATCTGTCTCCGTCAGAGCGAACCACCTACCACTAACACAACGACAGTATACAAACCTCTCATACATCAACAACGTGCCCTGCAACCCAGCCAGACTAGGCTGCGAAGGCGCCTCATCCTTCAACCTCTCCGCCTCAGCAAGAAAATCACTTCCCTTGGAAGAGATATCCCCAGGCACAACATAAGCCTCAGAGAACTCCGAGAAGTACTAACCCCATCAGCACACGGAACCAAAAAAAACCAGAAAGAAAGAACACCCACACAAGCATTACTGAGCACCGCATTGACCAAAAACGGGCTACAAAACTCCGACCCCAGCACTCCCCTCTCCATATGTCTCAAAAAGACCTCCTTATCCAAAAATGCATTAAACGGCCAATCCCACGCAAAATACAATGATATCAAATACGACACCAAATCCGCGTCCGCGGTAACACTCGTCCACGGCCACGCAGGAACCGAACAAGGCGCCTCATCGCATAGATAATGAATATCCATCACCTTGCTCCTGAACGCCGGACTGGCGCCCTCGACATTGATCAGCTGACGCATATCCTCCAGCTTGGCGACGGTTTCCTGCGTGGAAATCGACGACGAGGATTCCTTTTTCGGGGATGTGAGGTCGGCAAGGGTCTCATTGATATAAGCGCGGATTTCGTCGGGCGGTGCATTGTGGCGGATGATGGTCAGGAGGTGGAGAGCGTGGGATTCGTTTGCTTCGCGGATGAGTCTGAAGAGGTCGGAGAGGAGGTCGCGGTGGTAGGAGAGTTCGTCTGCTGTGCGTTTTGCGGCGACGCGGCGGCGTTGGTCGAGGGATTCGTCGAAGATGCAGACTCTTTTGAAGGTTTGGCAGTTTGCGCAGGGGGATGTGCCGGAGCACTGGTTTGTTAGTTATAACGTAGTTTATGTATGATGTAGATGTAGTTATAGATATTATGGGTATATAGGATATACAATTGTACTCACCTTCCTCTTTGACTTCTTACAAGCTAGACAGGCAGTGGAAACCCTCTTCTTCCATGTTCCAGAGGATTTCCCTTCGGCAGGGGGACTCCCATTGTCGGATCTGAGGTCATGGTCATGGTCATGATCGTCCGAAGAGGGCGAGGGACCTGGTGCGAGCTGGCGGTATTGCTCGCTCATATTCCGGCATGAGCAGGTATGGTACTTTGCCTTGTGATTTCAGATATCAATTGTATCGACGAGAAGTAACAAATGAATGTGTAAAGAAATATGTAAAAAAGAAATGAAGTATATAGAAGAAAAAAAGGAATATTTAAAAAGCAGAGATATATGTACTCGGTCACAATATACAGAGAAAAAAAGGAAAACTTGAAGCTGTACAAGATTCAAGACATCGTTGGCATATCTTGTTTTGTGCAAATGAGTTTGAATGGCTTCTGGTCTATAACTGCACGTAGTATGGCCCGTTTTGCCTGCGAATGACGTTGGTGCGAGCTCATGGGGAACTTTTACCCGCCTATCACCGGGGGGGCGTTATTGGTCTACGCAACATTTCCTCGAATTCTTATTTTGAAGATGTAGCAGGTGGTATGCAGTATCTCAAAGGAAAAAAGGAACTGTAGACTTGATAGCTGTATGCTGTAACTCTCTCGGTTCGTGCGCGAATTGCTTCAATCCTCCATTTTATACATCCACCATGGCCACAATCAAAGGGCAATGCTCAACGCCCTCAAACCCCATCCCTCTGAATCCTCAGCAACATCCCAACCAGAAATTGAACTGTGTTTCTGGTTTATCTATTACGATATTCATTCCAATCGTGGAGTGTGACCAGATACCCACAACGGGATCCCCAACTCGCTATGAGAATCGCTATTTTACATAATGCCAATGGACAAGCGCCATTGTCTTTTCAGGGAGGGCATCCTAAAATCATGGTATATTAAGTGCCGCGGTCGATGAAGCCTCCTTTAGCGGTAAAATCGGTGTCTTTCCAATATTGTGGTTTGATGTAATATGTACGGAGTAGTATCCATGGGATATATAAGGATATATCAGGAGTTACTCACATACTAACTTATGGGACATTTGAGGCTAGAACTATACGCTGCATTCTTTTTATCTATATGGTCTCTATCTACTCCATACATATATAATATATTAGTTATATCTAGATACATATACTTGATAAGAATGAGGCTGGCTTTGGTAAAAAGCACAGGAACAATACGAAATCTTTCTATAAGACTTTATAAAATGCTAGATCCGATGCGTCGGCAACTAGAAGTTAGGATGGGCGATGAGATCCACTTGGGTTACCTCAGGAACAGCGGACTACCCATGTTGTAGGTACTCATTCTGCGCTCTAAGGCTCTTAAAGTCAATCGTTTCCTGACAAGCCTACTGCTTACGGTTTTCACAATGCACAAAATTCAAACTGGTCAATGCATTGAAGGTGGTTCTGAGTAACACAGTACTTGGGAAATCAAAGGAAGGTCCCTGGCAGACCACAACCCCATAAGAAAGAGAAAAAGACGCTGGATTATTGTAATGTAATACAAGTACTTCTTTCGCATACTCCATGGAACCCATAGCCCTCGGATGCACCAGTTATAACAAGAAAAGAGAGACCAAACACTGCCAACAAATCTATGAGCCAAGACAGAAAATTTCTAGTGCTCAAGGATTCTCAGGCTACCCTGCACAACGCAGTTCTCAAGGACGGATCCAGGGGGGATATCAATGGTGCTGCCCTCGGAGGCGACAATGATGACGGTTCCCTTGAGGGTGACGTTGCGGCCGAGGTTGACAGGACCGGTAACAGTGAGGTGGTCCAGCTCGACGATGCGAGGAATGCTGGCAATGCGCTTTTGGAAGTCGGAGACCTTCTTGAAGTCGGAACCAAGCTTGATGACGGGAACACCTCCGAAGCGGTTGGGGTCCATGACCAGCTGGCCGTGCTCGAGACGGTACAGGTCAGACTTGACGACCATCAGATCGGAGCAAGTCTTGACGGGCAAGAAGCGGCGACGGGGCACGTTAACACCGTGGGCGTTCCTGAAGTGGCGGATGGCCGCACCGACGGCGGTCTCCAGCTGGTAGATGGCCTGATCGGCCTCACCCTTCTTATCAGCGGGGATGGACTTCTCGTTGGGGATGATCTCCATCTCGAGCTCGTTCTCCTCAACGACACGCTTGATAGCCTGGACGTTCAACCAGATGTTGTTGGTGTTGAAGTACTTGAACTTCTTAATAGACTTGAACTCGTTGACGTGCTCCTTGGGCACCTGGGCAATCTCAAGCAGGCGGACCTTGCCATCGGAGTCGATGATGGTACCACCCTTGACGTCGGCCTTGGTCTTGTCAGTCAGCTCCATGATGTACTCAGCCTGGGAGTCCACCATGTGCTGCAGGATGCGGAGATCGACAACGGCACCGAGGTTATCGGCGTTGGACAAGAAAATGTACTCAATGCCACGCTCGATCAGCTTATCAAGAGTGCCGGAGTTGTACAGAGACTCGAACACGTCACCGTGTCCGGGAGGGTACCAATCCTGGAGGGGAGAGTCGAAGCTCTTGGGGGCGGGCAGGAGCGAGTCCTTGATAATGCGGGGATAGCGCGACTGGTTGAAGGTGATGATGTCGACGTTGTGACCCTCGTACTTCTTAATAATGGACTGAGTATCCTGATCGGTGTTGAAGGAGTTCATGAGGACGAAGGGAACGTTGACGTTGAAGGTGCGGTTGAGGTGCTCGATCTGGCGCACGGAGAGATCAAGGAAGGACATGCCCTCACGGACCTCAATGACGGACTTGGGGCCGACGCAACCCATGGAGGTACCCAGACCACCGTTGAGCTTGACAACGGCTAGCTTATTCAGGAACTCGACGGAGGCGTCAGCACCGAGCTCGTCGTAGCCCACAACCTGGGAGGGCTGGGGAGGGGCGATGCGATCCCAGTTGACGGAGTTGCCCTTGGCCTTATCATTGAGGAAACGGCGGAACAGAGCGAAAAAGTTGTCCATCTCCGCTTCGAAACGCTTCTTCTCCTTGGGGTCCTGCACGCTATCACCGAGGGCGTTCAAGGCATTGCGCATTTGTGAGGCGGCGACGCTAGTGGAGGCACTCTCGAATGCCTGGAGCGAGGAGAAACGGGTCAGTTCAGCACCAAACGGAGGTAAAACAGACATGGTGTGCGAAAGGAGAGAATAGACGCGATGGACAATGGCGACACGACCAAAGGAGGGGCTCCAATACAGAAGAGATTGGGATGTCAATAGACCATAAATAAAGTGATAACGGTGTAGTGAGAGGAGAGAACAGGAGAAGAAGAAGAAGAAGAAGAAGAAATCCCAGTCCAGCAGATGGCCAGAGGACCAGCCAACGAGGGAAACCACATGTCCGCCCCGACGAGCAGGAGCGACCCAAGCAAAACAACACAGCTCCCCAAAACGACAGGAACGAAGACGGATTCACCGCCCAGGACTTACCATGTGCGACTGCGACTTGCCATGGTGCTTTCCACCGAAAGCCCCAGTATCAGCGGGGGCTCGCAGGTGAGTGGGGAGAGCCTTGGAGGTCATTATGAATTATGAGATATGAGGTCTGAGGTCGGTCTGGGGTTCTAGGAGGACACTGGCTGAAGAGCAACGTTAGTGGCAGAACAGAAGGTATCCAGTCGACGTGGCTCTGTTTATAAAGCTCGCAGAAAGGCAAAAGACCGAAAAGGAGGGGTTCTCCCAAATTGCCACTGCCGATCAATTGAGATGTCAAGCTGCCGTCATTGGCAGGGAGAAGAGCGGGAGACACTCACCTCCAAGGAGATCAATAAGGGAAATCAAGGGAAAGAAGTCCGGAGGGGAAAGGTCCAGAGTTATAAAGGGAACAGGGAGGACGATCGTAGGGAGTGGGGGACCCCGTGATTAGATTATTTGCTCTTTGCGTGATCCCAATTAGGTCCCTTCTACAACATAGTACAACATACGGAGTCCTCCGTCTACAGTTCTAATTCCGATCCCTCGTGTGATTCCTACGTTTCCTATCTCTGCTATGTCTCCTGTGATTCCACCTCTCATTGCTCTCTCCTTGCATCGCGATGTCGTCAGCTGCCAGCCACTGACATGTCCACGGGCTCGAGCTCGGGAGCTAACAGCTAACAGCTAACAGTATCATGGCCATTCAGCCTGTTTTCTTCCAGAGCTCAACCAACGTTCGACAGTCGAGCCAATCTATCTACCCCTAACCCAATCTCGGAGGACTCTCGTCCAACAATCCAGGCCCCCCTTTTCCACCAGATTAAGCGCCCCATGCGCCCCACAGAAACATAGCGTCAATCCTCTTCATCCTGTTGTGTTATCGTTTCACCTAAGAAGTTTCACCTCGGCCACTTGCCGATTCGTTCGAGACTAATTCAACTGATGCTGTTGTGTCTTTTGTCTGAAAAGACACACCGAACTACGGAGGACCTAGGTTGTGGGTATGTCGACCGGCGAGTGCTCCGCAAGTAGTACCAGTTACGAGATGTACGACTTGGAAATTGAATCCTGGAGGTATGGAGCATCAATTAACATGCAGAAGGCAGCGTGAGATCCGTTTCTACTCCATACACCCCTATTACCCTGATTATTCCCTCGTGCTGCCCAGGTGGTTCCTCGCGACTCTCCTATTTCGTGAGAACTTGCCCTGACCCAGTCCAAGTGGGACGCGCAAATTATCTGCTCCACCAGCGCTCTAGCTATTCAGGTACCATTCTAAAAATAAAAATCACACCTAGAACACGTAAATATAAGGTAAATATAAGACATGTCTCGCGATTTTCCCTATACTGAGGTATACTCACATATGTACGGAGCACATCCTGTATGAATTCCCTCAAGAATCCGAGCATCGCGAAGTCAACGGCCCAAGCATCAAAATGCAGATCGGACAGGGCTGTGCAAAGTTTCGACAAGCACCGAAGAGGGTCCGCGATCATTTTATTCTATTAGGAGAATGTATGTTGTACTCCATAGCCGCCAAATAGAGTATATGGTATGACACAATGGAACCCTCAGAACGACCTAATTCCACCATGTAGCCGCCCCTTGAAGATTCTTAACTGAGACACTGGTGTCGCTGGACTCATCTCCCCGCCCTTCAGGTGGCGCCAACTATTGATTCTTGACTATTTTTACAATCTTCTGATACACGGTGAGATGTGAGGAGTCCCAGGACCACACAATTGAATTCATGGAGAAGGGGGGGGGAAATAACGAAAGTAATAAAAAGGATATCATAACACCCAAAAAGCAAAAACAAAACGTAACTAGTAAACAATCGGAAAGCAAGGTCATATTTTCATATACTCTTCACAACCAGGGAGATAGGGTAATTAGACCCCGCTGACAGACCTCTTGCTCAAGAAGCTGCGGCGGGGCACCCTCCGCGAATCAGGGCTCTCAGCACCCTCGGAGGCATCAGCGCCAGCGGTCGAGTGCGAAGTAGTGGGTCGGAGACCGTTGTCAGAAGGCACGAAGCTAGAGCGGACGGTGACAGCACCGTCGCCAACGGTAATGGTCTTGTCCTGGCCGGCGATGGAACCCTGGTCATCAACGAAGAAGGGCGCTTCGCCGAGGACATCGTCCGAGCCGAAGGTGGCGTGGCTGACGACGCGGATCTGGTACTGCGCGTCGGCGGTGGTGTTTGACACGCGGAAGGAGTCGTCGTAGGTAACGGTGCCGGAGCTGTTCTTGTGGGCCTTGGTCTTGTGGACCTCCTTGGAGCCCTTGGTACCCTGGACGCGGACGATGACGCGCAGGTTGGCGGAGGTGGGGAAGTTAGCGGCAGAGACGATGGTGATGTTCGCGGAGCCCTTGTCACCGGAACCGGCGCCACCGAAGACGCTGAGGCGGTCACCGAATTGCGAGGCGGTGCTGCGATTGCGGCTGTGTTCCTTCTGGGGGGTATTGGGGGAGGAGGAGCCGGTGCCATTAGGACCTTCAACGAGGGAGGCAGCCGGAGTGAGACGGTCACCGCGGGCGGGTTCGGGTTCCTCGATGCTGTTCATGATGGAGACCGTATCTTCACTTTTGTCCTTGTTGAGACGCGACATGAGGCCGTGCTTCAGGAAGGAGGCGCCGCGGACGACATTACCGCCGACAAAGCCGACACCCTTGACGGGGGCACCAACGATCTTGCCGGGGACGGCAAAGGTTCCGGAGAAAGTGGAAGAGCCTTGGCGAGCACGCATTACGTAGGTGGGCTTGAAAAGCAGGCTAAGGCGAATCACTCCGGATTTGCCATCAAGTGGCAAGGAAACTTCCTTGGCTTGGAAAGGCTCCAGACCTTCAAGGTCAATGACCGAGGCACCGAGCCAGTCAGCCTTGTCACCAAAGTCCCAATCGTACACGTCCACATGGAAGTTGGCACCAATGCGGGATTTGACAGGGATCTCGAAAAACTCGTTCCAGGCTGGGTGCAGGGTCTTCTTCTGAACCTTGGTCTTGTGCACTGTCTCGTCGCCCATGCGGAACTTGCAGTAGGGATCGCTGAAACCATTGCGGTCGGCAGCGGGCAGCTCGGCGGCATCGTGAACGTCGACACGCAGGGTTCCCATGTTGTTGATGCTCTCCATTGGGTCGAGCTTCATCTCCGTCGGAATGTATCGGGCGCTGACGGTAACCTTGCTCACCTCTCCAGTGGTGGAGCGGAGAATGAGCTCAGTGGGTGTGTACAGCATGCGCATCAGAGTGGGCAGCGTGTCACCGGTCAACTTGGCGACTGTGTGCTCCTCGCTCGAGTCCTTGGGATCATCCTTGCAGACCAGGCGCAGTGTGATCTTGGAGAACTCAAGCTCGCGAACGAAGGCCTCGCCGACGTCAGAGAACTTCGCGGTTGTGGTGTGGATCTTGGAGGAGGTGTAGGCGGGGAACATGTAGTCATCCATCAAGACCTCCAACTGAACATGGGGGACTGCCAGCTGGCCCTCGTGGAACTTGAACACAATGAAACCAGATTCTACAAAGCAATTAGCTTTGAAACAATGATAATAAGATCGAAAACAAGAACATACCGTATTTTGAAAGATCCTCCGCACTGACAAAAGTGCGGGGGATGGACTTGACCGACCGAACTGAAGCAGTCTCAGACTGGTTAGCAGTCAATGGACGAGACACAGTGGTCTCCAGACTGGCACGACCGTTGGTATTCGGCTCCTCGTTGCCATTTGTGGCACCATTAGCAGCGGGAGCTGCGCCATTAGACAGAGCCTTGGAAGCCTTCGAGTCAACGCTAACGGTCTTGGAGTGTGAAGCCTTAGGCTTGTTCTCGAGGCTCTTGCGGAAATCGACGGAGTCAGGACCAGGAGTGCCAGGAACCTCCAAGGCGTCCTCCTCCTCTTCAACCTCGTCCTCGGGATTCACAACCGGCACAGTTGGATAGAAAGCAACGTTGTAGTAAAGCTCTCCCTTGGGGGAACCGCTGCCGATCTTCAGTTTACTGACAATATCCTGCTTGTCATCGTCAATTTCATATTCGCCGCTCTCTGTTTCACGAACGAAGTCGGAGGCATTGAGATCAGCCCATCCAAGACTTCGGTCCTTGTTGATAGTCTCCTCATCCATGACCTCAACGGTCACCTTCTCACGAGCACTGCGAATAGGCACGTAGACGACCTCATCCCAATCGGGGTTGAGATTGTTGCGGAAAGTGACAGTGCGGCCACGAGTCACACCGGACAGGAGCACACGAACGTAGGGATCAGACTTGCCCATAGCCTCCAGGTTGCGCAGGTTAGAGGCGCGCTTAAAGTGAAAGCGCATGACACCAATGGGATCAACATAACCAGCGCTTCCAATACCGCTGAGCGCAACAGGCTTCCATTGGAGAGTCAACTTGACACGTCCCTCCTTAGCACCGTGGAGATGGAACCATTGCTGGCCACGCTCCATCATCTTGAGCATATCGTTCATCTTGATCTGGTAGCGGCCGATGATGGGATCCTGCATGATATCGCGGTCATCCTTGATGATAAGACCCAGACGAGCGTTCTTTCGGTCAGTGACGAGAAACTCCTTGGAGGCATTCTGGAAGATGGGGTTGTTGGTGCGCTTGAGCTTGTTCGTGATGTGAATTTCCTTTCCGTTGAGCAGCAGAACACCGTAAGGGTTCAACTTGCCAATCATACTCTTGCTTGCGTCTAGAGACTTGGCCTGTTCCACGGTGAACTGGGCAATACCGGTGTTGAGTTCAGGAGCGGGTTCAGGTTCACCAGCCTCGTTCTTGCGTCCCTCGAGAACGGGGAAGAATCGAATGTCGGCTTGGATGGCACCGCGGTGGCGGCCACTGGCCTGAACTTCCAGATAGATACCCTCATGAGAAGGCTCTTGTTCGAGTTTGTCCAATGCAAAGCTAGCAACACCCATTTCCTTATCCTTGCGATACTCGTTCCAGTCGTACGCAGCAATCGACAGGGCTTCACTAAAGGAGGTAATGATAACGTAGATTGTCTCGTTCCAGCGGGGACTATCGTTATCGTGAATGACCTTGGTGCGGCCGAGCTCATTACGACCGTTAAGGGACACCACAGCGTATGGATCAGGAGTACCAGAGAACTTATCGGGGTTCTTGAGTTGGTGAGCACCGTGTAGAGTAATCGCAACGACACCAATGGCTTGATCAACGGGGTTTCCAGCAAGCATCTTCGCAATTTCAATTGGGAAGACATTCGGATCATACATCATGGGTTGCAGGTTGGCATGAATCTGGTCCTTAATGAAGGACTCCAGACCGGGAATGAAGTTGATATCGAAGCCAAGGAGGTCGCCACCAAGAGGCTTGCAGACGTAATCGAGTTCGGGCTTATCCAGGAAGCAGACATCCACACGCTCGATGTGGGGGAACGGAATCTGAAGCTTGACCTTGACACGCATCAAGCCCGAGCAAGCCATGTCCTCAACAATGACATCGAGACCCTTAGACATGACACCCTTACCAACACGCACCTCCAGCACAACCTTGGGGTTGATCTTATCCTTCATCTGGCGCGCAGTCAAATCCATGTTGTCGTTGGGGGTGAAGCTGAACTTCCAGTCCATGATGACGGTATCGGGCTCAGTCTTGGGGTAGGTCTTAACGTGCTCCAAGCGAGGAGGCTTAGAACCGAGGATGAAAGTCTTGAGGCGTAAACTATCCAAGAACGCGGGAGTAGCAGTGCTGAGGACCTGATCAACGGAGTTGATGATAGTATCGCACAAAACCGGGGCATAGATAGGCCAGAACTTGACAAGGAAGCTGTTGATCCACTCGAGACTCTCGGTGTCGGTCTCGAGGCGCTGCTTGGACATTTCACGACTGATATCATCACGGAAGTTTCGGCGCACTCGTCGAATGGAGGTACGGTAGTAAGTGCTACAAGCTGCCATGATCATGAGAACCCAGCCGATACCACCGCCGAGCACGGCAATCATCCACGAGGCCAAGCAGGCGAAAACGATAATTCCAGCATTGTGGTACCAATCGCCGAAGAACTTGTCAGGGATTCTTCCCTCCAGGAACGTCTCATGATCCAGCAATGTGCCTTCGTCGTCGAGGCCTGGAGGTTTCTCCTCGACGAATTTGGGCGCCCAGCCGGTTCGATCGCGCCCCCATCGAAGATCCTCATCGAGCTCCTTCCCTTCACCTTCGCGTGTGGCTTCCTCGGCCATAATGGCGGCCGCAGACTCCGGTGCAGGCAGATCATAGTCTGCTTTACCATCGGTCTAGGTTGAATTAGCATATTTTGGGATCGCGTCGAGGGTTCCACATCGTCCTCACCTTATCTGTAATTACAGCAATACCCTGGGGTTTATGGGGATGGTGAAAATCAGGCGGCAGGCGCTAGAAGAGACATCAAGCAGTTAGCATGGCGGTTGCGCCGGATCGAACTCGCACCATTTGCGCATACGCACCCCTCTAGCAGCATTGGCCTTATCTTCTGGTAAAGCATTGGGATCGAATTGGTATGCGGCAACACCGGCCTTTCGAGCATCTGCGACGACCTTTTCCTCGACCGTGTCTGGGTTGACGCGGGATTGTGGATCTTGGTGCAAATCTTGGGCAGCCTCAATGGCCCCCTCGATTTTCATCTCAGCCTTCTCCGCGTCGGCAGACGCCATAATGCCTGGTTTGTGTTGCGTTCAGGACGGGGAAATTGGGGAGGCGGGAATGTCCGGCTGGGAGGTGGTCAGACTCGATCCATGGGTGGGCGGTCGGCGGGACTCTGGGGGATGAGGGGGAGGGGAATGCTCACCTGCATTCACTACCCTGCAACGTACTGGGGTATCGACGTTGGCTGTCGAGGTTAGTTAGGAACCTGGTGTGTTGACACAGGTATAGAGTGGAAAGAAAGAAAGAAGAGGAGTGGACCAAAGGCACAGCTCAGAGTGCCCAGCCGCGCTTGCGTCAAGGGGAAGTGTGGCTGGAATGGGGGTTTGTTGGCTTACAAAAATAGGGTAAAGTACGGAGTAGTATATTACCATTACCTAGGCATTTGTTTCTTTTGCACTATCTATAAATGTTCAAGCCAATGGAACTCAAGAAAAAGGAGGGAAAAGGGGAGATCGTAAGCTCCGAGGTCGATCGAAGATCAGTGACGTACGTCGACCCATCTTGTTCCTGTTTTCCCTGGACCTCAACTTGCTCTCTCGGTTCAATGTTATGAAGATATGTCTGAAATCCATCCATCCTCAACGGACCGTTCGGTCCTTTCTGTCCTTTGTGCAACCAGATGTGGTCCATGTCATTGGAAATAGGGGCACAGCTGTGATAGCCCACTCTACGGCCGACTATTAGATTTGACCCGAGCTTTCCAGCACCGCCACAGAGAGACTCCATTTTCTTCTCTGCCAGTTAGGGTTATTGTGTCCCTTTTGCCCCCTATTATAGGTCTGGCGGAGATCGGTATTTCCTGGTCAGCCCTACGATCCCTTCCTTCCAGGCAACGAGATTGAGGTATATAGGGGAATGTCGGAAGCTCACTCGGGCGCTCCGACAGTACATGCCAATGCCAGAGAGAACAGCTCTTCTTTGCCCGAGGTACGGAGTACACGTGGCATGCATCCACCAACAACAAATCAATAAAATCCTTTCGAATCGCACACTATCGAGGCGCATCGTGCCCTATTCCCAATTCGGCAGATCGGCTCAAGCTAACCCACAGGACAGAAAAGTGGTCTTGTCTACGGAGTGCCGAGGAACTTGGACCTCCTCAGGCGTTGCAGAAGTACGAAGTACGGAGTACGGAGTACTCCGTACGAAGCACAAAGTCAAATGTGCCAATGTGGTGATGAGAAAAGGCTGCAGCCAAGTGCTGCATGACGAATTGATCTATCATATTCCATCCCGTTCCTAGACTTGCGTCGATTCAGCTCAAGGTTATTTCCACTGCAGCTCCCGGAATGTGTCGTACACTGTATACGGAGTACAACCCGATAACATCCACACGGAGCACAGTGGTGTTGTCCGATGTATGGGAGACAAGGATAAAATCCCGGAGATGGAATCCCGACTGGACAGACAGTACTCATTGGTCGGTCAAGGCTTCGGTAAGATCTTCCACGGTTCATTCTGATCTCTTTACCGGAACCCCCACTTCGGTTGGTGTGGCGCTTTTTTCGTGTTTTTTTCTCTTCGCGTTCACACGAACGGCATCGGCGAATTCCGAGCTGTGACCGAGCTTTCGCGAGATTCCATATTTCATGCTGTACATTCAACATACAAATTAATGGGGCTAGACAAGCCACATGTGTATATTATATATTGTACGGAGTACGGAGTACGGAGTAGACATTAGATATGTGTATTGTCCGGAGTATGTATGTTGCAAATCTCCACCCGGATTCGCTATTTATATATTGTACTCCGTACGGAGTTTGTACCTCCTTACCTACATATGTACTCCGTATGGATCAGGCAATTCCGAATTTGGGGGCTGACAATACTTAGTGCAATTGGCAGATTGCACGACATCGTACGGAGAACTTGTTCCATAAATTAAACATTGATTACCAGACGCTACGAGCTAATCTTACTACCTAGGTACCTAGCATTGGTACTGGAAACTCTGAAACGCATCAACCATGGAACTGATAGCATGCTAAGCAGAATTGAATTTTAGCAACGTGGAAGTAAAAATATGCCGGCAAAGATATATCGTGTCAATTCGTTTCCAAATCCTTTACGCCCGAAGGAATTTACCGCCCCATGCGGATCACACCAGCAGCCATCAACTTCTGGATCTTCATCCGCACCTGCGAGTTCTTCATGTGCTCCTGCAGGGCGGCGGGATCGCTCTTGGCCTGCTGGAGGATGCTCTGCATGACGGGGTCCTGGAGAACGGCCATGATCTGGGAGAAGATGTTAGTATTGCTTCTTCGGGATAATACTGATCATGTGTGGAGTCCATCGGGTCTTACCTCGGGGTCGTTTTGGATACGAGCCATGGTCTGCTCCTCAGTCTCACCAGCGCGGGCGCTGAACTGGGCGTCCAGGCACTTCTGCTGTTGCTGCTCGATCTCACGGGCGTGCTTGCCGTCGTCTTGTTCGGCGGCCTCGGTGAAGGTGTCCAAGGCGCGGTTGTATTCCTTCATGGCGATGAGAGCAGCGCCCTTGCGCATGTACGCGCGGATGAACTTGACATCGCGCTTGATAGCCTCGTCGCAGTCCTGCACGGCACCGGGGAATGCCATGAGCTTGATAAGAGCCGCGGCACGGTTAGAGTAACCACGGGGGTCGGTGGGAGCGCGCTTGGTCATCTCAGTGAAAGCGTCAACGGCACCGGGCCAGTCACCGGCCTGGAACTTCTGCTGACCGAGCTCGCGGGCCTTCTCAGCCTCGGCAGGGTCAATGTAGGCGTTCTTCTCGGCGGTGGTCTTGGTCTTCTCGGCGTTGCGGAGCTTGGTCAGGGTATCAGGTGTGCGGTGCTCCATCAGCGACTTGTTGTAGAACTCAATGGCTTGGGCGAGGTCACCGAGCTTCTCGTAGGAAGAGCCAATTCGAGTGTAGGCCTTGGCCATCAGCTTGAAATCGGCGCGCAAGTCACGGCCCTCCTCGATTGCCTTCTGGCAGGTCTCGATTGTGCCTTCGTAATCAGCCTTCTCAAACTTGGCGGCACCGATGTTGTTCAAGTAGGTAATGTCCTTGTTGAGCTCCCAAGCCTTGGTGTAGTGCTCAATGGCCTCGTCAAGCTGCTTCTTCTTGTAGAAATCGTTACCAATCTTCTTCTCCGCATCACCAGCCTCCTGGGCCTTCTTCTTGGCAATTGCCTCCTCGTCTTCTGGCTCGGGCTCGGGTGTAGGGGCCTTCTTGGGCTGCGAGGCGCTGGCCTGAGCAGCAGGGGCAGGGGGCTCAGCTCCCTCGCCACCAAAGTTCATATCAATCCCGAGAAGGACACTCATGACCTGCAGGAAGCGAGGGTCGCGAATCTCCTCTCCAACACTGTTGGGGTTCTGCTGAATCTTCTTCAGCTTAGCCATGAACTCCGCATCGCCGAGCAGGGAGGCGGTCTTGGGGTTATTGGCGAGCTTCTGGAAGAGGGCTGGGTCGTTGAACATGCCACCGAGACCTCCAGTGGGGTCTCCAGTGACACCATCTGCGGTAGCCTCCGCATTGATAGCGCGCTCCGTCGCCTCCAGGCCGGACTTGGCCTGTGCGTTGCCGGGCTCGATCTTCAAAGCATCCTGGTATGCATCGAACGCAGCCACTACCTTCGGTTAGCAATTTTATCGCCATATAAACTATCACACCTCATTCGCATTCTGGGCCACATACAAAGATCTCCGAGACCGCGTGTAGCGGCACCCTTGCGGACATGGCCCTTGGACCAGTCGGGCTTAATCTCAATCGCCTTCTCGGCATCCTCAAGGGCTTTTTGGTATTCGTGCTGGGCGGAGTAGACAGCGGAGCGGTTGGAGAAGAGAATGTGGTTCTGGGGCTCGATGGCAAGGGCCTCGGTGAATTTCTCACTGGTCTTTTATCAGCTTCTGCTTTCACGGAGTCACATTGTTAAAGGTGGGGTAGCGCGTACATAGCAGTAGGATAGTCCTTAGCAGAGAAGGCCTTGTTGCCCTCTGCCTTCAAAGCGTCAGCCATTTTGTAGTGATACAGCTCAAATGCTCGGTAAAATGAGATATGCAGATCAAAGGCAAGACCACGAGGAAATGAATGAACTGCGGTTATGAGCTCAGTCGGCCGGAGCTTCTCGAAATTTCCGTGATTCTCCACTGCCTCAGGCCAAAATGAATCTAAGCCTCAGGCAACTGACACCTCAGGCATTTGCGCTGACAATGAAGCTCCGCCGGGCTAAACCTCTTTAGGTCAAAGTCACTCCCCGCCGAGAAAAAGTCGCCAAAAAAACACCATTCGTGATTCATTCATGACTCAAAGTTGTCGACATCGATACACCATGCTTCTCTAACTTCCTTGCCGACTCTGACATGCTTCATTGAACATGAAAACCCCGACCCGCTATCGAATGAACCTTGATTTTGCCTGATATCTCCGTCGCATCTCCAACAATGACCTCCGCGGGGCCTGCAGTGGCCGAGCTCGCCTCGAAGCTCTACGATGCATGCGTGAACGAATTCGCCGCCGATCACCTGTTCTACCAAAATGATTTCCTCAACCTTAAAGTTATCCCAAAGAACGACGTTGCGCTCCTGCTACAATGCACTCAGACCCTCGTCAATCAAAATCTCTTTCGCCTTCTCCAAAAGGATGGAAAACTGACATGGAAGCTCATTGATCGCGAGGATGCTGAGAAGTAAGCACTATATGCGCTCTTTCTGCCGATGGCTCAATGACTAACCTATCCTCCCCTCAAGGCTCCGCAATCTCACCCCGGACGAGGCCATGGTCTACAATGTCATCCACTCCACTGAGCGAACAGGTATCTGGGTGCGCCACATCGGCACCCGAACGAACCTACACAAGTCTATCCTCGATCGCTGTTTGAAATCGCTGGAAAGCAAAAATTACATCAAATCTCTTCACAATGTCAAATACCCCAGCCGTAAGATGTACATGCTGGCCGGGCTTGCTCCAAGCGAAGAAGTCACTGGAGGAGCCTGGTTCACCGACGGCGTGCTGGATGCCAGTTTTATCAACAGCGTTGCCGGTTACATCGAGTACACTGTGAGCCGGAAGAGTTGGTATGAAGTCCCGGCCGCGGACCGCAAGAACAAGCGCATCAAGACTATCTCCGGCAAAGCAGACGTCAAGTCCGAGGAGAAATCATACCTCCCTTATCCCCATGGATACAAGGGCTACCCAACCGTGGAGACAATCACAGCCGCCGTGAACGAGAGTGGTATTACCCCCGTCCGTCTGGGCGAAGAGAGCATCGTCCAACTCCTCGAAATGCTCTGCTACGACAACAAGCTTGTTGCTTTGGGCAACGGCGAGATCTACAGATCCCTCAAGAACCCAGATGCCGTCAAGGCGACTCAATCACGCAAGGCGCCCATCGAGGGCGACGATCTCTCCGTTGCGAACAAGCATCTCGTGAAGAACGGCATGACCGAAGCCCCCTGCGGCCAGTGCCCAGTGTTCCGACTGTGCGCACCTGGTGGCGCAGTGAGCCCCGAGACCTGCGAATACTTCGATCCCTGGCTGAGCAACGGGCTTGGATTCTAAATGGTTCTCGCATGTCATTGGGTTTCCGTGACTTGATCTCTAATTTTTGGCGCAATGCATGCGCCCTTGTGCCAACAACGTTTGCATGAAAGAAACAAAAAAGAGGATATGTGCATAGCGATGGCGTTTTCGACTTGATTTGGTTAGGCTCCGGCTCACTAGTGACCCTCGGAATGGGTGCTAGATGGGAACGGCTTGGACATACGCTGGGCTCTAGCTGGGAAGGATACCTAGATGGTTCCTGATTCCTATTCCCTTCGGGGACTTGGGTCAATCTCCTCTAGAGATAGAGGAATGTGAAATTGATTCTGTTCAAAAGAACTTCCATTATGCAGTTAAGTAAGCTAAGTAGTAACTTGTAGATAATCCTTTCCAGCCTGGTCTAACCCAACACCATAAAAGTCAAACGCCATGGGTATATCAAACATCATGCAAATCATAGAAAGAAGAGACAAGTGAGGCAACTATTTCCCCAATGTACGCCTGCACTCATCACAGTACCAGGTTCCTACCGGCTCGCGCGTCAGGCCAACACACTTCCAGTGGAACCACTCATAGGGACAATCATCATTGTCGCAAGCCACCATGTCTCCATGGCTGACAGTGCGACAGGTACAATAGACCTTCGAGTCTTCGTTACCCTCATCCTCATCCTCGTCGTCAACATCCTCATCCGCAGCACCATCACTCTTATCCGAGTCCGATGTATCAGCACTGCTGAGCATAGAATCATCATCCTCATCACCCTCGCCATTGGGCGATTTCTTCGAAGCCTTGATGCGAGCACTAGCACTGGAAGAGCGCTTGATAGGCTTGCCGCTTGCAGTCTTAAGTTTCTTGACTTGCTGGTGCGGCGCGACCTTCTTGGTGAGTGCCTTCTTGATGCCAATGCTGGCTCGGGGACCAACGCTGCCTGCACGGCTACCAGCCGGCGTGCCGGGCTTCGGTGTTCCTGGGCCCATGGAAGACTGGCGCAGATTTGATGATGCTACAGGAAGGGTGTTGAGGGAAGGATTCAGACGGCGGCGCTTGCTGTCTACTGCTCCGGCAGAGGATTCCCGTTGCCGTTGTTGAAGGTGCACGACGGCTGCTGCTGGTGTCGCGGGTGCAGAGCTGCGCGCTGTAGTTTGGCCAAGCTGGGCTGCGGCGCCAAGGACACGGGGGGCTGTGGATTGGTTCAAGCGCTGCGCAGCAGCTAGGATGGTGTTGGCATTTCCGGAGGTCGGATTGAGAGGCGTTGAGTAGGCGGCGGAGTCAGAAGGAGCGGAGTCGGGGAAGAAGACCTTGGGTGGATTGCGGTACTTGTTTTTGGAGTCGAAGAGGGAAGGGAGAGGCGGGTCGTTGGTGAGCAGGCCTTCGTTGACCAGTTCGCGAATGCGCACGTCGAGTCGCTTGATCTGGCGATCGAGGAGGACGCATGCCTTCTCACTGAGCTGGATCTTCTCAGTCTGCAGCTCGTGGGACTTATCCATATTCTGGAGAATTGTCTTGGCATATGGCTCTTCTTTCGGGTTGGGCGTCAGACTGCCGTTCAGTTTGATGAATTTCTGGATGCTGCTGTCGCGCGAGTTGATAATGGCGCGGCACTCCTGCATGACCTTGTCCTTGGCCTGAATTTCTTCCATCAGGTGGTTGATCTCAGCCGGAAGATTTGCCACATCATGGACAAACTGTTCTAGGACAGTTGCGCAATCCTCTGCACCGTGTGCCATTTTCGATTCGGTCGCAAGGCAGATTAAGGTTGATTCCTTATCGGGACAGCGAAAAGGCGTTTTACGGCTCAAGAATTACGAGATAGTTGCTTTCTCCGATGAATATCGCCTCGTGTCAATTTTTTGATGACCAGATGAACACCTGGTCCTTTGTCGATGATCAAACCTCCGCCATAGGGAGGCAAATCGACTGAGGTTCACGGGTCCGGAAGAATATGCTGACTCATTGATGACTAATCATCGGATCGGCGCAGTCAATGTCCGATGTATACGGAGTACATGGATCAAAGCACGTCGATCCGATGATACTAGGTGATATTAGGCTAGAATTGCCACTACTGCCAAATGTCTCCGGCTCATGAAAAATCTCTCGGACTTCTCTTCACATGCGTCCTAAGCCTCTCACGCAACGTATAGAGAGTGAAAACATACACGACATACGTTTGTATCTTTCCTCGAAATTGGTTTTTCTGTACTGTCATAAGGATCACTTCTATCGCTGATTTCCGTCTCGACAAAATCCCTAACTTTTCACAGGGCATGGTTATGCAGCTATACTACCAAGCCCTGGCCATTGTGGTCATCTGGGCAACTCCCTCATAGTCGAAGCTCAGTCTGTTCACGGCCGATGATTTGCCGCCACTATCATCAGATTGCATAACAGCTATGACGGCTGATCTAGACTGTACTGCGATGGAGCTTGGTGAAACAATGTACCTATTGCTGGACCATATCACTGCGGATATGCTCGATGAAATGTGCACCGATGCATGCTCAAAATCGATTGCCATTTACCAGAGCTCTGTGCACAGTGCCTGTGCAAACCAGGAGTATCACGACTCTGGAGATTCAACAGATTCCGATGCCTCTCCTGGAGTTTATCGACCAAGTGTTTTGTCGGACTACTATTTGACGAACCATGCCCAGAGATGTCTTAAGAACAATGAAGGTACCTACTGTTTATTGCACTTGCTTGCAACAGATAGTCAGGATGTATGCGATTCATGTGGTCTGCAAATGTTCCGCACGGAGTTGAGTAATAGTTACTTCTACAACGATGACCTGGCTGAGGAATACTCCTCCTTGACTTCGATCTGCGGTTCCTCTGATATGGAGCTTCCAACACCGACTGTGGTCGCGATTTTTAGGCAATCAGCCCACTCCCATTTTCATTCTCCTGAACCGGATATATACTAACTAGGCACAGTCCATCTGCTTCTTCTGCCGCTCCCACTGCTTGTACTGGTCGCAGTGCCACCATCGAAAGCGGCGACAACTGTGACACCTTTGCGGCTAAGCATAATACTAGCACCTGGGATCTACGCACTAGCAATGGTTTGGACCTTCGTTGTGCAGACTTTCCCACCAGCGGATCATTGTGCATGACTGGCGAGTGCCAAACCCACCTGGTAGATACCGATGACACTTGTGTCAGTCTTGCATCTAAATTTCGGATTACTATCACCCAATTCATTACCTGGAACCCGGTCTTGAACTCTATGTGCACCAATATGAATGTTCTTGTAGGACATGTGGTCTGCGTGAGCTTCCCTGGTAACGCTCCCTCCGAAGTCAATACCTATGCCACTGGAAAGTATGGAGCTCCAGCCACTGTGGCAGCTCCAATCCCAACTGATATTGTTGCCGGGACCAACGTGAAATGTGGCAAGTACTATCGTGTTAAAGGTACCGTTTTTTGTTGTGAAGCCCTGGCTGAGACATCACTGTGAAATTAACACCTTTGAAGAGTTTGACTACTGTCGAGCGATTGCCATGGCAAATGGTATCAACCTATCGGATTTCCTCTTCTTGAACCCAGAGCTTCATGAAAATTGCACGAACCTCCACAGCAACTATAGCTATTGTAAGTGGTGTCTCTTCCTGCATTAGATGGAGAAAGTTTGAGCTAAAATCAGCAATCGCAGGCGTCCAGCCCGTGGGGAACATCAAGACGTATCCAGGTTACATAGGGCCTGCAAGAGTGTCTCCAGCGGTACCATCCAGATTTTGGGGGACCAGTCGTGCGTGGGACTCTCTTCCGACACCCACAAGTCTGACATCCTGGAAGCCAATTGTTCTGCCGAGTACTGCGCCCTTGGCCAACCACACAAGAAAGGACTGTGATGTGTATGAGGACAATACGGATGGACCTATCCCGTGCTACTGGATGGCACGAGGAGTGAGCTTTTACAACTTCGTCCAGTGGAATCCCTCATTAAACTTCTGGAATTGCACATTGACCAACAATACGCGATACTGCACGTTGCTAGGACCCGGATACTACCTCAGCAACCTGCCAGATGACGAGCCAGCGGATGAATATGCCGAATACCCCTCTAATGCCGCACCCAACTCGACCAAAGAATGCTACATTTGGTATGAAACATCAGGAGGTGTGTATTTCCTTCGAAATAGATTACCACAATTCTCAAATATATGGTTGAGCATGGTACCTAATTCAATCTGCTCATCTAGAGAGTGCATCTTGCGTTTCCATTTTGGCAGATGCGGACATCTCATTTGATGCGTTCTATTCATGGAATGTAAGTTCTAGTTCCTGACAATCACTGGTGCTTCAAAGGCTTACGTGCTTCTCTTTCCCAGCCAAGCATCAAGAGTGATTGCTCCAATATTTGGCTCAGTACTTCGTATTGCATTGAAGGAACCGATTTTGATGATGATTACTTTGATCATGGAACTTCATCTACAACTGCTTCGCCCTGTTCTACTACAACACCTACTGGTGCGAGAGACATCGTGCCAGATCTGGGGCTCAATTAAACCGAACTTAGGTGGAACTGCAATAATCCTGCAATGAAAAGTGAAGAGGTATGCTAGAACAAATCATACCCCAGAACTACACTTCTTCTCCTTAACTTGGAATGCTTACCATGATAGCAGGTGCCTGTTGTTGGGATATGGCAACAAAATATGGAATCACTCTTAATCAGCGCTATTCATGGGATGTAGCACTTGAAGAAAATTGGAGTGGACTATGGCTCAATTACACGCCCTGCATTAGCACCACAGGATCATCCTTAGCAACCCCAACTAAGACAACCAGCACAGTAATTCATTAAAGCGTGCTCGTTCCGATACTCTGGGTCCTTGCACTTTAGCGTCACATAGGGCAACATGGTACCATGTAGAAGATCTACGCTTCATAGGGGCTAGAAGACAGAAAGCGGTTTCTGAGTTACTTACAGGCAAGAAATTGCCAAATCAAGTACCCACCATTCCTATGCTTTGCTCAAGATTTGTGTAGGTGCCTTACGGCCTTGGCTCTCTTAGCCGAGCATTGGGCTTAACGATTGGCGAGAGCTGGCGAAGCTTAGTGTGGGGCTACAGGGGGGTAGACCTTCGATTATAAGCCTTCTCTTCGTTTGGAATTCATCGGTTTCTCTTTTCCTTCCCTTCTATACCTCGCTGCGGGATAAATCCATTCCTGTCAATAGCAATCGCCTGACTCAATCAGCTCTACACTGAACCTCAACCAACACATCTCATTTCAGCAGCACAATGGCAGCAATGCTGCCCATGGAGGTACTACACCAAATAGCAAAGTGGCTACAAAAGGACAAGACATCTCTCGCTCCCTGCACTTCTGTATGTCGCTTTTGGCGGGCGGCTTTTGAACCCCTCGTCTATCGCAGCATATGTGTCTATAGTGATGATGAGTACAAACAGGAGGGGCAGCGTGGAGTTTCCCTTGAAAGCTTCCGAAAGCTCACATCGGGCGATCGTGCTATACGGCGAACCTGGATTCGGGATCTAGAGTACAGTATTCTCATTCCCTACGAATTGTCAGACTGGACCACACGCAAAACAGGGAATGCGGAAGCTTACAGTGTAGACAACCCTGTCAGAAAGGCCAATGATCTAGCCTTCCAGCAGGCTATGGTTGATCTTTTCCAAGAGCTTCATTTATGGAACCAGACCTTGCGTTTGGAATTGGATCTAGTTATCCGAGGACGTCGAGTTGACCCTGCACCAGAACCACATACTGAATACTATTGGGCCGCCCGGGATTACAATCCTAAATATCCAGATGGCCGCAGGTTCTTCACCCCACCTTATAGAGCGCAATTTGTCCAGCCCATGCCGGATCTCGTATCTATTCCGTGCATCGAGAAGCTCTCTTTCCCAAATGAAAATTGGCCTGGGGGTAGGCATCATCAGATTTGGCCTGAGGCAATTCAAACAATCATCCAATGCTGTCCAACAATATCCGAGCTGGCGCTAAATCTTGACGAATGGGTCCGTCCGGATCATTTGGAGTTTATACAAGCACGTCGTACGGGTAAGCTATGCCTCTTCTCGTCATATATTCTCCTCGGCTCCAGACATAGCTTACCGATAGCTATATAGCGTCAGGATCCCTTATTGAGTCTATCCCAAAGAGCCTACGGGTACTAGACTATGACGGACCAGGGGACGACAACTGGAAGTTTACTCTGCCGCAACTCAATCTCATCCCTTCGGGGGTTGATAGTGTGAGCGTCAACTTGCGAGACCTCAGTGTCCAACTCCGTGAATTAAGGTTTAAACGGAGCGCTATTGAGTATGACTTTCTATATCCCTTGGATAGAGATGGCAAGCCAGAGCCAAGCTCGCTACACTGGCCCCATCTGGAGATCTTGGAGATTGAGTATGTGCGACCCTGGCTACCATCAGGTAAGGGAACGAATCGCGACGGTATTCCCCAAACTAATACTAACAGATGACAATTAGGAGAATCGGTTTACAGCTACACAGCAGAGGACCAGGCCATGATCGACGAAATCGACGACTGGGACATGGAGCTAAGTGATCCCGAACGGGGATGGGACCGACCATCGGAGATGATTGACGAACATTTCCACCGGGTTTTCATATCGATGGGCTATGCAGCCCAGCATATGCCCAGGTTGAAATTTCTGAATTTTGAAAATGACACTCGGTATCCGTTTTATCTTTATTTCCAGAAGATCGCCGACAAGACCACCCTTGTGTGGGGGCGTTATCCCATACTTCGGCCAGATGAGCGAGGTCTCAAAGCCTGGAATATCGACCCGGACGACTTGAAGCTCGACATCGAGGACAAGGATAATACGTCTGTAGTGCTGAAAAACTGGCCACCTCAATCATATACCTAGTTATGTCAGTTCGTTCCTTTACTGCAAAATAAACGGTTGTTTGAAAATGGATTGGCAAAACAAAATCTCACATATTCCTGCGAAAGGAACTAGAATTCCGATATCATTGAGCCAGGACCCTTCATGCGTTGGCTCTCTTACAATTTCTTTGTTTTGTATGCACCGCCGGCTTGTGGCATTACCTTTTAGGCGGACGGTTCGCGAGGACTTGTAGGAATACCTCATGGACATCGCGAGGACCGATCTACAGGGTTGGTTTGTAGACTGCGGATGCACCACTGTTAGTTGCTGTCAAATCTGGCTGTAGGACAGTATGCTGCATAGCAGTATCTACGCAAAGCCAGCTAGATCGACCGAAGATGAAGGGTGAAGATTAGGATTCTCAATTTGCTAATGCTCGAATTCTTAGAGAAAAGAATCGCTAGGAGCCAAGAATCATCGAAGGTATCGCGAAATGAACTAATGATGACAGTCATCATAGGCTCGCCATCTTCATCGTAAACATCGTCACATTTCTTGACGTTAATTGATAGTCTGTATATATCATGTTGAACGAGGGTCGAGATGATTTTGCGCATGAGAACCGATATCCTCGGGAATGCTGCTTTGCGGATTATTTGTATCCAAGTCGGATAGAGAACAGGGTAGCGATAGGAGATATGGCCCTCCAGCTCGTTCGGCTTCGTCGATGAACCCGTCTGGCTCGACGTGCCACCTGCCTGTATCATCGATACTATGACAGCTCGTCCGGACACGAGAACCATTCTGAACGGCCAAAGCGCAGGCTGTAATTCTCTGTGATCCTTTCGGGTTTCTTTTCTCTTCCTTGGGGGTGACCGGTTCAGATGATGGACTTTCCATCGTTGTTGATGGAAACGTGGGAAGTGATGTCAGATGCGGGAATATTGAGACGACGGCTCTGATAAACACTCCAATGCTTAGAGATAGTATCTTTTATGTCGCAGTCAATGAGAAAATATCAACCCAGTTGATTTAACTCTCTAAGGACTAGCCGTCCGTTGATCGAATTCTTGGATTCTCCTTGAGGAAACGCCTCTATCGGAAACGTGACTCGACAAATTTCCCGGCTGGAAATGGATGAGACTGTACAGCGCACAGGTCTTGGGGGAAAGAAGAAGAAGAAGAAGAAGAAGAAGAAGGAGAAGGAGGAGCCAACTTGACGGTACACAGACCATTTTGATGGCCTCCCTACCAACGTAGTCTTTGCCCAAAAAATGAATCACTCTCTAATTCAATTAAGTAGGCTCATGTAGCCTTTTTGAAATTGAATAGCAGCATAGGCTACTTGGATAGTTTGCACGTCATATCGTCAATCTCGGACGTTCGATCTTTCTTTCCCCTGCCTTCCACCCATTCAAGCATCACTGTCCCTCATCATAATCTCAAGCATATGGTTTGCGTCCGGGCTAAGAGGGCACTGCCATCGAGCGTTCCCTTCTTCAATAGGTATTTTGGCCAACATGGTTGATAAAGTACCGTGTTATGTACGAGACATGATGATTCTGCACTCTGCCTCGAGTTTATATGCCACACTCCCAGTTTTGCGTCCCACGCTGTTTTGTGCACCGCGGAGATCGATAGCATGTGTGTGCGCCTTACATTGGGATGTTTCTAGCGCCAATCAAGTAATGCCATGTGTGCATATATGAAATATTGTAAACATAATTTCCATTTATTCAACTATAAAGGCCGTGCTAACCGTGGGTGGCCAGGGTTGGGGCTCCTTTACAGTGCAGGTAGAAAAAGAAACTGATAATGTCCACTGCTAAAATCCCAATGTGTCCACACCAAGTACTTCATACTCTTGCAAATCATCAAATCATTCCATACTCAACTCTCAACATACAGCCTCCTCCTTAACAATAACACGCATCTCTTTCCCGCTCGCGGCCCCCTTCACGGCCACCTCCGCGGCAGTAGGCTTCCTCCCCCAAACCTTCGTTCTGGAAGATATTAGTCAAAAGCCTCACATCCAGAAGAATAATGTAAACTCACACAGTCTGCCAGATATGATAATGCGGATTCTGAACCTCTTTCCTAACCCTCGCCAAAAGGACCTGCACCTCCTCCTTCGTCCAGGGAATCGGAACCCCCCATTTCGTTAGAAGATACATCCCCCACCCTTCCATGCCAGAAGTCCACTGATGATAATGCAGTCTACCGGCTTCTTTGAGCGTGGGATCACGAGGCCATGGACCGATGGGCCACTGGTACTTCTTCTCGTGGATATCGACGAACCCAGCCTTTTCCATGGCGCCGCGCATGGTTTCCAGCGTGTCGAGCGGATGGTTCCAGTTCTTCCCGGCTGCAAAGACTGCGTCTGTAAAGAGTCTGATGCTGGAATTCGGTGGGAGACTATCGTCCGAGCAGCGGACTCTTGGGTCACCTTCTGTTTGCTCGATCCACCCGCCTGGGGTAAGGTTGCTGTGTGGGTGTTATTACCATCTTACCAGAAGGGTTTATGGCGAGTGCCAATGGATGAGTGTTGAACCGGCTTGACTTACTCATAGCACTGCTTGTATAAGCCGTCCCATTCAGTCGGTGTGAAGGCGCCTATCATCTGTCGCATGTGAATGAGATCAAAGGGTTGACGCCATGTCCATTCCTGGAGGACGTCGTCAATTTCCAAGATGCAGTTTGGTGGGAGCCAGTCTACTGGCGGGGGGAAGAGGTCTACACCTCTGACGGTGGCTAGGCGGGTCAACATGCGAACTTGATGACTTGATGGGAATACCAGATGTATGCTTACCATCTGGGAACATATCGGATACATCGCTGTGTTTTGTTAATTGCTGTTCCTGGCTCGGGTGGAGTTCGCCTTACATGGCCCAATTGCCTCGGCCCGTTCCTATGTCCAGGATTTGCTGGAATTTGATCAGTCGGGGTTTTCATGGCTCTCTAAACCCGAGGGTATTTACCTTCGGGTCTTTCACTGGGGAGCGAAAGAGTGGATTGTCGCTGTTGGAGTCCAGTACGATACAGACCAGGTGACTGGGTAGGTCAGCTTATGTCCGCTACCCCAGGAGTATCAAACTCACCCTGCCTCCAAACTTTCAAATTGTTGCTCGTCGGATGGACACCTGGAATGTCGTGAGAAGTGGAAGATAATCAATGTGAGGCTCCGGTACTTACCATGATTGACCTTCCTTCACTGTCTGGTACCTGTGATTTTGTTAACACGCGATCTCGATGCATTCGAATATACACATACCGTCTTCCATTCTCGAATACTCCCCGATAGATGAACGATGCTAACGATGTCGTTTCCCTGTTTCCACATTAAAACGATTGATCTGACAGCACTGGATATACTCACGATGCATAATCGCTATCTACATAATCTTCATGTCCCAGATCATAATAATCCGGGTCCTACGTTGATTCAATATCGAACTCCACGTATATTGTCAGAGGGACTCTGTTCACTCACGACGTCGATCGATAATTCCATGGCTAATAGTGTATGGACAGTTCAAAGAGAAGACAGATTGCATTTTCCAAGCGAAGAATGCCATTATTTAACGGGGTTGTGGGTAGTCGCCAAAAGAAAAAAAAACAAAAGAACCACCAAAGCACCAAAGCACCAAACGCCAGGATTCGGTCTCGGCACCGGTACATGGCTCGTTCTGCATTAGTGCTCGCATGATGCTAAGAAACTGACCAACGGATTTCCGCCAGACCCCATGTTTTCTTTGTTCTTCGCACGCATGTCGACCGTTGCGTCCGGACGATCAGCCGGAGGATTTTCCCGCCCGCCAATCAGACGATGACGGGAAAGTTGGGGCGTTCTGTTCGGTACTTTGGTTTTCTTCATTGATTTCTGTATGGCGTCCTCTGTATTTCCAGGTGGTGTTGGCGAGAGGGGATAATTTCATGTCTGGAGGTATGCAAAGCTTGACGCATGTGGGAATACCTAGGTTGACAGGTATGTGCCCAGGGGTCAGCAGATCTCAGCCATGCTGTTCTACCTCCAAACCCCAAGGCGCAAGCTTGTTTTTGAATTTTCAGAAACACGAAAGACAAGGAGATCGGTCCATCGGCAATGCGGATAGTGCATGTGCAGGGTTGCGGGTGGCCTCTGATTGACCAGGAGAGGGATGCACCTCGTTCCGTGTGGAATCCTTACACGGGTGATGTTTTGGACATCTCAAAGTCCAGGAGCCCGTATAGCATGCAAGCCTTGGGGACTGTGAATGCAGTGTCGGCATAAGATATGAATGTGTGCATGGTACTATGCCCAAAGAAGAAGGTGAGTAGAGGAAGAGACACCGAGTCCCAGGCCGTCGTCTCCCCGAGTCAACCTTCCGGCAAAGCCCAATGACAACACATCCCCAATCCCACTCCTGTGTACTCTGTCCAGAGTATGAGGCTGACTTCTCTCTTCTCCTCTGAATTCCAGGATTTGCCTGGACTTAAGACAACGAGAAACTCTCCCCTCATCTGGTCCGAGCGTCAGCGCCAAATCACCGCCGGTCATTGGCCGCCGCCAGGAGAGCAGCACATCACCTTGCAAGAGCACATCGAACCAACCAACTTCCTCAATTACCCGCCCAGGGAGTCTGCACGACTATGCTGCACTGCTGATCGAATCGTGCTGCTTAAAAGAATGCCATAGCCACCCCAAGGCGGACTTCTCTTCTTTTCTTTCTTCAGCGAGCGTTTTGTGTTAGATCTGCCTATTCGAGTGATCCTGAGCACTGGTTGCCTGGACCTTTTTTTCTTTCTTTCTTTCTGTTCTATACTATTCTAATTATTCCCCTCTTTACTCTCAAACGAGCTGTGCTCTTTGAGATTCTGCCTTGCTTCGGACTTCCTCGAACTTGCCAACTTATTTACACAGTTCTACTTGTCGCCGGTCGACTTGCTTTGACTGTTCAGATCTACCAACAAACACGCATAATATAATCTCGCTCGATTATTCTTCTTTCTTTGTCGTGGACCGGTTCCCCGTCTAAGATCAACAAAGAGTCATCCGATACGTAACAACCAAACACTCTGGCAGTTTTAGGTTGTTTCTTGAATATACACTCTTGAACGCATCTTGCTCTCTACGACAACCTTTCAATCCAATTATCTTTTTTTTTTTTTGAATCCATCATGGCCGCCGTTCAACTGAAGTTCTCTCTCCGGACCTCGTCCAACGTCAAGACCGTCCACCTCGTCGGTTCCTGGGACAACTACCAACGCCAAATCCCACTCTCCGCCGAGACCAAGCCCGGCGCCTGGGTTGGCAAGTTCCGCTTCCAGACCTCAATGCTGCAACTTGGAGGCCGCTACTGGTACTACTACATCATGGATGGCTATCACGTCTCCCACGATCCAGCCGTCGAGTACACCGTCGAGCCAACCACCGGCCGCAAGCTCAACATCCTCGATGTCCCCGGCGGCAAGCCCACCCGCTCCGCACCCAAGGCTTCCCGCGCCGACATCGCCACCGGCCGCGCCCTGTCTCCCTCGCGCATCCACCACCCAAAGCCAACAAAGCACTACGCTTCCCGCCAGCTCCGCGAAGCCGACTTCGCCCCAACCGTCGACGACCTGACCCGCCGCTTCGCCGGCTCCCGTCTGTCAGATGAGTACTCCTACTCCAACAGCCCACCCAGCTCCGCCGGCTCCTCTCTCTCCTCCCGCTCCTCAGGCTCCACCTCCCCTTCCTCCCTGTCCTCCATGAGCGACCCCCAGTCCACTGCCGCTGCGAACGCTACGGCATCACCCGCAAGGGTGACCGCGTCAAGCTCGACTGTGGTGGTTCCCGCTGCGGATACCTAACCGAGTCCTCCGATGACAGCTGCTCCGAGTCCGAGTACGAGAGTGACGAGGAATACTGCCGTGCCCGCAACGCCGTCCGTCGCCAGGGTATCGTCGTCCGCCGATAGAGTGCCGATTTGTAGGCGGGGGTTGGAGCTTCCGTTGGAATCTGCACCTTTGCTTGGGGATTTTTCTTTGCTCGGATTTTGTTTTGTTATGCGCTTTGGTCGTGTCCGGATTTCCGTGTGACTTGGCCAAGGTGCATTTTGATTTGGATTTTTTGTGAAAAACTTAAATCTCAAAAAAATAGCCCGGAGCCGTGCGTGGACTGGTTTCGCGGTGCGTGATGGGCGGGGATGATAATTCGTCTGGGGGGATGAAGGGGTAAGGAGGTTGGAGAGGAATTGTGGAAGAAGACGAAGAAGACGAAGAAGACGAAGAGAAGAAGGACATCACCTGCCTCGATGTCACTGACAACGTCCATCCTGGATCTCCAGTTCCAGCCTCACGGACTCCGACAAGCTTATCTTGCACCCAGTCGAGAGCCGAATGACCGGGACAAGCCATAAGAACGACAAGATCCGCTCTGAGCCTCTGGCAACAGCAGGCTCAGCCAAGCGAGCACGAAAAACGGCATCTCGTCAGCCAAAGAACATCGTCGATGTCATGGGCCGCACGGTTCTATGCTTTGGTTTAGGTCTTACTCTGAGATGCCATGAATAATGAGATATGACCTGCATTTGTCCCCCGTATAGGTAGTCTGCTTTCGTAAATGGATTTTTGAAACACTGTTAGCATACTTCTTTGTAGGTGTTTACCGAGTATCCTCTAATAACCCCGGTTACAGCTAAGAACGTAAAGCTCTCTCTATGCAACCCCGTCTTATTGTCTTTGGACTCTAAACGAGATACACTAGGGACCACAATCTTCGAGTCTGACGGCAATACTACGAAAGAAAGATAGGTTAGATTACCTTGACGTCTCAGGTTACAAACATTCATTTATGACCAAAAAGTAAATCTGATCATCAAGTCACTGCCAACTAAATCTCTACGCAGGAAAGAAAAGCTGCACATAAAGTGATTCAACTATGTAGGGCCGAAAATGCATGGCCAATGATCCTCCCTAGACGCCGCGAAACAGGCCAAGCAGATGCGCATTTTTGCAGGAGATCATTAAAGTACAACGTACAAAGGTGGAAGAAAAAAAAGGGTTAGCAAGAAAGTGCACGCAGCTCAGCGCACGGACACCCCGGAGCGATCAGTGAACATCCGGGCGGCGATGTTCATAGAGGCCAGCTCTTGGAACAACAGCTTGGCGGCGTAGGGGATGTGCACCTGGGAGATGCGGTGCTTATTGTTGCAAAGACGGCACTCGAAGAGACCCTTCTTCAGTTTCCTGTAAAATTGTCAGTTGTGCGACGAAAAGGGAAGTAGAGATCGGAGATAACTTACGCAACTGGAGTCATCAGGCCACAATCGTCACAAATATGAACACGGAAGGGATCAGATACGTCGAAGAGACGTTCCTTCAAGAAAGCACTGGCACCGTGTGCAATCATGCAATCACGTTCCATCTCTCCGAAACGAAGACCACCATCACGGGCACGACCCTCCACAGGCTGACGGGTTAAAATCTGGGTAGGACCACGGGCACGAGCGTGGATCTTGTCGTCCACCATGTGGCGGAGACGCTGGTAGTAGGTGGGTCCCAGGAACACCTGTGCCACCAGCTTACGACCAGTGTGGCCGTTGTACATAACTTCGAAACCACGTGATTGGTAACCATGTTCACGCAGCAAACGGGAAACTGAGTCGACGGTGACATCAGTGAAAGGAGTAGCGTCACCCTCGAATCCGCGAAGTGCAGAAACCTTGCTGAGCTGACATTCGATCAAGTGAGCAATGGTCATACGAGACGGAATGGCGTGAGGGTTAATAATAAGATCAGGCACAACACCTTCCCGCGTGAAAGGCATGTCCTCCTGTCGGTAGGTGATACCGATGGTACCCTTCTGACCGTGACGAGAGGCGAACTTGTCACCAATCTGGGGAATCTTGGTGGTACGCATTCGAACCTTCACGAACTTCAGATCGTCGTTACCAGTGGAGATCAACACTTGATCAACAATACCGTTCTCGGTACTACGCAGAGGCGTCGACACATCAATCTTTGTGTGTGCCTTCGTGCGCTGGCCGAGCTCCTCCGCATCAGCGGCCAACGGAGCTGTCTTGCCGATAATGATATCATCTCCAGAGACACGGACACCGGGAGCAACGATGCCGTCCTCGTCCAACTTGTCATAAGTACCCTTGCGCATGCCAAGGGTATCCAACCGCATAGGTTTCTCGAATCTCTCCACAACCTGCAGTCCAACCATCTTCTCAGTATCGGCGTAGGTACGGTAGAAGAGACTACGGAACAGGCCACGATCAATACTGCTCTGGTTCATAATAACGGAATCTTCCTGGTTGTAACCAGAGTATGTCGCAATGGCGACAATAGCATTCTGACCGGCGGGCAACTCTCGGAAACGCAAGAACTCCATTGACCGAGTGGTGGCCAAAGGTTTCTGGGGGTAGTAAAGAATGTTGGCCATGGTCTCCATGCGCTGCGCAAAGTTCGTCAAAAAGACACCCATGGCTTGTTTACCCATGGCAGACTGATAGGTGTTACGGGGGGACTGGTTGTGATCGGGGAAAGGAATGATACTGGCACAAACACCCAAGATCATACTGGGATGAATCTCACAGTGGGTCCAGGTGTGCGCGCGCTGGCTGAGAATCGACCGAACACGCTTATTGGGGTCTGCTGTTTCATCTTCTGGCAGAGCATAACCGGCCTGAAGTTGTCGGGAGATTTCGAGATCTTCGGGAGTCATGACGATCATAATTGTCTCCTCCTCTTCTGCGTCGACGTACTCTACTGCACCAGAGCGCACTAGACCATCCCATCCAAAGTAATTATCCCGACGTTCTTCTGGGGCCAAATCCACAGGGAGATCCTTGTCGGCCTCGAGCTTTCGGATGTGCTCTTTGTTGAGGACCAATCCACCAGAGTTCTCGCTCTTGGGATCGTTGTCAATAACGAACAGAGGTCGGCAAACACGTCCAGTATCAGTGAAAATCTTGAACTCTCGTTCACGAATGTCACGAATCAAACTAACTTCGTGAGAGATCATGTTGCGTCGACGAAGATTTTGCATGGTAGTGACAAGGTGCGAAGGATCCCGATGAATACCGACCCAGACACCATTGACGAAAACCTTGGTCGCGTTGGGAGTCACTTGGGGTTCGAACTCCTCGAGAACTTCCATGTTGCGCTGAATCATGAAATCAACGATGGGGTCGGCAGGTGTACCGACAGTGATATAGCACATCAGTGCCAAGTTCTTGACCAAACCACAAGCTTGACCTTCGGGTGTTTCAGCAGGGCAGACCAAACCCCAATGAGTGTTATGAAGCTGGCGAGGCTTGGCAATCTTTCCATCTCTTCCAATGGGGGTATTTGTTCGGCGAAGGTGAGATAGAGATGAGGCAAATGTGTAACGACTCAGCACCTGAGACACACCAGCCTTAGCGGAAGCAGCCTTCTTCTGCTCACCCCAGTTACCAGTAGCAAGGGCATATTTCAATCCACCAGTCAACGTGCTGGCCTTGATACCGATGTTGAGATAAATTTCACGGTTAGTCTCAACACATCGCTGCACGTAGCGCTGAAGGTCTTTGGTGACACGGGCGAACAGAGTACGGAACAGACTGGCCAAAAGTGGACCAGCCAAGTCAAGTCGCTTCTTACCGAAGTGATCACGGTCATCAACATCGCGACGACCGAGAGCGCACTGGAGCAGCCGGTGTACCATATATCCCAAGAAGAAAGCTTTGCGGGTTTCACTGCCATCGCTCTGCGAGATGTGGGGCAGCAACTCCTTTTGCATGATATCGCGGGCATAGCGTACACGGCGATCGTGATTCAGATTCGTCTGTGAAGAGCCACGCTTGGCAATGAAATCCAAGGCAACCTCACGGTCTTGGATTACGAAGCCCTCTTCGATACACGGCTTCAACATCTCCAACATCGGAGTGTCGTTGCGGTCGTAGCAAATGTGGTTCAGGATGTCTTCGTCGGAAACGACGCCCAGCGCACGGAAAACGACGACAATTGGAATATCGGCCTTAACATATGGAAGTGTTGAGCGGATTGTCGGGCCAAATCCTCCTTTGGCACTGTCGCCCTTGGCGAAAAGCTTTAACGTGAGTGACGAAAGCATGCGTGAGCCCTTCTCGACTGCACTTCTAATTTCGGCAATATAGGGTGTTGGGCTGGGGGAGCCTTTTTGAAGACCTGGACGATGTTGCCCGCACTACGCTCCTGCGCAATCAAAACCTTCTCACTTCCGTTAATGACGAAGTAACCGCCAGAATCATAAGGACACTCGTTCCAGGCGTAAAGGGACGATTCGTTAAGATCCTTGAGAATACAGTACTTGGATTTCAGCATGATGGGCATCTTTCCGATGAAGACTGTCTCCTCCTTCATCTGCTCTGGTGGCAGCTGCTTTGTCTGCCAATCAAGGAACGTGCCTTGAGGTTTTTGTTCACCATCATCCTCATTTTCGTCATCGTCATTAGGTTTTCCCATGATCTCACGAGCTTCCTGAATCTTTTTTGTAACACCGAGGTAGAGTGGAGACGCATATGTAAGGTTTCGGAGACGAGCTTCTTGTGGCAACATGATCGTGGTCGCACCATCGCCTTCTGTCACAGATGGTCGCGAAAGCATGACAGTGCCGAATTTGAGCTCGTAGCGGCGAACAACGACGGGGTCAACTTCATCTTCGGAGGGGGGCAAAGTTTGGTCGAGAACCACCTGGCCTTGCTCCTCAACAAGCTCCTGCATAGTGGATGAAATGAATTCATCGAATGAGTCTAGCTGTTGGGAGACAAGACCCTTCGAGTCGAAAAAGGACGAAATCACCGTCCAACAGTCCTCGGAGGTGATGCCCTCATCCGCCTCCTCGTAAAATTCCTCCTCGTATGCATCATCGTAGTCGGCCATGTTGTCGGTGAGGTGGTATCAAGTATCGATTGAAAGAAAGGGGAGGAAATGGAAAAGGAGGAACAAAAGCGCGAGGCGCGTCGGCGTGGGAGTAAGTCTCCGCGAGAATCGCCCAACGCGCTGAAACGGTCGCCTATCAGTTTCAGAAAAGGTGGGGTTGTCAGAGTCAGAAGAGTCAGAGACCCAGAGGCGGATACAGAAAGCAAGTCTGACAAACTGGGGGGATGAAAGAGAGACTCCCCGACAATACGGCGATGAAGGGACTGATCTCCAGACGCTTGATGCTTCTGAGCCCGCTGTAATACGCTAGGCTCGATGTGGTAGATTTCACGTGATATGGTCACACCGCCCAGGCAAACAAGACGAAGACTAAATCCATAGTAGGCACGTGATTCGAGGTCATCTAGACAAACATGCTGAAGTATAGAAAGGTAATTTCCGGTGGAGTGCTATACGTGTATGTGTTGACAGTGTACATGAAGGTATGAGTTGGTGTGGAGCTTCGGAACTAGGAACTCTGAGGTTGAGGCTACCTACCGACATAAGCACGTACGTGCGTCCATCATATAGTTAAGGTGAACAACATGATATGTCCGAGGATCTCTGCAAAGACTAAATGGTCAAGAGCTGGACGCTTAAATGGATATATTCATTAGATAGTACAACGTATCAGAATGCCCTGGTGTTTCACAAAAACTGCAAAAGGGTGCTTAGCATCTCCTTCAGATCTTGATGGCCTGCATCCTCCTCATTAAGCCCTTCCAGTTGTTCTATTAGAGTTAGCTCTGCCCAAAAAACCAGGTAGTTTGATGGAATTTACTCACCTTGTAAAGTACTGCGGACCAAAGATAAATCCTCATCGCGGTCTGCAAGAACCGAGACAATCTTCGCCTTTGCTCCATCGTCTTCAGCGAGTAGCCATGCTAGAATGACATCAATGGTCTAGGTTAATTAGCAAAAAGGGAGGGAAAAAGGAACGCCTATCAAGTACTGGAATGGAGACTTACCTGTAATGAGAACAAGCCCGCATCAAATCGCCTAGACAGCCACTCGCCAGCCATGAGTTCTTGCTCCTCCTTGGCAAAGGCTCTGCGCTCTTGTTCGATGGCTTGCTCGACAGGCGAGACACGTGCAGCATATTCGCGCCTAAGTTTGATAAGCTTCTCAATTCTCGCATAGTCCTTTTCCATGAATTTGGCCAATGTGCGGATGCGAGGCCCCGAACCACCAGGGAGAAGACGGAGAAGGGAGGCGAAGATTCCAAGGAAATGTTCGATGCTTTGACTCTCTTGCTGTTTGGGCATTAGTGAGATCCAATAAGACCGGGATATGATGATATTACCTTCTTTGAGAACATGCCGAAGACTGTCTTGAGGCCAGCTGCTTCCACCAATCTTTCACACGCCGGCGCACCTCCAGTTCCACCCAGGACATGGTCAAGAACTCTCAGTGCACGTGGTTTGCTGAATTTGCCCTCCCTGAGCATGATCAGTGCGAGTTCAATTCCTTCGGCTTCCACGAATTTCTCCTTCCCTAAATCTTCTTCTACAAGGCAGATGAGTGCGTCAAATAGATTCTCCGCGAATTCTTCCTCATCAGAGTCCTTAACCGGGTCTCTTTTGCGATACGCACTAAGGAGCTGGAGGAGAACATCAATACCATCGAGCTCAATGAACTTCGTGCGGTTATTTGGAGTAGACTGGAGAAGGATTGCAAGTATCTCTGCGGCATATTGCTTGTTTTGGGTGACTGCTGCCTCTTTTTGCTGAATGCGAGACAGGATCCATGGTAAGATTGCAGCGTCCTTTCCGATTGTCTCTGCGTGTGCCGTCTGGGAGGCCAGGTTTTCAAATACGCCTGTGTTTAATTAGTATTTCCTCAAATGACCCAATATTTCATGAGTTTAGAGAACTTACTGAGCACATAGTACACTCCCGCACGATCCGTTTCAGACCCTTCATCAAGTCGGGAGAGATTCTGGGCCAACAGTTCGATAAGATCCGCCTCCATCTAGAGGTTTGTTAGGGCCTGAATTCCCAAATTATCATATCTCCACATACCATCGCATTGACCAGGGCATCCCATTGCACTTGCTCTGTCTCCACGTCTTCGTCTGTCAATTCGCCGATGATCTGGATTGCATCTATCGCGATGTCGGCGTTCTCGTGCGCCAACAGGGAGGTCAAGGATGCCACACATCCCATCTTGGCAAATTCCTCGTATAATTCCGAATGCTCAGATAAGATTGACAAGCCCTTAATCTCAGTGTCGAGATCGGCCTCGGAAGCCATGAACCTGCAGCTTAATGAGCACATGCACCTCAGAGGCAGCTAACCCATCTTTCACATACTTTTGTGGATCGCTTTCAAACTTTGCGCGTAACTCGGCGTTTTTGGATATCTTGCGCTCGAAATTCAATGCGAAGCGGCGCACCCACGCAGAGTCAAAGACCTCGGGCTAGATTAACGTACGGTCAGTATTTAGAGAAGTATACCGTGTGCCGTAGGACCCATACCGGAGCCTCAACTTCTTGTTGATCGATGTATTCCATTGCTTGGGCTGTTTTGTGTTCCATTCCACCGCCGAAGAAACGGCCTTCCTCGTCGTCCGGGATATCTTCCTCGAAGTCTGGAGGGAGCTCGGGTCCAGCTTCCCCGTCGTCAATATCGTCCTCCACCATTGGCGCTTTACCCTTAGATCTTGCATCGCTACTTGGATCTAGCTTCGCTGATTTATACAGCTCATCTTTGCGGTATTGTTAGAATGTTGCGACCAACGTAGTTATGGTGAAAGGGCGTACTTGGATCTTGGATGGGCTCAAACTTGCGCTTAACGCTTCCGGTAGAGGATGGTTTCTTATCGAGTTAGATTCGGCTTTGATTCTATCCATAGAGTCGAAACTCACTTTAAAGAGCTCCTCGACATTGGTCATGATTGCAGTGGTTCACGCGCTTGATTGTCAGGCAACGAATGGCCCCCGGTCTGCTATGCGTGCAAGAAAAGAGGATATGACTTAGCAATGCAGATATCAAGAAGCGGTCTGCACCCGGTAAATTGAGAAATATAACAGTCTCCAAGGACAGTTTATTCGGACTGTCGCTGTCGCATCGTTCATTCTGCGCGGGCGAAAGAAATACGGTTGCCGACGGAAGCTAAAGACGCAGTGACGCCAAGCGTTCCGAAGCCGCAGATTTCTCGACGTCCGATCATCCATCCAACATCAACTTCACTCAACGTGTTCATCACTTCATCCTTCACTCCTCACATCGCAGAAAAAATGGCCCCCAACCAGCGCCACGTTTCCGCCGGCTCTCGTCCCCAGAAGGGCTTCATCAGCACCATCTACGACGAGGCCACCAACCCCGAGAACAAGACCATTGTCCGCAGCCTCGTGATCTTCGGAGTACGTTGTTATAACTCGCTTCGTCATTCCCGTGTGATGCATAAAACTTACGTGTTATTCTCTAGGCCGGTATCGCGTTCCTTCACTCCAGCTTCGGAGAGTTCCTCCTTCCTCCGTAAGTCCGGACCATCCTGACAATGATTCCATCGCAATCCATGCCATGAATATCTTCTAACTCCATGCAGTATGTAAAATCATTACACCTTCTATTCCTCCGGCGATACGGCTCGGACTTTCTCTTTTCAAACCTGCGGAAGCATATCGGCGTCGGTCAAAGGAAAATATATGATGCACAGGCATCTCTCGCTCGGTGGTTTTTCGATTGGATAATTTGTACAATATATCATTGGCAGGACATGTGTTATCCAACGTGTTCTGTCCAGACTCGAACTTCATGAATATCAGGAATTTTGCCATATGCTGGGTATCCAGCGGCGTGGTACAATCCAATTGTTGGTCTTTGATTTCTATGACACAGTTCTAGAAAATGTGAGATCCTTGAACCGACTCTTGGGGGGCGATCGGTCCAGGTCTACCGAGAACGTTCATCGACTGCAGTGTTGTTAGCGAATAGGAATATCCAGAATCAGATGGGCGGCACTCAATAGAAAACACCAAGGTCAACCTTCAAACGAAATCAAAGATGCGATCTTTTTTGCAACAGAGGGTCCCGGTCTACCTAGACGTTATCCAGGCCTGTCGTTGATACCTTTGATTCTGGTGCGGTAACGAATACTCTCAATTTCGCCCAGATAAGTCTAGGCCGGGAATTGGTTCATCAGGTATCAAACATGATTAGAACTTGGTACGGGAGGTTATCTAGATCTTGATATCCTAGTTGTTGCGCTTTATCTCTTTTTCCGCTTCTGGGGTAAGGGCGAATATACTCAGATGTACAAATTTGACAAGTTAAATACATATATCAGTCAACATTCCAAGCCCTACCTTTTTCAAAGCATCTGCCGTCCGATGAAGAAAAATGACAGATAACGACACATAAAGGTTGTGTTGAAACCTAGAAGTACTCTCCAAACTCAGTACGGAGTAGGCAGTGCGGGTATCTATGTATCAGCTTGGAAAGATTGCCCAGGCATTAGCACAGCCCATCAGGAGTCGAGTTTTGGTATAATTTGTTGCCATAGCCATACTGGTCGAAAACATCGGCAGGACTTTAGGAGGTTATCTTAAAACCCATTTTGTTTCTCGTAAGATTGTCCTTGGATAACGGTATTTAACTATAGAGTGTGGAGACAGACATATATCCATACCTATCAAAGCCGCGGCAAATCCGTTTTATATAAGAGAGCGAATAAACTAAAGGAGATGACTTTTAGAGTAAGAGCTAAAATACTGATATCTAGATCGTACCAATTATATTGCAGCAAATTGCAAGTCACGAATGGGAAGAAAAGAAGCGATACATATTAAACGGATCGCGGCGATCTCCCCGGGCGCCAAGCCCCCGCAAAATAACCCCCCTCCCCACACATAGCCCCGGTTCCGAACACCGCCTTGCGGGTTTGGACAACGGCTTATTTTGTCGTATTAACTGCCCAAGTGTCCCTAAACTGAACATTGTGTACCTTCTATTCACAACTAAGGTCACATGAAAGACCTTGCATAGGAGGTCATGTCTTCAGGTCCCGCTGCCAAGCGCAGGTTGTCCGAGTCTCGCATCGAACCTGCAACGAAACGCCACCATATTCATGGATATGATCCGCAGACCCCCTGGCTACATAATTCAGAGCCTGCCGGTATATGGCGGACACGCGGGAACTCAGATGTGTCTCACGCATTGCCTCTATCAAATATGTTGTCCGCCGTGAAAGATTTGATAGACCCTGACTTCGATCCACTGACGGCAATCCTGGAAGATGAGCCTAGGTTCCTGAAGCCCTTACCGGCTCGCATTGCCGCAGAGGATCTGGAATTCTTGCGATTCCGCGGCGCACTTTCACTTCCAGAGAGTGGGTTGCGGGATGAGCTTTTACGCTGTTATATTCAATGGGTACATAGTTTCATGCCAGTCTTGAACTTGCAAGAGCTCTTACGATGCGTGGCTGAAAATGACCCGGAAGGAAATATCAGCATCTTACTGTTCCAAGCTATCATGTTTGTTGGCACGGCTTTCGTCGACCTAAAACATCTGCAGGATGCTGGGTATTCAACCCGCAACAAAGCTCGTAACGCGTTTTTTACTCGACTAAGGGTTTGTTTCTACCCAAGCCGTCTTATCAACATCCGACTAATGTCTGATTTATAGTTAATTTATTCTCTTGATTGTGAAGAGGATCGTATTGTGATCCTTCAAACAGTGCTATTGATGACCTATTGGGCTGATTCGGAGAATAATCCCCAGAGAGATATCTGGGATTGGATCGGAGTCTGTAACACGCAAGCACAATCAATTGGGTTGAATAAAGACCCTGCGTCCGGCAATCTTGACGTACGGACTAGACGGCTTCGTTCTCGGCTCTGGTGGTGCATGCACTCTCGAGATCGGTTGATCGCCATGGGCATGCGGCGCCCACTGCAGGTGAACGATGGAATGAGCAACGTTCCAATGCTCAGTATGGAAGATTTTGATTTCGAACCATTTTCTCCATCAGTGGTGGCCAAATTTCAGTGTCGCCAACTCCAAGATGTGTCACATCAGAAACGCCTCGCCACAATGTTCATTGAGAAAACGAAACTTTGTCAATGTATTGGCAGAGTATTATTCGCTCAATACACACCATCACAACGTCAATTTGGAACTACAACTAGAACTACGGTCACCCTCGTCCCTCGACAGGCATCCGAGTCTGAGTTTACAAGGTGCGGTCAGAAACTGGAGTCATGGCTCAGTGCTCTCCCTAAAGATGCACAATATATCCCAAACTCTGGAAAGAGTTTTTGTGATGGGGAGGACGTGCTGTTACTACACGGTGCAATGTTGCGTATGCTCTACCATGCCACCACGAGTGCACTTCACCGGCCTTGGACGAATGCTTCAAAGGATAAATCCAAATCGCGGACTGATCGGTGTAACGATTCCCGAACAAAAATGAATGAAGCGGCTGCAGGGATCACACATATCATGCAAGGACTCAATCAGCTCGACCTCACCAGATTCCTGCCACAGTCTGGTGTGACTGTGATTTTACCTGCCGTTGTCGCGCACTTGTCGAACACTATGTCCGACAACCCCGCCGTCCGTGAAAGCAGCGTCTACAATTTCCATCGTTGTATTCAGGTCCTCCATTGTCTAAAAGATATTTATCCAGCTGCCGACATGGAGATTGCCAACATTGAGGCGGCCATCAAAATGCAGTCAAGCGGCTCCGGTACCTTCTTCCGGGTTATGGAATACAACCTTGACGCCCCTTCCACATCTCTGACAACCAGAAAACCAAGTAATGCCGCCAGCACCACAGAGCTTCAGTCTGATCCGTCCGTATCTGAAACACATGTGCCTGAAAATAGGACCCCCATGCAGCAAGGTCAAACCTCGTCCATCCAAAAAGATCAGCAACGAAGAAGACCCAGCATACAAAACGCACATAAACCCCCGCCGCCTCTATTCCCCAACGATTATGACCAGTACTCCGGCTTTATTGGTGTTGAGAACAACCCTTTCAACTTTTTATCCCTCGACGTCGACTTCTTCCCTGATATCCTTTCTTTTGCCAATCCATCCAACGACAAAACGCCTGATAACCAATATATATCACCTCCACCCCAAGACCAAGAGTCCACCGATTGGGCACAAGAGCTATTCCGAGACACCGACCTAACCCAATTCGGTAACTTGGATACCTTCGGCAAGCCACAAAATACGAAGCCTCGGGCGGATCAAGACCAAGAGGAGCATGATCTTGATCCATTCTCTTTCGCCTTGAAAGACGCAGATTATGTTAGCCCATCACGCCACCAGTCAACGAGTGATACAAGGGCTGGTATCACCGGTGATTTGGATCGGGACTTGGGTTTCCAGTCTGAGGATGACATGTTCTAGTGTACATATAACTGGGGGTTTGTTTCTTTTGGGTTTTATTCGTGCCTTGAGCGGGGGATTCTTTCATTTTTGTTTCTTTAGCGAAGCAGGCATAACTGTTCTGTTGATATCCATATGTATTGGATTAAAAAGGATTCCCTGGGTTTCAAGGCAGGGTTTGACGCAGACAAAACGCAGACTCTGCATAAATGTGCAACAATGTTCTTTATCTACATAGAGATAGACCGCCTGCTTGGGTAGATTTGCCCATAAATAATCAGTTTCTCTTAGCCATAAATCTCAGATTTTCTCTTCTCTTGAACCCTCTTTCTAGGTCTATCCACACTTATTTCTAAGGAAGAGCCATATCTATTTGGCTCCCTCCAGTAGAACGCACTTTGCCTGGAGGGTCACAACGTGCCTTCCTAAATTGGACAAACCATGGAGGGAAGGTGCGATCTTCTCCGGGGACGACATATAAAATCTCGCTCACGCCTCTTTACCGACCTTGACATCTCCCTTCATCTACAATAAGTCCACCTACATTATGAAACCCCGTTCCAACCCCACGCATCTCCAGTGCTGGCACCCCCCACATGAATAAGTGCAAGTGTTAGTTTTCAGGCTGCCCCGGAGACTTCGAAATCTGGGAGCTTATACGAATAAGCCTGTAGATGAGGAATCCTTCCGACACGGATTGCCAATTTTGCCACCACCAGCCTGTCAACGCCAGATACACGCGTCCAAGAACCAAGAGAACTGTCAGCATCCTGAGAGGACCTTAACGCTGTCTACACTCTCAACAACAAAACACTGAACATTTCTTTGACACCTCAATGTGACGCCGCCTTATTGGAAGTGTGATGTCACAATTTTGAAACTGAGTCCATCAAGCACAATCTGTTACAGTCTTTCATCGACACACATTCTCCATTTCACTTCACTGTGAATCTGCTGTTTGGGTCTCCATAACCGCTACTTAACTTCAATTTTGGTCGTTCCCCCCCAATATAGAAAGCTCTCAATTCATCGGCTTCTACAACAGTCAACCTCGCGTCTCACAAATCCACTGCTCCTGGGGACCAGCCTTTGGCGATTTAATAGATCTTCCACCAGAATGGAGATATTTGTCACGGAAGCTTCGTCTATATTGAAAGTATTACTTTCTATTTTACCGTCCCCCTAGTGTTGAACGCTCAATGTCCACTAGCATGAAAAGGAATGAACTTGGCTCTTGGTCTTGCACCAACTGGACAAAGTGGACAACTCATTCCGCTTCTCGCAAAGGACTGCAAAATCGAGAAAACTGAATATCAGTAGCCTCTCAAAGTGATTTTCAAACTATGAATTGGCACACGAGATGATACGTGAACAGTGTCGACTCACAGACTCACATTATGGCGAGTTGGCGGCCCCCAAAAACGCCGGCAAGGACTTCTCAATGAGCCAACTGGACGATGGCCTCATCTGCTGCGAGGGCTTGCCTCGAAACAATCCTTGGTGTCGGAATGACGTTTTTTGAACTTTCAGGATCAGGCCATCAACTCTTGGAGAGCGAAAGACGGGCAAAGGACAAATGAGAAAATCCCGTGCAAATTTCCATCAACAAACAACCCTGCGATCCTGATCAACGAACAAAGACTCTTCAAATACATTCGCCATTGTCTGATAAGGAAATGGACCGTAACCATATTCAAATCCAAGTGACGATTGCCACATTGGTTTGTCGATGTCCAGTTGAAACCACTATACAAGAAAAATGCAGCTTCAACCGCCTATATGCCGTTTCTTTTCGCCCAGCACTCGTCATGGATCCTCCCTCTTTTATGGCTTGCCTACGGTCGCCGATGATTCCATTAATAGGGCTCAACGTGTGAAAAGAGCCAACCAAGAGGCTTCGCTCAGCAGGATTTCCGTCTGCTTTTTGGCCCAGGAAATCAAATGGAATCTAGGTGCAAAGGAATTGTGCTTGTAGAGTCCATTCTCTATCCCAAGCCAGAAAATGCTATCATCCGGGGAATCACTTTCTGTCACATCCTCTCTTGACTTGAGTTGATCTTGTTTTCAACACTCTTTGCTATATACATACAACTATCGGTTAGCCCGTTCTCGGTCTCAAACGACAGATCGAGAAATCATCCGAGCTGGTCTGTGGAAAAGCTCCGGTCTTCGCTCCGATATTACTGATTCCAACTGATCATATGAGCATCCGTGGACTTCCATCGTCTGATGATATACAAAACCACAAAGGCGATTGTGAATGTTCATATTGCTTTGATTGCCTTAAATCCTTTGCGGATATGCCTCGGCAGAAGAAGAAATTATGGCCGAGAACGCGGCTGATAAAGCTGTCTTGCAGAAAGGTTGATATCTTAGATATGACTTGATGCTTTCGGGCACTGTGCATGATTTAGCCCGAATCCGGGGAGTATTGAAATGTGTCTTCAAATTCCTTCGAATGGTCTGGCGCTAGAGCATGTGGTATGGGTTTCATCTCATCTATCCTATTCTGAGCTCGCTTGTGGAGGACATACAGCTCGTTGAAGAAGAGTCGAAGTTACAATATCTCCCCATATCTGCAGCCAGTTCGCCTTGAACTTTATATAGTGGCCTACATCCTTTTTGGCCAGCTCCAAACGCATCTGGGGACAGCTATGGAGAGTTTACAGTCTACACATGAAGACGTTTTGCGTGTCATAATGAATGTCCATTGTGGTACTCCGGTTGTTCCTGGTTCAGCAGACGGGAGTCTGTCATGTTCCGAATCATGTTGAAATTGCTGAACATGGGAAATTTGGGGACGTTTCCCACTTTCTCACCTTACAAGATGCTGCTTAGAAGGAACAAGGCAAGTTTGAGCCACAGGTCCTCACGGGCAATCTCGAGTGAAACTCTTGCATCTAAATGCAGAAGACCACCCAGTGTTGGTTCATAGGCGTTTTGTCCTTTTCTGTCCGGCTTAAATGAGTTCGAGGAAAATCCCATCACTTTTCCCTTTGTCTGACCGACGGACACTCCAAGCTTGATTGCAATATTTAGCCCCCCAAAATCAAGTTTGAGAAAGGTTACGATCCCTTCCAAGCCCGAAGCCTGCATTATGGGAGACATCATCCAACGGGGACTGCGATCAACGAAATATCGAGTCCTCGCCTCGATGAGCACAAGTTGCCTTCACATTGTGCTCAAAAGATCTAGTGACTAGATTCATGGCAACAAATACCTCTTTTCTGCTTTTTTGTGAAGACACCCATCGTCATATGTTGAGTTACCCGTGGATACACCTTGTTGGAGCTTGGCCTTACGGATATTTCCGGTTCCTCAAACCAACAGGGCCATCAAGCGATTGAGGAAAGTCGCAACCCGCATACTGGTTTCCTTGTTGTCCTTTTCACTTTTCCAAATCAGCCATAGACAGTTTGCTGGCTCACGAAATCACCTTCAGTTGCCTTGGAATGTGAATTTGGACATACAGATCTTTGAAAGCCCTAATCCTCTACTCTTTTGGTTTCCATGCCCTAGTGTGCACACCTCGTGACATTTCGGGTCTGATCCCCATGCCCGTTCTTTGTATCGGCTGGGCTATTTTGATGGACCTCCCTGGCCAAACTTACAAAAATGGTGAAGTTTGGTGAAGGTGCAGGGCCACTTCAACTCGTCTGCTCGCTCAAGTGAGTGGCGTGCTTGGCCACAAAATTCTGGGGAGGAGGAGAGTCGAAATAAGAATAAGCCTGGCTCAAATCAGGGAAAAGAGAGGACTACAAACTCCGACAATCACAGGCCGCGCAAGGAGAGCCCTAGTACCCGTTCAGGCAGCGAGAAGTCCGCATCTCAAAGGAATCATGAACAAATAAGAAAGAATAGCAAGCATCTATACACCGAACCATCATAAAGGGAGCCCATCACATTTCCAGATTACCACAATGGCTGACCCAAAGCCAGAGCGCTCTGGGAACACTCATGCTCAGTTGACCATCACGATCTCGCAGTCATTGTGTTGCCTGACCTGCGTCAGTTTGAGCGTGGCTGTCTGAATCGAGGACAATCTCAAGTCTGGGTTCTGGGTCCCTTTCACATAGCTCGTATTCTCAATCTCCAACGAGGGACAATTTCAACCCGGCAATGGGACGCTTTTGCCTTACTAACCGACAGTATCAATACAAGACAGGTATTCTCGGATGGGTTTTCAAAGGGCGGTATTCTCGCATTCTTGGCATGAAGAGCGAAATCGCCTCTGTGTGGTGTCTGGCTACTTGGACATCTTGAGCAGTACTAAGAGAGAAAGCCCGCTCATCAACAACAATACCATCACATCTCGTTGAGATACTGCTATAATAACTGCTGGATTCGAGGAAATACTTAGGATATTATGTTTCCCTTCTGTCCCTTATTATACTGTATACTCTGTCGGTCTAAACTCACTTCGCCCATTGTAGGAGTGGTGACGGGTACTGGTGTACTCTTGTTGTTGCTGCGATGGTTGTCCTGTTGGTCCTGAGACTATGACTCGGCGCTGTGGGGAGAGTTTACAGATGTTTTTTTAAGCTCTTCATCTGACGAGAGAAATATAGTCTTCCGACACAAAGCCCAAGGAGGATTATTTTCTCAACTATCTCATTTTGTCTAGCTACCGTCGAGTGCTATGGGTTGGTTGGACCGAGCTAGATATACCCAATGGAATACAACCACCGTTTATTTCACACAAGTTGTCTTTTATATATCACGATGTAGGATATCAGCTTCATGATGGACAAAACCCTCAGGTGTCGGGGTTTGCATATACAGTCCAGTCGCAGTGTCTCCTTCCACGCGCCTTCATCTTCCCACACTTCATTCATCCCGATCCAACCTCTCTCTTAGACACTCCATGCTTACATTAAATGCATACATTCCGTGGATCCAATTATCAATCTACGCACAATGAACACCTATGATCCAGACGTAAGCATCACCATGTATTTCATGTACACCCACTAACCCCAGGGGGCCTATCCCCATTACAGGATGCGACATACAACGGAAGCCCTCAGCCCAACAACCTCAATCACACCAATCCCAATCCCACGGAATTCATCCCACCAGGCGTGGAACAAATAATCTCACGAAGCACCTGCCACATCGGGAAACTGAACGAAAACACCGTCCTAAAATACGCCCCCAACCACAACAGCCCTCTCGACCTAATGACCATCAAGATCGAAGCCCGTCTCCTCCACATGCTAGGCCCCCATCCACGCATCATCCAATCCCACGGCCTCGCAGAAGACGGGTTAATGCTCAAATACTACCCCAACGGCGACCTCCATGCATATCTCGCCGCACACCCATTCGTGAGCATGGAGCGGCGACTGGAATGGTGCAAGCAACTCGTCGACACAGTCGGATATGTACACTCAAGACGGATTATCCACTGCGATATCACGCTGAGCAACCTCCTCCTGGATGAGAATCACGATATCATCCTCGCCGATTTCCAGGGTCTGCTTGTTGCCAGTAATGGGAAGGTCCTGCTTGATGGGTTGAGTCGTGAGCCGTCGAAATCGTTCATGCCTCGGAGACACAATACGGCGGATGTCCATACTGATCTCTTTGCCGTGGGATCGGCGATTTATCATCTTGTTGTGGGACATGATGTGTTTCCTGAGCTGGACAGCGTTGAAGATGAGGCGGAGATTGGAAACAGATTTAAGAATGGGGTTTTTCCGCCGGATGACTATGTGGCTGGACATATTGTGGAGAGGTGTTGGAGGGGGTTGTATTCGTGTGCTGCTGAGGTTTCTACGGATATCTCGGAGGTTCAGGCTGTTTCGAAGGCTGTTGAGGAGGCTCAGAGGCCAGGTGATGGTTTGTAGGATTTGAGTACACGTGGAAAATGTGTATACTATTCGAGGAGATTTGTTGCGGGTGGATGGCAGTTGACAGATCAAGGATATCAGGTATTCTTATTCTCTATGGTTTTGACATATTATGTCTAGCAAAAATCAACACTAGCCTCTCCGATGTCAATATTATCATGGCTCGTAGTCAGTAAACATTCTATGAATCGTTGGGAAATGAGAGAGCGGATGTCGAGCATTTTATGATCGCGTCGTCCAGCGGTGGCTTTCATCGCCCTCCTCCCATGTGTGCTCAACATAGCCCAGCGTCTTCTTGACCTCCTGGACCTTAGCGTGATTGCCGGTGTTTTTGCCCAAGTTGTCGCTGAGCTTGACAGCCGGACTGCCATTCGCAGTTGCGATTTTGATAACAATATTAAGAGGCTTGGACTTCTCTCCGGTTGACTTTTGGGCGAAATCATCTGAAAATAGGTTAGCGTGGTATAGGAAGATTACAAAATGATCAAACTTACTGGTGAAAAAGGTTCCGACTCCGAATGTAGGTTTAAAGCCTGCCTCTTCGGCAATGGCTTTATACTGCAGGCAGTGCTCAATATCGAGTGAATCAGAGAACACTATTGTCTTGGCGTCGGAGATTCCCTGGCTATCATAGAAGTCGCGGACCATCTTGACGAAGAATGTTGGGTCTCCGGAGTCTTGGCGGACACCGATGTAGCTTTGAGCGTAGGTAATTTTGTTTGAATTGGTATCGCTCTTTTCGTTCGGTGCTGAAATAGGCTTCTTGAACGCATTCAGGAAAGCCGGTGTGCCAAATGTGTCAGTGAGGGCAATTCCAAGAACCTAGAGAACACCGGTTAGTCTGGATCATTCTTTGATGCTGGAGATAGGAGGTCAGAAACATACTCCCTCTCCGAAAGTGCCGAGCCAGTAACTCAATGCCAGCTCATTGGCATTCTGGTAGTCGTCGGTGATAGCCGCAATGGTCATGTACCATTCGTGTGCCACAGTGCCGACAGGCGCCTTATTGTATTTCATAGCAAAGTGCACATTGCTAGTTCCGGTCAAAACACCGGTCCAGCCCTTCTTCTTTCCTTCCTCCGCGGCACGGCTCAGTCCCTTCATAACCAGGTCGTGGGTATGGTAGTCGCGACGACGACGCGAGCCGAACTCAGAGAACACACAGCCATTTTCCAGCAAAGTACAACCCTTGCGGTATGCCTTCTCCTCCTGGTCCTCGTAATCCCAATCCTTGTCGCTGAACATGAAATACGCCTGACTGGTCAACGCCAGCAACGGGATCTCATACAGGATCGTCTCGAGCCAGAGTCCCTCAATGATGTACTCCAGGATGCCTTCGTCGTCATCGCTGCCAGTATCTTGCTCCGGTGTGAACTTGATCTTGATTTGCTCGGTGGGTTTGAGTTGGAAGGTCTCCAGGTACGCGAGATACGCCTCGTTGAGGTAAGGGCAATTTTGACGGAGCCATTCGCGCTCTTCGGCGGTAACGCGGATCACGGACAGTCCTAGACGCGCATTAATGAGAAATCATCCAATTGCAATAGGGAGGAATCTCCGTACTTGTCATCTGCTCCAGAAGCCATTTGTATGCCCCGCGGCGCAGTTTCATGTGCGGGGTTCGATTGGTATAGCCGTAGGTCACGCCTGCATTTTGGTTAGCTCCAAATCCTCAACCTCAGGTGGTAAATACTCACGAACGTCTGGGAAATACTTGAGGACGGCGCATTGCATCGTCAACTTGTACAGATCTGTATCCAAGAGCGAGGTAATGCCCTGTGGCGGGGGAAGATCTTGGACCATCTTGGAGGTTCTGCGGAAGTTTCGGTCTTCTTTGGAGAGTTGGTAGAGGGATGTAGGTTCCTAGAAATATTCACGCGAATCCAACAAAGATATAGGCGGCAGAAGCCGGGTTAATGCGGTTTCTCTGCTTTTTCTTGCGACACGATCCATTTAGCGCGGGGAATGCGCCGATATGCCGATATCTGTTTGTTTTGTTTGCAGTTCGTGCATATCAGCGGCTCTCTACGTTTCCTCTCTCTTCTATGCTAAACCTTGATTATAGAAGCTCAATCGTCTTTCATTGGCTACTTGGGGGAGTCTACCTACGCAATTGGCTGCCCTAAGCTTCGACCACGCTTATATACATAGAACACACCCACTGATATCATTTGGCCCTTATTTGCCCCGCTATGGCACGTGCTGCAAATATATGCATCAACAAAGCCAAATCAAATGTACATCACCATTCCTAAGAGGGTCTCTTGGGTATTAGACAGTTTATATGTCAACTCTCTTGCTATAAATGCGGTGGGGGGAACACATGCATGACGTTATGTACTCGTAGAGTGGGGCGAGTAGATGGTTCAAAAAACAAACAACAGAGCACGAAAGACTAATTTGAAATTTAGGGATTAATCATTCTGTAACGCCAAGGTGCGAATGTCTTGAGTAGAAAAAAAAAACTGCTAAATAATACAGGGCTAAAGCAAAAAAGAAATTGCTGTGCATCATCCGTGAATCGAACACGGGCCTCGTCGATGGCAACGACGAATTCTACCACTAGACCAATGATGCTAGTTGATGTAAGAGGCTGCCGCAATTTGCTACATAAGCCTAGCCAATTGCGCACCCCTAAATAAAATCACTTAAAGTAACTTCCAAGGGTTGTATGACCACCTCTCCAAATCTTCAAGTTTACTAACTTACAATGCTTGAGAATATTATCATATGTCTCCAAATGGCCTAGATCAAAGCCATGACATTGGCTAGAAAGTATCGACTTGCTTGATATACGGTCATATATATATCGGGAGCATCCACTGGAAATATAAGTGAAAACGATTATCATTGGGAAAGACTATATCCTCGAGTATTAGAAAGATGGAACTTGAATAAAACATGCAAAACCCAGAAATCGACTTTGGTAGTGTTGTCTTTGCCTCCAAAGAAGACTTGTACCCTTCTCCATCCCTCGTTCCGAAAAGGTTTATTCATACAAAAAGATGGTAATAATCGAAAAGAAACCAAGTAACAGGATCTCACGTAGCGTAAGAAGCTATAGCTTCCTGATGGACGGAAGCTCATAAAAATCCGTCAACCCTGTGTGATCCCTTCGTGCAAGCAAATACACTCGGGCATTTGGATCTGGTCGCGGACTAAGTTGGGGTGTGTCGAACACTCTCCAGGAAGGACAGTGAAGCGATATGGACGAGGGAGACTTGGAAATTTATGATACAGTGTTTAGCCTGAACGGTGGCATTCTTGGGAGTAGCGAGGACTCTGAACCCTTTTCCTTCGCCGCCGATAACAGCACTGTCGGTATGATCTGGGGAAGATAACTGGGTGGGCAAAGCAATCTTTGTTAAATCGTGCCTGCAGGGATCTTGTCAAAGGCATCAAGCTTTAAACTGGTGCAATGGGAATTCGGATCAGACAGTGATGTAATAGCAACGAGACGCTGATTGCGTAGGTATTCTAGATATCTTCAAATTTACACTCTTCAAATATCTCATTGTATCAATACACCAGAAACACCACACATAATGATGGATCCGGATCCCATAACTTAGTACCAACATCATAGTACGTAATCAAGGACTGCAGATCTAAAAAGTATTATGATAAAAAATTGATTTGCGGGCAACAGCGCCACAAATATTGGGGACTCCGTATATCCAGAAGACCGAGACACCGGATATCTAGACCTCCATCCAGCCTTGCTCATTCTGATCAGCAAAACTTTCCCGGTAAGGATGCTTCTCAATCCATTCCTCCGCACTGATAACCGTTGCAGACTTCTCATAGAACTCGCTGAGCACGTCATTCAGTTCTAAATAACGTCAATATCGCACACAATTAGTCCCGGAACTTCTTTTAGTACTCACTTTCAACCTCCAAGGGTTCCGAAGGCTGCAAGGAAAAGCGAGAGACGCCTTCCCGCCATAATACCAGCGCAGGGGGAATAGGAGTACCTATAACTATGAGTTTCCAGTTCCATTTAAAATCAAAATCCGCACAGGATCATACCTCGCTGAATGCAGATGACAGTGGGATCCAAAAGAGACTTTCCGTCACCGATATCTTCCTGGTACCGCTCAAAGTCAAAACGCAACATTTGCTGCATAAGGCGAGAATTGGGCATAAAGATCGGCCCGTTCGAGTCTGACACAAGGGTTAGTTTCCCCACACGCAAGCCCACCCCAGTTCCGAACAGGAGTTTACATACAGGGACTTGACTTTGAGATCATTGCATGAACCAACCCGTCGTCCGAGACACTGATTGCATCCTTTCTGTATCGGGTCTCATCTTGGCGCACATCGTATAGTGTGGCCTTGCGCTCTAGCTGGAATCGATACATTGTGGCTGGGAATGAAGCGTGCGTGGAAAGCAAGGAGAATTTTCGCGCTTGGTTGATGTTCAACCGGGCGGCAGGTAGCCAGTGAGTTGCGAACATGGTGGCTAGAGAATATCGCAAATCAATGCTGCAAGACGGAATATTTAAGAGGTGTGGTTCAAATAAACAAATATAGGGGAAAGCAACGGGAAAAGTTAAAAGGAAAAACAACAACTATCTTCCCGTCAGGTGTACGGAGTGCAGGATCGACAAATATCCTAAGATTTTCGAGTCAGTGATACTTGAGTCGCTAACTATATATTTGGGAGATATTTGACTGAAGATTCTTACGAAATTCCGATATTGTTCTACAAGATGAATCCAACAGCTTCCTTCTTAACCGACGATTTAGCCGGAGCTCATTCAAGGGAGCACGGCCTTGGGCGATTATAGCCACAGTTCGATCACGTGCGGTACTTTTCATGACCGGAATCACGTGATGCATTCAACAATGAAATTGATAATCAGATACCGATTGCCTCCTAAGTTGGTCTTCAAAGCCTAGGGTTGAATGGCAGACATCCTTCTCTGGTGATATCTCCTCCAAGCCAAGCGAATTGATATCTCCCCAGCGAATGATTCTACATGGTTGAATAGGATCTCCGTGGTGATGCAAGGAGTAAGATCTTTATGGAGCTGTCCATCGATCTTTTACATTAGGCCGGATATACTTACTAGTATGCATATTCTCAATGAATGCTAAAAGATAAATCCTTATCCATGGGTTCTATTTAAAAATTTAACTGAAATCCCGCCAAACGGAGGAATAATGCTCAGATCAAACCTTGGAACCATTGGACCGGAGGAACTTAGGATACGCCGGGCCGATCCACTCGGCTCTCTAGCGTGTTTAAAGGTGATGTAGTCCGTGGGCCGGTCCAGATTTGCCTCTCCATTGTTATCTATAAGCATGTAGCTCCCTGCTTGATCATTTCATTAAAACATAATAACATTTCAAACTAAATCATACTGTTCGCCTTCGTCCGGCGCAAAAATCTCTAAACATGCGCGTCCTCCTACTAGGAGCAACTGGGAATCTGGGATCTCGCCTTTTGCCAGCTCTAATCAACAGAGGACACACTGTTTGCGCGTTCGTGCGGGATCCCTCCAAGCTCGCCCCAGGTATCCCGTCCGACCGCTTCAGCTTGGAGCGAGGCGACGCAACAAAAGCTGCCGACATCAAAGCTGCCGTAACGCGTCACCAGTGCGATGCCATCGTGAATGCAGCGGGTTACGCTGCTATGCAACCCTGGGGTAAAAGCACATTGCCTACTATCGTCAATGCAGTGATCCAGGCCGCGCTAGAAATCGGCCAAGAGCGCGGGACTCCATTGCGACTCTGGGTGCTGGCTGGACAGGGTCTTATGGATATCCCCACGAAGAATTATATGCTGGTGGACTAGTAAGTCCTATACCTCCATGGAAAGGTTCTTCTTGCTTGAGTCAGACGACTAAACAGAATACAGTATGCGTTTATTCCCCGAACACCGCTTGACATTGTCGAAACTCCAAGCCTTACCTCGCGAAGCCATTAATTGGTCTATCCTTTGCCCCGGGGTGATGCATCCTTTGGGGGCGCCCTCGTACCCACCTATTTCTACCAGCTCCGTCGACAACCTTGTCGTATCCGCTAGCGTCCTCCCCGACTGGTCACAGAAGTTCTTGTGCCTGCCAGTGTTTGGGGGCTACTTGAATGTCTTCAGCCAAGCTATGGCTTACAAAACGGCATTGGAGGATAATGCGGATCTTATCGCTAGTGATCTTTTGCAAGGAGCGAGCAGTCAATGGGTACACCAAAAAGTTGGTACGAAAGAGAAGCGAAAGGCCCAGTAATTTGGAACGGGGGATCCTGTCGAATTCAAGTTGTGTTGAAGTGGTAATTATAGATGTATATAATTATGTAATTATATCTGCATATTTGTGTATGTTTCAATTTTGAAGATAAAGTTCTGAAGCAAAACATCGAACATTTTTGTTTCCTCTACTCTGTGATATCTAAGAGGCTTTTTGAGGTCGATTGCTAATTTGTTGATGATCCACAATTCCCAGGCCACTTTCATCAAACGGGTTCCATAACTCAGTTGGTTAGAGTGTGGTGCTAATAACGCCAAAGTCGAGGGTTCGACCCCCTCTGGAACCATTCAGTCACCAGTCTAATCTGGATTCTTTTTTGCATTTTTTAGGCTTGGTGTGTGCCAATGTCCTGAAGGCTTTATTGATAAATGTCATTATCTTTTTCTTTCTTGTTTTCTTTCTCTTTATCCCGGTATATCCACGTATATGTATCATGTATCTATCTCACGGTTTTTTTAATCTTTCCAATATCTGTGATTTCGCTTCTCTTCCAATGTATGCCATTAAGTATGTTCATTGGAGAACTGATAAGTACATAAGACCAGGTTGCTATAAATTACTCATGATTCACCCCATTTATTTTGCAACCTGCTATTGTTTTATTTCGATGGAAGCTCGCAGAAACTCGCAAGACTAATTCGCTTAGCTGCAACACACCTGTTGCTTGCTTATGTTGCCCTGAAGAGTCTATCTTGCCGCTTTCGGATTACTGGTTCTATAAAATCAAAACGCTCTGTTCACGAGCAAGAACTAAGTATATACATAACCGATCTCAGTAAGTCAGACCAAGAACCTTGGAACCTTGGACAAAATCGCTTGCTTTATAAGCTTTCATTGTGTATAGGCCCCGAGGTCGGCTCGGCTGATAATCAATCCGATACTATGTACTCCGTACTCCGTACATACTACCTAGGTGCCAGCGGGGGGAGGGGGAGGGGGCTGGGTTGGCTTCATTTCCAGTTTCTCTATCTCCACCTGGGGCCGGCATCACTATGAGGTCTAATCTCCCATCCCGAGCCTGGCTGGGTGCATAAGTACCTGAATATGCACGGGACAAGCATATCCTTTCCAGTTCCTGATCGTTGAAACATTGTTTGAGTCCACTACTGCTTGGCGACTTGGCAGATGGCTTGTTCCTATAAAACCGCCCTGTTCATCCAAGTGACCCTTTATAACAGAAATTGGGAATATCGAATATATTATGGATAAACAGTAGACATTCGAAAGCTTCTTTTCCCTCTTCTTCTTCTTCTTCTGCTTTAGCCTCTTTTACTCTCTCCTTTTTCTCTTTATTTCTTGTTACCATGTTGGAAAATGATCGCCAATTGGCCCCCATCTGTTAGCGCAAACTTCAAGTCGAGGCCGCTATACTCAATCCTGCTTCTCCACTGCCCCTGCATATGCTCTACAACGTATGTTGCTATTTGTACGTGTACTCCGTGCCTAGTTGCCCAAACATCACAATAATTGTCCTTGATCATCTGCTAATGTCAATGTCGCCTCGGCACATCGACCCGCTCCCTTCTACCCCCCAATTCCTCTCGGTGAGGGTTCGGAAGCCGCACCTTTCTGGCCCCCTATGGAGAGCTATTCTATGGAAAATATGATTGAACATCGCAGCTTGCTTTGACATGTGCCTCCGGAAATTTCGCAGCATGGATAATCTATCCCCAGGAGCAGAGAAACGGCCAAGTGGAACCCTCAGGTCGAAAAGGACATACGATGTTGTCATCACTGTGTCCACTGGGGATTGGGACAATTCTCTGCCCGGTGAAAATCGATCGTAAAGCCCCCAGGGCGTTCTACGTTGAAATGGCTAAACTCCGAGGCCTTTTTCATTCGTTCCAGACCATATAGCTGTGTATACACAGCGAAAATATAGGTCGTACACCATGGTGTTTCCGAGACGAAGACCCAATTTGCTCATTCTGATACTACTGTGTTTGACCTTCCTTCTTTCCTTGATTAAGTATTTCTACCTTACGTACCACTCCTTTCCCAGAAGACTCTTTGGGTTCCTCATCTAATTGTGGAGGTTCAGCAAGTGAAACTAGGACCTCCCACCGTCAGGAATAAAAATATATCTTTGGTATTAGAATAAGTGTATAGTCTATCGCTAAGAACATGATTGATGATCGCAAATGCCCGCCATGCTACTGGTCCGCTAACCTGCCAACCCGCAAGGTTCCTACAGGAGACGGTTCACGATGCGGATGCTGCATATCTTCGAAATCTTGTATTATGGACTAGACCTCCGCAATGGGCCTGGTTGGGCCCTACCTTCGAAGCCCAACCAAGCCCATGGCCCATTATAGGGGCCCATGAGGCCCCTATAAAAGCCTATTTGTATACATAAATACAGTCTTAGCGCTCATAAACCTGCTGAATAATGTCTGTTCTTTACACATGTTTGAGTCTATATGCTTACCGCGGAAGATCTCGGCGCCGGCCCTAATCTAGCCTAATACGGGGGTTTAACAGGTGATAGAGAATCAATGTACAAATACATATATTTCATATAGAGAGAAGTCAGTGCACCTTTCTATTAATTTACATTTTTCTTAAATTTTATAAATCTTAAATTTATTAATCTCATCTACAGTCAATTCAGTCAATTCAGTCAATTCAGTCAATTCAGTCAATTCAGTCAATTCAGTCAATTCAGTCAATTCAGTCAATTCAGTCAATTCAGTCAATTCAGTCAATTCAGTCAATTCAGTCAATTCAGTCAATTCAGTCAATTCAGTCAATTCAGTCAATTCAGTCAATTCAGTCAATCCAGGCACCTATAGTCAATTTAGGGGGTAATCTGAATACCTAGAAATATTAGAAAAATCTGCATTACTTATGTATCTGCCAAGCATTAGCATGTTTGTATTGTTTAAAGCCCATTGATTGGGCCCCCATAAAAGCCCAGTGGGCTTCTACTCTAGGCCCATAGCCACCGATGGGCCCAGGGACCGGGCCCAAAGCCCAGCCCATTTGCGGGCTGGTGCGGAGGTCTAGCCGCCTATCATTGGCTGAAGCTGAAGGTAGAAAAATCTGCGACAGAAGTGAAAGAGGCTCTAGGGCATAAAAGTGACCGTCAATGCATTAGCGTGATCCTGCGGCATAAGAGCAATCTGTGTGTTAATATGACAAAGTACGAGAGGTGCAAAACCTTTGCTTTGTTAGGGCTAGGCCCACTACTATAGTAGCGGCTACTCCGTATACTACCTATAACTTCTATACTTCCGCAGAACCTAGAAAAAACCCAACCCAACCCGGAGCCAACCTAACTTAGGTTGGGTTTTAGGGCCATACCTTTGTACCGGGGTTGGGTCTAGATTATGAACTTCGACCTAGCTAGGTTGTTATTCCATAGTTGTTCTGCTTCTTGAGTGGTCTTCTACTTCAAGTCGGTTCTATAGCAAAGGTCCCACTGGGTAAATTAACAAAATAAATTCTCCGAGTAAATATTTATATATTTGATTGTCTCATCTAGGTATATCACTCTATTTTAGCCTTCATCGGGTGCAGCCAGCGTAGCTTCCCATGCATCGGCTCTGATGCCTCAACATAGTCCAACACCTGTGCCTTTTGTAATTCAGGCGCTATCACAAAGCGAATTACCAGCCTTTCAATAAACGAAGGAAGAGAAAAATACCGAGAAAGCAACCAGTAAAAAGTGTTCGCCCACGTATGCATACGTGTCTCCAATCCCGAGTTTGCCAAGTCAGCAAAAAGCGAGCATTCCGGGCTCTTTCGGACTCTCTCATAGTCTTCAAACACTCGAGTAAGAGCAGATGCATCTGGGTTTCTATCAGGAGCTCCCTGAACCGCATCTCGGAGGCGGTTGCAGAGTACAACAACATCTTGCACTCCGTTGTTGAAGCCGAGACCCAGGTGGGTCGTAAACTTATGACAAGAGTCGCCCACAAGCACGATTCTTCCCAGACTCCAGTGCTGTACAATGCCTTCCTGGAGGTCCGTCAACCCCGCTCCTAACATCTTCGGCCAGACATCTTTGACCTTGACCGTGCCCGTCAGAGGGAAGTCTGCAAATTCTGCGGCGAGGGCTTCGATATCGTCCTCGGTGTAATGATTTCGCTCCTTGGTCGGGTGTGGCAGTTGGTCATATATGAAAAACCAACCACGCTTCTGGCCGCTGAAATACATGATTGCCTTTCCAGAATCCTGAACATCATATCCTTGGCCGGGAGTTGAGGCTGCGGGGAAAGAGCCGTATAAAAGTCGGAAAGTGGATGTATAAGGCTCTTCGGGATCCCAGCTCCGTAGGGGGTCACCTTTCAAAGCGAGATCACGCATTAAATGGCGGGTCTTGCTATGAACGCCATCCGCGCCTATCACCATTGACCCGTGATAAACAGTGCCATCGGTGCAAGTCACTTCGACCCCGCTATCTGTGCTCTTTATATCGCCGAGCTTTTTGTTGGTCAAAACCTTTGCTCTCGCGACGTCTGGTAAAAGATTGTACACTGTTTCAATGAGCTCGGCGCGATGGAAAGCACCAGGACCATATCCATGACTGGTTGTCCGATGTCAGTTACTGATTCATGGGATTTGCCGTTTTGACTCACTTTTCTCGGATTTTCCTATATCTCGGACTTTCATTGAACACATGTCCGTCTTTGGTGAACGATAAATGGTGATCCAACTCTTCTCCCAGAGGGAGCAATGACTCCAAAATTCCAAGCTGATGCATGACTCTAAAGGTAGTTGGATAAACTATAAGACTGGCACCTTTGTCTTCGACAATTGCCGGTCTGCGCTCGAGGACCACGAAATCGATGTCAGCGCGATGGAGCGCATGGGCGGCGAACAGCCCTATTGGACCTCCGCCAATCACGATGACTTTGAAGCCATTGCCCATGATGTTTCGGGGTACGATCTTTGTCGCTGTAAAGGAAATAGTCTTCCGCAGAGATTGGTGCGAATTGGAAGAGAAAGGGTTGAATCAGCCTTCCCCCCTGATGTCAGCATGTTACACATCCATGGATAGATACTAAGCTCAGTTAATGAAGAGTCTAATGTATGGTATAATATCTGATCCAATCGTTCTCTTACAACTCCATAGAGCAACCCCTTTTTTTCACCATCAACTTCCAGACCCATGGCCCTAGATAGTGAAGCTTGTGGGCCAAGGTCTGTGTGGCGTAAATACGGAGGACCCACTGGATGATCCTCAGAACAGTTCCTCCGATTCGAATTTCGTGCAGGTTTAGAGAGCCGGATTTCTTTTTCAGGCACACTCCATTAACATGTCAAATCCTCGACATTCCTTCCATGACTTGATCTTGAGCCGAAAGGAATAAGAAATGAGCTCCCAGCCGACGTGATACCTCGGAGCATCTGGTTCTACGCTAAGCCAAACTAGGCATAGCCCCGGGATATCTGGGACTCGGCCAGGATCAGTTCCTCCGCTCACATATTCCGAGTTCCATCACCGGGGTCTCTTTCAACTCCCTCGTGCTTCCAATCATGGAGAATTCGGAACCCACTGAGATTCCACAGTCTCAATTTTCCAACCGCACCCAGCCACTTGAAAGCCAGGCCACGGCCCCAGAGCCCACACGAGTTTGTGACACCTGTATTCGGTATTTCTCGTCCCCCTCCCTATCTGTGTCATCACTAAGGGATTTATAGTAAGAAAGCAAAGTGTATGTTATGCTTCATGGTAGCCGTATCTTGAAGAGCTGGATTGATTGACTAATTCCCCTCTTTGAATGCAGGCGATCAAGAACGACCAACCTGTTCTCGGTGCTTCCAGCGAGGCGAAACTTGCACATACTCAGCGAGAAGACGTAAACCCGGTCCACCGCGTGGCTTGCGCTCCATTCGGAGATCATCAAGATCCCAAACATCCTCCGGTATCAGATCTTGAGATCTCCCCACTCCCTGTCTACGCTGGTGGATCAACCGTGTACTAATGAATCATTGGACGTCGAATTAAAGGTAGAGGGGCTAGCACCATACGTCAAACCGCTGTTCTAGAACATCAGCCTGTTCATCGGCCTGATTTAGAGTCTTCGAATTTATCAATCTCCGGACTATCTCCTCAAACAAGCGATCTCAGTCAATCTCCCGCTCAATATGATATTCCCCCTCAGCAAGAGGAGTACTTGTATGCTCGCTTCTTCCCAATACAATATGCGCTGAACTAACCCTTGCAGACTCGACCAGTATTTTGAAATTGCCAAAGATGCAAATCCGATCTTCTCCAAGGCGAATTTTCTCAATAACTATCGGAACTCAGTGTGTGACCAGGGGTTGATTATTGTGATAGTCACAATAACAGCAAGGCTTACAGGCTTCAAGCTTTTCCCAGACGAAGCTACCTTGAATGCTCGTATCGATCTATTGTTGGGCTCCAGCTTACTCGAGGATGACCTTGTCGGCGATTCCCCATCTCTTGACCAGTTCCGCAAAGCCTGTGTGCTAGCACTGTACGATTTCCACCAATTCCCAGGTCACCAATCATGGATGCGGATAACAAGGCTCACCCGCATGGCCTATCGAATTGGGCTCGATCGTCTCGAGCCTCTTCGAGCACTGTATCCCGACTGGGGATGTCTCAGTAAAGAAGACATTCAGGAATGGCGCTCGGTGTGGTGGTGTATCTATCGACTCGATTCATACACCAACCTGTCCTCGGGCACACCGTATCTCATCGACAATAAATTTGTGAACACATCTCTCATACTAGACCAGCAGACTGCGCCAGATGGTGAAACCAATCCCCCGACGCTCTATTTACCACCTGACTCGGAAGATTTGTGGAGACTCCTTCCCACAATCACCGCCAATCCATGTACACAACTGCAGAACATCCACATCGTTTCGATTGCCGCCATGCGTCAAGCTGGACTTGTCGCAGGGATTCGACTGCTAAGGCCCGAGTCAGAGATGGCCACCCATCTCGCTAAATTCGAACGACATCTCTCAGCGCTTTCGCTGGCGCTTCCACCTGGGTGGTTTAATCCCCGACGTAATGCGTTCACCAACGAATCCCCGGGTAATCACCACGCAAGACTCATCACTGTTTTCCATCTCCACATGTCCAAATTACTATCCTCGATTATTGTCTGTGGCCGGACGGCCGAAGATGGCTGGCTAGGAAGCTGGCAACGAGTGCTTGAGACATGCCAAGATATTGCCCAGATTGCAGGGCAATGGAATAGCTCGTTCTGCATGCAAGTGGATCCAGCGATCTGTTTTATCATTTTCACTGCTCTTATCTTTCTCGATTTACATATGAAATCCACGGCCATGGGATCGCCAGAGCTGCAGTCACATATTGATCATGATCAGACCGTCTTACGTCTGCAATTGGAACACTTTGCCAGAGATTGGACCTTACCAAGACTATTGACCTGTGAGTTACCAATCCATACTTCCAAAAAACGAGATTGGGCTAACCACGGTATCCAGTATCATTCGCAAGCGTCAGCGAATCAGTAACTGGGCCACTCTCCCACACTCAAATCATTTTCATCCTCTCACGATTTGAAGCACCTTTACATCCACGATGGCTCGGATTCCTCTCAACTGCCCAAGCAGCTCTACAAGCTTGTCAATAGACCCATGAGAAGGATACATGTTTATGGATTACTATCGCTACCCCGAGGGAACCAGTCCCCCTGAAACCAGGACTTTGTAAGACAATCTAGCGACAGACACATTCAAAGACAAAATAAACGCCCACAATGCCTCATATCTTCAAACATATCATGGCCTTTCATTGACCCATCACCTCGTACCCATATATTCTCATACATCTCCCCGTGGCGTGTCCGTCACCACTCGTGTGCACTCTGCACTCCCCCAGACATGGACCGGCATTTCGCTTTGAATCCGCATGGTGCATTGGTATTCAATACCCCATTGTGTATGCAGAATAGCAGGACCACTCAATGATCCCGCAATGCAATTCGCTCCCCAGGAGCAATCACGACGATGCAAGTACCCAAGCAACGAAGTGCAGAGTGGAGAAAGGAAAAAAAAAAGTGCAATCGCGTGGGCCCATAGCAACCCAATGCAGCTCGGGTATTGCCAACACCAGTGTCGACAATAGAGACTCGAAGCGAGTTCAAATGATGCAGCGTTCATCCGAAAAAGAAGAGAAACGGGAGACCATCCCGCATTTCAAAAGTTGTGCCTCTCAATTGGCACAGCCATGCTATTCCACCGAATTTACCAATAGTCCTTTTCTATCTCCGTTTCACTGGAACTCTCGTAGCCGGAATCAGACCATCGCATCGCACCAGGCGAGACAGGAATGGTAGATAACGCATAGGCCGAGTGTTTGTCGCAGGTATAGCCGACCAGCACCGTCTTCTCTTGTACTTCATGACCGCGCTGGCCGTAGGCAGAGCAAGGGTCGACCGAGTGCTCGAAGTAGAGACATTTGCACACAGAGTATCGTTCGACGACTTTGTAGCACATTTTCTGCGAATCCTCGAACGGAATAGATAGGTTGAAAGATTGGTAGAACAAGTGCGAACCGCGCCGACAATAGGAAAAATAATAAAGACAAAGACACGACGGTGCCGAAGTAAACGGTAAACGAACGCGAAACGAATGAAAGAGAGTGACTCCAGGGATGATTATAACGTTAGAGAGAGGAGGCGCGATAGTAAATATATGAACATCCAACCTGTAGATCGAGCAGGTGATCCAGCCCTACGGGGAACACATCGAACGGGGCGCGCCCCAATGGAGATGGAGACGATCGTCTAGACTCGACTGGGCTACTTTGCATGAAGTGGGGGTTTCTGTAGACCTCATTCCCGCGATACTCATGGGGAGAGAGAAAGGTGAGGATGCCTGGGGAATCGACCAGTCCAGTCCCAATGGCTCAGCTTGGACGTGACAATGAGTAGAGCCGAAAAAAAGAATCAGATTGTCGCCGGGGAAATCCGGTCAGACGGTGAAGACCTCGACCCCGCGACTGCGGTGAGCTGTGCCAAAGAGACCAGCCCCGACTGGCCAGGAGAAACAAATGCGAAAATGACGATACTCCCAGAGCCTCCTTTTCGACACAGCCCCGTTAGCGTGAGGCTCAGTCGTAGGGCTGTTGACCGCATTTCGATGACTCCATGGTCATACTAAATGCTGTCTCTGCTATCACGATGACTTCCTTTCCAGCGGTGAATTCTTTTTCTCTGCCTCATCGGGTGGAGCGGATTAGGCGCCCGCATTCAGCTGCTGACGCTAACGCTAGTACACTGGAGAACCGGTTTTCGCTGGACGCTAAGCACGACATCGAGGGTTGTCGAAGCCATAGGGCTGAGGTCCACTCGAAATCGATTGCCATTTCGGGCAATCAGGAGGCCGGACGGGGATTCCGATACGTAAACCTATTATACACGAGCTCCCCTACACATGGAGTAATTCGGGAATTCGGCTTTGAAGTCATTAGGTAGCGCATACATAATGGGTCTGATATTGTACACAGAGAGCCTGTGTCTGCACAGGCATAAAAAAAAGCAAAGGGTTCCAAACAAGTATGCAGGGTGCAGGTGGTGCCATGCTAAATTCATTTCCCAGAAAACAAAAAAAAAAAAAAACGAACACCCCGGTTTTCAACTAGGCAACGAGGCCTCCCTCTCGAACTCCAGAATTCAGATCGATCCCAATACACCGTGACTCAACCCGCGGGCTAATCCTAGTCGCAGCATCCGAAGAATATCCTCTCCTTTGGCGGTCTCAGGGAGTCCGACGCGCCAATCCCAACCACGCTCGGCGTGGGTTTTCTCACCCGGGCCGGGAACAAGCACACCTGAGCTGCCGACGGAAGTAGGGCCGGAGCCGGAACCCGAACGGGTGCGCGCGGACTCGAGCATGTCGTTGCCGATAAAGGCGAATGAGGAAGCGGAGAAGTTGGAGACCGATTTCTTCAACAGAGCGCGGGGAGAGGGGGGTCCGTCCGATCCCCCACGGATGGATGATTGGTATTCCAGCAGAGTGGACCGGAAACATTCCTCGCACTGTGCATACACACGAGGGGTGACGGTCTGTAGGTCCTCAACGGCAGAGAGGATGGTGAATTGTTGGGAGACAGTTAGAACTGCAGTGGGTTCTGGCTGGAAGTTAGTATCGGGTAATATCGTGGACACCATGGAATGGGGAGACTGACGGTTCACAAATGCGCAGGCTTCACCTAGCAGCGCCAGCAATCCATCCACTTGAACTGCGGAATCACGATCCGGGTCATAGAGACCTCCGTAGATATTATCCGCAGCACTGCCAATGACAGCCGCAAGAGCCTGTGCAGCGGCGCGGCGCCGAGCCAATGGCTTGTAACGCGGTTGCTGGCCCTCTTGCAGTTCGAATTCCTCGTCACGAATCTCATAGAACCGACGGAGAGTCGCGTAACCACTAAGGTAGAACTGGAGAATCCGAGCAGCTTCCTCGTCAACTTGGGCAATGGACGACAAGCATGCTTTGGGGTCCTTCATCAAAGCGCGAAGTTGTTCATCAAGATCGGCTGTCGCAGGGTATGCGCGCGATTGAACTAAACTGTAGGAAATCAAGAGGTCGACAACTGACTTGACCTTGCGGCGGCTCTGGGCACGAGCGTAGCAGACGAGGGCAAGACCGAAATTCTCTGATTTTGATGTCAACATGTCGCCAAATCGCTGTCGGTCAAATTAGTATTTAGTCAAATGGTCAAGCAAATGATTTTTTATCACTTACCTCAGAGACCCGGCGCCCTTGGTCCTCCAAATCAAGTTCTGAGCAAAGAACCACCAGTTTGTCCAACTGGTCGGGGCTTTCCAAAGGAAGCTTATCCACGATTTCCGATACAACCTTCTTCATCTGGTGTGTATTATCGAAACGGCTCAATACTTCAATCGACAGTTCCCAGCCCTCACGGGAGCTGTGGTCGTTTTCGATAACCGATCGCTCATACAGCCCGAAAGCGTAATTTCGGAGAATATCATCTTTGTGCACGTGGCGAGCCGGGGACTTGTTGTCCTGGCCGTAAGAAAGGACCATGAGATCGTTCTCAGACAGACCAGGCATTTTCTTTTGACTGCTCCCAGACTCAAACCAACCTCCCAGGCTGGCCACCTCTGCCACAGCAGAAGCCACACAAAGTGACCATGACTGCAATAACTCCAGTACACCTTGCACATTGCCCTCGAAGACAGATGCAAGACCGACCTCCACACTGCTAAGAGTATTGGGTCGGAAGTCAGCGTTGTCGGACGCATCGCTGGTAGTGTGGCTCAGAGCTAGCTCGAGACGATCCAGGTAAGCGCCACGCATGTTGCGGTCGATGGCGCGAACCTGGGTTTTGGGTCCACGTGAGCGCAGGAAATCTTGGAAATTGTCGCTGGATGTGCTGGCACCGAAATCCATGCTGGAACCGCTGTCATCCTCACCATCCCACCACGCCGTCAATGCGATGGTCGCCTCTACCCAGTCTTGGGACTTGCCCTTGATAGCAGATGGGTCGCCCAGAATAATTCGGTAGATCGATCTCAAGCTCTGGTATATCGACCACGGGACACGACTTTCCGCCATGCGAGCCGATTGAGCGAATGAGATCGGGTTCTTGTTGGAATTGTTTTGATTGAAAGTGGACATGCCAAAGTTGACGGCCTGGAAGCGATTCTCTTGAACCGGCACAATCGATTCATCCCGCTCCTCTCCCTCGGCGAATTCCTCCAGGTCAGTAATGGCCGAGAGAACTCTTTTCCGGTAATGTGACCAATCCAGTCCGCTGATGTCCCAGTTTTGAGACTGGACACCAGGGCATGATTCGAGAATTTGAAGAGCCTTGTTGACGCAGCGTTGAATATTTTGCAGCTGTGCACCGCGGTAGCCAGGCTGTGGAAGCCCATCCTCCAATGCAGATCGGGCATAGTTGAAATCTGCGGAACGAAGAACATCTGCGGCATCAGCCAAGCGACCTCGCAGGACAGACGCAATGATGATATCCCAGAAGTTTGAGGAGGCAGTCGGGTTCGGTTCGACATATTTCAATGCTTGGAGATCTTTGGTCTGCGATGCGTGATTTTCGCTGAGCCAATCGAGCAAAACCTGAGGCAGAGGCTTGGGGGCGGGAACTCGCACCAAGGCTTTCACCATACCAGCAGCCCCAGTGCGCATAGGGTTAATGGTGGCAGTCGAAGCTAAGTCACGAGAAGGGTGGTGAATTTGGAGCAACAACGAAGCCAAGAAGGTAGCCTTCACAAGGGCAGGAGCTTGTTCCCCGGGCCCAATACCAGTCTGGAAACCGTAGGGGCGCTCGATACCGCTTTCGTCGGCGCAATCCTGCCAATTCTTCACCAATTCCTTTGATACATTAGACAAGACAGAATCAAAATCGACGTGTTTGAATTCAGCCGCTTTGAGCTCATCCATAAGTTTTCCAATGGCGTCCTCCGTTTCGAGGATCAACTCGCTTGGCTCTCTGACAAGGGGAATGCGGGATCTGGCAGCAAGATTGTGGAGAATCGATGGCATTGCGGATGGCTTCTTCGGAGCCAGGTTCTTGCGGATTGGTGACTGGTGCGCCCAGCGTTCGTCAAGTTTCGGGCGCTTGGCATCGCTTGGGTTCGAATAGATCGGTTTGCGCTGCGCTCCCATGGATGGCTCAGATCCGAACGGGTTCCCGAAAGCCGAGTCCAAGAAATTGAACTTCTTAGACGGATCCTGGGTGCTTATGTCCATTTCCTCTTCGGCTTGTTCCTTCTCTCCAAGGTCTCCTTCCGCAAGTTCTTCTTCCTCCCGTTCCATCTGGTCTTCATGCTCGTCGTGAAAATCGCTTAGTTGAGACGAGGCAAACCCATTAGACTGCCCGAAGTTCATCGAGTCGTCAAATCCTCCATTCATCACCCCGAAACGAAGACTAGGTTTGGTGGCGGCTTTGGAAAAAGTATTAGTCTGTTTAGGCATGGCATAATCGGTAGATCCGAAAGATGAACCAAAGATGCTATCATTTGTGTTGATGTTACCGGACTTGGTGAAGACGGAGTTTGAAAAATCATTTCTCGAGAAGGAGTGCTGGTTTGTCGCGAATGCGCTCTCATTTCTGGAGAAGGAGTTGATGCGCGAGCCGCCATTGATGTCGGATGTAGAATGCGGTTTGAATGAACCTGCGGTGGACGGCGGCGGGCCGGCAGGAGTTGTCGAAATGTTACTCCAGAGACTGCGAGATTGCATTTTCTCTGGGGTCTCAGGCGGGCTGGACTCGTAGGGTACTTGGAACGACATCGCGGGGCAGGTGATCACAATCAGAAGAGACGAGTTGACAGCATCAGAGGATGCAAGTTTCGGGCCGCAACAGCTCTAAGGACGGTGAGATTGATGGGACGACAATCTCAATCGACGAAGACGGATCTTATCAGATGGCGGAGAACGTTGATGTAGTGGCTTTTTCGTCACAGGAGATCCCTCTTCTCCAAGCTTGCCTTGTTTTTCTTTCACTTCACTTTCCGCTTCGACGCGACGGCGAAAGTTCTCAGGCATCCAGGCAGCAAGCTCTGCATCATGTGATATTATCTGGAGCTTCAAGGGGATCACGTGAATTAGTTCTCCCGGTGTGATGATAATCCGGTCCGATGGGATCAGCCCAAGGATATGGTCACGTGCACCTTGAGCTACCCGATACGGGGGCCACGACCTGATTGGCTCGTTGTGCTGCACTGCCAGCATCTCGTCAGGCAGGGCTCAGCACCTGGGGGCCGAATCTGGCAGACTTGATTGCTCGACAGCCTCGAAGGCGCACTTGATGACCTCACCGAGGCCCTATAACGATACTCTAATATATTCTTGGGTCAAACAAGGCTGAGGCTTAACTGCCTTGAAGATAAATCTGATGATATATAATGCAACATCTAGTCCGTTGTGAAAGGGAAGAATATTACTCAACACGAAATATACTTTCTTAGTCCTGCACATCCATCATGAATCCAGCTGTTCAATATCTCATCACGCACAGCTTCTGGCGCCATGACTACGATGTCAGCACACCAACCAAAAAACGCCTGTTCCACGTAAACAACTCATCCTTCACGCCAGGAAAGCCGGATCTTACTTTACATCGCAGCTCTGACTCCAATGGACCCATCGTGGGAGTTTGCAAGTTCCGACACTTCTCCTCAGACTGTGAAATCGGTACAGGGAATCCCGAACAGTCCGGCAAGATGAACTGGGAGTACCTGCACGCGCAAGGCTTTACGAAGCGCATATATTGGTTCCGCATGCAGATGGACGACGGCACAAAAAGGAAATTCACTTGGAAACGAACCCACTCGCTTGGCAATGGCTATAAAAATCATAAATTGGTCGAAGAGTCCAGCCAGACCGTCGTGGCGGTCTTTTCTTCTGGCAGCATCTGTTCCAAAACAACCGGCCACCTGGATATCTACCAGAATCTCGGCTCGCGGTTCAATCTCCTGGCACTCATCTCAGGAATTACTGTGCTCGAGAAAGCGCGACGAGCGAGAAATAGTGCAGCAGCTTCTGCAAGTGGGGCATCAGGGGCAGCAGCAGGCGGAGGAGGATGTTAAGCCAAGACCCGAGGTTTCATTTATGGCGTTTTGCATATCACACGATTACGAAGCTCCAGACATACATAGTGGCTGGAGGGTGAGATTTGCGGTTTGTTTACTCCGTAGCGTTACTTTAGCTATGATACCCTCGGCACAACTGCCCAAGTTTATTGAGCTTGATTCAATGGTTTAATTTCTTTTTCCCCCCTATCACTTGATTCGTCCAAGTGTGCTGGACTACTTATACGGACAAATCAAAAGGTCCGAACTACCGATGGGCAACGAGGCAGTGCAAGACCAATATGTTTCAGAGCGAAGACAAGCCTTTTTCGATGTTTGATCGACAGGGTTTCGTTACATAATCCTATACTGTGGAATCGAATCCTGTTGCCTGCCCTTTAAAAGGGACAAATCCTTTTACCAAAATATCTCAAAAGCTTCATTTTTCTATTTTCCCCCAATCCAAGCCATGGCCATATTCCTAATTGAATGACTATGGCCCTCCGACGACCGCATCGGAAATCTCGCCACGGCTGCACAGAATGTAAAAGACGGCGAGTGAAGGTACGGACCAACACAAAACAATAAAAACAAGAATAGTACACTCATCCATTACAGTGTGATGAAGCCCGACCATCCTGCTCCAACTGTGCCAAGCGTCGTTCCGAATGTGAGTACGGGTCATCAAGCTCGCTATTATGGGCAAATGAGGAGTCACCTGCAATCCGCTCGTCGCTCGGGTCCGACAGCGGACAGCCAGCCGATCCGGTGCCAGGACTCGTGCGGTCATCCTCGAGTTCAATCTCCAGAACAGAGGCAGCAGACTCACTCGGGATCCTAAGCCAGCTTGGCGAAAATGCAGCGACATCAGCGGGGCCCGCTCTGAACCTCAACGACCTGGAGCTGATGATGCAGTGGTGCAACACAACGTTCCACACGCTGTCACGCAGCGAGCGCACCGATCCAATCTGGCGCAACTATGTGCCCGAAGAGGCGCTCTCGCACCCATTTCTAATGCACGGCATCCTGGCCTTGTCAGCGCTGCATCTCGCGCGGACGGGCCCCGAACCGTCTCGTCGGGGATCGTATCTCAACCGTGCCGTCGCGCACCAGAACCAAGCGCTGGCGCTGTTCCGGGAGCTTCTGGGCGATGTAAATGAGACCAATGCTAAGGCGATGTTTGCTTTTGCGGGAATCGTGGTGATCTACACGTTTGCATTCCCGCATACGCCGGACGCACAGGATCCTTGGTCCTCCGTCGATGATTTGTACCAGGTTCTCGTATTGACGCGCGGCGTGCAGCAGGTTATTTTTGCACCGCGAGATTTTCGGGAGTTCCTGGAGCAAAGCTCCTTCGGTCCGATTTTACAGGTGGAGGAGGTTCGGGGACCGATTCCCGAGGAGACAGGTGTCATGCTTAGACGGCTACATGAGGCGAATGAAGTATGCGGGGCACGGGATCGGGATCATGAGCTGGAGGTTTACAAGGGAGCTATTGTGAATCTGGAGGAAATGCTCAGCTGGTGCTACAGCGGGATGAGGGCGAATACGATTGCCGGGAGGTGGGCGATTCGCTTACCTGCCCGGTTTATGGAGTTACTGCGCCAGCGGGAACCTTTGGCACTAGTTATGCTTGCGCATTATGGTGTGCTTTTGCAATATTTGAAACATCGCTGGTGTTTTGATGAGTGGTGTGCCAGAGTTTCAAAGGTCGTGTGGGCGATTTTGGACGATCAGTGGAGACCACTGGTTGAGTGGGCAATGAAAGAGATCCTTGGATCTAACTTTTTGAAACAGGTTGATGATTGAGATCTTTATAAGACGATTTTTTGCCACAGTTCATATTGATGGGGAATGTTGAAAAACACCTAGTCATTGTTGAGATACCTAGGTGAAACTAGCTACATATAAGTGAACCTAGCAATAGGTAGTTATAATGGACCTCAGTAACCATGGGTTGGTAATCTGGTAACACTGTATCTCGGCTACTAGAAACTCCTGGATGGAGCGTTGAAAAGCGAGCAGAGGGCGTGCTTTCTTCACTCGACTTGAAAGAGTGATTGGAAAGATTAAAGGTTCGTCAATAGATGAATTCCCTGTAAATGAGGGCAGACCGGACTACGAACCGTGCAAATCCTCGCTAATAGACATAAAGATTGCTGTAATTTATTCCCTGTATCCTGCTGATCTTGATATTCTGCCTGTTCATATTTTTCTTGATCGAGTGACAGATTCACCAGAAAACCAGCCACTTTGTCCAAATTGGAAACTGCAATCTCAGATGCTGCCGATGGAATGTACATGCTCCCATCTATCTTTTGAGAGGAGCCGAAATCGAGTTGAATAATATAGATAGCCCGACGTCGCTAATGTGGGCCGTTGAGGGAAGGGACGAGGCTGTCGTTAAGCTACTACAACCGAATCTACAGTAGTGCATGCGTTTAGGATCCTTGCCTTCTTGAGTTGATAAATTTTATCGTCTGCCGTAAGGGTCTGGCGAAGCCTGCAAACTCATAGACCTCTGTTCACTCTAGTATAGTATCCTTATAATTAGAAGATATCTAGCCTAACACAGTTCGAGTACATTGTTTCCGGAATGGCAGGGTGACATAGATAAAGACTAAGGTTAGTAGGTAGAGCAGAACTAAGCACAAGGATTTTGGACTTTTATTCTTATAGTGCCTCCTGTGATCTCTGGGCTGGCGGGCTATGAAATAGAGAAAGAGAAAAGAAGTGCTTGTGGTAGAAAGGTATCTCCTCTTGGTACTGCCTGTCAGTTAGGGCTCTGCATTGGGTCTCTAGTCACCTTTATCGGAATCTTCTCCGATTTACCTATGATTCAAGATGTGGAAAACTATATTGAAGAGTATCAGTATCAAGTTCCCGATCAAGAGTTTAGACAACTTTGATGCTGTAAATCTATGCAGTCTCAGCTTGAGACATGCGTTTCAAGCCAATATGTACATTCTGATATTATATCCCTAAGCCATGTACACTGTTCAACTCCAAGTTTCCGAGCTTTACAGTTTCGCCTGATTCCACCCATTCTGCAAGACATACCGATATCTTGCCTTCCCCTCATGCATATCAATCAGCGCTTGGTTAACATCAGCCATGTCCCTCTTCTGAATCCAAGGCAAAACCCTCTTCTCCGCCGCAAGAGCCAACATCGCACGAATATCATTAGGCGACCCAATATTCGACCCAGTAACCTTAACACTCTTCTGAATCAAGCTCCAAGCCATGAGCGGCGGCAAAGCCTCCTCAGGCGCACCAACCTGCACAAAAACCCCATCCCGCTTGAGCAGTCTCAAGTACTGCGCAAAGGGCATATCATGCGCAGAAACAGTACACAGGATGACATCCAGAGTGCGCGAGTGCTTCTTCGCCCACCCCTTCTCCTCCGCAGTAGCGATAAACCCATCCGCACCCAGCGCACCAACAGCATCCGCCTTCTTCCCCGATGATCTCGAGATAGCAACGACACGATCCGCGCCCATTGCCCTGGCAAACAAAATCCCCAAATGCCCAAGCCCCCCAATCCCAATCACACCCACCGTCTTCCCAGGCCCAACGCCGTGCTTCCGCATCGGCGCAAACACAGTAACCCCCCCACAAAGCAACGGTGCTGCCTCAGCAGACGGCAAGGAATCCGGAATCCGGAAAACGAAATGCGCCGGTCCGCGCCATTTGTCCGCAAACCCGCCAAAGGACTTTGACTTATCTGCGTAGCGCCCGTTATATGTGCCCGTCATGCGGGAGCAGTAGCTTTCTTCGCCATCGGCGCAGGCCTCGCAGTCTGCGCGCAGACAGGCATCGCTTTGTGCACCGATGCCGACGCGGTCGCCGATGCGGATTCTTTGTGGGGTGGATTGGGATTCGACGGCGCTGCCGATGCGTGTCACTGTGCCGATTATCTCGTGGCCGACAACGCAGGGATAGTCTGTTGGACCCCAGCCTGAGCGAAGGGTGTGGAGGTCGGTGCCGCAGATGCCGCAATGTGAGATGGAGATTTCGACGTCGGTGGGGGTGAATGGTTTTGGAGTGTAGGTTGTGTAGGTAAGGGGTTTGGTGGCGTCGTGGGCGACCCAGCCTCTGAATGTATCTGAACCAGTGGGAGGGGACATCTTTGGTGGTGGTTGGTGCGGGGATGTTTTGAGGTAGGATATAGCCTAGAAGAATTGGATGACCAGGGGGGGGTTTTAGGATACTCCTAGGGTATGCTGGATTCTCGAGCCCAAGAATTGGGGGAATTGTTTCCTGTGGAGGTTGATGGGTAAAGGTGAGTGTTCAAATAAACATAGCATATGATGCGGAGAAGCCGAAAGCTAAGTTACCGAGGTCCAACTGAAGTCCGAAAGAAAGATTATTGAATTCATGTCGATTGTACACGATTTTGAAAACCAAAGAACTCCATATTTACATGTGCGCTGGAAGTATGTACAGTACAGCGCCTAGGGGGGTATCAATTTGTTTCACCGGGCCACGCCCATCAGATCGTCAAGCTCGTGAGTAGTGAGGGTACTTCGACGCCGATTCGCCGGCTTTGAAGCCTTCTCAGGTCGGCTGCGCTTTCGTGATTCACGCTCTTTAAGTTCACTCTGCGCGGCGCGGGCTTCATCTTCGACAGCAGCTAGCTTTTGATGTACGCTTAATGATTCGCTGACCTTGGGCTGTAGGGTGAAATTAGTCCTGGGGATCTCCTTGGGAATTTCCTGGGGAATCGTTCTCGTTGCATACCTGATGGGATTCTTTGGATTCGGTCTTTCGCCTCGTTGGCCTCCGGGTCACAGTTTCGGTTTTATAAGCTTTGATCTGGAGGGTTTCGTCGTCGGCTGTCTCCACACATGGTGAACCTTGCAAGCCTGGTGTGAATGAGACTTTCCGGGGACGCTTTGTGATAGCATTTTCACTGCGTTCCCTCAGAACACGATCTGGTCGCTCGGGTACTTTGCGAAGCTTGGACCGCATTTTCATATTGGGCATAACAGCCGGGACTTTCTCCTCTGGTTCGCTCAATTCTTCCTCTTCATTCTGGTCCTCCAGGATCGTTGGGATGGGGTTAGAATCTGGCACGCTCTGAATGCTTGTATCTTCGGTCGAGTTAATGCTGAGGTCAAGGTTCATGCCGCGCTTCAATTCATCAGCCTGGATAGAGTCTCCTCCGTCAGTAAGACGTCGCTGCCAGCCGCTCATCATGGTCACTGCCTGTTTCCAACGAGATTCCATCTTCACCCAGCCCTCCCGCAGTCGCTTGATCTCTTCGTCTCTAACCTCAACTTCTTCCAGAGGCACGAATGAGGGATTTGTGAGCAGTGTTCGTAGGTGGTCCAGAACTGCTTCCATTTGAACAGTGAGGTCTTCACACGAGGTGGGAAGCGAAGTAACGGGCCCGACAGAAGATTTATGCGCGCCCGTGCTCGCAGCCATACTCGACTGCTCGTTCTCGCCAGCCCCATTATCGGCCTGGGGCAGCCCTTGTAGATCCTTCAAAATATGAACAGTGTTGCGCGCAAGGTCAATCAGGGTATCGTTTTCATCACTAAGATTTTGACACAATTCCGTCAAAAATTCGGTCGTCTCCTGCTTCAAGCTGTATCCGGGGTCATTCACTCGCTCTCCGCCACTAGCTTGAAGGCGCGACCGATCCAACGTAGGATTGATGTTGATAGTGGTCACACTGAGACCCTCCCGTCTGCCTCTTTGCCTCTCAGCCAGATGTGATTTCAGCTTTTGCATTTCTAGATCCCGCTTGCGAATATCATTGGCGCATTGCGCTCGGACTTGTTGAACTGTGCTCTTCATGCGCTGCACATGTTCCTTAAGGCTTCGGATGTTTGCTTCGGCGCTGGACATGTTTGACTTCAGTGTGCGCTCGTGCGCTTCCGCTAGAGCCAATGAGCGGGTTAACTCGGATGTTTTCGTCTTCAATTTTCCCTGCAGAAGAATTCTATGTTAGCGCGCTGCGCAAACGGAGGGAAACGAGGACATACAATCTCCGCAGTTTGCTCCACCTCGCTGACTTGAAGCGTGCGAATCGTCGTAGACAAGCTCTCACGATGTTCAGACTCACGCTAAGGTTCATTAATGACTATACAATTCACACAAAAGAGTACCACACGCACGTCTCGTCGTAATACTAGATCGTTGACCAAGTTGATCACACGAGCCATGGTGCCATCGATTCCCCCATCTTCATTTTCTGGGTCGGCAAAATCGATAGCGCGACCGCTTTTCAGCAGGCCCCTTGCTAGCAAAATATTGTTGACGTACGTCGAAGCTGCCTGCAGGTTATGCGACTCCATGGCAGCGATCACTTTCTTTGTCGTTGCAGACGGCTTCGGATGCCGAATGGGGAAGATAGTAAACACAGATGTTACGGGGCGCCCCATGTGCCAGGTGCGCAGTAAACTGAGCGGCGAGCGTAGCGGTCCGATTCTGCCGGTTTTGATTGCGGAACCGAGTCGCGATTGTCCCAAAGACGCGAATCATTAGTACGTTCCGGTCCTTTACGTACGCACCTATCTACGACGTACGGGGTAGTAACACCGCAATAGATGTCATTGAGAGGCATTGACTACAAAGCTTAGATAAGCTGCTAAGCATCCAGCTATGGAGACTGTGGGCGATCATTTTGTGTTGTAAAGCGTGACGTAATTTATAGTGCGTAGGAATACATCAGCTGACGTGGAATTAGATTTATACCCAACCACCGGCTCTCATCTCCTCTCTGCGTGGCATTAAGCGACCTCCTGTCACTCCACTTCTTAAGTCTCACCTACCGTGTCTCCAACTGCTCTCCACCATGGCTTCAAAGCCAGAAACGCGTTTAATGCGCGCTTTGGCACCGAAAAGGAAACCTGACATTGAGACAGCAGTCGCTCTTCAACGAGCGGGTCAAAATGCCTACAAAGTTGGTGATTTCCAAAGCGCCATTCGGTCCTTCACTCAGGTACGCCCTTTCTTTATTTGTTTCATCTCAAGTCAGGCTAACCGTCCATCTAATCAGGCATTGGCAGCAAACCCGGAGGATATTGGGATCTATGACAATCGCGCCGCCACTTATTCCAAGTTGACACAGTACAGTCATGCCCGCGCTGATGCTAGAGCCATGGTCAAGCTTGCGCCTAATGAGGATCGTGTAAGTATCAATTCGAGCCATTCTTGCCTTGTCCCAACCATGGCTGATTTGACATAGGGCTATCTGCGCCTCGGTAAGGTGCTATGCCTGGACGGAAACTTTGACAAGGCTGTATCCATCTACGAATATGGCCTCCAAAAACTTCCAGCAAACCACTCAGGGCGTAAAGTAGGTGTCTATCTTTTCGTCCTTCAAATTTTCACCAGCTTTCATCCGATTCTTGACTGACTGACAACTTCTAGGTTATTACACAGTTACTAAAGAAACTGCAGGACAGGCTCGCTGGAGGAAGTCGGCGTGATCCCTTCACAGCCCTGCCACTAGAGATGGCAGACCTGATCCTTCAATCCTTTTCCTTCAAGCAGATTGTGTAAGTACCTCATCCTCGATTTCCAATTCATCAGCTGATCTTTGCATCAAGAGCAATCCTGCGGGTCTGCAAAGGTTGGAAACACTTTCTGATCGGGCTAACTAGCCTGTGGATGAATATTGACCTCACTGGCGCGAGAATTCGTGTACCCTGGACATCTATCCGGAACTACATCCATCGATCACGAGCGCAAGTAACCGCTGCCACCATCACGGATATTGCGCCCTCTGCCATCCCAAAGGTGATTGACATGATGAGCAGATGCCCCAAGTTAGAGCATCTAGCATTTCTAGCCCCTCACACCGAAACCCACGAATTCTATCCGAGAATCAAGGAATTTCAAAACCTGAAGAGCCTCTCATGTGGACCAGAGATCAGCCTTCCTCATCTATATGTTGGCAGCATCCTATCCGCGCTTCCGAAACTTGAAAAGGCTTCATTCACTCGCGTTTGGGATAGCCATACCAGGTCGTCACCACCGCCCCCGTGGCCCCAAAATCTCCCGAACATGAAGAGTCTCACTATCGCATCTACCCAAAGAATTCTTCCTAGCGTGAACGGGGACTATCTTGATGTGGTTCCAGGACTAGGATCTGTCGGTTTTCTCTGAAATTAGTCACCAAAACTTATGCTAACACTATCTAGTCTGTATACCCCAACCTGGAGGAACTGCGGTTGATCTGGTACCCTGCGCTCTCGGAATCATTTCGATTCAATCCCGTGGAGGAGGATCAAAGTCTCCCGCAAATCCGCCAGCTAGAGCTGCGAGGCGCGGTCATTCAACCCGATTTCTATTCAATCCTCCCAGCCAGCCTCCAGGAACTGCGTTTAGACTCTGGATCAATCGAACGCGCGGATAACGGTAGCGCGCAGATCTTGATACCTGCAGAGAACGAACTCCCAAATCTGAGGACACTCACCTTCAACGACGCACCTTGGGTCAACCCCTACACACTTTCCCTCTTCCTCTTCCATGGCAAAGCGCCACTTCGAACTCTTTGCGTGAACGATTGTCTTAACCTGATCGGTCCGGATCTGGTTGATCTGCTCTCCGACCCCGATGGGGCCAATCCGGAGTTAGAAAACATCACAGAGATCGGAGCCTCGGGAATGCCTGCCATGGACGACATTTGCGTCGAAGCTCTGTGCATAAGACTGCCGAACCTGAAGGCTCTGGATCTATCACAGACGAGAATCACTGGTTGCACGGTCCGCATGTTGGCTGACTCCCACGAGGAGGACTCGAGTGTTCCAAAACTCGAGACATTGACTATCAAGAGATGCGACAGTATATCCCGTGATGCCATTGATTACGGGCGAACAAAGGGACTGAGGATCATTACTCAGTAGTGAGTATCAATTCCGGCTGACTTTTTTTTCTCTCACTTTCCTCTTATTTTCATCGCAATTTTCTCGAGGCATAGGAAGGCGTATGGGGCAAGGCCTGTGTATTTATGATAACGAAATAAGCAATGATACCTAGTTCCAACTGAATATAGCGTAGGATCCCGATAGGCGTAGCTTTACTTAAAACTATCTACTTTCATTTTTATTCGAATGGTAGTCCCTAGGGCTATTAGTCGTCCAAATAAAAATGCGGTCAACGACTCTATAGCACAGACCGCGACATAGGTATCAGCTGATACATAACAGAAGTAAAATCCCCCGAACCTATTCCCCGGGCACGTCAGCTCTAAAATTGAGGAGCTCTCACTCGATAAGAAAGGAACCCAAGCGAGCGAATGGTGAAACATCGACTTGAACCGGCTGAGACATAAGCTAACAAACAATCCCATGAAACAGTTACACACACGAGAATCAAAGAACCAGATCGTATGACCAAAAAGCTTTGCTATAACACTAACATGACCGGATTCATGGAAGTATAGCAAATCAAATAAGAGTAGCCAGCCGAAAATCCAAACCCACCAATATAAGCGGAAATACCCCCCAAAACCTATCCCAATTACCTATCTAAACCCCACGTTCCTGACACCACCGCTCCACTTCCCTCGCCAATTTCTCCTTCTGATCACGCACCAGCTCCATCATAGGCTCGACTTGCTTTCTGTGGACTGCAACGAGGTCTGCATCGCTATCCGCAACATCGCTGGGGGCAAGATGAGTATCGTAGATTTTGACCATAAGCTCCATGACAGCAGAGAGTTGATTTGGAAGCCACTGGATGGAGATGCTAATTAGAAACCTGAATTATACAGGGGAAGAGAAAAGAAATGAATTATACTCACTGTGACGATAGGACTACCACCGGTAGCGGTAGGATGCGGTGTACGACGAATGATATACTCACGCGCGAACAGCCAGTGTCGCCAGCGGAAACTGCGGATGTGGTTCAGGGTGCGCAGGAAGAGGACTGCAGTTTCGGAATCTTGGACGGCGTATTTCTGTACGCCGATTTCTTCGGATTTCTCACGGATGTAGGTGAGGAATTCGCGGTGAGGGAGGGGACGGTAGGCGCGGAATTCGTGGAGGATTTTGGTGAGGGGGGGTTTCGGGCATGGGGATTTCACAGAGATGGTCCAATAGAGGGATCTGTTGGATTAGTTGGGGTTCATTTCCTTGAGCAAAGGTGGATCAGGCTGCTTACGATGCTGTCGTTGGCGCCACTTTCGCCGCGGAAGTAGAGGGGCTTGTTATCTTCGCAGCCTTCGTAGACTACACCGTTCGGGAACATGGATTGGTTGGTGATGCCGAAGATGAAGACGCGGAAGGAAAGGTATTCTGATGGCTTGGAGTTGCCCCACATTTCTACCAGAGTGTCAGTTTTGATAGTTCTTGGAACGGTTGAGGTGGTTGGAATGATTGGGAGACTTGCCTTCCATGGATTCTTCAATCTTCTCCATTGACTTTAGGATCTCTCGGAATCCATCGTTGATTTCCTGTCGGGAGCCATGCTGCTCAAGAGAGTCAACGACCTTCAGGACTCCGCCGATGAGGGGACCAGTCTCCTTCACCATGTCGACATGAGTCAGGATGAAGCCAGCCTCAGAGCTCTTGGGGTCGAGACCCCTCTCGAAGGAGCGGATCAGACGAAGGTTCGAGTACTCGCTCAGACCCTTGGCAGGGTCAGCAACAGTGTAGTTGAACAGAGCATATGAAGCAGCATAGGACATGAAGGGTGGCAGGTTGAGACTGAACATCATTATTAGCCATGCCGTTATCTGATAAAGAAGAGTATAAAGAAGGATATAGGAAAGGAAAAGCATGAAGAGAAAACTTACATCTCAGCACAGCGATACATGGGACGAGCAACAGACTTAGGCAAGACATCACGACCGAGTCCATAGCCGCCCTCGGGGTTCTTATTCCAGTGCTCCCAGCATGGCTCGAGCAAGTACGACGAAGCCAGGAAGGTGTAGTCACGAAAGACGGCTGCAATAGTGAAGCGATCTGGGGAGCCATCTGCGAGAACAAGCTTCTCAACCTCATCAGTTAGGTCGGTGAGCTCGGCCTTGACAGCAGGGCCAAGCTCATAGGTGGCCAGCAGACCAGGCTTGCCATCGAGCCTGACGACAGGGAGACGGTTGACTAGGGACAGCAGGGCACTAAAAGCCTCTGGTAGATCAACAGGGGCAGTCTCATAGGGCAAAAAGCCTGTCTGAGTGGTGATGGTGAATGGGTCAAGGGTGTGGGAGATGGTTGAAGGGTCATCATGGATGTGAGGGAACCGCTTCAGAGTAGCAGGGGAGGGGTAAGGGACTTGAGTTCGAGTCATGATGATATGATCGAGCGAAAGTGAAGAGAATGTGTCCACAGTAGACTGGTAAGGGGGTGACGATATGTATTGTAGTACACGGAATATGATGTATAGAAGGACAAAGACCAAGGCAAAAGGCAAAGAAGTGGGAGAAATAAATGGGAAAAGAAGAGGCAGAAGGCAGAAGACCTTGAGTGATGAATAGAGACTTGCAACTCTGGGGATTTGGGCGGGTGAGGAGCAGATTCTTATAATACTTTGAGGCCGGTATCAATTCCGGCCTCAAGTCCCCATTACGAAAGAGAATAGAAAGTAGCGTGTACCCGGTGACATCCGCCGCTGCATGATGCCAATGGACACTATCTATCCCGTAAGATACTCAGAGCACATTATATGAGTATATATACCCAAACTAGGGCATTTTGACACCCATCTATCCATCCAGGTGAACTATACAATTACCCACTGAGAAAGGGCACTGGAAGGTCACGGGTCAACGCTAAGCCTAATACAGCAACATGGTTAAAAGGCAATTTGACTGCATTTTCTCGAATTCAATGGAAATATATGGTAGCCAATATCAAGCTAGGCGCTTAAAAATGCTTATAATCAAGTAATTAGCCATTCAATGCCCATCTATTATAGATGAATGCCCAATGTAGTCTGCTCAAGTCATGATGGATGCTCTATAGACCATGTGCCGCCAAGCGGAGATCCCTAGATCCCGCCTTCTGATTGGTGGACTACCCCAGGTTTAGCTTCCCTAGCGTTCGGAGGCCGGAATGCTACCGGCCTCCGGCAATAACCGGCCTGGTTCTATGCGCCGGGGGCTTCTGATATAGAACAAGGCCGCTGTGTGATTAGTGTGTCACTCACAGGTCGGGATGCAGAAATGCCAAGATACAGCCAAGGGAGCTGTTTCCGTTCTCCAAAATCTCGTTTTATCCTGACAACCTGGCCAATTTGAAGTCACAATGAGACTATATTTGGGGTACGCAGGGAGCCAACAAAAGCACTGATAGTACGACCCAAGGTACCAAAAGTACCAAAATCAACTACCTTCACCATACCTACAAAAGAGCCGGTCAACTATCTAGTGATTCCTTCATTTGTACAAATCATGCAAATGTGTCCAAAATCCCCTTCCACACTCGAGATGCTCTTACTCCCCCTCCCTTGCACTTCTCATGAAAACTCACGCTCGGTCATATTAACAACCAAAGCCCCCGAACTCTGAAGAAAGATCCCATGCAACTGCGACAAGAAATACTGCAAAATGCCATCCCCGACAGCCGCCGGTAGGGATCTCTTATCCCCCCAATAATGTCTCACAAGCTCCCCAACACACCCCGTAGCAGCAACCTCAGGACACCCATTTGCCTCAGCACAAGGAAGAACCCGAATATCCTGCGATCCATTAAAATCATACCGGAGATGATTCCCGAACGCAGACTGCTCATGCGCCCACTCGCGACTCCATTTCAGACAGCCCGGGTAGCGCGTTTCAGTGGGACAGGATTCCCATGCTTCGAAGAGGTCGTGGGTGCGTGGACTTTGCTGGGCGATGATGAATCCCGTGTTGAGCAGTGTGCTGCCGTTCCAGTCGCGGTTGTGGGGTGCTTCGGGATCGAGGGCCATGGCGACTAAAGTGTCTGGGGTTATGTTCCAGTAGTTGAAGAGCCATTCCATGGGGAGGTTGGGGTAGAGGATCATGGCATCTGCGTCAAGGAATACCACGTATTTGTAGTGTCTGAGGGCTTCTTTGATTGCGGGGACTTTGGTCCATGTTCCTGAGCGACCGATTCCTCTGGGGATTTGGACGAGTCTGTAGTCGTAGCCGTGGATCATGGCTGGTCTTGTTAGGTCGCGAAGCGATAATCGAGTGACTTTTAAACTTGCCGAACATAAAATGGTTCAGTCGTCCGCTAGTATCTGGGGGAAGTTCGGCCACATTTAGTGGAGCTTTGCTCAATAGATCCTTTGGACCATCGAGGGGGCGACTATCGGCGTCCAAAATGAGGATATTCTTCCCTAATGGTTGAGTAAATCTCAATGGCTCTGGAGCCCAGAAGGCCTTCCCCGTGTGTCCCGTAAATAGGTTGCTCGTAATGGGGTGTAGGTAGGGAGTAAAAAGATCATGCACTGTGGAGGTGTGGGAGGAGCTTTGGACGGGCCGTTGAAAGGGTTTTCTGTACCAGAGTCAATACTCAGATTTAATACTTTGCTGTGCATGCGTTCGTACTGTGATGGATAATCAATAGATACACTGTTCATGTGAAAGTACACCCAAAGCAGCCCACATGCCATCAGGCTCGATGAGAGTATAGCGATGATGCGTCGAAAAAACATCGGTTCTTGCGGCGCCAGCAAACCGATGCGTTGCACAGCTTGTCTCTTAAAATTGGGGAATGTGTGTGTCGACAACCCTGGGAGCTGGTTGCTATGACATAATGTTGATCGAACGGAGGTCAGTTCCAAGGTTCCATATATCTAGCCCATGAAGACTACTATAACACTTATTGATAGGGGTACGAGATGACCATAGCGGGGAGATTGGAAGATTAATCCAATCAACCCAGCAACGAAAATGACCTTTTTTGGATTCTCCGCGAACAAACTTATATACAATGAAGAGGCAATGAGAACACCCACTCACACATTCCCCCCAGGGGAATTCAAGAATGACAATGCCATATTCTCATTCTGGGAATCAGGATCAAAGATCTCAGGCCAGAGATTGCTATGATCCCAGCTCAGATACTCCCACATATATTGAGACGAGAGTGTTTCGAAAGAAGTAGCAGTCAAATCGGAAAATCGATCTCGGGGAATTGGTTGAGCAGTGTTAATGGGGTCCGGAGGAGGAGAGTTCATAGGACTGGGACTAGTCCCGCTCACATCAACCGGATCTGCACTAGTACCATGCAGGTTGGCCGCGAGGATGGCCGAAACTACCTCAAGGGAGCGTTCTGCAGTGAGTCCGTAAGATTTCATGCGACCCAGGGTCGACATAGCAGTCTCCACTTGCGTCTTGCAAGCTTCAAATGAAGCCCCGGAATCGTTGTCTGCAATGCTAGCAGATAGGCAGAGCAATGGAACCATGGTGGCCTGGAATAACAACCAAATCGCATTCCAGCCAAGCATTTGGTTTAATTTCGCCGTCGTTGAAATGTCTTGGATGCAGATTTCAGCAATCTCAAGGCATTTCAAAATGGCGGTGCGTTCCTCGACTCGGACTGCCATGAATGGCACTCGTCGCATGGAATGATTAAGCAGGATTGGGCGGAAAATTAACATGCGGTGATTGAAGAATCGCCAGCGCATGACAGTGCGTACAGAATATAGGGATTCAGGACAGGGTTCGTAATCTTTCAAAACAGGCGGTAGATCATGCCACCATTGAAGAAGCTGCGAATCCAGTTCAACCATCTCCGTGTGCGTTAGGGTTGGTAGCGCCGCTAACGCTTCTTGAATTTTCGAAGCAATTTTCACAAATTGGACATTTTCTGTCAAAGGGAGGATCTCGAGATAAGTTTCCTGTCGAGAGTCAATTTAGAACGAGTATCTCGGCATCCTACCAGGAAGATAACGAGTGGGAGATGTGCACCTTATCAAGCCGGCTAGGCAAGTTCACAGTAATGCTCGGGGCAAAGAAATCCATGCTTGGCCGGCCAAGCGTTTCATGGCCCCAGGTCTCCAAACAGGTCAGTGACCACCAGACACGACGTTTGAACTCCTGGAATCCAGATCTCGCGGTGTTAAGCCCCGACTGAATATCGGAGGGTTCCCGCTGCAGACCCAAAGTGACCGCCATCCGCAGAGACGCACCCATAAGCGCATATGCGAGATTTGGCTGGTTAGTATAGTGACAATACCATCCACCCATCAGCCCTAGGACTTGGACAACTTCGAGACTAGCATTGCCGAGCGCACGTAGATTCAAGTAACTCATTGAACGTTCAAAATACCCCTGATAGGCATGGCTATCGGCACCGGTGGTCATGATACTGCCCAATGCGAGAACAATGTTGAGTAATGCGAGCCATCGATCATCCTTTCTAAACCCAACGAGATGAGTCGTCCGGAATGCTTCTTCATCCAAAAGTGGCGCAAACGGTTGGAAGTTGGCAAAGTATGCATCCAGCAGCTGTGTTTCCGTGGGTGGGAGCCCAGACTGAGGTGTATCCAGCGACGGGGGAAATTGGTCGGCTGACTGGTCGCCTTGGTTTTTCGATAATGGGCGTGAGTAATACGAGTTAATTTCCGGGTGAATCCACGCAATAACTTTCAATGCGGCCTGAATAGATGAAACCCCTAGGTAGGAGGTAGGAGGTCGAGGCGTTAAGGATAGCGCGTTGACGTCGTCTGAGATATGTCCACCGGAGTCCGTGGCGCTGCCAGATTGAGGTTCATCGAGTTGCTCCGCCGGTATCGTGTGCAAGGATTCTAGACCAGGTCTTTCCATTGACAACACAGAGGGATGTGTGTCTATGGACGCGGAAATAGTCGATGAATCTTGATGGTGTGCATATTGGGATCGGCCCGTGCCTACCAATTCCAACAGTTTATCTCTTGACAAATGCACAATATTTTCGGGGGCAGTATGCGGAAACAGCCGTTCCAATGTGCCTCGATAGTCGACTGACGGTGTTGTCACTTTTTCCGAGTTGCTATTTCGATCAGTTTCTGTGTCCAAACTTGAGCCACGGGGATCATGTATAGCTCCTTTTCTTTTGTACTTTTCCTCCCCCTTACCTTTGCAATGTTCGAGCGTCCGCATAGCAGCACAGCTCGGCCTTCTTATACCACCGACATGCTTCACAGGGCTTCTCGCCATCGCATTTGATTTTGCGACGACGACATGATGTGCAAGCCTGAGGCGTAGAGCCCCGTCGGCTGAGCCTTTCGCTCCGCCTCTTGCGCTTAGGGTTCCGCAGGCCCTGTTCATTTTCCTGGGCCTTGAACGCGATAAACATGACCGAGAGGATCCACCAAGAGCCCTAGAGCAGCTTGGAAGTGGATAATCAAATGCGGGATGAAATGCAACGCTCCACAGACGAGCGCAATATAGATAAAGTACTCTTCATCCAAGTCGCATTGATCGAGTTAAAATCCCACGGGGTAGATTAGACAACGTGAGAATCCCGGGGTAAAGATACATGACGTTCATGCAAGCTCACCAAATTTCAATGCGGGGTGCAACATGTGTGAATCTTTCAGGGGAAAATGGGACTTTTGCGTCGGTATCCAAGTTGCTAAACGTTGCTAAGATCCCTGCTCTTCGCGCCCAATTGCCTCCAGATGGTCTTTGCCAATACGAGTGTGCGGCGCTAAGCCCAATCGGGGAGGATCTAGGCGGACCTTCTCCGAGTCATCGACTTCCAACTTCCTCCAACACTCGCGCGGATCATCTTTACACACAGCTCTCGGCTCATCACTGTCAATCCAAGGCAAGAATCCCGAACTCGATGGGATGTTCTGGGAAGAAGTTACTTCAACGGTATGCTATCGCTTTTCGCGAACACGGCACCGGCCAGCCAAGACATGTGACAATCATTGCGCATTGCATTCAACACACCATCTCGAAACACTCCGCATTCACCTCTGTATGTTTCATAGTGGACAATGAAACAGCGACCCCTCAGTCAAATCTACGGTGTAGGTTAGGATTTGAAGTACTAACGCGTCAGCGCATCTTCACTGGCTGAGACCGATGCAGAGAGTCCTCATTCTGCCCAAATTCCCTATCTAGAGAACCATGTTCTATCCTCAATATCTAACATTGACAAAAATACTTCCTCCAAATAGAATACCACAGGAATCATGGTCAAATCTGTTACACCCAACCAGTCTATGGACCTTTAATCTCCACCACCTGATCCGCAGTTTCGGAAACCAAGATCTGTTGCTTCTCCGTACTCTTCTTCCGGGGGTTAGGAGCATTGAAGATATCCGCGAGTTCTTCGAGGGTGCGCTTGTTCGTCTCAACTGCAAAGAATGCAATGAACACTGCCTGAACCATATTCCAACCAGCCAAGAGGATGTATGTGTGCCAGCCAATGACGCCGATTGCATTTCCGATTCCAAACTGGTTTACCAGTAAGGCAATGTTGGTGAAGACCGAGAACATGGCCATGCCCTTGGCACGGGTTTCATAAGAGAGACATTCCACGGCGTACATGGCCTGTAATGGCGTCCAGCCGAAGCTGAAACAGAAACCGTTGAGGAAGATGAAGGCAATCGAGGCGGTGGCCGTTTTTGTGTCTAGGGTCTTGTCATACACCCCGGTTGTGGCTGAGAGGGCTGCAAAGCAAAGCTGCATATTTCAAGTCAGTGGAGAGCATCGACAGGGAAAAGAAACAAAGAGAAAAGGGATCCACTTACACCACACCCAATAGACGTGCCAATCAGCATAGGTCTCCGTCGAACCTTGGGGCCCATGTAGCTGCCCAGATAGGCCCCTCCAGCAGAAAGGACGGTGTATCCCAGATTGAAATCTAGTACTCGTGTAGTATCTGTGATCCCAGCAGTCCGTAACAACCCACCCATATAATAGGTAGTGACGCCGCCCTGTGCCCATTGGCTCATGAAAGATGCAATAGCCACACACATGAGACGCCATCTGGCAGGTTTCGAATTAACAAGTTCTCTGAAATCCCAAGCTCGCTTGTCCGAGCCTTCAAGGTTGATCGCATCTTCATATTCTCGGACCTGAAGATGAACATAGGCATTATCACGCGAGCCCTCACCGTGGTAGTTAATAATAACATCCCAGGCCTCCTCGCGGCGCCCATGACTATAGAGCCAGCGAGGTGATTCAGGTATGAACCAAACAGTGAGCACTATCATGCTGGAGGTAATCAATTGACACCAAATGGGGATGCGCCACGCGAGGGAATCCGAGAACCTCAGACACCCACGACAAGCCCCCGAGGCCGCAATGGCGCCGACGAAGTATTGGCAGTTGTACAGACCGGTCAGGAGATCGCGGTATGCGGGGTGGCTCATCTCGACGACATACGCGGGCGCTGCAGAAGATGCCAAGGAGTATCCCCAGCCTACAACATCTTATTAGCAACGCCATCAAAAATGAGGTGAAATTTCCCTTTCTTACCAAGAAAGAATCTACTGGCGAGCAACTGATCCATATGGTTGGCGGTACCGCCAAGAATAGTGCCGAGGATCACAGCGCAGGATCCCACAAACATGCCACATCGTCGACCCCAGGTATCCAGGAAAAAGCCCACAAACGGTAGCGCGGAGACACCTCCAATGGTGTACATCCCCTGGATGAGGGACGCTTTCGACCCGACCAAACCAACGCCAAAGGTCTTTTGAAATTGCTCTATCGGAAGCAATGCACCCATCAGGGAGCCATCGAATCCTAGACTAAGTCAGCGACGGAGAGTTCGCCTTGGCAATCAAGGGTTTTCGTACCGTTTAGTGCTGAGCACAGATACGCCACCGTTAAGAATAAGTATAGCTTTCTCATCTGAACACTCCAGGGATTCGGGGGATTGGTCCGTCTGGCGATGTCCAAAGCCACCGAGCCCTGGAGTGTCTCTAGCTTGACGCCTTCTTTGTGTTCTTCGTGCGTTGTGTCACCTGCATCTTCTTTCTCGTCTCGTTGGCCCGGGTGAATATGCTCTGTCATGATGATTTTTCGGAGGAATATAACCTATGATTCTTCAATCGGACAGCTCGACTCTGGTAGAACAGGGCGTGGGTGAATTGATTCATTTATTCCCTTGTCGCAATGAACTGGGGGTTTCCCTCTCCTTTGCGGAGATCGAAAGGTAGGTATGTTCGTTTATCTATCGGACGGAAGTGTCACGGAGATGTCCTTGACTAAAACGGAAGTTTACATATCGGTTCACCTTCGGTTCTGACTATTGAATGGTGGTAGCTACCTGCCCCCCTCTCAGTGGGGATGGTCGTTTACCCCAGAGTGAAGGTGAACGCCGATCGCCGCCTGGAAAAGCTGGAGATGACTCGCATGGTCTGTGCGCTCGGCTTTCTCCGCCTGGTCCTTGACGAGACGGGTAAGGATCGGCGCTCCCTTCGGGGAAATTGAGTTTGGGCTACTGCTTAAAGCCGGCGAACGACATCTTCCTTACGACGTTGTACTTGTACGGAGTACTCGACACCCCCCAATGACTCGTGAAGCTACTCAGTTGGGGAGGGTGCATTGTCGGAGTCTTGAACTAATCTCGAAACCTGCAATATGACATCGCTGAGGCAATTCTCCAATTTATGCCTCATGCTATAGTGATGAGGCCATAAATCCATCTTGACTCCATCCTGACACCCGCCCCACCGACATCGTCTCCTTGGTTTTTTGCAGGCCGATCTCGGGATGTTGAGCATGTCTTCATGGGGCTAATGATCTCTAGTGGATACCGTAGGAACGAGCTCAGAGGAGACGTGCCGAGCAATATGAGATATTGCAAATGATGGGAAATGACTGTCAGCCCCATGAAACGTTCCAAATCCACAGGAGATCAATCGGCGATCAGGCGGTCCGGCTCGATTGTCTTGCCATTTCTCCTCTTTCTCATCGCTCTTAAACGACCCAGTTTGAAACAAATCCCTTTTTCATCGATGAGTCTCGAAGCATCTGCGTTTTGTGTCGTTTTATATGGTTTTCATGTGATTTCCTTTTTTAACTCTCACTAGTTTCATCGTAGCGCCATGGAGGATCCGAATAATCTGAGGTCTAGAACACCCATCAAGACGAGCAAAGTTCTTCCAGTGCCCCTGGCCTCCTTGAATTAGGAGATACCGCACGTGTGCGAGACTACACTTTGATTTACAAACCGGCCCGGCTATCAATCAATTTTCTGGTGAGTCTTTTGGCATTCACGTGTGATTAATTTCAGTTGCCCATGCTGTAACCAGAGTGTAGCCCATCAGCAAAAATGATTTGGTTCCCATTCAACTTCCAGAAAGAAAAGGGCCTAAATGAAGAGCTTCTCTTGCCTTTTTATATCATCAAATTGCTCTATATGTTTATTTCAGCGAGATTATGTTCATTGTAGCGAGTTTTGTAATACAGCAGGGCAATGACTTTGGAACCCATGCATCACAGCGTTGACGGGGGTCTGAAATATGAAAGAAAAAGGACCAGTCTCAGCAGTGACTATCCCCCAGATCAACCCTGCTAATGGCCCGCTGTACTCTCCAACTCGTGTATGATTTGCGAATCTCCTCGCGTACTCCCACGCATCTCGCGTGACATTGGCTTGGTATGGCCACAGTCTGTGTTCACTGCATGTTGTACCCTCCCATCACCAACCCAAGAGGGGTCTCATCGCCAATGATGTTGAGCTATGTCCGCTGTAGATGATTATGACACGCCAACAACCGGTTTGAATAGTGGTTCCGTCGTTCAGGCACTAAGTAAAGGCGACTCCGGGTAGTATTGGATTGGCCATATGGTCAGATGCGTATAAAGCTCACATCTTTGTTGAAAATCAGATTAGAGTGTGTCCACGAGATAAATTGAAGCTTACCTCTTATGATTTGGTTTTTGGTACCAACACGCAGAACCATCGGTTGATAGTGATTCTGATGGTCATGATGGAAGTTAACGGTGATCCACGGATTTCCATGGATATCTGTTACCCAGCTGTCATATAGAAAGTTGCTTCGGGTGGACTGTTGAGCCCATGTCAGCAGGGGAATTGATGGGATTGTACAGGGAGGTGAAGAGAGATTCGAAGATGAGAAACAGGTCATGTGAGGAAACGTGATGGGGCTTCTCATTTAGACAGGCACTATGGAGCAGCTCTGTCTACGCAAATCACAGCCGTTACTTGATCCTATAACACATAAGTCAATGAGTACCGAATCCCTGAATTGTATGTCTAGCTAACAACTCTACTATATGCTAGGATTTGATCTTGTGTTTCCCAGTTTTCAAGCGTCTATTGACCCAGATAACGGTATCCCAGCGGTAGGTCACCTTCCTTAAGCCCTGTGACCGTGACCACCTGCTCGTCGCCCGGAACAACATCAATAGCGCTGTCACTAATCCGCACATTCTCCCGTTCCTCAAACACAAGGCATTTCACCGGCTTCCGTGCACTGATCCGTAGAATTTGCTGGTCAGCTGAAGTCCCTGGCTCGGGTGTCACTTCGAGTCCACGATCGGAGAAATCGAGGTACTTGAATGGCTGTGGCCAGTCGATGTCTCTGGCCACAATCTGGCCGTCCACCCACAGCCGCGCGGCCAGAACGTGTGGCTCGGGCTCAGAGATATGGTCAATGATTCCGCTCGTGATTTCCGAAGTGCCATTAGCGGTAATTGCGACGTCCGCGAAAACAGCTGGAGCGCGCAGGTCCCCACCGGTAACTATCGATAGGAAGCGCAGCTCGACAGTTCCGCGCAGCTCTTCTTGTTGACTGCTGGCAACCCACATCTCGTACTGGCTCTTTGTTGGGGGCACCGCGTGCGCCACGCTCCAGTCGTGGTGTTCACGTCGGATGCCAATTACCAGCGGCTGCATGACCCGTCTGACTGTGTAATACGCGGGCTTTGGTCGCAGGAAGTAGTCCACAATTGCCCAGGAGATTGTGGGCCAGCAGTCGTTGATTTGCCAGAGCAGTGCGCCGCCGCATTTTCGATCATCGCCCCATTGTCGTCGCCATCCACGGTAGCCGAACATCATCGTTTCAGCCTGGACTACCTGTGTGAGGTAGATGTATGTCTAGGTGGACTGTGAGCGAACTCTTCCTTCCTGCTGATTGGATCGGATGTAAGCAATAACTGACCTCTAGATCGGTAGCCGTGCGGAGGTTTTCTACTATGTAAGTTGCCAACCGTCTCTCGTGCCCATCGGCCTTGTTGTGGAAGTCTAGCACATGTGATTGCGGGTGTTTATCTGCTTCGTTTTCCACAAAGTAGTCGATAGTCGACATGTGTGGGAAGGCTTCCATCCCGAACTCGCTGTTGAAGCGGCCTCCCAAGGTGTCAAATATTTGGTATTTCTCTTGGGACCCGTGCCACACTGTAGATTTATCATTAGCCAAGATATTTAAGTAGAAGTCCTGTCAAAATCCGGTTCTGGGGTAGATTCCCTTACCATTCCATTGATGTATATCTCCCACGGTGGGATCAGACGTGAGCTTCCCATCACCCCACGGGCTTCCTGGGTGGTAGAAAGTACTCGGTGAATACTCTGCGACCACTTCCGGCAGCAGCTTCTCGTAGATATAGCGAGCCGGGAAGTTGGACTTCAGCCAGCTTTCCGGATCCTTGTCTTCATAGTCGTAAGTGAGTCCGCACTGCTCCTGGACTTGGTAATCTTCATTATTGCCAACGTAGATTACGATAGAGGGGTGGTGTCGCAACCGCTGTATATTGTACGTTGTCTCCTGTCGTACGGATTCCAATAGTGCGGGCCACACTGGATAATTGCCGCAGCCGAACATGAAGTCCTGCCATACTAGCACACCGAGCTCATCGCAGGCGTTGTAGAAAGAGTCGTCTTCGTAAATACCACCGCCCCATACTCTGTTTGTGTCCAAGGTTAGCTCGTCTCCAAGATCTAGGATGTTGTCTAGCGTTTTTGATGCGACATGCTCAATCATACCTCACCATAACTTGGCCACCTCCTACCATTAACTGGATCCAATTCCGATATCGCTCTGCGCTGATACTTGGGAGAAGACTGTCGGCAGGAATCCAACAAGAGCCTCCACAGAAGATATCCACTCCGTTCACTCGGAAGAAGAACGACTTTCCATGTTTATCCGGCTGCTGTACTACCTCGGCGGACCGAATGCCGAAGTTCTTAGACAGTTGGTGCAGCTCCTTACTGTCCGCAGATAAAAGTGATACTGACACTTCATATAAGGTCTGAGAGCCGTAGCCATGCGGCCACCACAGTTCAGGATTGTTGACCTCAAAGGTAGCCTGGACAGTTGGTTGATCTGCGTTGACGGCAATATCCTGGTGTGAGATCTCGCGTCCACCCAACTTCAAATTGAAACGAGCCGTATAGCCTTCTGAGTTGAAAGCATCGATTTTAGCAACTGCCGTAACAGTCGCCGACTTCTGATCAGACGCAAGATGTGTCTGCGGCCAGAGATCTTCTACCCGCGCAGAGTAGACTTCCAATCGCACTTCACGCCAGATTCCGGCCGTCATAATAACAGGTCCCCAATCCCATCCCCAGTGATATTGAGCCTTGCGCACGGCTAAACGAGCCATATCGCCGTTGAAGCCCTGCCATTTGTGATTTGGATCTTCGTTGCGTAGCTCGCGTGCCTTCAGCAAAGCGCAATCGAACTCGATCTCTAGCACGTTTGTTTCCCCGGATGATCGTGAGAGCTCTGTGATATCCACACGGTGGCCGAGGAACATGTTGCTAGATTCAAGGATTGTCTCACCGTTGAGCTTTACTGAGGCAAAGGTGTCTAAGCCGTCGAACACCAGCGCCACGGTTGAACCCGCAGGGACTTCTGGTCGTTGGAACTCATGTCGATACACCCAGACTTTCTCATTGACCCAGCGTGCTTTGAGTTCATTAAGGCCCAGATAAGGATCAGCGAGTCTATCAGAGAGGGAATTTAGTCAGAATCACGCCACAGGTGTATTGAATGCCTAACTTCTTGTTCGCAATGAGGTCCTGCTGCACCGTTGAAGGCACTATCGGCACAGACATCCATGAATTCAGTGCTCCATCGTCTCGATCCTTGAATTTCCACCCTGTGGATAGTGGCTGCTTGAAAAAAGCCATGTTCTTGTTTCAAAGGCAAGACAAGTTCCTAACTGATGTTTCAAGACACATTTGATTTTGAGCGGTTTTAGAAAGCGCAGAATGGGGCGTTTTATATCAGCAGTGCACAATGTAAAAAGGATTGGGCCCTTATTTGGCCTGAATTAATCATTACGCGTCCAATCTACATAAAAATGAAAACACACTGATGACAAACCGGACCTCTGAAGACTGTCCACGGGTGGCTGTACGGGGTAGATGCTGCAAGGTTGCCGCTAATGCAATGTAGATCCACCGAAAGGGCCACGGAGGTTCCACATCCGTTCCGTAGAATTGCCTGTTTGGGCTGGTCGTGGGCGGAGGCCCGATTGAAACGAGTAGCCCGAAGAGCTCCGCTTTACTTCTCCGCATATCTATGTATAGGTACATTGTTGTACATGCATTTAGATGATAGAGGGGTCATTTTGCCTATCTACCATGATGTAAAGAATAGGCCTCTATCTACGCATTGTTAGATAAAGATAACAATTAAGTAAAGACCACTTGAGCCGACGCGTTATCTTTGCCCCATATCATATATCGACTTATTCGGTTTTATAGATATCCTGCTCCAGTGCTTCGTTCATATTGTGATTTTCTGCTTCTCTACGGACTAGTCAAGTGTAACCCCACTCCGATGTCTCATTCCTGTTGTTTGAGGTCTTGGAAGGGATGAAGTACTTGAAACACCGTCCATCTCAATGCAGAAAGCGTCCGCACGGAGCAAACGAGGAGAAAGACGGAGTCGCATCTCAGTTGCCAAATTCGAAGACCAAGGAAAGCCCCGAGATGCTACGCAACGAGCTTCGAAACAAGATGATCTTTTCCGATTCTCACACGGACAGAGAGATGCCAATTCGACTACCCCGTTTGAATTCCTCAGACTAAGGATAAAGTTCGCCAACTGAAGAATATAAAAGGAAGCTGCTGGTCCCCGGATTTCTTTTTCGACATCACAAATCCAGAATCCAGAATCTACAATCGCATTCTCTTCTCATTACAAGATGCAGCTCCTCTCTGTCTTCAGTTCCCTGGCCCTCGTCTCTGCGGTGCTTTCGTCTCCGGTAGCAGGCTCCAAAGTACTCGCGGCTCGCGCTGATGATCGCGGTACCGAAATTATTGCCGGACTTGGAGCTCGCAAGCAGGAAGTTGTAAATGCGGGTGGAAACACCCGTGATCTGGCCATTGCAATGCTGGAGACGTCAGTTTCTCTTTTTTTCGGTTTGCATGCATGATAATTGGGCTAACAAATACTAGCACGACCATGACTACGGACTACACCTACGGTATGTGCAAAATTTCAATTTTTCATGCCAGTGAACGTGCTAACACTTATACTTTCAGGTGACGGCAAGACAGGTGACGCTACCAACTTCGGCATCTTCAAGCAGAATTGGTTCATCCTGAGACATTCTGCATCTCAATTCCTGGGCAAGAGCTTGGGCCAGGTCGATGAGGGTGCCGTTCTCAAGTAAGGCTTTTGTGCTATTTTTAGGCTCAAATGTACATTGGCTAATGCTTCGGCTGCTAGTTGGGACCTGGCAAAGGACATCCAAGCCCGCCATGAAGGTGAGAACCACTATGGGTATGAAGTTTGGTTCAGTGGCCACCGCAACGGAGAAACCGGTATTAACAACCCTAACACTGATGACATCAATGGTGAGTTTGCTCAGATATATGATTTCTCATGGGTGTCACTCGGCTAATTTTATGGGCAGCGTACATCAATGCTATAGCTTGGATCCAGCAGCAAATTGAGAGCGATAGCAAGTATCAGAGTGATGATACTCGGTTCTGGGTTGATGTCCAGGCTATCTAGGCCACGACAGCAGATAACACCCAAGCCCGTGGCTGGCCATTAGCTACAGTGGAATCTGGCTTTTCGTTTTCTATTCTGTAGTGGGCTTTGCAGAAGGCATCTACGTTTCTCTGGGTTACAATATTTGCTTTATCTACCCACTGGGGCGAGATTTTGTTATTTCGCCCATTGTGTCTTGATCTTAGTTGCGAAATTCGCACGAATACACTCATTTATCAACTATTGTTTTCCCGTAAGCAACACATATTGTAGGTATCTATAAGGAGTATCGTGTTTAAAATTGACTTTCTTAAAGCAACGGCTGAGACTGAATGGGATGAACCGGCAATCCAATCCTAGAATAACTCAATATATTTCGAATGCAGATGTAGGTGATAATATGCAAGCAATGTGTAGTGTATTTCCCACATTCAAGAGCCCAGCCGTGTGAGGTTCAGGTAAGGTTATCCGATCCATGGACCCGAGCCGGCGCCATTGTTCATTGCCTACGGCTTTTTCTGGGTCTGCCCAGCTCTCGAGCACGCGCTCCAAGGATCATGGCAAGATCAAAGCCTTACTTGCGCCTAATTCAAGCTTGCCAGGAAGTGATTGGCGTTGGAAATGAGGGCTGAGTACCTTTAGAGTACTATGACGAAGTAAAAGGACGCGAGAGAAAATTGAAAGCGGACGCTCTCGCTGCGGCTAGATCGGAGGCAAGGATAACAATCGAAGAAAACTGGGTTTTCGAGGACTTTTGTGAGGAAGATTACACTCCAGGAATAAATGCCTTGGTTGAGCACCATGGCTATCTGGGTATATAAGTAGTCAAAAGTGTATTAAGAATATAGTCCCAAAAGTGATAGGGCATCGAAATGTCCTTGCTGAACAGGCGCCGAGTACATATAGAATACAATTTATAGTTCTTCTCAATTCCGATACCAGGCGAAAGACTAAAACTTGAAGTCAGTTGGAACCTCCAGGACTTGAACGATTTAGTACATGGCAGGTGAACTAGATCTTTTTGAACTATATGGTAGCGGGTCAAGTTTTTATCTCAAAGCGACAATCATTAAAGAAGATTTATAATGGAGTATTTTCTTGACATAAAAGCCTATATCATTCCAATCAGCGCATCCAGATCTCGGAGTTGTTGTTGCACCAACTCCATGTTGTCCGATTCCTCACGCAGTACTTTCTTGAACGCACCAACAGCCTCCTTGGTATTTCCCGACACTGCCTCTCCGGACTGCAGCTTCTTCTCTGCAAATTTGATGCTATCCTTTGCACTTCGTATTTGTGACCAGTACGTTGTGGTTCTATTCATATAACCAGTCTCCTCAAGTGGCAGGTTCCATTCATGAGGTGTGGTCTCAACGATATTCAACCACTTCGCCATGTGCGGCCATCGCTGCTCTTCCAAGCCCGGGAAATGGACAAGGAGATCCCCTCGTTTGCCTTCATATGCCCAATCCCATTCATAGGTGTTAATCCATGGTCGTGGCAGATAGAAGACCCCATCAGCGTAACCTTGCCCTTTCGGACCCCCTGTCGTCTTATTGAGCACACGTCTCATGGCCTCTTGGTCGGCGGATCGACCAAGATCAATCTGAGGTCGATACAAAGGATAGCCCATCGTTTCGGTCAGGAAACTGATCGTCCACGGGTGGACATGCAGGAACATGATTCCAGTGTTGAGGCCATTCTGGTCCTGGGCTGCTACCAGGTGAACATCTTTCAAGTCCGATGGTGGAAGGAAAATCTCCACGGGTATGTCATTGTTTAGCATAATTGAGTCTGCATCCACCCACCTTCAGGAATTAGTATTTTCTCCGGCATAGTAAGGAGGAAGAACCTACATCAGCCACTCCATTCTCTCGCCGGCTGGCTTGGCCAGTTCATTGATCACCAAGGATATCAGATAACTCGGTTTATTCCAAAATCCGACAGCAATATCCTGTCGCAGGATGTACATGGGGTATCCCCATCGTTTTCCGTGGCGTTGATGGCTTTGCAGCGCTCTTTCGTACATTTGGTTGGGTTCTCCATATAGCATAGACACTTTGGCTATCTTTTGCGACTTATGGCTGGAAGCATGGTTAAGCTCAAGAGCATAAAATGTGCTGTAGGATTTGAATGTAACCCAAAAGAAGCATAGCACTGATAGAACTATCAGAACATTGTGCAAGGGTCGTTTAGATGTCATTGAGCGTGGAATCATGGCCAGCATCACCGCACGGGGGCCAGAGTTTTCATGATAGATTGGAAAATGAGAAGAAAGTGGTTCTTAGTTTTCTAAATGCAATCACCCTGAGCACCAGGGTAGGAATATTCAATTGGACGCTCATCGTTGGTTGGACGAATTCATACCTCCGGATTGGGAATGCCCGTTTTCAGCAACCCAATCCAACTACACTATGTACACCCAATCCACGCAGGTATATTGAGTATGATTGGTTTAATTCGAAGGAAAGCGAAGCTTAAATGCTCTAATTAGATATTCATTTGCTCTAGAACCGATGGAACTTCACTACGCCGGTACAAACACATTCCATTGGCCCGCATACATACCCATCAAATTGAGGAGGGGTTCAATCCTCTTCTCAAGAAAAAGTAGAATAGATCCTGCGAATCGAGTCAATAATCTAGACTCTTTAGGCTCCTTGACATCTAAAAAGTGATGATAATACCAAACCCGGACATCGGCAATATGGAAGAGAGACGATTTCATGTTATATAGTACAGATGAGGTATATCATACACCACAAGTTTCAGATATTTGTACAACTTTGCATGCATATTCAAACCACTTAAACTCCTTGTTCCCATGCATGAGGGATCAGCCCACCATTGTATTCATTGGTATAGTCAGACGCATCAAGACCGAATCGCAAACTGTATCGCGCAAAACAACAGAGCATGATATCCATAGTCATATCGCTTCTTTATGATTGCGGATTTGTACTCTGGCTGGCAGGATTTGAGTCGTCTGTGGTGCTGTGTACTGTCTGGAGCTTGAGATACTCCTGCTCGAGGGCCTTTTGCATTTCGAATTCGGCCTGGCGTTCTAGTCGGATACGCTGCTTTTCCATATCGCGTTCGACACCTCTGTGCATAGCCTGCCATTCAATAAAGTAAGTATAGCCCAAGAATCGATAATTGAAGTCATAACATACCGCTCTGTCCGCCTCTTGTGCCCAGTGGACAAACCACACAATACCCATTGTGCCGAGGCCGGTGGCTGCCAGTGTGAATTTTGATGCGCGAGACATGGCAGTATAAGCAAGAGCACGGCTCAATCCAGAGATTTGGCAAAGAATGGCACAAGAACAATGTTTTGGCGTAACAGCTGATCTCGAAAACGAGTCGGGGATTATCAGTTTATCGATCACCGGGCGGCGGTTGATGGCAGAACCCCCACCGCTCTGGGGGGGCGATGCGTGGCTCCGATCGACCTGGACTCGGAGCTCCAGACTCGCCGTTTAATCGTCCCTGTCCAGCCTTATTTTCTATCTACCATATTTCCAAAGCCGAGAGGTCTCTAGCAAATATGGTGAGCGAGCTATCTCGGAATGGGTGGCCAGCTGCTAACGGTTGAACAACAGTCGGCTCAGAACTCCGCGGGCATTCAGACCCTCCTCGATGTATGTCTTGTTGTATGATGGGCGCAGTGTGGGGATACTAACGACGGACATGCCAGGCCGAGAGAGAGGCCCAGAAGATTGTGCAGAAAGGTAAGTCTAACATATATTTACCCCTCATCGATGCTTATCACGGACACTAATACGTCACCTCACATTTAGCCAGAGAGTGTACGCAATTCGAGCTTCTTGGTCGTCATCCATATCGTCAAACTAATCATTTTGCGCCTAAATAGACCGTACCAAGCGGATAAGGGATGCCAAGGCAGAGGCCCAGAAGGAGATCGAAGAATACAAGAAGCAAAAGGAGGACGAATACAAGAAGTTCGAAGCCGAGGTGAGATACAGCTCCCAGACAGCTGCCATAATGTGGCATCTTGCAGAGCTAACATGCCTGGCAAATTTAGCACTCGAGCGGATTCAAGGTAGCCGAGGAGGAGGCCAACAAGGAAGCCGAAACCAAGCTCCAGGAGATCAAGGTCGCTGGCGAGAAACAGGGCGACAAGGTTGTCGCCGACCTCATCCGTGTGACGACCGACGTCAAGCCCGAGGTGCCTGAGAAGATCAAGGCATAATGTAGATATTTTGGTTTATCTTTTCTTTCCTCGCGGGAATGCGCTTGCGTGTATGTTCATCGATATCCAACCACTTGTCGGACAATATCATTCTCTTTCTGGTTTATGTCTTTTTGTGTACGCCATGTGGGTCACCAATCACTTTCCCAGTCATTGGTGATTTCTTTCTTATGCTGGCCTTTTTTGTGTATGGGAACCTGACTATTGCTCACCATAACACCGAAGGCTACTCGTACCTGACTACTCTCAGGCACTTACAGAATGATCTCACTGAGCTTACATGCTCCCAGCTTGTTCAAACTGGATAATACAACCGCGAAATATCTATGTGATTTGACTTGATGCCAGACGTGACGAGGAGAGCCGCAGGATAGTTCCTGAACATCTTGGCTCCAGTGGGTTTCGACATCAGATGGTTGTCTATAGAGAGATAGGTTCTGAAAGGCCATAAGAGTACTGGTCTCCTCAATCTAGTGGTAGCCTCATCCTGTGAATCATTGCCTTCAAATCTGTGTTTTATCTCGACTATATGTATGCATTCGTCGTGACTTGTGCCGCTCAAGGGGATAGCTGCACAGGTTTATCATATTTTTCAATGATACCTACAGGCGAGCTTGAGTTTGATACTAGCTGGGATCATGATGCACCATTCCTTCTCTCTTTATGCATCTATACCCCTGAATAACATAGGCTTGCGAAAGATCTAGTTGGAAAAATACTTGTAGTTTGGAAAGATATTGAAGATCGCGCAACATCATTATTTGGAAGACAGGCCCTACGGGGAGCTACAAGACACGTTCAATGACATTTTTCATTAATTCCTTGCTAGTTTATCTTGTGGAAGAAGGCATGTATAGTCGACTTACAGGGGTGTAGTGCATGTTGGCCTGAGGCAGCAGCGATCGTTTTCCCATTGCGTCATTCCTCCCTGGCCCTTGTTCGACCACCATCACGAGCCTCACAATGAAATATGCAATTCCTACGCAGAATGCATGCAAATGGTCTTCGATGACATTCTCGACATACAGGCAGTCTGTATATTCCTCTCCCAACAGATGGTACCACGCATCTCCATGCAGAGCCAGACCAATTCTCGAACCGCGATTAGAGGATCATGGCAGAGTGATCTACGATGAGTACTCGATTGTCCGTGATACATATGGTTCGTATTTGCTGATTTGACCATTATGTGCGCTTGCTGACTCGCAATTAGCTGCACCAAAATACCCTATCGTTCTCGCCCATGGCTTGCTCGGGTTTGATGAACTACACCTAGCTGGCCGGTATCTTCCTGGTGTTCAGTATTGGCGTGGGATCAAAGAGGCACTCACAGCGCGTGGTGTTGAGGTTATCACGGCTACTGTGCCTCCGTCAGGCTCCATTGAGGAGCGGGCAGCAGAATTAGCGCGAGATATCGAGGCCGGAGCTCGAGGGAAAGATGTTAATATTATTGCGTGTGTATAGCCCCATCCCTAATCACACAAGACGACATATTCTGACAGAATCCTGTGTAGACATAGCATGGTAAGATTCCTCAATTGTTGGAATGGCGTTGATGCTTATCTGTGATTAGGGGTGAGATCTCCTGACAAGAGAATCCTTATATACAGCACAGGCTAATAAACCACAAAGCGGTCTTGATTCGCGGTACATGATCAGCCATATTCGACCAGAGAAGTTCAAAGTCTTGTCACTTACCACCATCGCATCTCCACATCAAGGTCTGGTGCAGCATTGCTTTTCTATCGCCTTCCTGCTAACTGTTGAGTAGGTTCATCTGTGGCGGACTATATATTTGATCAAATTGGAAGTTCGTCATTCAACATTTTACCGGAATCATTTTTTGGCACTAATATCCATTTTTCTACCCAGCCGATTTGCTGCCCCAGATTTACTATGCTCTTAACCGCCTCAATGTGGAGACAGGGGCCTTCGAGCAACTGACACGAAAATATATGACGGAGACCTTCAACCCTAATACCCCAGATGTCGAAGATGTCAGGTTAGTGCCACATGACCTCATCACTTTATCCCCTGCTAAAGACCCCAGATATTTCTCTTATGGGGCAGCGATGGAGCCAAGTATTTGGTCCGCCTTTCGGCTCTCACACCGAGTGCTTGCGGAGATCGAAGGGCCCAATGATGGTTTAGTTAGCGTGGCTAGCAGCCGTTGGGGAGGCGATGCAGGGTACAAAGGAACCCTTATGGGCGTCAGTCATCTGGACCTGATCAACTGGACCAACCGGCTCAAGTGGCTAGCCGGAAGGGTAACAGGCAACAAACGAAAGTCGGTTGATTGCAAATCATATTTTTGGAACTAGGCTGATGTGCTCTGCAGGTTTAATGCCATCGCGTTTTACTTGGATATTGCTGGTATGTGTTTCGGTCTGATTGGATCATTTGAGACTAACATGCTGCCAATGCTAGACATGTTGGCGAAGGAGGGACTATGAATCAGTACTCCGTACCGAGTTGGAGACCAAATTCAAGCCCTTGGGGTCTCTCAGCCTTGTGGCGCGATGGATCACTGCGGGTCGCGAAACGCGGATGCCTCTGAGTGGGAATTCGGGTGCCTGGAGGTTCAAGATTCTTGTCGATCACCTCGGGGGGAATATCTGTGTACAAAACATTGATCGAGTAGAATAGTCAATTCATACAGGTAGCATCGAAATGGGAGATTTAGACTATTGATCTATATGTCTTTTGGGGGGATGCTCAACCGTTAGACCTACTCTGTATACAACATAGTCTCTGGAACCCCCCGGAACAGGCTCTTTTGGCCAAAAATGTGGCCACAAGTGTGGCTGTGGTCTGATTGGGGCGCAGCTTGTATCCCCGATCCAACCTTCTTACTTTTAGGAATTTCTGCCAAAAGTCCAGGTCATACTGGTTGGTATCGTGGAAGTCGAATGTTGCTTGGCAATCAGTTGATCTGCGAACGCTCGCAACGTCATTTCGGGTTCCCTCACTTTTAATCCGCATTCTCCTCTCCACACCCCACGATACCACTTCGACTCGATCCTCACTCTATCCGCATCTTTCGAGGGTCTAATTCTTGTCGCAAAATTCTCAAACGACCGCGCTCTCCCTTTTGACCCGTTGAACACCCCCGCTAGACAAAGAAAAAGCCCCGCCAGTGCCCGGGCGCTCCGCCGTCATGTCCGCACACATTGTATTGGACAGTCGCCACACCCATTACACAAATCTAGACTTTCTCACAGGCAAGGTTGTGCTACAGCTACCGACTGAAGCGGCTATTGGAGGCATCCAGGTCAAATTGGAATGTGAAAGCCGCACCCGACTGTCTGGTCCTAAGCATCCCCAGAATGCGCACTCGGACAAAAAGCGAACGGAGCTTGAGGTTCACAAGGTGAGAGGATGTGGTCCATCGAAGCAATCGATCTGATAGGAGCTTGAGTGGAGCATTGGCTGATCAATAAATGCAGATCTTGTATAAGGTTGCTACCGTCTTCCCTACACCCGGTGTGATGCAGAATGGGTCTCCTGCGCCTTCATATACCTTTGCTGCAGGGTCATACGAGTACCCTTTTCAGTTCAAGGTAATAACGATGCTTGATGATGGTTTCAATTTCGTTTTAACAGTCTGCTAGTTCCCCTTCAATAATTCATGCAGCACCATCAACAGCATGCTCACCAATCTGAATTTTTCTGGGTTGAAAGTCGAGGTAGCTAGAGACACCACTCGACATGTCAGAAAAACTCTCCCGCCATCTTTAAGTGGATTCCCAGGCATGGCAGATATCAAATATTTTGTCAAAGCGACGGTCATTCGACCCCAGTTCTACAAAGAAAATATCAGATCGGTAAGTGATATGCGGTGATATGCTCCTTTGATAGGCCATTGCGGCATGTACTCATCAATTTGATAGATTGTGCCCCTAAATTTCCTTCCAATTGAGCCACCAAGGATCGGAAACCCCAATGAGGAAACCTATGCCAGGCGGCAACATCAATTCTCCCAAGTCCAAGCCGGATCCAAGAAAAAGAGCATTTTCTCACGAGGATCCTCTACACTCAAAGAGGGTTACACAGAGCCTCCGCGAGTGTCTGTTGATGCTCGATTGCCGAATCCATCTATTCTCACTTGCAATGAACCCGTCCCGCTCCGTCTCCTCGCTAAAAAGCTCACTGATGGGCCGGACACAATCTTTCTTCAGATGCTGCAGGTGGAACTGATCGCCTATACCAAAATCTTGGCCCATGATCTCACGCGCACTGAAAGTAGCACCTGGGTTGTTATGAGCCTCAGCAATATGGGTACCCCGTTAGGTCAACCTGGTGATCCCGCAGGCACTGAATGGACTATCGACCCAAAGTTGTGGAATCGTTATCCTTTGCCTAACTCGGTAGCTCCGTCTTTCGAGACATGCAATATTGAAAGATCCTATGAGCTGGAAATTCGAATTGGCTTGACTTATGGAAATTCCCATGAAATGAAGGTATGTGGAATTACGAACCCTCTAGATCACCTTTTGGCTGACAATATCAGCCACAACTCATTGTCCTTCCTCTGCGAATGCCAGTAAGAGTCTTCTCAGGAATTGCCCCTCCACAGGCCCTATTGGATGCAATGGCGGCTGCATCAGTTCAACAATCGTCCTCCAAGCCGAAACCTCAGCCCAGCTTCCCAACAGAGAACGAAAACAGTCGACCACCCATGCCACCACGACCCACTGGCGAGCCTGTGCCTGTTAATTCCGGCGATGTCTGCGATGACGCACCGCCCAGCTACGAGGATGCAATGGCCGACCATCTGAGTCCAGTGGATGGACCACGCCGCGAGTATCACCCACCAGACGCCTCCTCCCAGCGCACAGTAGAATCTGGAACTGATGCCAAGTCCACAGCCCAACCGGGTAAGGATCTTGAAGATGGACCCGCTGCAGAAGGATCCTCCTCAGCGCCCCGTCACCGAGACAACCGTGCTTCCTCGGAGTCATTCGACATGCTACCTACCACACCGCCAGAATCCCAGTCCGGATCGCCTCCCGCTTCTCCCATGAGACGCCCAGGGAGTATGATGAAAATTCCTCGGAACACCGTTGACGAAGAAAGCCCGCCGCAATATGAGCCAGTTGCGGGGTCTCAGCTGAATGCTCCACAACCTGTTCAACGCCAGCCTTCCCGAACTAACCTTCGCCCTATGAATTTGGGTGTTCCTAATAGGAAGCCTGTGCCACGAACCCCAGATCATTGAAGCCCTGGATCTTCAGTGATTCACTATCTTTACCCACTTTCTTGGTCGTTTTCTTTCCTTTTTCGTGCCTATTGTTAGGTTCCGAAATGCATTAGAGCTTAAGGTACTCTATTCGTGAAAATTCCAGCACATATAGCATATCTATGGAGGGAATTGCTTCATTGTTATATTCAAAATCGATACCCAATCAAATCCCAGTGTTGAAGTGTGTGTTTTTTTGTGGGTAGTTTCTCGTTCTTTGACTCTTTAGTAAACCTCTGCGGTGTTTAGCATTCAGCATATATCCATGTCATAACTAATATTATATAAATTTACTCATTTGAGTGGGATGTTTGTTGAATACGACAGTTTGTTTACATTTTCGCCGTCTCAAAAACTAGTCCACACCAAAGAGGAATAGATCGTGGATCGCCACTGACACCCAGACTATGCGCTATACCCGAGGCGGTTAGCGCGCCCTCCACGCGGGTTGAGCTCTGATCAGTTGCTTCCTCGTTTTCCTGCGCATGCCCAACTCCAAGGCACTCAGTCCTCACATTGAATCTTGAGTGAAACTGCTAGATCGGCCCGGACTAACTAAATCAGCCCCGCATCAAGACAACATCTCAAACCCCTTACTTCGAAACCCCGACCAATACGCGAAAAAGAACCTTCACCGCGTCAATGATTTAGCTTGCGACTGACCATCCACCATGCGTCTCCACCTTGTTATCTCGCGCCATGGCCTGCCGGTCACGCGCATTCTCTGGACAACGACCTCGTCCACGGCTACACTGGGTGAATATGGGACTCATCGCCCAGCATCAACGGCAGCTGTCGCATCCTCTCGCACACCGAATATCGCCTTCTCGAATGGCGGATACACGGTCGCACAGCTTCTTGAAGACGTAAATGAAGTCGTGCCACTCGAAACGGAACCGAGCATCTTCGATGCCGAGTTCAGTGGCCAGTGGGGACTGGAAGATTATGTTGTCGAGGTTGCTGGCTCAGAATGCCTTCATTTTATGGAGGTCGATGGCTTGCTTCGAGATGGAGATGAAGTTGTGTATGTGCATTTAATTAAGCTCTCGGGATCTTCTGTTTGACTGCCTGCTAATTTTGCGCTTCATAGAATCCGTGCCCTTCAATTGGCAGATCTCCGGGTAAGACGGCTATGTGGCCGCCACCAAATTACTGCCGAAGGCAAGCATCTGATTGATGGCGTACCATTTGGCGCGCCATTTTTGAAAAGAAGCACTACTACACGGCCTGCAATCACCATCCCGCCAAGGAAGAAGCGGCGCACAGTCTTCTCTGGTTGGGAACAACCTCCAGAGTTTGCTTCTGGGGCAGTCCATGCCGACGAGGATGGGGATGGAGAATGGCTCCCACCCCCAGAAACTGGTTTTGGAAAGGAGCTTTCTATTATGCCTCCCGAGCAGGAAGAGTCTTTGGGCACCGTTATTCGTCATCCTGTTGATTACGCCGCAGAGTCTGAGAGTGAAGAAGAGATATCCGAAATATCTGACATCGAAAAAAATGAATTGGAGAGCGAACTTCAAGCACTCAAGGACGATTTTGAGGAGCCGTCTCAGTTTGTTGATATTAGGGACCAAACTCGGAATGTCAGTGGACACCCGTTACGTGCTACATCGATAGTCAAGCGACCAACTTCCAAGGGATCTCTTGCAGCTGCTTCGTCTCTTTCCAGCAAGCGATCTCGCGGAGAAGACTCATCGCCCCGGAATTCCAAGGCTGTGAGATTCAACAAGGGAGATGACAGGGAAGACCAGGGTATGCCTGACCTCCCGCAATTGCCGCAGGCCCCGCAGGCCCCGCAGGCTGAGGAAAGTGAGGCGGTATCCTCTGATTCTGATTCGTCGGATTTATCGGTGTCGTCTTCAGATGAAGAGTCTGATGATGATTCTGACGATGACTCCAATGATGGCTCTTCGAGTGAGGTAGAACCTGCGGAGGAGGCACCTTCTGACTCGGATTCATCTTCAAGTTCCGAAGACTCGGATTCTGATTCATCGGAATCCGAGTCGGAGTCTGAAGAGGAAGCTCCTCCACCTCCGAAGAAGGCGCAACGACCAGTTGTGATAGGCGCTCCTGGTGAAGGGTCTATGCGCACTAAAAAGAGCAACAACCGCCTCAAACTACGCCGCCGTCTTTCCAAGCTTAAGGAACTAGGCGCCTTGCCCAAAGAAGCAGACTTCGATGCATTGCGCACGTGGGAAGAAAGCAATGGAGGTTGGCACATTCCGGAACAACATCTCAAACCGGAGCCATTCTTGAACTTCCCTCAACCTGTGAAACCAGAACAAGAATCTGTAGAATCTTCGAGTAAGAAGCAGAAGAAGGAAAAGAAGGAACAGGAACAGAGGGAGTTTGAAGCTAGGCGCGAGAAGCTGCTTCGCGATCTCGCATCTGGTAATGGTGTCGACGTGGATGGGACATCCGAGAAAGAAAATGTTCCGCCCCGTAGGTCGACGGTGACACAACCCCCTGCTACGGAGGACGTCTCCGATGAGTCTCGGCCAGAACAGGAACCTTCGCACCGACGTACCACCCTCGACATTGCTAGCTCACGGCGTATGCTTTTTGGATCTCTGGGAATGCGAACCCCGAAGACCGAAGAAGACGAAGAAGAAACACGGAAGAAGCTTGCTGCCAAAGCTAGTGCAAACGGACGTCAACCCAGGCCATCAGTGCGAGTCACGCAAGAAGAGCCTGATAATATGGATGAGGATGAGGATCAATCCGATATTGACTGGCAAAATAAGCTAGTCATTCGTGCTGTCGAGTGTGTCTATCCTGAGGTTGAAGTGACTGCGCCTCCTTATCCCTTCGTCCAGCGTTGGGATCAAGAAGCCAATGCATTGATTCGTCAGCTCAGAGGCCCGAGCAAGAAGCGGAAGAGAAAGCAACGTGTTCAGGTCTACAACGGATATGAGGAGCAGGAAGAATATGACGAAAACGGAAACTACTATGGTTATGATAATCAATACCAAGGCGGAGATGACCAGGCCAACTACGAGGGTTATCACGAAGGTGAAGATTCCTATTATCAGGGTCAATACGCAGGTGAAGGCGAAGGTGATCAGCTCAATTATGACGATGGTCCTGAACCTGAACAAGCTCCCAACGATACCTCCGACGATCTACCTCCTCTTCCCGCCGATATGAGCACAGTTCCTGATATGATTGAGAGTGACGTGAAAGTTGGCACAATCATTGCCTTCCGACAGCTCGACATGTCGAAAGCCACGAATTGGCAACCTCAGATGTCTGGTTACCGGGTGGCTGAGGTTCGTTCTGTGGAAGAAAATGGGACCATCAATGTATTGCTTGCCAAGCGAGACCGCAAGCCCCCATCTACCTTCAATGAGGATGATGAACCCCGTCAATACAGCAAGTTTGAAGTCCCAGATCTAGCCAACGAAGAAGGAGATGATGATGGCCACCGAGAGCTTGCTTTTGCGGAACTCAGCGACCCGAAGCTTCTCCAACCTGCACCACAATCCCTTGCTGAATCTGAGGATCAAAACAATACCCCAGAAGGTAGCATGTCAGTGAAATAGATTCTGATAGTTGGATCGTGCTTACTTGTTCAAGTGTCTCTGTAGTTCAGGAATCCGTACCGAATGCTCAACCAGCCTCACCTGAGGAAATGTACCATGACGATACCACTTTTGTCACTATTGGGAATGAAGTCGCCCATCTTGAGTCGCCCCATGACTCCCCGGGTATGCCTGATGAACCTATCCAACATACTCCTGGTAGATCTGGTGAGCGCAGTGTCACACCTCCTATTCCGTCCCCTTCTTTCACGGGGTTTCACTCTGCTCGATCCTGGCAGCCAGTGACTCCCGGCGCTGAGATTAGCCGCGAGCTCGAGGGCCATACCCTCATTGGAGGAGAAACGCCGTCTGTTCCAGTGAATCGGGACGAGGATCCGTCTGTGCTGTCGTACACGTCTGCAAATCAATCTTTCGCGGATGATCCTGAGAACCAAGAAACGCCTAGTCAAGCACATGAGCGCCAGGTCGTTGACGAGAATCTGGCGCCGCCTGGAGAATCTGGGGATAGCGGCCCTCAGTCTGGCTCACTTCTGTCTACCATTGACCGTACCGGTGGTGATGATGCGCCCTACTCCACCATTGTCCAAAGAGATTCCAGAAGGGAAAAACGCAATGCAGCCCCAACCAGTTCTGCAGAATCATGGAGAGAACTTTTGAACCGATTACGGAATGGCCCCTCGGAGCCAGATGAATCACTCGCCATCAGCGAGAGCAATGAGGATTCTGATCACCCACAAGACAACGAGCTGTTGCAGGGCAGTCCGGCGCATTCCTACCTCGATCTCAACCTTTCGTCTTCTGAATCCCCGGAACCATCCAACTCGCATTCTTCCAGCTCTCCTATGAGTGCTCAGCGCAATGCGCAGTCCCCAAATCCCAGCCCACTCCCTCCGTCCTTCGAGACGGAGTCCCCCCCTCTATCCACTCGTTCCAAAATCTCCAAAATCTCTCTGGGAATGCGTGAATCTTTCCCACTCTCCCAAATCCCCGCTTCCCAGGCCTCGGAGGTGATTGATCTCACTTCCAGTCCAGGTGGATCTCCCGAACCCAGCACGTATAACTCGAATAGGCTCCAGAGACCTAAATCCGCCCTATTGGGAGGCTCGTATCGCGCATCCCAGCCCTCTACAGAGAACCCCAAGACCATGGGGGAAGTGGGTATGAGCCTTTCAAGTCAGAAAAAGAAACGTCGGTCACGGAAGTTTTAAGATACTGTGTCTTTTTGCTATGGAGATTTGAAGCGATATGTTATGTTTTTCATTCTTTATACATGTTATGCGCGCACAGCGATGGCGTCTAGGAACCTGCACACTCGTTATTTTTCCTGGACATATTTGTTATTTCGGCAGCTTGCAATCAAAGCCATTCTGAGATCTCTTTTCTATAACTTGTTTGATCTAGTTTTGGGTGACAATCCCCGGCTGCTGATTGGCTGGTCTCATAGATGCTAGTGATGTCATGGCTGTATACTTCTATCCAACATGCGTCCTTTACGTCGCTACAGCAGGATTGTCAATGCATGGGACGGACTAAGAATCTAGACCTTATTAGATCCCCCGCGCTCCCTTCTTCCCTCTTCAACCATGCATCTCCGTCTACGAAGTGCGTGGCTATACTCTATTAGTCGGGGTAACGGTCATCCCAGTCGATTTCGCTGTGCTCATCTCTCGTCATCGCGCCATTTTCCTTCCCCCCGCTCGTCTCCCACTTCTTCTGCTGCACCATTTATCCCCGGATTTAGTTCTATTCAAACTTCCCCATTCCAACCTTTATTCCAATCCACTCGCAAGCTATCCACAATGACCCAAGAATATAAACTAAAGGACATCTCCTCCTTCTCGGCCCTCAGCTCGCTAGATAAGATCGAGGCTGAAATTGAGGGGATTGACGATGGCAAAGTCCTCCTGATCAAGCTAGACGACAAAGTCCATGCCCTCAGTCCACGGTGTTCGCACTATGGAGCTCCATTGAAGAATGGCGTCGTGACTAGTGATGGGAGACTTGCCTGTCCATGGCATGGAGGTGCGTTGGCTCTTTTTCCGGACCACAAGTCTATGCACAGAAGCAATGAATAATACGCTGACTATCACATAGCCTGCTTTAATGTAACGACTGGTGATGTTGAGGATGCCCCAGCGCCCAATGCGTTGAATAAGTTTGAGGTCTTTGAGAAAAATGGTGGCGTGTATATTCATGCTAGGGAAGAAGATATCAAAGCAGGACAGCGCAATCCCGTTGTGAATTGCAGCGTGTCGGAGCCTGAGGAGAAGCTGGTGGTGGTCGGAGGGTGAGTCTCCCATTTCCTTCCATTGCTGTCATTTCTTCCATTTTCTCTCATTTCGTTTGTTTTACGGAACCCCGATGAATGGAAGGTTGGGGTGAGGGGGCATTTGGTCTAGCGGTTTGTTGCTGGCATCTTTTAGACATAAACATAGACCTCCGCTTTCTTTGGAGCCCTCTCATCCCTCCAACATGAGTGCCGTTTGATTTTATGTTGCCGGATCGTTCCCGGGCGATGATTTCTTTCTTTTTTTGGTTTTTGTTTCTATGGTCTCTTTCTTTACTTTTGACGCTATTCCCAATGACCCTGCCCCATCTAGGGAGTACTGCCTCTGGAAAGGTCTCCTCTTGTCTGAGTCTGATCATTGACTGATATCAAACAGAGGAAGTGGAACTTTGGGCCTGATCCAAGCTCTCCGAGAGCTTAAATATCCCGGTTCTATCACAATCATCTCCAAAGAACCCTACCTGATCATAGATCGCACCAAGCTATCCAAGGCTCTCATCACGGATCCAACTAAGATCCAATGGCGACCCCAAGAGTGGTATGCACAGGCGGCCATAGAGACCATCACAGATGACGTGACAGCCGTGGATTTCCAGCAAAAGTCCATCTCCACCAAATCTGGGAAGACCGTCCCCTACACCAAGCTCGTCCTAGCCACAGGCGGCGTACCACGCACTCTACCACTGCAAGGTCTGAAAGGCGAACTGAACAATATCTTCACCCTCCGCGGCATAGATGACGTGCAATCCATCCTTGCCGCAGCAGGTGACGCAAAGAAAAACATCGTCGTAATCGGCAGCTCCTTCATCGGCATGGAAGTCGGCAACGCCCTATCCAAGAACCACAACGTGACCATCGTCGGCATGGAATCCGCCCCCATGGAACGCGTAATGGGCGTTCAAGTCGGCCAAATCTTCAAATCAAACCTCGAGAAGAATGGAATCACCTTCTACCTCTCTGCGAATGTCAGCCACGCAACCGCCTCCCCGTCAAACACCCACACCGTCGGCGCAGTGCATCTAAAGGATGGAACCACCTTGCCCGCCGACCTGGTCATCCTCGGCGTGGGCGTCCGTCCGGCAACGGACTTCCTCCGTGATAACAAAGCCATCACCCTTGAGAAAGATGGCTCGCTCACCACAGACTCCCACTTCCTCGTGAAGGGCCTGCAGGATGTCTTCGCCGTCGGCGATATAGCTACATACCCGTACCACGGCCCTGGCGCTGATGCGAAGGGTTCACCCGTACGCATCGAGCACTGGAACGTAGCGCAGAACTCCGGACGTGCGGCGGCGCGGGCGATTGCACATGCGCGCCGTGGACCGCTGTCTTCGTTGAAACCCAAGTTGTTCATTCCTGTATTCTGGTCTGCGCTTGGGGCGCAGTTGCGGTACTGTGGAAATCCGGTTAATGGGTATGATGATGTTATTCTGCGCGAGCAGGGAGAGGGGAAGTTCGTTGCGTTTTATACGAATGGGGAGACTGTTGTGGCTGTTGCTACTATGGGTGCTGATCCTGTGATGGTGAAGTCCGCGGAGTTGATGAGGGTTGGCAAGATGCCTAGCAAGGCGGAGATTGTTGGTGGTGCGGATGTTTTGGGTATTAAGATGTAGTTTGTGGTAGGGTTGGGTATTCGAGGTTTAAGGAAATAGTATGAAGATTTCTTTGAATGTTCAATTGACATATACACATTTGGAACGGAAATAAGAACAAGCACACCGGAACGCCCATAGGAATGTAGTCAGTGATATATGATATCGGTGCTCATGCAAGCCCATGTATACAGAGCTGAATTTATTCGTCCTTGCTCTTCTTCGACTTGGAAGACTTGGACTTCTTTTCTTTCTTTTCGGACTTTTCCTTCTTCTCTTTTTTCTCCTTCTTCTCCTTCTTCGGGCTCGGCTCAAGGTGTACATCCACAGATGACAACTCCTGCACTGCTGATGCTGCGGGAACGTTCATCACTGGGATAGTCCCGGAGACCTTCTTAGGCGATGAGAAGAATGAAGGAGGCAAGGACTGCCCCGTACGCTCGGACTCGCAGAGTCTCTCCTCCTCCTCGACAGACAACATCGTACCCTCGATACTGAGGAATCCGCGATCACGCTCGGAACCGGGAATAACATCCACATCAACAACACGGAAACGCACAGAGCCATTCACCCGGTGCCCAGAGACAGACTGGAAGTAACCGGTGTGAGCGGAGTCCTCCTCCTCGTCAAGCGGGATATCCTCCTCAGAAAGCGAAGTTGGGCGGAAACCCTCCTTCTCGGCGTCGAAATCCGACATGTCCTTATCCGACCCGGAGTCGTCATCGGTGGTACCAGGAGTCTCGGCCTCCTCGCCGGGGGGCACCCACTTCCAGTTCGAGGGAAGACGCTTGCGCTCGATACCCACCGAGAACAGGTTGAATACGACAGCACCGAGGAAACCCTCCGACTGCACGTTCACCCAGCCGTCGAGGGACTGTCCGCGCTTCGGCCGGAAAACCAGGAAAGTGGCAGTCAGGTAGACGTACAAGACACCGTACTCGTCGGCGGTGGTGGCGAGAGTAAGCGGCTGCGGGTTAGGGTCTGATGAGGAACGGGAAGAAGGCGCAGGCGGCTTGCTGGAGATCGAAGCATTGGAGTATGCCAGAACAACACCCTTCAAAGGCGGGAAGTAGGTCAGAAGCAGTGGCGAGAGGTGCTCAGCGAGCAGCGAGGCCAGCGCGTGCGTCGGCGAGATAGAGATTGGCGACAGGGGCAGGTAGAGGGTCGCAGTGGTGAGGGTGAAGGGAGACTCCGGGTTGAGGTCTTTTGGTGCAATGGCTTTGGATGGGGCCTGCTTGCGCTTTTTGGTTGGTGAGGCGATGTCCTTGTTCTTGGATTTGCGTTTGCGCTCTGCGTCGGCGGTGCGCAGGGGCAGTGCGTCGATTTCCATTGCGTCAACTGCCATCGTGGACGCAATTAGGCGCTCCACGGAGCTTGTCGAGTCGATGTGGAGGGATTGGAGTGCTTCTTTTGCGTCGAGAAAACTTTTTTTTTTTTTCATTTGGCTTTTGGTATGACGGGAGAGGAAGGCGGTGGTGGTGGGCGGTGACGGGTGGGCGCCAAATGGGAGCCCCCCCGGACTATTCATTGTTCTCGCCAGGTGGTACTTGATGGATTTCTCTTCTTTGGTTTCTTCTTTACTTTGACATGTTGGTCTTGCAATATCTCAGGTGAAATCTGAATACTAGATATGGCGTCGCTTTTGCCTTTACTTGGGTGGGCTGTTCTTCCCAAGGTGAGTGGATCGTTATGCGGGAGCTATACTATGTGTTCAGGAACGGAAGCTGATACAGTCAACAGTATGCCACATCCTTTCTTCTAAGTGTCTACTATGGTATAACCATACGTGCTGGTGAACCCAAGCCACTCCCTCAGACGCCTCGGTATGAGCGCCATCGCCGTCGCATCTTCATCTTTGTGATCACCAGCTACCTTCTCTATACGCTCTATGAGACTTTCCACCAAGTACAGCTTGCAGGAGACTACTACCAAGCCCTGGGTGTGTCACCGTTTGCCGATCTGCGCACGATCAAGGCGCGCTTCCGCCGACTTGCTATTCAGTATCACCCTGATAAAGTCGGACACGACAACGGCGATGCTTACTTTGTGCACCTTCGACAGGCCCAGGAGACCCTGGTGGATCCAGTGAAGCGGTTTGCATATGATCGCTTCGGCACAGATATGCTCGGATGGGGCGAGCAGGAGACCATGTACGATTTCCTGACAACTTCTTTGATCAAATCGATCCTGCCGCAGTATATCAGCGGCTTTGTCACGACGATCGTGCTAAACCGGCTATGGTGGACGAAATGGGGTCGCTTCGTGAGTATTTGATCTTGCGCATAAAAACATTGAATAGCGTAAGCTGACTGTCTGACTACAGTGGCGCCTCTTTACGTTCGGTGCGATGCTGACGCTCGAGCTGGGTGTGATTACGCATCCCCAGGCTGTATTCATGCCTATTGCTTACCTTCCAGCTGCGCTACAAGCATGGCTCCCTAAACATTCATATTACCTACTTCCCTTCCAAATCCTGACACTCGCACGCCGTGCTTCCATCATCCTGCACATTTTCATCTTGCAATCAGCACCACCTTCTTCCAACGAGAAGGGGAGCGGCGATAAGATCTCGCCGCAGACTATGCAGCGAGTTGGCCAGTTAGTTCAGTTGACGCGCACGACAGATCTCGAGGCGACGCGAATGCTGCAACTGGGCCTGGCGCCTTTCCGCGGTGACCGTGAGAGTGCATCGTCACTCCGACGTGGCATGAGAGAAGGGCTGATCCTCGGCGGAGTGCGGTCTAGTCCTGAGGTGCAACGAGCTGTGGCACAGGTGGTTGAACGACGCAAGGCTGGGAGTGACAGTATGTAAGCGCGATTGATTCTCTAGTGTAGAATTAAAAACTAGAGGTTAGGATCTGTTTTCGCAATGGAAAGTGTATATTTTGAGGTCCATGGATCCCTTCCGTCCAGGTAATCTAGAGAATCCTGCGTATTATATTTGGTCGATCCCTTGGCAGTGTCGCGTAATTTGACCGGCCTTTTTGGTTCACGAAGTCAAGTTCCGGTGGCGACCCGGCGTTGGGGCTTTGTGAGTTGACTCGTGATACCCTCACCAGATCCATTGCGAACGGGTCCACCGGTTCTTTTCAAAGAAGATCTTTCTTTTTTGGTTTTGTTTGTAAGCGAGAGAACTAAAAAATAGGGCGTATGAAACTAAGGATCTCTCGAAACATCATGCGGTCAGTGAGCCATTTTCGGGACGCAGCGGGTGTGGAATGAGATCCATCAACGGGTTAGGGTTGCGTATTTGCATGCGTCAGTGTGGTTAAGGGCTGAGCCTCGCTCTGGGTAGGGAATAATGACTATTTAGGGGGATAGAGGGGATTTGAAGAGCATGATTCCACTTGGGGCTATGAATAGAACGAAGAACAGAGAGAATAAAGACACTCGAGGTGCAAGGACGAGGGACCGGGAGTATATGGATGTAATATTGTACGGTATGGTCACGGTCCCGTATCACCGCCTTGCCGGCAGGCGGGCAGCAGGGCCCAGTGGTGGGCTGGGCAGGCGTAATGACGATACAGGCCGAAGTCCCAGACCTTCACCCGCAACACATCCCCTGTGTGCTTCATTCTGGGGGAATGAGTTTTTCAACGATGAGAGGGTCCACGATCCCTTTTTACTTCGCCCCTTCTTTCTCTTTTTCCCTTTTCCTTTTCCCCTTCCCCTTCCCCCACTCTCCCTCATCCTCCTCTTATCAGACTATGCTCTCATCGACTACACAACAAACTTCTATAGAGACCGACAGGCGGTAGAAAGACACCACGTCACGGTTGTGAATTGCCTTCCGTCACCAGAATTCCCACCCACTTACCATACCGGTACCTTCGCGCGTTTCGTCTCCATTATCCACCATGCCTGCCGGTACTCCAAATGGTCGTTCCCGCGCTGGAGGATCAAAGAATTCCTCCAACTCCTTAGTGGTCGTCTTGAAGCTGTCTGCAAGCGCCCTACAGCAGTTTTCCCACGACTTCCAGATCAAGTCCAGTCAAAATAATACCCCCGACATCAAGGGCACAGACCAGTCCTCACCAGCCTCATCCGCCGAGCTCCCTCTCGTGCGCCCATCTTCTGCCGACAACGGCTCCGATGCCGACGCCATTTCGACACCCGCCACGGGGGCAACTCCAGGCGATACCCCTCGTCGGAAGGGTGTTCCGGGTCCCAAGCCAGGCAACAAAAGAACAAAAGAACAAACCGACCCTACCGCGAAGTCACGGGGACGACCTGGCCCCAAGAAGAAACCCAGACTGTAAGTGGAATCCACACCAACTTCCTCCAATGCAACGCCATAGTACCAGAAAAAAAGACCTCGAACTAACATATCATCCAATCTTAGTGATGAAGGCGATGCCACAAAAGTCCCAGCTGCCCAGCGCCTCGGACCAAAAGCGAACACGGGAGCCATCAACGCCGGCCTGCGCGCATTGGACCGTTCAGGAAGCGCGTGTCGCAAGTGGGAGCGCAAGCCCCTACAGCTGCGCAGCTTCACAGGCATCATGTGGCAACTACCCTCCTGGCGCACCCCGAGTATGTCCAACTCAAACAGCTCGGTCGACAGCAAAGTGTCCGTGCTTGAAAGCGGCGACAGTGACATGAAGCCCATGCTCAATGCCCCCGGCACCGATACGGCCAATGGCAGCAGCGCAGTACCCAGTGAGAAGAGCCACTCCGGGGATGGTGATATCACTCCTGCTCCGTCTCATCTGGTCGAGCCCTCGTCGCCGGCTATCGCCATGGCAGCCTGAGGATGACCGTGACGAGTTCGGATGTTTTTCATGCTGTACTTATAGATTTTGCGGGTCTTATTTGTTTCCTCGGGTTTCTCTATGGTCCTGGTTCGGCGTTTGGCAAAATGTTCATGCTAATGGGCTTTTCTATATGAAAAGCTTTCCTCTTTTTGTTTTCATATTGGCACGGGTAGCCGGGGGTCAGGTTCATTTTGCTCGGTATCTGTCTATTGTATTATAACCTTTCTTCTTTCGTGTTGGGGATCAGGCATGTTTACTTCTTTTTTCTTTGTATCTTCTGTTTGAAGATCTTTCTCGCTCTGGAAGCATCACGCAATTGCAATTAATTCTTTTGTCGCTCTATCAAGTCCTCTTATAATAGTCTTAGTATACGGCAAGCTATATATATACTTCCCAGGCCACTCGGACCTACCTCCCCCGTTGTACATGGGTACCTGCTAGTCCTCCCAAGCATCCATTTGGTGTCTTTGCAGACAAAGTCCTAGTCTGCCCGACTCCAGTAGCACAGTAGCCGAGCTTTTATGACTGTGCATTTAGTCCAGATCAGGGGGCACCCGTGACATTGCTCTACTATTCTCCCCTCTTTTCCTTCTCATCCTGGATCGTATTGTCCGAATCCTCATTTCCCCGCAATTTGTGTGTGATGACCTCCTGGGGGCGTTCGTGAATCCCTTTCTCTTGTCTTTGTTGAGATCTGGAGACATATACGGAGTAGGCTTTGCACATAACCTCCTCCAGTATAGAATGACGCATCTGACTCGGCTTTGAACACACCTTTTATTCACGTATTGTGAAGCCGCGCGCATTGACGTGGTAAGTAAGACCTGCTCTTTCCGGGCCTGTCACGCAACACCGCCTTTTCCACGCACTTCATCGCGGACTTGGTTGTTCTTTCCACGCACATGTCCACACAAGTTATGCCTCTCTCTCCACGCACCTCCCCCTTGACTTCTTCCTTCCACGCACTGGTGGCAGGTTATCTTCCCCACACGCACCAGTATCACAGCTTAGGCTTATCACCACGCACCCCCAGGACCCCTCAATCCGGCATAGGATCTCAGGCGATCAACCGAAGCTCTGAACGAGAGGCCCAAAACGGAACAAAAGCCAGGAACACAAAAACGGCGGCCTTGATTTCGTGGCATCATCATTTGGGGGGCGACCCGCGAACATCATGGATGCTCCTTTCCCCCCATCCGGTGGAGCTCCAGCTCCAACCTCATACCCCGGGCCTAGTATCTCCTCCATCCCACGTCGTTCTTCCTACGCCTCAGTGTTATCCGGCAACGCATTCTCACCTCCAATTTCCAACTCATTCTCCCATCTCCTCAACAATCCCAGCCCAATTTCCTACCCTCTATCCGACAGTCGAGTCCACCGGGCTCCGTTCGGCGTGGATGCCGCAGACATGCACATGAACTCCGCCTGGAGAAACACAGGATCAACAGAATCGCTGCCACCCTGGTCCCGCAAGTATGCCGGCTTCCTACGCTCGGCGGAATTTCCCCACGGCCTAGGCCTCATCGACCGGCCGGCTTTCCTCACCCCATCCTACCTCCGCAACTCCCGCTACATCGCCCGTCTCGAGACCGCTCACCGGGCAAAGATCGCTGCCCAACAGCGAGATGCCTCCTCCGCAGCATCAAACCCCCCCCCTCTCTGCCTCCTCCAGCAATGTCCACCTGCCCCGCATGGCACCGTCGCACCGTGGAATGACCCATGATATCATCGAGAGGGAACCGCCTGTTGCGGCGGATGCCCTCATGCCACTGCCCAGTCAATGGAGCCCTGCGGACAAGTTTGCGGGCTTGGAACTGTCTAACGATAACTTTGATGTCCGCTACACAGGCCCTGTGCACAAGCATGACCATGAAGCTGCTGCGTTGCGTGCGGATCATCCCATGCCGCCGCAGTGCGGGATCTACTACTTTGAAGTTAAGATCGAGTCAAAACCGAAGGAGGGGTATGTTGATTCACTGCTGGCTGAATATTGATTGTCGTTCTCGTTGCTGACTTAGTTCTAGCATGATCGGTATCGGTTTTTCCAGTCTCAAAGCGTCTGTTGAGAGGCTTCCTGGTTGGGAAACGGAGTCTTGGGCCTACCATGGCGATGACGGAAAATCATTCTTTGGTGAAAGTCAAGGTCAAGGCCGCGCTTATGGACCGGTTTTTGGAGTTGGCGATACAGTAGGATGTGGCGTGAACTTCTCTACAGGATCTGCCTTCTTTACCAAGAACGGCGTTTTCTTGGGTATGTCCTTTTTGTTACCAACAATAGAATTATCATTGGCTAACTTTGACAGGATATGCGTTCCACGAGCTGCGCAACGTGAAGCTTTATCCTTCTGTCGGAATGAAGAAATTGCCACCAGTACATCTCAAAACGAACTTTGGACAGGAGCCATTCGTTTTTGATATTGATGGCATGGTTAAGGTTTGTTGTGCTCACTTCACACTTTCGGGGATCTGCAGGCTAATTCCCACTAGCAAGAAAGATTTAATGTCCAAGCAGAGATTAATGCTACATCTACAGCTGGCCTCCAACCGCCATTGGACGAGTCGACACTTTTGCAAGAGCTAGTTGCACAATTCCTAGCTCATGACGGATATGTGGAAACAGCCCGTGCATTTGCAGAAGAGGTAGCGACGGAGACGATGGCTCTACAGAATGGCCGCAACGAGCCATTGAAGAAATACGAAGTTGAGGAAGATCGTGAAGCTATTAACCGGAACAGTAAGTTCATATACCTCACTTTGATACTCCTAACTGTTACTTACTGCCCCTAGAAATTCGTTCCGCCATTCTCGATGGCGACATCGACAAGGCCCTCAAGCATACCAAAGCCTATTATTCCAACGTCCTAGAGGATCACCCCCACATTCACTTCAAACTTCGCTGCCGCAAGTTCCTCGAAATGATGCGGCGATCCAACGAGCTCTCGGCAGCAACAGCTGCTGCCTCGAAGCAACGTCGTTCAGCTTCACCGAACGAGCACGAGCACGCCGTCTTCGATCAGGAGATGGAGCTCGACGACGGCGACGGCTGGGTCGCAGACAGCATGGACACTGAAGAGCCAGAGGTTGTCGCTAAGTTCAACCAACTCCTCACCGAGGCAGTGCAGTATGGTCAACAATTGCGCGCAGACTATCCCTCTGACGAGAATGGTGGCGATAAGAAGTTGCTGGACGATATATTCTCACTGGTCGCTTACCCTGATCCGAAACGGTCTGTGCATGGCCATTATCTCGATCCCGAGGGACGGGTAACTGTGGCTGAAGAGTTGAACTCGGCTATCCTGGGTATGTTGGTTGATTCTCATCCCCGATTCATTTTACACTTGCAAGACAGTCATGCTGACAGTGATGTTCTTTAGTCTCTCTGGGCAAATCATCAGCTGCCGCACTGGAAAGGCTGTACCAGCAAACAGAAGTATTGGTCAACGAGATCAGTGAAGACGGCGGCGCTGGGGCGTTCATTAATGTTCGGGATAACGTTTTGCTTTGATTGGCGCTCTAGGAGTCATTTTCTATTCTTCCTCTTTCTTCTCTCCATACTTGATTCTCTATTGTCATGGATATGCTTTTCAATCACGGAGCTCATTGTGATGTCTCATCTTGACCTTATCTTCCCCGCTCATCGACGAATCTCTACTTCCTCCTTATTGTTCAGACTATCTCTGTCAAGTTTAAATTCATATCTTTTAGCCAGAATGATGTGCCCTTTTGGGATTAACGTTTGAGTGATCAGTGTAAAGCTATTTCATTTAGTCATAAGTGATTTTTATGAAAAAAAAATCATGGTGAGAAGGGACTCAGATACATCTATAATTACATCAAAACGTCAATGTGTTGCAAGTGAGGTGTCAGGCATCCAGGGATTATGACGTTGTTCATATTGCCTAGGCGGTAAATCCCAGCAATACGAAGACGGTGAGAAGGGCCCTAACCCTTCTCGGCTTAGGATTCAACGGTGGAACCCTGGCACTTCGGGCGAACCTCTTAACGCTTATCTCATAGTCAGCTGATTTGGGTATCTCCGCTTTCTCGAACAACTCACTGATGGAGGGCTAAGTGATACCTGACAGAATTCTCTGATGATCCGGCCTTTTCACACACTCAGCTCCCTCAAGGGGCCACATACACATGCCGATGGATCATCCCCTTAGCTCCGAGGACTTCAGCATTCCTACTCATTCAAGTGCGTCCACCACCCTGCGCTGCTGCTGTGGCCGCAATGATTGTGCCTTGCTCGAGCACAATAACGTGGCTCTCGAGGGCTTGGAGAAAGACCTTGAGACCGCTGCAAGATTAGGACAGGTACGTGTTCTTTTTGATATGCGTTGGCCAATCTATTCGCTGGTTGGGTATGACGAGACGCCAAGCTGCCCAGGTGTTTCTGTGCGAGCTGAACCATGCATGGTTGGACACATCATTTTATGTATCATTCCTCACAGCACACACTATGGGTCTCTTCGCTGTTCTCGTTCATCCTTTCCTTCATACCACCCAAACTGTACATACTGCAAACCTCACCTGGTATTAGTCTGAATGATTTTTTGCTCCCATGGCCTCCCAAGGATCGCGGTCTCCCATATTCTCGCTCTGTGTTGGCGTCTGTCATGGCTTTCTTTGATGATTCTACTGCAGAGGCAGGATGTCTTGAGACGTCGTCGCTGACTTTTTCTCTACAGGCCTTGCTTCACCGCCATGAAAGTTATATGGCTGAAGCGGAAGAGGACCGCCATCGTTTAGTCGCCAATATTGACGAACTAGAATGCGAAAAGCAACAAGTTCAAGCTGAAAATGCGCGGATCATCGAAGAGAACCGCAGTTTACTAGAGCAACTCAACAGCCTAAATCAAGCGGTCGCCGATTCCGACGATCATGTCAAGTCTCTAGAACGCAAATTAGACACCGCAGAGTATGAGTTGCGAAGACTGACAGTAGCAGCAACGCGCGCTGCTGAGCTCGAGGCTCAACTGGCCCTTATGGAAACAGAACAATCTAAATTACAGGAAAGTCTTGCGTCAGCACATGAAGATGAGAAATCTGCAGTCCAACGGTGGAGACAAGCAGAAAATACTCTGCGAGACCTTCATGATCAAGTCGATCGTATTGAGAAAGAAGCTCGAGAGGAGAGCGAGCGACATACGGAACTCGTCCAGCGTATGGAACGCAAGAGGGCCGTCGAGCGCGAACTAGATAATGCAGCAGGCCGCCTCAAGGGTGCCGCCGCCGCTTCCGAACTCAGTCGCAACGCCGGTGGCACCAATGTGGTCTCTCGCTTCGTCAAGGACATATTACAAGACAATGCCAATCTGCAAGTTGGCATAATGGAACTACGTGACATGCTTCAAAGCTCGAATGAAGAAGTACAGAACCTACGGGAACAGGTGATATCTCATCAGCCGCTGGCCGGCATCGATGAAGAGGAAACCACCCCATCAAGGTCTTCCACCACGTTGAGCGAAGAGCTAGCAGAAAAAGAAGAACGACGGGTGTCTCAGGAATTCCACATTCATCATCATTACCACACACCGACTCCGGCGACGAAAAAGGGAAAAAAGCACACTCAACCGTCGCGTCAAAAAGCGCCGCCCTGCTTTGGTGAGCCCGGTAGCAATGCACTCTGCGAATCGCTCACATTCTCCCCGGAGAGCCATTCATCGCTCTCAGTCGTCTGGCTCCTCTATGTCCACCATTCTGTCACAAACCTCTGTCTCTATTCCGCCTCACTCCTCCCGCCGCTGGTCATTACAGTCACATGCTGCGGACTCGTTGGCAAGCTCCCCTCGGTCCGCGTTTCGGACGTCATCGATATTTGATCGTGTTGAACGCGGCGCTGATTTCTCCCAGGCCACAAGCCCTGAAAGTACCGCCTTTTCGTCTCCTATGATGAGCGCACGAAACCTTAAAGGCCTTGATATGTCATTCCGGCCGATAGGCGACTTCGATAACCACTTTCAACCCGATGATCTATCTGCATTTGACGATGATCTTTATAACCGACAGGACTTCTCGAAAATGGGTGATAATGTTGTCAGAGAGCCAGCTATTCTAGAAGAATCCGAACCATCTCCATCGGTGGCGTACTTCGAATCGCAGATAGGCGAACCATGCACGACCACCGAGGGTGATATTTTTGCCATACATGTACAGTCTTCATCGTTGCGCAGATCATCTTCGCATGACAGCTTGCTCTCCGTCTCCGTTGCTGGTATGGACATTCATACTCCTACTAGCCGTCACAGGCGAATGGGTGACTGGCATCCTGGCATGCGGATTCCTCGACGCATCTTGTCACCCAGCGTCGAACTATCGTCAACCCCGCCAGTGATCTCCGCACCTGCCATCACAGCCGACCGCGCAAAAAGCTCAGAGCAGACATCCCAGTCATTGCTTGCGTCTATGGCTGCAGCGCATCAAAACAAGGCCGATACCGCATCCATTGCATCTGCAGACAGCGCTAGCACCAGTACAACCTCAACCCCTGGGCCCCGCAAGTCAACGTTAAGTCGCCGCGTGGGTGGCTGGGTTCTTGGCCGTTGGGGCATGGCACCAGTTCTATCAGACGGTGACTCGCCTGATCAAGTGCAATCCTCCAATACGTCTGTGGCATCGTCACCTTCTGTATCTGCGTCAGCTGTGTCTGCATCTGCTGTGTCTGCATCTGCTGTGTCTGCATCTGCTGTGTCTGCACCTGCTGTATCTGCACCTAAACCTGACCCACTGGCCCTCCGCTTCAGGCACCCAGGCGTGAACCAGAAAGGCCCAATAATGGGTCTACGCCCCCCACCTCCCGCTCCGATCTCCATTCATGCACAGAGCATCGATGAGAACTTACTACGGGAGAGTCTAGTCGATCAAGACTGCTAGATTACTCGACACCCTTGCATAATCTTTGGTTTTTTTTTTAGCGCTCACACTCATTATAATCTTGCATCTACTACAACTCCTTTTTCATTTCCTTTGCCTCCTGCTCTTTCGGTTCGATTATTGCATTGCTTGGATTCCTGGTTTGGAATGGCGCGAGTTGCGAACACTATACCCATGCATTCATCTTTGGTGGTTTCCTAGGCATGTCTAGATGGTACACTCTTTGGTCTCTTTCATACTGTATGTTCTTATGCACCACGATTCCATTGTATAGACTTGGTTTGATTGTGCACTTCAATACTATGTCCTAACCATCGAGATGATCAGGTTGGCTTTGATTCCAACAACATCGGACAGAACTTCCTCGAGGTTGGATAATTATTGTAGCAATGCGATCACTTAATTTTTGCATCATTCGCATGATATCATATTCTCTATACAAACTCATAACCTCGTGATGTAAACGCAGTTTCAAGTGTCTGCTCATTTCATCTGCGAAATCCGGTATGTTCGGATTGGGATGCTGGTCGAATGGAAGAAACCTGTCTGGTCTTCTGAAGGTGTAGACTCAAATGGGAGGGTCTCAACATTGAAAGAGTTGGTTTCTGTAATAATTTAGCGATGCTCATAATATATCATCACCGGTGATTTATAAATTTCAAGACTCACCACAAGCATTTAAGAACGTGCGGAAAGTATCCTCGTTGCGCAGCGTGGCAGCAATAACGAACTGCTTGATGTGATAGTTCTCGAACAGATCCCGTACAGTCGAGATGAGTAAAGGAACCAGGTCGGTATCATAGATCTAGAGATATAAGCACGAAAGCCAACCAAACACCATATCACAATTACTCACCAGATCAGCACCAAGAGCCACATCGAACTTCAAACCCGCTTCATCCTCATTTCCATCAGAAGCCAGCCCGGCAAGATCCCCTGACTTTTCCAAAGGCGTCCCCCACTCCCAAACCGCCGGATAAATAGGAATTGAGTCCCGTCCCTCGGGCAGATTATGCCGCACACAATCACGGATGTTATCAATGAGAGCCGGCTCACGATCAGTAACCACAACAGATTGCACACCAAGATGGCGTGCACAAACAAGTGACAAGAATCCTGTCCCGGCGCCGAGCTCGATAACCCGCTTACCGCGCACGAGAGCCTCACCTGCCTCGGACGCCAGGAACGAACCGAGATGCAGAGCAGCCTCCCATGTCCGGTTTCCGGTAGTTCCAGCAGACAAAATCAGGCCGCGAGATTCAGAGGTCGTGACTGTACGCTCAGACGAGGGCCCGGAACTGGATGTCGGGGCTGTGTACTTGACCAGAGAAAGCTGCTGTGCTTGCTGCAAAGCTGAAGGTTTTGGCTGCGAGACTAGTGTGCTCCAGCATTCCATGAGATCATCGTTGATCTCCTGTGTCGGACAATAGGAGAAAATACGTTAGATAACTGGAATCACATTGAATATAGAAATGGTCTGGCATTGGCAGGTGGAATGTACATGGAGTGGAAACAGGAAAGAGATAGGAAATTCGAAAATGCAAGAATAGAAAACATGAACTGGCTGGGTGGGCATACATCCTCCTCCGGGTCGGTAATGGATTCTTCAATGCGCGAGAGAATCTGTTTCAGCACTCGGCTTCGGTAGCTGTCTGGTGGGATGGGAAAGACGGCATTCTCGTTAAACATGCGCTCGTATAGGGCTGCTTGAACGGCTGGCTGGATCAGCACAGGGCCTGGTGGTAGAGCCAGATTCTGTAGCTCCACTAGCTGGAAATACTGAGCTGCTAATTTGTGAATTGGATCGGCCATGGTGATCGAATGAGCATAGTAATAAATTCGATATCACAGAAGATCAATGCGGCAGATCTCATTGGAGCCCCACAGAAGATGAGTCAGGAATGAGGTCAGCAAGGGCATACTAAAATTGTCTGCCTCAGGCAGAATACTTAGTAATAATAGCCTGAGGCAGCCTGCCCAAATAGGCTAGCGTCTACCCTAGCCGAGCCCACACCACACGAAAATTGAAAGTTCGACATCCTCAGTGACCCCGTCGACACTTCCTCCATCCAACGCACACACCAAAATGGCCGACGCTCCTGTCACTCTGCGGACTCGCAAGTTCATCCGCAACCCTCTGCTTGCCCGTAAGCAGATGGTCGTGTAAGAACCCCCTGTTTCCCCCTCCTCGTTTTGGATCTGTGTGTGGTGGAAATACATTGAAGGCGCGCGACATGGAAATTCGACACCCACACACAAGAGAAAAGAAGAAACACAATCGGAATATACGCAACACCCACACACAGAAACAAGCACCAAAAAATAATACGAACCCATCGATCTGACATGTGTTCGCGAATATTTAGGGACGTTCTCCACCCCAACCGCCCCAATGTCTCCAAGGACGAGCTCCGTGAGAAGTTGGCCGATCTGTACAAGTCCAACAAGGACCAGGTCTCCGTCTTCGGTTTCCGCACACAGTACGGTGGCGGTAAGAGCACTGGCTTCGCTCTCGTCTACGACTCCCAGGAGGCCCTGAAGAAGTTCGAGCCCCACTACCGTCTCGTCCGTATCGGTGTCGCCAGCAAGATCGAGAAGGCTTCCCGCCAGCAGCGTATGTTCTTCCCTCTCGTCCCGCCGGTTCCATCGCAAGCCATTTTCTCTCCTTCCCGACTAACCCTTCTCTCTTCTCTCTACAGGCAAGCAACGGAAGAACCGCTCCAAGAAGTTCCGCGGTGTCGCCAAGGTCAAGGGCCCCAAGAAGAGCAAGGATTAAACGCCTCATCTGTAACTATCCGCAACAATCAACATGGACCGATGATGCGGCATGGCGCGATGGGAAAGATTATGGCGGTGGCGGCTTTGGCTCTGGAGTTTCCCACCTGGTTCTGGCTCGTGCGGACTCGGGTGCGGGCGGTCGTGTGTGGGGGGAGTGGTTTATCTTCCTTTTCAGCGAACATCAGACTAAAACCCAAAATGATGCCCGTTGAATGGTGAAGATCGTGGACGGAAACTCTTTTCTTCCTGTGCTTGTTGGAGCTGGTGATTCCCAAGAAAAAAAAGACCTGGCGACTCCTGGGGAAATAAAGCAGGGGCGTCAGTGTTGTGGTTCTTTATGTGTATTTCTTTTGGGAGGATCTCCAGTCTTCGTGAAGACGGCCAGGGTTATGAGAATCCGGGCTTCGGCTGTTTGCCCGGGATGAAATTACATTTTACTTGTTTCTCTTCACTCGGTCTGGCCTGTAGGATATCCCCCTGGTTATCGTAGACGGGATCTGGAGTAGACTGCAGACCCTCTGCGGCGTAAGTCTAGGCTCAGTCTTATCCAGCCGGGCCCCTCCTGTCCCCATAAGTCAAATGCGGAGTGCCTCTAACCCATGCCCTATGTTGGCCTGCTTGACACGGCATGTCTAATGCATCACTGCCACTGTTGAGCCTACTGTGCGTATATCCGAAACCAAATATATCGTATGGAGTAGATTCAAAGCAATTGACAGCCATTTATTTCTGTCTTGAACCAATATATTCCTATCTCTACCACGACATCCACACATAAACCCCCTAGTAGAACAAGAGTCTCACGCCAAAGGCAACCATCAGCCAAAAGCGCAATCTGATCCATCAAAAACCTGTGATGCTTCGAGTACAATCAAAGCAAGATTCGAATTACAGCAGGTATCGATCTACCAGCAGGTCTCGTGGAGGCATTGCAGCGCCAAAACTTGCATGGTCTAAAAATATAGTCTGCTCTAGATATTGGTATTACCCTTATGCTAAAAGACATTGTTTCATGGAAAATAACTAAACTTGACTCAAATTAACTCGAAATTACCTTGTCATTATACTCAAATTTACGAAGGTGTAATCACCTCAAGTCTCCATCACAAAGATATTGGATACACCTGCAGCTTCAGGTTAGCCTCTTCTCCGCCTCGACCTTTGCCACGAGCATCTCCACCAGGCCATCACAAAACACAGATAGTCGATCAGAAGGCATATCCCATGCCATGATAGCGTTCTCACACTGATTCGTCACCAGACGAGACTGTGCAACGTAAATCACTATTGAATCGTCTGCTCCGGTTGGTAAACGACGGAGAAGCATACTCGTGGCAGCCGCCTTGACAGCAGCCGGACTGTTGTTGAATCGCTTCGCGTAAAAGTCCCGATACCGCGTGAGTCGGCCAGGGCCTTTGAAGGCGTAGGTGATCTCGTCGACGATGTTAGTCGCTACTGGTGCCTTGACTCGAAGATTCATCCCAATGTTATACCCGGCAACGTCCTCAAGGAGATCCCGGAGTTTGAACGTGCTATCGAACCGCCCAGCTTTGATTTCTTCGTCCGTTTTGGCGAGGCGCGCACGGCAGAACTCTAGCCCCGAGTACCATTTCATCGGTTCTTGTGAGAGAGCGTCTTGCCATAAGCCGTAATGCTGAATCCAGTCCCCTCCCCAGCCGACAAAGTCGGCGATACCTGTTGCGGGTGGGGTTCCGTCAAGCTCGAGTGGTTTGCCCTTGAGATAAATCCCTATACAACTCGCGGCGAAGTGATCGACGTGGAGATTAACACCGTATGTGGGGTCATAGATACGTTCGACTTTGACGATCTTGCCATTGGCCCAGGAAATGAAACCGAGCCATCCCTCGTAGACGAATCCGTCAACAATGCCCAGTAGAAGCCACCACCGTTTGTCGGTGTATCGAGGGCTCCGAAGGAAATTCAGAACCATCTCATTCAGATCCATGGATGGTCCTCCATAGGTGCTGCGGTAGGTGAGGGCAAGCTCGTAGACTTTACGTATGTATTGGATGAAATCGTCGATGGACGCTGCTGAGGTGTCGCTCGCTGGCCCAACACCCATATCAGATCCCAATTTGTGTACATCCCTGTCGATCTCCAATGAGCCGACACGTGTTGTCTGGATTTGGTTGAATGACCAATTCGAGGGCATGGCGAAACCCATGTTACCAGAGAAGCCGCTTGACATTCCAGACACAAAGCTCCATCTCGCACCAACGCGGTCAGTGATGTCCGAACAAACATTACGAGACCCGTACACGCCCATGATGTATTTATTATCTCGTCTGGCAAGCGCACCAGCTACCCCTTTAAAGTATGGTTCTACGTTGGAGTTGATTTCGGCCTGCGTCGCGTCGAAATCAACCGCGAAGTAAATGACTGTGGAGGTAGGGAGACCGTGATTTACAGCTGCCTCGTGAGCTGCGAATCCATCTCGACGTCCGGTGGCATAGTCGAAGTAGGAAGCTTCGCCGCCATAGAACTGGAATATGGGGAAGACGCGCAGCCCAGCATTGAAGATGGTAGTAAGTTCACCGGGCTGGATCATCTTGTTGAAAGTGCTTCCAGGCTTGTTAGCGAGGTATCTTCCCACAAATTGATACCCAGCCGCTCGCATTGTCGCAGCTGTGCTTGGCGTCAAACCAGTGCTGCAGTCAAAAGCCGTCGCTGGCCGATCAGGGTTTCCAGTCGAGACAAGCAACTGACACCATGTTGAAAAATCACCTATGCCAGTCTGAGGAAGCTCGGAGAATTTTTGAAAGGATATCAAAGCACTCGAGGTGTCGCTTCTGAACGTATCCGAGAACCCGGTGAAGTCCTCATCTACGCCACCGGTTGATGAAGTCAGCTTGACTTTTTGGCAGATCATTGCGCCGGTGAAGATTTGTACGAGAGGTCCCTGCTGACCCGAGCGAATCGTATTCTGTTCAAGGAACTTCCGAGTCGCCGGTCCAAATGAGCCAGTCGCTGCAGTCGGGCTGAGCTTCATCTCGAATTGAATACCGATATACAGGGCACGTTGCACGCTACGTGAGAAGATCCCATCTGCTGGGACGATGTAATAGTTGAGAAAGTTGAGATATCGACCATTGAGCCATTTTTGCACGGATCGAACAGCCTCCGTTCCAGTCGGGAGAAGCGCGTATGCGTCCATGCTGAACAGACCTTTAAGCATTTTTGGTGTGAGATTCTTGATTTCTTGACCCGAGTTGATCCCAGCATCGAAGCACATCTGCGTTGCCGCCTCCGTCGTCTCATCTCCCCAGTCCCCATCCATCCCACCTGTGCTATACCCTTTGCAGTAGAATGCGCACTGAACAATCTGGACTATGTCTCCACCATTCATCTCTCCGATCCCATCAGCGCTTTCGAGATATGCCATAGTCGTGTCCCCGAAATTGTCCGAGAGCTGCTCAATCCCAAGTTCCCACTGCAAGGCGCGAGTGAGAGCGTGGATGGTCTTCCAGCCAGTAATTCCATCTTCAAGGACTGGGGGAAATTGGCTTGGGTCATTGATCTTCTTCTTATAAGTTTTGTTGACCCATACTTGGGCTTCTAATACACGGGAATCGACCATGACTGGAGACGATGATTGAGGAGAGCAAGGGAGTCGAGTGATGGCTTGATTTCTTTGAATTGGATTGTGAATAGGCTCTTATTCTTGGGCCATCAACTAAAATCTCCATAAAACATCCTTGGGTTCACGGTCGATTGAATAATCTCAACGTCATGAGGCTTACTTCTGGATCTCCCCGCAATTTCGGATGAACTCTTCGGGCAGATCAAGAAGGCGGTCTGCGGGGGCTCATTTATACTCTGCGCAATACATTCAACTGCGTTTTTTTAACACCAAACTGTGATTATGTGGTATATAGGTTGAAAGCCACTTGAGTGCTTCGTCCGTACTAGTCCAGACTAACCAACCTGCTATTGGCTGAATGCTTGCCAAGTGAAGATCGAAGTGGGAACGGTGGACGCCTGAGTCTTAAGGCCTATTCAGACCTTTTGTGTTTGCCTTGTTTGTGTCATGGAGATCTCATAACTACATGTATCAATGCTCTAGTTAGTCGGCCTTCGTTGATTTAGGGGTGTTATACAAATGGCTATTTGAGTATGAGAGTTGGCATTTACGGCCCTAATCAATCAAGTTTGTCGTTAGGTCTGGTCAAATATATGTAAACTAAGCCATTGTATATTCCAAGTTACAGAGGGAGTATGATGTATCAACAGTGCTTGTTTCTTTTCTCTCTTTTGTTTAGGCTCAAACAACTACATGTAAATCCCTGGGTACAAAGAATATCATAAAGAAATTAAATATGAATACCCTCATGTACGAAGGTAGATACCTCAATAAACCATCCACCATCCCCTTCGAGTCCAAGACCAACATCCCAATCAGCCCCAAACCAACGTGGACAACGCAGGAACCGAATTCCCCGACACACCCTAGCACAAGACCTCGAACAGAAGGGCTGTGTCTGTGTCTCCGCCGGGATCGTGCAATGGCCGTACATTACACAACCTAGAACGTATTCCCTTTCTCCAATAAAGATTTTTATTTAATCCCGATTTCGGGCATTATGATGTCCATGTTGCCCGGGGACCCATGATCTTCTGACTATGTATCTGCTACAGTAGGATCGTGTTCATTGTACCCGTGCCCAGATACGGCATGTCGGGTTGTATCACTGTAGCCTCCGGTTGAGCGCCCCCGGGAGGCGGGGAATCGGGATAGGTCCTACGTCTCTGAAATAGGAAGGACCTTGTTCTTAGGGCACGTGGTCGATGAGCTTGTGATATGCTTTGGTGTTTGTGGATGTATAGATATAGAGGGTGGTGAGAATATGTTAGGGCAATGGTGGTTGTAATTGAGTACTATATTATGGATAGGCCATCAGATAGAACTCAAGTAGAGCCTGATATCATATGTAGACATTAATTTCCATGGATTCTTCAAGACATAGAAAACACCCTCCACGCTTGGAGTTATACCTGTGAAATACTTGGACAGAGAACATAGCAAAGCAACAAGGAAATTAAAGACATTCCCTCAACTAAAGACACATGGCTTGAGAAAAAAAACACGTATTTGAAACAGACACAAAAAGACAAATATAAACCACTGCGCAAAGCCACTCTGGGATATTAGAGAGTAATCATAATGGACGGATGTGAGAGAAGGAGCCGTGTTTCCTCAGTCTGTCCATAGGGAAATTTTAATCTTTTGGAAGAGCGGAAACAAAAGAACGAGGGAAAAATCAGGACAGAACATAGCAGACCATAGAAAAAAAAAAACAGAGATCAAGGCAAAAACAGATTTCAAATCATTACATGGACAAAAGACAGATATAACAAGGCCGTGACATGGGGTATCTCTTTTTGTGTATCTTGTGAGAAAGAAAGAAACGACCAACCAAGAGGAGACCGGGGTGAGAAAAAAAGAGCAAAAACGAGAAAAACAGAGAATACCAGCTCCAGGAATGATGTTCTGGCTCAAGGCAGAGATACATCTTGTGTTTGATACAAGGGGGTAACTGAGCATCAACCTCAGTACGCCTGATGCCCTCCCAATGGTGAGATCGGCGCACGATGCACATTGTCAACTCGACTATACTCGGACAGGTTATCTGGTAAAAGATTATATGGGAAAGCAACGCCAGAATCCGCATGTCTCACACGGGTATAAGGTAAGCCGTTCACGAGAGTGGGAGCAGAGCAGCGCGTATCGGTGCCATCACCCCTTGACTTCCGTCGGTCGCTGCTATACCCATACACATCGGGGGTACAGTCAGAGGCTATAGTGAGAAGGCGTTGGCCAGCGGCGTCGCGTGAGAATGTGCGTCCCAGACGGACATCGGGCTGGGCGTTGTACTCGCCCACCAGACTGTCTATCGTGTCCAGGGCTGGGTAGGGAGGGTTTGCGGCTGAAGAGGGAGGCATGGAAGATGGCGCCGTGGAAAGCGGAGATGCGTCTTCGGGGATGAAGCCGAAGACAAGCTCTGGGGCTCCGTCGTCGGACTCATTTGACTTGATGCGGGTTGAGGAACTGACGTTGTAGAGGGCGTTGCCATTGCTAGGGATTGATGGGGCGTACCGCGAGTTCCAAAAAGGCCCCTTCACATCACCGGCTAGGGACATGCCCGACAGGCCGTCTGGGAGGCTTGAGAGCCCAGTCACATTGGGCTGGGGCTGGCTTCGGCAGGTTGGTGGTGTGGGGAGGGTGCGGTCTACGGCATCGGTGTACGAGGCCATTGCTATTGCTCCTGTTGACTGGGGCATCTCGGCTGAGGACATAGCTTGACCTGGCAGGACAAAGCCGTAGGCCGCCTGATTCATGCTGGGGCTTGGTTCTTCGAAGAACTCCCCGTTGGTGGATCTGCCGTTGATCACGGGGTCCCAGGCCCGGTTGCCCCATGCTGAGCCATAGTCGAGCATTGCGCCAGCAGTGCTGGATAGCATGTACCCTGGTGAGGTCTGGCCGTGGTAGCCGGCTGAATGGTCATCATAGTGTAATGAGTCCATGCCGACAGGCTGTCGGGAGAAGCTGGACTGGACGTCCAGGTCATACTCATCTCGCTGGTAGGGAGCCATGGAGAGAAGGGCTGACCTCGTCTGAGGCTTGGTTGCAAATCTTCTAGCAGCCTCTCTAGCAGCATCTTCAGGGGCTAAAGAGTTGACCTATGGAGCAAAAGTAAGTCAGTGTGACTCTTGGCTGTGAGAATCTTGAGAACTTGTGCTTACTCGGTTGTACTGGCACTCGGTGGCTCCCACGCTCCGGCAACTTGAACAAGCCAGACCGGTGTTGAGATCACCGTTGCATTTGATTTTTCTCTTCCGGCATCGATTACACTACTAGAGGTTAGATCCTGTAGGGCTTTCTGATTCGATGAAAGGCAGCTTACTGCGACTAGGGCTCGCTTTCTCTGTTTTCGGGGTTTCTCATCTCGCTCAACCAGACTGCGATCCTGCTTGACCACCCGCATTGAACGAGCCATGGGAAGAGCCGAGTTATGCTGGGCTTGGTCTAGACCAACAAGATTGTCGTATGGATGATCCATTGCTGATGAACTGTCAGTGGCAACAAACAATGATCCGTGGGACACTGCACTCACCTGGCAAAGGAGATGGCGATGTAGATAGTTCAACAAGTTCAAGAAGGTTTAGCAGTGAAGGCTATAAAGCAGGATTCATTGCCTGTGCAAGAAATGTGTAGAAAGTGAAAGATGTCTCTGGGAGAGAGGGCTAGATTTAAGCCATGTTTTGGTAACAATCAGTCTGATTGCCTGTGTTCTTTTTTGGTCATGGACATGATCTCTTTTTTTTGCCCCCTGTTTTTCTGATTATTTTATTTTATTTTATATGCTGTGTGTGTGTGTGTGTGTAGATAGAAAAGAGAAGACATACACAGTGCGTCAAAAGTACCTATTTCTTTCTTTGCCCAATTTGTCATTCTTTTCTTTTTTCAGCTTCCTCATTCATACATTTTTTTGCTTGACTTTTGCTTATTTTTTCGATATTAATTCATCTATTCCATTATCCTAAGGGGAAATGATATGCACAGTCCCGTATGCCACTCCAGATCGCTCCTACATACTCCGTACATCGTACTCCGTAGACAGATCAAAGACGGCGTTTTAGAAGGAGGTTTCACAACGTAACGTCACACATGACCTGATGGCCATGACGAGAATTGGAGAGCTCCGGTAGGCAAGGTTTCAGCCGATCTGAACTGGGCACCTTTCTTTTGAGGCAGAAGACAAGATCTGGTGCATCGATCTTCCAAAAGATAAGAAACGGACAACTGCCGGGTTGCTGTTTGCAGAGTATACCTGGCGTCGATCCGCGGGGGAGGTTGTCCGGCGTCCGATGAAGGATCTGGAAATGTTTGCTCGATAGTTTCAATTGGTGTGCAGGTGCATATCAAACAGTCCGAACTTCCTCGGTCATCGAGGTCTGGAACAGCTTAGACTGGGATCTCTCTCGCAAACGCACGGTCTTCACGAGAGGGAAAAAAGAAAACAAACGCTGTCTCAGGATGCTTCAAATGTCTCAATGAAGAAAGAGAAAGAAAATCAGAGAAGAAAAAAGAAAAGAAAAGGAAAAGAAAATATGGGTAAATCTTCTCATGACACCTGTCACTTTGACAAGCGCACGAGTTAGTCCCCCGAACCAAGCGCGCTCTAGAAAAAGCCCTCGCGCAGGGATCCATGATTTAAAAGGCTGATCGGCGACAGGGGGGTTGATCCACCCGGTGTTCTTTAGCGCTTCCGATACGCAGCTGGATTGAAACGGAAAAGAAAAGGTCCGGAAAATGAGGAAAGTACTTACTGTGTGGATGGAGGATGGAGGACGGAGTACTCCGTGCTCCATCCCATCATTCTACATCCATCATCCCAGATCATGGCCACGATGCCCAGGGCTAAAAGGGGGAATCTAGAACCATGGAGATGCATGAACTTCTGGGATACTTGCAAGGTTCGCACATTGCTCCTCGGAGCTAATGTGGAGAGTGTTGGTCTCGCGTTACAGGTATGACATGGGCAAAGAAATTAGATGAGCCAGGGTGGCTGGGGCAATTTTAAGTGATGTGGTCATCGTGCGCCTTAAGACATCCTAGTGTCAGGACACGAGAAGAGGCATAAAAAAAAAGGAGAGGAAATGAAAGAGAAAATATCAAGTAGTGGGAAAGGCACATCAGATCACTGAGTGTCAAATACCAATCTGGAGGGAGTCTCTAACAGGTATTTTGACAGATTCTCCATGTAATCCCAAGATTTGACGATGCACGACATCCGGGGGGAAGTAGGAATTAAGATTCAAGATCAGGAGAAACAAAGTAGGCAATACCAGCTGACTCTGAGTTGACTCGCCAGGAACACATGTTGGGATTGAGACTGGCCTTCCATGTTGCAGGCAATATGGAGGCAAGCCCCTGACTGCTGACGGTCGGAACTTCCCGCCCCCAGATCGAGAGACTAGAGACCTGAGGCAATAGGCTCGTTCAGGATCTCCTTCCCCACGTGTGTGGCTCTTGCCCGGAGATGGTAAGTGTGGTCATCGTGATGATACCCGTTGGATCCTGCTGCAGGAGGCCGCCCGTTGCCCCTTCCCCAACGTTTCTGCTGTGTCACAAGTCACAGAGGGGGAAGTGAGTAGAGAGACCTGGGCAAAGGAGGACCGTGTACTCTGTACGGAGTACTCCGTATTTGGGGTGCGAGACGCCGTGATCTCAGTGGGGAAGGAGATCAAAAGACGAAACAGCACAACAGGGTGGCTTAGGCTTTTTCCGACAGTTAGTGGCATTCAGTGGCTCACTCTCGAACTCCTCTGCCAAGAAGAGATGCTTCTTTTGGCTGGGGCTGCCGCTGCATGAGGGATATAAGCACAAACAGCTCAACCTTGGAATCCCAGGGTCGATCAAAGTCCTTAATAAGATCCGCTGCACGTCGATCTCAAAAGCGTAAGGTTATGTCCATTATGTCCAACGGGGACACTCGGAAGATATGCCGCTCGATTGACAAGCACCGTTGCACAAGAAACCCGGGTCGATCATCCGGAGAGCGCTAGAGTGCTGTCGCAGCACCTACCCATCGGTGGATTCGGTGTCTATTGATGGAAAATCTCCCTGGAGGCGTTATTTTGTGCGCTGTGTAAAAATAGAGAGCAGAGGAAAAAGGACGTAGGAAAGTTAAAGCTGATGCTCTCCGGCTGGGGGCTCCCCGCGGGCGGTCATTGGTCGAAGCTCCGGCGATCTCTCTCTCTTCCGTTTCGTGCATTTCGCATTTCCCGGACTTCCTCACGTCGCCTCTCGTTCGTTTCGATTCGATTCTTCTCTTTTTTGCTCCTGTTAATTGTCTTACCGACTCAGCGCCTAATTCGGTGTATCTCGTGCCGCGACCCGACCCCCCGCCATGAGCGCGCTCTTAGAGACCTCCCTGGGCGACATTGTAATTGACCTGCTGGTGGATGATGCGCCCAAGGCGTGTGACAAGTGAGTGGCTCCCGTTCCTTGGCTTCCCCAGTGTGCTGAACCTGAAACTAAGCTCATTTTGTGTGCTTCTAGCTTCTTGAAGCTGTGTAAGCTCAAGTATTACAATTTCTCGCCCGTCCATAGTGTCCAAAAGAACTTCACCTTCCAGACCGGCGACCCGCTTGGCCCTGACGCCCCCGAGAGCGATGGAGGATCTTCAGTATGGGGTCTGCTGGACGGACCGTCGAAGAGGACATTCCCCATTGAGATACCGCGCAAGCTGAAACACTTGGAGCGCGGTACTGTGAGCATGGCGACGGTACCGGCCAAGAACGATCCCGACCAGCGGCTAGCCGCCAGTCAGTTCATTATTACACTTGGGGATAACCTGGATTACCTGGATGGGAAGGCCGCCATCTTCGGCAAGGTTGTCGAGGGCTTCGATGTCTTGGACAAAATCAACGAATCCTTTATTGACGATCGAGGTCGACCACTGAAGGACATCCGTATTCGTCACACTACTGTTCTTGATGATCCCTTCGATGACCCGCCTAAGCTGGTTGAACCGGCTGAAAGTCCAGTACCCTCCAAGGCCCAATTGGCCACCGTCAGAATTGCGGATGATGAGGACTTGGATGATGATATGGATGAAGATGCTATGGACAAGCTACGTCGGGAGCGCGAGGCTCGTGCGCAGGCACTGACATTGGAGATGGTGGGAGACTTGCCTTTCGCCGATGTCAAACCCCCAGAGAATATTCTTTTCGTTTGCAAACTCAACCCGGTCACACAAGGTTTGTCGCATCTCCCTACCAACCCTAAGGCTGTGCTAACTGATGCTAGATGAGGATCTAAATCTCATCTTCAGTCGCTTTGGAACGATCTTGTCTTGCGAGGTCATCCGGGATAAGCGCACTGGGGACAGTTTACAATATGCCTTTATTGAATTCGAGGAGCAGAAAGATTGTGAGCAGGCATACTTCAAGATGCAGGGGGTTCTGATTGATGACCACCGGATACATGTGGATTTCTCACAGAGTGTAAGAGCTTCTCTCTCTATTGCCAAGGAAAATATACTGATACATCCTAGGTGTCCAAATTATCCGAGAGTTGGCGCCACTCTACTGTCACCAGGCGCCGACAGAGAGGTGGATTTGGTGGTGTGGAAGATCTTGAGGCGAAGCGCCAGTACCGAGAGCTAGATGATGAGCCTCTAGATGAGGATGATCCTAGATATCGCATGGTCTTTGACAAGCGAAACAAGAGCAAGGACGCTCCCGCCCCGACCCGCGAGGTCCCTCGCGAGGCCCCGCGTGAGACAGCCCCAGATCGAAATCGCAATTATCGGCGTGATCGAGGCAGTCGAAGCCCCCGTCGAGATGGACAGGATCGATACCGTCGTCGATCCTACAGTCGGAGCCCTCGAAGAGACTCCCGGAAAGACCGAGATCGAGATCGAGGCCGCTACAATAACCGTGATGATCGTCGACGGAATGACCGATATTAGAACATAGCATATTGCACCCCCTATTCTACAATATACACAGATAGGGAAGATGAAAATATACTCGCCCCTTGCCGTAGCAACATGGCGGGACAGCACGCCCCGCTATGACTAGCGTAGCCATTTCCAGTGGGTAGGTCTCACTCGGCGTTCGCTAGGCACCTTCTTGCAGGCACTACTCGGTATTATTCGCCTTTGCAGATCCCTAAAAATAAACTGGAGCCCACTAGAAAACAGTGTGAGGTATATTAAACACTGGAGCGGGTTTTACGGTGTGTGGTACTTAATCAGCTTGAGCTTCACCCCACGGTTTTTATTTACATTTCCTCCTTTCCCTCCTCTCTCCCACTTTCTCTGCTCCATATTTGCCTCTGTTATTCTCTTTTCCATCCAACTATACCCTACTTAATCACAATGGCCAGCGTAATCAAAGATGCTGTCTCCAACGTTCTTGGAAAACTCCAGGGCACTGCTCCAGAGGTTCCCCGCGAACCCTCCACCGAGGAGTTCCAAGCACTACAAAAGAAATACACGGACGCCGGGCAAGGGCATGTCTTCTCCTTTGTCGACGAATTGTCCACTGTTGAGAAGTCCCAGCTCTTCCACCAGCTGTCAACTTTTGACCCCACTCGGATCAACGAGCTGGCCGACAAGGCCTTGAACCCTCCCCCCGCCACCCAGGGGCCCGTGACTCTTGAGCCCCTCCCCGAGGTCGCCACGGCTTCCATCCTCGATTCCGATCCCTCAGATATCCAGAAATGGTATGAAGCTGGCTTGAAAGAGGTTGCGGCGAACAAGGTGGCCGTGGTCTTGATGGCTGGTGGACAGGGCACCCGGCTCGGTAGCTCTGCCCCCAAGGGCTGCTTCGATATTGGTCTGTTGAGTGAGAAATCGCTATTCCAGCTGCAGGCTCAGCGTATTGCCAAGCTGCAGTCTCTTCTCGGTGGTCAGAACGTCGTTATCCCCTGGTACGTCATGACCAGTGGACCTACGCGCAAGCCCACAGAGGAGTTCTTCGAGAAGAACAACTACTTTGGTCTCGACAAGAGCAACGTCATGGTCTTTGAGCAAGGTGTTCTGCCTTGTCTCTCCAATGATGGCAAGATCTTGCTTGAGAGCAAGAGCAAGGTATGTTATATTTACAACGTAACTCAACACGTGTGAGAACAGCATTGTTGACCCTCAACTTAGGCCGCCGTGGCTCCTGATGGAAACGGTGGTATCTACCAGGCCCTCGTGGTCTCAGGTGTGCGTGAGGACATGCGCCGCCGCGGTATTAAGCACATTCACCTTTACGGTGTGGATAACTGCCTTGTCAAGGTTGCCGACCCCGTGTTCATTGGCTTCGCCGCCTCCAAGGACGTTGATATTGCGACCAAGGTGGTGCGCAAGCGCAATGCTACCGAGTCCGTCGGTCTCATTGTGTTGAAGAACGGCAAGCCCGACGTGGTTGAGTACTCCGAGATTGACCAGGAGACTGCCGAGGCCAAGGATCCCAAGCAGCCCGATGTCCTCAAGTACCGCGCCGCCAACATTGTCAACCACTACTACTCCTTCCGCTTCCTCGAGTCTATTGAGAGCTGGTCGCACCAGCTGCCCCACCACGTGGCCCGCAAGAAGATCGCTTGTGTCAACACCGAAACTGGCGATCTTACCAAGCCCGAGAAGCCTAACGGCATCAAGCTTGAGCAGTTCGTCTTCGACGTGTTCCCCATGACACCCCTGGACAAGTTCGCTTCTATCGAAGTGCACCGCCACGATGAGTTCTCCCCCTTAAAGAACGCCCGTGGCACTGGTGAGGATGATCCCGACACCAGCCGCGCCGATATCATGGCCCAGGGCCAGCGTTGGGTCGAGGCTGCCGGTGCTACTGTCATTACAGATGGCGAGGCTGTCGGTGTTGAGGTTTCCCCCCTGATCAGCTACGTATGTATCCTCCCTTTTTCTTCTCTCATCTCTCAACTAACGAGGTACTATAGGGCGGTGAAAACCTGGAATTCTTGAAGGGACGGGAAATTAAGGCACCTGCCATCCTGGAGAGGGAAGAGTAGATTAGATGGCCTTTGACGCATTCCCGGGATCTCCCAGTCGGATCTCGCGGAAATCTCCTTGGAACGAAGAAATGAATTGCATTGTGACACTTTTTGGCCCAAGAATGGATCTACGGGTTGCATTGGAGAATGTAGGGAGTGAAGAATTCGAGTTTATTCGTCCCAAGATTTCCGTCCATCCAGTAACCCAGTAATCTATTCGGTTGTAGGCCAGTCCAATAGTTCAATTCTTCACAGTCTCAAGCCGTCAAGCCACCGCATTCGTAGGGTGATCGTGTATACAAGTAAAATAAGCAACCTTACGCAATACGGAAAAGCCCGGGAGCTAAAGCCGTTTGACGAGTTTGCAGGGTCCTTTTTCCACTTTTTCGACTCTTCTTTGTGCATTTGCTTGATATCAGTTGGAGCTGTTGAGAGGTTCTTGAAGTTGTTGAGTGTGAGTTGATTTCCCTGCTTCTTTTTGCTCCTTGGTCTCGATTTTTTTTTTCTGTGTGGTCCCCCTCGTGTCCCCCACTTTTTCTTGATTCTCGAGTGGGCTGAACGTGCCCTGCTTTCTCCAAGGTTCTCAAACGGCTGACCCCAAAGGTGATAGAATTTATAAGGATTTGAAGAGATACCGTGAGAGTGAGTGGCATCGATGTGGTATTCCGCCGTTTTGATTGAGCCTCGTGCTCCCCCCGCCGATCTACGTCTTCCCCTCTTTCGCTTGAATTTTTCGGAGTCGCAACGACTATGCGATCATGCGCTGGATTCCAGAGAATATCGGATATAATGGAACTGCAACCAAAGCAGGCGATTACTCCATGTTGAAAAAAGAGCACATCCAACAAGCTCCGGGAGGGAGGGGAAGACGCTGCTTATCGACGGAGCTATACCAACTATAACCCGGGCACCGGGCTGACTTGCGATGGATAGATTACCGTCAAAATGATGTTGTCTCGTCGTGCATGCTACAAGTGTGGCACTATTGGCCACTATGCTGGTTAGTATAGCTGGGACTATTCTGGTGTCTACGGTCGAACTAACGCCTCGGTAGAGGTCTGCTCTTCCACCGAGCGTCTCTGCTACAACTGTACGTGAATACCTCCCCAGGAAAAGTGTGCTCTTGTGTTACCGGAACGCTAATTGGTTACATCTCATAGGCAAGCAGCCCGGTATGTTCGACCATGAGTCATAGATACTCGGAACAACCTCCTAATCTATCAGACAGGCCACGAGTCCAGCAGCTGCCCTCTGCCCCGTACCACTGAGAGTAAGCGACCACTCAACATCAACCCCCTATCGCCATACTAGAGTGCTAATAATCATCCAGCTAAGCAGTGCTACAACTGCCAGGGTCTCGGTCACGTCCAGGCTGACTGCCCCACTCTGCGCCTGAACGGCGGTTCTAACGGCCGCTGCTACAACTGCAGCCAGCCCGGCCACCTTGCCGTAAGTCCTTGTCCCAAGACCAGGTCTTGAAGCTCCGAGTCAGTTGCTAATCCCACTCCAGCGCAACTGCACCAACCCCGCTGCTCCCGGAGCTGGTGCTCCTACCGGTCCCGCCGCTGGCCGCGGTGCCGGTGGTGGTCGCGGTGGCTTCCAGGGTGGATTCCGTGGTGGCTTCAACGGCTACCCCCGTGCTGCCACCTGCTACAAGTGTGGTGGTCCCAACCACTTCGCCCGGGATTGCCAGGCTCAGGCCATGAAGTGCTACGCCTGCGGCAAGCTCGGCCACATCTCCCGTGACTGCACCGCCCCCAACGGTGGCCCTCTCAGCTCCGCCGGCAAGGTCTGCTACAAGTGCGCCCAGGCTGGTCACATCTCTCGCGACTGCCCTACCAACGAGGGTGCCGCTGCCCCCGCTGCCGCTCCCGTTGTTGAGGCTGCCCCTGTTGCCGCCGCCCCTGCTGTGGCTGCCCCTGTTGTTGCCGCTGTTGAGGCTACTGACGCTACCACTGTCCCTGCTGCGGCCCCTACTACTGCCGTCGCATAAATGTGATCACCTGTCTCTCCACCCGCGCATCCGCCCCCATCACTCGAGGAATGCACGGAGTTCCTTTTTTTCCCTGATTCTATATTACGGTCATTTTCCCTAACCCTCAATTGGTCCTTCCTCTCCACCATTTCTTCCTTTGCATATATTTAACTCACACCCTCGGTTTTGGGGCACCGGTTTCTGGATTTGGTTTCTGGGCCTTTTTTTTTCTAAAAAAAAAAACAAAAAACAACACGAGCTTTTGATTTCTCTTATTTCCCCCTCCTTTTTGGAACGTGTTCTTTTTTTATCAATTTTTATCACCCCTATCATGTATACGACGAACAAACAGAAAAAGTTGCTTTTCTTTTTGTTTTTTGTTTTTCGCGAAGTCGCTCCCTTCTCGACTTAACTTCGCTTTCAAGTCTTACGATTGGCGTCTTTTGTCTATTCTCATGGATTATCTTTCTCGATTGGTTTGTGTCGATCGACTCTTGATTGGTTGCGGTTTTCCCGGATGGGCCAAGGAGAGAACGAGGAGATGAAGTGTGGCAATGGCTGTGAGGATGGTGGATCTGTTGAAGCTGAGGGGAATGCTTGGACTCGGGGACCGTTGCAACTGTGTTGTCTTGTGTGGAAAAGAGGACTTCCAGATGGGAAGAGTCCTCGTGGAGAACATCGAGAGCCTAAAAAGAAATATCTCAATTATGTTGTTCGCATTAGTAGTGTAGTTGTAGCGTGTTCGAGTGGTAAGCGCTTGCTAGCAGTCTGAACCCGTGACCCTAAGCATCCCAAGTTGCTCATCTCGTCTCTTGTTCACTCTGCACCCTTCCCCATCGGTTATATCCATCTAGCCATTTTGAATCAATTGATCTTTCCACCATGCCGGGCTCGGTTGGAAGTGATGAATTTGACGATGACGAGGTACTATCGAGTCCCCAACCCCAATCAAGGCTCATATATGTCCATCTAACCAGCAATCATTCTACATCTACAGGCGTTCATTTTAGACATTGACAGTATCCAAGCTCATGGCATCGGCGCAGCTGATATCACAAAACTGAAGGCTCATGGATTCTACACTGTTGCTGTCAGTATCAGCATGCCCTAACCATCTACTTTTCAGGCATGATCCATACCAATGCCCACGTTTTTCAATTAACCGAAGCATATATCCAGTCCGTTCACGGCGCCACTCGCAAAACCCTTTTGAAAATCAAAGGTTTCAGCGAGGTCAAGGTGGAGAAGGTCAAGGAAGCCATTCAAAAATGTCTACCCTCTAGTTCGGGTTTTATCACAGCCATGGAACTCCACCACCAACGCAAGAAAGTCGTACGCATCTCCACTGGCAGCAAGCAATTCGACTCAATCCTCGGCGGGTGAGTGATCCTTCATCGCCGTAGTTCAAGAGAAAAAAAAGTGTGAAGAAACAGAATTTAACTCTCATCCAGCGGCTTCCAAAGCATGAGCATCAGCGAAGTCTTCGGCGAATTTCGCTGCGGCAAAACCCAGCTCTCGCACACCATGTCGGTAGTCGCTCAACTGCCTAAAGCAGATGGCGGTGCAGCTGGGAAAGTTGCATACATCGATACAGAAGGTACATTCCGGCCGGAACGGATTGCACAAATTGCTGAACGGTTCGGCATGGACCCAGATGCTGCGCAGGAGAATATTTCCTATGCGCGCGCACTGAACAGTGAGCACCAGCTTGAGTTGCTGAATACTCTTTCTCAGGCCTTTGCTGGTGGAGAGTATCGACTGCTGGTCATTGATAGTATCATGAACTGCTTCCGGGTTGATTACTGTGGGCGTGGAGAGTTGGCGGATCGACAGCAGAAGTTGAATCAATTTCTGATGAAGCTGGCGCATATGGCGGAAGGTGGGATATGATCTATATTTCTGTTCGTTTTGTACCTTTGGCTGATCTAGATCTCCTTCGTAGAGTTCAACGTTTGCGTCTTGATGGTGAGTCTGATCTCTATCATATATTCTCTGTCGGTGTTAGGTCTCACAGTCAGGGTCCAGACAAACCAAGTCCAGAGTGACCCCGGTGCTAGTGCCCTCTTCGCTGGAGCTGACGGCCGCAAGCCCGTCGGTGGACATGTTCTTGCACACGCTTCTACTACTCGTGTGCTCCTTCGGAAAGGTCGTGGCGATGAGCGAGTTGCGAAGATTCAGGATTCTCCAGGTAGGTTACTCAGTATGCTAGAGGCTTAGCCACATTCTAACTCTCTGATAGACTGCCCGGAACGTGAAGCAATCTATATCATTACCAATGGTGGTATCAATGATCCTGATAAGGTTTGAGGGTGGTGTTGCCGACATGAAATATCGGTAGTGAAGGAAGTGTTTTGAAGTCCAAATTTTCATGATGTCTCAGGGGGTATGCTGCAACACTTTTATACCACTAGTTAATTCATAAAAGCATAATATATACTATGTTAGGCTATAAGCCTACCTAGAGCCATCTTGATGTCTGTTGTCGAAGCCCTAAAAAGAAGGTTCACCGCCTGCAGCGCCGCTCTGACACCCCGGCAAAATTCTGTGCCAAGAGCAAAACTGCAGAAAAAGTTCAGCTCAATCAACGCAACAATCCAGCAATCAAACCTCCATTCAAAATGAAGGTCAAATCCGTGGAGGTAGAAGGGTACACCACCCTGCCCATACAGCTCCCCACAACCCCCCTATTCCCCGAACCCGCCACACACTACCTCTACATCCGACCACACGAGCCCCGAATTCCAGACCCAGATTCCACCCGCTCCCTCTTCATCGTCAACGTCCCCATCGACACAACAGAAGCCCACCTCCGCCACCTTTTCGGCACACAACTCGCCGCAGGCCGCGTGGAAAGAGTCCAATTCGAAGATGTTTTCACCAAAAAGCGCGCCGTCACAACCACAGAATCCAACACCCAGTCCAAAAAGAAGCGCAAGCGCGTGACAGCCGATGACTTCGAGCGCCACCTAGACGATATCACCTTCCCATCCACCTGGGACCGCAAACTGCAAAAGAGCGGCGCACACGCCGTTGTCATTTTCGCCGACAAGCCTAGCATGGAAAGCAGCCTAAAAGCCGCCACGAAGGCCGCCAAGCGCGGGACGACCATCGTCTGGGGCGAGAACTTGCCAACTGACCGCATCCCCGTGCTGGGGCTGAACCGGTACGTGGCGCACGAGCGACTGCAGTATCCGGACCGGGGCACGTTGCTGCGGGCGGTGAACGAGTTCATGACGACGTTCACGCAGGTGGCTGAGACGCGCAAGCGCGAGGACCACAAGCGCTTGGCTGTGCCGGACGAGGATGGATTCGTTACTGTTTCGCATGGACCGAAGTTGAATTCTGTTGCGCGTGAGGATGAGATGCGGGAACTTGTTGAGAAGCAGAAGAAGAAGGCTGAGGGATTGGAGGACTTCTACCGATTCCAGTCTCGGGAGAAGAGGAAGGAGAGACAGAACCAGCTTATCAGGAGCTTTGATGAGGATAAGAAGAGGTTGGCGGAGATTAAGGCGCGGAAGGGCAAGATTAGGGTGAGTTCTTTCTCTTTTTGTTCCTTGTTTACGGTTGTGGAAATGCTGACCTTTTCAATAGCCCGAGTGATCTTGTGCATGATAGCATGGCGTTCTGGGTGTCTTTCGCTGGCAGGATAAAAGGTTCGAAGTGTCCTATGTACATGTGAGTAGCCTTTTTGGTGTTATGTTTTCTTGTTATACTCCGAGGATGAATACGCTGGGGCCATAGTAGCGAAACGCGCTTTGTCCGCTGTTCTGCCATGTCTGCAAATACCAGCATATTTATACAATCTTCTCGCCTTCTGAAATGGAGCTCATACCCTGGTTGGATTTATCGGGCTTTGTGATGTCCAGTTGCTAATTGTGGGTTTAAAAGGTTAGATGAGTACATACATGATCTCTCAATATCAATAGCGGTCATACTCCAATTGTGTATAGTTGTAGTTCATGCTTCTACTGCGTAAGACCGTAGATATCCCATTCCGGATCTCCCGCACAGACCAAGGCTTGGCGTGACATCCCACCTCTGGAGAAATGGTACGCTGTATTATGGACTGCTTGCTCTAGAGCATGAAACGATTTGGAACGATCAGAGACAAATGACTACAGTGGGCTCTTTCATATGAGGCTACTTCCGGCCAAATCACATTCGCAAAGGACAGCCTGAAACAAAAACTTGGCTTGATATATCTCGCAATAAAAACCCTACACTTCTTGGAATTCTACTCATTTCCGTATCCCTCTGTTTCTTGTATACATCAAAAGCTTGTCCAATCCGGCCACTCAAGATGTCACCCGCGCCAATCGAAGAGCCTGACTCCGACGAAGATGTTGAGTTTGAGGATGTCCCAATCCGCCTCCCGACTAGGAGCAGAAATAGAGAAGACATAGACATCCCTATAGTCTTCCCCTCAGCATCTCGACAAGAATGGATTCCAACACTGTCCCTCCCTCAACAGCGAGCCCAGCCCATCCCCTCCGGCTCAGAGGAAGAAACCCAGCTCCGAGGCCAAATCAGCACCGGCATAGAGCGGGTCACCTACCGCAAGATGAAGTCCGATATGGGCATGGACGCACCCGAGACCCCCGCCTCCGAGCGCAGGTACAATAGCTTCAAAGACCTTGCAGCGGATGTCGAGGGTCTTGTTGATACGCTTTGGGCGTCGGCAACACGTAAGTTCTTTCATATCTTCATATATCATCCAATAGAATCGAGAAACAGGGTGATAGTATTCTACAACATGTGTATCCCGTACTTTACTGTTCCCCTGTTTCTGGTTTCTTTCGATCTACTCTTACCTTTTGCTTCAGCCATATTCGAAAATCTAACTTTGTTCAGCGGCAATCCAAACCGAGGCCCTCATAACCCTCGCAGGCCTAACACAGACCTCCCTACCAGCCTTCCCATTCGAGGCCCAGCCAACCTTGTCGATCTTCTACAAGCTAGACTCGGTCTTCGCAGCTCTGTGTACAGCCACGCACCCACTCAGCGGGGCGGTACTCCCCGGCGCACAGCCCGGTCAGTCTCTCGCCACCGAGACGCAGAAAGTGCGAATCCGGAGTTTGGCGGAGCGCACGAGACTCGAAGTTTTTGCCTGTCTGGGGAGGTCTCACCAAAAGGTTAATCCTGCCAATGGCGATGAGTGGGATGATGACGAGGACAGCGGCGATGAAGTAGACGAGCCGTGGATGTTGGAAGCTACACGAGTTTACGAGAAGAGTCTTATGTTGCTTGCGGAGCAGGATGAGCCGGAGGAAATGGAAGAGTTCAGCTGTTCATGATATATTGCGTCGGGTTTCCCCTCCAGCTGACTTCCCAGGTGAAGAGATATATTTTTAGTATAATTAGTCTGTCGATTACGTCGGTGTGCAATATACGAGGTAGACGCTCAGGCCACACACAAAATCAAATGACATAGTTTGAGCAAGTCCCACTTCCATTTACTTCTCGCTATTTTCCTGAGCGGACTTGATGGATCCTGAGAATTCTTCTAGAAAGTTCTAGCACATTTTCTTTGAGAAAAAAAAAATCCAGATCCAGAGCTAGTGGGGTCAGTCCAAAAAAATCAAAAGAGATGATTCATTCCATACCCGGTGCAAGCTGAATCGGCGTATTCCAGTAATGAAGTATACCGTAAGCGGCCCCGTACGTCGGATTCAGGTAACAATCACAGACGGGCCTGGCACTCTCTTTGGCCGGAACGGAGCGAACTAAGTGGGTGTGAGCCCTGAAAGTGGGGGCTATCGGGGCATCTAGTGGCCTGGGGCTGCTCAGCCTCCGGGCGAAGGCCAGTAGTATGTTCCAGGAGCACTATGGTTTGGATGTGGGCATACTTGTTTGTGCTGTGTTTCCACGTGAAAACAAAGAAGATTTAATCTCGGTGGCTGAGATGTGTGATTCAGCTCCCGTTATTCAGCTCCGCTAGTGCCCTAGCTACTTTTAGTGGGAACGAAGAGCTGTGTTTCCATGGTTCTTAGGGCATCATATGTTACAGTCGATGACTGGAAGCCCTAAATATCAGATCAAAGATAGGGTCTTGGTACTTCACTATTTATTCTTTTTATTCTTCAAGTGTGCTCTCTTGAGCCACAGTTATCCACATAGGTTAATTGCCTCTTAAAGCAGTACCGACAGTGCCAGGATCGCTGCTGTGTCTCCCCATGCAAGGGCTGGATTAGCTTGTGCTCTTATACTCCGTACTCCGTACTCCGTACTCCAGCGGGATTAGATCTGAACCCTACATACGGCGTAGTAACAGGCTTGAGGGACATGAAATCAATTGATCATCCCTTACACACCATGTAGGGAGAGGGCTTCACCCAATACCACGGGATATACCCAGGTACCTACGGTATGGGTAATTGCATCCCAAAAGAAACGCGTCGCGTACCATCTCGCACCAGATGAGCCATTTTGAAATCTCTGATGGTAAAGCAGTAATTCCAATACGAGCGGCCCCCGAAGTCCGGCCAATGAAAGCGGAACTCTGCACAAGGAACTTCCCATGGTTCTAATGGAGCCCTTTTTTTTTCTCGTTCTCTTCTTCTCACCTCGGGAAGACTTTTTTTTTTCCTGGTTCTTTTCTTTCATGACCGGACGGGCGCGGGTGTATTGATTTAGGATACGGGAGGGAAAACCGGTTTGAGGAGTCCTTGCTTAGGCCAACGTCAGGGTATGAATTAAAGAACCTTACTTCAAGAAGATTGGCTTGGGAGCTACCTAGGTCTGCATCCTGCCTAGTCAGACACCTTCAGCTTCACTAGACCAGGAACCCGGGTATCTGGCTGACATGGCCGTATTGTGGAAACGGAATTACCGTATCTTGGTTCCATGGGTCTACGGCGTCTGGTCTTTTGTTTTCTTGATTACGATCTACTATATTCGATATTCGATATTCTATATTCTATATTCTATACAGAGAACGGGGTTCTATACAAGGATCGTATACGGAGTACCGTAGCTGGTAGATAGCAGTATATATATATAAATATGACATGTGGAATCAGCGCACTTGCCGACGAGTCCTCCGTACTCCGTACCTGGGAATATGTACCCAACAGGTACCTGATCCTGGTCCTGCTGCGCCCACTGTTTAGGCTACAAAGAAGATTACCTCAGCCCATGACGACAGGTGACTTGGGCAAAAGGGCCCACGGACCTGATGCGTCGACAAGTCACATTGCGAGGCCGGCGACAGGTCCTTGCATATTTCATGCATGGGCTTTTCCGGGCCCCTTGTTCTGGTCTTACACCGAGATTTGCTCGGATTTTGATCAGATCGGCTTTTGTGGCTTGGGGGAGGTTTTTTATTTTTGGCCCGTTGCCCTACGATCTCTTGCTCTGTTGGAGCGGACAGATGGAAACACTCGAAGACTAGGGTCGATCGCCGGCAAAGGACTCTCGATGTATAGCGTATACCTCGGTAGGCTATGATGTATCAGCTCTGGAGAATCTCCGGGCTTCCCGACATGCTGGAACGATGAAGAATCTAGTAAAAGCCCCGCATATCTGATATCATGCAGCATTGACAGAAATCTGGGGACACTGATGGGAATATAAGTACATGTATGTGGTCCAGATGTATGAAAGAAGAGAGCAACTGTTCGGATCGGCAGAGGCAAGGCACTCTCTGCACTACCGGCTAAAGTGGCCTACTAGTTGCCCGACATGGCCATATTATTGATACTGCGATGCGAAAGATGCCTATGGGAAAGAGGAAATCCAGGCCATCTACTCGTACCTAGGACTACTGCTCTCCATGTACTCCATACTCCGTCCTTCGTAGGTAAGCTGCTCGACCACATACCTTGGGAACGGAACATACCAATACCGCGTAATACACATACCGTACATCGACTCACGTAATGCGTTTCCCACTTCCCCTCTCTCTTCATCTCGCGAGGATTTGAATTCTTCATTTTCTTCTTTTCCCCTCTTCCTACCTCCCCCTCCCTTTTCTTATTGTTCGAAGATCTCGGTTTCAATTTTTCTGTTTAGTTATCGGGAGTTCTGCTTTTCCTCCCTTGTTGCCGATTACTCTTTTTTTGCCTCGCGCATTTCCAGTGTTTTCCCAGGTTTTCCTATCATTTAGGTGAGTTGGTCTGAGTTTCTCTGTCGCATATCGCATTTTGGACAGGCCTTTGGCTGCCGAAATCACTCCCATGTCACATGTCTTCCAGCAATTCGGCGCGCCAATCAGCCGTGGCTCGCGAGCTTCTTTGGGGTTCTCCACCATTCAATGTGTATGGTGACTCGCCTACGCTCCGACGTTTTCGCCTGGACCAGCGCTTCAGGGCATCGCACCGATAATTCACCGGTCGCACGTGTGTCGATTTTGATACCATCGTCAATATGGGAAATCGGCCAGACCTGGGTCTGTGCAATGCCCAGAAATTGTGCGGGCAGATTGAGAGGGTGGACGGTCGCATTCGGACTTCAACCGGGGACGACGGAAACGGCCAACGAACGATGATCGCCCAGCAACCGAGTGGAAATCTGATCCATTTTTGTCTCGCGCATCCGTTTTTCGCCCTTTCTTCGTTCGTCTTCGTCCATTCCACCCTCCCATAATAACTATCATCGCATTTATATGCTACCCGAAGCACTGGTCTTGGCGATTTCTGGCACCGCTTTGAGGCTCGGAATTCATTTGCGCTTGAAACAATCATTCGCCAAAACTGCTCGCTACACACCTTTTTTCTCTCTCACACATCCTTTTTCTTCTTTCAATTTCCTTTTTTTCCCGTTGTATCACTTATATGCAACTTGTTTCCCAATTATCTTCTTCTACTGCGCATTTCTAGATTTTCTTCAATTTGCGTGACAATTGATGAGATCTAACCTTGCATTCTTTAGGAGCCTTTCACGCCCGTCTCTTTGCTTGGCTTCGTTACGACTTGATCTCACGCCGGTCTTTCCTTAACGACTCCACGAAGTTCTAGTCGCTCAGCCATCTTATATTCTTACGTCGACTTTTCGGACTTTGTTTCTTGCAATCATGTCTTACAACGGCTTCGAAACTTTCCCTCAGCAGGACCCTGCCGCCGCTGGCGCCCCGGCTCCCGTTGACACCACCATGACCGGCCAGGCCGATCCCTCCGCTGCTCAGTTCCAGGGCCCTCCTTCTGGTGAGCCCAACTCTGCCCCCGTCCCCCAGCAGGGTGCCGATGGCAAGACCACCCTCTGGATGGGTGAGCTCGAGCCTTGGATCGATGAGAACTTCATCCGCAACCTCTGGTTCCAGATGGGCGAGCAGGTGAACGTCAAGATGATCCGTGACAAGTTCTCTGGGTAAGACACCGTAATTCTGATCGGATTCTTAAAATTGTTTCTAATGTGGGTAGTAGGAGCAATGCTGGATACTGCTTCGTCGACTTCGCTTCCCCTGCCGCCGCCGCCAAGGCCCTGTCTCTGAACGGCACCCCCATGCCCAACACCAACCGGGTCTTCAAGCTCAACTGGGCTACCGGCGGCGGTCTCGCTGATCGCAGGTAAGCGATACTCTTGTTTGATTGATTGTGTTCGGGCTTCTTAACTGACCCCTCTCCAGCCGTGATGACCGTGGCCCCGAGTACTCCATCTTTGTTGGTGACCTCGGCCCTGAGGTGAACGAATACGTCCTCGTCTCTCTCTTCCAGAGCCGCTTCCCCTCTTGCAAGTCCGCCAAGATCATGACCGATCCCATCAGCGGCATGTCCCGTGGCTACGGTTTCGTCCGCTTCTCCGACGAGAACGACCAGCAGCGCGCTCTCACCGAGATGCAGGGTGTCTACTGCGGCAACCGCCCCATGCGTATCTCCACCGCTACCCCCAAGAACAAGGGTCCCGGTGTTGGCGGTAACGGCGCCGCTGGTATGGGTATGCCCGGTCCCGCTGGCATGTACCCTCCCATGGGTGGCCCTCCTATGCCCTTCTACGGTGCTCCCCAGCCCATGAACCAGTTCACCGACCCCAACAACACCACTGTCTTTGTTGGTGGTCTGTCCGGCTACGTTACCGAGGATGAGCTCCGCTCTTTCTTCCAGGGCTTCGGAGAAATCACCTACGTCAAGATTCCCCCTGGAAAGGGCTGTGGTTTCGTCCAGTTCGTCCAGCGCCACGCCGCCGAGATGGCCATCAACCAGATGCAGGGCTACCCCATCGGCAACTCCCGCGTTCGTCTCAGCTGGGGTCGCTCCCAGAACAACTCCGGCCCCGCCGGCAGCCCCTACCGCCCTGCTCCCCCGCCACCCCCCATGTACCCCTCCATGGGTATGCCCCCGGCCCACCAGTACGGCGGGTTCGCCCCCATGAAGGTGAGCGATCACCCTGGCAGCCCGATCCCGGATCAAATGTGAAGCAGGCGGTCGGCTGACACACTCTTCCAGTAAGCGTTTCCCTTTGATTGAAAGCACCAGCAGGAGTTATTTGTGTCATTCCAATGATGGGTCTATTGTGTCATAACAAATTCGTTCCCTGGTTTTTTTTTTACCAAGGCTATAGCTCTTGATGAGCATTTGTCTCCTGTGCTACGCATTTCCTTTTTACGTGAGCGCTATTACCTTAGCAAGATCTGAGCTTTCTCCCCTTTTCCCCCCCGATCTGTCTTGTTCTTATGTATCTTTCCCCCCTTTCTTATTTCCACCTTTGCGCACTTTTCGTATTCCATTATTTTATCCTATTTTCGATGTCTCTCTGCCCTTATGCTACCGGGTATTCTTTCCCGCCTTGGGTCTTTGTCTGCGTGTAACGGAAGTCCGAATTGTTCATGCGCTTCTTTTTCCCTTATACTCCTTGGGCAGGCATTCTGCGAAAAGTTCCATTTCCCCTACGTTACACTTTATTTCCTTTGTTCCTTTTTTTTCTTTTTCCTTTTTTTTTCTTTTCTTCAAGCAGCTAAATTGAATTATGTTCGCTTTGAGGATTGTTGCGTTACGCTTTTTCTCTTTCTGTTAGACTGATTGACGGCCTGTATAACACGCTTTGTTTCGTGCGCCTCAGCGTTTGTCGATTCTAAGTGCCTTGATCGTATGCAATAATGGTCCCTTGCGCTCTTTCGTTTGGTGTCTTGCATTGCGCTGCTGCCGTCGAAATCTTTCCCTTGTCCTGGTATATTGAGGTACTGCTCTTTAGGGACTCTGGCTTTGGCTAGCAGTGGAACTATATAATCATCACCGCTGTGGCTGGTCCCATGGATGGAAACCTTTGGATTGGATCTCAAGCACATCTGATTGCATGTTTAGTTTTTGCGTTAGGTTGGAGCTTGGGGTTTGGCGTTGTCTGGGGGGAGGTCCTTTGTTTCTGTTTGGATTGGGTTCCTCGGACACTCTTTTCTCGACTGTTGAGATTTCCTAGTTTTTGCTCGCGGGTTGTAGTTTTCCCAATCTACTTCGCATTGGACCATGCGTCCCCATCTATCGTCGGGTCCTCAGGTCTGGTAGCTCAGTCAACGCCCTTGTTTCCACTTGACATTTAGATGTCCATCTCCACGATATCATTCATGTTTCAACATTGCCTCGTTCGTACATTTTATATATGGGTATATTTGGTTGGTCAACTGAGTCTTGGACCTTGTTTTTATCTTCCCTATGAGAGCTATTTGGGACAAGCAGCCTGTTCCATCTATGATTTCACAGCTTTCGAAGGATTTGGGTAATCAATTTGGATATCTCTCACATTACATACTGAGCGCGAGAGGGTATCCCTCAAGTTACCTAAGTATCATTGATTAGCTGGAAGACGCAAGAATGATAGATATCCTCATGTAAAGCGTTCTCATGTGTCGATTTGAAGTAGTAAGACACGCCCGTAGCCCTGGGGAATGCCCGAGGTACAGGTTCCCAGGTCCAGTCCAGTCGGTCCTTCCTCAAACGTCGGCTAGCAAGACCACTCGGTGATCTCAACCTCAACTTCTCTTTGCCTTGACTCTTCTTCCGCTCTGCCAACTCTTCCAACTCTTTCAAAATGCGTTACAGGAACTGGGATGTGCTCCTCTTCCCAGCAGGCTCCAAAACACCTATCCAAGAGTTCAAGACACAATGCTTCGTGACCAAGGACCGAGACTCGCCCTATCTACACAATCCTGTCTACTTTGGTCCGCACGCACACCAACCCGACCCCAGTCATTTCAATCAATTGCCAGTCCTCACAACATTCATCCCAAGCCAGCCTAGAGACAGCCCCTTCCAGGTATCCATTCACAGCTGGGACAGACCACGCCCCAGTGTCCAGATCGAATCTAGCATGGAGCCCGAGGATGTTCCGCTCTTTGAAGCACGGGTATTTGTTGACGGAGCATTTGTTGCTGGCAGCATCTATGGACAGAGGACCAGATGGCCGCAGATCATGGACTTGGGTTCCAATATCGACCGAGATGGAAACCAGGACACCCTCCGCTTCCCTCCTTTCCATTCCGAGGTACTTCAACAAAAGCATTGGGACGCAGGAGACTCCCAGGGTCGAATCAAAATTATCATTGCTGAAGGATTTTCTCGCCCAAACCGTAATCCTCCGTTCGAACGGTTCAGACATGTCATTGCTTTCTCTTTCCAGCATGCACCTCTAGATATCTTGGAGTTCTCGGAGATTGCTTGGCCCAACCCAAGCATGTGGATTATAGTACCAAATGCAGCCCGGTACGGATCAGCTACGAGATACAACGCCACCAAGGGACTTGAAGATGGCGCCCATGGGCATTCGCCAGGCAAGCCTGACAGACCTGATGATGCCATCACAGGCAACACGAGCAGCAAGTCAAGCAACAACACTTACAGTGGCAGTACCCCATCTACCTACAATGCTTGGACCCCTCACCGTGGCTTTCCCATCCCTTCCACTCAGTGGAATGGCTACTCTCAAGGACCTCGGTGGGACCCGCAGGATACATACATCGTTGAACCTGGCATAGACGCTTTTGTTGATGATACAGCATGGCGTCAGCGAGGTGCCCGTTCCTCCCGGGAGGATGTCCCCATGCCAGACTACAGTTCTGCCGGTTCAACCAGCAGCCGGCCCATCTCCAGCATGTCTGGGCTCAGCTACGAGCATAGCAAGCAGCCTAGCATCAACTCTTGTCTGGACGATGAACAATACAATGAGTTGATCCAAGCTCTCACTCCAACCAAGGCGCCTTCAATGGGTACGCGCGCACCTTCGAACACCCCCTCTACTGCAACGGCATCGATGGCTCCTCCAAAACCTTCTGCTGCCGCTGAAGCTCGATCTGCAGGCTACAAAACTCGGAGTCGGCGTACATCTGCACTCAAGGAGATATCTCAAACGAGTACCCGTGAGGCTTCCGGCTCAAGTGAGCCCAAGAATTCATCTCCAAAGGTCGGAGCAAGTCCCAGTGAAAAGATTAGAGGCAAAAAGGAAACCCAGAAAGATGGCCCCACGGAGACTCCGAAGGCACAATCGAAGGGCAAGCGGAGCATGAAGGAAAATAGCAAGGCTAAGGATATCGATGCGAATGAGAATACTCCGGATGAGATCGAGTCGGTACTGTAGGAACGCGCCAGCTACAATGTATCATTCATAGCTACTCTGGTTATCCCAGTCGTGTCTGGGAATGAAGTGGAACTGTATCTTTAGGAACTACTTCAATGAACACTGCTTTCAGCGTATGGATCACCTATGAGTATTGACTGTTCTGTGTTTTGGAATATCCGAATCAACTGAGTTGCTCTCGAGCAGACTCTAGGCATCGTACCTTCCTGAGTGACTCGATTTTACTATGTAGCTGTTGTAGAGGTGTCCCATGGCTGCTCGCTCTTTCTCATATTTCATCGCTCCTACTTTCTCTTTCTCTTCCTCTTCTCTTTTCTCTCCCTCTCTCCATTCTTTCATCACTCACCATCCTGTGCGTCCTACTCGTGTTTTTTTCATTTTCCATCGCGTTGATCATCAATTGTTCGTGCTCATCTGGTTCTACCGCTGTCGTTTGCTGCGTTGCCCTATCGTGATACAAACTGTGCACCGCCAGTAAGGTCAAGCCCGGTCTCAGGCAAGTTGTGCTCAGGATGGACTCTGCCTCCATCCCGGGTGCAGCCTCCATCCCAGGCTCGGGCTCGGGCTCGGGCTCTGTCCCGGCCTCATCTCTGGCTGTGGGCACTCATCCTGCAGTCCCCACCAACGGTACAACAGATGTGTCTGCAATCGCCAGTCCTGATGTTAGGACTGCTGAGCATCAAGCTCAGCAGCTCGCATCTATCCCTGGTTCTATCTCTCTGTCAATGCTGCAACAATCCCCTTTCTCGCCTCGTTCTCATCAGCCTCAGAGACATGACGACTTGGCTATTCTGTCACCCACTCATTCTCTGAATGATGTTGGGTCTAGGACTCAGCATGAGTACGGCATTTCGGCTGGTGGTGGCGTGTCTATGGCAATGCAAAGCCCTAGTTCAAACGCAGGTGCTTCTTCCATTCAGCAAGTTGCGCAGACTGCAACATTCGAGGCCATACCATACACTGGCCCGATGTCTAGTCCCACTGCTCTGCGCGATCATTTGGCTGGTGGTCGGAATCAAATAGCTATCGGCCTGCCTGCGGATTATTATCATTCTCGGGACCAGCAGCTCTCGAGTGTGCAAAATGCTGCACACCAGTCGCCTGTCGGTCCAGCGGCTCGCAGGAATATTTCCTTTGCTGATAGCAGTTTTGAATCATTTATGCAGCCGCTATCTGGTAGGAGTTTGGTACATTCTCCTATCAATGAAGAACATCCTTTCGATCTTTCATTTAATCAACACGGGGTACCCCGTGCAATCAGTCCTCATGATTTTGTGGATCATGGCCAGAACGCTTATGTGTCTACCCATCAACGGGATATGAGCCAGCGACCCATTGCTCAGCCGCCCTTGGCTAATCCACCTCTTGGTGGAAACCTAGCCATGGCTAGAGGCCCGGTTTATTCACTCGTTGAGCGCGAAGAGCGCTCTGTTCCGCCCCATGCTACTAGCTACAGGTCGATTCATGATAAAGGCGGACGGCTTTTGTCTATTGATCAGCGGATTACGAGCCAACAACCTGTTTCCCAGCAAAGTGTCGGCTTTTCTTTTGATGATAAAACCAATTTGAATCGAGTCGGGATTTGTTCTCAACCTGTCCGACAGCTCGGTTCGACTGCGTCAGAGGACCCTGCTTTGGTTCACGGCCAGGCTGCCCAGATGATCACGAGTCAACAGGCTATGGACCATCGGTATTCCCCTTGGCAGCCTGTGGATGATCTTTCTGTTACTCGCTTTACGCCTGCCACCGATCAAGATAGCAAGACTTTTTCGGGGCCGCAGTACTCTGCAGTGCCTCGGTTCGGATACACTTCTTTGCTTGGCCATGCTTATGAACGATCTTTCGACCAGCGGGCTGAAAATCAGTCATTGCTTGGCCGACGTACACACTCTGGACTACCTGTCTATGACAGCTTTGATATATCTAGCCGCCAAAACAATCAGCCCCGAGATCAGCAGACTACAATTGTTCGCCCTATTGGGGAAGATCGTGAAGCTTCCGTTGTTCAAGGCCGTTCTTCTTGGGAGCAAAGTTATGTGAGCCAACAGCCGAGATATTATCGTTCTGCTGCTGGCCAACAAATCCCAGAAGAGACGATCTATCAGCCTGTGTCTCGGAAGCCCGTCTTTGGCTTTTCTAGTGTTGCTGAAGCGCACGCTTTTGAGCCTTGGCCTCGGAAGCGCATGTCTGACTTTGCAAGTGCTCATAGTACTTTTGTCGAAGGGCAAGGCCGTCAAAGTGTGGTCCACGAAGCCGCAGATCCGACGGATCGCGGCTTTGCTTATCCTGCTGGCCGTGAAATTCCTCTGGCTCCAAGGGCGTTTGAGCGCCCTGTGCCTGCTGTACCTTTCATGCGCCCAAGCATTCAAAGCCATTCTGTGAAACAAGAACAAGTTTCTCCTAGTCCCTTCCAGGGTTTCAAAAGAAGCAATGACGGGCAATTTGACTCTCATCTAGCGTCAGAAGTTTGGAATAAATCCACGCTGCCTGAAACTTTGACCTCAAATGGGGTTGAAGCTTCGCGCCATGCTGGAAACCAGAACCGTTCGAACCCCCGAGGATTCGGTCAAAGTGTCTCTGCCAATCCTTCTAATAAATCGGAGCCTGGTGATATTCTTGAGCAAGATTTATTTAAGGATAATAAAATCTCTATCAGCGGTTATTATTATCACCCGGGAATCTGTGGCAGCCCAGTAAGTATTGATGCATGGTTTTGGAGTCAGCCCTAAGTTCTTCTCCGTCACCACAACCCACTAACTGTATTCAGACTTGGTTAAAGGATCTTACTGTGAACTACCTCACTGACAGTGAAGTCTTGTACTATTTCAATGTCATAGCACTTATGGGTCGAATGCAGCCTGATTTTAGGTACAAATATGACAGTGCTGATAGGAAAAACATCATCGTGAACCTCACCTTGTGGGGGAATACCATCATCCATGCTGAACTGACCTCGGACTCTCTCCATGCTGCTGAGGTCTTTGCATATCGTCAGACTCTCGAGAAGATGCAAAAGCACAATTCAGACTGGGTGATTCCTCCTCTACCCAAGGATGGTCCTACAAGCCCTGGATGGGTATGGACGAAGCTGCTCAAAGGTATATCACCCAGTTCCCTTAGCCGCGAATGACAGCTAATGATTCCACCGTCGAAGACTTCTGTGCGGATCAGGGTTTTCCAAAGCCTCGTTATAAGTCTAGTCAAGATGGAATGGGCTGGTACTGCAATCTCTCCATCAACAGCAAACCTTACATCAGTGCACGGGGGTGCAAAACTCTAACGGAGGCGGAAAGCACAGCTGCGCACATGGCATTGTATCAATTGGCCATTATGGGGTTTGACCATTCTGCTCGGAGTCCAATTCACTCCCCTTTCGACCAATCTTCGCATAATGCACCTGTGTCTGTGTGGGGATCGTCGGGGAAATTTATGGAGAGTCCCTTCAATTCATCCCTGCGCCCGAAGAACGATCCTCGCAGCAGTGTTTTTTCGAAGTATAAACTTTCAACGGCTACTGTTCCAAAGAAAGGCTCCCTGAGCAAAATTTCTCCCAAAAAGGGCCCTAGTGGCCCGTCACGCAAACAGCCTGATCGTACTGTTCGGTATGCAGGCGTGTCTAAATCATCTGATCACTCCAAAAAGAAAGCATCTGCCTTCTACTACAACAGGGCCAAATGGATCAAGCGCAGACGAATTGAGGCATTGGAAACACAGCTGCGAGAGGCCCAAAATTGGGAACCTGTTCAGCAAAATCCGGCCAAACTTCCTCCTCAGTTTGCTCACGCTGCCAATCGAGTTCCATTGAGCGACTGTCGCCTCTTGCCCATGGAGCATCAGAAGGATCATGTTGAAGATCCACTGGTCAGATTGCGCAGCCTTGATGGAAAGCTTGCTCTGTTGAGTCCTCGCTCCTCGTTCCGCGAGATCTTGAAGAGTATGTCAAAGCAACTTTGAAATGTTGCACTAACCCCCATCACATTGACTAACCATCATTTCTTCCTGTGTTTTAGCAATTTGTGAAGTCTTGAAAATCGATTACCCTGAGATCTTTCGTGGAGATAGACCCAACAATTCCAGGGCTATGTTCCCATATGCCCACGAGATGTTCGCCAAGTTCACCGGAGATCCCTACCTTTCCCGTGCCAGTCCGATAAAGCTCTGCCATGTCCACAATCCTGACCCGGAAATTGCCCAGGAGATCGGGGTCAAGAGCGTCATCCTCTATCTTCTAAGTATTGTCAAGGATGATGCTGATCTCGATCAGAAGGCGTACGAGACTGAATCGCCGAACGTCAGACGCATCGAGTGTGAGACCATCCAGTCTCTGTCGGCCCAGAATAAGCCGATTGGAGCCCTTCTCTACTAACTGCGCTGTCTACAATGGAGAATCATGTGCTACTGAACTTCGCTATGTCAATGTGTCCCGGACCTCGTCGCGAGAGCTGTTTGTCCATTTTCTGATTTGAGACTTGGTGGTGTTTGTCTTGATGTCCGATGAAGATGGAAACCGGTGAATTGTGTTTGATGACTTTGGTTTTTGCGTTTCTACACTTCACTCGGTGGCCTTTCTGCTTGCTTTGATATTCTGTTTTTGTGTTTGTCTGAAATTGTATGATTATTTGTAATATTCCTCGTCTTCTTTGTATATCTAAGATCAGTGGTCTATTCATGACAATGCTTGTAACAAAGAGCGTTCTATGAGTTCTATGACATGGGGCATGAGCATATCAAATCAAAAGGCTCTAGCAATTACGATCGGTAGAACATGGTCTTTGCGGCAGCGGTGATCATCAATTTCATACAACAAGCGAGAGGGAGTGAATCAATTAATGAATACATGTAAGGACATGGCGATTGATTCTGCTATTGAAGATCGAAGCATGCAACTCTTGTTTCCCTTTACCAACGATCCCCCTGTTCCTCCTTCATATCAAGCGACACTCATTCAACATCAATCCAGATACATCCCATAGCTCCTTCAGAACAAAAACAAGGAAAAGTCTCAAATAGAAGCACAGCCAGGGTGTTTTCCCCAGCGAATAGGTCCAAAAATTGGTTCAAGGTTGCATCAGGATAATCAAGGAGACTTGAGGACCTGCATTACACAGTATGCTCGGATCAACTAGAAGATTCATCTGCTCAAGAACACGGATGTAAGAAGCCATGTACCCTTCGTGAGGATATCGATACGCGGATAGCCGACGTTCAAGTGTTGGCGTCGTATCTTCACGGCTGGATGTAGAATAGATCAAGGACCTATAAGCCAACGCCCACAGAGAACCCACGATTTGTCTTTGTTGAAAAGACCCCACACAGTCGGTGATTGGCGTTGAGGCCCCGGTGCACTATGTGCAAAGATCGGTGTGGCGCTTTCCCGGCGTGGGTGGTCCTCGGGGGGACTCGATCGAATAAGGGTCTTCTAACCAGACGTGACAGGCCAGGCCATGTCAGACGTCACCCCTTCCTCCGCCGCCCTCGCCACTCGTGGGGGGTCTTCCAACCGGACGTGATAGGGCGAGGCCCATGTCGAACGTCTATCCTCCTCCGCCGCCCGCGTCGCTCGTAGGGTACCTGCTAAACGTGAGGGACGTGCTAGTAGCTCGTTTCGAACGTATGCCCTCATCCTTCGCCGCCCTCGCTAGTCGTGGTGGGGTCCCGGCGTGGGAGGTCCTCTGCCAAGGTTTCTGCGCTGACGCGCAGGAGAATGCCCTCAGAGTTCTCTTCACTGGGCAAGGTGTCGTGTCGGTCTGGAGGGTGTGGTGGGAGGTTAGTGTAGACACAAGCTGGATGGGGAAAGGGGTTGATATGCTGACGTGAAACTGGAACAATGTTGGGTACCTGTCGTCTCATGGGGGGACAGAAACAAACAATCGTCTGTCTCGTGCAAAGGTAGACAAGGTAGACTTCTCGTGTGGCCTGCAAATTAATACGGAGTCTCACGAAGGTCATATGTAGGATTCAACAGAACATAGAAACATCAGCATAGTACGGTGTGATCAGTGGAAAGAAGAAGATCAGACTGACTAGGAAGGACTTCTCTCCCTGTCATGGGGACAGAGCATGAGAGCAGTGTGAGATGTATCTGTTGCTTTTGAAAGCTTGTGCGAGAAGAGGAAAATGGAAGAGGGAGGAGTGGAAAAGGGAGGGTATTTATGCTCTGGGCGAGGACACTTCCCGATTAGGAAAAGTAGGGTTCCGACTCACAGCTCAATAGAAACAACAATAAGGACAACAATAAGGACAACAATAAGAAGAACAATAGGAAGAACAATAGGAAGAACAATAGGCAGCAACAATAGGCAGCAACAAAAGCAATGTCAATAGCAATGTCAATAGCAACGTCAATAGCAACACCAATAGCAACACCAATAGCAACTTCAATAGCAACGTCAATAGCAATCACAACGAACATTGATTACTAGTCTGCCTAGAGTCTTATTGAGTCGTCGGATGATCTTACCACTCTATATTGACTCAGAGCCTGATTGTCGCGATCATATGACGAGCGACACTGTTCTCCGAGCATCGAGACTGACGACACGTAGAGACTTAAATAGTGTCCATACACACATTGAGAACGTCCTACATGAAAACAGGAGAGTAACAACATCTGGGTACACCTCGCAGCATAGCAGTACACCATCGCTACTCATCACGCCGTGTAAGTCTAATGTCTACGTGTACAAATGAGTGAGAATTGGTGACCCAAATAAACTGTCCAATAATATATGAATTGGGATCCATAGCTTGAGAACAGAGAAAGAACATGAAACGCATAACCATAACGACGTCGAAACTCCTGGGGTCTGCTAGCAGGGGAATATCCAAATCCAATATCAATCCGGTCACTTCCCATCAACACGCCAACACCAACAGCAAGCATTCAAGTAGAGTCACGAAAGTCCTGGTTCTTTTGAATTGGTTTCTTTTATGCCAGTCCAATTCCCTCTGGTCACTCATGTGTCCAGGTTCCTTGACATAGGCTGATCGGGATACCCGGGTCTGATCCGAGGGTACAGGCAAAATGTAGAGAAAAGAAAAGAGAAGAAAAGAAAAGAAGACCACAGGCCATGCAGCCTTGGGGATAGAAGCAGAAAAGTGGAAGGATCCACTACCAGTGATACTGGTAACAAAAGAAAAAAAAAAGAAACGGCCGGCATTTGTAAGAACACTGTTCGAGACGAATGAAAGGAGAGAGAAGTGACAAAAAAGAAACCGTTTGCAAAAGAAAGGACGAAAGTGCACTGAGTCAGCCGTAGGGAACTGGACTTCATACTGATAGTATCAACGTTGCCCGTACAGACGAGACAAAGCAAGGAATTAAGTAACCACATCCACAAGTAATAATAGTAATAATAGAAAGAAAGGAAGAGAAGCCAAGAAAACTCGTAGGTCACAGTGCACTAATCTCGAATACAGACGAGCCCGGTGAGTCCAAGCAGTCCCTGGTATCGGTTTGTTGGGGGAAGGGATGATGCTGGCTTCCAGGACGAGCAATGGAAGGATAGGAGAGGATGCGATGAACAGGGTACACCAACGCCAATCTCGCAATAGCACATGCGCGAATCACACATATCCAGATAATTGGGAGACAAGAAGAAAGCAGAACAGGTCGAGTATCCGCGAAAACGCACTAGAGCAATGATCAAATGTACAAACAAGGGTATATCGGAGGTGAAGCACCTGAAGGACCGTCAAGACTTTTATGCATTCACAGGCCGTCACCGGCACCTGTCTCAACGCCATCCGCCGAGTAGGATATGCTAGGGTCGAATCCGAACCCGGTAGCGTCGGCATCGGTATTGAGGAATGTGTCAAAGTCAAAGTTCTCCAAAATGTTTGGGTCTTCCAGAGTGCTGAAGTCAAGATTGAATGCGGAGGCCTTTTTCGACGGAGTTAGTCAATCACAACGACAATATGAAAAGCAGGGATGGAATGACATACATCGGGAATACTGAGGTCAGTGAAGGATTGCTGCTGGTCAGGAGGCGGCTGAACCATAGTCTGAGGAGCAGGTGCCGCAGTGGGCTGTATTGGCGGAGCTGGCCCGTTCGCCCCATTCGCCCCATTCTTATTGTTGAAGGAGGCAGGATGCTGCGGCGTGACGGGGGTAGATGGTGTCGGGGGCTCAGCAGCTTCTGTCGAGGGTGTGGCACCTGCAGCCGCACTGGCAGCAGCAGCAGCTTGCTTCTTATTGGGCCGCTTCAGGTCAAGTTAGCAAATATGAAGACAATATGGAATATAACTGATTTGAGGGTATACAAACCTTGCGGGTGGTGTCCTTGGTGTCCTTCTTGCCCTTTGGCGCAGCCTTGGTAGCCTGCTGGGGCGTTGGTGGTGCGTTGACAGTCGTCTGAGGTGATGCGGGGGTGGCCACCACGGCCAGGAGCAGTGACGGGTGGAGGGGGCATCGCGCCTCGTTCCTGCGGGGTTCCAGCCTGGGGTTGGTTCGCAGGCGAATGTTGCGGAGGCATCTGCGGCTGTCCTGGCTGCCATTGTGCACCAGGCATACGTTGACCGGCATTGGCCGGAATTGGCTGGCCCATTTGAGCTCCAGTGAAGTTGGGATTAGAGCTGGGAGGTCGCATATTCGGTGCTGAGAAGAACTGAGCTGCCATCTCTGGCGGGATTGGCCCGCCGTTGAGATTCATGGAGCCAGGTGATCCACGCTGGGACATATCACCGGCGCTAGGCGAACCTGGAAGACCAGTCGGGGGCATCTTAGGAGTGCCGCGTTTCATTTGGTCGCTGGGATTGGGAGACGCACCCGCCCTACTGCCTGGCGAGGTGCCTGGTGGCAAAGCACCCTGACCGGGCATCGGGGGTTGGCCATCAGCACGGGCCATGCTATCCTGCTCTTGACGAGCCATCATCAAGCGCCGCTTATTTTGCTGTTCAAGCAGCATAAGCTGCATCTGATAATCTTGGAGAGCATGGTTGCCATTTTGGGCGCCGCCAGGTGTCGGCATACCACCAGGTCGGACCTGGCCAAGTTGGCCATTCGAGCCGTAGAATTCAGGACCACCAGCCATGGGGTACATTGCTTGGCCGTCCTGCATTGGTACCAGATCCGTCTGATTTGCCATGACACTGGCATTCATCATGCCACCATTTGGGATACCCTGGGAATTTGATGCTGAGCGAGAGTGATGAAGGGCCAAGTTTTGAGCATATACCTGCATAGATTTCTGTTGCGCAGCTTGTCCGTGTTGCTGGAAATGCTGGAATTGCGCCGGGTTCATCCCCCTTGGAATACCATTTTGCATCATCATAGCCTGCGGGTTGGGCTGTCCTGGCATTCCTTGCCCCTGTCCACGGCCGTTCGGTGCGAGCTGCTGTCCGTTGACAGCGCCTTCAAGACGTGGGCGTTTCGACGGCGAGGGGGCGTTCTCGGCAGACGCGGGTGATTGTGGTCGATGTCCACCCATCTCGAGATCAGAGTGTTCCCGCTGCATCTGCTGTATCATTTGCAGCTGCTGGGTCTTTTGATACTGCGCCATTTGTTGTTGTTGTTGCGTGCTAGAAACAATCTTATCAGTACAACGTTCACCCCCAATTCCAGACTTCGCATGGGGGAAAGCATATTCAGATAGAGCATACAGTCCAGTCGTATTGTTCTGCAGCACTGTTTTCTGCAGGTTAGGAGGCACCATGCCATTTTGTCTCCGCAGCTGGTTCATCTGGCCGGGCATCATGGGCTGCTGCCGCAGAAATTGGTTGTGCTGCTGTTCTCGCATACGCATGAAATGCTACACGTCAGGATTAGTCCATAGCCCGGGCTCCCAATATAAGTGATCGTTCACACACCTGATTGTGATGAAGATATTGCCTGATATCACTGCTATTTCCCTTCTTGCGTTGAGCCCAGAAGAAGTCCCAGAAGAGACTGAACCAATCGAGAAGGAAGGATGAGGGACTTTCGGTGGGGATATTTGGACGAGGGAGATCATCTGGAATTTTGACCTTTTCGCCGTCCTTTCCGTCCGTCATCATAGCGTCGGGGTCCATGCCATTGACATCGCCATCACGCCGATTTCCGGGACTTGACTTGGGGTTATTGTCGGTGTTGAGCTTGATAGACTCGTCCTGCATGAGTGCGCGGGCGCAATCATGGTACCCACGCTTCAAAAAGTAATCATAGATATAGGTGTTGAGGTTGGTGATCATCATGTCGGGGTTGTTCATAGTGCCGTCGTTACGAGAAGCCGTGGATCCGTTGTTGATCATTGGAACTCCACCCACAGGGCCACCAGCCCCGGGGTTCATCCCGACATTCATCTGGTTCATGGTGGCGAACGGTGGGACTACAACCACCCTTGCCTATGGTATTGCAATGCTCAAATCGAATATACTTAGCTTCCGACGCGCGACCACCGTTTCAGGCTACCAAGCCTAACGCGGGGTGATAGAAGCGACGCGTTGGAATAAATGCGGAGGCAAAGCGGTCACCGCTTTCGAGGGGATATCGAAGGCTCGCGGGCTGAGCAACGCGTAGGTGTAATAGCGCAAACCAGGTGAGTATCTGATCGCAAGATGTGACGAAGGGCGGTGGAAATTTTGAAATCCCCGGTGGCGTCTTCCTCCGGAGAAACCACGCGACGGTATGGAAACGAGAGGAAAGAGGGTCGGAGGCGCAGATGAAGTATGCTCGGTACCTCTGGCGAAATTGGTGAGCGCTTGTCAAATGATTAAACACCTAGTATCGCCAAGTGCAGAGAGTAAGGACGCGGTCTATATAGGATGGGCGATGACGGAGGTACAAAGAGGCGGAAAAAGCGCACAAGTGAGGTGGTTGGTATGGGGGGGGAGGCGGCGCCAGACACCCGATCGGGCAGAATCGCGGACAGGAGAACACTAAGCCCGTATACAAAGAAAAAGAAACCCCAAGGGCAAGAAACAAAAAAAAGACCAGATTCAGAATATGAAAGGGGAATCTAAGAGATGTGGATCTCACAGTGGGAAGGGGAGGACGGATTCAGTGAGAGAGAGCCGGGGGGGGACGTACGGCGACAGGCGCTGCGCTCTGCGGGAGAATCGCTTGTTCGGAGCGGATCAACCTGGACGGAGGTCGGGGCTGGGGATGGCGCTGTCAGGCGTATTTCTGGGAATGCACCGATCTGATAACCATTGAATTTGCGGTCTGCAACAAGAAAGAAAGCAGGTGTCAGGGATGTAGGAAACCCGAGCAGATAACACAATGTGGAAAGAGAGTGGTTTGAACAAAGCGACACAACAAGGAAGATAGAGGAGAAAGTCAGAAGGGTGATATGATACCTGATGGGCCCTGCGATGGATCCCAGCGGGAGTCTAAAAGTAGGGTAAGCCACTATTCTGCGACCACCACGAAGGTTGGATATAACGACGGTCGAACGATTCAAAAAATCGAACAGATCGATAGAAAGATCAATTGCAAGGGAAAATCCTGCCTAGGAAGAGGTTGAGGAAAGATGGGAAGAAGGAAATTCGATCTGTAAAGAGTTGAGGGGCGGCGGAGATAGTGGTACAGAACCGGTATGACCAGGTGTTTGTAATATACAGTACTTGACGAATACATGGGTGCGAAGGTCCCGCTAACCGCTGTTTGGGTGTGCCGGGGGTCTGTAGATACTTGACCAAACTGCAGAATTACGTGACGGTACGGGTTTCATTCTGACCGTACGGTTCAAGCTCCTGGGGGCAGATTCGCCGATGATCTGCACGTATAAAAAAAAAAGGGAGATCATGAGATTTCGATGGACTGATCGCAACTCGACCACCAACTTTGCGCTGGTTTCAACTCCTCTGCATCGGAAGTCAAAGCAATTCCCCATGATGAATTGACCGCGATGCCCGTAATAAATCGCGTGGAGGTTTAGGGCAAGATACATCATAAAGCCTAATCGGGAGGAGAGAAGACAGATATACTCCGTCTCCATACGGAGTACGGAGTACGGAATACAGATAAAGTAATTATCGGAAACAGTGACGATCGAGGGAAACCTTCCATTCCCTGTAAACATGGCCAATGAGAACCCCCAGAACGCCCACTCTGTAAGTAGTGTAAATGCACAAATTCCCGCAATCTCGTTACTCTTCCTCCGGTGGCATCTCATCTTCGATGTATCGTACAAGTGAGACCCGCATCTCCGTGGTATCATCTCCGCGCAACACATCACTAACGAAGTGTGCCTCGATCTGCATTTGAACCTGGAATGGAGGTCAGTGATCGTACCCAAAGCAAAGGGAACTCAATCCAATCGACTGGAATGCTTCTAGCTTACCATCTCCAGGGACCCTCGAAGGACGCCACAAAGAATATTAGAGAACCATAGCTCATCCTGGGCCCGCCCATCGTCGGGAAGCTCCACAAAGTCTGCCAGGGGGTTGTCTTCAAAGATAAGGGAGAACTGGGTGTTGTCGCTCGTCCAATTTGTGACGGTGGGGGTGACGTTCAGGAAGATCTTAAAGCCAACCTAATCGCGATGTCAGCTACCACGGCCCTTCAATTTCCATTTGTTGCGATGATCTCCACCTTCGCGATCATATCAGCTGTTTCCCGAAAGTTGGCGCATCGGCCGACACCTGACTTGGCCAGGAAGTCTTCAATGAGTCGCATTCCGATATTGTATCCCATCTTGTCCAACTGCTTGTTGACTTCTTGGTAATTGCTATCATAGTCCTGGCATAATTGCGCAACAATCGTTCCATATGTTAATGTGACCAGCTCCGCATTGACTTTATCAACTCTTGTCCTGCGCACATGGATAAGGCTGGTTAGTTCGGGCTCGAGGATGGCAACACAGCGGGGTCAATTGGCCATTGCTTCAGAGTCCTGATAGAAGATGTCTGGGGTCTACTGACTTCCATATTCTGTGAAAAAAGCCATCGATTAGCAGAAGGTCCCTTGGATAAGACAGCTGGATCGGGTCCACTTACTCCTCCCCTATCCTTGAGGCTTTCGTCGACGACATCTTCAGACTTAAGCTTTGATGGCTTAAGTTGATGGTTTAAAAAATCAGTAATTATCTTCCAGACAAGCACGAGTAAATATGCCTGTTCAGGTTGATTAGGGAGATTGTGGGGGAGTCCGTGATTGTTGGAGTTGCTGATTGTACACAAGCCCTACTACAGAGGACGAAATCGACCATATGGAACTTTTTTCTGATTGGCTCATTTCCTCTACCGCCTTTATCTCCGCCTTCTAGACACCTTTGGAATGAATATAGATCTATGGATCTATGAATCTATGAACACCATATCTAGTAAAATCAAATATAAAAGTGTAAACATAGTATGGGGAGATGTGAACATATGAATATCTGTTTATCAGCTTCAGATCTTTTATAACGTCCTGTCTTTTTTTTCTCTTTTATCTTTCTATGTATCCCAGGTAAGAAAATAAAGACGTTCCTTGGACTCTCACTAGGTAAGGAACCGGCTATCAAATTACTTCCTCTATGTATTCAAGAAAGAACACATGAATGTAGCATAATATACATCTTCCCGAGGTGCTTAGAGCTCAAAACTCGATGGATGCAGTACCTCCCTCTGCAGTCAGTGGGGTGAATGGCTCGTTTTCTGCCATGCAATATCAGCGGGCACATTCCTCTGTGGTCGCTCTCGTTGCCCGTATTGAGTCCACTCACCGCCGACGGTGTCTAGGTGGGATTATCGTTCTTCCCGCAGCTGCTCGCCTTGAACTTTTGCTCTCCGCTGCTCTTAGTCGCGATTGGTCACCAACCAATTCTCTTACCACTTAATATCCTCGGAGCCGCCTGTTGTGACAATGTCTGGTGAAAAGCGTCCTGCTCCAGAGGCCTTCGGGACTTCTCAACAACTCGTGGTGAAGCGCAACAAGGCCGTCGAAAACGCGGGAACCGAGCTTGTGAAGGGTTCCTCTCAGAATGGAGCTCTTATTCAATCGGTATGCGCTAAATTTGCCTTTGAAGCTCAAGATGATCTGAAAGCCTACACATCGCTAACATGGGTCTCTAGGTCCCTCGCACAAGTGGTCTAGATGCTCCTATCATGGAGCTCACAGGTGAGATACTGTCTCGAATATGTCGGTATACACGCGCTAATAGAGCAATGTATTAGGGCACTCCGGTGAAATCTTCGCGGTTCGATTCGACCCTACCGCGCAACACATCGCATCTGGATCAATGGACCGTTCCATCTGTACGTCTTGTTTCTAGACAGGAATGCGACTGCTGAATAGTTCACTGATCTCATTTACTCGATTAGTGCTTTGGAATACATACGGACAATGCGAAAACTATGGTCAGTTGACAGGCCACCGAGGAGCGGTGTTGGATCTTCAATGGTCACGCGATTCGCGGGCACTGTTCTCGGCATCCGCAGACATGACCCTTGGAAGTTGGGATGTCCAGACGGGAGAGCGAGTACGCCGTCATGTGGGCCATGAGGAGATTATCAATTGCCTTGATATTAGCAAAAGAGGACAGGAGCTTCTAGTCAGCGGCAGTGATGACGGCTGCATTGGTATCTGGGACCCTCGGCAGAAGGATGCTCTGGATTATCTTCAAACCGAACTCCCTATCACCGCAGTGGCATTGTCCGAAGCCGGCAACGAGATTTACAGCGGAGGTATTGATAACACAATCCATGCTTGGGATATCCGGAAAAAAGCCATTGTCTATTCCATGGCCGGACATACAGATACCATCACATCGCTACAAATTTCCCCAGACTCACAGACTTTGTTGTCAAACTCCCACGATTCTACCGTTCGCACATGGGACATCCGCCCCTTCGCACCTACCAACCGACACGTGAAGACCTACGACGGCGCTCCTGTCGGGCTAGAGAAGAACCTGATCCGTGCCAGCTGGGATCCCAAGGGTGAGAAGATTGCCGCAGGTAGCGGTGATCAGACTGTGGTCGTTTGGGAGGCCAAGACAGGGAAGTTACTGTACAAACTTCCGGGTCACAAGGGTACTGTCAATGACGTGCGCTTTTCCCCCAACGATGAACCGATCAGTGAGTATCTCTTTTTCTCTGAACGCAAACCTATGGTGTCTAACAGCTTCACAGTCGTTTCTTGTTCGTCTGATCGAAACCTGATGCTTGGAGAGCTGGGTAAATAAGCATAAGTGATTTTAATGTTTTAATGAAGATAAGCGGGCGTTAAATTCATTTTTTCAAACACCTTGACATATATGCCATGTGCATCCTTCCCCGACCTGAATGCGGCTTCGAACTTCTGTTAGCAAGCCAGAACAACCTCCTATCCCGACTTTACCTACAGGATGTCTGGCTGCAAAGATGGTGGCTTGTGTCTGGCCCTCCAAAGCCAGATCTATGAAGTGTACACAAAGAATTTAAATATCGACAGCAATTTTGTCGTCGAATACTCCTATTAGTTTTCTTTCCTGAAAAGAGCATCCATGAATCTATTTGTATCTTCTAGATTCAACAAAATAGATGACAGGTTATAGCATCATCATCTCGGGGCTTATATCCGTGGTTCCCAGGAAATTTCCACTCGCAACGTCTGATCACAACTTGCCCTTGATTTCAGCTTTGTCTAAGAAAAGGGTCCATTTAGATCTTAGTCCATGACCTACAGACTCAACTGCCTACTCTTTATACATGCGTGTGCTCTTCTCGGGTGTCTCAAGTATACCTTGATGTTCAGTTGATACTCGACAAGTGAATGGGATATACAAAGCTTGAAATCATTCTTCATTCAGCCCGTCTAGCAATGGATGGATGGCTGTTTTAATTCCAGGGTAAACATACACATGTAGTTGAGCAGACATCCAAATGTCACTGTGGTTGATGTCTCATAGACCTGCGAGGCAGGCGCTACTCTCCCGAGTTGTTCTGTTTATCACCTCTGCTGCGTTTCTTCCCAAATCTTCAAGGCTTGCAACATGTCTACCTCACGAGCACTCGCTCTTGGCGTCTCCTATTATTCTCGAGTCGAATTTGTGGACGAAAAAACAGCCATCTATCGTGTCGTTCATATCACCCCCAATGTCCAGCCTGAAGCAGAGAAGTGGTCTTATCGTAGCAATCAATGTTTCATGTATCTCATGTTCATTTTCACTTTCGGTGAGTCTTACATTGGACTATGCGACTCGTGCAAGCTGCTCAGAAGACGTCTTTTCTAACCTCTGCTGTATATCGCATAGACGGGCATCTCGACATGCCGGCTATGTTCCATCTTCTGGTGCTGGTTATCCAGATGAACCTACTGCCCATGTTGATTTACTGCCTCGGGCGATCGGTTTCAGCCCACTGGCATGGTCTTGGGGGCGAACAAGGCCGGGGTTATGATATCGTATGTGGGCCACCCATCAGTGTCGCCCTTCCACCTCTCCGCGACGATTCCGTGTCCAACAATGCTACCTCGGATGGTGCCAACGTTACTACAGGGGAAGGAAAGGCCTGCTAGATGGGTCTGTAGTGGTGAGTTTCAATGCTTTGATGTTTCCAATGCATCTTCTCTTGCTGACGTACGGTACCTAACATATAGAATGACTACATACGCATTTCCAGAACTCCCTGTTTTCTTTTTTTCTTTTCCCGTTTGCGTCCATTTCTACGACCCGCGCAAGTCGAGCTGATGATCCACAGCAAGTGCTGATGTTTTACTTCGGGAATAAAACATCGGCTAGTACGGCTACACCTTTTACTCCAATATGAGACTCACTGGGTCAAATTGTGAAGAATTACCTGTCTAGACATCGATATCATTGAAAGTATGATTAGGACTATGCCACCTTTTTCCAACGCTCCAAGTGCTACATTAGACACACTGACACCTTGCGATATTAGGTATAACAGCGCATGGCCTCTTAGATGGCTTCTCGCTACCATTTTTACTGATGAATTTTGCAAGGCTTAGGTACTTCCGGTGGAAGCCAGGCATTGCGAAGATCTTCGTACACAGAATGTTCGAGATTATCACGCTTTGCCTGATATGTAAGAGTTCCCCCAAAGTTGTATATAACAGTCGTATCCCAGGGGACTCACGGGAGGCCATACTTTGGGACCCAGATCTTTGCAAACCACAGGGGGTTCTTTTGTTCAATACATAGATAGTATATAGTTCGGAATTCCTTTCTTTTTTTTATATATATTAAATATTCAAACCAGCATTAACATAGCATAGTCGAGTATAGTCGGGAATGATGCAATCGGCAAAAAAAAAAAAGCTAGCCCCAGTGGCTTATCTGGCCGAATCCAACCTCCACCCATTCCACCCGAAGCCTTGGGTGGCCGAGTTCTTGTTTATACAGCCTTGTTCTATAGAGGTCCTGAACGAAAAAAAAAAAAGGCCATCTGGCGCCCATCCATGACCCCTGCGGCGCTCAGATCTGCTGCGCGAACACGCGACGGAGCTGAGAGATGTACAACCTCCGCGCCGCCTGGATGATGGTGGTCTGGGCCTTCCTGTTGTCGCTATGGCTCACTGTCGCACATGGCATGCGAGATAGCCAAGTTAAGGAATTAAGGTAAGCTGGTTTCCAGTATCTGCGAGGGTATTCAAATCAACTAATCCCTGTGCGCCTGCAGACAAGAAACCGAGCGCATGTTCTTCCATGGCTTCGACAATTACCTCCAATACGCGTTCCCCGAAGACGAATTGCGCGCCCTGACCTGCGGCCCTCTTGTTCGCGACGAGAAGAATCCGGAAAATAACGATGTGCTCGGGAACTATTCCCTGACCTTGATTGACAGCTTGTCAAGCTTGGCGATCTTGTCCTCGAGTCCGGACAGTGGGGAGAGAGCTTTGGCGCATTTCCAAAATGGCGTGGAGGATTTTGTTAGATTATACGGTGATGGTTCAGATGGCCCTGCTGGTCAGGGCGAGAGGTCGAGGGGATTTGATCTGGATAGCAAGGTACAATTATTTGAAACCGTGATTCGGGGACTAGGTATGCTCTTTTCCTGCTCTTGGCTCATCGAGTGTCACATGTGCTCGGCTTTTGCCTGTTCATACTCGGTTGCTGACTTGTGTTAGGTGGACTACTCAGCGCCCATCTTTTCGCCGTCGGCGAGCTACCCATAACGGGATACGAGCCGTCAGAACGGGAAGCCGCGTTCGCAAGCGCATGGGATAAAAGTGAGTTTGAAAAAAGTGAACACGGCATTCCATGGAACAAGGGCTTTGTCTATGATGGCCAACTACTTCGACTTGCTGTGGATCTGGCCCACCGTTTGCTCCCGGCATTCTATACTGAGACCGGTCTTCCCTACCCTCGGGTCAACCTCCGTCACGGGATCCCGTTCTACGAGAATGCGCCTCTTAATCTCAACTCGACAGATGCCGAGCGAAAGCGCAAATCTAAAAACACGGCATCGTTTGAGCCTGCTGAGACTTGTAGTGCCGGTGCGGGCAGTCTAGTCCTCGAACTGACTGTCCTGAGTCGACTCACCGGTGATGGGCGATATGAAGACCTGGGTAAACGCGCATTTTGGGCAGTTTGGAACCGACGCAGTGATATCGGACTCCTTGGATTTGGTATTGATGTGGAGTCGGGGAAATGGGTTGGACCATGGGCCGGAGTAAGCCGAAATCCCACCTTGAATAAGTACAAACATAGACTAATTGTGCCTAGATCGGTGCGGGTATCGACAGCTTCTATGAATATGCTGTCAAAGCTCATGTCCTTTTGTCTGAAGGAGAGCGTCTGCCCTTTGACCCAGAAAGCCCCTGGGCAGCCTTGGACTCGTACTATGCCCCCCTGGCGGACTATCAGCATACCCCAGAGGCCTTCCGGCAAGTCTGGGAAGAATCGCACGCTGCGATCAATCGCCACTTATTCCGAGGTGAAGGATATCAACATCCCCATTTGGTTGTAGGGGATGTACTCACCGGTGCCACGCGAGCTTTTTGGATCGATAGTCTGAGCGCCTTCTATCCCGGAGTCCTCGCCCTGGATGGAAAGGTAGATGAAGCTATCCAGATTCATTTGCTGACTACCGCCATCTGGACACGCTACTCGGGTATTCCTGAGCGATGGAACGTGGCCACTGGTGATATTGACAACGGAATGCCGTGGTATGGAGGCCGACCCGAGTTCATCGAATCGAATTACTACATTTATCGGGCAACTCAAGATCCCTGGTATCTACACGTTGGAGAGATGGTTCTCAGCGATCTCAAGCGGCGCTGCTGGACCAAGTGCGGCTGGGCTGGCATTCGAGATGTTCTGACTGGCGAGCTCATCGATCGGATGGAGAGCTTCTTCATCGGCGAGACAGCTAAATATCTTTATCTGCTGTTCGATCAGGATCATCCGCTGAACAAGATCGATGCACCCTGGGTTTTCAACACCGAAGGTCATCCTCTCATAATCCCGAGAAAGATACCATCTCCTCGTCGGCAGCAATCGCCACCCCAGGACCAGAACGTCGGCGGAGTATGTCAAATTACTCCTTCCACGTTCTTTGGCGTATCTTCCACTGCATCCCGTTCAGACATTTTCCACGCTGCCACCTTGGCTCGCTTGGAACTAATGCCTGACCGAGGAATGGCCGAGGGCCCCATTTTGGAGGGCTCTTCTGGACATCAAAGTGTGTTTGTGTCCGATCTCTCATCACCAACCAACTACACATTCTACCCGTGGACGTTGCCTCCCCAGCTCGTCCCATTCAATGCGACCAGCGCACCTATGGCTGTTCGTCCCACGCTCGATATCTCATTCCCAGCACTTCCAGGCGGTGTAAACCTCGGACCGGGAGCACTAGAACGTGTCCGAGACGGAGTTCTTGTGAAAACGATTGGAGGGCTTCGATTGAGTATGGTTCAAGATGTACGTCTGGAAGACCCGACACCCATGGCTGGGGAGGAGGACGGGTACCGGGTGCAAGTGATCAACAATGTGCCTCTGGGCAAAGATGAGAAGGTATATCTCTCTCGCCAGATCACCTTTGATGTCGTCGACCCTTATGATCCGCACTTCACCCGGGTCCGCGACAATGCCATGCTTGACCTTGTCATTGACGTTCTCCCAGAGCCCTCTCACCGACGTAATGATTCGGCTCATCCACGAGATGAACAACCTCAAGCAGAGAATCCACACCCGCCACAGTCCCATCTCGGAGGCCACAACCCCGCCTCCTCTGTCGAAGATGCCGCAGTTGTTGACGCCCCGGACTCAACTGTAAAAGCCATGCTGTCGTCTCTGATGAACTCGGTGTCTTCGTTACTTCGCGATGAGCCGGCTGAACCCGCGCCTCTCAGACTGAGTCTGCCCGCTGCTATCTCCACGGGTATCGGTGCCAGCCCGCTACCGGATATTGAGGAAGCAGTCATTACCTCCTTATTTGGTAACCCATCCACAACCCGTCTGTCATGGTCAACTATATACTTCGCCGATGAGCTCTGTAACGAGAAAATCCTTCGTGAAGTTGCACATAGCCACGAGGTTCTCGTCATCAAACGCGGTGGCTGCACTTTCTCCGAGAAGCTCCGCAATATCCCTGCCTACCGACCAACGAGATCTGCGCTGAAGCTCATCATTGTCGTCTCATACGACGACATGCCATCACCAGGCTTCGATAACCAAAAGAAAGAACAAATGAGTCATTCCGGGTCTCGATCTACTGCCATCGCCGCTGTCCGCGCCGAGTCCACTCTTATCCGCCCACATCTCGACGAAGCCCAAATGACAGCCAGCGGCATCCCACGGAATTACCTCATCAGCATGGTCATGGTCGGCGGCGGAGACGAGACATACGAGCTCCTACGGCATGCAAGCGGCCTCGGAGTCCAGAGACGATACAGCATGCGCTCTCGTGGCGTCCCCATCACGAATCTACATATTGTTTGAATTTCAACAAATATACTATACCCTTTTGAAAAAACCCTTGGATCATTTGTGGCGGATTTGTTTCGTTTTGTTATGTGTGTATATAGTACATAGGTTTGGACTTGAATATAGCCAAACCCCAGTTTACAGAGAGGCGGTTTCGTTTCATCATATCCATACCTCCTTTTCCTAATGGTGCCCTACCTCTTAAATATCACGGGTATGCTATACACATTGGCCCTACTTATGCTTAGTAGGATTTGCCCTTCTGTAACCGCGGCGAGGGGGCTTTAATGTTACTTCGGACTTAAAGAGTTACTCTCCATCTCAGGCTTATTTTTACAAAAAGCAAAATTGCCAACGGCACGCTGGCCTTATCAGACTGCTGCATATAAATCGAGACTTTTCTGGCTCAAATTGCTACTCGCACATCCTCGGCCCCCAACACTCAACACTTGCCCATTTGTGGATGTCTGACATCTGGATAATGGTGTGTACAATACTTTCCCGTTTCAGATAAAGAGAATGGGTTGAAGGTACGGCAGTAGGAGGATGAGAAGATAGATTTAAGATCAAATCTGACGCAAAGCTACAAAAAGAGAGTAAGGACATATACCTAGAGTTGGAGGTGAAAGTTAGCAATGACTACATAGAGGGTTTATGTAGAGATCCGGTAATAGCAACTATCTTATTCTCTCGCCATCTTAAGACTAACTCTATTCCCTCTATATCTATTCAGTCTCTATTTTAGGAATAAGGATATCACTGATACGAGTTTCGAATATACTTTGGCTTTTCATTCCGTAGCTAGAAAACAGTAAGAATGACATGATCACAAATTTCAAGGTATACCTTGAAATAGCTCCTTCGCTAAGCTCTGATACCTGCTAGCCTCGTAGTCTAGGTGAATGATAATCACTGCGATTACTCTTCCACCCTCGCTTATTCCAATCTTGATATCCTAGCTCCCTCACTGTGACAACTTTCAGAAGATTGGGTTCTGTGACCTTTGCAGTGGCCTTTCCGTGCCATGCAGAGTAATCCGAGCCAGCACACAGAAAGAACTCCTTCAGCCATCTATTAGGCTCTTTGTGTGGGCAGATTGAGCTCTGCCTCCCCAATAGATTTTGCGAGAAGTTGAAAGTGTAGCAGTTCCGCACATATAGCGACTTTTTAGCTCGGCTCAGAGAAAGGGTGGGTCTCCCCATATACAAGTCCGTAATAATTTTGACTTCTGCGCAGGGATGGCTGGATACTTCGCATTCATGTGATAATATATCGTCGTAGGTCAATGCATGAGAGAAGTTGCCATCGAAGAATCGGCCCTCGGCGTTGTAGGTGCTGGTTGTGATTCTAGATATCACAAGTTGTCGCTCATTGAATGCGATGCTCAGACAAGGGCATATGTCGACCATACCGGCAAAAGGCATACATTGACGTCGGTAGAGAACACTACACCCGTAGCAGTGGCATTTCGTGTTGAATTGTTTGGGAGGTTTCCATGCTGAGCGTGGATGTAGAACCATACACTCCACGCAGTACTTCCAACGTGTGTTTTCAAGTCGGCGTAGGAGCTGGATTCGAGGATATTCGTTGAGTTCGGTATTGCGGTATAAGGGGACCCGCTGTTTTCTTGGGCATAAGAGTTTCAGTGGAGTCTCATCATTGCTTTTAATGAATGAAACAAAATGGGCATAAAGTTGTTTGCAGCTAAATGCCAGGCAGATCTGATCTATCATGGGGAGTTCGTCTTGTATTATGTCCAATATCTCCGCAGGGACTTGGCCACAAAGCTTGGATCTCTTCAAGACTTGAGGAGTGTCTTTGGAATGTGATTGCTTTCTGTGCATTGCCGATCGAAGTCTTTCGAGTGAAGTGGGCTTCATGTTGAGGATTTGAGATTGATATACCGATTGTCTTGGTGGGAAATATCGAGGATGGGAAGAGTGTAGATACTATTCTAAGTGTAATTCATTTGGCTCTGAATTGCGAGTTAGCTCTGACTCACCTTCTAATGACATTACTCGATCATCATAACTCCGACTTCGTCTTGAAGAAGGCGCGGAGCATCTATATATTGCCTCATTGGGCATAGTATACTAATGGATCCACGGGGCTGCTCAATACATACATGTACATGCATGTGTCTGTCCATTTGTAGGGAAATGGATGTATTTATATGTACCTGGTTAGACTCCTCTGGAACCACCACTCCGTCACGAAAATGGACCTCGCTCTTTTTCTCGGCAATTCTGCTTCTGTTCTAACCGATACATATTTTAGGAAACTTGCTCTCAAGGGGCATTTTTCGATGCTCGAACCTTCTGCTCTCGCGGGTTGAGCCCCTCCTTTCCTTACCATGACATTCACCCAGGGAATCCAAGATGTTTCACGCGCAGGAAGTGGAGGTGGCTGTGCTATTTATTAGGAGCGATTTAAAGAAAGTCCTACGGAGTACAGCAGGCAGACTAACCAAAGCCAGCAGATATGTACGGAGTACGGAGTATGTTAGCAGATATGTTGGGATTGTACCATACGAGCCACCCCTTTCAGCAAAGCAGCAAATCAGCAAACGAGAATCAAATACCAAAAGGATTAAGATACAAATACTCCGTACAACTCCAACATTAGTGCAGCTACACGTATTAAATGCTAGTTGGCAGCCCTGGAGATAGTAAGCCGCCACAAATTCCCGGGCGTTTGCCCTGATCACGGCCCAGGTCATGCATGAGTGAGCAACTCAATATAGAAAGACCGCGAATCGCTTCATGCAAGCCCCATGCAAGTTCGGCTTTGACATGGATCGAGAGCCAATAGAACTTGTCTGTAGCTTTCGTATTGCAGAACAGGTATAGTCGTGGCCTCGAGAGAAACTAATTTATTTCCCAACGAAGGCTAAAGCATCGGCTGAAAATACCCATAAAGGGACGTGGGGCTCAAAATGCTTAGAAACTCTTAAGATCGATCATATATCCACTCGAAAGGTCAAATCCGCCAGCTATTTTCTCTACTTCATTTAACTCATTCCCCTAGTATTTGTTTCTGCACAAGATGAACACCTCTCGAAACACGCCCAGCCTTCTGGATTTAGCTAAAGCAACGAACGAAGTCCTCTCTGTTGATTCAGATTCGGCTTCTGATGCAGATTCAGACCTCGATTTTGGTGCTATGGATTCTTTGGACCTAAGTGACAATGAAGATCTTATGGTGATCGCGATTGATTTCGGGACTACGTACGTCTACCATCTAAGTTCGTCTTCCTCACAACGCTCACTATCTTAGATATTCGGGTGTTGCTTGGGCAACATTGTACGATTTCAAACGCAAGAACATCAACCTGATCACCGAGTGGCCAGAATGCCCTCAGGAAGAAGGCAAAGTTCCGACGGAGTTGTTCTACGAATACGGCGATAAACACTGGGGATATGGAATCCCCGGAGATGCAGACCCAATCGGCTGGTTTAAATTACTTCTTTTGAAAGACGAAGATGTCCCAGAGCATATTCGCTCCTCTGACTTCTTTCTTCGCGCGAAGAGAAAAGTTCGAGACGAGGGCCTAACTGCCCAGGATATGGTGGCGGACTATCTGAAGCTTCTGTGGGATCATGCTCTTGAAATGATTTTGAAGTCTCGAGGAGAACATGTTGTCAATAATTTCAGATTTCATATCGTCATCACTGTCCCGGCGATATGGAAAGGATACGCACGACAGAGCATGCAGGAGGCTGCTGAGAAGGCCGGTCTCTTGGTTGAACGGGATGCAGGCAAAACCCGGCTGACGTTCGTGCCTGAACCTGAAGCTGCTGCGTTGGCTACTCTTGCTGAGGAGGAAAATGATGCTAAGCCTGGGGATGTCTACCTGATTTGTGATGCTGGTGGCGGAACAGTAGTAAGTGGAATGATTCCTTACTAGACGGACTCGAAAATGCAAAGGCTAATGGCTGGCACAGGACTTGATCAGTTATAAGATATCGGAGATAAACCCAATCACGCTGGACGAGGCTGTCGAGGGAACGGGTGAGTCGGCCCCTACCTAGGTGTCTTTGATGTCTCCGAAAGCAAAAGAAAAAGACGGGCTCTGACAAGAAAATCCACTAATTCAGGCGGCCTATGCGGCGGGATCTTTATTGACAACGGGTTTGAGCGAATCGTAAAGGCAAGACTAGGACGACGCTGGGAGCAAATCAGCCAAAATGGTATCAAGGAGATTCTGAGAGGCGAATGGGAACGGGGTATCAAACGTGCATACAAGCCCCAAAATGCTGAGAAAGAGTACGCCATCAGCATCCCTGCAGAAGCATTTGCACAGACCGGTCTTGATGACACGTCTCGCGAACCGCATATCAAGAAAGGCCGCATCCATTTCAAGGGGTAAGAGAGCCCTCCTCTGGCGCTGGGTGGCTCGTACTGAATTATTCCTATCAGATTCCATCTCCAGGAAGCGTTTGCTGAAGCCTTTGCTGGTATTGATAAACTGGTCGATGAACAACTCACGAAAGCCAAGAGCAAAGACTTGAAAATCAAGGTAGGCTGGAATATGAGTCTTGACACCGCAGTCTAAACATATCAGAGCTAATTCAGATTTCTCCAGAGTATCGTCCTCGTTGGTGGCCTAGGGTCAAGCCCATACCTCTACCAGCACATGAAAGACCGCCATGCAGCAGCAGGAGTCACCGTTCTTCAAGCCGGAGGCATGAAGCCGTAAGTTTGAAGGAATTATACATGTTTCTACTGATGGCAATCTAATGGCATTGTTATCTCTCTAGGCGTACAGCAATATGCCGTGGCGCAATATATAGAGGCTTCCTTGATGCCGAGAGTCTCAGCAACGAGGGCAACGATGGCAACGAACAAGGGATGAAGGGCCTCAATGTCAAGTCACCTATCAGTGTTGCTTCCACCATCTCCCGCATGAGCCTGGGAACTACATCATATCATAAGTACGATCCGTTGAAACATAGTACAGATGAACTGGAATGGCTTTCCGACGAAGGCGAGTACGTCGCTACCAAGCAGATGGAATGGTATCTTAAAAAGGCAAGTCTCTCTCCCCTTCGACTATGCATATCTTGTCCACTGACAAATTGACTGACATGATACAGGGAGATAACGTGTCCAAAGCCCAGCCGGTCCGTCACTCTTTCTATCGTCTATTGAGGAAGGATTTGAAAGATGGCTTTTCCGATGAGCTCTACCATTGTCCCAGCAGCGATCCGCCCCGTCGGCTGGATGAGACCGTACAGGAATTGTGTTCAGTCAAGTGCACCTGCAAAATCCCGCTTGACAGTCCCCTTCTCAAGGATCATACCAGTGCGGATAAGAGAAAGACTACGAAGAAGCTGGATTATGTTTTGGAGATGGTTCCTTCGGGGGCGGCCATGGAATTCAACTTCTACATCGCTGACCAGAAGCAGGGATCCCAGAATGTCGACATTGAATATCAGTAGATAGATGGCGAGGCTGATAAGTCTTCTTCCAAAGGTAGTCTTGAATACTATATTCCGTATGTGTATATGCGTGTTGTTGTATTAATCGCTAAATTGAAGCCTAGAGACCAATAGGAAGTGGTATAATGGTTTAACTTCTTTATTTCAATTTGAACTAGAGTGATATTCATGGCCTATGCGCCAGGATACGAGTCATAAGTTTTCTCGCCTCCAAAGTCCTCTAATTGATGAATTGCGGCTCAAGTCAATAAGCACTAAGGAATACGAAGAGGGGGAAGGGGGCGAGGCTGGAGAGAATACGAATGCATGCTCAATCAAAGTTGTCTAATTGCCGCCCTGACAGTCAGACTAGCTGATCTTCATTGCTGCAATTGTCCCTTTGCGTGCAGTGGCTAACTTCAGGTGCTAGTGATATTTTTGAAGCCATCGCCTGCACACCTGGACAAGATGAAGACTTGGGTTCACCCGGGTGAGTTCTTTATTTTTTTTAAAAAAAAAAAAAAACAGGATTTAGGATATCTGCGCAAATACGCCACCAAGTATCTGTAGAAGATCCCGGGTTTGTTAAATTACGAGTTTTTACCAAAAGAGATTTATGGGGGATTCCATATTGCGGCTCATGCTGCTCGTCTATGCTCAAATAGTGTGTATCGTAGATGCTCATTATGATATCAATCATGCTTCAGTGCTCTAGTTTCGATTTCCCCTAGCTATAATCGTAAAGTAACAAGCTGCCCAATAGCTTAATATCTCTGTGCAACCAATTTGACCAACGGGGGTAATATCTCAATTTCCTCGACATCAAAACTGTCTCCCGACGATTTTCCACGTCTCATAAGCCCCGGCGCCACGATCAGCCGGAAGGCCTTGTCGTTACGCGGATGACCTTTCTCGGAATGGGCCTCTGTCTTGTGTTTGCGCTTGCTATCGGACCAGGTGATAGACGCCAGCTGTGTATCAATCATCTCACTCAAGACCAAAGTCTGGTCGAAGATCTCAACAAGCAGTTCCTCGAAGACTCCTTGGTGTAGCGGCTGGAGAAGATCACTGAGATCATTGGCAGTCAACTTGGCTTGCTCTTGGCAAAGCTTGCTAGCATCCCTCATAACCTGTTCCTGGTCCAGGGCCAGGCATTCCATCATTATATTAGTAGTAGTCGCCCTCCACGTGTGAAACTTGCGCTTTGCATCGGGAACAATTTCTGATTCGGGTGTCTGGAAAGGCGCTACAGTCAGTGTTAGTTATCGACTCTACCTAGTAACCTTTGAGGAGATCTGAGAAGTCCCACCTAAAAAGATGCTCATGGCATTCATCGCTTCAGCGGGCAACTGGGGTACCCATCGGAATCGACTAAAAACATCGGCACGGAGAGTCTCCCATAGAAACGCCTGCACTATCTCCGGGCGTATCGATGAGGATTGGAGACATTCTCCCAAGATAGATTCGGGCAATCGCAATCGCTGTTTGAAGAGAGCATAGGTCGAGTCCGAGATATCCAACTCATCGGCTGTTGCCAGGTGACATAACGTAATGTTCCGAATATCGCCTCGCAGCTGCTCGGCTTTATTATGGAACTCACTGTCATCCATCTTGCTAAAGCCCTGTGTGCTGCTAATGAATCGATTCAGCTCACGGGTGGTTTCTCTGAGCTGCTTTTTTCGGTCCCCTGCCATTCGCTTCCATCTCTCCTTATCATTTTCCATCTGCTTAAGTTCGACCTTTCCGTCGTCCAGGCTTTGCCTCAGAACTCCCTGTTCCTTCCTGGTCTGCTCATGAAGACTTCTCTCAGCCGCGAGATCGCCCTCTGTCTTTTCCAATCTTGCCCTGAGCTCGATATTCGCGTGTTCCAGGGCACTCAAAGACTCGGAATTTGGTGGGGTAGACGGGGAGCGTGTCTCGTAAGGTCTACCATCCGGCCTACGACACCCGCGCGAGCTCACAGAGATGGACATGTGTGACGAAGGTCGATGTGAGCTGTGTGCCCGGCGGCGATTTTCATGATCTCCTCTGCGCGGAGCACGCTCAGAGTCGCTGTGCATGGGCGCTATCTCGGAGTCACTATACTCGTCATCCCTAGAGCTGATCAAAGAAACCCCGTACTGATACAGCTTTTCCATGCTCGAATCCCAGTGAAATGTTGGAAATTGGAGGGGCTTGGGCTATTGGATCAAATTGAGGACTTTGCGATCAATAAATAATAGAAAATGGTAGGAAGGAGGGTCGGAAGACTGTAGGGGCTTACGGTCCTTGTACTCCGAAGTGAATCAAGTAATGCGGAGATGGTCGCTGGGTAAACGGGTGAATAAACACGAGACTAGTGCAATACAAGGATACAGATTCGAGACAGAGGCTTACCCCTCTGTGATAACAGTGAGGCTGCAGAGAGCGAGGCTTGCACAATTTCCTCTTCTTCCAATAAAAGAACACAGTTGGCGAGTCCAATCTAGACTATCCTGTGGCTTTCCTGCAGTCAGCTTGATTGGCGCCGTTATCCAGCTGACCAGGCGCATAATAAGCCTTTAAATAGATGTGTGTAGACAGTTCAGTGCTTTATATCACCATTTTAAGCCTCTCTAGTGTATTTAATTGACCGCGTCTATGTCAGGTATCCCACGGTTTTTATTGCTACTTACTACCCCCAAGAGTCCCCCTGTGTATACTTAGCACACTCATTCCTGGCGCTGTCTGTCATTCTCACTCTCGATCATAACTTGTAATTTATTGATCCTGAGAGCAACCATGTCAGTCTTCGGTTCTCGGCGCGTGATAGACGACGGCTTCGACTTCCAAGACTTTTTTCAGGCCTTGAAAAACACAAGGCAGGGTGGCTTTGACGACTTTGATGATCGTTTAGTTATTGGCATTGACTTTGGAACTACGTCGGTTTTTCTGGAAGGAGTTTGGCTTGGAGTATCTTGCTAATGGGCCTGTAGATTTTCCGGTGTTTCTTGGGCCACCATAGACGACTTTGAGAGAAACAAGATCCAGACCATCTCCAGCTGGCCAGGAGCTTCCAACCAAGAGAGTAAGGCCCCTACAAGGCTGTTCTACGAAGATGGCAAGATGTTCTGGGGATACGAAGTTCCAGATGATGCGGAACCGCTCCAATGGTTCAAGCTATTACTCTTACGAGACGATGATCTGCCGCCAGACATTCTAGCCAATGAGTTTGTTCTGAAAACAAGAAGGATGCTCAAGGAAGAGAGGAAAACCGCGGTGGAATGTACTGCAGAATATCTCAAGGCATTGTGGCGCCATACGATCAAGTCGATTCGGAGCGCCCGCGGTAACTCGGTGGTGACAAACTCGACGTTCCATGTTGTTATCACTATTCCTGCAATCTGGAAGGATTATGCGCGTGAGGCAATGAAAGAGGCTGCCGAAAAGGCTGGAATTCTGAAACGGCGCACTTCTGCTGGCGAAACAATCTTGACGTTTGTTCCCGAGCCCGAGGCAGCAGGTTTGGCATCGCTTGGTCTACGGAGGCGTCATTTGAAAACCGGAGAGGTCTATGTCATCTGTGATGCTGGTGGTGGGACCGTGGTATGTTATGTCCCCATTGCAAAACAGCCATGCCATACGGAATTAACGAAACAAAAATAGGACGTGATCAGTTACCGAGTTGGGGAACTAAAGCCCATCACACTACATGAAGCAGTCATCGGCGCAGGTGAGCGACTCATAATACTATCAAGATTGACCTTTCCAAAAACTAACCTTAGATCTCTAAATTAGGTGGCCTCTGTGGCGGGATATTCGTCGACGCAGAGTTCAAAGCGATGTGTAAAGCACGACTGGGCCGACGTTGGAGTAAACTAAGCCTGGCTAACATCAAACATATCATGGATTCAGAATGGGAGACTAAGATTAAAATACGGTATCAGCCAAACAGTCAAAGGCCGAATATCGTCGCAATCCCCGACGACGCCTTTCGGGGCTCAGATCGAAATGACACCGAAAGACAGCCCCCTATCATCAATGGCAGCATTCACTTCTCCAGGTGAGCTAAAAACATGTCCCATGACCTCTTGCTTCCGCTCACAGCTCTAGTTCGGATATTCAAAAGACGTTCACGGAGGTGTTCGCGGAGATTGACATACTGCTCGATGATCAAATCCAAAGCGCTAGAGATAAAGGCCTGTCGGTAAAAGTGAGTATGTCTTCATCTCCTATTAACGTCATTATTCTCATTCTCTCAAGGGAATCATTCTAGTGGGCGGCTTTGGCACGAGTCCCTATCTTTCTCGGCATTTAGAGGACAGATACAAGTACAAGAATCTGAAAGTGATACATTCCAGCGACATGAACCCTGGAACGAGCCCGTAAGCAGGCCGCTATACCTCCAGCATATTGAAGGAGATATATATTTACTGATTTGTTTTTCTAGTCGCACTGCCATCTGTCGTGGGGCGGTCTTCAAGGGTTTCATCGACGGACCAGGTGGTGCTGGCCGCAACACACTCAACACACTCAACATCGGCTCTACGATTGCCAGGCAAAGCTTAGGCACGCTGATGTCACTAGAGTTTGTGGAAGGAGTGCATCGCGAAAAGGACAAATACCTCGATGCAACGACAGGGGGCTGGAGGGCCCGTAATCAAATCCGGTGGTATCTATACAAGGTTCGCATAGGAATGAGAAAGATATCGTGTCTTCAAAGTGCACTTACTGATTTTGAGGCTTAGGGACAAGACGTTTCAAAATCAGATCCTATTCAGCATCTCTTTCACAGAACCTATACCAACGAAAGCGACTTCAAAAACACGGCTATCAAGACTATATTCCTCCAGTGCGACAGTGAGAATCCACCAACCCAACGCGATAGTACTGTCAGCGAGCTTTGCACAATTGAGTGGAACACTAGTGACATCTCTTACTACGAGCTTGAAGACAATTATGGCAGATATGGACCGTATAAATATTTGGATTATGAGATCGAAGTACGACCTTCGGGGGCTTCCAATGACTTTGCTATTATTTATCAAGGCGAGAAGCTCGATTCCCGCAACGCTCATGTTGCCTATGAGTGAAGTGGGTTAATTCTTGGCTCTACTCTACTGATATCGTGGAGCACATCGAATATAACCCTGCCATTTGATTTATCAAATTTGCGCCTTTCCAAGGGGTTCTGAACATTGATTATTTCTATGTATCTATGTATCTATACGCAGCTATTATCTCACTCGTATTCAGTGGTCTGACTTTGTACTTCTAATGAACTATCTGTTTTTATCCCAAAGTGATAGTCTAACCTGGCAGTATGGACTCCGTATCCCCGGATCCGGTGATATCAGCCCTCCAACAGCCCCGCAATCGGGCTTATCGACTTCCCCGATGTCCTTATTTCTCGACTCCCCTCCAATCCACGTCTCTACTCTCTTCCACTCCTCCCTCGAATCCTCAACTCCAAAATGCATATATCAATTAAAATGGATTCCTCCGCACCCGAAACAACGCTCTCCAGCACCAACCTCCAACCAGCAGAGCGACACACCGCAACCACCATCCCTGCACCCGCAATAACCAAACCAAAAACCCCATACCCAAACTACCTGTACTTCGCCTACGGCTCAAATCTCTCACCAACACAAATGAAATCCCGCTGTCGCATAAACCCCGCCCACTCCGGCAAGCCATTGGCAATCGCAACGCTGCCACGATGGCGCTGGCTAATCTGCGAAGCCGGCTATGCGAATGTCCTGCCACAGCCTGGTCTGCGCGTCCCAACGCAAGATTCCGATACCGCGCATAAAATTCCCGTTTCCGGGACCGAGGATGCTGTCTACGGCGTGCTTTATCAGATGGATCTGGGTGATGAGCGCATTCTAGATGGGTATGAGGGTGTTGATGCCGGTGCTGCCGATGCGAAACCCCATTCGGGTGTTCCTGTCCATGTTAGACCGAAGGTGCAGGGTTCTGGGTCGTACAATAAGTGGTTTGTAGAAGCGGATGTTGTGAACTGGTTAGATGGGGCAGAAGAAGTGAAAGCAAGTCTTGGGAATGAGGACGGCAAGATGCCGGTGCTGGTTTATGTTGATGAGAACTGTGTTCAGCTGGCCGGGCCGAAACACGAGTACATCGCTCGGATGAATCGGGCTATTCGGGAATCTGTGGAGTTGGGGGTTCCGATAAGCTGGGTGGACCAGGTGATGAGGAAATTCATTCCTGTGGAGTAAATTGGACATAAGATGCAAGGAATATTGGAAAACATGGTAAATCCCCTGGTGAACTACTCTTATCATGCTATGACTGGCCGGTCTATACATATGTCAACTTGCATTGAAAAAGCTATTTGTCTATATTGGTCGGGATATCATCTGGCAAGCAGCTCTGTGCCAGTGCTGGCGGATGCTGTCGACCAGCGAAACAAGGCTCCGAGCACAGTCCATTGATCCTCGAGATTCATGACTCGAGTATAAAGTTTGATTGGACGGCCCGGAAGGAGCGGATGAAAGATGCTCACCGCAAAATCGGGTATGTTCGGGGCTTTTGGAGAATTGGGTCATTATTATCGGCAGTTGAAATCGTCGCAGAAAGAAGGATGTGTTTTTTTTGGGAGCGGTGTGTATATAAATTAGGCCTGGCCAGACAGAAGAGTGTAGACAGGCGCAGGGAGCTTATCGCGTCCGTGAAGGAACTCGAGCTCGAGGAGGAAGATGAAGCCAAGCAAATCACCGCCCATCTTCTGGATCAGCTCACCACCAGCTTTGGCGGAACCACCTAGTCGAGTCTATTAGTATGCAACATTTGTTTGAGACATTCTTATCACATACCAGTGGCGATAATGTCATCAATGACGAGAACCTTCTGGCCAGGCTTGATGGAATCGGCCTGCATCTGGAAGAAATCTTGGCCGTACTCCTTCTCGTAGCCCTGGGTCTCGCAGGGGCCGGGGAGCTTGCCCTGCTTGCGCACGGGGACGAAGCTGGCACCCAAACGCAGCGCCAGGCTGGGTCCGATCAGGAAGCCTCGGGCCTCAAGGCCGACGATGACATCGGGCTTCTGGCCACCGTAGTTGGCAATAACGTGGAGTTCCAGGGACCGAATCAGAGCCTCGTGCAGGCTAGGATCGGCGAAGATAGGCAGGATATCCTCGAACAAGATTCCCGGAGAGGGGAAGTCCGGGAACTGGCGCAGAGCGGCGCGCAGTCTTACCTTAAGACTGGCGAGTTCGGCGGAGCTGGAGGCATCGGAGGCGGGGAGTCCGACTTGGGAGGCATCTGGGAGGGTAGACGAGGACATGATGAGGAGAGAGAGGAGAAAGAGGAGAAAGAGGAGGGGCAGAGGCTTAGAAGTAGAAAAGGGGATAACCCAAAAAATCTGGAGGGGAAAAAAGGGAACTGGTAAAATTACACGCTAGGGTTTTGATAAGCAGATAATGGATTTTTGCCCCTCACGAGGGTCTAGATTCGACGGATTTGGCGCTTTTGTCGTTTTGAATTAGGAATACTTCGATACTCTATTTGTGAGGGTTGTACTTGATTCGGAGGTAGATTCGATATGTGTCCTTTAAGTAGATATACAGTTTCCCGGAGGTTCTCTACAGGCTTCTATCTGAAGGGACAATCAGCGGTCAGATCCCAACGCCACTGTATAAAATACTGTGTCACGCAATGCATATCCGTCGAGTAGAACATAGGTACTTCAGCTACCGTGCATAGTATACGTACAGTACTCCACGTAGTACTCCGTACGTGGGCTACAGGTACCTACTAGTAACTTGTACCGGAAGTATAGCCAGGCCGCCCAACCGGGTCCTGATCTGCCAATTGACCCTAATTGACTAGCCCGCAAAACTAGTGCTCAGTCCCCTCGCAATCGTCAGGGCCAAACGAATCAGGGTGTGTCGCAAACTGATACGGCTCGTTCGTCATCTCGCCTTGCTTACCGGTGCCCCCAAAAGGCCTGGACCGTTGGACTATGACCTGGAAGTTTATGGTTACTTTAGAGCATTGTCCGGAGAAGGACAACACCCAGAACCAGAGAAACATCTCCCGGACTATCAAGACAGAAAAATGACTCATTCTGGTCGGATTGTCGAGGCCGCCTAGGCAGATGGGTTGAAATGGCATGTGTTTGGATCAGACCATCTCCACGGATCAGTATGTAACGCATAGCCCTGCCGCCTTGACACATCGTACAGCATTACACCTAGCCCGGGCCAATGGCGTATTTCAATCTATGACACGGTCTGAAACTCGTCATCGTGGCTTTACTGGAAACAAACATCTGCATGGTGCATGTAGGTCTGTTGTGCAGATAGGTGGGGACAATTGGCCGTGTACGAAGTCCGTGGTTCCTCGCGTGTAACATTGATTCTCCGCTGTCCGTTCCATTTGGTGATCGGATAGGGGGACACCTATTTCATAATTCCAGAATAAAAAAAAGATGAGAAAAGAGAGAAGATGAAGCAGATACAACACCGATCCAAAAATGAAAGCAAAAAAGAAATCTTGAGGTTTGTTTTTAGGAATAGCCGAACGCGGGGGTCGAACCCGCAGCCTTAAGATTAAGAGTCTTACGCTCTACCGATTGAGCTAGCCCGGCCGGGCTGTTGTAAGCGGCTGCCCAAAAGGGTTACAAGACCAAGATCTTATTTTAGAGGACTTGAATACCTAGTCAGACACATGTAGTTCAGAGTAGTTACCTAGAGTAGTTGCTTCAAGGGTGGGCTTATGGTGGATTTATATTTGCGAGTCGATTGGATAGATTCCATAATTATTTGGATTTGAAGATTCTGGTAGGTATCATCGAGTATTCCCATCTTGAAGGTTTTCTGTTAAATATCATAAGGAATCATTCGGCGTACCTACTAGGAGGTGATTGGGGGATGTTCCCACGGGTGTCTAGTTTACTTTGGTCTCCTTCTTTGAGCCCAATATGTCTTTCTTTTGTTGTACGTGTAGGTTTCTTATCTTCAACACGCAATGGGCAGGTGTGGTGGGTATGCTCGCCACTATGGTTGCCAGGCCCAGATATATATCCACACCAACCTGCGCCCGACTGGCGTGCAAACGAAGACATTGCAGCGGGGATTGGGCACACAGCAACGATGCAATAGAGCCCAAAATGAAAGACCAGCATGCATGCCATGAAAGAAACCGGGAACCACTCACCAAACAAAGACAAGTTCCTTCACTTCATCTTCACCCAGACAGGTTGACTGTACGTTTGACCATCGTCTATTTACGTGTGCCGATACTACAAGCTCCCATTAGAAGGAACTTTCCAAGGATTACCATACTCTATATGTCCATACATGCTAGAAGCATGTACCTGCATCTAAGCATTTTATGTGAAGGTCAGGAGGCTACCCCCAGCCGGCCTTGGCCCAATAAAGCCTAAAATGGGATAGCCCCTCACATGACCAGCACAGACCACCTCGCTTCACGTTTTTCCGGCGTCGACCCATCGCTATAAAGTTGCCTGTTTTTCGCTCTTTCATCTTGCATGCTTTTGAAGTTTGAGCCTCCACAGGCTACTTCCATCTCAGATGAATGCTTTCTGATATCCTGTAATACATTTGCTCATGTCACCTGCCGCGATTGCCGGAATGCAGCCGGATCTGCATCATGACCAGCTTCAGGCCGTGGGCACAGCCTTCGATGCCCTCCTACTAACCGTGTACCGGCTGACGCACAGACAAAGTGAGCTGCTTCAGCACATGGATGATGTCTACAAAGAGGTAAATACACCCTTTTTTCTTCCCTCTTTCCCTTTTGCATCCAGGTCTCGCATGATGAGAAAATTTGATTAGCTCTAGATCAGTAGTCACTCTTTTGTGGCGGTGACGGATTAACATGTATTATCTGACTGAGACCTTGACTGCCTTTGATGTTTTCATGCATTCAATGAGATGAATCGTTGCTAACTTTTTATCTTCCAGTACACAGAAGTGATAGAAACTCTGCCTCCCCAAGATAGACCTCGTGCTCTGGAAGTTCAATCCAAATTGCTCGCTCAGCAGGAAGAATACCGTCAAGGCCTCGTACACAGCAAACTCCGAGTGGAGGACCAACCGCTGAATTCCATGGATGTAATCAAGACCCTCGTTGCACACCAAAATGTAGACGAAAATACTTTTTCGGCCATCAAGAATGGAGTCAAAGGCTGTAAGTCTCTGCTCCGTTCTCAAGATGGCCTCTCCCAAATATCCTCCAACTCGTGCATCCTCGCGCAAGCACCGGCTCCAGCAATTGCGCTGGAGAAGGACTTCACAACGAATGGCACCCAGGGAGATCTACACTGCCCCTTCTCCAAACCGAATAAGATGCAGAATGGGAATGGCAGCGAGGCCCCTAGTGGGAAGAACTCTGAGCCGAAGATTCAAATCGAAGCCGCCTGCGGCCATGAGCACGTGGATCCCATTAAGGCGGAGTTGAACGAACGACGCTCTAGTCGCACCACGTCAGCCCCATCCTCCAAAGGTGCATGCCCCGTCTCCCGATGCCCCATCCGATTCCTCGATCAACACTCCCCAGAAGAAATTGCCGAGTACGTCGAACGACACAAACATGAGATCCCCCGAAGTCATGCAATCTGCGTCAAGCGCTATCAGCGAAATCCGCAGGACATGCGACATCTGGATGCCAAATACGGCGGTCTCACCAGCATGATCGCCGGTTTGGGTGTTAAGCACCAAGCCTTCCTACCAGACTGCCAGGCCAACGGTGAACGCCGCTCTTCCACCTCTGCATCAACCGAACGTGTTGAGAAATGGGCTGAGAACGTGGACCCCAATACACCCGGTGGCCAGAGCGAGGATGACAAGAACGAAGATGATAACCGACAGAGTCACTTTGACCGTCCCCTCCGTGAAGTCCGGGTGGGTGAATCACCAAGTAGACCTTGGGGCATCTCGGTGCCTGTCACCCATTTACCTCCCACCTCAGCGCCGTTTTCTGATGCGGAATCTATCCCCACGTCCCCCGAGCCTCAAACCGACAAGCCCACCGATGCCAACGTCTCTACCGATAAGCCCGCCGGCCGCTGTCCGTTCGACCACAAGAAACTAAAGCGGGAAGCCGAAACCGAGCCACCTCGGGTTGCTGAACCACCTGCGGACAAAAAGGTTGCGACACCAGAGAAACCAGGTTGTCCATTTGACCACAATAAATCAAAGGCTGAAGTTTCAAAGCCCGGAAACGAGGCCCCCTGGAGTGGTGATTGGCCTAAAAATTGGCCCAAGGACCAGGCTGTTATGGATCAGACAGCCTCTCCCCTTATTGCTCTGAACCCTTTGGCTGCTCCTGTCAGCGAAGACCCGGCTGAGAAACCTGGCATTCCCTCCGCACTCTCGAATGCCTCTCACGTAACCTTCAGTGGTCCCGTCTTTTTCGGGTACTCCGCCGAGGAGACAGCTCGTTTATTGCAGCAGCTCACTAACTTGGGCAAATCATGACCCCGAAGAATCTTCTGTACAGTATGTCCATGGAAGGCGCAGGACGTTTAACGCATCACGACGAGACGAGACAATCTTTAGCGCTATCACTCTATTACCCCAATTGAATTATGCTTTAATATGAAATCAATTTATAATCCACCATAATGGCAATAGCAATTGTATTTTCTAGATCGCAGTAGTGAGCAGTTAAGATATGACTTCATCGGGGAGCATCGACGCTCTCCGAGGGAAAACTCGCAGAGCGGGGCAGCTTTATCATCGCGACCTTCGTATATAACACCTCTTCTTCCTCCAGATGCTGCGAACTACCCCCCGTCTTCTATCTATATCTCGAACTCTTCGTCCTTCCATCCCACTTAGACCTCAATTCCTCTCTCCCATCATGTCTGCCCACATGTCCGCTATCTCCGCCAAGGATGCCTGCCCTCGTGAGTCAAGTCCCTCTTTAAGCAGCTATACCCTGCCTCTTAGACAGAGACGACCCCCCCAATTCTTGCGTCAGAAATGGTATCAACACAGAACAGTCGCTAACTGGAATATCTTCTAGCTGCCGGCCCTTACGTACGTCGTTTTCCCCTTCATCTGCACCTTACCCCTCCATCCCCCACACCATCCACTCCCGATCTACTCACTCCATGGGTTATATCCAGATCGACAACCCTCTAACAAATCTATAGTCCCAGGCCATCCGCGCCAACGGCCAGATCTTCGTCTCCGGCCAGATCCCCGCTGATTCCTCCGCGAACCTGATCGAGGGTAACATCGGCGTCCAGACCCAGGCCTGCTGCGACAACATCAAGGCTATCCTGACTGCCGCTGGCTCCAGCGTCGACAAGATCGTCAAGGTCAATGTATGTCGTTTCCCCTGCTTTCATTATAGTGAAAGGAATCCAGGAATCCACCCAAGTAAGCGGTAAAGGGGATTATCTTGCTGATCTTGATTTCTGTCTAGGTCTTCCTGACTGATATGGCCAACTTCGCCGAGATGAACGCCACCTACGAGAAGTTCTTCGTCCACAAGCCTGCCCGCAGCTGTGTGGCTGTTCACCAGCTGCCCAAGGGTGTGCCTGTTGAGATTGAGTGCATTGCTCTCGAGTAGATTGGAGATTAAGGACCACTTTATTAGTTCAATCTCATATCTCCATATAGTCAATGAAGACATGATCGTAAATCTACCTTTTTGGTTAAATCAAGACGTTACAGAAGGCAACTAAGAGTAAGGTTGAGAATAAATCCAGTCGAATGATGTTTTCTGCAGAAATGCTCGGGGTATATCTTGTTCGATCATGATTATTTCCATGTCCAATCCCGGAGAACATACATGGGCGACTACAACTTATCCTAAATTGGGAATCATAAGAGTCGGGGCTCACGCGCAATGAGACGAGATGCAAGCGATTCAGTGGAAGATCGAAAAAGGGAAGAAGACGATTGAAGGCAGTGAATAATAGTATACTCGACAACGGTCAACTATGGAAAGAGCTGGAATGGAGAAGATTGGAGATGGTAAATAAATTGAAGAAATGAACGCGTAGAAGTAGCTAGGTATAGGTGGTATCATCAAAAATAACGGCTGCAGAGACAGGTCTACTCTTCCACAGCAAAGAATAGGACAAAAAAGCAAAGACAAAAACATACAACAGTGAGGATTCGCTGGTGGTCACCCACCCAACTACTAACTCACCGGCGTGTGGCTTGAGTACGGCTGAGCGGACGGGAAGCCCTATTTTCCACACCCTATGGTCGTATGTACTTGCTATCACGCTCGACAGGACTATATTATGAGTGTATATAAGACATTGGAGGGTGCAAACCAGAAGGTTAGGGTGAGCTCTGCCCGCAAATCACGTTATAACCCTAACCTTTTTAACTATATCTTAGGGTACGGTTGCTAGCCTGCTTCTATAACTTATAGCTCTTGGTATTCACTCAGCTCATTCTCAGCTGATTCTCAACATATCGACTCTCCCTATCAAAAAGAGTAGCAAAAAAAAAGCAAAAAACAAAAACATACAACAGTGAGGATTCGCTGGTGGTCACCCACCCAACTACTAACTCACCGGCGTGTGGCTTAAGTACGGCTGAGCGGACGGGAAGCCCTGTTTTCCACACCCTATGGTCGTATGTATTCAATTGAGCGGGAAAGTAAGCTATAACATCCGTCAATTCTGGAAGCTGGGAAAGGTTCCGAAGGCTCGGCCAGCGAAACATGATTGGTCTCACCGCACGTTATGATCGGACTTGAACTGTGGAACATGAGGGCTTCCTCAATATTGATTTGTGGAAATTCGAATAGGATCGTATGTTGACTGAGTACTGAGTATTGGAATTTAATTGAAAGTAGGTGTATCGACTTGCCTGTTGTTTCATTAGAGGCGCCGAGGATGCTTCGTAAGAAAACTCTCTGAGACTCTGACTGTTGCTATGTGTAATAAAATGGATGGCATTAAATTGTTCAAAGGCGAGCTACTTCTTTACGGGCGACTAAGTATTAATGTCATAATCCATCTCGCATCGCCGCTGGCTCTTGAGGTAGGCGCTCTGTTCCGAACTACTCTCCTAGTGGCGCTAACGAGATGTTCCTACAGACCGACGACGATAATGTAGATATCATCAAGCCAGCAGTATCCATAGTCACCACTGCTCTGGAAGCAGCTTCTCGCACATCATCAGTTCGGCGTGTTATTCTAACATCTTCCTGTGAGTAGATCTTAGATCTTGAATGTGCCAAACTGACCAAGTTTCAGGTGTGACACTAATCCCATTTGAATGGAACATGGCTCCAGAGAGCGAGAGATTGTACAATGGTAAAGCATCGTAGAATTCCAGCCCGTAATACAATTACTCACGCTCCATAAATAGTCAACGACGTGAACAATAGCGTCGAGGGCCCATTCCTGGGGGCAATGCAGGCATACTGGGCCTCGCAGGCATACTGGGCCTCGAAAGCCCTTGCTCGGAATGCGACCAAGGCCTTCGTCCACGACAAGAACCCTCAGTTTGACTTCGTCAACCTTTTGCCATCGGTAGTGATTGGTCCAGATCGCCGACTTGACTTTGACTCGTCTGCAACTGAAGATAGCCTTCTTCAGGGTGCCCGTGCATCGGTGCTTGCGTGTGCCCTCACCTCTAAACACAACTCCTCATTTCCCCTACGTCGGAACGCCTGTGCATGTTGCCGACGTTGCTCGAGCACATGTCGACGCAATTGATGCAAAGCGTGTTGCCGGAAATTCTGAATTCATTCTATCTTCGGACACACCTGATGGAGTTTTCTGGAATAGAGATGTTCGGGACATCTGTAACAAGCATTTCCCGGGAGAAGTGGCGCATGGGCTTTTGCCATTGGAGGGGTCCTTGACGAGTGTGAAGTGGAGACTGGATGTCAAGGAAACGGAGGAAGCCTTCGGGTGGCAGTTCATGTCATTTGAGCATACGATGCGAGACTTGATTTCCCAATATCTTTGGCTTCGCGGGAAGAACACATAAGCTCCCTGTTGTGTCCATTGTTATACTTGATATTGAACATACCAAGGTAGGCAGTTACTGCAGATAGATACATAGATCTCCTCTGTGCCCAGCAATTGACCCTTCCAATTCTCCGATATTTCCAGCTCTGCCCTTCCAGCACTTTGAAGTCAATATTTTCAGTCCATTTTGGTACTAAATGGATTCGAATTCGAGCTATAGAAGACCGCAAGGTAAAGCGGGATAGCTCTGACACCTCAGGCTGAAGATTTAGACAAGACTAAGACAAAATTACAGATTTTCTACAGACTATGACCTGACCAGACTCCGTACAGTGATATTGAATCTTGACACTCAATCTGTGTGGGGTCTGCATTAGAGAACAGCCAATAAAGCACTCCAATGGCCACGTTGAGACCCCCAGTTCCAGAGTTGTCGACGGGTAGAGCCGATGTTGGTGTCTATACTCCGTACGGGGTATGTACATATAAAGCCCACATTTACTCCGTACAAGAACACCCGTTGGTCAGAAGCATCAATTCGACAAGGGTCCAACGCGCTACAGTGGGTTCTGTACTGTTTTCCAAGTTTGGTATGGCTTCCAATTGGGATTTCTTTCGGATTATTTCTTGTCGGGGGTAGAGAATATCGCGGGGAACATGATCCGCATATCCAAAAGAATGGATATATTTATTGGTCGGAAGATATAGTGAATAGCGACCAGGTGCTTGAGGAATTATTGATGCCTAAGATGGGGCCTTTGGACCGAAGAAACCCCAGAGAAAAAGGGCATAAGTAATATTTTTACCCTTTTTGTCAGTACATACGAGCTAAGTTCGACCGGGGGGGGGGGGGGGGGGGGGGGTTTACACTGGGGATACACTGCCCCTTTCTCACTCAGCTGATTCAAGATCCATTAGGCACGGGCCCGTCTCATCATCCGTTTCAGCGGAGGTCTCTTTGGAATGGGAAGGGGAGAGAGCAGCAGCCCTCTTCAACATCCATACCAGCAAGCCAAATGGCTTCTCCAGATGGCCTTGACGGCCCGTCACCGGGTATTCTACCCACTAACACATATATGAGTGCAGGTCTTGGCTGATATGGCTTGAACTTACCTTGGAGTCGTTGCTGATTTTCAGGAAAGTCCAAGTATCGCCGGTGGAGGCCATTCCATACACCCCACAGTTGCGCTTGCCCTGTGACTTGCGGGCTCGGTGAATACAGCCTATACTAATTAGCTGTTTTTGAAAAAAAAGGAACCAATGTACATATTGAGATACGGACCCATGTACCCGAGCAGTTGGGCAATCGGGTTTGTCGCCTTGGGCGACCCCTTTGCCTCAACAATTAAAACATTGAGGCACAAAGCCTCACTCACTCCGTACCGGACACTGTAGTCTGGTCGGCCACTCAAGATGACCTTCTTGCGGTTCAGCCACACTGGGCCGAATTGGTAGGTCGGTTCACACTGAACACTTAAAGGCTGTGCATTTTTGATGTCAGTGGTTGCCGCCTTATACGCATGATTGATAACGGCATCAACAACCCAGCGTGCGCTGGCCTCGTTGATTCTCGAGTTACCAATGGCCTCTTTGATTAGGCCAAGGGTACTCACTGTATTCAATTAGCTACATTTCCCTTCTAATCCATGTCTTGGGCTGTATACCGAGGAGGGGAGGAAGGGGGAGCGGCTGCACGCCTTGCATCTCGGCGTCCTCAACATCTAGTTCAAGCTGGAGGGATCGTTGAACGTCCTCCACACTCAAGGTGGTGATAGCAACCGTCGGAAACTTGGTTTCCGAGGCGTCAACCTGATCCGTCGCTTCTTGCAGCTGACGGCGGTCAATCTTATTCCCGAGGAATTTTCGCACAGCGCGTTTCAATCGTTCATAGCCATTCCAGCAATGCTTGGGAACGACCTCTTTGGCATCTTCCATATTGATTGATGGTCTACTGGAAGGTGAGCGGGCCGAATCCAGGTTCCACAAAAGGATCGACGAACAAATCTGCGATTGGTCAAAATCACCCTTCACTACTGATCCACCCGGCGCTTCGCTCCGCGGTAGGCTGCAGCACTCGAAGAACTCGGCCAAACAGCCCGTTTTCTATCCTTAGTTATTGGGGCAACAAAGATTTGGTGAAATTACGATGGAAAAGAAGATTTTGACAACGGATCCAATTCTGTGAGTCTGCTAAGAAAAAAAGAAAGAGGGGGATATGAGGCTCAGACGAAATTCTGCGCACGGTCCTCAGCGGTGTCCGCTGGCCAAATTTAGTCGCTCGGAAGGTTTATCCGTGGCCGCTCACCAAAAAGGGAAGGTTTCCACACGTCAGTTGGGATGCGGCAGAGATCAAGGCTGATCCTGCAATTGGCAATACGGATGTGGCGCAAAAGACTATCTGGATCCACTCAAGTGGCATAAGAAATTCTAGCAGTAGGCTTTTTTTTCAACCCTATATCTGAATGATGTATTGGGCTGATGTCAACAGGCAAATCCGCCTGGGCAGGTGACATTAGGTTCTGACATAAGTCTCAACTGCCCAGGTCACGAGGTCAGGGCTCCGCTGGTTCAGCGCCGCCTCTTTATTAGCTTCTTTGAGCCATTCATTTTTAGTCAACTCAAAGTATCTTGAGAGTGGTATTGGAAACTTCTAAAAAGTTCCTTCAACAGCAATGGAGCTGAGCTACGCCATAAATGAACTCTGCAAGGCCCAGGGCAAGTGTTCATTTCGCCAATATTATCAACTGATGCGCGAGTACGATGGTGATGAGGAAGTCCCTTCCATTCGTCTGTCGTCGTTGAATTCCTTTGAAGTCGAGCATATACTGTCCCTCTCGCCTGCCAAGAACGATCAGGGTTTGAATTCTTTCCCTATTGTTCCCGTGCCGGAGATATTGGGTAAGCAAGGGAAATCGGACAGGAACCTCGCTGACTTTATCTAGTCAAAAGTCTCGCTATGACTGACGGTGCTTTGAGGAATGAAACAAGCGTAGAAGCGAATATACGCTGGAGGATGAATTACTTCATTCTATTGGCGTTCAATATAGCAGTGGAATCACGTTCTGAAGATGGAAGACTGCTAGAGATCACGCATGAGCCTAGATGGTCATTCGGGCCCGTTAAATACAAGGGCGAGGCCGTTAAGTTATCAGGATACCCATCTTATGCCCTATGGTACGGAGACGAAGACGAAGCCGCTTCGAATATTATCGTGGCCCAAAATCAGAGGTTTAGGGCGTCCGAAAAGGGAATTCCAGAAGTACTAGGATATTTAGGTGAGTATGCTATATCACTTATCATACTAGACTGCTTTTAAGCTAACTTAGTCGAAGCTTTCATTTATTACCATCGCAAAAATGCAAACAAGGAAAATTGTCCGTTATATGGGGTTGCAACAGACTCGCGAGTCTTTCACTTTGTTAGACTAAATGATGACTCCTCGGTATGCTTATTCAATAAGTGTCTCTTGATTGAAGGTGCTTGTTCTAATGCAATCTAGTTTGTCACCTCAACACTCGATTCTCAGGCGGATCTAGAAAAAACCTTCAGTTTATTGGTTTATGTATTGAAGGAGGCCATGATTGTGCCATCGACACAACCGCAAGAGCCATCCACGCAATTCGATCGAGCTCAACAATCTGCCGAGTCACTCATCCCGGCTGGGTCTTCTCTTAGACGAAAGTTGGACAGGAGAATACATTATCAGAGGCTGAAAGAGGCTGCAAATGACTCGGATAAGCCCCTTGAGTTCGACTCAATCGATGATGAGTATATCTGGCAAGACTTTTCTGGAGGTGAGAGCTCTTCAGATGAATACTTCGATGGTGAATAATGTTTGGAAACCGCTGGAATTGCTTCAAAATGCTTTACTCTTTGATTATTTGCTAAACTCGGTCAACGTACCTACTGTTGGGGATACGGGTAGTGGTCAGCTGATCCGGAGCAGACTAGATAGCTCCCTTCTTTGCTTGCTATCCTCTTCTTATTCCTTCGCCCGTCTGTTTTGCTAGTATCAGAATTAATCTACTGCTTTATGAAGTGCTCCAAGGCCTTACACAAGCGTATGTACGCTTGTTCCAGAATTGGGTACTTTAGATCATAAATAATTGGTGAGATTACCGTAGGATCGCATAGTTATTATTCGTTAGCTAACGTAACCGGTAAACTGTTACGACCCTCTGCTAGAGAGTGCCTCACAGGCTGGATCCCGCATAGTCCTGTGACCCAGAACCCGTGATCCAGCAAGGGTAGTATGGGTAATATATAGATGCCAAGATTTCGGGTATTTCAGGTGGAGAGATATAGCCCAATAACAATCTACCCTGATCAGCCAAGGGGGTCAGTGTACAAGTCGCGCGACTCTAGGTGATTCTCACCCTGATTCTCACCCCATCTATAGCACACTCACCCTTATCACCCCCGGTCGCGCGACGCTAAAGCGGCGCTCACCCTAAACTCACCCGAGCGACACCCACCGAACTATTGACTGCATATAAGCCACATGCCGGTGAGTTAGTAGTTGGGTGGGTGACCACCAGCGAATCCTCACTGTTGTATGTTTTTGCTTGTGTTTTTTTGCCTTCTCACATTTGCTCTCAAAGGGCAGCCAGTCAGTTATGTTGAGAATTGCCAAGATCAGTATGTTTTTAATAAGGTAGGCGGTCGACTATAGCCCTCGGAGTATATCGTAGGTAGCTGTGACTTCTTCTCTGTACCCATGATATAGATCTGGCTAACACAGTAAGAGATACATACGACCATAGAGGCGCCTTTCTACAGCTATTTATCTCGTTTTCTCACTTTTTTCAACCATCCGCAGCCTTCTTTTTCTTCTTTTCAAAAACAGCCTTCGGCCATTTAATCCCCTACATCTACGCTATGCCCATTGTTTCCGGTCTCCAGCGTGTCATTCGCCGCTTTCTTGAACACAAGATTAACACCCAAGATATAGAAAAAAATCCTAGAGGCTCCTTAGAAGCCTGAACCCCTCGCAGTAACCTTATTGAGTCTACCAGATATCCAGAAGATCCCTAGTCTCACTCTGGCTACGTCTCACTGGACACAACAAGGATCTGGGGAGTCCGACCTGACCTTCGACAACAACCCTAAGATGGATGTTAAATGATTTCGTCCATTCGTGCTCTGGCCTTCTTTCTTGCGTCTTATTCCTCTAGTCGTTCTTTCTTCTCGTCTCGATATTCTTCTTATTCTCCTTTCCTGCTTTGCTACCCGTGGACATCTTCCACTCCTTGCTCTTCTTATTTTTGCCCATTTCTCTTTACTAGTATTAGTTGGTCAAAATTTAGGTCTATTTGCCAACCCAAGATCCAATAAGATCCGTAGGAGGCGTGGAGAGAAGAGAAACTCTCTGATAGGAGAGGACTAGATATGGTGGGAGCAAACAAGTAGGTCACTTGACCTCTGACACTCTTACTGATATTCTATGAGCTTTGATTCCGCATCAAGAATACAATTGACTCTTCTCATTCAGATCTGAACTCTGAATCTCTCATTTTCATTTCAGCTGAGAAGCTTTACATAAAAATGGAGACTGCTCAAGCAACGAAGGGCAATCAACTCAGGACGAACGACTAGCACAGGGGACACGGCGAGCACAGGGGACTGGACCGACAAGGGACAGCCCCTACACGCGGGGCGGAGCTTGTGGATGGTTCGAGATCTAGCCCGTCATCTTCACATATTCCTGTATCGAAAGCCTAGTCATTGCGGAATCGCCTGCGCCTTCTTGCTTTCGGGATGGCTGCTTGGAGTGGGCGAGAGACATCGCTGCGGCCTTGGTGAAAATATGGACCAGTAATCCAAGGATCTGGTCGTAGTTTCCGTCTCGGGTGTACATTGAATAGTCACACCACTAGTAGAGATTAAAACCAGTCACTTGGGTTAAATGGCCGAACAAGCTCACCTTAGAGTCGTTATCGATCTTTAGAAAGGTGAATGCATACCCATCCGACGCTATGCCGTAGATGGTGCAGTCCTTTTTCTTCAGCTCCTTCCGCTGGCGATGTACACAGCCTATTAAATAAGTTAGCTTTAGGATATATCATACAGTGGGAGGTCTTAGTAAATGCTTACCCATATACCCTAATGCCTGTGCTCTTCCCCCTTCCTCCCTCTTGGCTTCGATGACCACCACATTCAATGAAAAGTCTTCGTCTTCGCCGTACCAAACTCCATAACCTGGTCGCCCGGACAAGTAGTACTTCTTACGATGCCACTTCACCGGACCATACTTCCAACCCTTCTCTGCCTGAATGTTAAGGGGCTGGGCGGCGTGGGGGTGGATAGTCGTAGCGATATCGAATGCCTCTTGGAGGAGGGCGTTGAGAATCCAACGGACGTTTGCCTCACTTGTAGGCCTTCGATCGAGTGCGCGATTGACCCTAGTGATATGTTGCACTATAGCAATAGGTTAGCTAGATACTTCCTTTAGATCATGTTTTCGGCTTGTTTACCCAGCGCGGGGGGCGACTGAAGAGGAGGAACACTAGCCAGCTCAGGGTCCTTGCGAGTCCACTTCAAGTTCAGGATTTTCTCAACATCATTCACACAAAGGGAAGAAATCGCGAGGGAGGGGATTTCTCGATCAAGAGATTTCTCGACGTCATCGGCCGCCCTCTCAAGCTGTTCTTCGTCTATCTTCCGGTTGATGAAGTCTCGGGTAGCGACCAGAATTTTGTTAAGCAAAGATCTGCTGTCTGAGGGCATGGGCTCAGAGGATACCTCAGCAGTGACTTTCTTGCGGGTCGACATGTTGAGATCAAGGCAAGTTGGAAGTTGCAAGTTGCAGGATGTGGAAAATGAACAATTTGATGGCAGAAGAGACGTAGTGAAGAGCAAAAGAACAAGACTCTTTTCAAGGGCCTTGTTTCTCCAAAGGCAGCTACCATTCAGAAAACCTTGACGATTCAGGTCCCGGAAGCAAGAACCTTTGGAAGTCACCGTTGATTCATTCCTGTTACCCATGATGACCATAGGTACACGGGTCCATGGGGCATTCAATATCATACTACTTGGCGAAGGCGTATAGCAACGAGGGCAGGATTCGGGGCATTGTCCCTCTCCCGAGAAGATGGTTTGGCTAAATGAAATAGAACGTAGTCCTTGTCATGCCACTCTTCGTTTGTATCAGTAACCAGCGCGTGAAAAACCCGAGAAGTGCCTCATCATTGTTAGTATCTATTAAAGGTTCGTTACTGGATAACAGATTGAGCGTCCCTATCCCCTCGAGCAGTTTGGCGGCGATGAGATAGTATTGACGAAGACGATTTTAGTAAAGCTAGCGCTTGGATGGGAGCGAAGAAGGCAAGACTGGGAAAAAGCGATGACAGAACGAAAAGAGGAAGAATCAAACCAGACAGAAGATTGACGACGCAGAGATACTATGTTAGAGGGGAGCATGGGCCCCTGTACACCGTCATTGTGAGGGGTTTCAATTGTCTAGAGACGTTGACATTGCACATAATCAAGAGATGATTAAATTCGGTTAAATCTGAGAAGATTGCTGTACATATCCCACATATTAGAGAGCTACTGGGGCATTTCAGCGTTCAAAGCTCGAGGGGTTGAGTTTCCTCTTTCCCACTACATACATCTAGGAGAAAGGTCTTCACAACCTTTGACTCCTAGGTTTCAGTAAACCAGATGTGAAAACACCGATCCAACGCTATAGACAACCCTGGAAGTCAATGTCGAGATAGTAGACCCAGCACTCCACGTAAAGAACTAGATCCTGTCCGGGAACCCCCTCTTTGGCCGTTCAAAGACGAGAATGCAGAAAACAAATTCCTAGCTTGGATATATAGGGGAAATAAAAGGCAAAACATATAGAAAAGCGGAGATAGATGCATATGGATCCCCTAGATCTTACCGGGCGCGGGGGATGATACCGCTCATGCGGCTTCCAGCCCCGGCCATCAGACTCTGCTTCACGATAGCATCGGCAGCTGCAGCCGCAGCAAGCCTTTCCTTCTGACGGCTTCGGTCACGCAGATAGCCGGCAGCTTCGGGGCGCATGCGGAGAATGCGTAGAATCATATCGTCGTTAGGATCAGCCTGCGCCTCTCGTCGCTTCTCCTCCTTGGCCTTCCTCATAGTGCCCAAGTTTCGGGAGAGCATGATGCTCTTCGCACGACGGGCAGCAGGGAGACCCAAGCCACCGTGACCGGGGCCCGTCGCGCCGAGGTGGGCAGGCGCAGAAGTGCGATTGCGGCTCGCCTGCTGGCGATTCACAGTCGCCGAGGCCATGCGCTCAGAGGTGCGGATGAGATTTTCCGTCGGTTCGAAGTAGAAGAAATTCAGGGACTGGATCTCATGGTATTTGGGCGATTTCAGGATATCGATTGGGACGCCGTTGGCTTCCCCGGTTTCTTCGTCAACCGCATGGAAGAAGTTCAATAGTAACACGAGCCAGCGTGATACGATGTCAACTTCCTGGATGGTCAAGGGCTTCTGGTGGGATGGCTTGTCCGATAGAGGGGGTACGAGAAGACTCTCGATGGTGGCAAGCACTTCTTTCCATAGGCGAGCCATCACCATCTTCATGGCTTCAGGTGTAAGGGTTTTGTTCATGATGGCGAAGTTGTCATTGAAGTAGTTGAACAGCGGAGTCAATGCGTTTTCAACGTCCGCTGGAGTAGGACCGGAAGGAGTTGGCTGCGCCCGGTTACGGTTCAAGAAGCTCGAGACGCTAGATATACTCAGTCCACGAGAAAGAAGAGACTTCAGCGTTCGACGGGAGAGACAGTGGCTAATGTATGCCGAAAGCTTCTCTGTAATCTTACGAGTCATGTCCCTTTCGGTTCGTTTGAGTGTACGGAAAGCCTTGCCAAAGTAGAACTGAATATCATCTCGCTCGCCTTCCATGCTGACTCGGAGTAAAAGCCGACCCTGAGTATCTAGGTCGAGCCAATACTCCCTTGGCAAGAAGTCGCTGAAGTGCACTGGATCCAGCTTGATCGATGTGCGACCGACATAGTCGTGATCGCCCACTGCATCCCAGTCCCAGATGGTGGCGATGATGTTTAAAGGGCCTTGCGTGGTGAGATCCACTGCATCCTCCCATCGGGGATTGAGATTATTGTAGATTGTGCGGGTTTTCGCAATCCGTTTCTGATACTCGTCTGTCAAGACGACATATGGATCACTGCCACCGCCGATGTCACAGGCTTTCAAGTCTTCTGCCTCCACTACCTTGATCGTAAAGACATAAGTCGTGGACTTGCGGACCTTTTTGAGCTGTGGTGGTGTATTTCGTGCAATGACCTCGGCGCAGCCGTCCACATTAATATCGTTTTCGAGTTTGTCAAGCTGGGCAAGTGCATACTCGATGTTGTTCAGTTTCACCAGAGACTATGCAAAATGTTAGCCCCCCAATACTCATCAACCTCACAAGGGATCACAACACACCTCTGACGAGAACTGGAAGGGTTCAATTTTATCTTTGTTCGTCCAGGTGTCTTTGGCAAACTGCATCCATTTCTCCTGGGTGGTTTGGTTCAATGCCGCCTCCTGTTCGGGAGTAAGACGATCCATCTCTCGCGCAAACATCTTCTCTAGGGAGTCACAGTAAGTTGCAACACCTTTTCCAATTGAGTTTGAAAGATGCGTCATGAACTTCGCATATTGAAGATCGTCGTCCCACTCCAGATTGACCATGTTTTCAACGACTTGATTGAAAGATCGGAAAATGTCAATCACTGACACACTGTGGCGGTCATCTTCAGACGCAAGATCTGTAGCCCCATCGACCCGAACAGCGAATACATCTTGTTTGGTAGCTTGGTTGACCCAATCCATGATCTTTTGGTCAGTGAGACGAAGCCATCGCCAGACAAAGTCCTGAAGCAGACTTTCCACATGGAATGGGAATGGAGCACTATGACAGGTTAGTTAACCCAGAAAGACCAGCGGGATAGTACAAGGAGGTCTTACTCCTCATGGGTATTATGGAATAACCGTCTGACAGTAGCAAGTTTCTTATACAGGTCAAACCCATCTTCAATGGAAATATCCTCACCCCTTGCTTTCGCTTGCTCAATAATCCTCATGACCATTTCATGTGCATCTTCAGCAAACATGGGTAGTACGTTGTGGCACAGCGTGGTGAATGGGTTCACACTGTTTCCAGGTTAGAAAATCATCAAATAGACAGAAGGAAAGCAACAACATACCCCATGATCTCCGGATTATTACGGTACCGTTTCTGGATCTTTAACGCCAGCTTTGAGATTGCATCTACAAGCTGAATGACATGATCCGGATCCCAAGCTTCCTGTTCCATTGGGATCAACTGACTGAGGAGGCTTTGATACTTCATCGTTGCTTTTTGGGCAAGGCCTTCTTGCACATACGTGGAGAACCGATTGATGTCCTCTGGATCCTCGATATAATTGGGATCCATCTGGATGTGAGTTTCAAGAATGTACATCACTGGACCCAGTGGGCGTGGCTTTGCCTCGAAACAATCCATCATCGCCTCATAGAGCTCCCGGAGCAACGCCTCATGAAGCTTGGATAGTAGCGATTGCATCGTTTGAAGATCATGTACGGTCCATCGTCGCCGATCAAAGATTGCAGACGCCACAAAGCTACTGCGTTTGCGCAGCTCACCCGAAGGAATTTCTTTCGCATAGGTGAATGCCGAGTCAAGGGTATCGATATCGAGTTCATTGTCAACAAATTTATCCTGAGCGACCTCAAGGAACATCACGACCCGGGAAAAGGTCGGAATTCGCCAACGGAGACATATCTCATTGAGCAATTCTGTAGATTGCTTTGAAAGCAGTTTGACGGAAGGCACGTCGGATGTAGCCTGTGTAGCTTCGAGCTCGCGATCTCGTAGATCATAGCTCAAGGCCTGAGACAAAATGAACTTGTAGAAAGCCCTAGGATCCGACGGTATGAAGGTGTAAGTGTCAGATTCGTCAGAGTCTTCTAGAGAAAGCCCACTCAAATCAACCGGCTGATCAATGACATAAGATGTTCTGTCAGTCCGACCAGATGATGTCCTTGCCAATTCAGGATTCTCATGGGGACTCGAATTGAACTGGGGAAGAGCCCCAAGGCTGCTTTTGGCCAGCTCGGGGTTGCATTGTACAATTGCGAGCATCATCTGTGAGAGATCAGGGCCTTCGCTCTTTTTCCAGGCGTCATAACCCTCGTCAGAGTCGAAATCATCCCTTGACAAAGTCTTGTGTGTCTGCAGGTTCAGGTGGGCTTGATATGTCTTCAAGTCCTGCAGAGCAGCCTTTTCGGTCCATTTGGACTTGTGTTTATCAATCTCGGATTGCGCTTGGGATGTAGTAATCCCGAAGATTTTGGCCACATGCTGCACGAGAGGCATGTCATTCACATTATAACTCAATGTGCCAACGCTCTCGGTCGAAGATGCAGGGCCATTAGTTTGCATAAGATCCTGATCTTGCAGGAGTAGCTTGTTTTCCAGCACGGACAATCGATTGGCCAACTCGGGGCGATCCTTGGACCACTCGTGATCTTTCAATGTAAGTGCAAGGAGTCGGACAAAAAGCGCAACATGCCGGTCTACCATAAACTTCCAGCTGTCGTCGTCAAGCTCCTTGCCCTTGCTAAGCTCTTTGACAGCATTCGAGTAGAAGATAAGGAGGAGATCTTCAGCTCGTCGGTCTTTCTCCATGCGTTTCCGAAACGAGTCTTCCTTCAAAACGTTCAAAAACACAGCAAATGACCGCACCACTAGGTGATCTTGGTATTCTTTCCTCTTCTCCTTTCCCATTAACACACCGGTCAGCCGCCTTTCCAGCTCAGAAACAAATCCATGGGGGATCCTCGTGCTTTTGGAGTCCCTGACCAGGGAGAAATCGCTCATCAAATCATGGATTGAGGTAGAAGATCGCTTCGGCCGCGCCGGCGCGACGGGGGCATTTTGGATGCGACGAGAGCGAGGGTGAAGGAGGTAGGCGAGGTAGGCGATCCGAAGGGCCTGGCTGTATGCCACGTTGGCGTTCAGGGGCCGTCGCCGCGATGCGGAGGAGTTGCGCGTGTGTTTATTATCATTCTGGAGGCTGTTAATCCGTCGGTTGACTCCTCGGGATCGGCTAGATGCTGTCGACATGGGGTGATTCAATTAAATTCGTGCAACGTTAGGAGATAAGAAACAACGGAATGCGGGACCATGGAGGAAGTTGAAAGGCGAAGCACCCAGCACCTGGACGAAAGGAGCTTTCTCAGGAAACTCGTCTTCTTTCAACCTGGAGTGGAAAGCCGTGGCAGGGCTGGAGGGGTGGATTGTTTATTGAAGGGGATGGAGAGGGGGAAGAGTGAAACAAAAGCTGCCGAACCAACTGACGTAGGCGCCCCCGTCTTAAACAATTCTATTTACCGCCTGACAGCGTCACTGATGACTCTAGTTTATTTTGTTTGTTGTCTTCTACAAGTGTCTAATGCCTAAGTAGATATTGTTGGCCCAAGGAGATCTGATCCTTGTTCTCCCTGGATGGGGCCAAATACCCAATGGCGCTACCGAGGGATCGTCACAGCTGCAGAGCTGCAAAGCTGCAAGGATTTTATGGTTATTTGGCGATTCCCAGCGAGCACCTGGATATGTAGGGACCATATGTACCCTGACCTTGCGAGTACCAAGTGGATGGGAGCTTAGGCATGGTCTGCCCTTCCAAGGTTCTGTTCCTTTACTGGTGGTATCAACGAAGCCAAACGTCAATACCAGGTATCATGAATCACACGGCACATACGACAAAGACATAAGTGATTTTGATCCAAATTCATTCCGAGCATGCGATCGGGGGGTTTCGGGTTTTGATGAAACATAGGACCGGTGGAAGGATCACCAGTCCCAAAAGACGCCGAATATAGAAAATCGTACTGGTATTTACACAAACAAAAAGAAACCAGATTTCAATCACCACTTGTCCTCACCGGACTTGCGAGCCTAAAGCAGATGGTCAGCTCATTGTCTTCGCGAGGGTGACTTTGGTGATCATGTCCTATACATACCGGCAAAGCATTGGGACCTCCCAACTCCTTCTCCAGGCCATCGACGTAAGTCTTAGGAGCACTGGGCTTGTCAGGGTAGTTCAGACTGACAACGCCGACCAGGCCCAGGAAAGCAGCAACGAAGCATCCCAGGTGGAAGAAACCCTTGCTGGGCGAGACGTGGGTATATTGCTCGGGACTGAACACACCGAGGATTTCGTTATCCTCGTGCACAGGCTCGCCGAAGTTGCGCTTCTCTTGCGCATCCCACCAGCCGCCGTGAGGGTCTCTGAATGCTCGCTTGACTCGGGGAGGGTTGGGGTAGTTGTTGTTCTGTCTCGGGGTTAGGTCCGGGATTGCTAGATAGAGACATGGGATGGATGCAATTCGGATGTTATACCTGCAGAGGATCCTCAACCGAGGCAGCACGGAGGGCTGGCATTTGGGAGAAGGATGCACGGGGAGCAATTGCTCGGGCGGCAACCTGGGGCAGGCGCCGGGCCAAGATCCGTTGAGACAGCATCTGGAAGGAATTGAAGGTCAGAAATGCTTCCGGAGAGGGTTGAACATAAGGCGGAGCCAAAGAAACTACTCACTGTTATGCTGGAAGACAAGCAGCAAAAGAGTGTCAAAGGTAGGCAAGAGAGCCAATTGGGTAGAGGGGGTTGAATATCGATGATGAACGGATGGAGGTTTGCGGAATGTAGTTGGCCTGAGGCAGCCAGTCACAAGACTCAGGCATCCACGCGCGGCGCGACCATGTAATCGCTCGCCCGAACGAAAAAACCACTCTCCACGTATTCTCATCATCCCCGTTGTTTTTCCGTCCCCATCCACCCCACAGTGCCGATAAGCATGCCAAACTTTGTGTAGTATCTCTACTCGATATTCCCTATTTGCTGATGCCAAAATATCTTGCTCCGACTGCGTCATTGTTGGGATAACTGGGGTCACTTGCCAGCAACGGCCCCTGTCGTCTGCAGCTACAAGTCATGCAAGACGGCAGCCCCAACGGCCCATCACCCCAAGATGAAATTGTAACGCCTGTGTCAGATTCTACGCATTTGAACGGTTCCGTGTTCGAAAAAACGTCGGATTCTATGCCCTACGAATCAATTCCTTCCGAGCCGAAAGATATCGAAGCTATTCACCAACCCGAAGAACCCCCATCAAAGAAAAGGAGACTCACAGACTCCTCCTCGTCACAACGCTCCACTCCCCGCCCACCATCGCCTCCTTGGAAAAAGGCTGGCTTTGATGGGCCAACATCTTTTCTCTCTGAGGGCAAGCGCAGATCGTCGCGGACAAACGTGGTCCCAATCGAGTTCCAATCTCCCTCGGATAAGAGACACACGCGTGGGGCTCAAAATAAGAATCTTGGCAAGTCTGCTCGTGATGGAACCAAACCAGCCACATCCTCGCCGCTGTCAGTGACCCAGTCCCGCGCCGATGCCAACGGGAAGCTGGGTGGGAAATCGACTGCCAATGGATCGCCCAGAGCGCCAGCTTCGCGCGCTGTGGCCAACAAATCGCAGCGTATCTCCCAGATCTCAGCACCAAAGCCGAGTCATTCGCGCGCGAGATCTCGCAGCTCCGCTACCCTACCTCGTCCGTCCGGTGCCAACGCGAACGGTACAAGTTCGCGCTCACTTCGCGATCGACAATCCCTTTCAAATCTCTCACATGAAGTTGATGGAGCTTTAGATGCCAGAGATACCGACGACGAGGAATTTGAACAAGGGTCGTTGAGAGGTCCACGATTGCGCCTCAACTTGAAAAAGCCCGTCCTTCCCATCCGACACCCCGGCCACATACCGCAGAAGAAATATGCGTCGTTCAGGGAATGGGTGGAACAAGAGGATCGCTCAACCATACTATCAGAGGAGGAGGCTGTGGTAGAAGCGCGCAGACGGCATGAAGTCATATCAGCCGCTGAGCCTGGTGGACCGCTGAGCTCGCAAGTTTGCTCGGCATTTATCACAGAACAGCAAGAGGAGCCACCCCCACAGTATTCGCATCAAGATCATTTGGTCTCCCACGCTCTCTATTTTCAAAAACTCCTCGAAAAGGAACACAAACGTCATCAACACACAGCCAAGCTGTTCGCGCAATGGTGTGCGGATGCGTACCGAAAACGCCATAAGAATCCCGAAGATATCTTGCGTGAGCAGCAGGAGGAAATGCGCGGCAAACGCAAGCAGCTATCAAAGGATCTTCAGAAGATGTTCGACCTGACCCGTGCTGATATTGACCGAGTCCGTCTAGCACGCTGGGAAGAAGAGCGTAAAATGGAAGACCAGCAGGCCCTTGATCGCGCTATCAAAAAATCCACAATGCTTTTTGAAAAACGTCGATCGGAGATTTTAGGCGAACTGCCTAGCGATGCTCCTGTGACGACGGATGATGAGGACGCTGTATCAGGGGTCTCGTCTGACTCAGATGATGAAGACGAGAGTAATATGTCAGATTCCGAATCCGCAACCGACGACGAGGGCAATGTGGACGACGATGCCAAATTGACGGCGGAGGAGCTCCGATTGAAGTACGCCAACCTATCCACTGAAGCTTATTTCGACCGAATGTCCGTAGTCTCAGACAGCACGGCAATGACAAACCCCAACGAATCTCTGGACCCCGAGCTTGCTTTAGATGGCCCCGATCCGCACGGAACTCCTGGACATGCCCAACTAGACGATGTTGACTCAGTATTGATGGATGATAGCGATGCCTCCACAGACATGGATGATGACATGGGTGATAGTGACGAAGATGAAGAAGGCTCAAGTGAGGAAGAGTCGGATGAGGACGACGAGGATGACGACAGACCTGGCTTGCTGGGCTTCTTCTCCAAGAATGAAACACCTGTGCCAAAAGATGGCGAAGAAATACCAGCTGTGGACCACGACGATGATATCGATTTGAAATCGGCATCGGCATCCGAGGCTGAGGATGACTTCGAGTTTGACGACCCAGATGAAGTTTCACTTGTTCCAATTGGACCAACAACTAGCGAGGGCACTTCAACAGAAGGCACGCCCTTACATATGGCCAATATTTCTGAAGCCTCTCCTGCCACCGGGGGAGAAACACCTGCCAATCTAGAAATTGACGATGCGGTTTCTATTGTCGATACACCAATGCAAGAGGAACTCGCTGGACCGGAAACTAAGGAAGTTACCCCTGCTGGAGTTGCAGATGACAGCGATGAACTTAAATCTATGGAAATAGATCAGATCAATGACAATCAACCAAGCGGGGAAATTTCGAGTGAACCCTCACCTGGAACTCTCGCAACCAAGCCATCCGAGCCCGAGTCGGTCTCGTCATTGGAGCCTGGAATCGAAAAGGCTTTGCAAACAAGTCACTCGCCTGCCCCGGGCCTCAAGACACCCATTCCGCACCTCTTGCGTGGTACACTGCGTGAATATCAACACTATGGGTTGGATTGGCTTGCGGGTCTCTACAACAACCACATCAACGGTATCCTGGCAGATGAGATGGGTTTAGGTAAGACAATCCAAACAATTGCCCTCCTCGCCCATCTTGCTGTGGACCATGGCATCTGGGGTCCACATCTGGTAGTCGTCCCCACTAGTGTCATGCTCAATTGGGAAATGGAGTTCAAGAAATGGTGCCCAGGTTTCAAGATCATGACCTACTACGGCAATCAAGAAGAACGCAAGCAAAAACGACGAGGCTGGACAGATGACAACGCGTGGAATGTATTGATCACATCGTATCAACTCGTCCTGCAGGATCAAATGTCTCTCAAGCGAAAAGACTGGCATTACATGATCCTTGACGAGGCGCACAACATCAAAAACTTCCGCTCGCAGAGGTGGCAAGCTCTGCTTACGTTCAAGACCCGTGCCAGGCTTCTTTTGACTGGTACGCCACTCCAGAACAATCTTACGGAACTGTGGTCTCTTTTATTCTTCTTGATGCCATCGGATGGTCACAATGGTGGCGTCGAAGGATTCGCTGATCTGAAAGATTTCTCTGAATGGTTCCGGCGCCCCGTGGAACAAATTTTAGAGCATGGCAGGGATACTATGGATGAGGAGGCTAAAGGTGTGATTACGAAACTTCACACCGTTCTCCGTCCATACCTCCTTCGTCGATTGAAGGCTGATGTTGAGAAGCAAATGCCTGGAAAATACGAACATGTTGTCTACTGCAGGCTATCAAAGCGTCAACGATACCTTTACGACGGCTTTATGTCGATGGCCCAGACCAAGGAGACCCTGGCGTCCGGAAACTTCCTCTCCATCATTCACTGTCTCATGCAACTTCGTAAAGTGTGCAACCATCCCGATCTTTTTGAAACTCGACCCATCTCCACCTCCTTTGCAATGCCGCGATCTGTAGCTATGGACTTCAATGTTAAGGAATCCCTTGTTCGACGGAGACTACTTTTTGAGCATCCACTCACTAAAATCGACCTGGATTTCCTCAACCTCGCACCCGTATCACGGGAAGATATCTCACGACGGCTGGCCGACGATAGTATCAGGCTCATGGCTATTGGTCCGTTCAAGGCTCTCCGAGAACGCCAGTACAACCGAACCAACTGGGAGATGGACTTTGACGGGTCAAACATGCAGACTATTTTGGAATCTTTGGAGAATGCCTGCCGGAAGAGACGGATGGCGGAGCTAGAGCGATGTCTCTACTTCGAATCTAAACGCCACGGCCGTCGGCCCATCTACGGGAGTAGCCTAATCGAGTTTCTCAGGGCTGGGACCAAGGAACACGCGCTATCCAATGCACCGCTACGGAAGCGCTCAATGGCCGATTGGTTGTCGAGTCGATCCTCTGTCCTCGCGTCGATGATCCTGACCGTCGAGGAGCGGGCTCTTGAGATGCACGGTTATGTCCAGAGATTCGCCTGCGTCACCCCTGCTGCCGTCGCCGCGGGTATGAACGAAGCTGCCTTGACTCCAGTCGAGACCCGGCTTTTGACCAATAACCGTCCAAACCCGCCTTACGATCCTTTCCACGAAGCACGGATGCGTCTCTCCATCGCATTCCCAGATAAGAGACTGCTACAATACGACTGCGGCAAATTGCAGCGCCTCGATAAACTTTTGCGTGACCTCAAAGCCGGCGGACACCGAGCCTTGATCTTCACTCAGATGACCAAGATGCTTGATATTCTTGAACAGTTCCTGAACATCCACGGCCATCGTTATCTCCGACTTGACGGAACCACGAAAGTCGAGTCACGGCAGATGCTCACGGAACGGTTCAATAGCGACCCTCGGATTCTCGCTTTCATCCTATCGAGTCGATCCGGTGGTCTCGGTATTAATCTTACGGGCGCCGACACTGTCATTTTCTACGACCTGGACTGGAATCCGGCCATGGACAAGCAATGTCAAGATCGCTGTCACCGTATCGGTCAAACGCGCGATGTCCACATTTACCGCTTTGTCTCGGAATACACCATTGAATCCAACATCCTTCGCAAAGCCAATCAGAAGCGCATGCTCGACGACGTGATCATCCAAGAAGGTGAATTCACCACCGATTACTTCACCAAGCTAGACGTGCAAGGGATGGCCGAAAGCGACGAGCGCGACGGCCACGACGAGGCAAGCGCAGCCATGGACCGAGTCCTTGGCAATCGCGTTGGAGGCGGCACCCGTGTCTTTGAAGCAGCGGAAGACAAGGAGGACTTGGACGCGGCGAAAAATGCGCAGAAAGAACAGGAGCACGCCGATGATGGCGATTTCGAGGAGCACAGTGCTTCGCATGGCACACCGGCGCAGGCTGGAACGCCGTTGGCCGTGGAGGACGTAACTGCCGCGCCGACCCCTGTGCACGTGTCCGGCGAGCTCCCCGATGGAGAGCCACAACCTGGCCACGTCGATGATTATCTCCTGCGCTTTATGGAATGGAACATGAAAGACGAACCCTTGGTTCTGCCACCGGATAAGAGCAAGAAGAAGTCCAAGAAGGGCAAGGAGCATCATCTCAAGCGACGCCGTTGAAGATTCATTTGCCCTTTATTTGCCCCGTTGACTCCACCCCGACCGTTTCATAATTCTCTTCCTTCATGGAATTGTCTACTTGTTTGGTTTAGCTGTGTCTTCTCCTCGGGGCTTCTCCCCGGTTGGGCATCGAGTGTTGTAATAGTCTCTATGGAGTGTGTATAATCCAGGTGTTGATGTTCTCGATTCCATTATTCCATTATTTCTCTTTCAGCTGTCTATGATTACTTTACCCTCTTAACTCTTTTTATTTTATTTTTTTTGGCTCTGTTCCTTTCTCCTTTTCTTCTACGGAGTACTCGCCTCCCGTGTTAATCTATTACATCAACCAAAGAATCAGGATCGCAATAGAATCAAGAACCCGTCTTTAGACTTCATCAATGCACATCGGAAGTATCGGAAGCGACTAGCGATTTCAGGCAATCTTGTTAAATCAATAGTGTACTGGCCGGAGATTATCCCCAAGCCGAGTGGATATCTGCCCAATCCGTCGTGGGTCTGCATGGAAGATCAATTTCAACAGTAACCGTCGGGAGACCCTGCTTTGGCCACTAGTCCTGGAGGCTATTGGCATTTAGCAGTGTCTGGATATTAATATCAATAGTCATAGCGGGATGGGAAATTGCCTGTCATTGCGGCTGAGTAAATCGGGGAAGATAGCGTGGACATATGCCGGAGATCGTGGGATATTGCGACACCACACGTATTCCGGTTGGAGAGCATGGGCCTTTTCTCCGAGTCCCCGAGTCCCCGAGTCGCAGGATGTGGGTAGATCGATGTACTCCGTACGGAGTACGGAGTATGAGTAGTCAAGATAGGCAAAGAAGAGGGGCTATTCCCAAACCATAAATGGAATACCAAAACAGTAACATCCAGCGAGTTCCAATCAAGATTCAAAGCGAAGAGAGACGATCTCCTCGGGAGGCTTTCCCCTATTCTCCCGTCTTCTCCAATGAGGGACCCGGGGTCCGGTCGATCCCCCCAAAGCCAAATCTCACTACCTCGGTAAGTTGTCTCCGAGCAGCCATTGAGCGCGCCCGTCGAGGGGATGCTGCTATGAGGCAGTGGAGTTGGCGACTTCGGATACGATTCGGATATGCCTTCGCAGATGATTTCACCCATGAGTTCATGATAGCACCGCACCGTTGCCGAGTATTCCCCGACATGGAAAGGGGCCCACCGATCCAGTGTCTCCGAGCTGTGGAAGAAGAAGTGTACGACGGAAGAAGCCTCTTGCAGAGATGCTCGATCCGGTCATGGGCCCCGGCTCTTAAGCTTTGGACGCTCTCACCATGAGATGCAGGAGATCCATGATGATCCGGAGATCAAACTCTACGATGTACTCCGAACGATGCGCGATGTGCTCCGTGGACCGTTGGGCTCTGTCCTGGCAGATTAGCGCGGATCGAGTTTCTTTTTCTCGAAATATCGTAAACAAAAAAAAACAGAACCCAAATCACAAATAACATAACATTCCCCCCGTCATGGAAATAGGGGGAATGGTGCGAACAGGAAAAATGAAAGAAAACGGGAAAAGCTAATAATATGGATAATAGGATCCATGACCATGACAGCTTGCTTTTGTGGACCAGAACCTCCAACGGTGTATGTTGTACGCCGGCATACAAAGTATAGGAGAGTATTCCAAATCACAGCTGGAGTTGTAATTGGTGTAGACGGAGTAAGGAGTCGCGGAGGATTCCGTACTCCGTATACAAAGTACATGTCAAAGAAAGAAGCCTTGACATCGTACATTTGGAGGCGCGCGGGAGTGAAAGCCGAAGGAGGATCCCTGTAGGATCTGGGCTCCCGTAAAATCAAAATAGATTAGCTGAAGGTCAACAAAGAGGTTAGGTTTCCAGTCTCCACCGGGGAGAAAATCCAATAGACCAGGGCAATAGACCAGGGCAATAGGCCGGCATTTCTCCAGATTCTCATTCCCGAGATCTGTTTCTGACCATGGGTCAGTGGGTCGGCTACAATATGAAGAGCCGAAGCCGGACGTCGAGATGTGACATATGCAGGCCGAAGAACGCAGTGATTGCCACTCTGGAGTCACTCTGGAGCATGGGACACTTCATGCAGCGTGCAGTTTCGGGCCCGTGCAGGTCGATTCACGTCAGGTCATACCCATGTCTTGACATTCCCAACTCGAGGCAATGGTGTGCTCTGGGAATCCCTGTGAGGGGACCGGTCTCCAGGTTCAAACGTGGAGCCCGATAATATCCACTATTGAGGACCCGGGCAGATCGTTGGCGATCAACTTGCCAGATCGATTGGCGCTCGCACGAACTGGTACGCCAGGGCGCCATACCATTGGCTTAAGGCGTGAGGGGGCGCGGCTTGACACTAGTTCTGACACCATGTGCTTTAGCGGGTTCACCTCCAGCCGTCACAGTATTGGTCCTTATGGTCTGGGGGAACCGCTATTCCCAGCAACTCGGGCGCTATTCGTACGATAGCGCTGATGGATTTGGGCACATGATGCGATGATTCTGTTCTCGCCCTTTCGGACATGCCCCCCATATGGGGGAGGTTTCCAACTCCGTGCTTTTCAATCTTGTATGTACTCTAGCAAAGTTTGGTCCTCTCAACGGTCTGCGAAGACTGAAGAATCGTCTCCCCTGAAGATCCCGAGGTAGCGATGATCGGACCCCAATGCCTCCCGCGGCCGAAAGGAGAGAGGGGGCTTATCTTTGGAGACCGTAAGAAGGCAAGACCCTAGTTCCAAATGCACAGTAAATCACTCCTGGGGAACTCTAGGCCGTGTGTCTCCGTATAACCGTTGTGTTGGGATCGCTCTTCTCAGGGTCCGTTGCCCTGAATGACAAATTCCAAATCTCTCTGGACAGGTCGAATGCGAGAAAGAAAGAACAGCACCACAAGTATCTGTCAAATCCTGATGATCCATCCAATTCCAATGCTTTGTTCAGATGCGCCAAGCACTGGACTGGGGATAGTGAGACCAGGCAGATGAGCTGTTCCGTCGTGATCCACTTGGAGTAATGACATCGCTCAGGTCGAAAAAGGCTTGATGATCGTCGAGCCCCGATCCACTTGGGCCAATGACTTCGCTCTGCAAATCTCGTTCATGATCGACGCCGCGTGCTGGACCGACGCCACGGGGTGACGCTAATGGGTCCGGATTTCCTGTCGATGAGACAATGGGATGTCTGCCTCGGAAAGACCCTCTTCTTTCCCCCCCAGGGCGCAGTATATTCCCTACATATAGTCGTTGGCTCGCCCGTTTCCTGTCTTTTTCTTGTTGATCATTTGGATCTTCAGTGACTATCTTCAGTGACTATCTCCAATTACCTATTTTCTCGCCCCTTTTCTGGTCAATTGGACTGTGCATTCCCGGTCATGATGAAGACTTCCATCTCCTCCGATGTATGGGAGAAGAAGAAGGCATTGATTGCCAAGTTGTATATGGAAGAGGAATGGCCCTTGAAGCAGGTCATTAAGCAGATCCGCACCGATGACTTCAATCCTAGGTGAGTGTGGTCTTAATGTCGATACCCGATACCGGATCATGAATGATCGATTGACATCCGTGCCAGTGAAACCCAACTACGAAGCAGACTGAAGAAGTGGCGGGTGACCAAACCATCTCGCCAGACTCGAAAGAAGAGTTTGGCGTCGGCCCAGGGGGAAGACCCAAAATCAGACAAGGATGCGAAGCAGAAACCATCCACTGTTCAACGCCCATTGCCATCACTACCAACAAGTGCGGCCCCAACACATGAATGGTCCATGACGCGTCCTATGTATGGACAACCCTCCACACTCCAACATCCCATCCCAGATCACGACCAGGACCGTAAATGGGGCTCTCCCATGATTCAGCAGCTCACTCCAAGCCCATCGGGGGAGCACGTCCTCACCGTGGACCGCACAACTGCCGTCTCCTACCCAGACCCCAGCCCAACGGCAACATCCTTCGATCATGGACACACATCCCCTGTCGTCGAGGGTCTTCTGCTGAACACTACCTCCACCGTGGCTCCATCTTACCAAACCTACCCGCTCTCTCCCGAATCATGCATCCCCAGCCCGGGTGCGCCAGCCACTACAACCCCCAACAGCATTGGCTGGCCGACCCGCGCCGTCTCAGCAGACTACGGTCTCACCCCTAACCAGTGGTACTCGCTGCCCTTCGAAGCCATCACACCCCCAGCGGTCGTCCCTCAGTCTACAGCTGCTCCCATGGCGTCTTCAATCAACGGTTACCTCCCCGGTCAAGGCCAGCTCTACCACCCTCAGTACAACCACTACCATGCCGAGACACACGAGTACCCACATGGTTACAACGACGCTAAGAACTGGAGGCGTGCCATGTCGTTGCAGTATGATATGGCCGGCCACCTTTCTGGGCGTCTAGGGCACGGGGATGGGAAGCAGATGCCGCCTCACAGCCAGTCACATCCTATAATATCACCGTCGCATACTCAGTCTGGGCCTCAGCCGGTGATGTGTGCCCCGATCATGCCTTACATGAGCCATGATCAATATGCGCCGAAGCCTCCGAACATTGGATATTAAGCGGGAATTGCTTCTATGACTTGCGTCTTGTCTTTACTTGTGTTAACTAGCTGTGATACCTTGATACCTTTTTGGATTGTGTTGAAATATGGGTGGTCTGTCTGTCTTGTCATACCCGGTGTTATGTGGTTTTATGATGGTTATTGTTTTATTGAAGGGAGTTTGGATGAAAATGCTGTATACTGATACCTACCAATTGATTAATCTTGACTCGACCAAATGATTGTACGGAGTATATGGAAGTAATTGAACCCAACCCTATGCCAAGACCAGATCGGTAATTCAAAAAGGGGACCTCGGCATCTTGCGGGGAAGTTGGTGTAGCTCCAGTTCCTTTTATATATATGCCTCTCCCCGGTTTATGCTCTCGAGTCAGACTGTCAGACTGAAAATTCCCCCGTTGCTCAACCCCAATCTACATCCCAAAATGCGTGCCGTCCAAGTCAGCGAATATGTCAAGGTATCTACTTCGACTCAACTCCAACTCATCCTCCAAGCTAACCTACGTATTAGGGACCCCTGGACCTAAAAGTAACAACAGTCCCAACTCCAGCCCCCTCACCAGACAAATACCTCATCGAAATCCACTCTGCGGGGACAAACTTCTTCGACATCCTCCAAATCCAAGGCAAATACCAACACCAACCGCCCCTACCATGGATCGGCGGCGCCGAATTCGCCGGTACAATCATCGCAGTCCCAACCTCCCCAGCCAACCGCTTTAAAGTCGGCGACCGCGTCTTCGGCGCCACACAGGGCGCCTACGCAACTCACGTCCTGGCCGCAGAGCAGACCCTCCTCCCCGTGCCGGAGGGGTGGAGTTTCGAAGACGCGGCCGGATTGTTCGTCACGGCGCCGACGTCGTACGGGGGTCTGGTGCAGCGCGCTGGCGTCAAGGCCGGTGACTGGGTGCTTGTTCATGCGGCTGCGGGTGGGGTTGGGCTTGCTGCTGTGCAGATTGCGAAGGCGATGGGTGCGACGGTGATTGCGACTGCGGGGACTGAGCGGAAGAGGGAGATTGCGAAGGTGTTTGGGGCGGATTATGTGGTTGATTATGGGGATAAGGCGTGGCCGGAGACTGTGAAGAAGATTTGTAAGGAGAAGAGATCTGGGAATGGGGCTGCCGGGGTGGATATCGTTTATGACCCAGTGGGCATGATCGATGCGAGTTTGAAGTGTGTGGCGTGGAATGCGCGCTTGCTGGTTATTGGGTTTGCGGCCGGGAAGATTGAAAAGGTTGCGCTGAACCGGGTGCTGCTGAAGAATGTGAGCATTGTTGGTTTGCATTGGGGTCAGTATGCCAAGTTCGAGACGGAGACTGTGGGTGAGGTTTGGCGGGGGATCTTTGACCTTGTGAAGCAGGGAAAGTTCAAGGGGACATCATTCAAGGATGAGAGCTTTGTTGGATTGGAGAGTGTGCCTCGGGCACTGCAGGCACTGGGTGGTCGGGAGACCTGGGGCAAGGTTGTGGTGAACGTTGTGGGTGAGGCGAAGAGCAAGCTGTAGTTTGTTTCGGAGCTGAGACTACATTCGGAAAGATAGATACGTGTGAGAAAGCAATAGATTCCATTATATGAAGTGATAGATGTAGTGCGCAAGGAGTCATGCTCTCGTAGACAAAGTGAAATCCCCGAAGGGAAGACTCGAGCAAGTATAACATGAACTATGAAGGCCCTTTGCTTGCTCTGGCAACTTTTGATTTTCAAATGAGCACGAGTCCCCGAAGGAATCCGGCTCGCAATCCAGCTCCAGTCGGTCACGGCCACAAGACGCGGCGCTGTGGTGACTGTTCTCCAAAGGAGAGCCCTTGAAAATATCCGTATGGACTGGGACAGCTGGATTGAGAAGTTGCGGGTGGCAGACCTTGTCTGGGATTTGAGATGAAGCTGCAGTTAGTGTGGAGAAGACTTTGTTGTTTTGGCAAGACCCCATCAATCAGAATGCAGCATTATATTCTGAGCGATGGTGCCCAACGTAGGTATCTCAGCGAAGTTGGTATGAAAAATTGGCGAAGAAAAGAAGAGAAGAAAAAAAAAAACGAAGCGGGAAAATAGAGGCTGGGGACTGACCGCCAAGTTTCTGCCCGAATTGACTCCAAGGTATCCCTCCAGGCCTGTAACTAGGAGTTTTTGTATAAAGCAAAATATACGAGCTGAGATACCTAGACATAATAACAGGCTAAATGTCGGTATTTAGGCGCATACTGTGAAAATAAGAGCAATCAGCGGACTGTACACGGTGTAGCAACAACTGACACCTGAGAATCCATGCATATATCAACCTTCCGTTTTGGGAAGCATATCCGACTGAGCACTCTCTTTTCTTTGACTTTTTCTTCTTATTGGAAATACCTTTTTTATGGGTATGTAGCCCCTGGTATGGGCTTTGTGTCATAATGGATGCAACACACAATTTCAGAGACACAGGGCGAGAGAAGTCGACTGGGTTGAACATCTGGATAAACTCAATGCATAAAAAGATACAGGTATCTAGGTTCACAGTGAACAACTCCACATTCAAACCAGTTCAGTCATATTTCCATGATATTCATTACATCGACTTGGTTGATCGACGTGAAACGATCTGTTGGTTAGCCCCAAAGCCACAGCTATTGGATATGCAATTGCAAATGCAGATGCAGATTTCCCAAACACAATCGATGTGAAAATGAGCAAGAATAAGAAAAGAAAAACTAATCATAACATCATGGTAATCGTTCATCTCATAGGTAGGGTTTTCATTTAGATATCATGCATCACACCCAACGCATCAAAGCTCAATGATGACGCTCGCGCATTTCAACAACAGTAGTCCAACCCTCACAACAAGACCGGCTCATGTTATGTCCACACCAGCAGCAGGTCACCTTACGAGGCAAAAGAGGTGCAGGCCGCAGATCAGGCATGTTCTGGGCAGCATGAGCAGCTGGGAATTGTCCAAATGGCAGTGAGCGAGAACCTGTCAGCTTGCGAGGCCCCGTATCGTTTTGCTTTTTGGATCGGGACCTGCTCGTCTTGAGGTCGGTTCCAAGACGCTCTGGGCAGGCGAGACGTGCGTATACCTCAGAGGGTAGATCGTGCCAGTACTTGCAGCGGCAGCAGATGACGAATATCTTGGCGATGGTTACCGGAATGCGGGCTGCTTTCGCTTTCTGGGACCTTCGCTTTAAGATGCTCATAGGACCTGGTCGGATTTGAGGGCTGTCGGGGTGGATATCGGATTGCATACCAGAATAAATGTCAGGATGAATGCTAGGCTGCAAGCCAGATTGGATGCCGGGTTGGATGACAGGCTGGGTGCCAGGCTGGGTGCCAGGCTGGGTGATAGGATGTGTGCCAGACGGGATGTTGGGCTGGGCGGGTCGACTGGCAGGAGGCTCCTGTGTCACAGGCACCTCAATGGCCGAGGGTGTTGGGGGATTGAGGTCTGCCTGGGCCAGGGAGTTACGTTTGAATCCAGGAGACTCCGGTGTGTCTTCGTCAGCGGTGTCGTAATTTGAGTTTCCATCGTGGGAGGAAGCGTATGAAGGTGTGCGGCTATGCCCTGGTATGAACCCTCCAGGCCCTCCGATTGAAAGGATATTCCCTGGGAGTTCGGTGGAGTTACGGGAGGTTCGTCGGGGAGACCTCGCAGGAATGGTATACGTCTCATCTGACAGGTCTCTGGATCTCCGGTTGCTTCTCTCGCCAGGTGAAACACTCCCAGTATGAAAAGGAGATCTGACAGATACCTGGAAAGGAGACGCCGGAATGTCTCTAAGTGTGTCAGTCGACGTGGACGATACTCTCCGATTCTCTTGACTTCGCCTGTCACTCTTGACAGGAATCTCGGGCGGCTTGATCGCCTGCGGAGCATCTTGGAAGTTTTCCTTGAACCGACTTGACGTCCGCTGGGGGCCATTTGAGGAGGCGATGGGCAATCGGCTTCTTCCTCGATCCTCGGGATAGGGCTGGATGGGCAGCTGTGGCTCCAACGGGCTTGAATGGTTAAGGTTTTGCGCAGGCGGAGCTCTTGGAAGTATGGAATCTTTCTTGGACGGTTCGTCCGTATTTGCAGGATTGAGCGCAAGGGGGAGGACTTGTATGCTCGCGGGAAAGGGTCCACACGATTTTTTCTAGCAAGGTTCCCCGTGGCACTTGTTTGTGTCAGATTAAGTGGTTGATAGGATCTGGTGCTGGATGGGCTCGAGGGATTGTCTGGAGTCTCTGGGGGTGTTATCTCCTGTAACTGACGAGCTGTGATAACTTGCGTAGGCGACTCCGGATAGGGCTGACAGAGATCAGGCTGGGTCAGGTTTTGTGACATTGGCATGCTGGTAGTCCTAGCAGAACGGTCATGCCGATTTACACGATCAGGGGGATGTTCTATCGCAGGGAGGTGCTTTCTATCATGCCTCAAAGCTGCCGAAAACAGCTCACGATCTAGATCATCCGAGGAGGGTAGGTTGGTTGCTAGTGTCTCGCGATTTCGAGCATCGTTCCCAACTATAGACCGACTGCCATTGGGAATCTGCTCCGAAACCGACCGATTTGACAGATATCCGTCATTCTTCGTCTTCCAGGCTTCGGCCATCTTCCAGTTCTCGCGAAGGCTATCGGATTTTGCCGTAACGTGGAGCGAACGGTTGTACGTTGGGCTTGACATTTTCGACGCGGACAGGTTCAGCGCGGTGCCATGTTTGGACTGTAGCTCTCGGGTGATAGCTGTTCCAAACCTTTCCGGTAGAGTCAAGGGCAGAGAGGGTGGGTTCGTATCGGTCCTAAGCTGGCTAAACTCGGGAGACGGGAAGTCTAGATCACTCGAGTTGGAATTCCGGCGTGATCGCCGAAATAGCGAGGACAGCCCACTTGACGATCTCGGACGTTCTGAATTGACACTGGAATCTCTGCTGGAGCTGTTCACTGGTTGTTTCTTGGTCAGCCGGCGCGAGGATCTTTCGTAGATTCCGAGGTCGGCCTTGGACTGGGCATCCTCAAGTGCAAGCAAACGCTTCTCAAGTTCCTTTCGCTCCGCTTCCAGACGCTTTGTAACCCGCTTTTCTTTCTTTTTAGGTTTGTCCCAGGTCGGCGACTTGCATATGTTGTCTGCATTTCCATGGGGACGGCTGGTTGCCAAGGGTGTCATTTGTTGGGTTGGAGTGTCATCCTCCACGCGACCCCCAGGTGCAACTGAAAGACTAGATCCCGGTGTGCCGGCGGATGGAAGACGAGAGTTCATTGAGGAGTGAGAAATTGAGCTCGGTCCAGTCTCGTCATACAAGGAATGCCTCGCATAGGAATTCTTGTCGCTAGTTGCCTCTTGGGCGAGAGCTTCCCGGGCCAAAAAAGGAACTGGGGGGACAAACCCGGCATTTTGGCTGCGTCGTTTCTTCAAGAGGTCAAATAAAGCTCTTCAAGGTTTGCAGTGGCTCACTTACATCCGAAGATTTATTGAACACGCGATGGATATGCTCCGAGATGGATGATCGACGGGCCCGGCGGGGCTGGTCGGGCGAAAATACTTCCATGGGAGATTGAGTCTGGATAGGACTGGTTTAGCGACTGATCTGAACGGAAGCGACTGACATTGAACTGCGAAGCAGCCCGAGGGTTCGAAGAATCGTGAATCGTTAGTCGTAAGATGCAGGTTCGTCAAACAAAACAAAAACGAGGGAATAAGGCCAGAAGGCCGGAAGGAAATAAGGGAAAAAAAGCAAAAGCAAAAGCGAGAGTAAAACACCAAGAAAAAAAAAAGAGAGAGACGGTGTCCAACAGTCAAGAAGCGAAGAAATTCAAAATCCGCCACTTGAGAATGCATCGGCTGCATCTGAAACCTGCTATTCTTAGTGCGCCGTGGCTGAGAACATGTTTGTGTCTAGTACGGAGCACCCTAGTATCACATCCTCGGAATACTATCCCTCTCACTCCCAAACAAGTAAAACCAGACCTCCGTTCGGTTGCAAACTCGACTCTCGTGAGACTGGGAAGCGGAGCTCATTCGGCACCGCTTTGGCTCTTTGTGTCGATTTGAATCTCATCGTACGGAGTATCGTCCTTTCAATTTCATATTCTCTCTACATCAGATTTAGGTACCTAGGTACTCAGGAGACTATATATGTATCCATTACCATATTTCCTTGGATCAATGAAACGCCCACATAGGCTCAGCGATGCAGTCTACAATAGGGGCCACATTCGATCTATCTACTGCCTAGGTGTCATATTGATGCTACCTTTGTCAGGCTAGCCATCTTAGCCATGAGTCGCGATGAGGCATCTGAATCCTCCGGCTTTAGCCTCCCACAATATAACGGCAAAGGAGAGAGATGGACAACGATATGCCTAGATAGCTAGGTAGGAGCAGGACGCAGTCGAGACGAATAGCTTAAGATGAAGAGGGATAAGACATGACCTACATGTCGATCATGTCTATATGTATCCATATAGAGTATATAGTATATATATAAGTTATGTATATAAGCGCATATCAATCCGAACCATGGAACCATAGCGGGAAGAACCTCGGATCAATGCAAAGAAACCAGATCAATCGCCCTCTAGACTTCAACCTCCCTGCTCTTCTGCTCTCCATAACACTTCTACCGTCTTCGATCATCTCTACTCACATAAGGTTAGCCTTGATCACCTCCATTGTCTATCCTCATCCTTTCTCACCCACTAATCACTCACCTCTTTCTACCAGTATTGCACCAATGCTTATCAGTGATGGCTAATCCAGCTCCTGATCTCTGCCCAGGTGGCCTTCGAACTATCACACACCCCCTTTATGCCATGCAGAAGGCGTCGTTATCGTCGTGAATCCAATGAGTTGGAAGGCGGGATGAATCTGGAGCAATACATGGAATCCTCGGAGATTTATCCATCGGTCAGCCTCACCAGTCCACTGCCTCTACCGGTAAAAATGAAGACTGTGCCGAGATCCAAGCCATTACATATATGCCGTCACAATCTGGTTGTTACCACAATCTTCTAATGTGGGAAAATGAGCAAATCAAAATGTCCTTTGAACTTCTTCTCTATCTATCTTGGCCACTCCGACCCCAACATTCCTCCTCTTGGTCCCATCAAAGACGACAACATGGGACTCTTCTACCAGCACAAGATCAACGCACATATTCAGGTCATAAGCAGCAAGCACTGTCATCTCCTCTCTATGTTCTTCATCGCCTCAAGCCATCCACAACGCCATGCGGGCTGAGAACTTCGCCGACATTATCGCCGCGGCTCGTGTGTCTATCCCGACTACCACAGGGAGCTGTTTAATCGTATCCTTGAAATGGTCCAGATCATTAAGGATCACTTTATGAACATTCAACGTACCTAGATGACTATAAAGGGGTTGTTCTTCTTGTTTACTTTTTTTTCACTTAATGTAGCTTATTCTGTATCTTTCTTCTAATTCACCTTGATTTGGTTTTCCATTCTATAGAGTGGTTATCCACTTAGAGCTTAACTATGTCTTTTCTAGGATTTTACTGTTTGCTTTGTATCTCCTGTCCTACTAGTCTTTTGGGTAGTCTAGAATCTGCCATGCACCTTGCCACTCCGTAATCTTCCAACTCGAAAAGATCCAGTCCCTCAAGCCATCTTTCCTTACCTCCCTGCTCTCCAACCGGCCCCTCGCACCCTCTTACAAAGGCATAATTATCCCCCGCAATACGCTCATCTCCTACAAGAACAGCTGAGTCCTCAGCGCGCCGGTAGGAGTAGAATACCTTAAAAATAGGTGGGTATTGGGTAAATCCAATATCCACGTAGAATGACTGGATAGCCGTCTCTGAAATCTCAATCGGCCAAGCGTACTGATTTATAGCGTCCCTGATCTGCACAAGACCCCGTTCACTAGCTAGTTCTTCCGGCGTGTCCGGTATTGCGTACTTGATCTCATCGAAGCCCATCGCAGGGCCAATGGATAGAAAGCGGAGATTTGATATACCGGCGACGTATGATACAATCTGACACCAGTCCTCCCTAGCCGTTGTCTTGACACAGTGCCAGAGTGAGATGGTGAGTTTACTGAGGTGTGGTATCATATCTGCAGGGACGACCTCTGCCAGGAATACTGCCGCTGCGCATCTTTCTGGTGCGGCTTTGGCTTCGGCTGTGTATGAGTATGGCTTGTGGTGAGGGATCTCGAATGCATTTCGAGAGAAGAAAACCCGCATTGTTTCTTCTCGGTTGGTTCGAGATGTGTGGAATAGTACAACAGAGGGTTTCCAGCAATAGCAAGCCGGAGAATATGCCGATGCTTTTGCACCGCAGTAGCTTAGGCCCAGGCCTGTACCGTGCGCAGGTCCAGATTTGCAGGTGTTAAATTGGCAGGCGTAGTGTGTACATGCCCAGCAGTAGGGCTACCCACCATGCCAAGATGATAAGCCATGACGACAGTGGCAGCGGAGGGCATTGGGGGATCCACAGTTCCTGTGCATGCTTGGATGACAAGTGTCATATGGTGCACTACAGTGTGGTGGGCAGAATGTTAGATCGAGTGTATAGCCATGGTCTGGAGCCCATTGGAGCTTGTTGCGCGGGCTGATGAGATCAGTGTACTCGTAAACAAGTGACCTAATCTCACTGGGGAGCTCGAGGAATCGAAATGGCTGTACATGGGTGCTTGTCTGACCCATGCCCTGCTTAGCAACTTTCATAGGTACTGTCTGAATAGCATGGTTGCGACGATTGAGGGAGCATCAGGCTGTTACAGTGCAGACTTGGGAATATAACCAGAACAGGATGACGCAGAACAAGAATGAGACAGATGACCGGTGGAAATGAGTTCCCAATTGGGTCTACTCCAACGGCGTTGAGATTGTCATGTGAACTATATTCGTTCTCATCCACGAGGGACCGAATCAGGTGACGATCAGGTGACGCTCCAAAAGGCCATTCTAAATATATAACCTCGGAAGGATCAGTGATCAACCCGTGGACCATCGGAACCTTAGATGTCGACCTGGGAAGATCCATGGGGACGTGCTCAAATTTACTCGGAACGCCGACACCTAAAACGAGAACGGCAAGAAGTGGCAGAAGAAGTCAAATAGGTAATCTCTACACAACGTGGCACTCCCAAAAGAAACAACCTCGCTGTGTACGGAGTAACCCCCCATCCTTGTACAAGAAACCCCACAATGTCCAACCAACACCATAACCAGGTCTCCGACCTCCCGCCAAGTTATGATGCATCACAAGCATCCTGGTCGGGGAGCCCAAGCCAGCACCAGCCACAGGCCGAGGCCAACCCGCCCCCATATCACAACTGGCAAGAGGCAGTCCCCGACACAGCCACATTCCCACCACCACCGATCACAGGCTATTTGATCTCCGGCACAGGCAACGCCTCAGAAGACGATGCACAGCGCGCCCATGACTTCTGCGACTCGGTCCCGCTGTGGCTCCCCACCAAGCCCTCTGCCGCTGTGTACCACGACGTGCAGACGCACGATCTGAGACCCGTGCATCCGAACGAGCTGCGTGGCCACGTCTCGGCCGTGGCTCGCGGCCGCTGGCGTGGACACAGCGCCGATGGCAATGGGGACTGTGTCGTTCTCAGTCAGCTGCCGATGTACTTCCCGCTAGAGGACTCGCCGTTTGTGCGGGAGCTGAAAAAGACCATTTACTTTGAGGTGAAACTACTGGCGCTGAGGGCGGGCCCGACGCCGCAGGATTGCAGTGGGTTTTCGATTGGGTTTGTTGCGCAGCCATATCCATCGTGGCGATCCCCTGGCTGGGAAAGGGGTGGATTGGGAGTGTTTTCTGATGATGGATGTCGGTTTGTGAATGATTCGTTTGGGGGCCGGGATTTTACTACGGGGTTCAAGGTGGGTGAAACCGTTGGGTTGGGGATGGAGTTTTCCCTCCCAGATGATATCTGCAGTGGGGATAAGAACAAGAGATGCAAGGTGCATATCTTCTTCACAAGAAATGGACGCCGATCCGAGGGGTGGGATCTGCATGAGGAGGTTGACTCGGATTCCGGGGGCATCGAGGGCTTGGAAGGGGACTATGACCTCTACGGGGCGATTGGGCTGTTCGGTGGCGTCGATTTTGAGTCTTGTTTCGACCCTGCAGGCTGGCTATGGAAACCCGAGTGAAACGTGTGCGGTGCATATGGTTTAGTTCAGATCATCTTGCCAAGGGGGCCACGAGACTATAGGGCTGAAGCTTTGCTATGGCTTGCCCCCCCACCCTCCTCTCTATCGGGTTGCTTATGGTTGCTTATTTGCTGATCTAGTTTAGGACCTACAAATCCAATATTGGCTGCATATAGATTCAATGTAGCTTCACTCAGGGCGGGAATTTTAAAAGACCCAAAGCCATATCAAAACCAAGTAAAATATCGGAACGACCAAGGTCTCGACTCCCATGGACTATATTGCACAGCCTATTTCAACGGCCAACGCCGAGGGTATAGACCTGCATGGCGTAAATGGGGTTCTGCACATGTGTTCTAGAAAGGTACATCGATGATTTCTTTTCTTTTTTTTTTCTCTCCCTTTTTCTCCCTTTTTCTCCCTTTTTTCTTTTTTTTTTCCTTTTGCCAACACCAGACGTATTCCTGGTAATTGCTTCGCATTAGTGCCCGGGGGGAGGATGCACGAGGTGCATTTCCGCTGCGACGACGGTCCCTCTTACGTCTAGGTGCAGCCGCTGTTCCGCTGGCCCCTCAGTCTTATCCCAGCTGCATGAACGGGATTTTATTTGACGTCAGGATGTGCCGTGTGCATTGCGATCTTTGTCCTTATGCATATTTGGTATAGACCTTGGCGTTTCAATACGAGATGTGGACTCGGTGGTCTGATTTCCGTGATATTCTCGCGGGTTTGATATAGCGAGAGGTATGGACTACGGAGTACGGGGTACGGGGTACGGGGTATCTAGGTATCTAGGTACCTAGGTACCTGGCTAGAAACGGATGAGCGGGTGACAAGCTGACTGTAGCTAATCAAAGTGCATTGGTACCTTGTAATTCAATCGTTCATTACTCTGGACTCTTGGATCTACAGTGTGCCTTGGCTTAACCTCGGTACGGAGTCCGGAGTACAAGGTAGGGTATAACGTCCTCCGTCCAAAAGGACAAGTCTAGCCAACGAGCGCACTGACAGCAGAGTAGATAAGCCAACGCTCGGAACTCCTCTACATACCCATGTCGGGTAAGCGATCATGCGTCTATTCCCCCAAGTCACGCCTGTATTGAGATCTGAATGGCCAGACGGTCTCAGAAAGAGCCGCAGTGGCCAATCTCAAGTCGAAGTCAAAATCCCAAGACCTGTCCATCGCCATAGGTGCATTTAGGCTTCCTTCCAACGGAGAAGCCCTCGATTCCCCCTTCTCCGGTATGGTAACGCTGCCCTCTAGGGCTCTCCTATTAAATACCAGCTTCACCCGTTTCGTATCAGAATTACCCGGGTCAGAGAAGATTAGGATCCACCTGTGGAGACCGAAGTCGGTGATTATCCCGAGACTACCAGCGATGGTTGCAGTAAATTGCCAGCCACCAAGCCATTTGCTGCACCTAACCCACCAGAGAGCGGTTAGAATGGCACGGATGATTTTCCCCCGAATATACCAATGACCTGCGACCTCCGAGCATCCAACGGAGGTTTCCCTTTGCAGCTCCGGAGAACGGGTGGAAACTACCTTAGGTAGTACTCGATCGTGTTAGATTATGTTCCCCCCTGCAGCTGCTACGCCGTTGCCACCAGATCGCGCTATCGTTTCCATGTATCCTTTCTCATTTGCCGGTGGACATTTAGTCAATGCTGACAGTTAGATTGCCGTAGGTTTCTCGTGGATCCGGTTTTTCTCACTTGGCGAGGGGTACGGAGTAGAAACAACTGGGAATTGATCTTCAAGAGAACACACAATGGGATTGTGTCTTTTGTCAAAACTGCGCTCCACTGAAAAGTTACGAATTCCCCCCACAGTCGATCTGAATTTCTGAAAAATACAGACTAGACTACAACGTACTCCGTACTCCGCGCCTGGAGGTGAATCTACACACCCTGGTCAACAGCGTAGACCTAAAAGGGGACGGACACAGGATAGTCTCGGCTGCTCCGTTCTATTCTGTTCTATTCTCCTTTTCTCATCTCCTACTGGAAATGGATTTGGGCGGCAGATTGGCTGGGGGGCTTTTTTTTTTTTTTTTTTTTTTTTTCCGGCTTTCGTCTTTTTCTTTCTTTTGATCGACTGCATGTCATCGCCCCTTTTTCCCGTGATTTCGAGGATCCCGTTTGGCCCCCATTTTATACACCCACGTACGGAGTATATATGTATATATATATATAAATGATCAATATATTCCGTTTGGGTATTTCGATGGTCACTCTCCTGGATGTGGAGGGCTTTTCGGGTCTATGCGCAATCCACTTCCCCCTTTCACACCTACTAAGTAGTTAGAAATCCGGCCATTCCCGGCGTCGGTGGAGTTGAGCGGGTTCAACAGGGCCCTGGGAGTCCGTGCAGCCGAGATACGCGTCTGTTTCACTCAAGACGTGACCTGGCCGGTCGGACATTGTACTTTCGAGTTTCGGCTCGGCCGGGAGAAAGGCTATACAATGCAAAGTCTATGGACAAATGTACCCATCTGCATATGCAACGAACCCAGATAGAACTGCTGCAGATAGAATGAAACACGAGGCCTAAGCGAAATCAAAAGTACCCGATTGCGTAGTCGGTTGAGTTGGGACGATCACTGCGAGATATCCACTTTGGGCCTTCTGCAGCTACAATCCCATGGATCCTTCGGCCGTGCCCCCATTCCGCTGCTTCACGGTTAGACGCCAAAGCGACCTCTGGCGCGAGTCAGCGGTTGAAGGGTCGGATATGAGTCTGAATGCAACTATATCGGGGTTAGTCGCACGGAGTACTCCGTGTCTTTCGGACATCAGAACGACGTTATGTGTTTGGATATGTATAATTATGTATATTGTATATTATAATATATGTACACTCCGTACTCCGTACTCCGTATTCCACCCCCTCCCCCCTCCAATATGAGCTATTGTATTGTGTCCGAAACCTTGTCAGCACGGTCTCTTTAAGGCCAAGGTTCATCTCAGGTACTCCGTACTCCGTACTCGTGACTACAGGTACGTTTCCGCCACCGAGGCAGCTGCCCTTAACCTGGTATTTCTGCCTTCTTCCAAGGTTTGCTACACAATGCTTATATCTGCCTAGGTACCTAGGTACATACCTACATACCTGATGTACCTCTGGGTAATATCTGGTATCTTTCCTTTCAATACCGGTATTGCCCCACTCGAGCTTGTGAAGAGCACGAGCGAACAGGCTGTTACACGGACACTTGAGCGATCGCCACTAGGATTACCCGTTTTTTTTTTTTTTTTTTTCTCTGTTCCCTTTTCCCTTTTCCACTTCGGTTCGAGGCCTTTTTGCCCTCTCTTTTTTTATGGAGTCACAACGACTTGGTACTAAGCATTTGCCTCTCACAGGCAGTTTTTTCCGACCAATACCTTAGGGTCACGATCCCCGAGATTATGCCAGACCGGATCCTTGAAAGTACAAAATAGATGAAATTCTTATTAAAACGTACTTTTGGCGGATCCTCCCGAGGCTGCATACTTTTTTTTTTCTTGACAAGACGCTAATAGTATTGAGGAAAATCCCATTCCACAAATCAACCGATTATCAAATACCTAGCCACTGCATAGCCTATGATCTGTGCAGAAGGTCAGCAAGATGGAAGATATCATCCCGTGCTAAATATCAAGAGTTCCTGGGAAGTGTAGACAGCTTACCATGGATTTGTCCTGGTCCACGGGCCTTCCAAGATTGGGGAGTTCCGACCAGGGCACAATCTCGCATGCATGATCGGATATGTTCTCCAGTGCAGCATCATTTTTGCTTTTCTTCTTTTTTTAAAATGATCTTCTTGGCCTTTGGGCCGGTTAACATTAGAAAAACGATATCCTTGTCATTTTTATGGTACCTGCAACAAGGTACCCCTCCTCTGATTGAATCGCTTAGAAGAACCTTGCCCCAAGGTCACTAACCTAAATGGCTTGATCGTGAACGATTTCGCTCCTATGACTCGGAGTTGAGGTACCATAAACGGGTTAGACAACCCAAAGGCTAAAGATCAACCCTCATAGATTCCCCACAGGCTGAACGGACCGAATGACATTGCATTTCGGGTTGCTAGCTCAGCCAACCCCCTAGTTGCCTCCATCCGGCACCCAATATAGGCTTTGAAGCCATGAACCATTCCAATGTGCACATGATCACTGAAATAATACTCGAATCAACCCCCAGTGTACGGAGTACAATATACGTAGATACTAGGTAAGATACGTAACATAATATATCCACTCTGCATGGGCCGCCAATCCTCTCCACCCTCCGACTGCCTCTAGATCCAGGGTCTCTGACGCACGAGGCAAAACTACACCTGCAGCACTCTCAAAACGACAACGGAGACTGGGGCATAGCTTTTTTAGTTTGCTTTTTTAGTTGGTTTTTTTAGTTGGGTTTTTTTTTCTACTTTTCTTTTTTGGTTTTTTGACTTTTTGGCGATTATTTCAAATAAATCTTTTTGTGTATTGCATTATTATAATTTATGGGATTATTGGCTTTAGTTCATCGCATGTGCTGCCTCTCTTCCTACTTTAATCTCGCTTTCCCTTCAATAAAGTACTTATTTCTTTTCCTCTCTCTCCCCCCTTTGCCCCTTCTCTTTTCATTTTGGGCCAAAGGAAGCTCGGTCTCCTTGTGACATTCGTTTTGACTTGGCCTCCGCCTAGCCAATTGACAATTGACCATTGGACTTGGTCAATAGGTATAACGCATTGAATGCTTATACCTCATCTGAGGATCTTCTCTCTCCCCCCCCCCAAAATCACCCAGAGAACTAGGACGACTACTACTACAAAAAAAAGAGGTCGAGGGTCAAGTTTCACACCATGGCCTTCCCGTTTCTGCGAGCGTTTGTGACACTCTTGTAAGTACAAGTGTGGAGCCCAATCAACCACCGAGCTAACCAGTACCAGTATTTATCGTTATACCCGCCTCGTGTTCAATCTGTTCTCCTTTTGGACATTCAAGCCAATCCCACCACCAGAGAACCCCAAATTGACCTCGCAAGATGTGACGGTGATCATTCCATCGTTAGAGGGCTGTGGAGATGAGCTGGTGGAGACGATACGGACAATTCTCGACAACCAACCCCGTGAGGTGCTTCTCGTCACAATCGAGGCCAATCGCAAGAAGGCCGAGATGATGCTGAGCTTGATGCCAACAACTCGGGTCCGATTGTTCACCGTGAAACACCCCAATAAGCGCCGCCAAATGACTCGAGCCATCCCCGAGGTCAAAACCGCCATCACTATTCTCGCCGACGACGACGTGAGCTGGCCGCGCACTCTGCTGCCATGGATTCTGGCGCCCTTTGAAAAGGATGAGAAATACGGCGGTGTGGTAACCTGCCAGCGATTGCGCCGGGCCATTGAACCGAGCCTCTCACAGCGAGTCTGGGGCTTCTTGGGAGCTCTGTACCTGGAACGACGCAACTTTGATTGCGGCGCGACGACCCATGTGGACGGTGGACTTCCCTGCATGTCGGGACGGACGGTTGCGTATCGGACACGAATTCTACAGAACGAGGCCTTCACCTACGCTTTCACCAATGAGGAGTGGTGGTGGGGAAAGTACCAACTCAACGCCGACGATGATAACTTTATCACCCGCTGGATGGTCTCGCATGGATGGGAAACTTATATGCAGTACCACCCGGAGGCGGAGGTGCTGACTACCCTCGAAGATAACCCTCGTTTTTTGAAGCAATGCGCCCGCTGGTCAAGAAGCAATTGGCGGAGCAATCTGACCTCAATGTTCCACGAGAAGCACATTTGGCAGTAAGTGCAACGTATCAAGTTCCCTCTTCCCCTGAATGTCCTCTCCGATTGGCTCAGACTCGAATGGGCTTTCTCTACTTCCTTTCCCCCACCCATCTCGGTGTCTTTGCCTTCTCTTTGATCGGGTCAAAAAGAGGCAAACTCTTTTTGGGGGTCTCCCCGAGTCTAGGCGCAAGGCGCCGAGATAGGGTGGGTATGGTCTGAGACCGGTGGTGTTACTTGGTTTGGGCCTTTTTTGTTTTTGTTCTTTTTTTTTATTCTTTCCCGCAGAATGCAGTTGGCTAACATGCTTTCTATAGTCGTCAGCCTTGGAGCGCTTACGCCGTCCACTTGACCACTTTATCGCCGCCCGCCCTTCTAGGCGACTTGCTGTTGGTCTGGCTGTGCCACAAGGCGACAGGGTCGTGGGGAGAGTCTTTACACGATCAGTCCATGACTCTTCTCTACATGTGGATTTTCACTAGCAAATGGATCAAGCTGCTCGGTCATTATCTTCGGTATCCCGTCGACGTGCTGTTGTTGCCAGTCTCCGTCCTCTTCGGTTATTTCCATGGTGCGATCAAGATGTATGCCGTGATGACACTGAATGTGGTATGTTCAAATCTCCTTTTTTTTTCGCCTTTCATTTCGTGTTCCTTTTCGCCTCTCTTTTTCTCTTGTCTGGTGCTCTGGTGCATACATGCCGTGTGTATCCAAGCGCAGCCCCTCCTTTCCCCCGTATCCTCCCTTCCTATGACAATCCAGCGTCACAAACGCTTTGATCACAATCTCCTCCTTCTTGCAGCTCTGTTTATCCACTATTTACCCCGTGAGCCATTTTTTCTCAGGACTTAGGTCGTTGTGATTTGATGGCTACGATCCCTTTTTTTCTTTTACTTTTTTTTTCGCTTTTCGCTTTCTGCATTGCACAACTATAGCTTCAGTGTCCGAGAGCTAGACTGACTTTGGATTTTTTCTTTTAACCAGACAACATGGGGTAGCCGTGATGGTGCTGATGACTATGACGCGGAGCGTATGAAGAAGCGGACGGATGCTGATCGTATGAAGCAACCGTATTATCCGCAATATCTCATATGAGATCTTCGATGCTTACCGGAGACCCTTTCCTGTTCTCTATCATTCTCCGAAAATTGGTCTCGCAACCATATCCTCGGAAGTGAAAGGAGAACAGCGAAGAATTCTCGCCCCCATTGAATTGGCTGGCTTTTTATATCATTCATGACGAAATGCCGTGACGACACCCATGTGCTCTGCTTTGCTTCTAGATGTGCACTGATTTCATCCCTTTCCCCTCTCCTTCCAAATTTTACACTTGGCAATTCTGCATGTGTTGCCAAGTAATCGAGAGTGAGCAACTGAGTCGAGGAACCCTCGGAATATCAGTGTGCTATACTTCTCGTAAGGCTCTTAGAGTCTTTTCCAGCGTCAAATACTGACCGAGTGATACCATTTCGACCGTTGTTGGCTTTTTTTTTTCCTTTCTCTTCAGCCCAGTGTTTTTCTTCTCTTTACACCCCATTGCCTGGTTATCAAAAACAAAATGATGGCCTGTCTCGATCTATCGAGGCTATCCCTCTCCTTTCTTCTCTTCTTGTAAATTACAAAAGCATGGGCGGATGTCGTCATTCTGCGATTGTTCTATGCTTGACTCTTTGTGTCAGTTTGCTTTTCAGCTTTGATTCCCCTGAGTTGTATGCCTCGAGAGTATTTGTCTTTTTTTTTTTTTTTTTTTTTTTAGATGCAAGGTGGGCGGTATTTCTGAACTTCCAGTTGTTCTTCTGTTTTGCTTTTCCAAACTGCGACAGATAATCTCTAATTGATTGGAATATATACGCACAGTATGACTATCTCTACAAGATGGACACTAGAGAAAGAACAACCCTCGAACAAATGATTGTATCGTTTTGATCCTAGTGCCTGGTTCTGATGCAATGATGCAGGTTACTCAGCCTATAAACAGCCTATGAACAGCCCGAAGAAGGCTTATATGCATTAAGAAGAGAGTTCCAAAGGGATCATCTACCCGAGACAAAACAGTATTCCGGATAGTTTCCTCCGGACAGTTTACTCTGTATGCTTCTGTATGTTGTAGATCTATCGGCAGCTGGGCCATTAAGATGTGGCGCGTGTGGCGAGCCAAGACTTCCCGGCCAAAATGTTCGAGTTCCAAACTCCGGCTTTGGATTCAGGAACCGATTGCCTCAACCCCTTCGCTTTCCCTCTCTGATCTCATCCATAAAGGCCTGGTCCTTTTCATAACGAGAGATGGTCGCTTTTGCCCGCGCTGCGCTCCCGTCGCAGCTATCCGCCGTCGCCCGTCACCCCGTCTCGCTATGCCGGCGCATTCACTCGTCTCCCTTCCGATCGGCTGTTGCACACCCAGTTACTGCTCATGGCCCTCCTCCTAAAGCCCCTGCTGCTTCGTCAGAATTTAAGGAAACTAAAGATGCCGAGCCCTCCACTTCTGAAGGCGAATCATCTCGACCCAAACTCACCGAAGCGCTGAAGAAACGGTTCTGGAAAGATGTTTATGTGCATAAAAAGCCAGGTATGAGAGCGAATTAGGCACCGGCTGTCTTCCGGAGAGAATCTTCACCCGCTCATCTTATCTTTCTCTTCATCCAGACGAATACCAAGTCCTGCTTGACAAGCGACCCGTGAGAACACCTACGAAAGAGGTGCTATCTATCCCTTCCACAAAGCCTCACCTCGCTCACGCCGTTGCCCTGGAGTGGGATGTGATGACCTCCGCCCAGCAGGCACTTAAGAGCCACCTTATTCCCATGACCTCCATTGCAGCCCGCGCCACCGATATCGCACGCGAAGACGCCAAGGGCATCGATACCACCCGAAGCCAAATTATCACAACTGCCATGCGCTATCTCGATACCGATACGCTACTCTGCTGGGAGCCCGAGCGACCAGTCCATCCTCTGGACCGCAGAGCGGATGGCAAGCCCGTTGAGACTCTTCGCCAGATCCAAACGAGAATTGCGGGAGATATCATGAGCTTCTTGTCCACAAAGGTCTGGCCTGGACTTGAGATCATTCCTATCCTCGATACCGATAGTATCCTTCCCCTTTCCCAGCCCAAGGGCACAAAGGATAGTATCGCCACCTGGGTTTCGGAGTTGTCCGCACATGACTTGGCTGGCCTCGAGCGCGCAATTCTGGCTTCTAAGAGTCTACTCATCGCAGTCCGCTTGGTGGTGGAGTGGAGTGAGAACTTCCGCCACATCCAGCGACCTGAGACGAAGAAGTTCGGCATTGAGGAGGCGGCCGAGGCCTCGAGTCTAGAGGTCACCTGGCAGACCGATATGTGGGGTGAGGTTGAGGATACCCACGATGTGGGCAAGGAAGATTTGAAGCGACAATTGGGAAGCGTTGTGATCCTGGTAAGTGGAGAGACTCGATAAACTACGCCTTGTATATCCTGTATGATAGATCTAGACGGCCTAGATGGCCTTGCTTTGCGCAAGTGCATGTATTACAATCAATACCACCTCAAGTTCATCATATTCCCTCCATCGTCAATCGTAATATAGTGTCGCGGAGGGAACCCTCATGTTGCCAAGGCGGAGATCAGCATCATTTGCCCCCTCCAAAACAAGGGCCCAAGGCCTCTCCCACGAATTTCTTCCCAGATGCCCAACCCTAGGATTTAAATCTTGTTGATGTATCGGAGCGAGTACAGTGTGCTACAGTCCAAAGATGTCTGACAGAGCTGAAGGGTGAGTTCGCACTTCTTCCCCTGGGGACAGCATCCCTGCGATCCATGGTTCTGCGCGTGCACATGACAGCGACATTGTTGGCACATCGTCGCTTCTGTTGTCTATCGAGTATCTTGTATCAGGACATCTCGAATCGCCTACAGCTGCCAGAACCCCTCACCACACGGGCCATCGGAGCGCATGTGAACGGGGTACAGGAACACGGTGTACTTAAGTACTGACATGCCATTGTCCTCTCAGGCATAAACGCTCGCGAAGCGCAATCGCACTTGCCCTCCTCCACCGCGACAAGTCCAAAGGCGAAGATAAAGACCCTGATGACAACGGAGACATCAACTCGATCGAGTCCGCCTCCGCCTCCTCAAATGGTGGCTCGTTGAAACACACCCGCAGCAGCAGCCGCCACAGCCGTCGCAAACAAACCCAGGACCCGAGTCCACCTCCGGTTATCCAAGAATCCGCCGAGGATTTGGACACGGTTGAAGACTTACCCTTATTGACTCAGACGGAAGGTGGCAGCATGTCACTCGAGCAGTCCGTTCGCACCTTTCGTCTCTTCGAGAGCCTTCGCAGCGGCGATACCACCGCCATCTCCAAGGCCATCAAGGATACCAATGACCCGCAGGCTGTGAATAGTCTCAATGGTACGACCATCCTTCATCTGGCTCTACAATGCGCCGAACCACAGGTCGTGGAATATGTGCTGTCCGCCGCGGAGGACCTTGATATCAACTCGCGGGATCGGGATGGGAACACGCCACTTCATATTGCCGCTCAGCTGGGCCGGGGTCCGCTTGTTCGTGAATTGCTGAGCCGACCATCGATCAACGATTCGATTGTCAACTATCGGGGCCAGACAGCCCTAGATCTGGCCCGTAATCCTGACATCTTCCAGCAGCTTCAGCTTGCGCGGTCTCTCTTTATCGACAGCAAGAACCAGGAAATCCAGGCATTGATTGCAAGCTCCGATTATAAAAACCTGGAGGCCTTGCTGGAAGAGCCTCGAGCGGAGGGCATAATGGACGTGAACAGCCACGATCTGGTTACCGACCGGACAACTGTTCAGACCGGTGGCACGCTCCTGCACGAGGGAGCTAGGAATAAAGATGCGCAGCTCATTGAAATTCTATTGACGCATGGCGCGGATCCTTTCCGACGTGATAAAAAGGGAAAGCTGCCGCAGGATGTTACTAAAGATGATAAGATCCGGGCTCTCCTGAAGAGATCCCCGGCTGCCGCCATTGCGCAGCGCGGGATCCAGGAGAGGGCTATTCTCGGAAATAGTAATGCTCAGGGACTAGCTGGGCGCGTTTCCGTTGGCGATGCCCCGCTCGCAGGAAAAGATGCCCGCGAGATGAGGGGTTATCTCAAGAAGTGGACTAATTATACTACTGGATATAAGCTGCGTTGGTTTGTTCTGGAGGATGGAGTTCTGAGTTATTATAAGCATCAAGGTAAGCTCGAGAATTCTCCTTGAACCTTTCATGGGACTTTATGCCATCGACTCCTGCTAACATGCTCTAAAGATGATGCGGGCTCTGCCTGTCGCGGTGCAATTAACATGAAGATTGCCAGGCTTAACATGGATGCGCAGGACAAGACGCGCTTTGAAATCCACGGAAAATCATCAGTCAAGTATCATCTCAAGGCCAATCATGTGGTGGAGGCAAAACGCTGGTTCTGGTCCCTCAACAACGCCATCCAGTGGGCCAAAGATGAAGCAAAGGAGGAGGAACGACAGCGAACCAAGAATGCAGAGGTGCTTCGCCAGGCTAAGATTGATCAAACGGAAGGCCGCGCTACGGATACCCCGTCTGAGTCCGGACTTTCCCACAAGCCCAGCGTCAAGGGCTTGGCTCCTCCGTCTCTAGGGGGTGGCAGCAGCAGTGGCACAAGACTCAGCACATATGCATCCCGTACCACTCTGGATATTCCGGCTGGAGACGAAGATAGCTCCATCTACGGAGGTTCCTTTGATCACAGCAACGCCCCCAACGATATGAACAGAGTAATTAGCCATGTAACAACCGCACCGGACGGAGAGGGCGAGGATGAAGAATTTGTCGACTATGGTTCGAGCCACGAGAATGAGTTGCCGGCTGCCGATAAGGATGCTCTCAATATCACTGCGCAATCCGCGAAGCTTCAGTTGGATCTTCTTGCAAATGTGGCCGCTTCGCTGCAAACTGAGAAGTCCAGGAATCCAGAAATGACTATTACGGATCCAGCCCTCGAACAGGCTCTCAGTGCCTATGAAGCTGCAGTCAGCAGCCTAAAGGGCTTGGTGCAAAATCTACTCAAGATCTCACGGGACCGAGACTCCTATTGGCAGTCTCGTCTCAGCAGAGAAGAGGCTATCCGTCAAATGTGGGAAGAGAGCATGGCCCGCGTGGCTCGAGAGCATGAAGAACTTCAATCTAAGATGGGCGAGTCTGAGGAGAAGCGGAAGCGGACCAAGCGCGCACTAAAAGAAGCCCTGGAGAGTGCAACAGGCAGTAACCGTTCTCTTGACAATATGCCATCCCGTTTGGCGACAGAGAACCAAAGTCTCGAGGCCAGCGAAAGTGACGCAGTCATTTTTGAGATGACCGACGAGGCAGGCCAGCCTGCCAAACAGCCACTCATAAAGCCCGCCCTCAGTCGCAATCCATCTGCCTACTCCAAACTCAGCAGCCTCTATGATTCAGAGTCTGACGGAGAGGAGTTCTTTGATGCTATAGATGCGGGTGAGATCGAGGTTGAGGATTTCAATACTGCCGACGAGAACAAGATGGAAGAGCCCAAGGATGAAACTGCTGAGCTGCGGGCTGTGAAGACTACCGTCATTGCACCTTCCTTCAGGGGCTACGAAGAGCCAGTAAGACAGCGACTCAAGATGGACGCCGATGACCGTCCGAAGATTTCTTTGTGGGTAAGTATTGAGCATTGGTTTGCTTGCTCCCCTCGCTTTTTTCATCTGCTGATTATATATGTACTTTCCAGGGTATTCTGAAATCTATGATTGGAAAGGATATGACGAAGATGACGCTGCCGGTGTCCTTTAACGAGCCGACCTCACTGCTTCAGCGAGTAGCTGAGGATCTTGAGTACACCGACCTCCTTGACATTGCTGCTGATCGGGCTGATTCAATGGAGCGCCTGGTTTATGTCGCCTCATATGCCGCAAGTGAGTATGCCTCAACTATCGGCCGTGTTGCAAAGCCCTTTAACCCTCTTCTGGGTGAAACCTTCGAGTATGTACGTCCAGACAAGGGCTATCGATTCTTCGTGGAGCAAGTCAGCCACCACCCACCGATTGGTGCTGCGTGGGCTGAGTCGCCCAAATGGGACTACTGGGTAGGTGAATCCGTCTTTATACGCCAATACCTGTTATCCGGGCTAACCAGAAACACATGTTCAGGGTGAATCTTCTCTGAAGTCCAAGTTTTACGGAAAATCGTTTGATATCAACCTGCTAGGCACATGGTTCCTGAAGCTGCGCCCTTCCTCCGGCGGAGAGGAACTCTACACCTGGAAGAAGGTGACCTCGTCGGTCATCGGCATCATCACGGGTAATCCCACTGTTGATAACTACGGTCTGATGGAAATCAAGAACTGGACGACCGGTGAAGTCTGCTATCTCGATTTCAAGCCCCGTGGCTGGAAGGCTTCGTCAGCCTACCAAGTGACAGGAAAGGTCGTCGACAGCGAAGGCTCCCCCAAGTGGAGCATTGGTGGCCGCTGGAACGACAAGATCTACGCTCGCCACACCCCAGGTTTCGAGGCGCCTGTCTCTGGTCAGGACCCCGAATCTGCCAAGACCTTCTTGGTCTGGCAGGCCAATGCTCGTCCTACGGGCATACCTTTCAACTTGACACCGTTCGTCATCACGCTTAATGCGCTTCCCGAGGGCTTGAAGGACTGGCTTCCTCCCACGGATACCAGATTGCGACCTGATCAGCGTGCCATGGAAGATGGTGAATATACTCTGGCCGCTGATGAGAAGCACCGAGTGGAAGAGAAGCAGCGTGCTAAGCGCAGAGAACGCGATACCAACGGCGAGGTCTACGCGCCGCAATGGTTCACCCGTGACAAGTGCCCTGTCACCGGAGAGGAATTCTGGGCTCATAATGGGAAATATTGGGAGTCCAGAGATTCGCAGGATTGGAGTAGATCCGAGGATATCTTCTGATGAAGAGGTAATTGATTCCTTGCTTTTGTCTTAGTTGCTTTACACAAGATTCTCATTTGTTAAATACATGAATGGGATCTGGATATTTTGCTCGTGCCCATGCATTCTGTCCAATCTAGAGAGGAAAAAATATATGTTTGTAGGGAAGGCCAACCTGGGCAATGAAATAAGCCTGGTGCATTCATAAGTCTCCAAGTTGATCTCCTGTTCATCAATGGCAGTTATCAGTCACGTGTTGCCGCAAAAACATCCCCAGAACTCTCCGTGGTCTGATTAGTTTCCCCTCCACAACTCAATTGACATCGCAATGGCAGGATACACTTGTGTTCAGTGTCTCCAAGTCCTCCGTCAAGGAGTCCGAGCATCAACCCCTCGGGCTCGCCTGCAGAGCCTAGCCACCGCACGGAGAAGCACAATCTCCCCGTCCTTCATCCGCAGCTTCGGCTCGCAACGCAACGGTCGATCCTTGAGTAGCTCCTCGGAGCAGCCCAAGCATGTTCACAGCCAGTCTTGCTGTGCTCCTAAATCCTCTCCTGCGCCCCAGGCCCAGCGAGCAGCTCACACGGCAAGCGGGTCCTCTGTCGACACTCGCGCCGTCCTAAAACCCAACAACCTATTCCACTCCTTCTCCAACTCGCCCTCGCCAGAAATTCGCAAACGCGCCCAATTCATCAAGCAGAACGCCTTCTGCCCCCACCCAAGCCATCAGCAGACCCGCGCGCCCGTCTCCCCTCACGACCCCGAAGCGAGGAAAGATACCGACGATGCAAACCTGCCTCCCGCCCATTCGCACTTTGAATGCCCGGACTGTGGTGTGCCGGTCTACTGCTCCGAAGGCCATTGGATGGACGACTTTGAGGCTCATCTCGAGATCTGTGACACCCTGCGCCAGATCAACGAGGACGACCATGATCTGCGCTCCGGTCGCTTCTTCCCCGAGTTCCATTATCCCGGTCCTCAGGATGACAACTTCGTGATCAACATGACTAACTGGGATACTTACCTCTATACTCGTGAATTTGCGGCTATCAACGATGACCGCTCCATGCGTCAAGTTACCCGCATGCTCACTTACCCGCAAACCATCAGTAGTGTCTTGCACGAGCTTAGTCCGTACAGTGTTCGTTCCGGTGGACGGCTGACACCCGAGGGATTGAAGAGTCTGAGTGGTAAGTTTGATATGAAACAGCAGCAGAGCCTGCGCATCTACTTCAAATCTATATAACAGTGGCTAACTATCACCCCCCTCCCTTCCAGCCCTCCGCTACTCCCTCCACCCCCCAAAGGCCGGCGAAAGCATTGATATGAAAGGTCTTCGCTTGAAAGCTCCCCCAGTTCGGATCTTCATTCTCGGCGCACGTGCTGAGTCCTCCCTCCCACGTCCCGTCTGGCTGCAGTTGCAGTACATGTACCCGCGCGCAATGCTGCACCTTATCTTCATCGGACCCGAGAGCATGGCAAATCGTGACGGCGAGTTCCCGCTTCCCGAGCGCACTCCCGAGAACCCCTTCGGTGGAATCGTCGAGGACAGACTCGGTGGTCAGATGAAGATCACTACCTACGTCGACTACTTCCACACCATGAACAAGGCGCAGTACTTCGGACCCTTCGATCCCTATCTGGATTGCTTCATGCTCTTCCACCCTGGTCTGGGCCACCCTGCTAGCTCTCACGAGTGGGAGGAGACACTACCCCAGTTGCTTGAGACGAAGGTACCTATCATTTGCACTGGGTACACGCAGTGGGATCTGGAGCGTGACATCAACTGGGTGAGTGAGAAGTGCCGTGGTGAGTTTGATGTGCTTCTCGAGCCTGGCGAGAACATCTTCCGCAGTCTGCGCTGGGATTTGAACGACCAGGATCCACATGACGTTTCTTGTGGAAACTGGGGATTGTGGGCCTTCCGAGGCAAGAGGTATGTGGTTTGGTCTTTGTCCCCAGTAGAGGGCATTCGGCTAACAATGTTTGCGATAGATACGAGGCTGCTTTCGCCAAAGAAGATTAGGCCAGTCCCATCTCTCCTTTCTGTACGATATTTTTGGGCACCCGTTTTTGGGGCCATCGCAGTAGATAAGATCAGTTTTAGTCCTCTCCCACAGTTATTTACAAGAATCAATGCGCTGGATTCAATCAATTCTATCAACATAATGTTCGAGGTTATGGCTTAGGCTGAACAGGGGATCTAGCAATCCATACGGGATGCAAAGGATCCATGAATATCTAACCTCATATATCAATACATGATGGCAGCCCGTTAGCAGTCACCAGGGAAGAGATTCTACAGATCGAGAAAATACGTAAATTGACGGGAAAAGTATCAATTGCACAAAAAGTAAATCTCGTTAGTCTTACACTCGTCAAATAACAGTAGTATGACGTCCAAGAGCAAAGACGCAAGCATCAATGCGAAGAAGGAATCCAATAGCCACCAAAACACGAAATGAAACCGCATTGCGATGACAAAATCCATGGTTGATATCAAAGGGAAAATATTGAACGTAGAAGGTAAAAGGGTATAGGCATAAAAACAATCGGAAAACACGTCAAAATCACCGTGATCAGAAAGTAAGAAGAGGGTTTAAAAAAAGGAGTATATCGGTCAAGAAATATGCAAAGAAAGAAAAAGATATCCCAAGAAGAAGCCATGGGAAAGATCAAGTGGGAGCCATCCTAGATGGCTTATGCAGTCCGGTATCTAAGGCGGATTGGACACCATGCGTCCAAGCTTGAGATCGTCAAGATCGGCGCATCTCCAACACCCACTTCTTGATTGGTACAAGAAATGCAGTTTAGATCAAGAAGAGACCGGCAATGGCAGCTGCACCAGCAACCATAGCCCCCTGGGCGTGGGTTGAGGCAGCACCGGAAAAGGGGGTAGAGGAAGCTACTGGGGTCTGAACATTGCTGGGCTTGATCAAAGGAGTTGAGGAGCTAGCAATGTGGCTCATGGAGGGAGTAGCACTGGAAACAGGAGTGCTGGTGATGACAGGCGTCCAGGTCGAGGTCCAGGTCGAGGTCGAGGTCGAGGTCGAGGTCGAGGTGGAGGTGGAGGTTGAGATTGGGGTGGGAGTCGGGGTGGACGATGGCGGAGGAGTGTAGCCGGAGGGCACCAGAGTGATTGTCTGGGTAATCGCTGGGGCTTCACCAGCAACGGCAGCGAATACGCCGGGCGCAAGGGCGGAGAGGAAAAGGAGAGCCTTGGTGAACTGCATTGTTTGGTTTGTTATGATATTGAGATGGAAATTGCGAGATTGCGAGATTGCGAGATTGCGACGAAAAAGCGATTCAAATCAAAAGAGTGAATGAAGCTGGATAAATGAATGCAACAGCTACGAGACCAAAAGAGTGACACTGTTTGAAACAGGAGAGTGGATGGAGAGAGAAAGAGGGAGAAAGCCTTGGGACGGGAAATGAATCCAAAGGGAGTTTGCGCTTGTCCCGTTTGAGGTCTAGAGCGTCCAACCCCCCTCACTCCGGGTGATTTTACTTTCTACACCGTACTGGCTTGTTGTTCGTGTCATCGCAGTTTCAGACCAATTCATTCTCTTTTGATCAAGAAGCCAAATCGCTTCGAATGTGGATAAAGATACTGTTATACAGGCAAAGGGCAAGTCCCAACCCGGGGTATCAAAGTCGCAAAAAAAAAAACACCGTCCCAATCGTCTCTTATCATAGCATTAAGGGCTCATCGTCAACATATATCCGGCAATTTCAAAAAGCCAACGGAAAAAGCAAGTACTGCCGAGTTGTTTAGAGTCCCCACACGGCGGCCGCCACTAGAGCGACGGTGACCCAGTACCCGCTAGCGTGCATGACCGCGACAACAGGCCCTGAGCCCGAGGATGTCTCCTTGCTTCCATCGGCGGCAGTGGTGCCATTGGGCAATGTGCCGTTGATGTAGATGGTCTGTGTACCATTCACATCGACCACACGCACCAGACTCGAGTTCTTGGGCACGGTGCCGTTGAAGAGGGACTCATAGTAGGTTTGATTGTTGTTGTTATCGCATCCACATTCTGAGTACTCCTGGCAAACGCAGACGACCGGAAGCGACTCGTTCTTGTTGTTATTCTGGTCGTAGTAACGGTATGGACTGCTGTAGGGGTAAGCGAAAGCGCCGTACAGCCAGAGACCCGGGAAGAAGCCTAGTGCGGCTCCTCCCAGTAAGTAGGGGGCGATGCCTCCGCGGGATCGAGAACCAGACTTGTAAGGGACGGTTGCGCCGCCGGCGTAGTAGTTGCCTCCGCCATAGGTTGCGCGAGTGCCGGAGCCAGCGCTGGTCGTACCACCGACATTGCTGGATGATCCACTGCGACTGCCACTGCTTCCACTGCTTCCACTGCTTCCACTGCTTCCACTGCTTCCACTGCTCCCCGTGCTCCCCGTGCTCCCGCTGCTTGAGCCAGAAGAGCCAGTACGGCCGCCGCTGCTTCCTCCACTGCCGGAAGAGCCACTGGACGAGCCGCTGCTGGATGAGCCACTGCTTCCGCCTCGGCCTCCACCCCCGCGCCTTTTTTCAAGCGTTATGAAATCAGAGGGGTCTTGGGGGTCCAGGAAGTCCGCATCTCGTTCAGTGAGATCGATAATCTCGGTTTGAGGGATGGTCAGGGACGCGACCCTCGTAGAGAGTAAAAGAAGTGCTGTCGCCCAGGTGAACTTCATGTTCAAGTTGTGTTCAGAATAGTGTCGAAAAGATCTCGGAACGATATGAGGTCAAAGTTAAGAGATCAAAGTTGGGAAGGGTCCAAGACTGGAGAATTTTCAATGTGACGAAATAATGATCCTGAAATTCAGGGTCCTTCTAAAGCTTCAAGCAATTTCCAAGGAAGCGAAAGGAAATGAAAAGTGAATGAAACACAGCCTCGCCCCTTTCGCTTACAGACTACCCTCTTTGCGTCGACACTGCCTCCACTTTTTCCATTTGGTTTCTAGAATTGCCACTTCCCTGTGTATCTGGATTCGGAGTGGATCTCCCTATTGTTAAACCCTTCATATGAAGTCCGTACCCAGATCTACCTGTTCGCCTCATTCTCTGCCCGAATCGGTGTCATATAATATCTCCCGCAATACGGGCTGCGCCACCAATGACAGTAGATTGCTGTAATATCCGATTTCACTCCGTCCGGCGTACGGCGTACGGAGGACGGAGTACGGAATGCAGAGTAGTATGTAGTAGTCCAATGTAACGTGACCCACGGACGTCCTGCAATAGATGAGCTTGGCCACAATGAGCCTCGCCTAAGCCCCCAAAGATGACGAGAAAGTCAGAGTCAAAGTCGGAAAAGACGATGAACGTGCTCGACGTCATAGATGTCTCCGATCCCCATCTTCATACGGCATGTACGTCATATCGTCTCCTGCACACAGACCTCATCATTCTCAGTATCCAGCTATAGCTCCAATAGAGGGGATTCGAAGTGTGAAAGGACCAGTAGACGGGAATAGCAATCAACGGACATATTGGTGATGCCAGCTGAGTGACCATATCTCGGGAGACTGGCTTTCCTTTGCATATCACATTAACGTCCCTCCATGGAGGTATGAATCCTTCGAATACATCTCCAACGTACACTTGGTAGATGAACCTCAGGCATCGAGGCAGCATGCACGTGATCCCAGAGTGAGCATTGTGAGCCGGAACAGAAGAACAGAAGCGATAAAAGGGGGAGGAGTACGGAGTCAACTAGTTGCAGTTATATCCAAGTCAAATAAATATGGAGTAGATTGTCCGTAGTTGATTAGTTCGATTAAACTATTGATCCCAAGTGGAGATCACCGGTCGGCCAACAACTCTCCCGAACCTCATCTTCTCTTATAATCCCCTTTCATTTCTCTACATTGTAGGGCCTCCCGGCCATGGCGCGTCAAAGAGGCCTTTCTAATGCCTCGTCCGTTTCCTCGGCTCCAGATCAGGTATGTTCCCCATCCCCGATCCCGGAAACGAGTCTAATCAACCATAGGAACTGGGGAGCATGTACGATTACCTGGTCAAAGTCATTCTCCTCGGACCAAGCGGTGCTGGAAAGTGAGTATCATGAAACCAGAATCCTCGCGATCAGTACGATCATGTGCTGACATCGGAATCCTGGCATCAGATCTTGTGTATTACACCGATTCGTGAAAGACGAATGTACAACTACAGCCCCAACCTCCGACTGGCTGACTGGCGCTGACACATCTTTTTCTCTGAACAGGGCGAGTACTCTCCTCGCAGACGATAGGCGTGGAATTTGCATCGCGCATCGTGAAACTCGGTACGGGCTCCCGCCGGAGACGCATCAAACTACAGCTTTGGGACACAGCGGGAACGGAGCGGTTTCGATCGGTCTCGAGGTCGTACTATCGCGGCGCCGCCGGTGCCATCCTCATCTATGATGTCGCTTCTTACGCTTCCTTTGCCTCCCTCCCGACCTTCCTCATGGATGCGCGTGCCCTGGCCTCCCCGAACTTATCGGTGATCTTGGCTGGGAATAAAGCCGACCTGACGTCGGACGGCGCGCAGTCCGATTTCGAAGACAACTTGCGCCCTCCTCCGACACCCTCAAGTACCTCCAGTAGACAGTCGTCGATCCCCTGGGATGTGAATGGGTCGATTCGCTCGACTAGTCTCATGGGGACAGGGACGAGGTTGACTGCTACCCGTGCTCCGGAAGGTCGAGAAGTCAGCTTCGAGGAAACGTCGCACTGGGCTGCCAAGTCGAATATCCCCGTCGCCGTGGAAATCTCGGCCCTGACTGGGGATGGTGTGGAGGAAGTCTTCAATCGGCTGGCGCGAATTATCCTGACCAAGATCGAACTTGGAGAAATCGATCCCGATGACCCCCAAAGTGGCATCCAGTACGGCGATGGCGGTCTCTACGGCCACGGAAGTGATGCCTCGAGCATCAGGAGTCGGACGACGTTGGATGAAAATTCAGTACCCCTCCAACGCAGAACTCGGCGCAAAGGCAGAGCCTCCGGTACTGGGCACGGCTGGAAGGGTGGGATGAGAGAATGGGAGGATGTGTTCCGTCTTGGTGGCTCTGGAAGTCAACGAAACCAAGGATGTTGTTAGTATCGATGTATCACCGGATACATTCATTGTTGTTTCGTTCTGATTTTAGGCGATATGTTTTTGACACTTTGGTCTTTCGTTTCTCTCGTTTACTACACTGCACGATACCCCATTGACCTTCGCTCGGGATCATTTCTACCGAATACTTTATTATGTTACTCAGCATCTCACCCTACATCGTCGTTCTTGACTGGAGCCATCACTCATCACAACTTTTGATTCATCTCTCATTCAAAGTCTCTGTTAGAAATTTACAACGCCCCATTTATTCCCAATGTTTTGTTTTCCCTTAAAAAGCGGAAATTAGTTACGCATCAATGCCAGCAATCAAGGTCTTGATGCCCTTGCCAGCCTTGACCCCAATAAAGGCTTCTTCGGCCTGCTCGAATTTGACCGTGCTGGTGATCAACTTCTTGACATCAACCTTGCCAGATGAAACAAGCCCAACGGCGAGCTTGTAATCTCCGCTGCCGTAGCGGAAGCTACCCTTGATGTTGAGCTCCTTGGAGCACGCCGCCATGATGGGGAACTGGATCTCGCTGCGGCCCATGCCACCCTGCACATACGTACCTCCGTTGCGCAGGACATGAATGCCGGTGTGTACCGAAGCCTCAGCGCCCGAGGCATCAATTGCCACATCGGCACCAGCGCCAAGTCCATTCTCTTGCCTCAGACGTTCGGCATTCTCGGTGGCCGCGACCTTACCGGGCATGAAGGTCGAGGTCGTGGCATAGTCCTTGGCGAAGTCCAGACGCTGCTGTTGGATATCGACGGCGATGACCTTGGACGCACCGAATGCAGTCGCCACGGCGCAGCACAGCAGACCCACGGGGCCGGCGCCGAACACAACCACCGACTGGCCAGGATTGACGCCGGCCTGGCGCACGATGTGCACTGCAACACTGAGAGGCTCCATGAGCGCACCCTCCTGCAGAGAGATGTGCTCAGGGAGCTTGTAGCAGAAATCCTCTGGGAGAGTATAGTACTTGGCGAGAGTACCGTCATAGGGCGGGGTCGCAGCGAAGCGCATGTCCTCGCATAGGTTGTACTTTCCAGCCTTGCAAGGCTCGCAGCGGCGGCAGGAAATGCCGGGCTCCATGGCGACCCGGTCGCCCACCTTCAGGCTCTTGACGGCTGATCCGACCTGGCTGATGATGCCTGCTGATTCGTGTCCAAGGACCATGGGATCTTTGACGACAAATGAACCGATCGAGCCATGTTCCCAGTAGTGGACCTGTTGTGTACAAGGGATTCTGTGAGTCGGTTGGATCCAGGTACTATCTCAGGGCATGGTACATACATCACTACCGCAAATACCGGTGTACTTTACGTTGATGATCACATCGTGGGGGTTCTTCAACTCGGGGACTGGCCGGTCTTCATACTTGACCTTGTGAATGCCTTCAAGGACGAAGGAGAGGTTCTGCATGACTGTTAGACTTGGATGTGTTATTTTCACGGTTGGGTGAAATCCTACCTGAGCTGTAGCCATGACGTGTGTTGGTGGGATAATGTATGTCCGGGGAAATGGACAACAATGGGATGGTAGAGAAGGGGGGTTTAAGGAGAAATTCGAGAACAACGTTACCGGGCAAGGAATATATATAAGATATCTCCAAATGCTAAATATCCGGGAGAATCGACTGAATTGACCCGACAACGCACAGCTCCCCGCAGGTCCAGACGAGTTCCACTCGGATGAGAATGACCTGGTGGATCGGTTTTTTCTTCTCTTTTAGCCGCGAGGATATTAACCGGTCTTGTTCTCTCGTGTCTCTCGTTTTTTTTTTTGTCGAGGCCATATGCCATGTGACCTGCCACGTATATACGTCAAGTGACCTGGAGGGTGGTGCATTTGCTGCTATATACCGCTATCTACATATATTTACCTATACCTATATATACGGCATACGGAGCCCAATACTATATCCAGATAGCTATTTGAGGGTGGTAAGCAATGGAAAGACACCCAGTGACCGTAGATGCCAACTCTCTCAGGTAGTTAGATTGTTTAGATTATATCTTCATACTCCATGTAAACCCCATATCCGTATTCCGTACTTACGCATATTCACTTGACGGAGTACAGAGTACAGAGGTACATTGGAGAATGTGAAATGTAATCGGCCCGGGCGCCAAGCCACACCGGAGTTCCGTCCGACCTCCACTTCGTCTTCTGAGCTTCCCTTCTGCATTTGAACCCCCCCAAAAGAAAATCAATCGCAATGGTCCAATTCAATGCTATCGCCCTGCAGGGGGCGATGCGCAGTCTCCGGGCTCGACCTGCACCCCGCCTCCTGCAACGCCGTCAGTTCACACTGTCTAGACAACAAGCCAAAGAAAATCAATCGTTCAAGAGTCAATTATACGAAAGTACCCAACAGCGTTTAAAGCGCGAGCGCGCTGAACAGGAAAAATTTGCCCAGTATCAGACTCAGTCGCCTGCTGGTCGTTCTGCAGCCCTGGCCTTCGGTATGCTATGCGGAGATGTCGGCGTTTTTCTCTTCCGTGACGTACATCTTTGGCTAATTGATTCTGTAATTACATTCCATAGCTTTGATTTTCTTCTCGACTGGTGCTTATTACCTCGGATCCCTGAAACCGGCCGCTCTCCCCTCCTCATCCACGACTCCCCTCTCTGAGATCGAAGCCCCCAAACACAACGTCTCTCCCTCCAACCTCCAGGCGGCGTGGGCCGATTTCGTCGAGATTCTAGGCAAGGAGCATGTCTCGACGGCAAGTGGTGATTTGGAGTTGCATTCCGGATCAGACTGGTCTTCTTACTCGCAAAAAGAGAACGAGAAGCCCTTCCTGATCCTCTACCCCTCAAGCACCGAGGAGGTCTCGCAGATCATGAAGGTCTGCCACCAGCGCATCATCCCCGTAACCCCATACTCCGGTGGCACTAGCTTAGAGGGCCACTATGCGTCCACGAGAGGTGGAGTGTGCATTGATTTCCGTCGCATGGACCGCATCCTGAAGCTCCACAAGCGTGACTTGGATGTCGTCGTTCAGCCCGCGGTTGGATGGGAGGAGTTAAACGAGGAGATCGCCAAGGATGGCCTTTTCTTCCCACCTGATCCTGGCCCCGGTGCCATGATCGGTGGTATGGTCGGAACAGGATGCTCGGGCACCAATGCCTACCGGTATGGGACAATGCGCGAGTGGGTGCTTTCGCTCACTGTTGTCCTTGCTGATGGCACTATCATCAAGACTCGACAACGGCCCCGCAAATCCAGCGCTGGCTATGACCTGACTAAACTCTTTATTGGCAGCGAAGGCACTCTTGGTTTAGTGACGGAAGCGACCTTGAAGCTGACGGTCAAGCCCCAGAGTCAGAATGTTGCCGTTGCAAGCTTCGATACTATTCATAACGCGGCTGAATGTGTGACCAAGGTCGTAGAGGCTGGTATTCCTGTGGCTGGTGTTGAGATTCTGGATGATATCCAGATGAAGTGTATCAATGCCAGCCAGAGTACTAGCCGTCAATGGAAGGAGTCTCCCACCCTTTTCTTCAAATTCACTGGCACACTGAATGCGGTTAAGGAGCAAATTAGCATGGTGCAAAAGATTGTATCTGGCGCTGCAGGCAAGTCCTTTGAGTTTGCTCGTGGTGAGGCAGAGATGGCCGAACTCTGGAGTGCTCGCAAGGAGGCACTGTGGAGCGTTATGGCAATGAAGAGAACCCCGGATGATCACGTTTGGACGACCGATGTCGCTGTCCCGATGAGCAAGTTGCCCGATATCATGGAGATGACCAAGGACGATATGACCAAGAATGGCCTACTGGCTGGAATTTGTGGTCACGTTGGAGATGGCAACTTCCACGGTAAGATTGTTGCCTCAAATTGATATACATCGAAATATTTGACAGGCAACTAACAACTGACAGCGATCATACTCTTCAACGACAGCGAAAGGAATATCGCCGAGGGAGTTGTGCACCGCATGGTGAAACGCGCCGTGGAAATGGAGGGCACTGTCACCGGTGAGCACGGTGTCGGTCTCATCAAGCGAGACTACCTCGAGCACGAGCTCGGTGAAACTACAGTGGACGCAATGCGCCGGGTAAGTTTTGACCTACAGTTCCATTTCACCTTCAAATTCAGAGGAACTTTTGTCTGCGCCCGTGAATGACACTGCTAACACTGATATCTGCATTCCTAGCTGAAATTGGCACTTGATCCTCTCCGTTTGCTCAATTGCGACAAGGTGATTCGCACAGAGCAGCCGGCAGCCGGCGAAATCAAGGAATGGTAGATGTCCTCTGCGCAGTCACATACTACGACAGGGCCCACTCCCTAGCCCAACCATTTATCTAGGGCAATGTCGAAGCTATTTAATCCGAATCCGAACCCGACCGTTCATGGTGGCGGTGGTGGCGGTGGTGATGGGAACGCTCCTCATCGTCGCTGCCTCCACTGTGAGAGTCCGAACGGTACCTGGGGCGTTCCTCGCCCTCATATCGTCCTTCGGCGCGGTATCCATCGCCGTCCTCGAGCCGCTGACCATATCCTTCCTCCCGAGGCCTCTCATACTCATTGTAGCTAGGCTGCGCTCTACCATAGCCAGACCAGGAATCCCTGTACATTGTTGTCAATATTAAGGGACTGGCTAATATTAGATAATATAAGTCAGCTTACTGTCCATATTCCCCACGAGGCTGGTCTCCGTATCCCTGGTATGTCTCTGTACGCTCATATCCAGAGTAACCACTTTGATAGGTCTCCCGTCGCTCTTCGTGATAGTAACTCTGGTTCTCCGATTGGTATTGAGGTTGCTCCTCGCGTCCGTAATTTTCCATTGGAGGCGCATAACCAGAGAAGTCATCACGACGGGCAGGAGGCTGTCCATAGACAGTCTCACTTTGATATTCGTACCCGTCGGGGCGAGGACGATACTCCTCGCGCTGAGCCGAGGGCTCGGCATAGCCCCCGTAGCTTGGCTGTCCATATTCACTTGGGCGAGAAAACTCTGGTTGAGTGTAGGAGTCCCCTCCATACTGTTCGTAGCTCTCGTGCGGGGGCCGGCTCTGGTAACCATTCCCACTGTCGTAGTTCTGAGGCTCTGGGCTCTCCCGGTCAGGCCTGGAGTCGCTTTTGTTGAGAAACATGGAGCCCATGCCTCCCACGAGTCCGCCAATAATGCCACCCAGCGAGCCTCCTCCCAGAGCTTGAGATGCCATGTTCTCGATCCCAGAGTCGATGGACTCATGGCCTTCACCAGAGCTATCATGCTTCTTAGGAAGGGCGATCGGCTTGCCACATCCGTGTCCACAATCCTGGACTCCGTCTTTGTGGTTCCGGCCTTCAAGGACACCGTCGCGGCTCAACTGCTCGCGGAGAATGTCACGTTCCTCATCATTCTTTTCACTCCACCACTTCTCGACGGTGGAGAACATGATGTCATGCATATCAGAAGCTCCATCACGGCCAGATCCACGACGAGCCGGGTGGTGGAAAACTCCTGAAATAATTCTATCAAGAGTCCGGTCAATATCGGCATCCTCATCATCCCAACATTGCATAAGCTGGGGGACTGTCCATTTAACAACAGACGATGCAATGCGACCAGCAGGCTCATTCAGAATATTGGAGAAGTGATCCTTGGAGAGCATCGAGTGAGTCGGATTTGAGCAATCATCGTCGTTGAAGACAATGTGCTGCTGCTCTCGGCTGCTCTGGATCACCTCGGAAGAACCGGTTTCGAGCTCAGTCTTGACCTGTTTGATGATGGGGAGAACGTAGGGAGCTAGAATAGAGAAGACAAACAAGGTGATTTGGTCCTGGATTTGTTCAATCAAGTCGGGCAGGACTGGAATCTTTTCGATGGCCTTGCTGATTCTTTTCAAAAGCTGGTCATGCCACTCAAGGACTGGGTAGATCTGCTTTTGGACATTGTCTAGGTACAATGCCCACTCTTCGGGTTCACGAGGATCGATATTCTGGCCGTCGTGCTTAGCCTCATCTGCCTTTGACTTGAAGTCGTCCATTTTGCCAGTCTGATCATTGTCGTCGCCAAGCAGTCCATCGGGAATCTTGCTCAGCAAAGTCTGCAAGAAGCTCTCGGATGAATCCGCATTCTCTGATTCGGCAACTGCATTTTCCAAAGACTGGATTTCAGACTGCATGGTTTTATCGGACAGCTCTCCCAGGACGGAATGGAAGAAGTCAACACCACCAAATGTGCCAGTCACACATGGAAAGACTTCATCGGGGACACCATCAACTTGCAATTTGGTATTGCGTCCGACATGAGGGAAGACCTCTGTCTCTCCCAGTTCGATCAGGCTGAGCTCAGTGTAATTCGTGTGAGCGGCGTAATCTTCCAAGCAGTGCAAGCCAGTACCCAACAGACGTAAGGCCTCATAGAGGTCTTTCTTGTTTCCAGATTGACCGTAACGGCGACCTAGTTCGATCGAGCGACCGAGCACACGGCGAACTAGTGTAGCCGAGTTGTCGATCCCGATATCCTCTGTTGCGATGTAGTGTTTCAAACCTGGATCATAGAGTGGTCAGTCATCCATCCACCGCCGCTTGATCGAATTTCATACCAGTTCGGGGATCTACCGAGAGCTCCCTCTCTTCATCGATAGGACCACGCAGTCGGCGATCATAGTCGCGCGCATCTTCACCCTCAGCATATCCTAGGGGATTGTCGATATGCTCCGTGGGCTGGTAACATCCCAGTCGTTCCGTTGTAACTTCAAACTCTCCGGTTCCGTATCTACGTGGTCTCAGTGAATGTGAGCAGTTGATATGTACTTGCCTGACTCACCCAAAGCTCATGAAGCCCAAGACCCAGAGGAGGATGCGGATAGCTTCGGCACTGACATACTTGACAGTGCCCACATCGACAGCCTGGCTGTAATCACGTAACCAGTTGCCGAAGTAGACCCGCTGTACGTCCAGCTTGCCGAATTTCTTACCACCAGCCACTCTTGCCATGTAGAGGGTGAGGAGGGCATCCTCGATATCTCCATGACGCCAGTTCTGGCCTTCTAGGCGGGAAAGAGAGGCGATGTTACCGGCACCAAATGCATAGGCCTGACCGGAGAAGGCGACCAGGACTAACAGGGACAACCCCAGGTACTGCAAAGACAGACCCATTGGAAAAATTGGTAGAATTCAGATAGATTTTATGGAGACCCACGGTCAAAGAAGAAAAGAAGAAAAGAAGAAATCATGGAACATGGAGGAGGGGGAAGAAACGTAAGAGGGATCAACCCCACCAAGTACAACGCATGTCAAACACGGTGGAGATCATTTAATGTGCAGGTGCATGAGATTAGTTCCTGGGTCTTGGCATCGGCGCTCGGATTTGCCGGTTGAGATTCATCTATAGTTGAATAGTGCAAGAGTGGAGGAGTGGAAGAGGGGGCAAAAGGGGAAGACTTGGATAGGTGTATCCATCATGGATATGGGAAGAGATCGGAATACATATGAACTGTACGGAGTAGCCAACGTACGATGTGCAATCGAGAGATTAAAAAGAAAGGAGAAAAGGGGAAAAGGAGAATGGAAAAGGAGAACCGCCCAAAAGTAAATAGAATCAAAAGGCCGCATGCGGTCTCGATCCGTCTGTCTCCGGCTTCACCGCCGCCTCCTTTTTCTGGAATATAAGGAATCCTTTCCCAGAGTCTAGAGTCCGACCTTCTTTTTCTTTTGATCCTGTGCGATCTCCCATCTCGCGCATAAGCGCTTATCTTAGCCGTCTTCGCTTTCCCCGCTGACGCGCAATTACTCTTACCTCTTTCCCCCCCCTATTCTTCACCTACTCTCTGCTATCTTGCAGATCCTCGGGTTCTCTTTTGACGCAGGGTGTTGCTAATCATGCCTCGCGCGGTCCATTACTAAGGTTCTTTGTGACTGAGAGGCATCATGGCTCCCGTCGATCCATGTTCCCGTGAGTCGGCATTCCCGGCCATGAGGCACCGGCTGGGCGAATCTGGATCCCTCCAGCGTCCTAGGAAAGCCAGGCCAGGTATTGAAACCGGGCGCGCTGCATCCTATCATATCTATCCAAATCGGGACCCTGAAAACCCCCAAGAACAGTCCCCTTTCCCTGATGTTTCCGATACTTCGCGTTCCCCTTCCGATCTCAGAAAGCGCAGCTCTATGGCTTCAAGCATGGTCATGCATGATACAACACCAGGCGACCAACCATGGAACTTGGAACCACATCAGTTAATGAATCCTTCCGAACGGAACACATCTTCCGAAGGCCTCGACCATCGGTCTCACAAAAGCAAATCAATAAAATCCAAAGTACACATCAAGCCAATTTTACGGAAGATTTCCCGTGATGATGCCCCAGCCTCTATCGATTTGTCCCGATCGTCTACTGAACAAGAGGGGCTGGGCATTTGCATGAACTTCGACCGAGATCGCCAACGCAGCGAGTCCCTGACAGGTGGAAGCTTTAAAAGAACCCCTTCAGGTCTTCACAATCGATCCACCAGTGGAACATCCCAGTTCTCAAACGGCTCAGGCTCGAGTGCGAGCAAGCCTGGATCACAGTATGTGCATCCTATGCGCCAAACACCCCGAGCGTACACCCCGCCACTGGGTCAGTCCTACCAAGACTCGAGCAATAGCGAAGAGCTGGATGAAAGCCCTGAGTCAGAACCCGTATCGATCCACGAAACACGTACTGTCTCAGGTCCGGCTCTACCCCGCCTGTCATTACAGATTCAAGATGATTCTTTCACTCGTCTCCCGGGGGTTTCACAAACCAATGTGACCAGTCGACCGTCCTTCCAATACTCACGGGAGACTGATGGCACTACATCGCCCATGTCCCGGACATCTCTCGACTTCGTTTTCCGATCCCGAACCCGGACAAGCACAGATCCGATCTCTCGTGCAGCCACGGTTCAAGCTGCTCGCCAGGCATTTGAGGATAAGGAAGCCGCCAAGATCCGACGACTAGAAAAACAACAGATCAAAGCTGAAGAGAGAGGCTCCCGACGACTCCTAAAGCGTAACACGTCAGAAGACCACGAGTCTCCCTTGCAATCCAGAGAAGCGATCTTCGAGAAACCCCGAAGATCCACTGTGGATGAGAGTGAAGAACAGTCGGTCTCTTGGAAATCTCAGTCCAAAAGCACATGGGTACTCTTCATGACATGGCTTCGGACTCGAGTTTTTAAGCTGCGACGAAAGATTCGGAAACTTCATTGATTCTGGATCCGTCGTTATTTCTTTTGTTATTTCCTTTTTTTTTTTTTTTTTTTTCCCCCTTCCCCCCCCGTCTCGCCCCCTTTTGTTACCCCTTTCTCCCCCCTCCCCCCCAGTTCATACGTCCAATGAGCGAGCGATTTGATTCTTTCCCTCATCTATCTAGGAGTTTTTGTTGCAACTTCATGGGAATATCGCTCGACATGAGCTGGATACACGGCGTCTGGATTGCTGTTTTTGCACCGCTTGCGTTCGATTTCTCTAGGGAATCGCTGGTCGATGAACGTCCTAGAGACGAAGATATGGCATTTCCGAGGGCAGTTTATGCATGGGAAATGAGAAATGGGACAGGACATGGTCCCCCACGATGGTCACAGACAGATTTATGAAATGAAATCATCCAATTATTCAATTGTGCTCTGTAAAGGAAAACATTGTGTTTGGGAGGTCAATTTGGCAGCCTCACCCTGGGATTTTGACGGACGTCTCGAATTCCAAATTCCGTATGAACGCTCTTTATATCCAGAGTCCTTTTTATGTCCGGAGTACTCCGTAGCCAGAGTCCATTCAACCAACCCGATACCTCCGTGCACTTACCATTAAGTAGTCTTTCCTTGTGGCCTCCTGGGCACCTGTTCCATCTTCTCTCCCAAGAAGTGCGATATCTGAATTCCTTCTATCCATACATAATTCTAAGGGACACAATGTACCCTATGTAAAAAGGGGACATAAGGAACGAATAATAACAATAAAAACCAGGTCAAAGTCACTAAGATCGGGATACAAGTCATATGCGCTACCAGTTAGACTGTCTGGAGTATGGGATTGAAAGTATAAACACAGATAGATACATTCAGGCGATCTGTTTCCATACATTATTCATCCAAATGCGTTAGGGAAAGACCTCTGTTTCCTCACCCTCGACGTTGTTCCGCACTGCGAAACGTCCTGGAAGCAGATCCATCACATGACCCGAACTGCGCTTTCGCCAGTCTCAGGGACTACGGTGCACAGCAGCGACAACAACCGCCTGATAAGCTCCACATCTTTAAGCTCTATCTATTTCTCCTAACACGCGCCTCCACGGAGGGAGCGTCTCCTCCATCATGGTGTACGATTGGTCTGGCAAGCGGGATGTCTGCTTCCAGATGTACATCCAGGAAAAGAAGGCGTTGGAGGAAATCATGGAGTACATGCGGACTGCCTATCAGTTTGCGCCAAGGTAAGTGTATACATGTACCCTGTATCTCTCTCATCTATTGAATACCAATTGATTCACGTTACTTGTGTAGCAAACGCGCTTTTCAGACTCAGTTCAAGCGATGGGGTTTCCCCTCGAAACAAAATCCAGCCCACAAGAATGTCGACCTTGTTGCACGAGTCAAACAGCTTTGGGAACGGAACACAAGCCAACGAGATATGCTTCGTGTCTTGAATGATGAAGGCTTTGAGATCAAAGAGAGGGAATTAATGCGAGTGCGCGCAAAGAATCGCTGGCTGCTGCGAGTCCCCAACGGAATGAAATCACAGTCGAACGTTGAGGAACAAGCTGTCACCCCCGAGGATGAGGGCTTACTCGCCTTGCAGCAGGAGGTCTATAAGGTCGAAAGTGCACTGGATGACTCTCATCCTCTCCCCACACAACCAGCTGCCGAGCGTCCAACTACCGAGTCTTCCGCTCTTTCACCGGAGGTCATTGCAAAACGCCAAGAGCGACTGGACCGCCTGAAAACAGAAAGCGCTGAACGTTGGGCATCACGGAAACGACGTCGTCGTACTCGAGGATGGGCTGGGCTACCAGCTGATCCTCCAGGACCTCCACGCTTCCCGTCTGAGACAACCATCGATGAGAGCAAACAGTATCTCAGTCTGGACAATATGATGTACCGTCAAACTAGAGATCATTTCCAGCGAATCTGCGAAGAAGCAGGTTTCATAAAAAAAACCGCGGCTGGCCCTGAAAGATGGCAGGCTGCTAAAGACAAATTGATACAAGAATCCCCGCACCTCCAACAGGTGTTCAACACAGATCCTACTCAACGAGATGCAAAGGTCCTTGCACTTGACGTTGTGTGTACTGACGTTACCAAACGAATGCGGACTTTGGAAAGACGCATGACAATCGCAGAGGCGAAGAATGCCCTGGGGATCAACCCAGAGGAAAGCCGACAGATTCGCAATGCCTTCTATGATACCTTGAAAGTGGACCATTTCACAAGTAAGTTAGAGGCCGGCGATGAGCACTGGAGAGAACTCAAAGAGCAATGGATTGCAAGCTCGGAACTGCTACAGCGAATTCTCGCACCTGGGCCAGCCGATCCAGATCATGGCAACAAACTTAAGGCACTTGAAGTGCTTTGTCGCGATGTCATGAAAAGACTGCGAGATGACCAAACTAAGCGAGACCCGGCACGCAAGAGATCCTCGGCACGTGCTGAGTCTCGAAATCCGACCTCGACAACTTCGTCTATGGGCAGCATGCTGGGCAACGAGATCAGCAATGGAATTAGTACTCTCGCCTCTCAGGCACTGGCCAGTGCACCCATCACGGCTACTGAGATCGGGGATATGCAAATTGACCCTTCGCTGCTCCAGGCAGCGAACGACCCGTCTTTCGCTACCAATGCACACCATGACGCGGGCAATGGTTTCGAGTACGTGGATCCTATGCTCAGTTCTGCATTGCTACATACTCCTGTCTGGTTCCAGGTTGGTCCTTCGGGTCAGTCTCAGGAGTCAATCCCAAAACCCTGGCTTGAGAAATTAGCCACACGGACACTGGAAGAGCTTCGGCAAATGATCGGTGCCAGGTATCCCTATTCAATCATCACCCGGATTGAGGGCATTGACAGGGATGAGAACGGGAATGAGATTCCGTTCTCAATCAACGACGATCATGAATTGGATGTATACTTGACCCATGTTCACGAAAGGAAGGCGTTACTCATTTTTAGCCTGGGACAGATCTGAAAAGTGTCGGCAAGGCGAGGCGTGTATCTACGACATAGTTTCTTTATGGCTGAACAATCTTTGAACCCCCAAATATTTTGTAAGAAATAATATGTTATGATCGGGAAGAAGACCGTCGAGCGCTTTGATACAGAATAATCTCTGGAATGTAGTTCATTTGACCTGCACGAATTGTATTATACAGTTAAAACTGATGGAGCTATTGTTGTTCATGTAGATTGAAGAAAGGGTACGATAAATTTGTGTGCCTTTTTTTAGAAAAAAGAGATAAAAATGTTGGAAGACTTCTGCTCCCTTATGTATACATACATTGTTCGCTGTTCACAATCCCAATGTTCAAAAACAGAAAACCCCTGCCAACCGCTACACCAGTGCACCAGTGCACCAAAGAAGACACCAACGTGGTTAATACCCCTGAGCTTAGTTGGCGCCGAGTGTTTGAACCACGTTCCTGAAAAGAACACCAATAGCAGGCAAAGAGAAAGAGGGTGTCTCACCAAAAACACTGGCCAGCCCCTTGGTTTGAGCAGATGATTCGTCCACATCGTCATGTTGAACGAGCCTTTCTGGCCCGCGGTTGAAGAGAGTGGCCAGTCCATTGTCAATATGGCCGGTCACATCACGAGACTGACTGTTCTGGCTCTTCTGGGATGCCTTGTCCAGACAACCAAGTCGCTGCACCGTTGCCGCAGAATCAACGACGATGTAATCACCGGAATAAGCATCTGAGAGCAGCGCAACCGGGGAATTTTGAAGGTTCTCTTCGAACACGACTTCGAAGGACGGGACATCGTAAATCTTGATATGGAATCGAACCTTACGTCGCTTCTTGTGCGATGAGCTCGTGACAATTGCCAATGACTTGGTTCTCGCGTTCACAGCAATCAGCTGTGAGTTTCCGGCAGGCGAATCCACTGACGCAGACGATTGGATGGTCTTGACGACATCGTCGACCGTGTTCCAGACAGCCACCGAGTGCGTCGAAGCGACGACCAAATGGCTTCCCAGGAAACTCGTTGAGCATGGATTTCCAAGGAATACACCGGTACGTCGGTAGTGTACAGAACAGTTTCGTGCATCGATTAGCAGAACAAGGCCATCATTTACCGCCGATGTGGATGGTAGACAGATGGCCAGTACCGAGCCATCCTCGGAGAAATTCATACATGCTACATCCAGAGGAGAATCCTGGGTAGCGTCAAGACACCCCTTCAGATCAACGATACCACGGCACTTCCACGTGTTCAGAGGCTGCTCCAGCTGATCCTTGGCTTTCAACCCACTTCGATATTTTGCAGTTGGACACCAAAAGCGGAGAACAGAGTCTGCACCAAGAGTTGCAAACTCGTGAGCACCAGGTCGAGACACGAGGTCGAGTACGGCCGAGTGGTGATTCTCAGAGAAATGAGGACCATCAACACGCGTGACCAGTTCCCATGTATCAGACGAAGCATCCCACTTCCAAAACTTCAAGAAGACCTCCGGACGCAGAGCGGCAGCAGATTTATGATTGGAAGAGCGATCGAGGGGCTCCACGTCCTGAGGGTGTGGAGCCCAGGTATCGACCGTAGCCAGCCACTTCGCATCATGCACTATATCCAAGTGCTTGACATCGGGTGCAATAATCTGAGAGCCTTCTGGGCTGACACTTAGTGTAGTCGCATTGGTTCGGGCGAGGGCTTGACGGGAGATATTGGAGTTGGCACGGATGTCATATGTCTGAAGCACAGCCGCATTTGCAGGCTGGGAACCATGCTGGTTTTGAGTGAGCTGGTGAGAAGCTGGAACAGCAACGATCAATCGCTCTGGCTGTTGCGGGTGCAACTTCGCCACAACAGATGCCTTGGAAGGTTCCAACGAGCCTCCCATGTCTGGGGATAACTGCAATCCTGTGATGGTACTAGAAGGCTGCAACTCTCTCGTCGACAGGACCATGACCGAGTTGTCGGCCAATTTAACGACATAGGAGCTGCCGCTGGCCGAGACAACAATGTTGCAGATAGGGGAAGAAAGATGGGGAAGGAATTGCTTCCGGCCAGTATCCAATTGCCAGAGAACCATGACCGACTCCTGACCACCCGAGATGATATAGTTTCCTAATGCTTCAGATGAGCAATCTCTCTCTAAATATCATATGGAAGTGAAGATACGTACCGTCTTTGGACCAACGAACAGTGTTGACAGAGCCTCGGTGCCAATGCAACTTCCTAGGCGAAGACCTCTTGTCGCTACTACCCTTGCCGAAAAATGTATTCAAGACATTCTGGTAGATCAGAATAGAACCACCACTCTCTCCTACTGCCAGATCGATTGATCCCGAGCCGTGGGCCTTGATATCAAAACAAGTCGCGTTGACGGGAAGGGTTGTCTCGCGCCAAGCGTACTGGACAGTCTCAAGGTTCTCAAGCTCTGCACTCGTTGTAGTGCCCATGAAAAGATGCTTTCCGTCACTAGCGACGATCACTTGACCGTCGCGGGTGACCTTGATGCTATTGAGCTTCTGATTAGTCTCGAGTGCGGTGGTGGCTTGAATCTTTTTGTTCCCTAAAGTATTGATCAAGACCTGTCTTTTTCCATTCTTTTGCAAAGTGATAGAGAAAGAAAGAGCAGTTGTATTCTCTTCTTTTCCAATCGAGGCCAGACACGTAGAGATGGTTGTGCAGGTAGTCTCCCAGCGTGCGATCCGTTTTCCAGAACTCCAATTCCACTTGCTGATAGAGCCCGAAGATGTAAGAATATAGAGATTTTCATGATCCACTGGGCAGAAGCTAAAGCCAATAATCTGTTGGCCAGCTTCCATTTGTAAGGTACGTGACAGGCGAGAGGTTGAGGTTGCAAATACTTGAACGGCTGTATCGAGCCCAACCAGTAGATATCTGTAATTGGAAAAAAAATGTCAGAACATGTCTCATTATTTTTCAATGGAAATATTCCTCACGCTTCATCATCCGTCAAAATTGGATCTAAATTGTTGTAACGACCGCCGACAGGGCGTGAGAAAGACCAGGACGCGGGGGTTTTTTGCCTGGACTCGACATCTTGCGTCTGGGCATCGCTATTGGAGACCTCTTTCACATCTTCGGCCGGCTCAACTGTTTGCAAGCTCTGGGTTTCATTGGCTGCGGAGACCCGGCGCCTTTTGGATCTCTCTTCATTTGACCGGGCAGGCTTCTCCAAGGCCGCATCGCTGAGCCGGGATCGTTTTTGCTGTCGTGCTGATTGATTGGCCACCATTTTCGCGCGGAAACTAGAATCGAGAGACAGATAAAAAATTCAAAAGAAAGTAATGCGATTCAGACTACCATAGCTCTTGCAGATTGGAGCAGAGTTGCAGAAACTGAAGTCTGGGGATCTTCATGGCAGATCCATTTACTTTTTTTCCAAAGGAAAAGTAAAGCGGAGATAGCTGGCAGAAAAGCGCAATCCTCCTGATTGGGTTAGATCGAACTTTGCGATCTTCGCGGGAAAAAAAGTCTGGTTCAAAGCGACATCATTTACCTTCAATCAACCCCGTCGCTTGTTCATTTCTCATCCTCTTGGCTTGTGTGCTGTGTTCAATCGCTAAAATGATCATTCCAGTTCGTTGTTTCTCATGCGGCAAGGTAAGTAACCATATCTCAGTCCGTGATGTATGGCCTGTTGCTGAACTCGGCTTTAGGTCGTCGGTGACCTTTGGGAACGGTATCTTCAGCTTTTGGATGATGGCGTCCCAGATGGGTAGGCAGATTCCGACATATCGCAGCTGGGCTCCACTAATCAACTAATTTATTCCAGTGACGCTATGGACCAGCTTGGCTGCAGACGGTACTGTTGCCGGCGAATGATCATGACGCACGTTGATTTGATTGAGAAACTTCTCCGGTGCGTTCGAAAGAGAGCTCAGTATTTTACATCCCAGGGATCGTCGCTTATTTTACACAGTTACAACTCTGCCGAGAAAGACCGCTCTAAGGCTCAAGTATAAGCCAATCGATTCCTCATACGAGTAAACCTGTCATCGACTCCAAGCCAAAGCGTTCCTGCCGAAACTTCCACCAGTACCTCATTTGCCTTCGTTGCTTGGCCATGCTGAGTCCATTGTCCGCCTTCTGAGATCTGTGGGCTGGGGGACAGTGAGAGCAAGTCAAACAAGCTATTAGCTTAATGATGTGATCATCAGTCCTGGCTGATTCCCACATGCTACTACTGCCATGGTTTGGAATTCGCCCGAGGCACTGGATTGGGTTGAGATGTAACAATTCACTCAAGCCCCGCCAGAGAGGAGACGAAGTCTTCTACGGGTGACTCTTCTGGTTATTGCATTTAGGGTGGCGTTACAGTCTACAAAATAAGATACGGCGTTAAGGGAAGCATTTGCGTCTTGGTTTATCGTTAATTCAATCAATTTTCCGGAGTGCAGCTCAGCGACTTGAAATCTTATCCCCAAGCATAGGTCGGCTCTATTTGTAGCCCCCGACATTGCTCTGATCCCACTAGTGGCAAGGTCGGTTCTTTGCATCTCTTATGTTGTGAAATGTCAAATTATGCCTGTCGAGTCCTTGTGTAGCATGGGTGTATACGCTCGTCTTACCGAGGCAATTGATTAGCATTCGAGGGAGATCTTATCATCTCCGTGGCCGATGGTTCACCGGGCCTCCCTTTCTATAGCGTTGTACGATGGGTATATATATGTTCAACTGTTGACGGTGGATGGTTGTTCCTAGTCTAACCCGATCTAACTGAGTAAATTCCCCGCTTCCGCGGCTCTGGCCAACTCGGCAGATCCGGCAGCTCAACGTCCGTTCAAGATCTGCAGTATACCCAATATACCTTTATCCGAATGCGTTGTCTATTCTATGGAAAAGTACGGAGTAGAGAAATATTATGTCGATTGCGATGATGATTCAGGCTTTTTCTTTTTCTTTTTCTTTTTCTTTTTCTTTTTCTTTTTCTTTTTCTTTTTCTTTTTCTTTTTGGATTGGCAACCCAAGGCGTCTACGAAGTACAACGTATGCGATTGAAAGGGAACAAATACGGAAGTATCACTCGATCTTGAACATTCCTGATAAACGAGGGGTCAGATAGGCGCCGTGATGAACATGCAGCTTGGTCTCCACCGACCAGTCATATCGAGGCGGGACTGCATCTGACCATACTGCATTGGGGACAAAAGCGCTTGCATCTGTTGGAACGAATCAGAGAGCTATACTCCGTACTCCGTAACGTATTCCAACTACTCCGTAATGGCTACACGATTGCTTCACAGTACATTTTTTTTTTCTCGAGACTTTTCTTCTGCACTCAGTCCTTGGTTGGAATGATATGGCATGACTGATGCGAAGTCCAGAGTATACGCTCGGCGCCATATTCGAAATATCCTGCTTCTTCCTGAGCTATTTAAGTATGCCATGTACCTGAAACTAATTACCTACAGGCACTAGATATGTCCACGGGTACGGAGTACAAATGAAGTACAGAATCACGTGTAATATACGCTAGGTAACCGATGGATAAGGACCGGGTTCAGCTCCTCAAGTGTCGGTTGCTCCCCCGTCTTTTCCCAGATGTTCCCTTGAGCTTTTCTTTTGACCCCCCTATATACCTTCGGTCATGGCCGTCAGGTCGCCGCTATCTGTTCTACCTTATCGCGCCGAGTCCGCAAGTCCGATATACTACTCCCCACGCTCGATTCCAATGTAAGACTGTAGTCTTCTATCAGTAATGTCGCTGATGCATGAGATAGGTCTCTTGATGGATCTGTTGATGGAAATGAGGGTTCCCACTTCTCCGCACCTGAGCGCGCGATAAACAACTTATCGGGGGCTTCGGCCCCCACTGAAAATGAGACAGATTGCGATGGCTGCGATGGCTGCGATGAGTGCGATGACTGTGACAAATCCAATAGAGATATTTCGCCAAAACCTATACGCGAATCAGGGATGTCTACTCTACCGGAGCTAACGGTGTGTACAAATTGCGGGGAATGATCACAGTGGGCTCACACTATGACAGATTCAAACTGGATACCCAAGTCATATGGCCCCCAGCACAAGATCAGATGAGGATGAGCCTCCTCAATCGGTAATACATGCTCCACCTGGATTTGGTGATTTTGTAGGAACTCAATCACCCGCAGCGGCTGCCGAATTGGCTAATGATGGTGAATCTCACCAGGCGCCAATGCGATCCACGTTTGCAGGTACAGAGGAGTCACAGTCAGCATCGATCAGCTCAGATGAGCAAGCCAATGTAATCAGTGTACCCCCAAAGACAAGAAAAGTAAACCGTGCTGAGACCTTCCCGATGATTCCATGTGCTAATGAAAATGATTTATTCAGGTTGGAAATAGTCCAATATCACCACCTCCATTGACAACATCCCTCAATCTAGTCAATGATTGTACCGAGCGGGCGACACCTCGTGCACAAACAAGACACGAGTTTGAAGAATTTGAGAGGCGCACTCGCACGGGTGGCCTGGAAGGTACTATATCCCACCTCCCTTGTCCATGTTTTAATTCATGATATCCCTTGCTGACCTTTGTCAAGACATCCCTGAAGGTAAACGGACAAAGGCTACTTTTATTGAAGCTAGATGTATGAAACTAATCAGTACCCAGGACTCGCCAGCAAAGAGGCCGAGCTAAATGCCCTAAGGACTGCCCTCGATGAGTGTTGGACATTGTGCAATACGCTAGCTAACCTAAGCTATATCCACCGGGAACGGCTCCTAAAATGCCACAGTGATGATACGCAAGAGGATGCATGGCGATCATGTTGGAGACTTTGCCAGAAGCTTTATGACACGCGGGACGATGACTATGCCTCACAAATCCATCCGACTCTTGATCTCTGCCGGGACTTCTGTCAGGCGCTATTTGAAGCCCGAATCCGTGAGACCGACCTCTCAGACTCGGTCTTGAGGGTCAGTTTTGAATTGAACAATCACCTCTACAATACCCATGATCGAACTCTTCCTGATGCCTTCCGCGAAAGAACCCTGGACTTTTATATTACCTTGTGCCATCGTCTCATGAAGCAACGCACCCGCATCACGGAGACAGACTCTCTGTTGGGTGCCTGCTGGACATTAGCCGAAATGCTGTTCAGCATCCGCCAGAGCAAGAGGGAAGAAAAGCCGTTGGATGAGGAATTGTTGGGGTCTGCGGTTCAAGCCTGCTGGGAGCTTTGCGATATCTTCCGCGAGGGCTGGACCCTTCATAATCTGCGCAACTCCGACCGAGGAACGCCACGGCCAAGCCAGACAACCTTCTCGCAGGCATTCCATCAAACATCGCAACAGTCGGATTTGGAATTTGGCGATGAGCAAATGAGCCAACTCGGCAACCCCGAAACCCCAACAACCATATTTGAGGATACTGCAACAGTTTCACCCGACGAAGCTCCGATTCCTAATATCCTCGTATTGGGTTATGGGAACGGGCATAATAATCCCCATACTAAGTGGTCATCCAATGCATCCAGTATTTCGGAGAACTCTCGGTCGTCCGGGCACACAGCGTCGTCGGCTAACACGGTGACCACCATCCCGGAAGACCCCAATCTTACGCGATTGAAGACCTTGATTACCAAAGCCGCCATAATCAGTGGCTATCAACGAGGTGGGAACCAGAATCTCTCTTCGTTCGTGAAATCGCTTCCGTCAGATGCATTTGGCTCTGCCGCGTGGCAGACGTCGTTATTGAAGAATTATAGAAAGGTAGTGGCATTTGACCCGGCTTTCAGGAGTGTTGGTCTGCAAGCCCGGGTGGGAGCTATCGATGTTGCGCATGCGTGTCAGACGATGCTACAAAGCGGCCAGTACTCCTGGCTCCGTGACCTTTACCGTCTCGTCTTTGGGTTCCATATGGAAGAAGCAATGGGTCGCAAGGGTGTGATCATTCAAACGTAGAGTCGAGGGTCACGGTGAGAGGTTTCGTGGTATTTCCCGCTGTTTTTGTTGTCAATGGAGACTACTCTACACTGGAAAGTTGAGCCGAGTCGACGTAGGTGCATTAGGGCCGTCGGCATCTGACAAGGAGAGATCGGACTCTCGATTTACTATGTACAGAATGGTGGCTTTGCATCTCTTTTGATTTCGGGATATTGTACCTCTTCTAGGGAGGGTGGTGGTCCATGGGTCCATTTGGTGGAATCCCACTTGTCCGACCCGGCCCTTGGCGATATATGCATGCACATAAACAGAAAACAGCATATCAGATTGATGTCGCCAAGCTTTTGAGACGTAGCCTTGGATTTGATTAAATCCCGTTTCCTGGTAAGACTCCACTCAAGCCACCGGGGGATAAGTGGTTATATATATCCTAGTCCTGCATACGAAGTACCTGGGAGTACTACGGAGTCCACTGTCAACGTAAAAGCCTGCCAAGTCTGTGGGGCCAGGGCTCTTTTGTGTGACGGGAGACGGGCCAACCCGGACTCTGGTTGTTTTCCCTTTCTATTCTCTTTCTCTTTCTCTTTTCCCCCCCTCTTTTCAGATGTCTCACCATCGGCCTTAGCCCGTCCATAACGTCTATAAAAGAGAATAGCTATGCACTACAAAGTGAACAACTTTAAGTTATGCTATCAGTTCATTTTAGCTAGACTTCCGCACGCACCGGAATTGGGTCGAATATCCCGACCCGGCACCGGACCTAGGTTGGGTCCGGTGCCAAACCCCCGACCCGGGCCCACACCGGATCCAACGTTGGGTTCACCGGATAACCTAATAAAAACCCAATTGGACCCAACTTTTATATAATTCTCTATATAAAGTGCCTCATACTCATCTAAATTAAACACTATAATTTTTCCTTGTTTTAGTCATATTAAGAAAAACTTTGATATTTAGTAGTATAGTAAGTGAAATGTTACGGTATTTCTTTATTATACTATTTTTACCTTAGGCTCCCTTTCTCTTATACGGAGGAGACCCCTCCGAATACCCCACGATAACGGGATAGAACTAAGATAATCCGGTCCTAAGAAGCGGGGAAACTAAATTATAAAAGGAAGACACCTATATAGATAGGGAAGGCAAGATTTAGTCTTATAACTAATATAGAATCGAATACCCTTCGTTCTAACTACGTATCCCTCTTATATTATTATTTACTTAGTTAATAAGTACTACCTTAATAAATAGTTACTTTAATAATTCTAAATCTTCTTCTTTAACTATCTAAAGAAATAATAACGAGATAGAGTTTATAATCCTAATAGAGTAATAAGGAGATACCTCTATAAGAAAATCTTACTATCTATAAGATAGAGAAGGAAGAGACCTAATCTTTATTAGAACTTTCGGAAGTACTTACTACTATTAATAAAGATAATTAATAACCTTTTAAAATTACCCTAAATTCTTAGCGAAATAGGGATAATTCTTAAATAATTCTTAAAAAAGAAATCTTTTAAATCTTTATAATAAGAATTAAATAGCTTAAAAGAGTAGCTAAAATACCTATATATTATAGTTAGATCTATAGTAATTTACTAAATCTATATAGTTAGAAAATCCGTTTTAAGAACTCTAACTTTATAGAAGAATTCTTAATTTAAAAAAAGAAGATTAATTACTTAGATTATATTTAGAATTTAAAAAAGCGAGTAAAAAATATAATACTAAAAAGTAAAAGATTTTTAGTACTTTATTTTATATAAATAGGAACTACTAATAATTTTAGTATAACTATTTAGATAAAATACTTTTAACTTTAAACTAAATTATATAGGATTTATAAATTTACCTTAAAAAATAGACTCTATCTTTAATAAAAATTTTTATAAATATATAAATTACTATTACTAACTAAATATAAAAAATAATTTAGTAAAATAATTAAAATCTAAAATACTTTTACTATAAGTTAAATCTCTTAGAAAAATATTTTTTAAAGTAAAGTAAGAAATAAAGAGCCTTTATCTTTTTTTTAAAACTTAATTATAGACTCTAAGCCTATATCTATAAATATAATCTAACTCTTCTAAAAACTTAAAAGGAGATAATTTTTATTATATTAAAATTTTAGGAGCTTTAAAACTAGAAAACGAAATCTAAATAAAAAGCGACCGAATTAGAGTAGAGAGATCTAGATATAAAGAAGAAAAGGAGAAAATTCGAAAAATATAATAAAAATAAAAACTCCTCTAAAAAAAGAAATCTAAAAGACTTAAGGTTAAAAAGATAAGGAAACTCTATTAATAAAAAAATAAAAAAGAAACTTATTTATTATATCTATTAAAGTAAAGATTACCTTTTAAATAAATATCTAAATAACTCTCTAATAAAGAAAATAAAAGCGTAACTAGTAAAAGTAAAAGGATCTTTAATAAAATAATAGGGAAATAAGAGTAGGTTAGAGTAGATTCCCTTACTCCGACCCTTTAGATTAGAATAATAATACGCTTTTATACTCCGATCTTAGTAAGAAAAATTAAAATCTATATAGACTTAGATAATTATATAGAAGTCGATCTTATTAGTTATAAATTTATAAAAACTTATATCTTTTATTATTAAAGTAGTAGAATATAAAGAAATAACTATATATAAGATATAGAATATTTTTATAATTATTATAGATAATAAAGGAATTATTAGAATATTTATATAATCTTATATTATTATTAATAGAAATCTAAGGATTTTAAGTAGTTTAGTGCTACTATTAATAATAATCTTAATTAACTAAAAAATTAATCTCTCTCTACTAAACTAAAAATAATATTTTAATATTTTAAACTATAAAGCTATAACCCTATATTAGTTTATAAAAAAGTATAGGAACTATATATATATCTATACTATAGTAAAAATACCTAAAGAAGTATAGCTCCTATATAAAGAGGATAGGGATATAAAAGAATCTTTTAATTTACCTTTAGAACTATAAGAATTCTATAACGTCTTCTCTATAAAAAATATATAAACCCTTTCTTTAAATAAGACTATAGATTATATTATTAATATATTACTAAAAGAAAACTCTTTTTATAGATTAATTTACCCTTTATCCTAAAAGGAACTAAAAGAACTTTAGAAATATATTAATAAAAATCTAAAAAATAGATAAATCTAACTATCTAAAAATCCTATAAGAATACTAATTCTCTTTATTCTAAAAAAAGATAATAAATTACGCTTTTATATAGACTATTAGAGGCTAAATAAAATCTTAGTTAAAAACTAGTATTTATTACTACTTATCTTAAAAATTTTAGACCGATTAGTAAGAGCTAAATAGTTTAATAAAGTCGATATTTAAGATATATATTACTAAATTTATATTAAGAAAGAAGATAAGTAGAAGACTATATTTTATACTTAATATAGATATTATAAGTATATAGTTATACTATTTAAACTAATTAATATTTTTACTATATTCTAAAGTTATATTTATAATATATTAAAAAATTATTTTAATATAATCTATATAGTATATTTTAATAATATATTAGTATTTTCTCTAATAAAGGAATCTTATATAAAATACCTCTAAAAAGTCCTCGAAAACCTTAAAAGAGTTAGCCTATATATAAAGATCTTAAAGTATATTTTCTATTAGAAAGAGGTAGAGTTCTTAGAATTTATAGTAGGTTTAAAAAATATCTCTATAGACCTCTAAAGAGTAAAATCTATTAAGAACTAAGAACTTCCTAAAAGCTATTATAATATCTAAATATTTATTAGATTTTATAACTTTTACTATTAGTTTATACTATAGTTTTTATAGATTATATTTCTATTAATTTCTTTACTAAAAAAGTTAAAAAATAAAAGAAAACTTAGATAAGTCTAACTTAATATCTATAAAAAATTTATATTTTACTATCTAATTATAGTATTTTAATTACTAATATTATTATATTATTTTAATCTAGAAAGAGATATATAATTAAAAACTAATACTTCTAATAAAAATATAGAAGGGATTATATTCTAAAAGAATAAAGATAGGAAATAGTATTTTATAGTCTTTTAATCCTAAAAATTTAGTAGAGCTAAACTTAACTATTTTACTCTAGATTAAAAACTATTCGCTATTATTTACTTATTTAAATATTAGCGATACTATTTAGAAGGAAGTATCTAATCTATAGAAATTCTATCTAATTATATAAATTTATAGACTTTTATAAAGTAGCTAAAGCTAAATAAAAGATAAATAAGATAATATATATTCCTATCCTTATATAACTTTTTTATTAAATATAGACTAAGAAAAATAAATCCTATAAATATATTATTCTAAAAAGTAAATCTAAAACTAAGAGATACCTTAGTAAAAGATCTACTTAGACTATTATATAATAGAATCGTTATTAGAATACTACTAAAACGGAGTATTATTATAGCTAAATTACTAAATATTAATAATTTATATACTAATAAATCTTAGTTTAATCTAAAATAAACTAATATAAATAGTAATAAAGTTAATATAGAAATAGCTAACTAGGCTATATAGAAAGAATTAGATTATAACTAATAGATACTTTATAAAATAGTTAAGTATATATACTAAAACTAATCTATATATATATAGGAAGTATAACCGGACCTATAAAACCTAATTAAGAAAATCTAGGATAGCGATCCTAAGATACGCCGCTAAAAACTTATTATTTCCTAATTAAAACTAGATAATAAAAGTTAGGGCGTTAATCTATATAGTATTATAAAATATAAAAAAAGACTCTATATCCCTATAGAGGAGAACTTAAGAAAAAAACTCCTTAGTCTTTATTATAATAATACTTTAGTAGGATATTTTAGTAAATATAGAATATTAATATTACTATAAAGATATTTCTATTAGTAAAATATATACTAAGATATCGCGGAATACGTCTTTAAATATATAGTATATTAAGAAAACGTAGCTCTAAGATATTAGCTATATAGCG